CCTGAGCCTGAACCTGAGCCTGAGCCAGAGCCTGAGCCTGAGCCTGAGCCTGAGCCTGAGCCTGAATCTGAACCTGAACCTGAGCCTGAACCTGAGCCTGAGCCTGAGCCTGAGCCTGAGCCTGAGCCTGAGCCGGAGCCGGAGCCGGAGCCTGAGCCTGAGCCTGAGCCTGAGCCTGACCCAGACGACCCTGAGCCAGATGATCCCGACCCAGACGATCCTGACGAGCCGGAACCTGCGCCAGTTCCTGAAGAGCCAGACCCAGAGGCTCCGCTCCCGCTGCCGGAGTCGCCGGAACCTGATCCTCCACTCCCACTGGATCCGGACGATCCACCAACGCCAGAAATGATCGCGATTGCGGTGGGATTGTCGCTAGGCGTTGCCTGTGCAGCACTAAGAATGTCCACCGCATTCGGAGCCGCCGCCGTGGTGGTCTGCTGCACGGCCTGGCTCAGCACTTGCAGCGCATTTGTTGGCTGAGCAGCGGTCACAATAGCCGAGACCAAGTTACCGATGTCGACAGCGCCACTCGAGCCGCCAGTGGTGCTGCCAGAGCCGCCATTGTCGGCAGTAGTAGGAGTACTGGCTCCACCAGCCTGCGTTGTAGTTGGGCTTTGATCTTGTAGGGCAGTGGCTGTGGCGGTCTGTCCTCCTGTTTGTATCGTGGTCGTGCCAGAATCTGTTGCTGGCAGTAGGAGTGCTGTTTCTGAGCTGCCGAGCGCTGGGCTCGGGTATATACTGGCGATTGTCGACGTAGTGGTAATGGTAGAGGTAGGCAGTAGAAGAGCCGTCTGCGTCGACTCCAGCCGGGCGGAAAACGCTGAGACAGATAGAGAGGAGCCTGATTGGGTGGTGTAGCCGGAAGGCAGAGTAGGGACGGGTGTCTGCAGTTGCGTCAAGGTGAGACTAGCCAGAGCAGGCGCAGCGCCCTCCACTATTGCAACCTTCTCGACAACGACCACTACTGTAGGCGCTGCAACCCATGAACCAGCAGTGGCCGAGGTCTGACCTACTAGAGGCAGAAGGGCAGGATTGACGTCGCCAGTCACACCTGCGCCAACCAGTTCTGAGCCATTCGGCGGCGGTCCAGTGTACTCGAAGCTGAAAGGCGCTGACATGTTATAGACGCTCGTTGTCTCTGCGCAGCCCACGCTGCCATTCTCAGCCGTGGTAGGATATTGGCTGATGATCTGATATTGGCTGAAATACACAAACGGCGTGCCCTGTGCATACGTGCCTGCGGAGCTCGGAAGCGTAACTACTGCCGGTGCTGGCGTGATGGCAACATTGGGGATGGTCCCCGTGCCAGCAGTGGCGTTGAAGGGCGCATATCCACTTACGGTCACGATCGTTGTGGATGCAGCGACAGGAGCTGGTGTTGGGGAGCAGAAGCCCTGCCAGTACGTATATGTCTGATTGTAGTAGGTCTCAGTAGTTAAAGTGACAGCGCATACCGGCTGGGCAATAGCTGAAGCAAGGTCGAACGTAGTCGATGCCGGAACCACGGTCCATGATGTCCCGTTCCGACCGACCTCGAGAGAGACCGTGGAGGCGGCATAAGTGTAGGTCTCAGTGTACCACCAGTCCAGAGAGGCGGAAAGGACATCTAGTGTCTGTCCAGTACAGACGGCATTGTTGGCTGTCACGGAAGGTGAGGATACAGTGCCGGTAGGCTGATACGAGTAGGTGGTGTTGCCATTGTATGTGCCGGCACTCGACGACAGACCAGCCGAAGGGCTCGACGAAGTGCTGACTGCCGTGCCTGAACCGACCGCAGACTGACCGGAGAATATTGGCGCAGTGCCGGCCAATGTGGGCGTTGACGTTGAGGCGGAGGTATTTGATGAAGCCGATATAGGTGCGCTGGAGCTGAAGGTTAGGACGTCACTTGGCGTAGCTGTAGTAGTCTCGACAGTAAGAGTGGTTGTTATTCCAACAAGAACGACCGGTGGACTCGAGCTCGAAAGCGATAGACTCGAGGAAGAGCTAGTAGTCGTGATTGTGGTCGTAGTGCTTGTTATGCTCGGCCCGACAAATGTGCTATTCGGGCTGAATATCGGGTCTACTGCTTGCCTGCCCAGATGTCGTATCCATCTATGCGGCTCCAGAGCAGTCGCACCAGTTGCAGCCAGAAGCCACAGGATAGCAGCCTTCGCAGACATCGCGCACGCAGCCTTCCCACCAAACGAGCGTAGGCGTCAGGATCTTGCACCCTTTGCGACCCTACCAGTTTACCACATCATAGGAAAGCGAGTGACTGCGCTGCAAAAGCTGAACGAGCGCTGAGAACGACGACAAGGCTGATGGATGGCAAAGAAACAGGATTACCGACGGACGGTGACAGATGTGAGGCTCAATCGGAACTCACCAAGCCAAGAGAAACGGCAGGTCGTCGCGCGAATCAGACGGTAAGCTCGCCGCCGCCGACCATGCCGCGGGCGATGGGGAGACGACAGGGGTGAAGACAGAAGCACAGGCTATGAACTTCGTGGCGTTTGCGGGTCGAGCGCGCGCTAACCCAGATCCTGATGGCACTAGCAGGGCAAGACCTTGTCGAACATGCGACTGACGTCTGACTTTTCCCAAAGGACGGCTCATCGACGTGATGATTCGATGGACTTCGCGGTCTCGTTAATCTCAGCGATACCATTGTGCTACGGTCCTGCCATTCTCGTCGCTGTCCTGGATGCTCACGGCCATGGCTATAATCTCCACAGTCACATCTGGAAAGGCCCACCGCATACTGCAGCCCGCCCGAGCGAGAGAATGCAAGCTGCAAGCTGCGAAGCGTAATACGAGGGCTCGGGAGCGTGCAGATGGTGGATCAGGACTCATGGCGAAGCTGCGCTGTTCCAATCACCCGCGCGCCGTGCCTGGTCAACCCGTCGTCGAACCTCATCCTATTGAGCGCCCCCCATTTGCGGCTCTCTTGTGCTCTGGTGAGGAACCCGAACCTCCAGTCGGCTTGCGAGTGGAGGCATGCTTGGCCGGATGTGACCTCGACTGCTGTTCTTAGATATCCACATCACACCATGGCATGATTGCGGGGTGTACTTTCGAGCGAAGAGCAACTACATCTACGGGCTTGCCATGGGTTACTCCTGGCTTATACATCCCATAGTATATTCCCTGGATTCCAACCTTCTGCATCATGCAAACATGGGCTTCTCCGCTTCTGTGTAAGCCACGAGTAGTGCGGCCGGCGTTGTCTAACGGTCGGTCCGCGCGCCTCGTATTGAAGTGTGAACCCCGTCCGGTTGATTACGTTTCGTCATCGAGGACGACTTCGCAAGCGGGTGACAAACTGTTCTCGACGCGACGAAGACGAACATCACCTACAACGCACGTCATGCAGGTACACGAAATACCTTCACACCACCACGTTCGACCTTGCATTACTGCGACGAAAATGGCAACCCTCCATAGCTTTCCCCTCTTTCGAAGGGTCTCCGTCTCCACCGCAGAACGAAATATCACTCGTTGACGGTTGGCTCGGCAAATTTCCAATCGCTCCTGTTTCGATTCTGCGTGCTTGACGCGTTTTGAGAGGTCATCGTAGATTCGAAGTCGTTGTTCATAAGAGCAAGAAGTGAGCGTGATGTTCACCGGAAACGCGTGGGTTGAAGTGGCCCGCTGCCTGATAATGTTTGCCAACGTGCTTTTCGAGAAGTGTTTCGCTTACAGAGCCTTGCCGGGCTAGAGCATGCTTATCGGGTGCAACGGCTGAGCCAATGCGGTTCCGCGCAAGCCACAGCGAGCGCTCACACCACACATTTGCAGAGATCGGCGGGAGCTGACGGGATGCTTCCAAGCGTGCGGAGTCGATGTCTAGCTCTTCTGTGCTCGTCTATTCGCCTTGGCTTAGATGGTGTCAGCGGCCGGAGGCTATCTGTTGCGTCCCGTTATACAATCTGTAATCTAGTCATCCTCGTGGACCCTCCGCACGACATCCCCATCTGGCTGAAGACGATGAACCGGAGTCCGCCACCAATTTTGGACCGCTACGAATGCACGATGCGCGATTGAGCCATTTCATCCAGCGCGCCGGAACCACACTAGATAGCACGACGAGATGCCTTCCCTACTTCGACATCTACTGCTGTTACCCAGCGCACTCCTCGCCTTGACTGTTTCGCGTACGCTGGGAGAGCTTGTAGAGGTTCAAAGGAGGCAGTCGACCACGCTACCAAGCCCGATCGCCTTCGCACCGGATCAGAACTGGGACGGTATCGATGGCTCCTGGTCTACTTTTACCCTGCGCATTGGCACTCCGGCCCAATATGTGCGCACTTTTGTCTCATTTGCCGCATATCAGACATGGGCAGTCTTGCCGCAAGGGTGTCAATCAGCGTCAGATTACAACGGTTGCATGAGCGCGAGAGGAGGCGTCTACAATCAAAGCGCCAGCAGCACGTTCGAGAATATCGGAATATATGACCTATGGATCGAGGAGAATCTAGGCTTGATTGGAAATGCGATCTTTGGCTATGATGCGGTAGGCTTGGGAGGAAATGGTGAGAATGGGCCTACGTTGAAAAATACCACGGTCGGCGGGCTGGCTGTGCCAACCTTCTATCTGGGAGTGTTTGGTGTAAATCCAAAGCCGACTAACTGGACATCTTTCAACGATCCGGCTCCGTCATACATGACTCAATTGAAGGAGGAAAAGCTGATTGCTAGCGTCTCCGCATCGTATACCGCTGGTGCACCTTACAGATTCTCCGGGGTGCTGGCCAGTCTGACGTTGGGCGGGTACGACAGCAGCAAGTTTGTGAGCAACAGTGTGCCGTTCACCTTCGCAGCGGACAACAGCCGTGACCTTGTCGTGGCCATTCAATCAATCAGCACTCCGTCTTCCAACGGCTCGAATCCGGTAGGCACCGCATTACTTCCAGGTCCGATCTATGCGTATATCGACAGCACAGTCTCTCAGATCTGGTTGCCGATGGAGGCATGCCAGGTCTTCGAGTCAGTGTTTGGGCTAGTATACGACAACACGACGCAGTTGTACCTGGTCAATGATACTCTACACTCAAGCCTACTGCAGCGGAACGCCAACGTTACCTTCCAGCTCGCGCAGGCATATACCGGTGGACCAAGCGTGCAGATCACATTGCCATACGCTGCCTTCGACCTTACCGCTTCCCCACCTTATCAGGGCTTAACGACACAGACCCGCTATTTTCCGCTCCGCCGTGCTGCGAATAGCTCGCAATATACCCTCGGCCGGACATTCTTGCAGGAGGCCTATCTTACTGTAGACTGGGAAGCTCAGCAATTCAATGTTTCGCAGGTGTTGTGGGATTCGAATGCGAAGGAGAATCTAGTCGTTATCCCACCTACTTCTCAATCATCATCATCAAGCGCAAGCTCGTCATACCCTGGAACAGACACCTCTTCCACATCGTCGAACAAGCTCAGCGCAGGCGCCATTGCGGGCATCGTCATCGGCGCCGTCGCCGCTGTGGTACTGCTTGCCCTACTTCTGATATGGTTCTTCCGCAAACGAAGCAAAGACGCCCAAGAAAGAGAACGCCAGAACGAGAAATTGGGCTCAAACAGCGATGAGTCCAATGAGCGTGGTCGGCAGGCTAACGTCTTCCCCAAGGCCGAGTTGGAAGGCTCAGCTCCGACGCCGCCTACACCGATAGGCGTGCAAGATAACCGACGCCTTCTGTCAACGGCTGGCGGATCAATTTCAGATGCACCTGCATCGGTCGGCACGCCAGGCTCAGCCACCGCTTCTCCGTTAGGAGGTTACTTCAATCGGCCTGGTAGCTCCTCGCACTCGCCGAGCACGCCGGGAGCAGGAGAAGGTACCCATTCAAGCTCGCAGAGTCACGGCACCACCACCAATCGTTCGCTGCTTGTGTCACCTCTCTCAGCCACTGCAACGTCGTCTAGCGATGACCCGAGCTCTGCGCGTGGTGGTGTCGGTCCTTTCAGTATGAGTGGTGTCGCTGCTGCTGCTGCTGCTGCTCCTGAGAAGAATGAGCGGCAAATACACGAGATGCCGGGCGACATGCCAACGGTTAGAGAGAAGGATGGGAGGGCATTGAGCGAGAAGGAGGCGCTAGCGCACCGGGAGAAAGTTTACAACGGTGTCGACTCCGCGCCGAACTCGCAGACGGCCATCAATGAGGACGGCTCTCGGGAGCGCAGGAGAGTAGACCCAAGCGATGTGGTCAGAATGCCTACCTCCGCCACCACCGGCACTCATGCCTCCGGTGGTGAGACGAGAGATCAGTTCCACCATCGAGCATTCTCGTTCGAGCAAGAACGCGGAAACGATGACTTGGGTCTCTCCTTTGACAAGGATCGAGATAGCGAATACTCGCAAGACGATCTGTACTCGTAGTGGAGGACTTTTGCGGAATATATAGCGCGGCGTTCGGGCGAATGTGCTTGGAGCACATCTGACAGGATACGACTGGGTTTAATGCAATCTACGTAGCTGGACGATATTTTCATTGTTCACTTCGGACCTGCATTTCTAGAGGAGTTATTGTACCTTTGACTGTGAATCTTAGAGACTAATATGGAGTTCTGCTTCCGGTCTACTAACGCAGTCGATCGATGTCAACGACTCCCCTCAACTCCTCGGTCAGTGTTGACGAGGAACATGTTCGCTCCAAGCTAGATTTCAGCACGAGGAGATATTACCTATGCTGTACCGAAGGGATCGGCCAGTAGTCCTCGAGGTCAAGGCACGCGACAGTTCGTTTGTTCCTGCATTCGAAGCCCCACTTTGACCACCGTCGACGTCACTGATGCTTTGTGTGATGAATTTCCGAATAGTCTTGTAGACAGCGTGAATTATTCGTAAACCACCCTTACCGTTATTTCTTCTCTACCGAAGCTCAAGGACATATCAAGCGCCAACATGTCTGCAGAATACGAAGGAAAGGATCCCATGGAGATCGCAAAGCAAGCAGAGCGAGACCTCAACTCCGACTCAGCCAAGAGAGGCCATGGCACCGACGGGACGAACGTTTTGTCTATGGGTGGTAGTGACAGCAGTAGGTTTTTCGAGATCAGTGCGTGAAGAATGTCAATACTGATCTTCACTGTCCTGAAGCCGCCGAGTCGGGAGTAGATGAGAGCGTGACGGAGAAGTTCCCTGGAAGCACGGTGACATACGGCTCAGCAGCTTCCGGCGCCGGTGGCAACCGCGACATCCCGGAGGAGGAGGGTGGTGATATCAACCCAAACACTGGGAAGTAAGTTGGGACGCTCCAGCATCTCCTCCATTCCCCACAGCATCTGACACTGCCCTTTTCTGCAGACCATTCAAAGCGCGCGACTACGAAGGCATTGGGGGCCCCGAAGACAAGGCTCAGGCGTATGCTGAGGCACACGGCGGTTCCGACGATGTGAGAGGGAACATCCGACAACAGGGCGAATCGACTGCGGCGAGGGATACGGCACGGACAGGACCTTCCGGTGGCAAGGTATCGGCAGACGGACCAGGTTACGCTGATACCGGTTCACAAGGACCGCGGAAGGGCTTCTAGGTGTCCGATCTGCAGCGGTATCCGTAAGAGGCCTTGGTGGCAGCTTTCTAGCGGTCTTGAGCGGGAGGTGCAAGAAGCTGCGACAACCGCCGAAGACCTCGATCATCAACAGCCTGAAGTGGTCTTTGAATACTCATGATTAGCATGGCACGAAGTCTTGCAGCGACGGAAAAATGATACAGCTGCAAATGGCAAAAAAGCCGGAGGCGTGCAAAGCCCTCTATCCCAATCACCCTACGTAAAATGTGGCAAGCCCACAAAGTGCCATCCCTAACCGCAACCAGCGCCCTCCCCGCCATGCAGTAGATTCCAAAGATGCCTCCTGTCGCAACCAGTCTAACAGTACGTCTGTCTATCTCGGTGACTCCTCACAGGCACATAAGCTGTCGGAGGAGGTACACCACCATTCGCAGGCCGGGCATACCTACTGCCCGGTCCCGCGCCAATATCAATGCTTCCAATCTCCCTGGCCAACGCATCCTCCCCATACTCCAAGGGCACTTTAGGCGGCATACCGGGTCCGCCGTACGCTGGCCTTCCATCGGTAAAGCTACGGCTGTACTCGGCTTGGCCCGCGTACAGGTCCGGGACCGGCGAGGAAGGGTTGCTGTTGTAATTGTAATGCTCGCGGAGAGGCGCGGTGATCTGTTGTTCGCGGCCTAGACCGCCTGCGTTTCTCTTCACCAGCTTGCCTCCCCGCGTTGGTGAGATCGCTGGTTCTGAGTTTGGTGTGGAGGCAGCGCTTTTCATTCGAACATTGATCACAGTATCTTTACCAAGTCTTCCACCCGAGTTTGGCGTCGATTGCGCGCTTCGAGGTCCAAAGTCACGGTCTCTGCCGAGACCATAAGTCTTGGTTGGTGTCTTCTTCTCCGGCTCAGGTGCCCAGGAATCGACTGGTAAATGATCGCTTGGGTCGATCTCCTGGCCATGCCAGCCCACGATTGGTCCCTTCGGCTCCTCTCCATGTGCTTCTGCGCCGGGACGCACCTGGTACGGTGCAGTTGGCGAGTCGTTGAAATGCGATGCTCGTAGTGCATTGGGGTTGTGTACGTCGTAGTCGTCTGGTGAATACGGTATGCTGTTCGAGCGAGCGATACCGGCGTCGGGCGGCGTTGGGTGCGGAGATAGCGACTTTCGCGCTATTGGCGTGCGGTTAGCGGGCGGCACGATGGGCGGTAGTGACGTGGACAAGGGGCTATCGTCAGATGACTCGAATGCGCGGACTGGATACTGCAAGCTGAACGAGTTTCGAGGGCGTGAGGCTGGCTGTTCCGGAAGCGGCGGTCTTGGCGAAAGCGCTCGAGGTTTGATCAGTGGCGGAGCGTCACGGCCGCGGTAATCATGCTGGTAGGATGGTTCGTCCACAATCTGTGGCGAATGCTCCAAGTACTCAGTGTACGGAGTGGGGCTGCGTGCTCGTGGCACTTCTTGCGACAGTGGATGAGGTCGAGGTGGCGTGTTCCTGTATGAGTCCGCCATGCTATGCCGGACATTGGTCGGTCGCTCCGTTACATTACGAGTATAGGAAGCCGGAACCTGGGAGCCGACTGACTGGGTGCCGTACAGGTTGTGCTCTGGCAGAGGCGCATAATTATCCATCGATCTTCCCCTCGCAGGATGGCAATGGATCGGAGCACGCTGTGTTTGGCCGTATCTTCGCTCGACGGATTGCAGTGGGGAAACGTTAGGTACGGAGTGATGCCTGGTACCAGGTGTCGGGGCACTGTATGCTGAAGATGGAGCCGAACGATGAGGATTCGGAAAATGAGGCACAATGGGTGCACTATTGCTATGCATCGGTGGAGGTGGAGGTGAAGTGTAGTCTTCTTGCTCTTGCAATGGCGCATATGGCTCGCCGTACTCACTTTGCCAGCTTGGAGGTATATCCATCCGGCGCTGTCGTAGCTGCTGGTGCTGGTAATCCAAATCAGGTATGGGCTCCGGATACTCAGTGCTCACCTGGTTGTCTCCATCGTGCGCATACGGCACGTGGTACTGCGAAGGTACAATGGGAGCTGAATGCGAGTGCGGAAGTCGACTTTGGTGGTGTGGGCGTACCTGTAAAGGCTCTGGGTGAGTAGACTGCGGGCCCAGATCTCGACTCGTAGCACCTCGTAGACGGTTACTAGGTGGCAGCTGAGGAAGTAGATCCTGTTGCGCATACGGCTCGTCGTAGCCATCCGTGCGATCATACGCCTGAGGATCGTCGAGGTGCTGGTTGGGTGGCGTCAATCGCACACTCGCTTGCGGAGAGTGTTCGTACGGTGGAGCGTAACCGTGGGAAGATGGCGGCCTCTCTTGTGAGACTGGCGCCGGAGGCATTGAAGCCGTTCTCGGCGGGGTCCTGTAGTCTCTTGGTCCATGCTTCGCCCGACTTGATAAAGCGGCAAAGGCTTCACCATGCGCGTCTGGCGTGATGGGGGCGCTGTTTGGGTTGCCGGGCAGTGGTCTTCGCTTGACCCTGCTGCCGCTGCCCACATCTTGCCGCAGAGAGTCCCCTTCCGCTGCGACCGCTTCCCTCAGCGGCTTCTCAGGCTTAGGCCTTGAGTCGTAGTACGTCAATTCAATCCGGATTTCGCCCGCGTACTTGCCCTTGCAGTTCAGGCCTTGCCAAAGGTCGTTCTTTCCCCCACCCGCAACCACCACCTCTGCTAGATTCACCCACGCCTCACCAATAAGGTCAGTCCGTTTGTCTTCGCTGAAGACAGATATCTTGAGATTGTAGAAGTCGGGAGAATCGTGTACGGTAAATCGCAGCTCTTGATCCCAGCGTGGCGTCTGTCCACCTCGTTTATCCACTTCCGTCTTCTGGGCTTCTTTACCAAGCCGAGCAGCACAGTACGGGTTCTGCTTGCCCATGGTCTTTCGGTTGGGTAGATTCTTTGCTCGGTCGACGACTAACACCAATGTTCCAATTTCCGGTCCGTCGAGGGATTGATCCGCGTAGAGGCCGGCAGCTGGGATCCCGTTCGCGCCCATGACTGCCGCCTTGCTTGCCATGGTCCAGCGACGTTTGACAGAGTGTGAATATGGGAATTAGTGTCGGTACGTTCAATGTTAATGCCGCATCGTGGCAGCCTAGAATTCGGAGCGGACTGTTTACGATGGCGTAGTTCGACGTTCGGCGCCCTGGAGATTCGAAACCTTATTCCGCCATGGCCTTGCGGGACGTTTACTTGCTCTCGTCGCGATGCAAGGCTATGATATGCCTTTCGCAAGGATACATTATTTGTCGATAAAAGTGCTGTGAATGTTCAAGCTCGCTTGCAGGGTAAGGCTGTTATGCAAGGTTGCTTGGTTGCAGGGTGGATGTGAGAGTGCTCAAGCTCTTTAAGGTTCAGCCACACTCTAAACAGATGGCTGGCAACCATCAGAGTCAACCAAGTTTCGTGTTGTTACGCGTCCCGCTTATGCAGGTACACGCGCCCTCCCGTGTTCGACGATGAAGAATCGTCCGCATCGTGTTCGACCGCTCGCCTTCAGCACTGTATTAACAACTCGGACACTAAACGGAATGCAGAACGGGTTAAACGACTGCCTTTCACGCTTAGAATTCGCCGAACCTCGACATTAGGACAACAACTTCCAGTCAATACCAACCTTCCACGTTTGTCCCTCGATGTCAATGTCCCACACGGGAGCGCGAACACCTACAGTGCTCCCGACCCGAACCGTGTTTACACCTTTAGTACAGTGAGCTCCCGCTAGGAAAACATTCATATGACTTGTGCCACTGACATCTGCCACAAGAGTGAAAGGGCCGTTACCACGCGTCTGCATGATTTTGTTCCTGAGCACATAATCATCTCCTCGCGAGTAAGCCTGACCTCGCCTGCTCTGTACTGCACCTTGTCCAGTCTCAATAACCCACTGTTGCACGGTGGCCGCGAGGCCACCGGGTATGAACTTCTGACCTCGACGGTGGGGCGAGAATGCCTCCGGCAGCGGCTCCGATGGCTCTCGGGGCGCAACTGACGATCGCAGAAATGATGGCCGTTGCGTGTCGCCCAAGGTGGTCAAGGGAGCTGGACTTTGAGCGGCCACGAAGCGCGCAGCTGGTGTCGCGTTCAGGCTTAAAGCTGTTGTCTCGGGAGGTCTGAACGTTGGTCTGGCGGGTGGGGCTGTTGGACGCACGCTCATACCTTGTTCAATGTTCGTTCGTCGCCGCTTCGGCGACAGAGGGAGATCGTGCGTCAGATGATCGAATAACAGCCTGTCGCTTTCTGTGGTTGGTAGCGCACTCGCCTCCTCCACATCGAGCATCTCCTCATCATGGTGAGAGTCTGGAGCTGGCGCATCTTCAACATCCTCGTGTAGTCTCGTTGATGGCCGTAGCGCATCTATCAACCTCGGCCGCGGTGGAGATGGCGGCCTTGTGGGATTTTGTGGCCCTACCCTAGAAGCGGAAAAGCGAGGGGCTGCAGCAAACCTGGCCACAGCCGCGCTCTCTGAATCATTTTCTAATTGCTTGCGAAGTGCTGACGGTTGCCTTGTGGACTTCGTAGGTGAAGCCTGTCGACGTTGACCAGCGAGGAACCGATGCGGCGACGGAGTCTTCACGTCCAATCAGTCGTTTATCCGGTACTTCATCGTGTGCGATTCCCGTGAAACATACCATAGGCGTCATGTCGAAAAGCGCCAAGTACGGTCGCTACATGCTATCTACTAGGGGATGAATACTGAAATGGCTTTTTGCAAGCGTAGTGAGCGACGGACGAAATGACGTTCAACAAGGCCATTGTCATCTCACCTTAGTGAACAGCGTCAGGCAACCCAATTTTTATTCTACGCTCCTCTGTTCTGCACATCGCCACCTCATAGCTCTATATACCGAGGACAATGCAGTAAGCAATGCGGAGTACTTTGCGGTAGGAATTGATACCGGTGGCCGGATTGGTTCCGAAGTGATTAGGACCCCGAATGGCGGAGTCCCCACATCAGCCTCAGACTTCGCCGTACCTCTATAAACGTGCCACAACCAACGTGGGCGAATTAATGGCTTCATAGCGGGTATCACAGAGGTTTCCAATTTCGCGTCTACTGCTCAACCGAACATTCACGATAGATGGAAACCATCATCATGCAGGCAGTCAATCCAGGTCGATCGCTAACCGGGTCCAGAAGCCACTGCGGACCAGGGTGCTGGCACCAGGTGTCACGGCTTGGAGGTCGGTACTTTCGGCGCCTGTAAGCTCAAGTATCGGGTGCTTGTTGCAGTGCTCATGCGGCTATATGTAGCCCTCCCTTGCATTTTCCGCGCATAGCAGTCTTTCATATTCATGTTGCCCTTGTCGCGCAAGTCTTAAGTACCACATACGGCTGAGGATCGCATCATGGCCAACGTGAATGAGAAGAACGCAAACCCAGAAGCGCCGCATGACGAAAGCAAAGACGCAAATGGAGCTATAGATCTCACCGAAGGCAGCGAGCGGGACCTCGACCTCGAAGCGTGGGGAGAGGAGCATGGCTATGTCTTGGATGTGGAAGTGCTGAAAGAGATCACCCCAAATTGGCAAAACTACCAGACCACAGCCGATGGTCGAACAGTCCTTATTCCTCAACCCACCGCAGACCCACGAGATCCCTTGACCTGGTCATGGAAGAAGAAGCACCTCATTCTGATTGTTATCGCGTGCACGGCGTTCCTTCCTGACTACGGATCGGCAGTCGGAGCAGTCACTCTCATCCCACAAAGTCTTATTTGGGGTATACCGCAGGACGTCGTCAATCACAGCCAGGTCGGCAATGTCTTCATGCTGGGAGCTGGTGGTGTGTTTGTCGTCGCACTCGCTGCCTATTTTGGGCGCCTGCCGGTGCTGTTCTGGTTCACTCTCACTGCTGTCTGGACCGCCGCTGGATGTGCAGGTGCCGCAACGTTCAATACGTTCATGGCGTTCCGCATCCTGAATGGTTTTTTCTCCACTGTAGCGCAGGGTGGAGGTGTGATGTTCATTAAGTAGGTTTTATTCGATTGATTCGAGGGAACGGCGACTAACCTGCCGCAGAGATCTATTCTTCGTCCACGAGCGAGCAAGGAAGATCAACCTCTGGGCCAGCTTTGTTATTCTTTCGCCATACTTTGGACCGTTAATAACCGCCTTCATTATCTCCACAACGCCGTGGCAGTGGTACGTATCCCGCGAGAACTTCCCTTCCTTAGCTCACACCGTACTGATGCTGACCCATGGTGCTTCCAGGGCCTTTGGAGTCTACACCATCATGACCGGCCTTTGCCTCATCTTACAGATACTCTTCGCTGAAGAAACATTCTTCAACCGTAAGATGCCTGCATCAGAACGGCCACAACGAACACCAGGTGTTGGTGGGAAGATTGCACGCCTGATAGGCACCGAGCAGTGGCGTTCGCGCAAACAGCGCAGCACTTTCGCACAAGCTGTCATGCGTCCTCTTCGTACAATCATGAAGCCCACCGTCTTCATATCAACAGTCTATTACCTCTGCACGTTCGCTTGGGTCGTGCGTATCAATTTTCACCCATATGGCACTGCAGGGGGCTCACTGACAGTGCGTAGGTTGGGATCAACACAACGCTATCCATTTTCATCACTGCTCCGCCGTACAACTTCGGTCCCCGCTCTATTGGATTCTTCTACTTTACTCCAGTAGTCGCCGCTATCCTTGGCGAGCTCATCGGTCGCTGGCTACACGACGCTATCGCCATGGCGCTCACCCACCGCAGCAAAGAGAAGAAGCTCGAGCCGGAGTACCGGCTCATGGCAATCTCGATCAGTACACCGTTCATGCTGTCAGGCCTGATTGTGCTTGGCTTCGCCCTTGAAGAAGGCTGGCACTATATGCTTGCTGCTCTCGGCTGGGGTCTGTACGTCTTCGGTATAATGATCACAACGGTAGCCATCACCGCCTACAATCTTGACAGCTACCCAGAGGGATCAGGAGAGATTGCGGCTTGGATCAACTTCGCTCGCACCACGGGGGGTTTCATCGTCAGCTACTTCCAGGTGACATGGGCTAACGCTGAAGGCACGAAGCAAAGCTTCGGAATCCAAGCGGCTATCTGCTTCTTAGCGTATCTCATGGTTGTCTTCATGCAAGCGTTTGGGCAGCGGATCAGAGAACGAGCGGGACCATTGCGGTTCAAGACTGATTGATGTGGTCGAGATGGTACTCGAAGCAACACAGCGACGCTTAGGCGGGGCTTACACTTCGCGTGTCGTACCTTACCCCAAGAGTCGACCACTCCACATAATTCGAGTTCGTCTCACTTCACCGTCTTCGCCACGTGTTATTGTGAAGACGAATGTGTGATTTGTTCTGTAGAAACTCGCGTGGTCTGCAGGGATACTTCGGCAAAGCTTCGGCGCTCTCACCCGCGAGTCCGCCCAATTTCTTGGCATCTGAAGTCTCAAGTGACGATCGCCCTTTCAAGGTTCCCTTCGATCAGACTTGCATTCTTCCCTTGAGGAGTCTCATCAATTCTCGACTTTCTCTTATCAACCTGGCGAGCGGTGCATATCAGCTGAGATGCGATACTCTTCGTATCCCAGCGCGCCTCTGCCACTGTCATAGTTTTTACACCATACTAATACCACACATATCCGGCTGGACTCCTCTCGACTCTCGCTTGGCTTTTTACGGACATACCTTGTACCTCATCACTCTAAAGAGCTTGATCTGTACAGCAGAATGGCGGCTGGAGGGCGGCTGAAGGGGCTGTTGAGCCGGCGCAGGCGCGTTGGAGAAGAAGGGGAGGACGAGGAAGGTCCGATCATCGTCGATGACTCGCAAAGCGAAGGCTCCATTCTAAGCGATGCTGATGATGACGATGAAGAGGATGCAAGCAGTTTCGGCCAGGGTGGAGCAGTGGCAGGTGCGGAGGCAGCGGGTGAAGGAGCGCCAGAGGCGGCTGCTATGAACGGCGCAAAGGCATCGAAGAAAGCACGGAAGCCACGGAAAAAGAACAAGAAGGGCAAGGACCAGGCATCGGAGCCTTCCGTAGAAGCTACACAGCCGCAGAGCAACTTCAAAGCGATGGCGGATACGGAGGCGATGATGAACGGTTTGCGCATTGATGCAGACGCTGAAGCGCAAGTTGCTGTTGAGTTCGAGACCATGGACCAGGCGCCGGCGGTAGAAGTTATCCCCAACGGCAAGGCGACTGCAGAGACGCCGGCTCAAAGGCAGCGTCGCGAGCACGAAGATTACCGTAGAAAGCGCGATGCCGACCCTGCCTTCATACCCAATCGCGGCAACTTCTTCATGCACGACTCGCGAGGTCACCTTAACGGACAACCGCCGCAGCCCATGAGAGGCGCCTTCGCTGGTCGCGGTCGTGGACGTGGAGGCGCTGTTGGCGGTCCATTCTCACCTGCCAATCAGTTCGCGCAGAACGAACGGGCTGCCGAACAGCCTTGGAAACACGATCTCCACGATACGATCAACGAAGAGCCAGCTCCATCAGCGACGGCCAAGCCAACCGACTCACCACAGCAGCAAACTCATCATGACTCGCTGCGTCTCTTCCAGAAACCGAAGGCTGTAGTGTCGCAGCAGCAGCCTCGGATAGTCAATTTCTCGAGCACTACCCTAGTAGGGAAGGTGCAGATTAGACTGTACCTGCCAGGCATGAAAGCGTCAATCTCATTTGCCGAGGTGCCTTGGAATCAGTATATCCGGCTGCCGAACCATAGACCACCGCTCCGCAGAGACAAGCCAGTCCGTGTCTCGCTGCCCGAACGTCCGCCGCACTACATATTCCCAGCTCCTGACCGGTCGTTCATCTTCATTCCCAGGCAGCAGAGACCGAACCAACAAGGACCGCACCACAGCTCGTACCAACGTAGCGTCGGCGGCTACGGATACTCAAGCCGTCGTACAAGCATGTACGGAGGGAGTGTATACGCTTCGAGTGTGGCCGCCAGCCGGAGGTCTTCAGTTGCAGGCATATCACGAGCCGATGCGTTCTCGCCAACATCCTTCGCAAGCGGCATGCCGCCACCTAACAGACCGGTCATCAGACTTCCGCATGGTGGGCAGTCGTACTCTGCTGTGCACACGCCGTCAGGTCCACTGTCAGGGCAACACACACCGATTGGCATGCCGCAAATACATACGTACCCTCTGCCACAGCAGCCCACCTTTCAGGGCACGCCCACCAGTACCGTACATCAACCGCGGCCGCAAAAGGCAATATCGGTCAACGATATCGAATCGCCTGCCTTGCTTGGACAGGTGCCTTCGAACGAGCAGCAGCCATTTCAGAACCAGCTGCCGCCGCATATGGCAGAGCTGCCGGGCTCCTACGGGCAGCAAGCGCCTCAGTACTATTCGCCGAGACAGCAGTACGCGTACCCTCCGCAACAGACGGGTACGCCGCTTTCTGGCATTCCAGAGCAAGCTGTACATGCATCCGCCTACCAGCCACAAATGCCATACGGCCAGTCACCTTATCACCCGCCGTATCCGCCACCGCAACAGCAAGGCTACTACTACCCGCCAGCAAACCAAAACGGCTACGGTGGTATGCCGATGTACATGCCGCCTCCGCAAGGCTATCCCATGATGCCTCCTCCGCAACCGATGCAGGAACTGCCGCCTCAGCAATACCCCCCATCACAACAGCCTCCCCCGCCTCAGCCGGCAATGGGCGGTGAGCAAGACCAGCCTCAACCACCCATGGACCAAGGACAGCAGGCTGCGGCAATTGGTCAGTCCAATATGGTGGCACACGAAAGTAACGGCATGGTGTTTTATATTTCTCGCTCCGACATCCCACAAGACCAGGATGCGGGTACTCAGCCGCAGTATCAACCTGCAGAGAGCTTCGTGCCGTCGTATGCTATGCCAGGACTACCACCGCCTACGCCGGCGCCGGAAAGCACGGCGTACTACTATCCGTCTCATCCGCAGATGGCGGGTATGCCGGGAATGTACTACCAACAACAAGGCTAGAGGTGCACGTCGGATTAAGCACTCCGTTGGTGACTGAGGAGCACAGTCGAAATCGTTTTTTCCATTTGTCATATGTGGCAGTATTTTGTTATGCTGGGAGCGTGTGGATCTGACAGTCACTTCAAGCAAGCATGGCGTTTTGGGGGAGTGGCATCTCGAGAATACGGTCCTTGGCCATCGGTCTGACTCTAGCATGGTGATGGACTGTGGGATTGAACAAGCAACGGCGTCGGGAAGGCCACGGCTTTATTGAGAAGGCGGAGGCTCACTGCTTACGTCTCAAATTGTTCTTGCGTTCACACGGTGCTGATGTTCTAGGTTGTGTTGCATCTATACCCCGGGAAGGCTACATACTTGGGAACGAGATTGACCATATGACATACCACCTTTACCATCAATGCCCGCCGTCATCCTAGCTCTTTTGCCTGCCGTGTGATGTTATTACGGACTCAAGGCGCCTGGCGGTTACACTCACCGGAGTATGAGTGTCCATTCACATCTCTCGCCGGTGGTTTGCCCCATTCCATCGACTTCCCGTAGATCCCGCCGCTTTCGAAGCATGTGACACGGAGTTGGTCCAAGCTCGGTGCAAGGCAACCTCGTTTCGCAAGCTGCTCGCCGCTTGGAGCTGACGATTCGATGTTGTAACCTTCACCTCTTCTCTTAAATACCTTACCATAGACATACCATCTCTTCATCGCCGTCGTGTATCAGAAGGCGGAACAGAACACTGACTGCAGCTCGCGGACGTACTGATCCGCCGAGGCAAGCAGATAAGCGGAGTGTTTAGCTTCGTCACCGCCGGTGAGAGCAGCTGTCGTCACGCGAACACGGCAAGGCGGCTGGAGCTCCGTGCCTCCAACCCTCTGATAGCCTTCCTTCACACCACACCTCCCCCTGCCTTTGCATCAACCGGCATCGACCTCCTGCAGTTACACCAGTGCAGATGGCGGCACCGAACTCCAGTGGCAACGGCCACAACCATAACAACGTGTCTCCGGATACGCTCATCACCATCAAGATCTCGGTTAACGATAACCTGAAGAAGATCAAGCTGCCTTTGAAGGAGCTGGGCGCGGGTGTGCTGCTTGAGAAGGTGTGTGATTGGTGATGATATTGGTCAAGTGATCCTATTGCTGACATGCTTACTTTGACAGCTACGGAACACTCTAGGCATCAAGGATGAGCAGACCGTCATCTTCGAGCGCTTCTCCGACTCTGCCGGCGGCTACATCACCCTCAATCCCAGTAACCCGCAAGTCTTCAAGACACTCATCCGTGCGGCCAAAGCAAAGCTCAAGCTACGTCTCAAGGCCACGGTGACGCCGATCGAGCAGCAAGAGCACGATAGCAATTTGGCTGCATCCAAGACTGTACAGCCAGTCATTGTTCGCTCGCCGGTTTTCCAAGCCAACGGGTCTCGTGACTCCCTGGCGTTCGACGGGCGCTCCGTCGGAAGCGGCATCTTCCAGTTCCGCGAGGCTCGCGCCTCGCAGCAGACGCTCGTCAACACCGGTGAGGCACCGGTGCCGGGTCCTTTCTCTACCGACCGCAAGGACTTCTTCGACAACCTCGCCAACAGCAGCAATCTTACCCTCCGTCAGCGTGACTCCATGGCCACCATCGTCAACAACCACGGCCACCCATGGTCGGTCTACTGCAACGAGTGCGATAAGCCAATGGCGAACGCTCATTTCCACTGCAGCATCTGCGATGGCGGTGACTACGATTTGTGTGAGGAGTGTGTTGATGGCGGCAAGCTCTGCCCAGGTGAGGGTCACTGGCTGATTAAGCGCTTCATCGAGAATGGCAAGGTCATCAACAGCACGACAGAGCGTATCTCGCCGCGCATGAAGAAGCCGATCAAGGCCGAGCAGGTTGAGATCAAGCAGGAAATGCCAGGTGCATTCGCCGAGGACACTAAGACTCTTCTTGCCGAGGAGCCGCGCATGCCTACCCGCACGTGCAATAGCTGCGTCGTTGTGTTGCCAGAGACCGAGTTCGTGACTTGCACTGGGTGCGAGGATTTCGACCTGTGCATCGGTTGCCACACGAGCAACAAGCATGGCCATCACCCGGCTCACGGCTTCAAGCCCGCCACTGAGGAGACTGTGCTCTCGCTCTCCGCTGAGTCCATGCTCGCACCAGGCCGCAACATTAGGCACAACGCCATTTGCGATGGCTGCGACAAGACCATCTATGGCGTGCGTCACAAGTGCCTGAACTGCCCAGATTGGGACTTCTGCAATGAGTGCGTCAAGAACGCCAGCCACATCCACCCGCGTCATCGCTTCGCTGCCCTCTACACCCCGATCGTGGATGCCATGCCGAACCAGATCCGCCATTACGGGATCTACTGCGATGGTCCGCTCTGCAGCAGCAAATCTGACCCATCTTACATCACCGGTGTGCGCTACAAGTGCGCTGTTTGCCACGACACAGACTTCTGCGCCAATTGCGAGGCGTTCCCGGGCACCGATCACAACCGCACCCACCCGCTTATCAAGTTCAAGACGCCGGTTCGCAATGTCAGCATCACAACCGAGAACGAGGATCTTCGCGGCAACGTGCGCATGATGGGCGATCGTCGTGCTGCTCCAGCAGCGTCTCCGGCTCCGACAAGTAGTGCTGCTACCGAAACCACGCCGGTGCAGACGATGGCCGAGATCAAGCCGACCGTTGTGGTCAAGCAGGAAGTCGAGCAAGCTCAGCCCATCCCCATCATCCAGTCTGAGGAGCCGAAGAGCGTTTCGAGCGAGGCCGCTGTGACTGGCAGCATGCTCAACGCAGAGTTCGTCCATGACACTTTTAAGGATGGCTCCGTTGTCGCGCCCGGCGTCCGCTTCACTCAAATTTGGACGCTCAAGAACTCCGGCCCGCACGCTTGGCCGGCCGGGTGCAGTGTCCGCTTTACTGGCGGCGACAACATGCTCAATGTTGACAACAATCACCCATCCTCAGTCAGCGACATTGCTGAGGCGTCTGAGAGCAATGTCGTCGGCCGTAAGGTCGAGGTCGGCGAGGAGATTGCGTTCAAAGTTGTGCTTAAGGCTCCTACTCGTGTCGGCAAGGCCATCAGCTACTGGCGCTTGAAGGCTGCTGACGGTACGCCATTTGGCCACCGTCTGTGGTGTGATGTGCTGGTGAAGGATACAGAGCCGGAGACTGGTCGTTCGGTGGACAAGCTAATGGATCGGAACATCCCACAGGGCGACATGCAGGCTCGAATGGCTCGCATGCACGCGATGCAGATGCAGCAACGCGCCATGCAGCAGCAGCAGGCCATGATGCGCAGTCACATGGAAATGATGGCGAAGCAGGGTGGGGCTAAGCAGGACCTTCCTGCTCCGCCTCCAGCCTACAATGAGGTGACGAACGAGACTTTGCAGGCTCGTCTTGCAATCATGCGTGCCGAGCAGCAAAGCCGTCGCGCGGCAATGATGGCGCAGTTCACTGCTAAGCAGCGCGCTATGAACAATCCCGACGTTAGCTCGCACGACGACAACATCTCTCCATCACCAAGTGAGAGCGAGATGGCACGCAAAGAGGCCGCTCGAGCGCGCGTGGAGCATATTAAGGCGAAGATCATGCGTCAGCGTGAGGAGCGCGCCAATATGCTGGAGGCGCAGAAGATGCAGCAGACGGCCGTGCAGAAGAGCGCCGAGGAAAGCGAAAAGGTGAAGAAGATCATCGAGGAGGTCGAGAAGGAGCAGGAGATGGAGGGTAGCCAGATGGTGTTCCCGAAGCTCGAGAAGGAATCGCCGGCCAGCAGCACGTACGAGTCTACCACGAGCTCAAAGGCTAAGCCGGCTTATGTTGAGAACGAGGCGGATGAGGTTGAGAGCACTGCTGCTGTGCCTTCAGTCACGGCGGCCACGGCGGCTGTGTCTGAGCCTAGCGTCGCCTCCCCGGCGGAAGTCGAGGGCGACTTCGACTTCGAGGAGGTTGAGGTGCTGAGCGCGTCTGGCGACATGGTGAGCGAGGATGACGATGGCTTCCTCACGGACGAGGAGTACGACATCCTCGATGCCTCGGATCATGAGACTGTGGCTTCCAAGTAAGCACAAGCAGGCGAAGGCGGGAGGAAGCTGTACGAGAGGGGAAGATAAGGCTGCTGAGAGACGGACCACGTTGGTGCAGATTGGGAAACACCGGGTCTCCGCTAAGGTTAGGAGGGATGTTTCGATAAGGGCTTGGGCGTTCGGCGGCGTTGAGGTGTGCTTCACGTCCCGGCGCGCCTGCTGTATAATGTCGTCGTCCCTCAGTACTTGACAGTAACGATGTACCACGGTTTACTTAACATATTTTGCCGTTTGCTGCTTTATGGTTACAAATGCTTGATACAATGTGCCAACGTCCTCCGCACCTTCGTAACAGCTTCCGTTGATGTCGAAGGTTGGTACGAACGTGACTCCATCAGCTCTCGCCTTCTCAGCCAAAGCGTCAACCATGGCGTCAACCTGCTCGTTTGCTAGCCAGTCCTCAGCATCATCCTCGCCAATGCCTGCGAGCTTCGCCGCATCGATGAGGTCGCTTCGACTCGCAATATCACCTTTCTGCTCAAAGTGCACAGCATATACGGCCTCGAGCAAATCCCGTGAAGCGTTCTTCTCGCCGGCTAAGTAAATCAATCGGTGCACGGACGGGTCGAACCTGTCTTGCCCTGGAGATCAAAGGTGATACCTTGCTGTCTTCCCATTCGCACCAATCGTTGCGAGATGCCACTTACGAGGTCGGAGCCGTCCTTGTCAGAGATGGCTTGGGTCATTGCGATGCTACCCGCATTGTTGTCAGACTTTGGTGGTGCATTTCGTAGTTCATGGCCCAGAAGGAACGGGTGGAAGGTAAATTTGAACTCGTCGTTACGGCCACCGGGATAGGTTCGCTGGTAGAGGTTTATGGCTGAGTCGAGGGTGCGGTGGCCGATGTAGCACCAAGGGCAGATGGGAGAAAAGCAGACAATGATGTTGAAAGTGGCCATGCTTATGGTTGATCTGTCCTAGCGGTCATTTCTTACGTGAGTGCTGATATGCACGCATGCGTGGAAATAGAGAATAGCCTGGTGCCTGGAAGACACCTCTGAATTAGACGCCTCAAACCAGCAGCAGAGTGAAGGCTTTGAAGTTTTATCATAATATTGCAGCAGAGTGCCGTCTCTATGCCAGTGTTGGTGCACAGCAGCCTCACGAAGCAGAAATGCATTCGGAGCCAACTCTGCGTCGAACCCTGCTGCATGCCCACCAAAACCCGCATCAACAGCACCTCCCGCGAGCGAGAGACATTACTAGAAGGATCCTCCGCAGGTCAACTGATTAGCAAGTCTTGCCAGTGGGCACAGGAGTGAAGCAGCATCCACAACGGCGCGTCTGAGGGGAGCAATATTACACACGAGTTAGCTATATACCTGCCAGCAGTTCAGCATCGATACCAAACGCCGGACCATGACGCAAAACCGCATATAAAAGTACACAAGCGTGCCGTTTCCAGTCACACAAACGGCTCGCTTGCGCCACCATATCCATGCATATATGCGTTCCATCCTGACCCAAATACAGGTTCCGCTAGCCTGTCAAGCCGAAGTACGTCCGGCAGGAAGTCCGGCGAGCACTGGGTCTGGTAGACTTGAGCTCTTCGCGACGGCGTCCCACTTCCTACACTCTCCTGCATTCTTACAGCTTCGCCCCTCCACCGGCCCAATCGTCCTTCTGGCAGCATACGATCCTTACCTCACCGCCCCGGGCATAGCAGGCGCACCCATGCCTTGCAGCTTACTCGCCAACTGCGGGTACTTTTCCTGCACCTCTAATTGCGTCCGTGTCGCTTCAGCATAACTCAACGCATTGACGACCTCGCCCTCCGTCCTTGAAAGCTCGGCAGCCCGCTCAAAGTACTTGAGTGCTTCCGTCACCTTGCCTTGTTGCAGAAGCAGCTGAGCCATCGTCGCGACCGCGATGTCGCATTCTGGGTCAACTAGAGGAACAAGTCAGTCAGCCATATATCAAGTCGCTCGGGAGAAGGATACTTACTAATCAGCGCCTTCTGACACAACTCCTCCGCAGCAGAGTAATCCTGCTTCCACTGAAATAACGCCAACGCCTTGTTGATAAGCGGCAGCACGTTCATCCCGCCCTTCTCACCAACACTCTTCCTCTCCATCTCCACCGCCGTCTCAAACTTCTCCACCGCCTCCTGATACTTCTGCTGATCCAGCAACAACTCGCCATAATAATTGTACACATCGCTCTTGTCACCGAAGTTCTTGATGCATCGCCGGAAGGTGGCCATGGAGCTGGCGATAGAGCCCATTTTGTATTGGGTCACGCCGAGCTGGATGTGGGAAAAGATGAATTTGGAGTCGAGGTCGATGGATTTCTGGTAGTCGGAGGCGGCGGCGGAGAATTCGGAGAGAATGAAGTGGAGTTGGGCGCGGTGGTAGAAGATGTCTGGGTCGGAGGCATTGTGGGTCATGGCTTGTTCGAAGTCATTGGCTGCTTCGTCTCTCTTGCCTGTGATCATACTGTTAGCATTGAAACTGGAGCGATGCGTATATGGTTGCGTACTCTGCTCCAGATGCATGCTTGCCCTCTTCACGTAGCTTTGCACCAACGCCGGATCCAGCTCAATAGACTTATTGAGATCTTCAAGCGCGGCGTCGTTCTCACCCTTCAGGTACCGGAAGGTTCCGCGCATGTTGTACGCATACGCCTCGTGACTCTCGAGCTCGTTCTTCTCAACCGCGCTATCGAAGCACTGCGCCGCCTCCGCATAGCCTTCAGCGGTCCGCTGCTGGATCGCGAGCAGACCTTTCCGGAGGAACCACTTTCCGCTATCTTCAGAGAGGTCCGCCGACTCTTCGAGTCCTTCAGGTAGAGGTCGCGCGCGGAACGATTGCAGGTAGTTTGACACGAATGTGGGGCTCGGCAGCTTCTTCTCTTTGCCTTCCATGATGGACTTGGCTTTCGATTCCGCCACCTTCTTCAGCAATCTTTCTACAGCTTGCGCAGAGCTGTCGGAGCGAAACTGGTCGAGGATGCAGCTTGCAGTGTAGTCCAGCAGCGCCTCGCTGTACCGGTCTTGCTGCTCGTAGGCATTTGCTCGTCGGTTCAGCGCCTTGACGTATTCCGGGTCGAGGTTGATGGCGGCGGTAGTGTCTTCGATGACCTTGTCCCAATTGCTCATGGCATTCCAGCAGGCGGCGCGGTTGGAGTAGTAGACTGGGTCGGCTTTGCATAGGATGGCTTGGCCGTAAAGATCGATGGCCTTGTTGTAGTCCTTCGACCCGTAGGCCTTGTTGCCAGCAGCTTTCAATTTGGCGGAGTAGTCCTTCTTCTCCTGCTCCGATAAATGAGCTACAGTCTCCTCCGTCACTTGTGGGAGCTCTTCCTCAACCACGGCTTCTGGCTCCGCGCTCGCCTTCGGTGCATTTACTCCTGGTGCAGGTGCTGGTGCCGGCGTGTCTGCCTGCCTAGCTTCCTCGGCCGCCTTGACATTGTCTTTCTTGCCTTTTCGCCGCTCCTTCTTGCTCTTCTTATCCAAATCGGATACCCGAGGTGGTTTTGATAAGTAATAGATAGAACCTCCCACTGCGACCACCGTCACACCTGCTACCGTCCATGCAAGTACTTTGTTGTCCGCATACCATCTCGATGCGCGGTCAATGAAAGTCGAGCTGGCATTAGAGACGGATTGCGCCGTTTTCGCTGCCGTTTCCTCGACGGCTGCTGTCGTGGAACGCGCTGAAGCCATGGCTGCCGGCGGTGGGCTCTATGATGCGGCCAACCGTACGCCAGATGTGTGTCGAAGCTGGCGCCGAGTAATGAAAGGATGGAGAGGTTGTTAGATGCGCCTTGATGGCCAGATGGTGTAGTGCTCGGTCATTGCAGCTCAGCTAAGGAAAGTTGACGGCAGCACGACGCCGAAGCTTCAGTCTGTGGCTAGTGCTTCGTTTGCGCCACACTAGTCGGAGATGCCGGCCTTACATCTGCGTGCCAAACATCAACTACGTCGCATCGCCCGAAAACAGGATGATACTGAGGAAATTGCTACTATTCTCTATCCCTCCCGTCGATTGCAATCGTAATCTTGTGGTGAATACATGGCACGAGAAAGATCCAGCACCACCGATCGCTCAAGCCCTCCAGGCAGAACGAGTAGGGGGAACTTCTCAGACGGTGTATGGGTTATAGCAGTTTCCTCGGATACGGCGGAGTTATGTTGAGCCGTCGACTTGCATCATACGGCTACGGCGCGACTTTGGACGACTAAGCATGCTTCTAATGACGCATATACCGCGAAAGGCGTTCATAGTCACCGGACATTTGGGGCTGACCCACCGCATGGACATCAGGGACAATTGCCACAACCTGACGGAACCTCAGAGGGCCCATCAGGACGAGACCTCTTCCCGCCGACCATAAGACTTTCATAGCTTTACTCATGCATGGCATCCTGGCGAGTCCGCTGATGCGCAGCTGGTCGAGAACGGAATGAAGCGGCATCACAATTCCGGACTAAGCGTCTCTGGAAGAGGGTGGTGTGTACCAACCGCGAATTAGGACATCGTTACCTCGAGCAAACTAGCGCTTTTACTCTGGTAATGAGGCCAGGCTCGATGGCGGAGTCTCCCACAAGCCGGCAATGAGGTGGAGGCTAGAACGTCTTCCTAGACCAGGATGCTTGATTCTTACCAATGACATACTAGCGTTGATCCTTCGTCCCATATATGGTGCTGGTAGAGGAAGCGCATTCGCGTGAGCTTTGTCTTCGTGCTTTCTGTGATAGAGTTGGTGACGCGTTGATCGACGGTCCAATCATTAAGTTTACTGCACCCGGTGAATCTGTCTGAGGTCAGTGATTGCAGGTGGGATCAATGCTGGCGCTGCCGGAAGACGTTGGCATCAAGCCATTCAAGCGTTTGAATAACGTCGATCTCAGTACTTCGCACACGTTAAGCATCTCGATCGTCTCGTTTCCTACAAGGGACGTAGTGGCAGAACGCTTCGCAAGGGCTGAGGAGCACAGCATCCACCTAGCTCTGATTGCAGGCGCTCACTTATCCTGCGTGATGTCACGTTGCTGGTGGCCAGTCTTATCGAATCATCTACTAGCTTCCCCATGCCTGGCTGATAGCATCCACATAGCTGAAGTTGGCCGACACGCTGAAGCCCCCGAACTAGCCTCTGACGCCGACAAAATTGGGAAGACCATGCGGAGTGACGGCGAAGGTGCTGTTCGTGATGGTTTCACCAGTACTGGGCGCGGTCGTTGCTTCGTACTCCGTATCAGCAACTGCCGTTGTAACGTCAAGGGCGGCGGCGATAGCGCGGATGGAACAATTGGCATATGCTGGGTCTGCGAAAAGCTTACTCGCTTGCATGAACGCTGCCTGTGACACCAACACCTCCGTGCACGTTCGCTAGATTGTGGGAATCCTATACTGACAGGAAACACGATATATATTGTGCGGGACGTCGAGCTCGCCAAATTGGTTCGGATACGGTGAAGGCACTCGAAGCGTAAGGGTCGACGAAGTCCGAGACCATGGCAAGGATTTTGAAGGACGGTGACGGCGCCTCGCCGTTAGCAGTGAACGGGTACGTCAAGATGGTCGCGTATACCGCGGTACCGTTCGGTAGCTGGCCAGCACAGAGATATTGGTAGCGGTTATTGGTCGATCCGACAAGCTGATACTAAGCGTCAGCTACGCCCTTGGTCGTTTCGCGCAACCACAGTTGCTTGACTGTTCACGTCCATGGGAGTGGGTGAAAGGCCTACCTGGAACGTGTGGACTCTTCCCAAAGTGAGACTATACAAGCTCAAGATCTTGCGTAAAATTTCAGCGTAGCCACTGGTTGAACTATCCGCCATCAAGGCCTTCCCCCGAAGGTTCGAAACCGACTTCATGTTGGGAGCCGAAGCTACAACGAGGTCTGGATCTCCGTCTAGCTGACCAAGCACGTACTATAGACAATTTGGCGGCGGCCTGCCGTATCTGACAACCTACGGTCAAGGTCTGGTTGCTATTGAACCGCAAGTTGACGGCATTGTCGAGATGGTGCCGGTCAGAATGTCCTACCCTCCAGCTAAGAGAGTCGCACAACCGTACGTCGAGTTGGGATAACGGAGGACAACACAGTGAATCCGTAAAATCCATACAGTTCCAGAGAAGTGACGACGGAGTAGGTAGCGGTACTAGTAAATGCAGCGTACCTTACAGTATCCAGGGTGGTACACGGTACAAACCAAAGCAGCGAAGCTGCTGTTAGGCGCGAGAGGAGGATTGCGGCAGGCAGAATGGTTTTCTACCAGCAGAAACAAGGTTGACGACGGTGCATCTTCTGCTGTTTGAATGGGCCCCTCATAAATTGCATGAGATGCAATGCAATGCAATTGCGGCTCCAAGGGTGATGAAGTGAGTTTTGAGCGCCTTTGAAAGGGCGATAATGCGGCTGACCCACCGCTACTGGAGATCCAGTACAGATCCTGGCACGTTCCGGGATGTGTTCCTCTTGTTGGTCTCTGACAACAAGCTTCCTGTATGTATGATTACCATGAGTAACTCACATGATGCTAAGAAGTCCTGGAGATGACCAGCAGCGAAGTATAGTCGGCGACGCGGTTTCGTGTCACGCTTGTAGGTGGAGGCTTAGCGAAAGATGTCTCAGAGTGAGAGGTTATGGCTCGCCAATGTCGTGGCTCCATACAGAAGGCGGTACTATACCTTAGGCTAAAGGAGCCGAGGTATAGGCGGGAACCCTAGAACTAGTGCAGCCTACTGCATGCTTGAGCAGCCTGACGTCTCCTCTTCACTGACCGTATCGTCTTAACTCAGCTACAGCTGCAGCGAAGGATGAACTTAATTGGAGACAAGCCTGTGATGAGCTCGAGCGGGACATATTGCGTAGTCTCTACTAACATTCCTTCCGCAGCCCCGGAGAAATGTGCCGAGTTTCACCCTAGAAGTCGAGACAACAAATGTCTCGGATGTTGTCTGCTGCGGCTCAATCACCTAAAGCTGCGACACGACGGCCAACAACGAGCCTGCTCTCTTTGCAGAACACCATGGTGCCTCATACAAGCTCCCATCGGTGCAAGTTATGGCCGCGCTGCCGGAGCAAAGCAACAGTGATCGACAATGCGGGCTTTTTATGCGGATACTCAAGTGGGCGTAGCACGCCAGCCCCAAACGGCCTTTCAAGCCCTCCTCTTACTGCATGTGCCCGCTGATCAGGAAGTGCCTCCGCAACATAGCAATCTAGGATGGAATTAGATCGCATCAGTGCCAGGGCTGGACGGCTAGTAGCGCATTAGTCGGTGTTGGAGAACATCCCGTGTCTGGCATTCATAAACGTTCCGGCCGGTTGACATGGCACTCGACTCGTGGGCTGGTCACAAGCCTTATAAGACATGATCGGCCGCTTGCAACCGGAACGATAGGTGGGTAACAGCTCTATTGTCTCTTTCTTGCTTAACTGCATTGTTGTCGAGATCTATTGTTGTCAATCGGTAGCATCTTTACGCGTTAACGCCGACTACGACCATGTATTCGAAGAACATCTTACTCATCGTTGCAACATTGGGCCTGGGGCTCTGTCATACTGCAGCCGCAGCCAGCTCTAGTGACTGGCGGACCCGCAGCATATATCAAGTCCTAACCGACCGCTTCGCCCGCACGGATGGCAGCACGTCAGCCACGTGCAACACTGGCGACCGGTTGTACTGCGGTGGCAGCTATGTCGGCATTCAAAACCATCTAGACTATATCCAGGATGCTGGCTTCGACGCAATCTGGATCTCGCCGGTCACGGCTCAGCTGCCCAACGATACGGCTTACGGCTACGCATATCACGGGTACTGGCAGCAGAACCTCTATGAATTGAACTCCAACTTCGGCACTGCAGAGGAGCTCCAAGCCCTTAGTACTGCGCTACATGATCGCGGAATGGTGAGCAATGATGCAGTTATTGTTGGTCGAGATGCACCGCTAACCATGAGTAGTACCTCATGGTTGACGTTGTTGTCAACCATAACGGATGGGACGGGTCCCCGTCTAGCGTCAACTATGCCGACTTCTATCCGTTTAACAAGGCGTCGCAGTACCACCCATACTGTGGTATTAACTATGATAACACTGTCGATTCTGTATGTGCATTGCTTACCACAAGGAGCTCCGGTCACTCTCTCTAATCCTTTGATAATGCTGATGATGCACAGGCGAACATTGAGGATTGCTGGGTCGGAGACACTACCGTGTCCCTGCCCGACTTGCGCACGGAAGACAGCGACGTTGCTACTGGCTACCAAACCTGGATCAAGCAGCTTGTGGCAAATTACTCAATTGACGGTCTTCGCCTTGACACGGTCATGGAAGTAGACACAGCTTTCTGGGCTGACTTTGAAACTGCGGCCGGCGTTTACATGATCGGCGAAGTCGATGAACCCAACGGCACCTATGTGTGCAGCTTCCAGAATTATGTGCCTGGAGTTCTCAACTACGGAACGTAAGTATCACCGTCAGTCCATTTATTTACGTGATAACGCTGACCGCTGTCATGAAGTTACTTCCCGCTTTTCGCCGCTTTTAGCAGCACGTCAGGCGATATGGACGCATTAGTCGACATGATCAACACCGTGAAGTATTTCTGCAAGGACACCAGCTTGATAGGCTCTTTCAGTGAGAACCACGACCAGCCTCGTTTCGCCTCCGTTACCGGAGATATGGCTGCAGCCACAAACATCATCTCGTATACGATGCTAGCGGATGGTATTCCCATCATCTATGAAGGACAGGAGCAACATTACAATGCTCTAGGCGGCAGCAGCGACCCCTACAACCGTGAGGCTATCTGGTTTTCCGACTACAGCCAATCAGCCCCTTTGTATGTGCTGGTGAAGACCTTGAACACACTCCGCAAGCACATCTTCAGCGATGACAGCTCGTATCTGAACTATCAGAGCTGGCCTATCTACAGTGATACGACGACGATTGCTGTCCGCAAGGGCTATCAAATCAGCGTGCTTTCGAACAAGGGCTCAAATGGCGCCTCGTACACACAATCAATCAACACAAAAGGCATCACTAATACGGAGTTCACGGAGATCCTGTCTTGCGCCACGCTCAGTTCGGACAGCAATGGCAATATCGTGGTCCCTATGGGACAAGGACAGGCACGACTTTACTATCCGACGTCGAGACTGTCGGGCAGTGGTCTATGTGGGGCAAGCAGCAAGGCGAAGATGGCGCGGTCCCCGAGTGCCCGTTCGGTAGCGCGTCCCTTTTACGCGTAGAGTGCGTTAGGAGGATGTGTCGTGATGAACAGCATGATAAGTCAACGAGATCACGATATGGTACGTAGCATAGCATACAAGGCGACTGCCGCCAAAGCGGAGTTTTACCGCTTACGGAACGGAGCTTCATCATGTGAGCATAGTCTAGCAGTCCTTGACACCTTCATCCCGTCCAGCAGTATAGTGTGCGCTACGGACAAACTCTGTCCATCTGCAGCATTTTTTGCGGAGAAACAATGTAGGTTGTAGTCTGCTTTCAGCCGGGCGATCATCATGGAGAAAGTAGGTAACGGTATAAGTTCTGGTCCTTCTCCGAACGAGGAGCGTTTCTTACTTGCCCAGATACTACCGTCTCCCTGCAAAGATAACATGAGTATAATCATGAGCTACACAACCATCCTTTCTGTGGCGTTTGGCGCGCTGGTGCCTTCGGCAACAGCTGGAAGGCCACCTTACTGGACCACCATCACACGTACCACAACCGCTTCAGCATCATGCTCTACACCGACCAATCACTGGCCCGGCTGGGCGGGCATATCCAAGATGGTCGTTTTCGGTGACAGCTACACCACGACAGGCTTCAACGACACGCTTGCCCAGCCAAACGCGTCGAACCCTCTCGGTAACCCAGCATATCCGGGCTATACGGCGACCAATGGGCCGAATTGGGTCGACTTCTTGACCACGACCTACAACAGGACCTTCGTCGAGACCGTGAACCTGGCTTATGGAGGAGCCACAGTCGATAGCGCCCTAGTGACGCCCTATCTGCCGACAGTGCTTAGTCTCAAAAGCCAGATCCAGCAGGAATACGTACCAGTGTACGCAGGGCATCCTTCTTTCTTCGACTGGCAGGCAGACAGTACTCTCTTCGCAACCTTCATCGGTATCAACGACGTCGGAAATGCCTACTCCGAAGCGAACAGCAGTCTGGTCTTTAGCCTCGTCTTCCAGGAGTATGCAAGCCTGATGGACCAACTCTACCAAACTGGAGCGCGGAACTTCCTCTTCCTGAACGTGCCGCCCGTAAACCGCTCGCCGTTGACCGTTGCCGCAGCAGTAGCGGCTCAGACAGTAGAAGCCGCTGCTATCGCAGGGTATAATGCCAATTTGACAAGGCTTGCAGCCAATCTCAGCAGCACGTACAGTGATGCGTTCACCTACGTTTTCGACACCAACAGTGCGTTTACCCAGGTCCTGGACTATCCTTGTTCTCACCCGGAGACGTGTGCGTATAAGAATACCACGAACTACTGCGTGGCGTATGAGAACGGCACGCCGACCTGGTACACGTTCTACGCGAACTGCTCGGTCCCGGTGGATGAGTACTTCTGGCTGAATAGCCTGCATCCGACGTTCAGAATGATGAATGTGACGGCTCAAGAGATTGCGGCACAGCTAAGCTGATCGATCCGCGAAGAACGATGTTAGATAGTTAGCACGCTAGCAGAACGCTCAACAATACACAAGTCGTAGACGTTACGATGCCTCGTTCAGCTTCGTGAACGCATCAGGCCCGCCCGGAACCTGCAACCAGTTCCGCTCATCGAATTTGTGCTCGCCTTCGATCATATGGAAGGTGTAGATCATCCTGCCCTTCTGGCTTGTATTCTTCTCGCTTTTGTGAAGCAGGTTGCCGTGGATGAGCACCAACGTGCCGGCCTTGACTTCGCCAAGCTCGTACACCTCCTTCCTCACCTCACCGTCCTCTTCGAGACTTTCCGGCCATTGGCTGCCTTCGTTGTGGATGAACGTCGTCCCCTTGTTGTCCGCAGAGCGCACGAACCTGTCACGGATCGGTGCACGCTTGTGACTCCCCGCGGCGAACGACAAGCAGCCATTCTCCACCGTGCAATCCTCCAGCGCGTACCAGAAGCCCACGGCTGACGGTGGGTCCGTATACAAGAACACAGAATCCTGATGCGGTGGCACCCTTCCGCCAATCTCCGGCTGCTTACAGATGATCATACTCTGCAGCACTCTCGGATCCCTGAACCCCAGATCCTTCGCGATCCGCTTGTTTTTGTCGTTGATAGAGACCTTCTGGAAGTTGGGCGAAAGTACATGTAACGCATGCCCGATCTTGTTGATGGCCAAATGCTTCGGCTTAAGAAGTTTGCCGTCATTGTCGAACGCGTCCTCTTCGAAAAAGAAGCGCACCTTGTCGCCAGAGGAGAGGAAATAGTCGTCGCCGACATGGTCGCTGTTCTCACCGGTGGAGAAGCGGGTCATGGGATGGTCGTCAAGGCTGAAGTCGTTGAGCATTTGATATGATTCGGCAAGCAGTGTTTGCACTTCATCTTGGGAGAGCGCGTCCGGGATGAGGAGATAGCCATTGTTGTCCCAGGTCTCCAGTTGCTCCTCGGTGAAGTATGAAGGGCGCGGGTTGGTGCGTGAGGGCGCCATGATAGCGATTCCACCGTTCAGATCAGAGCGCAACTTGGACTATCGAAAGGTCATGCTCATATTATATTTGTGCATGGATAAGGCGTCCTGCGTTGTTGGAATCTTGAAGGAAGCGATGACATCGATCGTGCATCGGCAATCGCGCAATCGCGCCCTCATTGGTTCCGAACGCACTGATCCTTGACAGAGCAGGAAGGCACAGTGAGGGAACATATACACAAACACCATTCGTTTCACCCACCTGCTGCCATGGACTCACATACACCTTCTCCACCGATATGGCGCTGGGTCTTAGGCTTTTTAGCCGTAGGAGCCTGCTGGGGACTGACAACACCCTTTATGCGGCGAGCGGCCATTGCTCGAGACCATAAACCGCAGCCCGCACGTCCAGCGCTGACAGACCCAAAGACATCGTGGCTCAATCGGAAGATCCTGGGCATCGTCTACGCCGTCTACGATCTCCTCAAAAACCCGGCCTACGCGGTGCCGTTACTGCTTAATGTGACGGGCAGCGTTTGGTTCTTCCTACTGATCGGTCAGGCTGGTAGGTCAACATGGACCGAAGTATTGTCGGCCCGGGCGAACACTGATCGTTTGGCGACAGAGCTGAGTCTGACCGTTCCAATCACTAATGCCCTGGCGTTTTTATTTACCGTGCTGGGCGAATGGTATGCGGAAGGCAAGGTCATAACGCGAGGCACGTATATGGTTAACCCCCTCATCAGCTACCGCTAACCCTACCGTGAAGATACATGGATAGGCATGGCCTTTGTGCTGGGTGGCATAGCGCTTTGTGTGCATTCGAAAACATAATGTAACATGTCAAACAGGGCACTTGCGTACGATTGAAAGGACGGTAAGTGTGATTGACATTTTCATCCCGACTGTACGGAATCGACTTTACAGTAAGCAGGTTCATGCAACGTTGCTGCCTTCTCGTGAAGATACGTGCGGTAGCTTACAAGCGAGCTTGGTAGACGCCCGTCTTATTATGCTTCGACACGTCGTAGCGGTCATTCATCATGATCTTGTCCCACGCAGCCACGAAGTCATGCTTGAACTTCTCTTCATTGCCAGCGCTGCCGTACACCTCGGCAATGGCGCGGAGCTCAGCGTGCGAGCCGAAGACCAGGTCAGCACGAGTGGCGATCCACTTCTTCTCGCCGCTCTTGCGCTCAATACCGTCGAACAGCTCGTTCTTGTTGTCGGTTGGCTGCCACTTGACACCCATGTCGAGAAGATTGACGAAAAAGTCTGGTGTGAGCTGGCCAGGGCGCTTGGTAAGAATACCGTGGTTAGAGCCGTCCCAGTTGGCATTGAGTGCGCGCATTCCACCAATGAGCACCGTCATTTCTGGGGCAGTCAGGTTGAGCAGGTGGGCCTTGTCGACAAGGAACTGCTCGGTGCGAACACGGTCAGTGCCGCTGCCATAGTTCCGGAAGCCGTCGCGCGTTGGCTTAAGGTGCTCGAATGACTGGACGTCGGTCATGTCTTGGGTGGCGTCGGTACGGCCAGGCGTGAAAGGAACCGAAATGCCGGAGGCCTTCTCCACGGCAGCGTTGCCGGCAAGCACAACGAGGTCGGCGAACGACACCTTCTTTCCACCACTGCTGAACTTCTGCTGAACATCCTCGAGAGTCTTGATGACCTTCTTGAGCTGCTCCGGGTTGTTGACCTCCCAGTCCTTCTGCGGCTCAAGCCTGATGCGACCACCATTGACACCGCCACGCTTGTCGCTGCCACGATAGGTGACTGCGGCAGCCCATGCAGTGCGGATGAACTCGGTTGGCTCGATGCCGGTTCCGAGAATCTCCTTCTTTAGTTGGTTGGCGTCCTCGCTGCTGATAAGCTCGTGGTCGACGCTCGGCACTGGATCCTCCCAAAGCAGGATTTCCTTAGGAATCTCAGGGCCGATCCAGCGTGTCCGCGGACCCATGTCTCTGTGCAGGAGCTTGAACCAGGTACGCGCGAAAGCGTCTGCCAGCTCATCTGGGTGCTCGAGGAAGTGGCGCGAGATCTTCTCGTACTCCTTGTCGTAGCGCATGGACAGATCGGTAGTCAACATACGCGGCTTCTGCATCTTGTTCGGGTCGCCGTCTGCCGCAGGGATCATGTTGTCTGCGTTCTTCGCCTCCCACTGGTTGGCACCGGCAGGGCTCTTGGTGAGTTCCCAATCGAACTTGAAGAGGTACTCGAGATAGTGGTTGCTCCACTTGGTTGGTGTCTTCGTCCAGGTGACCTCTAAACCACTGGTGATAGTGTCACGGCCACTACCGCTGTTGTATTTGCTGTTCCACCCAAGACCCTGGCTCTCAATGGGGGCGGCCATCGGCTCCTTGCCAACATGATCAGCAGAGCCTGCACCGTGAGTCTTGCCGAATGTGTGACCGCCGATAATGAGCGCTGCAGTCTCGTAATCGTTCATGGCCATGCGGCCGAACGTGGTGCGAATGTCACGGGCAGCCGCAACCGGGTCGGGAATACCGTCAGGGCCTTCCGGGTTTACGTAAATCAAGCCCATGTGAGATGCAGCAACTGGCTTCTCGAGATCGCGGGAATGGATATCCTTGGCATCAACCTTGTGCATGTCACCGTCGACAACGCCGCCCTCGGCCAAACCCTCGTGACCTTGAGAGTAGCGAACATCGTTGCCGAGCCAGGTGGTCTCGCCACCCCAGTAGACCGACTCGTCAGCCTCCCACTGATCTGCCCGACCACCAGCAAAGCCGAAAGTTTGCAGGCCCATGTCCTCGAGAGACACGTTTCCGGTGAGCAGCATCAAGTCTGCCCAAGACACCTTGTTGCCGTACTTTTGCTTCACGGGCCACAATAGCCGGCGGGCCTTGTCAAGACTGACGTTGTCGGGCCAGCTGTTGAGTGGCGCAAAGCGCTGCTGGCCGCCGCCACCTCCGCCACGGCCGTCCAACACGCGGTATGTACCAGCACTGTAAAGCAGTCAGTTCTGCGACTCGCATCAGGAGACAGCCAAGCGTGCCACTTACGAGTGCCATGCCATTCGGATAAAGAGCCCGCCATAGTGCCCGAAGTCAGCCGGCCACCACTCCTGCGAGGTTGTGAGGACGTGGCGAATATCTTCCTTCAACGCCTTGTAGTCTACGCTCTTCCACGCCTCAGCATAGTCGAAGTCCTGACCCATCGGGTTCGTGACCGGCGTCTGCTGGCGGAGGATGTTCAACCTCAACTGGTCTGGCCACCAGTCGAAGTTGCGGGTGCCACCGCCGCCAGTATTGGCCAACTTGATTGGACACTCCTTAGCCATGATGATGTGTTTGAGTGCTTTCAGAGAGTAGTTCTGAGGATTGTGAGAGTGGTGTAAGTGAAGAGCAGAAACATCATTAAATGTATCGAGACTATCAAGCTCTCCGCGCCGAAAGCCCCACCAACAGACCCCGCCACCACTCCGATCGATTCCCTGCATCTTCACTCGATCGCTCTGTTTCCATGTCCATCTAACATTTGACTACCGTCCTATAAGGAAGCCTTGGTTTCGCTCGCCCCAATGCCAGTGCTTCCTTTGCTGCAGTCAATGCCCACTCGCTCTCCTTCAGCGCAAAGCGCAGAAATGCGACATCATCGAACTGCCCTGCTCCGATACATGTATGGAAGGATAACCGATCTAACCACTTAGGGCAAGCGAGCAGCGAGGCCCACTTCCGACGACAAGCGGCGTGAAACCGACCTCGGCCAGTTCCTTCACATTCCTGGCGACTTTCGGGTACTTGTTGACCACCCTTCCCGAATGGCTTCAACACCGACGATTCTAGATCAGTGGCGCAGGCGGCAGGTGTCAATCACTGGCTTGTGGCTCGCATCTAATGAAGCAGCGATCTCAGCTCCGATAAAGACACACTGGCAATGTTGGGCCGACCACGCTCAGCTTCACTCACGCTATGTCCTTGCCTAGAGTCGTAGTCTGCTGCGAATAGCATTGCAATCACTACTGCTGCTGTGAGGCTATTACGGGAATGAAGCCCAACAACTATGCGCGAGGCCATGAGACTCCTCTCAAAAGACAGCCTCACCGTAATCAATTGCATCCGCCAAACTGCTATTCACTGGTTAGCAGGAGGGTACAGTATGTGAACGAGCATTATCGAAGACGCAGTCATTTCGCGGTCCACTAACCATGGGACCTTGACCATAGGTCAAACACGGCGTAAGTGAGGTTAGGTGAGTAGACTGCGCGCGAGCACAAGAGATCGTCGGGATGAAAGATTGACTCATGGTGCACATGGTCATCCTACATCGGTGATGTGCACACCTTGGGTCTCCCGACGCTGTCGTTTCCATCTGCATTTCCGTCGTCCACCAACCCCCAGCAACGTTCCACCAACGCCTTATCGCCATGCCACAAGCTGTGATCTGAAGGGTGGCTAGCTCGGCCCAGTCCTTACATTCTCGCCACATGCAGTCGTCCTCGCTACAACCCAGTACGCCGGTAAATGCTCCAAAAATAGTCGTGATCTAATTGGAAATATTGGTTGGGTATCTCACGCGCAGCTGGCGCGTGCTTGCGGGTGTCAACTGCCGTAGCCGACTGCGTTCACGGCTTGGAGACGGAAATCCAATATGCATGACATACTCGCATAAGCAGATCGCATGCCCTTGCTCTGCGGTGTGACCGCGATCGGGAGCAGCCACGCCGCGCAGCCTGCTCGTGTGCAGCTCATTGCACGAAGCCAGGCTTGGCAGCTCTCCTGTAGCCCGCTTCACTCCGGTCCTCTGACCTTCCAGTCCCAGGTCTGCTGGCGGGCGCCTGCCGTATTGGCAGATGCATGGGTTGCTGCTGTCCGTAGCCTGGCGCTGTTTGCGCACTGCTTGTTCGCGCAGGGTATGCCGGCCGATTACCGTAAGCCGAACCATTCTCCCTAGGTGTGCCGATAGGGATGTCGCCAGACGTCGGTGTAGGAAGGGTGCTGGACGAGAAGCCGGGTGTGCTTATTGTAGTGGCTGTACGTGGTGTCATGGTTGTAGCAGTCCGTGGAGTCTCGCTTTCACCGCGAAGCAGGGCTTGCGTGCTGGGCGACAACGGCGGCGCTAGATGCGATCTCCGGTTCGACTTCTCCATCATGCTCACCGCCCATGCTTCGAGGTCGACTGGAGTCCGCTTCGCTGCCTGCAAGAACGCATCTTTGTCGTAGAGTTCCTGTGGAGTTGGCCGCAAGTCCGGATTCTTCAGCAAGCACTTATCGATCATATCCTCTAGTATCTGCGGGAAGGCGTCGCTCTGCGGTAGCTTGGGCGACGGCTCCAGCACAATTTGCTGCAACAGATCAAGAATACCTTGCGGACCGGCAGCGTCATCGTCGTCCTCCGACTCCACCTGGAACGGGAATTTGCCAACTGCGAGCTCCATGAGCGTCAGACCTACCGACCAGACGTCTGATTTGACGGTGTAGGGTGAGCCCTGTATCCGCTCAGGCGCCATATAAGTTCCAGTACCGACGAAGGTGTTCGCCACGCTGTTCTCCAATTCCGAGGACACGCCGAAGTCACAAAGCTTGATCTGACCCTTAGAGTTGACCAAGATGTTGGATGGCTTAATGTCGCGATGCATGATCCTATGAGCGAGGTAGAGATACTTGAGGCCGCCCAACACCGCTTCCGCAATCTTGCCGAGCACGTCAACTCGCACCGGTCCAAATCGCTTAGAGATGGAGTCCAGGGAGCTGTGTTCAACAGTCAATGCCTTGTTCATCTGCTTAGAAAGCACCGTCGACTCACCCAACATCCGCATACTCCATACACATCGTCACATCGCCCGACTCGTTCATGTACGCTCCATAGAAGCTCACAATATACGGACTGTTGCAATCATGCATGATCTGCAACTCCCGCACAATCCGCTTCCTGACCTCCTTCTTCGCCTCCACATGAATAATCTTCTTCGCCATAATGATATTCCACGCCTTGTGTCGCACTTTACTGACCGTTCCGCCATTCCCAGACCCAAGCTCCTTGATGACTTCTAGATCCTCCGTCCTCCACTCTGGCCGGAATTCTACCCCTATCTCCAAGGTATCGTCCTTGCGTGAGTTCACGTTTGCTATGGAACCAGGCAGTTGCGCATCAGACTCTGAAGGCTGCGGAGCGGCTTTGGGCTGTGGTGCGCTTAATGCCAGTCCCTTGACGTTCTTGCGCTTCATGGTCTTCGCTTTGAATGGATCTTCGGCCATTATGGCGGCTTTATCGGCTGCCGTAGCAAGCCAATGTCCCAAGACGTTTGGTATGTGGCTATCTGCCTGTAAAGCGATGCTTATAGAAGGGGTCGCTTGTTCGCCAGAGTCCTACACTATAGTCCAACGCAGCAGGCGGTCGTTGCTATGCGCTGGATGGGGTACGTATGCCAGCGTGCAGTGCCGCCGTAAATGAGCCTCAGCCAATAGTCACTGCTCTACGCTCGCCGCATTAAGCGCGTATGTCTTGAGTGTGACTCAGCCGCTGCCCAATTGCTCCTATGCCGCAAAATGCCTGCCCAGAGAGATAGTCTTCGTATATCTCAGTTGTCTCGTACGCACAGCCGCGGCTCGGAATCTGTTGTGACTTGCAGTGCTACGAAGTGATATGCAGGTCGAGAAGTGGCCTACGCAAGACAAGGGTGCCCTCCAGCGGGGCAGCGGAGCCGGCAGGATTGAAGCACTCAATGTATTGGCATGCTCGAATGCGGGTATCGTCGCGGACAGAGCACGCGAGGTGGAGACCACAGTAAAGACGCCGCCATCACTAATCTCATTGTTCTATTCGTATCGTGAACAACCCTTGGGAAAGAGGCTTGCATACTTTCAACGCCAACAGATGAGCAACAGACTTTCGACCAGACAAACCTTCGCGTCAGACTTTCTGCATCCGTACCTATATTGGGCACGAGAGCTATGTGTACGTCACGGACGCTTTGCTGTTGGTACAGATCAATGAGATGCAACCGTAAATGGCAAAACAAGTAAAAGGTAAACAACTCGATTCCAAGCCATTGATAGTAAGAGAGGCTTGTAGGTTAACTGTTCTGAATACATGTTGCAACGGCTACCCTTGGCTCACTCAGGGCTACGGATTCACCTACATGTATGCATAAAGCAGCCACGGTTGCCAGCGCTAAATGATCGATCCCCTCTAGTTACACTTCAACGCCCTGCATGCAGCCTAGGACGTCTCGCGAGAGAACATCGCTTGTGTAGTCACCACAACCGGAACACCTCGCCAACAAACTTAGGTCCCCGAACCAAGAACACATCCCACGTGTACCGCGTCTTAAGAACCGACAGGCTTTCCGTTTGCTTCAGCATTATGCTTCTTCTGGTGTGCTTCCGTATCCTCTTGACTGTGCGGTAACGGCATACCCGCCGCAGCATGCACGTGAGGCGCCACATGCAGCTTGGCTGGCTGGTGCTCTTCTTCAATGTCAGCATCATCCGTGTGACCGCCTTCCATGGCCTTCTTGAACGTATCCCAAGTCGTGACGGCGCCGAGGGCGCGCTTCATGTGCGCATTGACGATCTGTAGGCCGTAGACGTATGAAGCATTGACCCAGCCGAACCTAGACCAAGTCAATACAAAACCGGAAGATTCGGGAGTAAGTGCCAGACGTACCCTTCAGTAGCCACGCCCTTGAAATCGCTGCCCTGATTCCCATACTCCGCCTCGACCTTGTGGGGAGAGATCTGCTGCGTGACATCGTACTTCTCCACCACCACCCCGTTAAAGTCGACAAACGCTTTGGTCACCATGTAGATCCACCGGTAAGCCAGACGCTGCGCGTCGTCCTCGAAACCGTACCGTAAGAGGCCTGTCCAGGCCAGGATCTGCTGCGGGGCCCAGCCGAAAGGATAATCCCACTGACGGTTGGGTCGGGAGATGCCAACAGGTCCACGAGACTCTTCAGTACCGGAGACCAGACCACCGTGAACCTCGAAGCGAGGCAGAGCGCGCTCTACCATGATCGAGGCTTGGCGGGGCGTGGCGGCGCCGGCCCACATGGCCCAGAAGGTGGTCGCAGATTCGTAGCCAGTATGCTCTTTCTTCACAGTGTTGTAGTCGAAGAACATGCCCTTGTCCTCATCCCACATCAGCTTGTCCATAATCTGGCGTCGCTTTTTGGCACGCCGGTCCCAGGTACTCGACGTCTCTACGGTAGCCTGGCCAGGCACTTGCCACTCCTTCGGAATTTGCAGCTTATCGCCGAAGAAGGCGCGGATGGTGCGCGCAATGTCGACTTCCATCTTGTAAATGCAGGAGTTCAAGTCGACTGTGGCAAGGTGGGCGGCGACCTTCTCGAGACGGTATGAAGTGTCATGGCCCGACTCACGTACAGCACGGTCGTGCAGGAAGTATTCGTCCAGCTCCGGCTCGTACACGTGGCCGTAGTTGTAGGCTTTGACAAATTCGTCGAAGCTCATCTTGTGCTTTTCAGCATACGGTGTCAGAATATGAACAAAGTGAGAAGCTTCGGTTTCCGGCGGGACACCAATTCCGCCGGCTACGTATCGCGAGAGGCCGGACTCTGGATCGTAGCGCGGCTTGGACATCCAGGTGCAGTAGTAGTCCTTGATGGCGGCGAGTATCGCCTGCTTGAGGAACTCCATGCTGCTGGACTTGTGCTTGATGCGGTCATAGACGCGCAGAGCCATATCGGTTAAGAATGGCGGCTGTGATCGGCAGAGGTAATAGGTGCGGTTGGCATTGAGGATCTTGCCGTAGTGGCGGATGCAGAAGCAGAAATGTTTTACCATGGATTCACATAGATCTTCGCGGTCATTGACAAGAAGACCCAGAGTCTCCATGTAGCTGTCCCATCCGTAAAGCTCGTTGAAGCGGCCCCCAGGTACTACAAACGGCAGACCACGATAATCAGGCTTCCCGGTTGGGGTGTCCTCAACGCGTTCCATAGCAACAGCAAGAAGGCCTGGAGCCTCGTTCAGATCGCGGACATAGTCCTCATCAGTCGGATTCTCCTTTAGGTAAATCACCTCGAGGTTCATTTCCGGATGCTCTTGCGAGATACGGGTGTAGTACTCAAACTGCTCCGGTGCCCCTCGCGGGATATACATGCGCGGGTGCGGATTGGCTGTCCAGTCCTTCGGGTCTTTGGCTACGGCAGCGATGTTCGAGCCATCAATCCTCCGCGTCAGGTTCGGCCAAAACTGGTCTTTGATAAGGCGTGCGAGCCGGTTCACCGGATTCTCGTTGAGTCGCGCTTCATCCAGTACGATCTGCTTACGACCGTACTTCTTCGCCAACGTCAGCTCCTGCAGCAGGTTGCTGAGCATGTAAGTGCCGCGAATGTCAAAGGTACGGTAACCACCGGATGCAGCAGTGCCGAGTGGGATCGTCTTCGGGCCATGGTCCTCAATCGTGATCTGAATGTTGTGATCCGTGTCCTCGCTGGCGAGGAGCGTTTTCAAAGTGTCCTCAACATTGATTAGGTAGCGGCGCGGGGCATTACCCTGCACATCGTGGCTGGTACGTCTGCCGAATTGTCTCACGGCTGTTGGAGAGGTGCTGATTTCCTTCTTTGGCTCAATCTGCGTCCGTTAGCACGGTCCTACCCTGATACCACAGGCCCATGCTACTAGGCAGATATGGCCATGACGGAGATTACCCCGTTGTGCATGGGGACGGTGCAGACTCACCGCCGACATTGTCCGGCTCTTGGCGACCTTTCTAGGGCCGTGACTGGCGCCATAATAGACGTCCGGTGCGGCAAAGGGATCGACGTTGAGAGACACTTTGCGCTGAGCATCCTGTGCAGCAACGTTGTTGTTGGTCTTGAGGTTGATAGGCAGGGCCGATTTCTGCAAGCTCATGCTATGGCGAGGCGTGACTTGGGCTGTCACAGTAGGAAGTACCAGATAGGGTAGCGACAGTGAGGTGGCACGAATACGCAATTATGGGTAGTGCCACTGTCGGCAAGGCTGATGAGGTAGAGTGGAGGGGCTGGACCTGCTGAAGCGGGTCAGTCAGTGGTGGGTCTTTTGTTGGCCCTGTCGATCATTGACGAAAGATTTCAGATCGTGGCACCAGTGCATATCAGCTGCAGTTTGATGAGTGACGTACCGCTCAAGCCACCTTCCTGCGGCGAGGATGTCCGTTTCCTTCTTGTAGGCCGGAGGCGAGATTCTGTGCGTTTAGCAGCAGTAATGACAACAAAGGTGAGAGACAAGGTGGTGATGTAATAGAACAATGCAGCTTTGTGGGCAGAAGAGATGCGCGAGCGCTCAGCTGACAAGTGCTGCGACAGAACGTGCGTCAGGCAATAGAGCCAGCAGGCTCGAGGCTCTACTTCGTCGCACTGCGATATAGAAGCTGCAAGGAGAGTTAACGTGCCTGTACTTGCGGTGCTGTTTTTGCTGTTGCAGATGTTGCAAGCGTGATGATCGGCCTTAGAGGGAAGATGCGCCTCCCTCCTCCGCCGTTGCTGACACGCCAGCCATGCTTCTGCTCTTGCTTGGTCTTCAGCTGCCGCTCTGTCTCGGATCGTTCGCGTGCCCGAACATTACTCAACTGCGACTGAGCAATAAGAAGGTGCGAGCTCAAGGATCCGAAATAGAACATCCACATCACCTCCGCAGCGGGTAGGCTCGCGAGCCTCAGCCGCGACCGTGGCAACGTTCTGATGCAGTGCAACCTGAGTTGGTGCTCGCGAGTTACAGCCCTGACGAAAGGCAACGCGGGATGGAATGGTATTGATACCAACCTTTGACACAAACCGAGGCGATTACCGCGGCGCCAGCCGCATAAGAGCAGGTACTCTTCGTCTACATGCACGTACTCCACATAACCGTCAGGCGGGGACGCGAGCAGGTGTCACACTTCCGTCCGCATAGGGTTCTCAGTTCCTCTGAACGTCTGAAATGTTGATCGTGGTATCATATGCTACGATAACTCACATGTTGTCGGACCACTATCATGCGGCCACCTATGTCTCATCTTACACCAGCCGGCCACGATAGATCCGCACGGCCACCGCCAAAACTGCGGACAACACTGCCCACCTTACACCCGCACCTGTTGCACTCTTCGACCCAAGTCCGATAGTCCACCAGACCCACCCACCTGTGACGCGACCCTCTCGGTCGAAATCCGGCTTCTTTTCTTGCATCTTCCGCAATTTCTTCAGCTTCTCCTCAGTGTAAGGAGGATATCTTACATCCAGCATACTCTCGACCCAGCCCGGAGTATGCGTGATAGACCGTCTGTGCGTGAAGCAGTCGAAGGACGCCTTGCCTCTGTATGCGCCCTGCCCACTGTCGCCAACACCGCCAAAAGCAAGGGTAGGTATTGATGCGTGGAAGAAAGCATCGTTGACGCTGGCGCCGCCCGATCGGGTTTGCGCAAGGACTTTGTCTGTTTCCTGCTTGTTGCCGAATGTGTAAAGTCCCAGTGGCGTGGCGTGGACGGCGTTGGCGTTGCGGATCGCTTCGTCGATGTTCGCTACGGGCAGGACTGGAATCAGTGGGCCGAAAGATTCGTCTTTGATAAGCGAGTCTTCTATGCTATCCACTTGCACCACGGTAGGCTCGAAAAATAAGGTATTTTTGTTCGTCCGGCCACCAGAAACGATCTTGCCATGCGTGCTGTCCAGCATACCCTTGAGGCGAGCCCACTGCCTCTCGTTGACGATCTTGCCGTAGTCTTTGTTGCCTTCTGCGCCCTGCGGTTGAAACTCCTTGAGCGCTATAGCCAGTTGTTGCAAGAAAGCTGGCAATATGTCCTTCTCCACCATGATATAGTTCTGGCTGACACATACTTGGCCAGCATTGTGCAGCTTTGCGAACAATAGCCTACGCGCGGCCAACCGAGGGTCTGCATGCTTCGATATGATTGCAGGATTGCGACCGCCGAGCTCCAGGACCACGGGCGTCAGCGTCTCCGCCGCCTTCCTCGCAATAATCGTGCCAACCTTGTCGTTGCCAGTGTAGAAGATTTTGTCCCATTTCTGCTCCAGTAACGCGGTAGATTCTGGAATGCCACCCTGGACGACCTCGTATGCTTCACGATCAAGGCTCTCCGAAACGATATGCTGCATTATCCGAGCCGAATTGGGCGAGTTCTCACTCGGCTTCAGTACGGCCGTACATCCTGCCGCAATCGCCCCAATCAACGGCCCCAAGCTTAACTGAATCGGAAAGTTGTACGCTCCAATGATTAAGACAGCACCGACCGGATCCTTGCGTATGCGCGGGTTCATCAGTTTGTTAGTGAACTCAATGTCGTCCGGCTTCTCATCCTTCACGAATCGCTCCAAGTTCTTGCTCATGAATATGATGTCGTTCAGTACCCAGTTCACTTCGCTCAAGAACGCCTCGTACGGGCCTTTGCCCAAGTCAAGCTGCAGCGCTTCCAGAATAGCGGGCTCGGCATCTTTGATACCCCAATAGAGCGAGCGGAGTTGCTTCAGTCGGTATTGGAGCGAGCGTGTCTGGTGGGAGTGGAACTTTTTGACGATCCGATCATGGACAGTGGGTACGTCGCTTACGGCGATGTTCGTAAAGGGAGGCAGATCGTCCATTGCGAGGTGTATCATCTTGACACACGGTGCGCAACGACCTAGTGTTCGGTGAATGCTGCTCAACGCTGGTTATCCCGCGATCTCAATTTCTCCAACATCCAGAGCTGATGTTGTCTTCGCGCTCACTCTTCGAAGTACGGCAACAAACGAGCTTTGGCAACGAGGCGTGCAAGCCGAGGCACATCGCAATGGTAGGCACGCGAAAACTGGGGCTATTAGCATGAGTCAGCAACAGTGGCGATGATTATGAAACAATCTTATAGTAGATGGAGATCGTGGGCGTTCTGACGGAAGTGGGAGACAAGAACCAGATGAAGTGCGATCTATACCTTACCTGATTTCTTCGCTGTACAAACGCTAATCAGGGTATAAATCTAATGACCTTCACTTGCACTACAGCAGCATGCCACTGTACGCCGTCGCCAACAGGCTGCTCCGCAACCGCACGTGGAATCACCGTGTCCTGCAGTAAACGCTACAGTTGCAAAAGTAGCCGACCTTCTCCGGTTTGCACTACGCCATACCTTGGGGTCGACAAACTCCATGCCAGGTTGCCCGTGCACTGGTACTGGCAGCCCTTAATGATCGTCCTGACTGATTGCTGTTCGGCTGTGGACATCGTCTCAACGCTTTGCAGCAGTCGCTCAGCGACGACTTCGAATTGAGCGGTGAGCCTGCGCAAGAGAGCCATTGCCGATGCAACAGCAGCGTCCAAATCTCCAAGTTCCGCGAAAAGGATGATGAGTGCGTTGTGGACTGCGCCATCTGCTGCCTCCTTCTTGACTGATAGGATGTCATTTGTAAGCGAGATGACCTCGTTCGTGATGTCGAAGAGATCCCTCATGAAGGATGAGCGAGCGATGTCTTCCGATAATTCCAAACCATACGCATACTCCAGCATAGCCGTGGTGACATGGATGGCACTCGTTCCCATTCGGATTCCCCAGTAGTCGTCAAGCGTTGGGATCTCGTTACTGATGATGAGTCTATGCTCAAGCGAAGTCTTGTCAATATAGAAAAGCATCTCATCTAATAAGCGGCGGCGTTGTGCTGTGGTACCAATGTAAGTCCGCGAGTGCGATATCCAGAGCATACAGGGTTACTATACCAAGGGAATATGCTTCCGAGATCAGCCTCACAGAAGGTTGCAGGAGTGTTATCAAAGGGAACGTTGGCATGCCACTTGTGTAGGGAGGGAGGTCTAGGCAGTCCCGCAGGAAATCGACAGTTTGTGATCGGAATTGCTGAGCTTTGTCAAAGTCGCCGCACAAATCGCCTTTCGCATTGTCAAGTTCTGCACCCGGCGTTAGCTCCCCGACCGTCTGGGACGAGGTCTGTGTCGTCCGGCATACCATCGTCCCAAGCGTATATCTAAATCTCTATGTTAGCGGTTGACTGTGGCGTCGAAGTCTTGTTGGTGCCTTACCCAGATGAAGAAAGCTGTTGTCACCAGCAGTCTATCAAGCGGTGCGTCCGGCCACCATGCAGCCCCGAACAATGGAAAGTCATTAAGCTGAAAGGCCTTGGCTTTTTTCCGGCCAAGCAGCTCAGTAGTGTATAGTCTTAGTGTGCGAGATTAGCATATAGCCAATGAAAGAAGTTCCAAGCTGCAGACACACGTATCCAGGTGGTGATTGACAAGGTGGCGGATTGCTGGAAGATCCTTGCTTGTTGCAGCTGGCCAGCCGGGAAAGTACTCCCACAGATTGGGCAGACGGACTTCACGGCCCCTCAAGGAATCAATGAGCGTCTGACGAGGGTTCACGGCCATCATGGCCTTTTATGTGCACCAAATGAGAAGAGGAGGAGCAGTAACCAGACCTTGCTACATCCCTACCTTGTGTGACCACCACGCTCCGATCATATACAAGCGAGACGGAGCTCCTCTCGAGGCTGTGATGCCAATCTCGATCGCTACGTGTACGCGACGACCGACAACCGGTCTAAGAGTCCGCCTGCGCCTCGCTTAGAAAGTTGTACTCCCCGTTGAGCATCCAGATATAGCGATGCGAGTGTTGTTCAGGGCCGTCGTAGCCGCGATGGATGGCCAGTGCGCCAGAGCAGTCAGCTTATGGCGTCGCGCAGTCGGACGGCATTCATGAGTGAGCGGTAAGGTACTCGGATGCCGGTATGACACCCAGTAAAGGAAGCGTGGTAGCGATTTGAGGCGTGCATGGTCACGCTATCTGACATCGCTATAAGGCGTGCTTGTCGACGTGTTTTGAACCCACTCAATTTCCTGCCCTGCCATCGATCCATGAGCCAGTGAACTTGGTGCATCAACCCGAGGCTAAAGTTTCTTGCGCCACTCTTATATCCTTTGAGTAATGGACTAGGAGGAGCACTAAAGTGCGGAGAGAAGAGGTCGTGACCGACCCGGCAACTGCCGCAGAAGCCCACTTCACGACGCAAACATGCGAGAATCCTTGTCGTCTACTCCTTTGTTAGACCATTGTGCTTATTGAGGCAAACGGATCCAATGCAGGAAGTTCTTAGTGGCGTTGGCTCTTGCTGGAACGGTGATGGCACCGATGGTACAGGCGCTGCTACCACGTGTCAGCGCTGCTCCGTCCCACCAGTCTGACTGTCTCGTACGAGAAGGAAAATCAAAGCCACAATAAGCACCACCGCGCTTTCTGGCAGTAATGAGCCGAGCTGTCAAAATTGTGACACCAGAATAGCAGGAAAGTCCAAGTCTTGTACGAACGAACTACCCGGGACGTATGAGGGTTGCTGTTTCGCTTGTTCGTTACATGGATAGCAGATCAAATGCCACACCTGGGCTGCGACTTGCACTCTTTCACTGCTCTATATTGGCAAACAGCTCAAATTCCTTCCTTCTCGCTTCTCCCTGATCCGCCTGCCCTTTATCACACTACAGGACTACAAGCATGATCTCAAGTCATCCGGTGGATGTGGTGCTGGCAGCACGGCTACTTGGTGTTTGTGTTGCTCTATCGTGCGCTCTTATCATTCGTCAGCTCTTCTATCATCCTCTTTCCGGAGTGCCGGGACCACGGCTCGCGGCCTTGACAAGTTGGTGGGAGTGTATCATAGATCTGCATCGTGACGGAGGAGGGCGGTACTACTTCTATCTCAAGCGGCTCCATGAGGAATATGGTAAGGTTGCAGCCGTCAATTTACTCGCAAGAGGTTTGAGCTGTGGGAGTCAACCCGCTTACGAAAAGCATGCCCAATTGTTCGCATTGGACCGAATGAAGTTCACGTCACGGACAACTCTTGGCTGCCGACATTGTTCGGTGCGCCAGGCAGCGTACGTGTCAAGTCTCGGGCTTCTTACTAGTCCCACCATGATGAGGTGGTACCGCTGACCCGCTGCAGGTCCGAGAGAAGCACAAATCATTAGCACACATACTGGGAAGCAATCTAGGGTGTCAGTTATCTTCCTGAAGTGGTTCTACCCGCAATGTGTGACAAACTCACATAGACCTGAGCAGCATTCGGAACCGTCGACCACTACCTGCACCGGCAGCGTAGGGCATCAATCGCCCCCTTATTCTCGACGCGCGCTGTCAAAGCCATTGAGCCTGAAATCCAGGCCACTGTTGAGCAGCTTTGTATGATGTTCCAACAGATGAAGGATGACGAACAGATCATCGAGCTACGGCGCTTGTTTCTCGCGTTCGCCACAGACGTCTCCACCAGCTACATATTCCGCGAATCTCTGGGGATGCTACAGAGCCCAGCCAAGACGAACGACTTCGCTACCTCTTTTTCCAAGATGCAAGGACTATTTCCGCTTTTAAAACAGTGTCTGTGGCTCGTACCCTGCGCACTCAAGGCTCCGCTGTGGCTAGTTCAAATCGTAATGCCCGGCGTAGTACCCTTACTACAAATGTATCGTGTCAGTGTTAACGCGCATGCGCTCGGCTTTGGCACATGCTAACGTGGAATAGAGCATGACGGAGCTCGCGAGGCAGCAATGCAACACCTTTGAGCAGGCAGATGCTGCCTTTAGAAAGGCGAACTGCGAGGTGGAGAAGCAAGACCTCTTCCGTGCTATCCTCGAAAGCAAGCTCCCACCGCACGAGAAGAGCTACCATCGGATCGCGCATGAAGGCGTTGAGGCGTTGATTGCCGGCAGCCTCACCACTGGAAGAGTGCTAGCATTAGCGACGTTCCATATCCTGAGCAGTGCTGTCATCCTGGGCAAAGTGCAGGACGAGGCTCATAAGGTGATGCCGGACCATGCAACGATTCCGAGCATCGCAGTCCTAGAAAGCTCCGCGTATCTGGTAAGCTGCTGAGCAGATTCCGATTTTCCTTTCAGACAGGTCTGATGCCTAGATCAGAGAGCCATTGTCAAGGAAGCACTGCGTTTGGCACACATTGTCACCGCTCGCTTTCCTGTGGTCGCCCCTAGAGAGGACCTCCACTACCAAGGCCATACGTTGCCTGCTAATGTCAGTCGTCCATTCATTCAGCTGCGCGAGGTATTCAGCTGATGGCAACCGACAGACTATCATAAGCGTGACACCGGCGTGGACTTTGATGAATTCCGACGTCTTCGCCGAACCATACACCTTCCGTCCTGAGCGTTGGCTGGAAGCAGACACGGCACACCTGGCAATGATGGAGCAGTACTGGATACCCTTTGGTCTCGGCAACAGGAGATGCTTGGGCATCAAGCGAGTAATTCTCATCCATGCTGCTGAGAATGACCAAACTGACGTAATAAACTGTAGCTTTGCTATGACCAACATTTTAACTGCCCTCACTGTCGTCTTCCGCCGCTTCCAGCTGGAATTGGTCGATACCGTCCGCGAGCGAGATGTGGATCATAGCCGCACATGGTTCATTGGGGAGCCGCGAGCGGACAGCCTCGGTATTCGAGTGCGCGTGGTAAAGGCAAAAGAGGCGTGAAGTCTGAACTGCGAATCTACTATGAGTTGAACGTCCTGTCTTCAGTGTGGCTTGATGTCTAGCTGAGCGCTTGGGCAGCGCTGGTGGAGAGCAGGACGAAGCGATACATCACTTCGGAAGACCCATTTTCTGGTATTAAGACTACTCGATTTCCCAAGCAGTATCCTGGTTCCTAATGTAGGGTACCGGACACTCCGCCCCATATTTCTTCAGGCCGATCGTCGTCCCATCGCCCAAGAATGCAAAGATGTTATCCGGGTCCTTGTACGTAATATCATAATGCTCATACCTCGGACGCTTGAGAAACTTCAGGTAGTGCAGCATACTTCCTGACCAAATATGCACACGCCCGTCGACAGTATTGTCCTTGTACCAGGACTTGCACTCCTCGGCCCAGATCGAGCGCTGGAAAAAATGACCGTCAGCGACCGCACTGGCACTTTGCAGGCGGTTAAAATAGATGATAGTGCTGACTTACGTTTTTGTGCCAAGCATCCTGATACCGATGCAACTGTGTTGCAACGCTCTCCTTCGGGTCCATACTCTTGATTTGATCCTCTTGCATCTTCCGACAGCACTGAAGAATGTATTCGATCTGGACTTCGTGGCTCGGTAAAGCGCATCCTTGACCCCAATTTCCCCTCGGGCCATTCACGACAAAGTAATTCGGGAAGCCTGGTGCAGCAATGGAAGCGTAGAGATTCGGCTCTTTTTGATCTTGTATCACCTGACCGCCGAGGCCGGTGAGGCGGAAGTGGGGAGTGTACTGGACGTAGAAGCCGGTAGCACACGCGAGGATGTCGACGTCGATTTGATCACCGGCTGCGGTTCGAATGCCAGTGCTGTTTACGCGCGTGATGTCATTGAAGTTGCAGGTAACATTCTCCCGAATAAGTGCCTCAAGGTAGCCCTCGCCTGGTGTAAGCCGGCGACACCCAGGACTCCAGCTTGGGACGATCTTGGACTTCAGATCCTCACGATCGCCTAGCCGTGAGCGCATCTGCTCTTGCACGATCTGCTTGAATCTGACATTGAGCTCCGAGCCGCGCATAAACATACCCCAGCCGGCAGCGAAGCCGCTTTCGATGCGCTTGCGGTACTTCAGATGGTAGTCTGGGTCGTCCCGGAAGCGTTGCCTCTCCTTCTCCGTATATTGATGCTTGCCGGCTGCCGCAGGGTCAGCGGCAAGCGGATCGGCTTCCTCGTTTGTGATATTGGCACCCATTTGCGGCGCGATGTACGTCTCGTTGCGCAAGAAGACGGTGACGTGCTCCGCTTTGTCTGCCAACTGAGGCAGCATCTGGATTGAGCTCGAGCCACTGCCTATGAGTCCTACCCGCTTACCTGACCAGTCGAGATCCTGAGGCCATCTTGCAGAGTGCGCCAGTGTACCCTTGAAGTCGTGAAGGCCTTCAATGGAGGGCCATTTCCACTTCGTAAGCACACCAGAGCCGTTGATGAAAACATCGCATGTGTCTTCAAACGTCGAGCCGTCGTTTCGTCTTAGCTGAACGTGCCACTTTCCCTCGAGGTCACGCCATTCGGCGCTGAGAATCTCTGTATTAAGCACGCAGAATTCCTGCAGCTGGTGCTTTTCATAGAACCTCATGAAGTAATCATGTATTTCGGGGGCGTAAGCATAGTACCCGCTCCATTCAGGGTTGGGCTCGAACGGAAACGTGTATACATGAGCCGGGATGTCACACGCACACCCTGGGTAACGATTCTCATACCAAGTTCCGCCTGGAGAGTCGTTCTTCTCGTAACAGACAAGCTCGAAGTTGGTGAGCATCCGTCTCGCCTTGTAGCCGGCCAACAGTCCTGAGGCGCCCATCCCAACATGAATGATGCGGATCTTGTCGGGGTCGCAGATGGGTCGGTCTGGCACCTCCTTATCTTGCTCATTTGCGTGAGGCATAACGTCTGTACAGATGGGAATGAAATCGACGACAGGATAGGCAAAGGTTGATATAAACACGAAGAAAGCACTTACAATAACCTATTACACTTCTGAGTCTTTACAACTCGACAAGCAGTTTAAGGCAATGCCAAATAGCAAATTCATGCAATGAAGCGGGCAACGGATCAACCGAGGTACTGTACAAGCAGCCAAGTAGTTGGTCACACTGCGCGCATGAGCAAGCGACAAGACGGGGTTGCGGACTACACCCACATGGGATTCAATTGTGAAGGCCGAACACCTGACGTGATGGAAGTGAAAGCGTCAGTGTAGGGCACGGACGGAGGTGGAGAGAACTGGTGAAGAAGGAGAAAGCGTGATCACGGAAAGGCCCATACCCGGGAACTTCCGCGTCTGCCAAGCCTGCCCTCTCCGGACCTCATCGCTGCCAGCTCGTAGAAGCTCCCGTACCTCACTCCAAATCGAAGAAAAAGCCACACTCAAGATGCCCGTCAAGCCCATTACTGGCGTACGTACTCACCATACAACGTAGCGCTGTCTCACTGACCGATATGGCTGACCAGACACTGCAGATGCTCCGAAGGGGCTTAGTCCTTGACCTCTCCGTCGCTTTCGGTACGCCATACACGAGCCTGCTTCCCACCTGCAGCGCATTGTAGCTCTTGGAGTACCGAGATGACGATGGGTAAGACGGTATGCTAACGCCACATTTGCAGGTCTCGGCACAGCATGCGGCTACTTCTGGTGGTACGGTACGTAACAACGATCCAATGGAGATAGCAAGACCAGCTGCGGCACTTGAACAAACTTCTCCCGCACGCGGAGTCACCAATTCCGGTTGAACACGCTGACTGAACGTCATCAGGCTACCACGTCCCAGCCACCCGCAATCGCGATATGTTCTACGCCAAGCTTGAGGATCAGAGAGCGGAGGCGATGGGTCAAGTTTAAGCGTAGCAATCACACCAGAACAGGGAGAACTCGGAACGCGACGGGAATGGAGCTGAAGCGAGTAGATTGTGGCACGTGAAGCTGTTCGAAGCTCGCAAAGACAAGAAATGGACGTTCAAGCGGAACAGAGTGCGTATCTCGCGGACCGGAGCTGTACATATACCACCCCAAGCGATCCCAATTTCAGCATCACCGGCCTTCTACGGGCTATGAGATCTGGCACTCCTTCTAGCGGTTATCATGAGTATTGAACTTCGAGATTGACCATGCAAGCTAACACCGCACCACCACCCCGCCCCGACTAACAGTAAGGTACTTCACACCCTTATACGGCTTGATTTCCGCCCCAAGCCCACGACTCTTCTTCGTATCCAGTAGCAGACTCTCCACCTTCAGCCCGCTGGCCAACCATCCCTTAACACTAAAGCTGAGCGTGGCGGAAGTGGGCATCAGCTCTCGTCTCACACCATCTCCAGCTCCGTTTCCATGTCTACCATTTGCACTTTTGGATGTGGCAGTGAGTGCTGTGTGCTGCTCGGTCGTTGGCTCGTCATCCGTGTAATCGTAAGTGGTGGCTGTCATGCCGTTTCGCATCACTGCCGCGTCTCCGTCCTCGTCCGTGGTTGGTCCTTGAACGCTGCAGCGAAGCACGGCGCCCAGAGGGCCGAAGTCTTTCGCTGGGACCTTCCATTCGATACTCCCATCCGCCGGATTATAATGTGCTTCGCCTTTGCTCGGCCGGAGATCCGTTACATTCCGCACCGCAGCAGGTAAAGGCACATTCACAGTCAAGTTCTCCACCAACGGCGCCTTGGCGTCACCGCCAGCACTTCCTCTCCCACCCCCTGAGCCAAGGTTCGACTGCAAGCTCGCCGCCGCCACCGACGTACTCCCTCCACTCAAGCCGGAGCTAGGCTGCACAAGCCGTACCTCAAACTCATTCCCACCCCCTCCCACCCCCGTCGTAACCTCGACGCTCGCCGGCACGGGCAAATTCGGCTGATGACTCCACGCACTCCCCTTTCCCACCGTCATCGGCGTACCAGAACCCAACAGATCAACCTCATACCCACACAAAGCAAACCTCCCATCCGGCGGCAAAAAACTCATTACCCCATCTGACTTCCACCGGTTCAACCTCACACAGGGGTGAAACACCACCCGCTCCATCACGCCTCTCAACTGATCTCCCCTGTTCGCCATTCCCATCCCCGCGTTCTTCCCGCCCGTAGAAAGCGTGAGCAGTAAATCCGGCACCCCAGAGACTTTGGACGTAAACGCTATACTCCCGTACGCGAACGCTGCGATAGGTCGTCCCGAGGGCGCGAGTGTGACGGAGAGGGTCTCGACAATGTCAACATAGAGCTCGTTGCTTGTGTGGCGGACGTTGCTGCGGCGCCAGGGGATGGCGGACCCTTGGCTGCTTTGGGCTGGGGAGAGGGTTGGTCTTTGGAGGGAGCCGAGTGAAGGTCCTCCGGACTGCGATTGTAGTTGTAATCCTGGTGCCGGTCCGCCGGGGAGTCCGACTTTGCCTAGGAGATTGTTGAGCACACCCGGGCCCGTCTCAACCACATCTCGTAGCGCGTTCGCTTCGCCCTGACATACTATCCCCGCATCCGCCACTTCCGCGACGATTTGGGCGACGATGTCGTAATTGGCTGTTATCTTCGAGGCGAGCAAGGGACTGCCGAGGAACTCCTCAAAGGCTTCTGCGATCCGGTGGAGGAATTCGAGGACGAGGAGGGGTTCGACATCGTGCGAGGAGGGGGACAGGAAGAGCAGATTGTCCTGGACAAGGGAGTAGAGGAGGGTGGGTGGGGAGATGGAAGGAAGATATAGTGTGCTGGGGCGGGGAGAGGGGTGTTGTAGGTAGAGTGGGAGAAGGGTTGTGGCGGGAGGTGGACGGCCGAGGTAGCTGTGGGAGAGGATGAGATTGCTGTGTCACGATACGTTAGATCATTGTTCACGCGATGCGAGTTGCCGGTTTGGAAGTTTGTACTTACGTACTTATGCTCGTCGAAGATGTAGAGGGCTTCTATCGCACTCATTGTTGCGCCGGGATGTTTGCCGGAAGGAACAAGCTATTCAGTGTGGCATGACAACGGGTGAAGCGATACGAAGGCTCCTGTTAGTCATTCCTGTGTGTTTTCGTCTCGGCATCACACGGTAAATGTACGCTGTATGGACAGTAGCAATAAGACCAATATTGCACGACTCGTGGAGCGGGCTGTCGCGGGGCTACTCTTAGGTCGCCTCGGGTGCAATTGGCTACACGATAGTCCTATAGAACCGGAAGTGTCTCAACTGAAGTTAATGGGTTTCACACAAGAGCAGGGCTGGTGACTCATGTCTTCATTGTTATAGATTTGTTGCCCCATTCCTCACTAGCTCAAGATGAAGAGAGCTGATGTTCTTTCGACAACGAAGCGTTTCGTGACAAGTGGTGCAGACGATACATCTGAGAAGGCAAAGTGCATAGACTTCTGACATCGTTCCTCGCTTGTCACTAACGCTGTGAAGCTTCTCGCCTTCAATTGGCTCACTCTTACCCCCATCATTACAACTCAACCCCTTGCATCAAAGCATATCCTATGAAGTACCGCTGTACCGAAGATGCAGTCGGCGAACACTGGGATTGCAAACCCGCGGCCTTCGCCAGGAGAGTGTCCTAAGCGGCCGTAAGCGCGATGCATGCGGGACGATCTATTCGAAGCAGCACCGCCACCTCAGTCTTACAACCCTCTACTCAGCAAAGACGTTACGGCCGCGCACTGTGCCTTAGACACAGTTACGGGCTCCTACCTGTGGCTCAACACGCCTTAACCTGTTCCCGTGGGACCATCCTTACGGCGATGTGTGGGTACCGCCCCTAAGCTCCGCTACTTGCTCACATCAAATTGCGGCTCATGTCAGGCGTCTCCAATGGCCGACTTACGCTACTTCGTCTATTCTAGCGGACGCATGTAGAGTTTGTCTACACTGCCAACGGTCATGGCGAATGCTCACTGTGGGCATTGTTCCTGTCAGGATGCTGAGTCCGACGATAAGCTATATGGTGCGGGTACACTGCCCTCATAATGCGTCTCGAGGTACATTCTGCAATTTCGTATCCTGTCTGTTCCCTGTCGATCGATACTCTCTTCGTTGGTCCATCATGACTCGTGTCTCTCTCCTCATGCCCATTGCGGCAACCATCCACATCGTAGCCGGTACACTTGGTGTTGGCAGCGTCGACGAAATCAAGTCTGCGGCACAGATCATTGCTGGCAATCTCATGACATACTACAACCCGTCGGAGAATGGTGTCCTTCCTCAGCCATACGTAAGTCTACCAGATATGGCCCGGTCATGCGGCAGAAGCTGACATAGCCACCTCGGTGCAGTGGTGGTGGGAGTCAGCGGGTACTTGGGCGACTATGGTTCAGTACTCCCACTACACCCAAGACTACCAATGGGACCAGGAAGTTGCCGCCGGTATCCTTGCACAAGCTGGCGCAAACCAGGACTTTGATGGACCGAACGCTCTCGGCAATGACGACCAACTGTGGTGGGGAATCACCTGCATGGCCGCAGCAGAATACAACTTCCTTCCACCTTCCACCGGCGTTTCATGGCTCCAACTAGCCCAGAATGTCTACAACGCCGTCTCCGACCGCTGGGACACCAGCTCCTGCAACGGCGGCCTGCACTGGCAGATCCTACCCAATGCAGACGGGTACAGCTACAAGAATTCCATCGCCAACGGGCTTCTCTTCCAACTAGCCGCACGCCTTGCTCGCTACACCGGGGACAATCAGTACACCGACACAGCCAACAAAGTCTGGGACTGGACCGCCTCCGTCGGCCTCATCGACCCAACGAACTACAACATCTACGACGGCACAGATAGTAACATAAACTGCATCAATGTCGACCACGACCAATGGTCCTACAACTCGGGCGTCTTCCTCTACGGAGCAGCGGTAATGCTAGACGTGACAGGTGACGACAACAAATGGTTTCCTCGCATCACCGGCCTCGTTGCATCAACCACAGCAACTTTCACAACCAACAACATACTGCAGGAAAGCAGATGCGAAGCAGCAGGCAACTGCAACACAGATCAACTCTCCTTCAAAGCATACATCTCCCGTTGGCTCGCCGCCACCGCCGCGCTGGTGCCGGAAGCAGCGTCGCAGATCCAGCCGCTGTTGCAAGCCTCTGTGCAGGGGGCCCTGGCGTCGTGCAATGGCGGCACGGATTCGAATGTATGCGGTACGAAGTGGACCATCAATGCTTACGATGGCACGTGGGGCGTGGGCCAGCAGATTTCGGCGTTGGAGATTGTGCAGGGACAGTTGGCTGCCGGGATGCCGTTGCCGTCTCGGATGTACCGGAGACGGGTGGCTAGAGCGTTCAAGGCATAGGAGTTGGGTGGGCTCTCACAACGTTCATGTGCTCTGTGCAACGAGGTTAGCGTGGCGTTTAGGAGCGCTCTCAAAGCGGATTCGGGATGAGATTATGCGACGCAATAAGACATCACTTCACCCAACCCGTTCAATCTTCGAGTGACAGGCCCCCGGAACACGTATGAGGCTCGACGGATGTAGACTTTCTTGCACTGCTAGTAAACGCTAAGACGCGCTGCTTTCCTTCGGGACGCCTTTCGCTACGCTACCCCAAACGCCAAAGCACCTAACATCCAGCACGGAGGGAGGACGCACTCTCTCCTTACCGCCTAGCAAAACAGCAAAGCAAGCCACTCCTCCCCAAGAACCAGAGACACCCCATGAACCGGATAAAGCTCAATCCGGCCGTCGCCCACAACAACGCCCTGAAAAAGTTCGCCGTTCGCGTAGTAGCTCCACTGCTAAACCCAAAGCGATCCACACTATCGTTCGTGATCAACACAACCAACAACGCATTCGAAAAGATCCACGCACTCAACAGCCGCGTGCGGAAGGACTTGTAACTATCCTCCAAGCTGACCTTCTTCTCCTCCTTCGGCGCCACATACGGCGTCAACGCGCGCTTGACGGTTTGTTCGAACTGGGAGTCGATGTCCGCTTGCGGGAGGTCGGGTTCCTCGATCACCGCGCCCATGCCGTCAGAGGCCTTTTGGCTTTGGACTGAGGGCAGGGCTTCGGCTTTATCGGATCCCTTGGTGCCCCACGAGACGTCGTGCCAGTTGCTGAAGGCGTAGACCATGAGGATGTTGATGTAGCTCGTCATCATGAGGAGGTACTGGCCGAAGGAGGTGAACATGTGCCAGGGGTCGAGGTAGAGGAAACTGGCGACGAAGTAGAGGCCGAAGGTTGCGGCGACGGCGATGAGGATGACGCCGGGGCCGTTGGTGCCGAAGAAGGAGTGGATGAAGGCTTGGGTGCCTTTGTTCGTTTCTATGCCGGTCAGGTTGTCGCCCATGAAGGCGTGCACGACGAGCCAGACGGAGTCGACGATGACGTAGAGTTGGATTAGGGCGTAGACGCAGAAGGAGGTGATGTAGCTCCACTTGCTGCCTTTGGGCCGGTTGCCGAGGGCAAGGATGAATTGGAGGAGGAGCATGGCGAGGTAGCCGTACTCGACTATCACGTTGATGATGGGGGTGACGGTGGTGCCGAAGGGGAAGGCGGGTTGGTTGTTGATGGTGCTGGAGGTGTTGACGAGTTGGAGGATGACGATGGTGGTGAGGTAGTAGGAGGCTATCATTTTGATTAGCACAACAGGCGTACTCTCGGATTGAATTGGTCACTTACCAAGCGAAAACCAGGTGAGAAACACCGTGGCAATGTTATAGATCAACTGGATGTGAAAGAAGAACATGCGCACAATATTGTGTCCAGACCGGTACATGCGGGAGAAATGCATGAGCGAGTAAAGCGTGGCAGCGAACGAACCATTGAGCCAACGTCGGCGCTGCCCAATGAACTCGGGCGCACCTTCAGGCACATCCGTCTCGCCCTTGGACGCCTTGACGTAAGTCAGATGCCACTTGCTGCCGGCCTTGGCGACCAGTTCAAAGCACAAGATACGGTCCTCGGCCAAGAACATGTTCTTCTTGAAGATATTCATGCCCTCGATACCCTTCGGACCGAGCTTCTTGGACAGCGTGTGGTCACCGTGGAAGTACTGCTCCAGAGGCCGACCCATGATGGCGCGGAAACGGTAGGCGGAGAAAGCACCGGGTAGCACGGACACGTAGCCGAAGGAGGATTCGAGCGGTTTGTCCAGGATGTTGGAGATTTTGTATTCGAAGTTTTGAATCGCCACGAGCGGGTTGAGAAGGTTACGCCAGCCCCGGCCGAGTAGAGCGTGGATCTCACCGCAAGCACCGCCTAGATCCTTGTCGTTGTAGAAGGCCTCCCAAAGTGCGAGGAGAGCTTTGTTGCCGGGTCTCGTACCAGCGTCGAGCAGAATGCAGACTTCCGGGTTCAGAATGCGGCCAAAGGCGGTGAACAGCCATCGATGGGAGTTGATCTTCTTGCTGTTCTCCTGCTTCAAGCACAGGATCATCTGTACGGGCGGCAGAGTGGAAGGTCCGTCATCGAGCGGTCGAATGAGTTGCTGATTCGGCGTGACAGAGAGTTGCGTGGTGTACTCGAAGATGTGCGCTACCGTCTCCTTGCCGTCGATACCTTTCTTCATAATGCCATCCTGATACAAGCCGATGGTGGCCATGACATCAAGCATGCCCTTGTCGCAAGGGTCGATACCGTCGCAGACCAGGCACACCACGATCTTCTGCCACGCCGGGCCGCCCTTGTTCCAGAACTCCGACTTCTTCAGGTTCACAATATCGCGGATGTTCTGCATGATACCGTGCAACGTGCGGGCGGTCAGGACCTTGTCCTCATTGTAGTAGGTAATGGCAATCAGCAGCTCCGTATGTCTGTTATACATGGCCGGGCGGAGATTGTACCCATTCTTCAACGTGAAGTCGTCCGGATCGCAGGTGGCGGCCGTATAGCGCAGATGGGTGAACTCCTCGCTTCCCGCCTCCAAATCATTGCGGTACTTCGTTTGCACGGCATTCTGGATGGCAGACGGGACGGGGTAGTCTGCACTCAGCACCGCGCCTTGCACAAGCTTGACCTTACGAGTGGCGTTGCGCTTCAAGCCGCCCTGCTGTGCTGCCGGACCGCCAGGCTGTTGTCGCTCCCGCCACGCTTGTGTGTTAGGTGACTCGGGTCGGGCATACGGGCTCGGAATGCGGTCGATTGGTCCGTAGGCTGGATCTTCAAGGACCGCGCCACCCATGCCATTGTCGTAGTGATGGCCATTGTACGGCGGTGCACCGTGCTCTGACCCGCCCATATACGACTCCTCCAGGCTGTAGCCGCTGGTCGGAGCGCCATGGTGGTTCATTGGCTCGTCGAACGGGCCTTCGAATGGGCCGTTAGGGTTGGGATGTAGGAGTGAGCGTTGTTGTTCATCGTCGTCGCTCTCATGTGGTGGGGGTGCGTGAAGTGGTTGCTGCTCGAGCCGCGTCAGTCACTGTTGCACAATCATGCCAAGACGGGCATTGATGCTATTTCATGCTGGTGAATGGACATACCGAGCCATGAGGCAGGCCATGCTCGTCGCCGTACCCTCCGCCGCCCTGATACGCCATTCCTTGCTTCGCGTGAACCGTGCCTCAGCTCACGCAGTCAGCTGATGGGCTAGCCTCGTTTGCTCGCCTCTATGAACGCCGGTCTCGATCCTGGTGCTTTTAAGGCGAGTATGTGTTCTCCCCAATATGCTTAACAGAGAAGAAGACGCAACGAGAGTGTCTCTGCTGTGGTCGAACGAAGAGAGGTTAGGGGCAAGAATGTTCAGGTGAATTGAAAGGTTTCGCTTGACGTCTCAAGGTGCTGACAAGTTAGTTCGCGCGTTCCCCAGTCAGGGTCCGGAACTTGGTGCACGGTGACTGGTCGCCTCAGCCGCGCAGCTCGTGTTTCAGATCTTTCGTCTCACGGCGAGAGATCGATTCGAAAGTGCCGTACTAATTCGGGGGAGCTCAGGGTGAGAAGATGTGATATGAGAATGATGGAGAATTGGACTCGTTTGGGGAATGGGCACGCTATAGCTATGGCAAGGATGGCCAGCTGAGGAATTGAGGTGCTGGTGGTGAGAGCAGCATTGCCCGCATTAGACAAACGTTCCTTGCAGGCGTTCCGCAGCCGAGCCTATTTCCAGCGCTACGACATGCAGCTAGCGTGCGGTCAAGCCTCCGTCTAGAAGCGCTCCGCCTCAAGCCACAGCTGTATCAACATGAAGGTCGCCTTGACCGCACATCGAGGGCGGAGGGCGTACGTTAGTGCGATGGATGGGAGGCGTCGAGGTTGACTCGTGGCGCGCGCTGTACAGACGAAGGTGAAATGTGATGAAGGGTTTGTTTATTCGACCGAGACAATGCGATAGGAAGCGTGCGGTGACGCCGTTCTAATTTTTCTACGACACACCAGCCATTATGTCTGAGTCCAACAATCATCCCTCGAAGCTCTCCATTTCGAGAGACTGCACCGACCTGGTCATCGTATGCTGCCACGCCACATACATCGGCGGTGATCTGGGAGGCGACCCTCTCAACGAGAAGAACTGGATCTTGCAACCCTTCCAGCGTGCAGACCCAGCAACCCATAAAGCTAGCGAGGCTCGCACTTTCGCCGCTCATTATCGTGCTGGCGAGGAACTCTGCAAACAAAACGCACAAGCTCTACTACTCGTATCAGGTGGACGGACCACCAACAGACACTACACCGAAGGCCAAAGCTACCACAATGCTTTCTCGTCGATAACTTTAAACCTGCTGAGCGAGTATGTCGAGTCCTTGGCGACAGACAGCTACCAAAACCTCCTCTTCTCCGTCCTACACTTCCGCCACCTTGTAGGACGATACCCGGAATACGTCACCGTGATCACGCACGCATTCAAAGCGAATCGCTTTCTCATGCTACACGCGCGTGCCATCAAGTGGCCACAGGACAGAATCCGAGTGCAAGGCGTCGATCCGCCATTCACGCTTGCTGAGCGGGCGCAGACGGAGCAGTTGGAGCGGCAACGGGCGTTCGAGCCATTCGAGGCGGATTTGTATGGTGTGCGAGCGCCGTTGGCTGACAAGCGAAGGGCGAGGAATTGGGAGCCTAGGGCGCTTGACAGTATGCCTACTTATGATGAGTCTGTTTGGCAGCTCCTGAGGTGGACGGGAGGTTTGAGCGGCAACGAGATCTTTCCCGGCCGGCTGCCGTGGGAGGAAGAGGGAGAGCAAGAATGAACGTGCCTGTCAGTCCGGTGGCTCGATCGTGGCAGTCTCTTGCAAGCTTGTCACGGCAGCCTGGTACACGTCGAGCTTGATCGCTCCAGCAGACCAGATCATCGTTGCTTCAATGTAAGTCAGTCTGGCCGTCTTCGAGCGGTTAGGCTTGGAAGTCACGAGATCTGGCGGCGAAGATCGCACGTAGCCCATGACGTTGAGCCAGGCTCCCGTCTCTAGAAGCTCGTGGTTCATTCCGTCGATTACGCCGTGGATTGAGACAATGGCGGTGGGAGTACCCGGGCTGGTGGCGGGATAGCGGTCCTTCAGCGTGAGTCGTGCAGTCTGACCGTCGTAGTTGTGGACGCTAGAGAGAGGTTACTAGACTTCTAGTAACATCATGGAAAGGCCGATGAGACTGATGGAACGCCGCTCACCATGCGAGGAAGCGGACTTTGCTGCCTTTGTCAATTTGGTGCAACTGTCCCAGCTTGACGAGGCGACTAGGCTCCGGCATTCCACTTGCAGTTCTCAGCGTGCCAACGACATCCCAGTCAGAAGAGGACCATCCTTTCTGCGAACCAATACACTTATAGTGTGATGTGATTAATGTTCGATGTAAAGTGTTATGATGTTGTGCCTTTCTCCGTTCAGCCCAGCAACGAGCATTACCTAATCGTGGTGGGTCGGCCTCCGCCCACGTCATTCGCTGATGCACATGTCAAGGCCACACACCACTCGCCCGCCCTTGTTCCACCCACCACAAGGCAGTTATCAGCGTCCTTTCCTGTACCGCACACCGCACAGCACCACCAACGACAGGCAGCGAAATAAGCATATCAGTGACAAGACAACCGCCAAGGATCACAAGAGCTTGTCTCCGACCACCATCTCCGCCGCTAGAAGACTTATAGCTTATCGCCCTACAACAACCACCACCAGCAACCCACCGCCGCCCCGGTCTTCCCACCGCCACCACCCCGGATAGTAGGGTACACCTCCGCCCCCGAGCGGCGTAGCACATCATCATGTCAAGCGGGTGGGGCTGGGGCAGCCTGTTCGGCGGCAACGCAGCGAAGAGCAAAGATGCGCCCAAGAACGCCATCCTCGGCCTCCGCAGTACCCTCGAGATGCTCGCCAAGCGCGAGAAGCACCTGCAGAATCAGATGGACGAGCAGGATGCCATTGCGCGGAAGAATGTGACTTCGAATAAAGCTGGTACGTCCCGACATCCCCCCCACATGTACATCACGCGACCACCAGCGGTGATATCGGCGGATGGAGATGCTAATGATATGTGATGACGATCAGTTGCCAAAGCTGCATTACGAAGAAAGAAAACATACGAACACCAACTCGAACAAACCTCCGCGCAAATGCTCACCGTCGAGCGCGAAATCTCCTCCATCGAAACGGCGAACATCAACAAAGAGACCCTCGACGCGATGAAACACGCGCAACAAGCGATGAAGAAGATCCACGGCGGGCTGACAATCGACAAAGTGGATCAGACGATGGAGGATTTGCGGGAGCAACACGCGATCGGGGAGGAGATTGCCGAGGCGTTGACGCAAGGGAATAGTGTTGGGGCCGGGGCGGTGGATGAGGAGGAGTTGGATGAGGAGTTGGCGGAGTTGCAGCAGGAGGAGTTGGACAACAAGATGTTGCGGACGGGGAATGTGCCGGTCGGGGATGCGGTGGGGCGGTTGCCGAATGTGCATACGGGGGAGCGTGAGTACACCAACATCCTCCCGGCGAAGAGCAGATGTGCGAGGGTTAAGTGTATGTGCTGATGTTTTGTGTACAGTTCCAACGAGGCAACAACGAGTGGAAGAGGACGACGAGGAGGAAGAGTTGCGGAAACTACAGGCCGAGATGGCTATGTGATGGCAGATACTCGTGGAAGTCTCTTTTTGGCGTTCTATCTGCAGCGAACTTCCATTTCCGCATGCGATGGCAATATCGGCGCAACTCTTGCTTCGCGCAGTACCACTTACTCATACAGCAACGATTCACAGATCATGTTCGCAAACGTTCAGGCTTCCCATTCGCTGCTGCCGCCGCCGCCACCACTACCCCCGTCCAACCATTCTTATCAACGTCCCTAACCCATCGAACCCCATTCGTCTTCACCACAAAGCTTCCCATACACACCCCCTCACACATCCCGTACATTCCCTCCCTCCACCCCAGCTTACTTCAAAGGCCTAGGCCCAATAATCTGCCTCCTCCCCCCAAAATTAATCCCACTCCCCGCACTACTCCCCCTATTCGCATTATCCCCACCCGTATACCCATACTGATTCACATCCCAGCTCTGACCCGCGCCCACCCCGGCATGCGGATCCCTCTTCTGATCCTTGCCCTTGAGTTCCTGCTGATTGACCTCCCACTCCCTCTGCCGTTCCCGCTCCCGCTCCATCTCCCGCTCCAGCAAACTCTTGCTCGCCCAGCCACCCGCTTTCGTCTGCGTTTGGGAGGCGAGACGCCGGTCCCGGTCGCGGGATTGTTCGAGGGAGGTGTCGCCTGCTTCTTGGCTGCTTGAGACGCGGGGTCGGATTTCGGCGGGGGCCGGGTTGGTAGCTAGGAAGGCGGAGGTGCGGTTGGTGCTGCGGGTGGTGGTTGGGCTGTAGGCGTGGAACTCCTTTTCCGGGGTCGGGAGGGGACGGTTTGTGCTGCCTAGGGGTGAAGAGGTGGGGGCTGATTCGGGGTTGAATTGGGGGATTGAGGAGGTGGAGGAGGTGGACTGGAGGGGTGGAGCTTGTTGGTGTGCGGTTGGGAGATCGTCGGATGGACCGTCTTCTTGCGGTGCTGGTTCCATTTCCATTTCTGGGTCTGAGGGTCGTGGTTCGGGAGCTGGAGCTGGAGCTGGAGCTGGGTTCGATGCTGGTTGTAGCGGTCGTGAGGGGAGGAGTGCAGGCACACGATTCGCCTCGCTAGGCAACTTTTTCTGCGCTCCCGGTGCCGCTGCAGTAGCAGAAGGAGTGCTTGTCGCCGCCAAGCCATTCCGACCACTCTGCCACTCCCGCCGCAAAACCTCCCTCTCATCCCCTGTCCAACTCGCCTCACTCTCCCGCGCACTCTGCGGCCTCGCCACCTCCGTCTGCGTCCGCGAAGACTGCGCGGTACTCGGTCTCGACGACCTCTCCTCGCCCCGCCTCAACCGCTCTTCCCGCTCAGCCTGGTACTGCCGTTCCCGCTCCCGCGCCTCCTCGAGCTGCCTCTCCAGCTCCTTCACCCTGGCTTGCTCCGGCGTCAGTTCATCCGCCGAGCCATCCGTGCCTCGTGAGGCTGCCGCAGCCGACTCCCGCTGATACTCCGCCAGACTCTGTCCTCTCAGGATGCCATTACTGCTCACCCTGGGCTTCTGAGGGGGTTGCTTGGGTAAAAGCTTCGCCTGCATCTCCACCTCTTCCTTCCGCCTCGCTTCCTCCTCAACCTTCCACCTCCGCTCCTGCTCCTCCCATACCCTCTTCTGCTCCTCCACTTTCCGCCTCTCCTCTTCCCTCAACCGTCTCGTCTCGTCCTCCCACCTTCTCTCCTCATCCGCCTCTTCCGCCTCCCTCTCCACCCGCCTCTTGTACTCCGCCTCCTCCGCCTGCACCCTCAGTCTCTCCTCATCCTCCTTCCGCTTCTTCTCCTTCTCCACCAAGCTAGGCACATGCGGAGCCTGACTCGTAATCTGTCTCCGCGCGCCGAAGCTAATCCCTTGATTGCCCTGCGACGCTCCGCCCATGTAGCCGTATTGGTGGATGTTCCAGGCTGGCATGGTGGCGCCTTCGTCTTGCCGCTTGCTCCAGCTACTGACTGGGCCGGAAGAAGACTTCATCATCCCGCTACCCGCGGCGTTGGATTGGGAGCCGGTAGAGCCGCCGGTGAGCGAGGGTGTCAATTTCGTTGGGCTTACAGGGCGATTGCCGCGCCATGTGGAGCCGTTGGTGCTGGTCTGGTAAGGGGAGTCGACCGCGCCGATCTTTCTGGGGCCAATAGCGGTGCGGAAGCGGGAGGGGTTGAGGGCATGTGCTTTTCTGCTGAATGCGCCAAGACATTGAAGCACCTGCGCCGGGTCTTTGGCTTCGAAGAGATCGACAGTCAGGAAGCGGTCGTGTGCTGGAAGATTGACAGGCGGCATCTCGCATGCCCTTAGGAAGTGGCTGATGTTCTCCATTTGGATGAAGGGCATGCCGCTGCTCTTGAACTTGACACCCGGTGGGGGAAGGGCCAGATTGACAAGCTTGCAGAGCGCTACGCCGTCTTTGAGCGCTTCGAGGAGGTCGCCGGCGGGGAGTTGTTCGCCCAAGGTGTCTTCCATCCATGCGCGCACTTCCTGCGCCGCTTGGGGAGTGTAGCGGGCGAGGCGCAGGTTGCGCATGTCCTGGTCCAGCGACGAGACGGAGGCCATGCTTGCGGCTGCCGATGATATGCTTGCGTTTCAATTGATTTAATTGTTCGACTTTCGTTGCATCGTAGTCGCGAGCAGTCTCCGGTACATTTATATGGTCCGACTTGATTAATTGATGGGTGAAACAACAGTCAATGTTTACCGCAGTGACGCAGGCTGGAGGGACATTGCTGGCCTGAGGCGACCTCGGCGCTTCGGATCTCATTACAGCGGGGCCTCGGGCCGTTAGATGCCGGTGTTTCTTTCACAGGCCTGCAGTCTGCGTCAACAGTAACCCCGAAGGTATCAGGCTCTGTGACTTCAGTACGCGCTTCGGGTTGGTCATCGGCTGCTCTGGGAGGATTGGCAGCAGGCTCGGGTACAGCGTAAGCTATACGCATTGTTAGGCAACAAATCGAGACGAGCAACCGCCGCATACGACGGGGGACGCCTTCATACCACTGGGCACGGCAGTGTACGGCAGATAACGGCTTCGTACCGCAATTGACGGCAGCATACCACAGCGACGGCAGTATATTACAAGCAACGGCAGCATACTGCAAGCAACGGCTGTATACGCGGACCTGGTGGCATCTACCGGAACCTGCACGCATCGGCGCCGCACAAGTCACAAGGACAGCGAACGATGGAGTCCATGAGGAATCTATCGACAAGTCTGCCGACTTCAGGCCGGAGGCGCACAGAGCAACCAGAGCTGCTCTCCGAATTCAAGGCAGCCGCCTTGTCCGTGACGAATTTGTTCAAGGCAGCCACTTCCGCACAGGCGAAGGCAAGGTCATCAGGCTACCAAGATGCTCTCGACGACCTGTTGGCCTTCCTGGACCGAGAGAATTTGGGGTTGATGGACGGAGAGGGGTGGAGGGTGAGGCAGTGGGCAACGGAGCGCTTAGACGGTGAGGGAGCGCCTGGGAAACAGAGCGGTGCTGATGAGGAAGACGAACTGGTTGTGCGGCACGATGACGGCCTCAACACACGCAGCTCGTCGCCCGAGGCTCAGAGGAAATCGCCCCCAGCTGTGCCGGTGTCATCCAGTCATTCGGCAGACGAGTCGTCTCCGCCTCGAAGAGTCCTGTCAGAACCTCCCGCATTGCAAGCAACACCCGCAATACAGTATCCCTCTCAACTACCAACGACACACGACTTCACCTTCCGCTCCACCCACGCATACCCAACCAACCACGACAGAGAAGGTAGCGTCGGCATGGAGCTGGACGCTTCCTCCTCTAGCCCACAGACGACCGCCTCTACACCATCAAGCACCGGCACCGTCCGCATTTTACCACGATCCTCACGCTCACGCCACACGAACCACAACCGACATCGAGAAAATGGCGGTCGGACCATCAATCTCAATCTCGCGAGCGGAGCGGGCGGCAAGCGTAAGATGCCGTATCCGGATTTTTTCGACATCTCAGGGATGGAGTTTGATGGGTCTGACAGTGGGCGAGATGGGAAGGGAGGTCGGGCAGGGGGAGGGAAACGGGGGAGGCATGTGTGATGTGATGAGGTGCAAATTCGTTTAGAGGCTTCTGTTGGCGCATAGCGAGGGAGTGTGGCATAGCATGATTGGATTTGGGATGTTGTATGGAGGCATGAGCATGAGCGACGGCCGTGATCGAGATACCCAGGGTCATGTGGCATGCGTAGCAGGTTATGAGTACAAGTGCAGTCGATTCTGTTAATGTGCAGAACCTTTTTTATGCACTGTTTTCTCCGATTGATAACCGCTATATCAAAATAACGTAAGTTCTATCTATCGAACGTCTATACTACTGCTTAGCAGCATTCACCCGAGCTCAAACATTGCTACGCCTTTATGCGCGTATAAACAGCAGATATACCTGTTACTCTAGGCGTACTACCGTCATCTGCACGATTACCAAGAGATTCGTGGAACGAAAAGAGAACTAAGTGGCTTCGGAGACGTGTGAGCAGAATAATGCGAGAGCATGCACGCCTGAGGCGCCACGGCAAACGGCCCCGTTAAGCGTACCTGAACGGACAATGTCTTAGACTTTCGCGGAGATGAGGACATCTTACGGGAAGTAAAAACCAAACCTGGACATCACCCTCCGATGCTTGGGATCTGAGATCCGAACCGGCCACGTCAAACAGGAATCCTCTATTAGCTGAAAGGTACGATCTAGTACTATAGCCGTGTAACAAAGCTTCGGTCTATCGAAAACGCTTGAGCCTACTCCTAGTGAAGAAGCCTATTCGATTGAGTGAGCGATCTGGAAAAAGGCAAAAGTTAAGGTTCCTGTCACCAACCGTGCAACGTCGAAATAGGCAGCCTGCCCCGGTCGTTGCAAAACTATTCTTCTGCAACGGTTGCACCTGTCGCGACGTCTGCTCAGCCCGGTTTACGTTTGAAACGGATGACTTACGTGGTCATTCCAGCCGTCTTTTCAGGAACTTCTTCCAGGCTAGGGACGGCGTCACAGCCCACAAGGACTTGGTCCTCGGCATGGCTAGTGAAATACGCCAGCAACTGAACCTGGCGTGCCCGGCCCCTGTAAGACATTTTTACATACAACCCCCCGAGCCGAATACTCCACGGTGGCGGTAGAATTTGCATTCGCTCAGCGCGCGACGGAAAGTATAGCACCTAAATGATGTGTCTCCCCGAACGCGCAGCAGCACGCTAGATGCAGCACGTGGAGACGGGATGAGGATGTCCACTTCTTGCTCCGACCAGATGAGAAGGCCACAGATCTAGGCTCGTTGCAGGTAGGTATATAGAGAAAGTCTGCTGCAACCCAAGAGTGTCCCAGCAACACCATCGCATTCGACACACTCGTTCTAACATTATCAACACTATCACTCGTTCCAATACCACGAAAAATACCATTCATTCCTACTGCCAAAATGGGTCGCTCAATCTTTGCCGTCGCAGCCTGCGTCGCGTCTCTCCTCGCCTCCGTCTCTTCGGCCCAGATATCCTGCCCAGCCAACAACGGCAGCTTGTACGTGTCGGCCGGCGTGACCTTCCAGGTCGAATGCAACGTCGATCGCTACGGCAGCGACACCCTCCTCGCCTACACCAACACTTACAACGCTTGCTTGGATCAATGCGCCGCTCGCGGATCCTGCGTGGATGTGTCATACGTATGTCGCATTCACACAAGGCCCGGTCGAGGGTCCTGACGGATGCTGACTATCCGAGTAGGTACCCGGCAGCCCAGGCCCATGCTACATGAAGAACGGCGTCAACCCGCCGCAGTCGAACAGTGCCGTCAGTACGTACAGTCCTCCTCTTCCTCTTCACTCGAAGGAGGATGATCGTCTAACAGTTCGCTCACAGTCGGAGGCCGCGCCGTCCTTAACGTGCGCCCGGCTTTCTCTTGCCCCTTCGCCAACGGCTTGCTGTACATCACCCCGAACGGCAACACCTACAAGATCGACTGTGACAATGTAAGCCTCACGCACCGACTCCCATCCCTTTTACTTCTGACCTGACGTGCCATTCGCAGGACCACTACGGTGGCGACTTCACCAACAACCCCTACTCCGCCAACAGCATCGAGTCGTGTGCTGCGCTCTGCGACTCGAACTCGGGATGCAAGGGTTACGTTCTCAGCGGCACGAACTGCTACCTCAAGACTGCCTACGGCTCCGCGACGTCGCGCATGGGTCTTTCGGCCGCGAAGTGCATCTTTGGTTGCTAAACGCGAGGCCAAGTCTGTGTGTGTGTGGAACAATGGCGGGGGGTTGGTGGAGTACGTGTGGAGTCTCGCTGGGCTTGGAGGCTTTGTGATCCCTGTTGAAGGGAATTCCAGAACACGGTATAGGCCTCTTCAACGCAGATAACCTGCCGGTGATTCGTTAGTGGTGGCAATGGTTATTTGTGCTGTGTCCTATTGTTGCTTTGTTCTGAAATGAATGCTGGAAAGCTTAACGAAGAGTAACGACTGGAAGCATTGCAATGACCGATACATTGCCACATCCTTCGCCTACTGTGCCTCTTCTATTGAGCTACGTGTAAACCGGCGTGGCTAAGCGCCATAGTGGGGGTCACAGTACCGGTGGAGCATGTAGGTTGAAGAAGATGCTCCCGTTCGGACATTGTTGGTGAGATGAAGAATGCGGCAAAGTAATGCAACGATATTTCTGCCTAAGGCGGTATAGCAGCAGCCATAGAACTACGTAGCGGAAACGGCTCCGCGAGACGCAGAATCTTGGCGCGCACGCCAGCAAAACTTCGCCTTCAACAAGGCGTAACAAATAACCCCAACTCATACTACGACCACACAAGCCTCTCACCAGTACGAGGGACAAAGTGCAGTAATCCGTCAACAAGTCACTTCTCTTCCAACAGTACCGGTCGTGAAGCAACAATGGCTGAGCAACTCGTTCTCCGCGGCACCCTTGAGGGCCACAGTGGTTGGGTGACCAGCTTGGCGACGTCGCTCGAGAAGTGTGTACACCATCAGCCTGCCAAGGTGTATACATACGAATGGCTGACCACGTGACAGCCCGAACATGCTGCTCTCGGCCTCGCGCGACAAGACTCTCATCATCTGGGACCTGACTCGCGACGACACCTCCTACGGCTACCCCAAGCGCTCCCTGCACGGCCACAGCCACATCGTCTCCGACTGCGTCATCAGCTCCGACGGCGCCTACGCCCTCTCCTCCTCCTGGGACAAGACCCTCCGTCTCTGGGAGCTGTCCACCGGCCAGACCACCCGTCGCTTCGTCGGCCACACCAACGACGTCCTCTCCGTCTCCTTCTCCGCCGACAACCGTCAAATCGTGTCCGGCAGCCGTGACAGGACGATCAAGTTGTGGAACACCCTCGGTGACTGCAAGTACACCATCACCGACAAGGGACATACCGAGTGGGTGAGCTGTGTGCGCTTCAGCCCCAACCCGCAGAACCCGGTGATTGTGTCTGCTGGGTGGGATAAGTATGTCAAGGTATGTCTAACATTTCTCTTTTCTTCGCCAGCAGCTACCTCTCGTATGATGCTACTTTCAAGTATTTGCTACTTCAGAGCCTGCGGGCCATGAGACACACTTTGCCTTCACCGGCGCACTGATCCAGCCCACAATCAACCACACTCATATGCCGTCAAAGTACATCTCCGACCTCATGCTGATGAAACATGCTAGGTCTGGGAACTCGCCACCTGCCGCATCCAAACCGACCACATCGGCCACGCCGGCTACATCAACACCGTCACCATCTCCCCCGACGGCTCCCTCTGCGCCTCGGGTGGCAAAGACGGCACCACCATGCTCTGGGACCTCAACGAGTCCAAACACCTCTACTCCCTCACCGCCGGCGACGAAATCCACGCCCTCGTCTTCTCCCCCAACCGCTACTGGCTCTGCGCCGCCACCGCTTCGTCGATTATCATCTTTGATCTGGAGAAGAAGAGCAAGGTGGATGAGTTGAAGCCGGAGTACATGGAGGTGGGCAAGAAGAGCCGCGAGCCGGAGTGTGTGAGTTTGGCGTGGAGTGCGGATGGGCAGACGTTGTTTGCCGGGTACACGGATAATAAGATTCGGGCTTGGGGGGTGATGAGCCGTGCGTAGAGAGAGTGAGGTGCATGTTGGTGGGATGTTGTCGGTGGTGGTGGTGGTGGTGGGGTGTTTGCACGATGATGCTCGATACGAGGATCGCCCTTTGCTTTGCGAGCAGTGTAACAGCATAGATGGCTGGAGCCGGGGGCGACTTCCGATGAAAGGTCGTAGCGGTGCACGTGCTGAGTTCGTGTTGCTAGAGTAGAATGTTGCTACACACCGAAATCGCTCGTTCGAGACTCCCCTGACCATGATTCGCCCTGTTGGCTTGGAGCGAGTACCCCAGATACAAACCGAGTGTGCTCGAGCCTTGGAGCATGCAAAGACCACATCCATGGAGACCACAATAGGCATTCCGGCAGCCACTGACATTTGGTTCGTTGTTCCTTAGCAAATTGATTGGAACTATGCAACGATCCGGACTCCATTGTGTTTGAATCTTGAGGATTTTTACGCACACTCTCCACATGTCCGAAACCCTCATCACTATAGGTCATCGCTGCCCCGGTGCACCAAGTCCTATCTGGACCTCAGGAAACGGCTAATGGCTTAGAAAGCATACTAGCAGTGATTGAGGCGGTTGCGGCAAAACACTCGCGCATTCTCCTGCCGTCTAACGTGATAATCCCTCAATCCTCCTCAACAACCACCGGCAAACTATCAAACACCACCTGGTTCTCCTCATAATGCACCAAAAACCCTTCCCTCAACAACCGCTTCAGCGCGTTCAACCGATGCAACTTCCACCACGAATCGATCGTCATCTTTCCCCCACCGGGTCCTCCAATGGCGATCTTGAGTCTACTCCCCATCTCCCTCCCCTCCTCGTCCAGCGCGGTACTGTACCGCGGACCTCGCGTAGGGTTTTCGACCGTATTCAGGATATCTGTGAACGCGAGATGGAGACGTTTGCGTGAGGACTTTGAAAGACGCTTTGAGGAGGTCTTGGCAAGGGCGGAGAGAGTTTGAATCAATTGATGCTCGTCGCCCTGGATTGGATTGTAGCGCTTGATCATGCGGGTTGAGTGACCGTTGGTGTGGCCGTTTGTTGGAATGCTTTGGTCTTCCTCCGCCGCTTCGTCGTCGGATTCGGCTTCCGTGTATGATTTCTCGTACAACAGCGCGATGTTCTCTCCAGCGGCTATCTGGACATCGACGTCGGCGCTGTCGAGTTGTTCGATCAGAGTTTCCATGCCTTCGGGGGTGGATTCGGACATGTCTTCCACCTGCGTGGCGATGAAGCCCCATTCTTCCAGCGCGGCGGTGACGAGGGCGGCGTTGTCTGCGGCGTCTATTACGGCGCCGTCGGAGGAGACGATGTCGAGGAGGTAGGACATTAGGTCTTCTGTCTGCTCCATTGACGCGCCGCCGTAGAAGGTCGTGATGCTGAGGGTGTGGATCGCCGCGATCTTGGCAGTGGGGTATTGGGAGTCGTTGATGCAAGTCTTTAGTGGTCCGGAGAGGGCGTCGGAGACGGTATCGCTTGGTTCAGTAATGACGAGTAATGCCAGCGCTTTCAGAGCCAAAACGACTTCCTTGTCCGTGGCGTCCGCCTTGACGCTCTTGAGCAGAACCTGCACCGTTTCCTCCCTCCGTGCTCGGACCTCATCAGCCGCATAATGCCTCGTCAGAATCGTCACAAACCCCGTCAAGCTCTCCTCCCTGCCCTCACTAGAACCCTTCCTCCGCGACCCCGCCAACTCGTCCATGCGCTCACGAAGTGCCTCCTTCCAGACTTCTTCCGGAACCGCATCGGCTTCGGTACCGGGCGCAATCATCTCGTCGATGCTCGCGCCGCTCCATTGCGTGCCGTCGCTTAGCTCCGCTTCGTCGTCACTGACATTACGGCTGGGCACTCGCGAGCCGCCGCGCGAAGGAGCGGCGCTGTTGGCACGGCTGGAGGAGGGTGTACCGCCGCCGCCGCCTGCTGCTCGGGAGCGCGCTTTGCGCGACACGGTTTTGCCGGACTCGAGGAGGGCTTGTTTGCGGAGGTCGTGCATGGTTGGTTATAACCTTCTTGGTCGGGTTACGAGAGTGAGGTGATAGTCTCTGCTGTGTTCGGTACTGGTTGGCTGTATGCAGCCTCGACGCTGTTGGTGTCACTGTATGGGCGGATGTGATGAATCATTCAGCTGATAAGAGATGCAGTGAAAATGATGGTCCATGAGGATGGCTTCACCGGTCTTGACAAGCGATAAAACAGCTGTGGATGTGAATTCGAGATTCACGATATGTAAAGTGTGTGAAGTTGCCGTGATATCGAGGTGAGGGCGGCGGCAAGGTGCATGTAGTCACCCATCACACCCCGGTTTTGCCCGTTCCCCGCAATGCACGTGCTAGGAGCAGTAGAGCGGAGTAATGCCTGTTATACGCCGACATACTCTTACAGTGCTTGTGAATGCCACTAGTGACAAAAACTGTTCATCAGTTCATGTTCGTGTGACACGCTGTCGGAGCAACGTACGAGATATATGCATAACTGCTAGGTGAGGCCTAAAAGCTCCGCCCATAGATCGCAATAGTCATGATGGTCGTATTTACCACACTGACCCGCAGTCCCAAGACCGTTCGCCCCGCCAACACACGGATAGCAGTTGTTCTCGCCGGCATTCCCAGTCACACCAGTCAACAGCCCCGTCCTCCTAGAAGCAGCACCTCAGTCAGCGCTTCCCATCACGTCTTCGTTTGCCAGCGAAGATGTATTGAGCAGAGGCACTTACACAGTCACGCATGCAATAGTATTATCGCACCAACAGTCCGCCGTCGTTGCAGCAGTATTGGCAGCTCCGAAGAAGTAGTAACCCGCTGTAAAGCAAGCGCGACTGCAGCTGGAGTCTACGGTGGCTGTATAGGTCGCTTGCCAGTTGCTCAGCGCTAGGCCGGTAGGGTTGGCATGTGTGCCTGTCTGGATGTAGCAGCCCACGTAGCCGAACGATGCTGTGGACGCAGAAGGGCAAGGGGGTCCGGACGGTCCGGATGGGCCTGAAGGACCCATTAAGCCTGCACAAGCATGAGTATTTGTGTCTTCTCTGAGCGGCAGTGGTCGAGAAACAGTTACCTGTCGCACCAATCCGGCCGCTAATGCCCGTGGCACCAGAAGGCCCAGAGGGACCCGTAGAACCTGCGAAAGTCTGAGTGGTTGTACTCCGTGAAGCGGAGAACGCGTGCTGAGTCACCTGTCACTCCAGTTGCGCCTACCGCGCCGCTTTGACCTTGCGGACCACTGGGACCTATGCAGACTTGAGTTTCCACAATCTCGGAGCAGCTGTTAGATCGTTATTTACCTGATGGTCCCACAGCGCCAGTCGCACCTGAGCAACACCTCAGCGTCCACGATACAAAGCTTCTAGTGAATGCTCAATTACCTGTTGATCCCGAAGCGCCGGTTGCCCCTACAAACAAAATGAGTATTAGAGGGACCGAAGCAGACGACAAGTGCTTGGCTATTATTCATACCAGTCTGACCGCTCACCCCCGAAGCACCAGTGGGACCCGTGACACCTTCCCAACAGTCAGCAATCTGCGCCTTTGAACAATTTGCCAGAGCTTAACTACCTGTGGCCCCGACTTGACCGCTTTGGCCGGTGGCGCCAGATGCTCCTGGTGGGCCTGAAGATGGAGTGAGCGTTTGCAGTCCTTCAAAGAGTCGATCGTGGTGAGTCACCTGTTGGTCCTGTGGCGCCAATTGCACCAACCGGACCACTGGCGCCAGAAGGGCCCTGCGGCCCTACAGCGCCCGTGGCTCCAAGCTGGCCACTGGCTCCAGAGGGACCTGAAGGCCCACTTCGGCGTTCTTCATCTCAGCTTCGAGATCGTCATGCCAGCAGTGTGGACTTATCTGCTATTCCCCACTGACCACTCATTCCAGCCGCGCCAGGGGGGCCGCTTGGTCTAGAGGCACTGTCAGCAGTCGTAACTAGTGGCAGGTGCGCCTCGAGACCTACCCGGCTGGTCCTGTAGGCCTTGCTGGCGCGTTAGCGTGACGTTCCCGTACTCTTTATGCGATCACAGATCGTACCCAATCGGCCTGTGATTGTTAGCACTAACTATGGTCAAGACCTGTCGAAGAACGTAGCTCACCCCGTAGGCCCAGTAATCGTCGAAAGCGCGAGCGCTTGGCACGAAGACACGGTGAAAAGCTGAAGATCAATGTGTGTGCACCCATCGGGAGCATTCTGTCGGAACACCGCATAGATAGTCCCGTTCCAGACGCTACAAAACTGCGCTTGTCCGTTCCAGAACGCATCGTTTTGCCAGTTAAGCACGCTGTTAGGACCGAGAGAAAACGTGGTAGTGATCGAACCAGGAATCGTGCTGGGTGCGAACAATTCATATGGTGTCCCGGGCGATGTTGAGTAGGTGTAGGTGACGCCTTGATCGGTTGCCGCCAACATTCCGTTCGTGACCGTATATACGGGCACAAGCGTGCAATCATTCGTGACCGTGCCATTCGAACCGATGAAGAAGTCACCGGACTGACGTCGGTGAATTCTTCCGCCGTCGACTCGAGCGAAGTGGGCTTCCGTTACCATCAGCACAAACGAGTTCAAGACCATTGTTGGTGTTGCCCAGGACGTCGAGCTTGATTGTGAAGTACCAATAGAATGCGTCGACGTCCTGGGCTGCGTATATCGGAACGTTGTGACTCCATCTACTGACGTTGGAGCGTTGGATATGGTCACGGCGACTTCGGGAATGGGGTGAAACGTTGTGTTCGTTCGAACATTGGTATTGATTGATATGGCCTGTTCGTACACGACGTCTATCATTGAGTAGTTCACGCGGTCAGCATCCGCTTTCACGAGTTAAGACAGGCGACTGCGCACCGTAGGTCGGTGGCGGGTGTGCAACGCTGCAACCCGCTTGCGCAGTCACCGAGGGTGCAAGGGTAGAGAGCACGGCCCAGCTCGCCAGAGCAAGGTGCCTTAGCTTAACATGCGTGCTCTGTTGCATCGTAAGTTGAGCGGTTTCGAAAGTACTTTGAGTCTAGCGCTGGGTTCAGCTGTCCTTGAGTGGCTACGGCACATGTCTGGCTCTATTTTCATGTCAACTAGAAATCCGCACCTACCTGCATAAACAGCAAGGGTTACCATGGTGAGCTTCGCGAGCGCAACTTCGCCGCCATACGACGTACGATAAGTCCACAGCTGCTCTTCAGGTTCGGAAACTTGTACCGAAAAAAATGTATGCTGTGCACCACGGTCTGATCGGGCCGGCTGCTTCGGCTAGCCATGCATTCCGACTAATTGCATACATTCCGTGCCGCATAATCTTTGATTGAGGTCGGCTACGTTAGGTCACTGCAACAAGGACCTCCATCTTGGGCGAACACACCGGCTTCGGAGGTTCTACCGAGTCCGATCATGAGCGACACAGGCAGCTTCGCGGGTTGAGAAGAGATCGTTGGGTACTCCCAGCAATCAGCCTAAGTATTCAGCGGACGCTTGGCGACGATGCGTAAGGGCTGTCGACGCATACACTGAACGGGTTCCCAAGGGACACTCATCGCATAATGGTCATAGTATGCGTAGGGTCCCAGCCGGTAGCCATGTGGCCGTCTTCGATGTCCATTCACATCTGGTACAAGCATAGGGATTCCTACAACCGTCGGCTAGAAATTGTCGAGCAGATCAGATGGTTTAGGCTAAGGCAGTGAGAGAGCATCGAGTAGGGACAAACGAATTCTCATCATACTCCAAAGTCGCCAATGGTCAAGGCTATACCTATTTATTCAAGATATGAAGTTTGCCGTTAATGTAAGAGAGACGTCGCATTTGCGTGTTGTGCCGAGCGTTACTTCTCGGCCTCAGGCATCGAAGCCAATCGAACAAATTGAGTCATCCTTCACAAGCGGCGGGGCACGCGAGCCATAACTATCAGTATTCGAAACACCTTCTCCCTCTTCCGAACAACACACCAACACCATGACTGACGCCGAACCCCTCAAGAAACCGCGCAAGAGCGTCGCCTTCGCCGAAGAACAAACCATCGTCGACGGCGACGGCTCCATAACGGAAACCAACGGCAACGGCATCCACGATGGCGACAAGGGTTCCGCCGAGAGTCATACCAAGGGCGCTGGTGACGGGGAGGTGGACGAGATGACGGACATGTTCGCTGGACTGGCCAAGAAGAAGAAGAAGAAGGTGCCGAAGAAGGAAGTAGAGGAGGAAGCGGTGGCAGACGATGGCGAGGCAGAGAAGGCAGCACCTGCCCCAGAAGGCGACGATGCGGAGGTAGACTTATCCGCACTCAAGAAGAAGAAAAAGAAGAAGCCCAAGGCGGCCGCAGAAGACGACTTCGAAGCCAAACTCGCCGAAGCGGGTGCCGTCGAAGACACAACCACCACCCCAGCCGCAGACGCCGAACCCGCGCAAGAACAGCAAACCGGACTCCAAGACGGCGACCTCCTCCACGGAACGGGCGTCTACTCCCACGACTCCACCGCGGTGATAAACTACGAGAGCTTGCTGAACCGCTTCTTCACCCTCCTCCACTCTTCGCACCCGGACCTCGCCTCCTCGGGCGGCAAGAGCTACAAGATCCCTCCGCCGCAATGTCTGCGCGAAGGCAACAAGAAGACGATCTTCGCGAACATAGCGGAGATTTGTCGGCGGATGAAGAGGACGGATGAGCATGTCACGCAGTTTTTGTTTGCGGAGTTGGGTACGAGTGGATCGGTGGATGGGTCGAGGCGGTTGGTGATCAAGGGTCGGTTTCAGCAGAAGCAGATTGAGAATGTGCTGAGGCGGTACATTGGTAAGTCCCGGCATCCTCGTTTTTGGTTGGCTTTTTCGTGGGGTGTTATGCTAACTTTCGTACAGTGGAATACGTGACTTGCAAAACCTGCCGATCCCCGGATACGGAGCTGAACAAGGGCGAGAACCGACTTTACTTCGTGACTTGCAACAGTTGTGGGAGCAGAAGGTCTGTCACGGCGATTAAGACTGGTTTCAGTGCGCAGGTTGGCAAGCGGAAGAGGCAGCAGGGATAGAGTTCGGTATTATTTGTGGGGGTGGTTTGTGCTGCGGGACAGTATCTGCCATTAGGCTCTGGACGTGTGACACGCATGCTCTGTTCAGTGGCTGTCGCAGGCTACGAAGCAGTGACGTTAAAAGCCAGAAGGATGGCGTTGGGGCCTCTGTAGAGTCGGGCTGGCGCAGGGGTTAGTGCATGGCGTGGATATGTACTGACGGCAACAATGTATCCAACACGAACGTGTAGCTACACTCCACCGCCCCCGTTACACGCACAATAAGCCTCATTATCACCACACCTCTAATAGAACCTCCTCACCATCTCCTTCGGCTTATTCTGCAACACCCCGTCAATCTCCCTCATAACCTCCTCCGACATCTTCGGCAAGACCTCCAAACTCCTCACCGAATCCCACACCTGCTCCACCCGACTCGCCCCCGTAATCGCCGAACTCACGTTCGGATTCTTCAGCACCCACGCCATCGCCAACCCCGCCTGCGTCGTCCCCAACCGTTCCGCAATCGGCTTCAAAGCCCTGACCTTCTCCACCACACTGCCCCACGACTCATCCGCCAACTGCCCCTGAAACACTCCCTTCAACTTCTCATCGCTCTTAGCAAACTGCGCGTCGGCGCTAAACCTCGACCCCTCCGGAACGCCCTCATTGTACTTCCCCGTCAACACGCCCGCCTTGAGTGGCGAATACGGCGTCAACCCAAGCCCGTGCACCTCATACAACAACGCGTACTCCGCCTCCACCCGCTCACGGGACAGCATATTATACTGCGGCTGCTCCATCAACGGCCCCACCATCCCCAGTCGCGTGGCGACATGATGCGCGCGCTCAATCTCATCAGCGCTCCACTCGCTCGTGCCCCAATAGAAACACTTCCCTTGATCGATGAGGAAGTTGAACCCACGCACAATCTCCTCCATCGGCGTGTCCCGATCCGGGCGATGCGCGTACAGCAAATCCACATACTCCAGTCCCAACCGCTCCAAACTCGCATTACACCCTTCCACAAGATGCTTGCGGGACAAACCCTGGTTGTTAACGGGATTATCTCCATTCGCAGACCCCCAGTTGATTTTGGTGGAAATGACATAATCGTTTCGCTTCCAGCCGTACTTTTTGATGCAAGCGCCCATCACGCGCTCGCTTTCGCCGCCCGCATAGCCCTCGGCGCAGTCGAAGAAGTTGATCCCGCAGGCGTAGGCGGCCGTCATACAGGCGTAGGCGGCGTCGCTTTCGACGTGCCCGCCGTAGGTTAGCCAGCCGCCGAGGGAGATGGCGGAGACTTTTAGGCCGGAGCGGCCGAGGTGGCGGTAGTGCATTTTGGGGAGATCATTGGGGGGTTGGGTTGAGGAGGACATGGTGGAAAATATTCTTGGGGTTGTGTGCTGGTTGCTGAGGAGTGGGTGGGTTGTAGGAGATGGTGGTTGTACAGAGGGTGGGGTTGTATGAGAGGAGAGAGCGACTTGCCTTGGGTTTTGTACCTACTCATCCAGTCCGTGCCGTTGTACATCATGGTCAATGTCGGCACATGGTTGTAACAGGCTGTATGCACGTGTAGCTTGTGTGGGGCAAGCGGAATTGCATTGGGCCGGTGTTTCTTCCGTTCTGCATTCGGTGGGCGGTGAACGGCGTTTCGAGCCTCACAGCAGAAATACGGCAGAAACAGTCGCCCCGTCTCTCGCAGATAGTCTGGTTAACGCCGTCTGTAGGGATTGGATATAACGCCGCCGCTATTGAATCAGACCGCGTCCTTCTATCTTGCACTCGACCTTTTACACTTGGTGCGCAGCCATGTACTGCGCGAACGCCATCGGATTGCGCGTTTGCAGGAAGACAGTGCCCGGTCCTGCGACGTGTCGTTAGTGTGCAAATACCACCGGGAAGTGGAGTACAGCAACCAGCCAAACGTACCTGTGAACTTGCACACCAGCCCTTCACCGGCGCTGAGCGTACTGACGAGACCACCGCTCGCAATCCTCTCGAGGACATAGTTGCAATTCCACGCGACAAGGTGGCCGTTGTCGATGATGTACTTTTCGCCTTCGCGGAGCTGAGATTCACGTCAGCAAAAGCCATCACCCAGCATTCCAACAATGGGTATTTGGACGTCCACGCACATCCTTCCGTATTATCGCCCCCATACTCTGCACCCACACAATCCCCACCCCGCCAATCTTATACACAAACAGCCCCTCACCCGAAAACATCGCCTTACTCAAACTCTGCGCCTTATAATCCTTCGTGACGCCCTGCGTGCACGCCATAAACGCATCCCGCCCCACCGACCACGTCTCCTCCCCAGTCAAGCGAATATTCGTAACATCCCCCAACGCGTGCGGCCCGAGCAACAACTCGCCCGGACCCGTGTAGGTGCTATGCGCCATCTCCCCCGCCACAAGCAACTTCTTCATGCTGAATTTGAAGTTGCCGCGGAGCGTCATGGTGGGGGACATGGCGATCATGAGGCCCGGTTTGACGGTTAGCGGGCAGCCGATGGCGAGTTGGATGGTGACGATGGTGTTCGTGTCGCGGTGACTGATGCGGTAGGAGCCGCCGTTGAAGGTGCCCACGTCGTCGATTGTGGCGCTGGCGCCGGTGAAGTGGGTTTGGGGCGGTGCGCCGCCGGGCATGCTCGATTGGCGGCTGGTGTTGAAGGGGCGGGTGGGGGACATGGGCAAACCCGGTGACATGGGGTGTGGGGGTTGTTCGGGTTCTCGTCGCTTCTCGGGCGGGTAGGAGTTGCTGGGTGGGCCGGGGTAGTAGGGCAGGGTTCTTTCGTCTTGCGACGGAGTTGAGTCTCGTTGGGCGTTGCCGACGTTGCCGTCTGCTAATGGAGGTGGCATGGCTGGTGGGGGTGCGAACTGGGGTGGTGGTGCGAAGGATGCACGCTGATCGGAGGCATACTGGGGGGCGCTGGGTGGAGGGAAGTAGTTGTCTTGATGATTGCTACTTGGTGGTGGATCGAAGCGCGGTTGTTCTGCTCGGATATGTTAGCTGACAGTATGAAGAAGCTTGGTCTTCATGCCCTACCTTGAGCAGCTGGAGGAGCTGTAAGTCGTTAGTATGGCGGGCTCCTCGGCTTGGCTCGATATCGACTCACGAGGGAAGTATTGCGCTCCGCTTGACGCCATGGTTGCAACAGTATCAATCCGAGCTCGTCCTGACAGGAGCTATATGAAAGGTTGCAATGGAGCTATGGTCTCTCCGTTGGGCGTACCTCCAACTGTGAGAAGATGTGAGAGATGCAAGGAGCTGGATGAAAGGAGAAATTACAAAGCGGTGGACAGAGATATTAGGGAGGATACTAGACCGTCAATACCGACAGGAATGAGCTACATGTATGAGAGAAGGCAGGCCGCATACCGAAGGCCAGCTCAGAGGTGTAGGCTGTGCTGCGATTGGCCCCGCGCTGTCAGACGAAGCGCCCCCAGCAATTGCGCAGCGCTTACAACGTCGACTCGGCTGCCTTTTGACGGCGGCAAATCCCCTGGCCTCCATCAAGCATTGTGCCTGAGCCGCTGCATGGCGGTACCGGATATGGCAGTCACGTGAGTGTCGTGTTTAATATAGAGTCGAGGAGTCTACGGTACATGAGAGAATATTGGGAAAGGATGGAGTCGATGACTAAGGCTGCCTCGTGAACCCCGGCGTTTGCGGACTCCAAGCCGCTGCAATGCTGACGAATACGCGCTCATTGCGAAGCGATATGCTGCCGTTGCCTAGGACGAGGACCGCGATGATGTTCGATACATGTACAGGCTGTGTGAGTTGCTTTTGAATTCACCAAGTCCAGAGACATGCTAATGTACCTTATGTCAGAACCAATGCCGTGCCTTTGTCTATCTTCAATGCCACGGTCCGTGCACGCCGACCTTATGAATCACACAGCAGTACCCACGCGAACCCGAACCTTGTTCTTTGCGAATGGCGCGCGCAGCCTTGTTGGAAAGCTCGCTTTTCCGCGAACGTCGCAATCCTTTTAACTACAAGTCCCAGATTGCATTGCGCAGGTCATGTCAACGAACGTACGGACCATCAGAGTGCCAGCAAGACATCGAACCCGTCGTAGACGTCCGATGTAGTAGCGATCGCATTGGCACGCTTCCCCACACCTCGTCTGTGTAGGCCGCTTCCTTCTGCAGGCGGTGATCGAAACAGGTAAGGCGCCGAGGCGGAGTTCACTTTGAGCAGTCATCCCAAGAGCGCCTTAAGGCGGAGCTTTACCCAGGACTCGATATTGTGTTGCGCTGCTTCGTCAACTTCCTTGGGACATTCCCAGTCGCAGTCGCTCCGATAGCGCTGAGCGCGGCCGACTTCGAGTCTCTACAGTAGTAACCATCGGTCCTAGCTTTACCGCAACCACGTTAGATTGAACTGCGATAGTGTCAGTAAAACAAGCACATCAAGTAATCGGCTGTAACTAATACCAACTAGAGATCCAAATTAAAGCAACGTAAAATAGCAATAGCAACCAAAAAAAGTTGCACCTGGCGTGCGAAATCGTGTCGCCATGGATTTCGCAACCAACATCATGGACCATCCGCCCCCGGCCTACATCGTCTACTGGGACGTGGCCTCCAGCAATCCTTCAACTCCTCCCGTCTTCTTCCCGCCGAAGGACTCCGACGAACTCTTCGACGCTCTCAGAGGAGCATTCCCGCACTTGCGGACGCATTCAGAACGTATGCGTGAGGCCATGATTCAGTTTCTCGTTGAAGAGCGCCAAGCCGAACAATTCAGGACTGCCTCCGTGGACACATTGTCTCCAACTGAACATTCCTGGCCATCCATGACTTCCTCAGGCTCTACATCAACCTTGAGCAGCCCCGATACTCTCGCGCTGGGGACTCCAGCATTCGGTATGTCTCCACAGCCACAGCTGCCGCACCTGAGCCGTACTCAATCCATGGCACCTTCGATGACGACAACAACATCGACGGGAGAGAGCTCGCCATCTCTCGAAAATATGACCGGTGTCTTCAGCATTTCGTCCACTGGCCAACCGAAGCAGAAGACGAGGCGAAAGATGACCGAGGCCGAAAAGGTCGAGTACCGGAAACGACGTATCGTAAAAGCATGCGAAGTCTGCGCCAAACGTAAGCGCAAATGCATCCACAACCAGCCGGGGATGGAGACTCTGGCATCCCAACAGAAAGTTACGAAGAAGGCGTCGCCAACTGCCCCCTCGGCCCTCTCCGCCAAGGCCACCGTTTTGGAGAACACGCTACAAAAAGCGACATGGAGCTTCGACGGCATTGATGCCGGCAACGATGAGTTTGCAGCCGACATGCAACTCTTTGATGACTTCGACATCCTGCCGGACGAGACTACTTTCCGGATCGACGACGATCAGACGAAAGCTTCCGCCGATATATGGAAGCCGAATGTTGTAGCGCGACCTCGGGGTGATGATTACGCCATGGACGCTTATGGCGACAATGCAGACTTCGCCGACATACCTGGTATGGACCCATGGTTCGATGTGAACATGGGTCAGCTGCGCTGGGGCGGTACGGTAACCCAAGGACAACTACCGCACGGACAACACGAACAAGCACTCACTCCAGCGTCACCAAATGCTGCAATGAGTGCAGACAATGGGAATAGCGCAAATGGGATGCTATGGGAGCATCTACGGACCGGCCAGGATGAAAGCATATCAACTCACGAGCCTGCTGCACGTGGGTCTTACACACACGAACATGCGAGCAGTGACGGTCACGGCGGCTCTGGCAGATGGCAGCCTCGCAACTCGGCTGGCGTGCTGGCGCAGACTGTCGTGCAAGTGAACGGCACGGCCAGGGCGATCAGAGCTTTCGGCAGATTGCTGAAGTCGAATATGCCGCAACGCATCGCCCTGCAGCTTGTCAGGCTGACGAGCGTAGCCGATGCTATCGCACAAGCGAGTCTTTCTGGGGCCCCCTATCTGACAGCGAATGCCGACCTACACAACACTCCGACCCCGAGACAGCAGGTTGGTGGAAGTGCTGCCGGACCGCTTGAAGGCATGCGGATCGGCGATTACTTGCGTATGAAGACCAACTTCGACAACGTGGCTCACCAAATGGGCCGAGGCGGTCAAGCACTACCAAGCATGACAGCCACTCAGCAGCAACCTGGATCAAGGTCGCTGTCAACGACCTCGAGCATGAGAGCAGCGCCTACCTCCACGCCCATCTCCAGCCGAACTTCGCCCCAAGAAGGCAACTCGGCAGCTCACGATCAAGGAAGGCCGCCCGCCACATTCGGTGGTAGCATCACCAGCATCATCACCGCGAATCAGACGCACGTGCTCAAGAGACGTATACCCAAGTCCCTCCATAGCATCGTTGACCGCAACAATGCCAATGCCAGCGAAGAAGTTACGCTGGCTCCGATCCTGCAGACTGAACGGGACATGTACCGACAACCACAAGAACTCTCGAAGAACAGCATCAATGCTCATCAAGCCAACGGCGGCGCGTACCTGCGACTTGGTAGCGACAACCACCCCCACTTCGACAGCAGACTCCTCTCTGGTGACCCGGCTATTGACCGATGGCTTGACAAACTCGCAGAGCACAAGGCGGCGCAAACTGATGCCCGCGTTCTGCGCACCACGAACAACTCGGCTAACCGAGCCGTGCCTGTGCATCGTTACAGTAAGCGCACTGAAATAACACAGAAAGCGCCACAAGTTCTCGCAAGCGGCATGCGCACTAGCAAAGACTCATCCAGCCGCGTCGACGGCCAAGATGAAGTTTATATCCCACGGAATAGGGATACCTTCCGTCGTCGGGATCACTTCGGCAGAATCACGCCAACCACTTCAGCGTCGGAGCTAGAGCTAGAGCCAGCAGCCACCGAGTCAAGCAACGGCGGCGGAGACAAGGAATGCGGATCTGGCGTGCGACCCTTCCACCTCCCGTCGTGGCCCGTGTTCGCCCTCCTCACACTCTTCACCCTCCTCTCGAACCTCACCCTCTCGTTCTCCCCTTGCGTGATGGCGAGCATATGGCCCGTTTCAAAGACCAGAGCCTCGACCGAAGCGAAAGTCTGGCCCTGGCATAACCCGCGCCAGAAACCGCGATATCAAGTCGAGGACTCCGCTTGGAGTAGTATGCTGTCGCAGCATGCGATTGTTAACGGGCTCGAGTGGTTCAATGGGCGGGTTTGTAAGATTAGGGGGGTGGCGGAGCGCTGTTGTAGAATATCGGATGTGAAGGGTGGAGTTGCTGATGGATATCAGAGACGGGTGATGGGATTGCTTGCTACTTAGCGGGACATGCATAGGTGGGATGGCGTGGTGAGGATGTGGAATGTTTGTGCTTGAGCGTTCGCGTGGATGTGACAAGGTAAATTGAGATACACCAAGCGTACAACGAACAGACAACAAGGCACACAGACTTGATCAAGAATTCTATGACGTGTCTCAAATCTGAAAAGTGTCACGGCTTTTCTCAGCGCACCTACGCTTACAACGGCGCCCTAGTGTATCTCGACCGCATTTCATCGGCTCAGCCTGCACATGTCCAGCTGCTTCCCGTCCCACCGCTACATCGGAGTCCAGCCCTTCTCCCATCCACCATCCTTTCTGCACGCCTTCGATACAGTTCCTCTCCGCCTTTGCGAGCTCACATATTACTGCCCACTCAAACTCATCAGCCCTGCACGTAAGAAGTCGTGAGACTTCTCTACAACCCGCCGCCAATTGCGGCAATTGTAATATATGTCTTGGGTACTGTCGACCTCATCCAGGGTGGCGTCATGAGGCAAGACTGTAACGGGGCCTGATGAGCGAGCAAAAACGCAGACGGTTTCCGGACTTGCCAGGAGAGGCCGCAGGACTGGACGCGCCGGATGCGCTCAGCAGAACCGGTCGCTGTCATTGCTCAGGACACATCACTGACCTTTCGTTGTCCAGAGCCAAACCTGAACATCATCACTCAGGAGCGGTGAGTTTCACACTGACGTCGGAAGTGTCTACCGCCTTTGCACCCTCTGCTGCCCCATCTCCTTCTTCCCCATCTTCCCCTTCGGCACCGGCTGCCTCGCCTCCGCCATCACCGGCTCCTCCACCTTCTCCAGACTAATCCTCATCGCCTCCTCAATCGCCGCCTCGCCACTAACCAACAAATTCTTCTCCACCTTCCCTCCCTCCTCCAACAACTGTTCCCGCCTCAACCCCTCCAGCTCCTTCTTCCTTGCTTCCGTCAATAGCCAGTGCGGTGGGAAGGGGTACTGAGGTTTCCGCTTGACATGGCGGGTATCGAGAGGGATGTCTTCGAAGCTATCCGCGTTCGGATCCGTGGCTTCCGCGATGAGTGAAGCGATGACATCGCCCAGGTAGCGTTTATTCTGCGCCTGCGTCTCGAAACCCTCGCTACTCATCCTCACAACCCCCCTCAATGGATCCCATCGACTCCCTACAAGCTTCAGTAATTTCTCCCTCTGCTTCTCATTCAACTCCACCAAATCCTTTGGTCGAAACTCCACAACCACTTTCGCCTGAGCGGGATGTTGCTCGCCCATGTAAGTTGTGTACCGCCAGCGCAGCGGCGTCTGCGCGCGTTGGGGCGGGGTGAAGGGTTTCTGGAGGGTGGAGAGGAGGGGCATTTCCCATGCGGCTAGCCGGACGAGGTCCCGGAGTTCGCGGTGCTGGTCTAATTCTCTGTGGCCTAGGGCGGAGATGTCGTCATCTTCGTAGGTGGGGTCGAGGGTGTTCCCATCTTGATTGGAGGCGGAGGACGTTGGGAAGGCTGTTGTAAAAGGGTTATTGTCATCGACAGGTTGGGCTTGGCGGTGGAGGGGGGTGGTGCTGAAGAGACGGCGGGTTGGCCATCGCGTGCTTTCTGGTTGGAGAAGGGTGTGTGATGAGTGTCGTGATGCTGTACAGCAGAGGCGTTTCAAGGGTGCAGCCATCGTGGCAGTCGATGTTGTTATTGGAGATATTGATTGACTCGAGGTAAAGACCAGAAGAAGTACATTAACAGTATTTGGCCGCAATTGGTCAATGCTCCCTCCTGAATCGCGCATGCACAAGCCACAGATCGGAGCCCGGAACCCCGCTGTCCTGTCAATCATTGAATATCCGCCGCTCCACCCCTCCACCGTCCCGCCTAACCATGTAGAGTCTCTCTCTCCTCTCCACCCCCTACTCCCCACCAACCGCATCCACAACGCGATCATGTCACAGAAAACGTGCTTCGTCACTGTCGGCGCCACCGCCTCCTTCACCGCCCTCATCCGCGCCGTCCTCGAAGCCGACTTCCTGACCGCACTCCAAAACAACGGGTACACCGAACTCCTCGTCCAATACGGAGAAGGTGGGAAACAACTCTTCGATACACACTCCAAGACAGCCATCAACGCCGCCAAAGACGAAGGTAACGAGATCAAGATCTCAGGCTTCGATCTGGATAAGGCGGGTTTGGGCCGATATATGAGACAAGCCAAGGGCGCGAATCTGGGGGCAGGCGAGGGGGTGGTGATCTCGCATGCTGGTATGCACGTGTTGCATGTAGAATATGCGGACAAGTACTAAGGCGACTTGATTCTTACAGGCTCCGGCACAATCCTAGACGCCCTCCGCATCTCCGTCCCCCTCATCGTCGTCCCCAACGCCGACCTTCTCGACAACCACCAAGTCGAGCTCGCCGAAGTGCTGGCGGAGCAGGACTACGTCGTTTACGGGAAACTGGAGAGCTTGGACAAGGCATTGGGAGAGGCGGAGGTGTGGAGGAAGAAGCAGAGGCAGTGGCCGCCGACGAACAGTGGCGTGCATCGGCATGCGAATGGCTTGAAGGGGGTTATGGATGAGGAGATGGGGTTTTTGGATTAAATATCGTTCGAGAGTGTGGCTTATTGATCAGGATCAGCCAAGGAGAAAGTGATGGATCTGGCGTGCGCGAGGTGTTTGGGCTGAGGAAGCGTGCTTTCGCTTGGCTAGAAATGGAGCGTTTGCCAATTAAGCGGACTGTGGTTCGCAAGTGCGCACACGAAGTCGTGGCATAGAGGTGAAGGTAACACAACGTCACCACCTCGGATCATCGCTCTCCAGCTCCACCCTCAAGCCTCGCCTTCTTAGCCCCCGGCGTGCCTTCCCTCCCCGTCGTCACGGCCTCACTACTCCTCTTCCTCTTCCCCTTCCCACCGCTAGCACCTGCCCCGCTCTTACCACCCTTCGGCCGATATGCCCCATCCCCATCCCTCATCGAGCCTTTCCTCCGCACCCCGCCATCCTCCACCCCCACCGACGCGCCATCCTCCTCATAGTCCCCCTCGCCCCTCATCGAAGCGGCGCCGGGACTCCAATCCCGATCCTTAGCCGCTACCGCTCGCTCCGCAACTTGTTTGGCCAGGGTCTTACTTCCCCCACCACCGCCTCCGCCTCCACTACCACCGCCGCCAGTGCGTCTGCGCTTACTTGCAGCACCAGAGCCTGACGCCTGTTGTTCGCTACCAGCCAGCGACTCACCATCATCACCCGTATCGCCCACAGTCACAACCCCAACCGGACCCTGTCTCGAATGCGCACGCAGCCAATTGTGCTGCGAAGAGGGATTGAGGAGTTCCAGATGCCTTTCCAACTCTCGTGGGGTCATGGAGGCCATGTGTTTCTCTTCTCCCACAATGATTGTATGCGGTTCGCCCAGACTCACTGACACCCCTGCTGCGCCCGAAGAGGACGAAGGAGCAGTAGTGGCGCTCTTGACATTGTTCGTAGTTGTCATGCTGAGACCTTCCTCTTTCGCGTCGAGGCGGGCTAGGTAGTCCATCTCTTGCTCTGTGGTCAAATACCCTGCCTGCTCCAGCTCTTCCTCGTCAACCGCGGCTTCTCCCTTCTCAACCCCTACCCCATCACCGCCTTCTCCCCCAACCGGCAGCCTCCCCACCGGTCTCGGCACGACCCTCTCAACAACCTCCTCCAACCCTTCGACCCCTTGCGCCGCAAGCCTCTGCTCCACCACCCCCCTCACGACATGCAAGTCCAGCGGCGGTAAATCACCCCTCTGCACCGCTAGTTTGTACTCCAACACCATCGCGTTTGCTTGCTCGGGCGTAATAGTGGGGGAGACTTCGATTGGGGCCGGTTGCCGCAGGGACGGGGGAAGGGCGACGTTGTAGCGGAGGTGGGAGGGGAGGGAGGGGGAGGCGTTCAGGTCGGTCAGGAGGTCTAGGAGGCCGCTGTAGGGGAGTGAGTATGTATAGAGGAGAGGGGGATGTTTGGTGGAAGCGTACTCTAACTCCTCCCGCAAACGTTTCGCGATAGACTGCAGTTTCCGCTCCTCTTTGAACAGACGCTTGTTCTCATCCGAGCTGGCGTCGAAAGTCCCGCGCAATTTGCGGTATTTCTTGCGCCATGACTTGTAGGGCACGCGCTCCTGTTCTTGAGGGGCTTGTTGTTGTTGTTGTTGTTGTTGTTGCTGCTGCTCTTGCTCGGTTTGGGAGGATTGAGGGTATGGGTTGGTCGGTAGGTTATCCAGCGACTTGCCGCCGACCGTCGGATGGTGGAGTTGCGCTTCCGCCATCGGAATATACAAGTGAGCGCGATGTCACGTGGGTGTAGGTGAAGGTCAGTGGAATGTGAATGATGAGCAGAACGGAGGAGGGAAGGCACAGGTACACGCGCCGAGGTTTCGCCGAGCCGAGCTTCCACTCCAGGTTTTTCCATCGAAATTGATTAATCGTTGTCCCCCACCTGCTCATATCGCACAATGGCCACGATAATGGACGATACAGATACCCCCTCATCCGTTGAGGCGTCCCCGCCCCCCAGTGGTGGAGAGAAGCGTAAGAGACCCGCGGATGATATACCGGAAGACGAAAAGCTAGAAGTCGACATCACCGCCCCCGAACCGCCGTCAAAGAAAGCCAAACGGCTAGAGAAGAAGCGCGAAAAGCGCTCTTCCAAATCCAAGAACACCCCAGTCAATGAAGGCATTAAAGCACTCGTAAAAGAGTACTTCGAAGGCTCCATCCTGCAAACAGCCTCCCCCCGCGAACTCGCCGCCAAACGGGGCGAGTATGGGATTTGGATTGGCAATCTACCTTGGAGCGCGACGAAGGAGTCGTTACGGGAGTTTTTGAAGGAGCAAGGGGGGATCGAGGGGAGGGAGATTACGAGGGTTCATATGCCTGCTCCTAATGCTCCTGCTGCCGGGGATGTTGGGGTGGCGAGGGCGAAGAACAAGGGATTCGCGTATGTGGATTTCTTGAGTGAGGGGAGTTTGAGCAAGGCATTGGGGGCTAGTGAGAAGTTGATGGCGGGGAGGAGGGTGTTGGTTAAGAATGCCAAGTCTTTTGAGGGACGGCCTGATAGTAAGCCTAAGCAAGTTGAGGGTGAGGGTGCGAGAGATGGGAAGGTTAAGGAGCCGGCGCGGAGAGTGTTTGTGGGGAATTTGGGCTTTGACGTCACCAAAGAGGATCTGGCGGAGCATTTTAGCCTTGCCGGAGAGGTGGAGGATATACATATGGCTACTTTCGAAGATAGTGGGAAGTGCAAGGGCTTCGCTTGGGTAAGGTTTAAGGAGGTCGACGCGGCTGAGGCGGCGGTGAGGGGGTATGTGTATCAGAAGGTTGAGGAGGGAAGTGAGGAAGAGAGTGATGAAGAAGAAGAGGCGGAGAAGGAAGTGGAGCAGGACGACGAGGACGGAAAGCCGAAGTCGAAGAAGACGAAGAAGAAGACGAAGTCGAAGCGGAATAAACAGCACATCAACCGTATACACGGCCGCGAGCTGCGCTGCGAATTCGCCGAAGACTCGCAGACGCGGTACAAGAAGCGGTTTGGGAAAGGCGCCGCGACGACCAAAGACCGCCGAGCTCCTGCACACGGGGCAGACACTGCAAATTCCCGGATCAGCGGTGACGCTGACGATGCACTCCCCACCGGTGAGGAGACACTGGAGGGTCTCGCGGGAGAAGCGGCCGCTGCACGCTCCGGCGACGGCAAGCCAAGGCGTGCAAAGCAGAAGCCTGGCAAAGAGGAGCGGCGCGAGGAGAGGCGGAAACGGCATGATGCTCGCACCGTCGCGCCCGGGCAGGCGTTGGCGAATGCGCAGCGGGCGACTGGAGCGATTGTGCAGGGGGCTGGGAAGAAAGTTACTTTCGACTGAGAGCATCCAACGACGCCAAGTACGTTGATCGAGGGGAAGGTGGTGAGTTTTGTTTGTCAGCTCTTCGTGGAGAATTTTTTTCGGATGACGATCGGTCTACGACAATAGGGAAAGGAATCATGGTGGATTTAAGATGCACCAGAGATTCATCAAGATGTCACAAGCTCCTTCGATCTGGGGCTTTACTTAGACAGCGAGTATACGCAATAACGCCCAAGCCCTCAAACTTCCCCTTCGTCACATCATGCAGCTTCTGCATCAACAGCTCCCACCCAACAAATTCGTCTCATCCGTACCTTCACCCTCTACCAAAGGCTGCGGTCCCGGCTGTCATCCACCCCACACGGGTCGTCTCTGGCTCCACAAATTCACGTACAGTTACTCCTACTCTCCCCGCTCGAGCATCGAAGACGAGGTTCAGGTGATAAGAAAGGCTTATCCTTCTTGCTGCGATCGGGGGAGGTTTGCCAAGGTTGTGCAGAGTTGTGACGGCGCTGCGGTCGAAATGGTCGTCTCAAGGAGCGCGGTGTAGCGTTGTCAACGGTCGTTGCGCAACGAACGATCGTTTCGCGAAGAACTGCTAGTCCTTCCACATTCCTCTAGCGGATCTTAGAAGCATCACCAACAGCGCAGCAACAAGCAGTGCAGGTACGGGAGGGATTACTTCCACAACTGCCGGTTCGGCCACTGCCCACAATCCTTCCTACACCACCTCGGTCTACGGTCCGTCAGGCTCAACAGTGCTGCGCGATTGTCCGTCTGTTAATGGGTAAGCGGAGTGATGCGTAGACCCTCTCGCCGCTGTCTGAAATGTGGCTGACCCTCGGAACCTTCAATCTATAGGACTTTGTACAAGACAGGAATGGGGAACCATCCAATGGTATTCCGGCGGTATTGCGGCATCAGGTTCTCCCATCCAGGGCTTCCGGGCGGCGTTACCGTCAACGGGACAGCGACCTCACTTGAGTCTTGTGCGGACTTGTGCGCCGCTAGTAGCATTCGTTTGCAAGTGGGGTTGAGAACAAGGTCGTTCAGCCTTGTACAGCCGTCTTTTGGCGCAGAACTTTCCAGACGGATTGCCCATCTGGTGCTTTGGTAATCAGACGAAGAACACTTCGAGCGGGCAGTTCGACACCAAGGTCGAGGCGACATGTGACTCGGCTGGTTTCATCAGTCCGAAATTGGGAGTTAGGGCTGCGTAGTTGCCCGTCTGCCTTACGAGAGCTAGAACCTGTTATTTAACATTCACGGCGAGCCCAAACCAACAGCGGATAAGAAGTTGATATGGTTCTTTCGCGTGCAAGTGATTTCTCGAGCTTCATCTGCGTTGACCCGTGTAGTTTTAAAACCCGTTCAGACGCGACCGTGAGATGTATGTCGGTTCAGAACTTCTTTGAGCGACCATACCTTCTCTAGACCAGTGATATCGATGCGATATCGCTCTGCACCAATGCTTACCGCGGCAATATCGACGGTCAAGTGCGTGGGTCTGCATTTGCCGGCCTATCTTTCAGCACCCCCACCACCCCAACCGGTTGAGCATAAGAACTAGAGGTCCACGTAGCGCAATTGTAATAGGCATTCGGTTGCGTGAGCATTGCAAGTCATGAGTAATTGCAATAAGGACATCCACTATAGCAATGTCTTCAACTGATCTGCAGCCATGGCAACTCCGTACGAAAGAGTACCGCGAGCAGGCAGCGGCCAAGATACCAAAAGAGTGGATACTGAAGCCCGAGTATACCGCAGATGGCGGACCTACCTCGTCACGTTTTGTACTTGACGTGCCAGCCAAATGTGGCATCCTATCAGAACGAGAGCTGGACATTACGGAGAACTACGACGCCGTTGCCCTTCTTGAGAAGCTTGCTAGCGGCCACTTTACCTCCGTTGAAATCACCACGGCGTTCTGCAAACGAGCCGCGATAGCGCAACAGCTGACCTGCTGTCTGACCGAGACCTTCTTCGGCCAAGCGCTTGAGCGAGCCAAGTACTGCGACGAGTATCTTGCGTCTCACAAGACGCCTATCGGTCCGCTACACGGCCTGCCTGTCAGTCTCAAAGACAGCTTCAATGTCAAAGGCATCAATAGCACGATCGGTTACGTTTCATTCATTGGCCATGGACCCGCCCAAGACGATGCCGCCCTGGTCAAGGTCTTGCTCAGCTTGGGCGCGGTGTTGTACGTCAAGACCAACGTCCCGCAATCGCTCATGACAGGCGATTCGGAGAACAACGTCTTTCTGCGGGTTCTGAACCCGAACAAGCTCTGTCTTGGTGCGGGAGGTTCGAGTGGAGGCGAGGGAGCTCTGCTCAGAATGAAGGGCAGTCCCATCGGAGTTGGCACTGACATTGCTGGCTCGATCCGGATACCAGCATATGTCAACGGCACATTTGGGTTGAAGCCGACAAGTCGAAGAGTCCCGTACGGTGGGCAGAAAGGCTCGGGCAGGCCGGGTTTCTTCGGCATCCTACCTGCTGCCGGACCACTGGCGCGGAGCGTTCGTGATATCAGTGCATTCATGGCAGCCGTGCTTGGTTACGATTGTTGGACCGTAGACGAAGGCGTCATTTCTGTACCATGGCGACGCCTTCCTTCCCCTCAAGGCAAACTAACCTTGGGCTACTTACTGGAAGATGATATGTTCCCTCTTCATCCCACCGTCTTACGCACCGTGAAGACAGCGACTGCGAAGTTGACGGAAGCCGGCCACACCGTCATCCCTGTAGCTGAACACCTACCACCAAAGATTCTGGAGGAAGTCGTGGATAGCGCCTGGTACAACTTCGGGATGGACCCAGCACGCACATCCGAGGGTCATGTGAACGCATCCGGCGAGCCTTTCGTGGCGTCCATAGCGACTGCTACACCTCCAGCGTTAAAGCACTTCAAGCCCACGCTAGATGATGCTTACCGCTTCCATGTCGAGCGGCAAGCATTTTGTGCAAAGTTTAGGGAGTTGTTCGTCGAACAGAAGCTGGACGCCATCATACTGCCCGCATATCAAGCGACGGCTGTTGCGCACGACAAGTATGGTGTGCCGATGTATACCGTGCTTGCCAATATGCTCGATGTGAGTGGTCTGCGTGAAATTTCGGCGACGGTGTCAGGCTAAAAGTGAACAGCATCCGTCCATTGTGATGCCGTATCTGAAGGCGGACAAGAAGCTCGATGCCGAATACCGGCGAGATGTCTCGTACCTGCCTGCATGTGAGTCTACGCCTGCAATTACCGTCTTGTGACAAAGCTAACGACGCAATCTCCAGACGTCCCCGATGAAGTCGAGGGAGCTCCTTGCGGCCTCCAGCTGGTTGGTCGACCGATGAAAGACGAAGAGCTTGTGGAGCATAGCCAGATAGTTGCTGATGCTCTGGGTATCAAGCCGCTGTAGCTCAACCAGCTGCTTTGCTGCTAAACGAATTGCTCTTGGACGCCGAAGCGCCTCCCAAGGGCCCTCCTACCGCTCCGCCAGTTACCAAGACTGCAGCAGCGATCGCTAGGGTCCAAACGAGCCATGGTGGGAGCCCACAGATCCGACGACGACGATTTGGAGGCTCCGCAACTACCTCTTTGTCATTCCGTACGGGTGGCTCGGCCGGAGCAGATGCCCGTACGAGTGGTCGGGATCTGGCTTAAACGGATACGCTGCAGGTTCTTGCCATGCTTGCAGACCTTCATGTGCCGGGTACTGTGGAGCGAGCTCTGGAGCCTCCTTTGCTGAGTCTGTTACCAGCGCCTCCGGCGAGTGAACCCTGTAGGTACGAGGGAAAAGCCTCGCTGCCAGCAGTCGGATTGTCATACTGTGTGGTGTTGCTTGATTTCTTCCCACGAGCAGCAGACAATGGATCAATACTTACATCGCGAGGCGAGGACGTGAAGTCGGGATCTCGAATTGGAACCAATGCAGTTGTAGCCAGTGGCTTTGCTCGCCAGAACCCTGCCGCATCCAAGGAACCCTCTGGCCCTAAGTTGCCGCGGCAGTCCAGTCTATCAGAAGCGATCACTTGGTAAGCACGCGCGCTGCATCCCTCTTTGGATTAGGAATCAGATGGCAATAAGCCTTTGCTGCGTGCTCTACACTGCATCACTGCCATGAGATTGCGGAGAATTTGCATCATGTGCAATGTTTTGCCAACAGAACGTAACACCCAGAAGGCTCGCTCATGGTAGTTGACGAATGCACTGTTCTTTTGCAAGTCGAACGTCGATCAAACGTCAGTTAGGCTGTCTCTGTCAAATCTGGATAAGGTATATAGATGGTAAGGCTGAAGTCCCCGCATTGGTCTAGCCTCCTTTTCGAGGCCGTCCGACGAGATGAAACGCTCGGCTGCGCCTTATCGAAGGATCATTTGGCTATGGCCGTGCTGTCCTAGGCGGGCGGGTAACTCGTTGGCAGCCAACAGGTTCGCGTGGATTATCTGGCCCAGGTAAGTGGATGAACACTCCTGACTCTTCTTCGCCACTCTCCAGTCTCAATCAATCCTATGGTCCACTACGACAATACAGTCAAGCAGCCACTCATGGCGGGAGACAAGAAAGACTATTCGGACCTTCCAGAAGCCGCGCCCCATGTTGCGGACTCTGGACTGGAAACCGCGGCTCAGCATCCTGCGCACGAGGGGTTGCAGGTGTATTCATACCCACAAGAGCACTTTGGTGCGGAGAAGAGAGCAGCCTGGTCGAGCGAACAAGAGGTGCATCCTTTCCGCGACGGACCTGCCGGCCAGCCTTGGCCGCAAGATGAGAAGGTAGACCGACCACATGACCAGAAACCGAAGCGCCGAATCTGCGGTCTCATACCATGGGTCTTCTGGCTCTTGCTTGCGATTGTAGCGGTTGTTGTAGTTGCGGGCGCAGTAGGAGGTGGTGTTGGCGGAGCGTTGTCGAATAAAAGCAGCGAAAAGTCCACGACGGCAGCAAGCGCGGCCGTCTCTTCGTCGAGTACAAGTGCATCAGCTACTGTTCTTTCGAGCTCTTCGAGCGCCTCGAGCTCCTCGAGCGCATCAAGCTCTACAGCTTCGCCCTCGTCAACCACGTCAACAATGTCTTTCACAAGCACGACGATTGTGGGCCCGTCGGCCTCCTCCTTGGTCCGCGACTGTCCGTCTGTAAATAACACAATCTACTCCACAGGCTCCAGCAGCTCGCCAATGCTGTTCAGAAGGCTTTGCGGAATGAGTGTCATCAACGTCGGTCAGGCAGACCTGGTCAACGGTCCCACAAGGTCACTCGAGAAGTGCATTGATGCCTGTAAGTCAGAGTGCACACCACGACAATGAGATGAAAGCACTAAAATCCGCTAGGCGGCGCATATAACATCAATAATGCAACTAGTATCCATGCAGGCAAGAGTCAGCCGTGTAACGCAGTCTGCTGGCGGAATACCTTCAATACGGACTGGCCAGGGTATGTACAGCATCGTTCGACGTCGCCCGAGGTGATACATATGCTAACTCCTTCGCGTATAGTCAATGCTTTGGCTACACAAGCCAGAACTCGAGCGGGCAGTTTACAATCAATCAGCCTTTAGAGTTGCAATGCGATTCAGCTGCGTGGATCAACCAGAGTTTCTGATAGCGGCCGGCGCTCTTTCTTCTACTAAAGCGCAGTGTTCACTGTGAGCGTTCGCACGGCGTTGTGGTCGGCACACAGTACGATCGTTGTCCATATTCTGTCAATACGCTTTCCGCTTGGCATCGTCCACGCAGATTCAAAGTAGGCAATCGATTGCATCAGCATTGAGAATTATAAGCAAGTGTAATAAGAGCTTTCATTGTGGCAATGTCTTTATCTGACATTAAGCCATAGCATCTGCGTAGTCTTTATCTGACATTAAGCCATAGCATCTGCGTACCAAAGAATACCGCGAGCAGCTAGCCGCTAAGACACCTGAAAAAGTGGTTGCTCAAGCTTGAGTAGAGATAATGGCGGACCGACCTCTACATATAACGGCGGACCTACCTCTACACGTTCCGTACTCGACGCCCCAGCCGACTGTGGCTTTCTGTCAGAACGTGAGCTGGATGTCACAGAAAATTACGACGCCTCCCTCCTCAAAAAGCTTGCCAGCAGTCACTTTACATCCGTTGAAGTAACCACGGCGTTACTGCAAACGAGCAGCGATAGCACAACAACTAACTTGCAGTCTGACCGAAACGTTCTTCAACCAAGCACTTGAGCGGTTCGTCGCGCAACGACCGTCGACAACACCACACCGTGCTCCTGCAGGTAAGTAAGCGGAGTGAGAGAGATTACCTACGATCTGTCAAGGCCACATTAGTACAGTCACCCCAAATACTGTAGGCTTCCCATGGACTGCTGCAGGTAGCATTAATTGGTGCGGCTGCGCAGCCATTCGATCCAGACTCCGATATCGCCACAGGCGTCGAGTGCCTTGGCCAACCTCTTGTCCTCCGCGCCCGCTGAGCCTTGCTCTTCATCCGCCTTTACAGCTTGCGAGACGATCAGCTCGCCGTTCGGCATTACCTGTACGCTGACGCCACCAGATGACTGGTCTAGCATAGCAGGCCACGCAAAGGCTATTGCAGGGGCAGGCGAAGTCGTGAGCGAGACGCTGATTGGCAACAGGTCTGCCGAGTCAGGTGTGGTGGGTGGCGTAAGGAAGGTACCCAGAACGAGCGAGTCGGTTCGGTTTGGCCGGTTGATGTCAGCGATACTGCCATTCGTGGCATCCTCATGCGTTGCGAAAGGTATGGTCTGCAAGATCTGCTCAACCAACGACCCAAAACAGGCCCACTGACGCAGCGTTGGAAGGAGCTCCACAAGTTGTCGAGGATGCGAAAAAGGCAATGCCTCAAGGACGTACCCGCCGTCGTTTCTAGCAACGTCGAGCTCGTACTTGTGATGAACGGTAACCTCCTCTCCACCGCGCGTGACAGTGACTGCATGTGTTATTTGTAGTGGATGGCCATTAGCTACATTCAGTGGCGTAGTCGTAGAAGGATCCAGAAGCATTGCATGCCATGCGGGTGGATAGACAAAGAACTGTGGCGGTGGTAGTCCCATTACTTGCAGGACCGCACTCGCAACTTGCCATGGTAACACAAGCGGCGGATCGAGCCTTGCAGTGAAGCGCAGGTCGGGCATCTTTTGTTGACCTTCGGTAGCCATAGCGTCTACGCTCGTGTCTGCTGTGATGAGTAGCGCAGCTGGGTCCAGCCATGGTAGCGTGGAAGCAGTTCCGCTTTCGGCGGTAAGTGAAAGCTGCCCGGGAAGCCACTTGTCGGAGATCCGAATGGATGGATATAGTTCAGCGGCCGAGCGCTCGATGCTCATGCGTAGACGAAAGACATGATCATCTCCTTTATGAGCAGGCGGAAGGTTTGAGCGTTGTTGCCAGTAGGCAAGCTCGTAGCCAATGTGGCCACTAGCATGAAGTACGGGTCTGCCGCTCTTCTCACGTAAAACATCGAGGGCGCTCGCAGTAGCCACTTCTTGCTCATACAGCCGCTTGAGGCTGGCGTAGATACCGCTAAGCGCCTCGAAGCAATTAACCTGCGAGGAGCTCAAGCGGTCGACCCTGGCCAGACGATTCAGGTTCGCAGCAAAACGGTCCAGCTTGGCGTTGATCGTATCGACCTCTTTCGCCAGCAAGTCGTCTGCAAGCACTTTGCTGACCGAATCGGCCTGAGCGGTAAGGCCGGCGTTTTCGGTGTCGAATGTGACTAGGACTTCATGCGGCATCTGACTTGTTAACGAAATGTCGATAATCATCTTCGTGCCTGCGATGCTGATACGGCTCGAGTCAATATCGTTGTCAAGCCCTGCACGCCTCGCCACCCTCATGATGCCCTCTTCACTTATCCTACCCTTGGACTTGCCAATACTTTTCAGTACGTTCCGCATCCTCGTCCTGCGCTCCTCATCCTCGTTACGCTTCTGTCCACCGCTTGCCGTCATGCCGAGATCGGACATGGTTAGGCTCATTGGAATACCAGCCATGCCTGGCGTAGGCAAGTTGAGCTGGCTTGGCGTGAGCCCTTCGACACCCAACCCTATTGGAGTCCCAAAGCTTAAGAGGTTGGCGTTCGGTGAGGCAGATGTGTGACCCCGTTGACTCGGATTCTGCACCATTGGTGTGCCACCCATTGTTTTGCTTCCCTGTGACGAGCCGGTGGTCGGGTGATTCATTGGCGTCTTCCCAGCGTGCTCCTTCCTGATTGCGGTGGGTGACGGAACGCTGCGCGGTGCCGGTGACGACACGCGGTATGAAGAGGGTGAGACATGGCCGCCAGCTTGTCTCTTAGATGCCGACGTTGGGTGAGAGGGCTGTGATGGCGTTGGTGTAGCCATCTCGGACAGCCACCCTCCGATTGCGATACTATTAGAGGTCGCGGCACTATAATAGCTCTCTTCGGCACCGAAAACTCTTAGTCATGCATCCATGTCCGTGTCGAGCAAAGAGATGTGTTATTGTTCTTCACTCTTACCCGATTGCGTCTCTTCCTCTGCTTTCGACTCTCTTGTCTTGACTTCGCTGGCGGTTTGGGTATTACGAATGTCGCGAGTCGCAGCAACTAGGCTCCCCAGAAGGCTGTACCTGCGTCTACAGCCTCATCCCCCGGTGTACCACTCTTTGACGCCTACAATCTTCCCTCACGTGAGTCACCACGGGACTGCATCGATTGATCTGGGAACTGCGAGCATCCAGCGAATGGTTAGAGCTAATGTTTACCCTTGCTTCACGATCAGTGCCAATTGTACACAGAACGCAATGAAACCTTGAACCATCTTCCTGCGAGGGTGCCTGACAGCGACACAGCGAGCTTAAGCTTGACCCCGGCCCCGTGACAACCATTTCCCATCGATCGCCTAGACCCGCCCTGCTCCTTAGGGGCTGCTGTCTTGTTAAGACCGGCATATTTTGCAGCAAATTATGCATGTAAACAATGTCTCTGTGAGGCCCGCAGTTCTCACCAACGACTCAGCTACCACTGCACAGGCTTATGTGCATGGTGCTTACGTTCTAGCTGATTTGAGGTACTAGATATAAGCCTACCGACCAGCATCCGCAATGCAGTCATTCTTGATACCGCAGACCTACTTGAGGTTATAACAAGCGCTACAGGCACCCAGACCGCAAGCTCGACAGACCTCGCTCTACGAGTAACAAGGACAGACGGTCTCCATTCTGACTTTCACTTAGGCCGATTCTGCAGTGCTAGCAGTCGAGGCGGGTTCCACATTGATGCTCGGCCAAGGTGTTCAGGCAACTCTGGACGAGCTAAAGGACAGTGCCCCCATAAGCGGTAACGCAGCCTTTGTGATCGGCGCATCTTTATCACCACCCAAGCCGCCTGCAAGCGCAATGACTGCAGCTTCAAGATCTGCGACGAACAGCATGTCCGTAGTTCCAGCGCTGACTGAGTCTCGAAAGTCATGAGAAGTATGGGCGCTCGCACTGTGCAATGCAATCCTCGGCTAGCATCTCCACTTACCGCCTGTTGCTTAATGATTACTCTGCTGGCCCTTGCAGAGATAGTATTGAAGGCCGTAAAGATATACCAGCAATTGACTATGTGAGCGTCGATGCTCAAAGCCGGGAGACTTCAAGCAAACAGTTTCGGCGTCATTGTTGCGAGCACATACTGGTCGAAAATGTGACACGCGATCAGAAGCATAACGGCCGTAGAGCTTACGGGTCGTCTAACTGTCTGATGTTCAGAGTGTCGGCCGTAACCTTTACACCATGAAGCCGCAGTCAGCACTAGGAAGCGGTCTATCTACCTTAGGTTCGCTTCTTGTTCGAGCTGGTCATTGAAGCTCATATTGCATCATTTTTCAGTCGTTCTAGAACAAGCCTACAACGAAGCATGTCAGTTGCTTACTGTGGTTGCTTACTGCACGGGTGTCGTATCGCAGCAATGCACCGGACACTCGTCGCAGTCTTAGTGACATTGTACCAGCATCCCGACTCACGTCAGCCGCGACCTCCAGGAACGGGCAATTCGCCGCAATAGCGCAACAGATCGGTAGCACTACCGTGACCGGACGAGCGCACAAGTGATAAGGTTGCCATTTCCTAAGACTTGCAGATTCACCAGCTCCTACCATCGTTTGCTTCGCGCTTCAACGCCCACAATGCGCTCCCTACTTTCTCTGATCACGCTTGTTGCCGTAGTTCAGGCACAGAATGCGACTTTCCAACAAGCTAGTGCATCGAGCCTCAACACCGCCGGCTTCACGGTCAGCAATGTCCATCAATCCAATGGAGGAGGATCCGTTTGCGTATCTGGCACTGTCAGAGTCCGGGCCTCGGCTGAGAACTTGAAGTTCGCTTTTACATCGCCTACTCAGCAGACCGATGTCACGCAGATGCTTCTAGAGGTATTTCAGGTAAACTCGCCTACGCTCGCCGAGCTACTCCAATCGCCTACTCAGGTAGTTAGTGGGACTTGGACCATTGGCGCAACCCTTTGCGTTCCGCCCAACAATTTGAGGCCGAAGGCGGTGCAGCTGCTCACGCACGGGTTCGGCTTCGATCGTAACAACTGGGACTTTGCTCCAGGCTACAGTTACGTTGATATTGCGACCAGTCATGGCTACGCCGTCTTCTTCTACGTAAGTCTGTGGGACACTTAGTGGCCGTTCTATTGGCTCCCACATCTGCTAACCCATGCCTTTGTGTTGGATAGGATCGCCTCGGGATTGGCGCAAGCGACAAGCCAGATCCATTGAACGTCGTGCAGACACCGCTCGAGATCGAGATCGCCAACAAGCTGGCCACCATGCTGCAGTCCGGCTTCTTCAGCGGCGTCACCTTCAGTACTGTTATTGGCGTCGGCTACAGCTATGGCTGTTACGTGACTTTGGGAGTTGCAGAGCAGCATCCATCCACCCTTGACGCCACCGTCCTGATTGGTGCGAGCGCGAACCTTACGGGAATACCGCCCTTCTTCCTTGGCCTGAACGCTGCGATTGCGAACCAAAACCAGCCAGAGCGCTTCGGCGCACTTGACAGCGGGTGGGTTGCTTTATGCAGTGAGCAGGAAGGCGATGGCTAACGGATCATGTTAGGTACCTCGTTCCCGACAGCGCTATCTCGTGCCAGCAAGCTTTCTTCCGCTCTCCGAATTTCGATCCAGCGATCCTCGCCAAAGTCGCCGCAACAAAGCAGCCTTTGACGTTAGGCGAGGCCATTTCGACGCCTTTGCGTCTCCTTCCGCCTTTCGCGCCCGCTTCCGACTACACGAATCCGGTAATGGTGGTCAACGGAGAAGGAGATCTGCCCTTCTGTGACGGCAATTGCACCTACCCGACAGATCTTGCTGCGCAAGTTCGGCCAGCGTTGTATCCGAACGTAGCCGCAAGCAAGTTTCAGAGTTTGATCGTACCGGATACAGGCCATTGCGTGAATCTGCATACGACGGCAACGGGTGCGTTTCAGAGCGTGCAAGCCTTTCTCCAGCAGCAGGGTTTAGGAGCGTAGATGTGATATGCATCGCATGCGAAGCGGGTGGGCATGGGTCGCTGGAAGTGCGGCGTGGCGTACAGCGCCACTGGAGCAGTCGCTGCGAGCCGTACTACGGACACTCACGGCTTCACGCGATTCGAAACTTAGGCAGATCGCGCAGATGCTTGATTAATGGATCGATGGAAAGTACGGTCTCTTCTCTTCAGCCTACCGAAAGAACCTTCCGTAGAGTTGATGTCCGTGCTCCATCGCATCAGCACGATACATAAGTAGCAGCTCGATACTCAGTAAGCGAACATTCTCAACTCTATGACAATATCGAAGGCAAGGAGGTTGGAAGTGCGAATCTAGCGTACCTGACTTTGAATTCTTGCGAGCCGCGCCGACACTGGTCTCGGCTATATGCAGCAAGAGGTGCCGGCCGCGTTACAGTCTAGTACCAATCGGTCACAGATATTGGTGAGTGGTGTGCTGGCACCTCTCGAGCGGGTTTCTGTTTAGCGCAAACCGTGCCTGACGCCAGAAGCCATTGTGCATCTTCCGCGACTCACGTGAGCATCCAAGGCCATTGGCAGTGGCTCGATATGCTCAATCGTCAAGATCTAACCATTGCGAATGGACTGTCCACAAGCAGTTTCGATTAGGGAGGGCTCGAAAGTAGAATGACTCGTAGTGAGGGTGCCCTCCGGAAAGCTTGTTGCGCCAGCTGGATTGTGCGCCAGGGCCACCCTTGCTCATGTAGCAGGGCTTGTGTGGCTCGTAAGTGAACGTGCTTGCGCTTCCACTCTCATCGACCTCTCCGCTGCTCTTCTTGGCTCAATGAGCATTGGGGGGTGATGTGAATTGGAGAGAGGGATGCGGCATGTGCGATAGAGGGTAGTAGACTAAGGCGCTCTCTTTACGACGTTCCCATACCGGGGCAGAGTGCGCAATGAGCGATCCACTGCGCAGAATCTGACCGCACTAGTGATTGGGAGGACTTCTGGGCGGAGAAGCGCAGAAGTGTCAAGTGATGGAGCAAGCCAATGGCAGCCGGCAGCGCTGGACGGAGCAACGGAGGCGCAAGGAACCATCGGCTTATGACGAGTGGTTGAAGGAAGAACGGGTGTCACAGCAGCAGCAATCAGCGCCTCGACCCTCAATACCGGCGCTGCCCGAGAGCACGCCCTTGCACCATCTCGGTGACACGACAGCTGAGGTGAGGCCGCCGCGCACAGGATCAATCAGGGCAGTCACACCCGACAACTCAGCCATGGCAGAAGCGGAACTATCCAGCAGCAAGAACAGCAGCCCATTCCCGGCAGAGCGTGGAACGAGCAGCTTCGAAAATGCATTCATTCCGTTTGACAGGCATACGGGATTAGGTACTACGACGACGATAGTTGGTGGACCAGCGGCTAGTAACCCGCCATTGCCGCCTCGCCGATTGTTTGAAATCTCGCCGTCCTCACACCCGCATAGAAGTCGCCGCCCTGTGGTGGAACGGGAGTGGGAACGTGAGGCTCGAATGAGTCAGCAGAGTGCAAGTCCACCGCATTCCAGGAATGGCGGGCGCGCAGCATCGGCGGTAACTCCGGTGACAGCAGTTCCACGCGGCAGTAGTCGAAGCAATGGTCAGCACAAAGTTGCACCCGCGACGGTGACAGCCAGAAGAGATGACCCGGGTGCTGTGCGACCAAGGACAAGAACTCTGGAGGAGACAAGGCGTCGCGAACGGTCGCCTTCGTCTGTCATGAAGGCTAGGAGTAATCGAGTAGGCAGCGTCAACTCGCCGTCTGCACCTATCTACCATGGCGCAGACTACCTGGCTTCCGTTCCATCGATCATTTCTCCTCCAGCAGCACCGTCAATGCAAGCTATAGGCACACCTACACCAATGTCCGTGGAACCGCATGACCGCCGATCAGCATCACCTCAATCCACCAACACGGTCGACTCGCTTGCTGCGTCACTACCACCGCAGACCGCCAGACGCATCGTGCACTTGATGAAGATGCTGAATGGAAGAATGAGTGGCAATCTCGTCTTCCGACGGGGCGCTGCTAGCCCGTGGACCAAAAGCTACTGCTATGTGAAGGAAGATACAGCGAGCTTGATGTACGAGGCATACACCAACGACGGCAACCATAGAAAGCTGGTTCCTGATCTCAGAGGATGCAAGGTCCGCCCAAGCATTGACAGAGAGACTCCGTTCCTAGAGATCACGTCTCTCCGAGCCAACATTAACGTGCACATCAAGCTGCACACTCAAGCAGACTTTGACACGTGGTATGCGGTCTTGTTATACTGGAGCCTGAGGGAAGAAAAACTTGGACGAAGAGGCGGATCGAGCAACGGAACCGTACCGTCACCACGTTCACAACAATCAGCTTCTGTACAAGTCCCGGCTCGGACTTCCTCAGCAGCCAAAGTACGATCACGCACACGCAGCAAGTCCGAGCGGCCTAAATCGGAGGTCATGACAACACGTGAAGCGCCAGTGATCAAGATTGGCAACATGATCTATTGGGACACGAATATTGGTTACAGTAGTAGCACTCCCGGCTTGGTTGGTACTCCGATGACATCACGGCCGCAAGCGTACCGAATGCAAAGCTATGGTACGCGACGATGGCGGCGCATCAGTGGCATGTTGCGCGAGAACGGCGAGCTAAAGTTGCAGTCTGAAGCGGACAACAGCTTGATCTCTGTCGTGCAACTCAGTCAGCTCAGCCGGTGCGCCATTCAGCGGCTGGATCCTAGCGTCTTGGACAACGACTTTTGTATCGCGATTTACCCGCAGTATACGTCGAGCCTGAGTAACAGCCAGTCCGGCTTCATGCGGCCTATCTTCCTGAGTCTGGAGAACAGAGTACTGTTTGAGGTTTGGTTCGTGCTCTTACGAGCGTTCACCATTCCGCAACTCTACGGACCGCCTTCACCGGAGCAGAACGATGCCGATAGGACACCAGACAGTGAAGACACGAATGCGCCTCCAACAACCGACATGTTTCGCGTCGAGCGCAGTTTGGGCATACGCGTGATAGAAGCGAAGATGTATCCCCCAGCCACAAGCGATCCGTGGTCGCTTGATCCGGACTTCAACGGCGCTCACACCCGAAGCGGGCAGCGTGACGGTAGGCCCGAGCAGCAAGGCTACTACGCTGAAGTGTTGCTGGATAATGAGACACGTGGCAAAACAGCTGTGAAGTTCGAAGGCTTGAGCCCGCTTTGGGGCGAGAGCTTCGACTTCGTGGATCTGCCGCCCGTGCTGAACAGTGCCAGCGTGGTGATCAAGCGTCGCCCACCTGACACCACGCACCTGCGTGAGCAGCATGAAAGCCGGCTTGTGCACGAAGCATATGGTTTCACTGGCGATCAGCATGGCGGCTACACGGGCTTGACGTTCGATGTCACTTGCGGCAAGGTTGAGATTTACCTACAGGAGCTGGAAGATGAGAAGGAGATTGAGAAGTGGTGGCCGATCGTGAACACGCACAACCAGCGCGTCGGCGAGGTTCTGATCAAAGCACGTGCTGAAGAGGGCGTGATATTGATGGCGCACGATTATCAGCCGCTGAGCGAACTGCTGCACCGCTTCAGCAACGCTCTCACCCTGCAGATCGCATCCATGATACCTGCAGAGCTCAAGCGCTTGAGCGACTGCCTGCTCAACATCTTCCAGGTCTCCGGTAAGTCGAGTGATTGGCTTATGGCTCTGGTCGAGGAGGAAATCGATGGCGTGACGAAGGAGACGCCAATGTTTCGCTTGCGATACAAAGAACGCGTTGGCTCAAACGATAGTAGAGAGAGCCACGGCGCCGGGGTGACGCACAGTGATCGCGAACTCATTGTACGCGACATGAACAGAAACGCTGCGGTGGAGGCTAACCTGCTCTTTCGCGGCAACACCTTATTGACGAAGAGCCTGGATACGCATATGCGCAGGGTCGGCAAGGAATATCTGGAAGACTCGCTTGCGGCCAAGATCCAAGAAATCAATGATAAAGATCCGGAATGCGAGGTTGATCCCAACCGTGTCAGCTCGCCGCAAGACTTGGAGCGTAACTGGCGCCGGCTTATGTTATTCACGAGCGAAGTCTGGAAGTCAATTGTGGCGGCTAAGAGCAAGTGTCCGATCGAACTCAGGATGATCTTTCGCCACATCCGCGCATGTGCGGAAGACCGGTATGGCGACTTTCTCCGGACGGTGAGCTACAGCAGTGTGAGCGGCTTCTTGTTCTTGCGGTTCTTCTGCCCGGCCGTGTTAAACCCGAAGCTCTTCGGGCTGCTGAAAGGTGAGCATGATTCGTCCAACGAGCGTATTCGATTGAACTGACGTTGCTTTGCTACAGAGGATATGAGACCGCGCGCCCGTCGTACGTTCACGCTCATCGCGAAGTCGTTGCAGACGCTTGCGAACATGGCCCATTTCGGCACTAAAGAGCACTGGATGGAGCCTATGAACACGTTCCTCGGTCAGCACCGCGAGAGCTTCAAGACGCTCATTGACGACGTCTGCTACGTACCCCGTCCGGCGTCTACTGCCATGCACCCAGCCCCGGCCGGTCCTCCAGGCTTCGCAGCAGGCATTCCGAGCACAGAGACACACCTCAGCTACGGCACGCCGATGACAATTATGCAGCGCTTGCCACCGACCAGTAGAGAAGGCTTTCCCAGTCTCCCTTACTTAATCGACCAAGCTAGGGCGTTCGCAGATCTTGTACAGTTATGGCTGGCAATTGTCTCTCCGACCCGACAAGGAGACAGCTATGGTAACGGCACACGCAGGCAGTCCGAGATCATTCATGTTATCGAAACCACGGAAGGCGATCTCAAAGCCTTCCATGACATTTGCGTTAGCCTCAACGGCCGCACGCAGGAGTGTCTGAGCCGCGCCGAGCGAGCCGAGCGACCTAACAGTGCGCTCAGCTTCCACTGGGAAGAGATCATTGAGCAGCTGCAGAGCAATCCGAACATCGAGAGCCCAGACGAGACAGCCGCCAGTCAGATCACCTTCGACTTAGGTGCGTCAAGGCTTAGCGAAGACCCGTCGCTATTGCCGCCGGGTATGCAGTCGAGTCGCAGACCGCTGTCCACCGTGAAGCCGCCAAGGCAGTGGGATATGGTCACTTCAACGGATGAGGACGAAGAAGAAGAGAGAGAAGAAAACGATGAAGTGGGAACCATGCTCTACGATCCTACACCACCCCACACCAGCGCAGCCTCAACCTTCGAACTTCCCAATCCACCGCAGCGTACAAGCACCTTATTCAGAGACCGGCCCGGCTCGGCAAGCATCAGCAGTAGTCTCCGCAGCCGCACGGCCATCGCATCCCGAGGGTCCGATGGCCAGCGATCCCCCTCCGTGTCCGCATCAGCCAGCACAAGCGCCGTAAGCAGCGACACCGAGCATACGAATGGCACAACGGCGCTGCCGAATTATGAGAGGGAGATCCGGCATCGAGAGCGAAGGGAGGCCGCAAAGCAGCAGATTGTGGCGCAAATGGAGGAGGCGAAAGTGAGAGAGCAGGCGGAGAGGGAGAGAAGGAGGGGCAAGACGCCGCTTGCTGCGTTGACGGGCCGGAGGAGGGAGGGGAGGAAGGCGGTTGGGCATGGGAGTGGGAGTGGGAGTGGGTCTGGTCAGAGGGGGGTGGATGTATGAAATATGGCTGTTATGATGTTCGTTGTATGATCACGTGGGAGTGGTAATGGCTAGATAGAGTGCCTATGCGGTAAAGACGTAAATCGAGCCACAAGTTGAGCTAGCTGTCCTGCAGCTCATGGCGTGTGGCAGTCACTCTTATACCTGTCATATCCAATACGAGGTATCTTCGGTAGAGTCGCGGAGTATGACCTGAAGAGGCGGGAAGCAAATGCCTAGCCCACTTTGTCAACCAGGAAGTCACGAGAACCGCGGCGCTTGCTTTCACGACTTCATTCTCTTACGCCACTTCGTTTACTTACTCATAGTCAGTATACCAAAGCCAATCCATGCCATTGTTTGTGGGAGTCATCATCTACATCGTCTGGGTACACGAGTTCGAGATCGACCCAATAGCGGACCTCATTCAGCACGTCGGGCAAATTGCGCAGCCCATCTTCGACGGAGGGGTGCGCATCAACCACCACGCCAACTTCCATCAGCCGCGCGGTATCAGATCTGCCATCCAGAGGCTGTTGCTGGCAAGCGTGTGGTATTACTGGTCGACGTGGATACTCACTGGCATCATCACAGCGTCTGGTGGCCCCTCTTCTGGGCTGGAGGACGCCGAGGACGCCAAGGTCGCGCAGATGAGAGAGGAGGCGCGCGCTCTGTACCTGCATTGAACTCTGTGTGAAGTGGGGTCTGCTGGCCTTGGCGTTTGTTGTGGTGGGGCAAAGGGAAGATTCGAGAGCTTGAGAGTCAGATTCAGCTGGCTGCAGCGAACGCACATCTTCTCGTTCGTTCTTCCGCATAGCCTCTTAACAGTTGCAATTGACCCTGCCAGTCGTCTACGCAGAAGCTTCGTATTGCGGACAGCGACCTACTGCCTCATTGAACACCAGAGCGATCGGACACAGCTCGCAACAATGGCAGCCAACGGCACCCACTCTAAACGCCCGCGCGTTTTCTTCGACATCACTATTGGCGGTACCCCTGCCGGCAAGGTTGTCTTCTCTCTGTATTCGGACGTCGTCCCCAAGACCGCCGAAAACTTCCGCTGCCTCTGTACCGGCGAAAAGGGAACAGGAAGTTCAGGCGTGCCACTCCACTACAAGGGTAGCGCCTTCCACCGTGTAATCAAGTCTTTCATGATCCAAGGCGGTGACTTCACGGCCGGCAACGGCACGGGCGGCGAGAGTATCTACGGCGAGAAGTTTGAGGATGAGAACTTCGACCTCAAGCATGAGAAGCCATTTCTGCTGAGCATGGCCAACGCGGGCAAGGGCACGAACGGCAGTCAGTTCTTCGTCACTACCGTGCCGACGCCGCATCTGGACGGCAAGCACGTTGTGTTCGGGGAGGTGATTGCGGGGAAGAATGTGGTGAGGCAAGTAGAGAACACGCCGGTGGGAGCGAGCGACAAGCCGGAGCGGGACTGCGTGATCGAGGATTGTGGAGAGCTGCCAGAAGATGTGAGCTTGGAGGAGTTCGTGAAGAAGGCTCCAGATGCAACCGGAGATGCGTACGAGGAGTTCCCGGAGGACCAGTTAGGCGAGGGCAAGGAGTGGAAGGGTTCTGAGATAGTTGCCATTGCCACCGAGCTCAAGGACATTGGCAGCAAAGCGTTCAAGTCCAACGACCCGAAGCTTGCGCTTGCCAAATACCAGAAAGCGCTTCGCTACTTGCACGAGTACCCGGCGCCCCTCGAAAACGATCCCGCCGATCTCGGGACACAGCTCACTCAGCTCAAGATCTCCCTCCACACCAACAGCAGTTTGATGCAGTATAAGCTGAAGCAATTCAGAGACTCTGCTGATTCCGCAGACAAGGCGCTCGCAGTCGAAGGCGTTACCGACAGCCAGAAGGCCAAGGCGCTGTTTCGAAAGGGTGTCGCAGCGAAGGAGGGCAAGAACGAAGAGGATGCGCTGAAGTATTTGGAGGAGGCGGAGAAGCTGGCTCCGGGAGATGCCGGGATCAAGAACGAGTTGGCTGGTGTGAAGAAGGCGGCGAGCGAACGGAAGGCAAAGGAGCGGAAGGCTTACAGTAAAATGTTTGATTGAAAGGATGTGAGCGACGAGCGAGTGCGGACTTTGAGCGTTCACAGCGTGGCGTCCTGCATGGAGTTGCGGCTTGCCATTGAGCGGCTGTCAGTCCCGCCCATTGCGGGCGGAAAGTACTGCGGGCATAAAGTACTGCGGGCGAAAAGTGTTGCGGGCGAAAAGTACTGCGGGCGAAAAGTACTGCGGGCGAAAAGTACTGCGGGCGAAAAGTACGGCGGTCCTTCGTATCTTGGCCCAACAGACTTCCTCGAAGTTTGGCTACCTTGCTACACATAAGTTCTTGAACGGAACACATTGCGTCCTGTTGTCAAGTGGTAAAGACTATTGACACTTACCCTCGCTGCAAGCCATTCTTGCCGTTAACTGCCGAGGCCCCTCAAAGCACCCCTATGCATAAACAGCAGTGACAGCAGCACCATCGATTCTGTACTTCGGCCTGCTTTACCATTCCTTGACATGAGACACTGACTTTGTTAACAAATTCGTCGTCCGTCAACAGCGTCGCAGCATGCCTCGTGTGCAATACAAACGAGATCCGTACCGCTTCAATGCCGGCTCTCTTGGCCACCTCGAAGGTCTAACGGTCTCATTTCGTTCGAACAGCTCTCGTAATACGCCATTGCTTCGATATTTTGGTGGAGTACCATATGCATTACCACCTATAGGACCATACCGGTTCCGAAGACCTCGGCCCTTGCCGGATTACTACCGGTATGGTACCAAGGCAAACCCTGGCCGCTTTACTCGTTCTACTGGCATCTGCCCGCAGCCTTCATGGCAAGGTATGAATGGCGAGGAAGTCTGGGACGAGGACTGCTTGCAACTCAATATCTACATCCCTTGTGGCAGCCCGCCTTCGACACAAGGGTGGCCCGTATTCTTTTACATACATGGTTAGTATCTGCATCAGTTGTTGGGTGGAATGAATGCCGGACAGTATGTCTGACCGGTTTAGGTGGGTTCCTGCAATGGGGAGACCCTAACATGTCGCCCGAATCTGTCGCACCTCTTCTCAGCGAGACCGCCTTCCACGCAATCATTGTCCAGCCAGCATACCGTCTTAATGCCTTCGGCTTCCTTGCCAGTAAAGAACTGCAAGCCGAAGCCGAGCGCGTTGGCGTGGCTGGCGCGGGCAACATGGGGTTCTGGGACCAGCGTCTCGCACTGGAGTGGACAGCAGCGAACATCAGCCACTTCGGTGGCGACGCGCACAACATTACTGTTGGCGGCTACTCGGCTGGTTCGCACAGCGCATTTCAGCAGCTCGCACACGAACTTTACTTTGTCCCGGACGAAAAGGCGGTCATCCGGCGAGTGATAATGTGGTCCAATAGTCCTGGAGTACAGCCGAAGTCGCTTGCGGAGCATCAGCTGCAATTCGAGGAGTATCTCACCGCGCTTTCGATCCCGCTCAGCCTGTCTGCTGAAGAGAAGCTCAAGCGCTTACGAGACCTGCCACTCAAGCAACTGATCGACGCACAGGCGAACATGCATCTCCATCAATTTCGCGCAACCACCGATAATGCTTTCATCTCGAAGGCACTGATGGCGAACATCAACTCCGGCGACTTCGCTCGGCGGATGAAGAAACGTGGAATCAGACTCATGAACGGCGAGTGCCGCGACGAACATAGCCTTTACCGCATCTGGCGGACACCAACGCAAGCGACGTTTGAAGGAGTTTACTCTCGTCTCTGCGCTGACTATCCGGAATACGCCGTCAAAAAGCTCATGGAGTACTATTGTGGTGCTGATCACGCCTTGCCAGCGGGTATGGAGGACTGGGTAGATGCTTTTGGGAAACTTTACGCCAATATGCAAGTGCACTGCCTCGAGCGCGGATTTCAAAATGCGTTGGTCAATGGAGGCTTGGAGCCTGGGAAGGATTTACTGCGGTATCGGTTCGAGTGGAGAGCACAATGCGTCACTCTACCGCTTGATTGGGGCGTCACTCATAGCTCCGATATGGCCATCTGGTTCTGGGGAGAGGGCAAGGGCGAAGGCATTACCGAACAGGAGAAGCTGATTCTGGAGTCTTGGAACGGAGCCTTTGCTGCCTTTGTCCGAGGTGATGAGGTCAACTGGCCCACGAGTCAAGCTACGGAGGTTATGAGGCTTAGGGAAGATGGTAAGACAGATGTTTGGACGGACGCCCAGTGGGGTGAGGGTGTAAAGCTGTGGAAACTGCTCAACGATGAGGCTGGCACCGGCATGCTAGGCTGGCTGCGATCTAAGCTGTAAGACTACCGGATGGCTGCAGCTCGCTTGTGACTGCGCCATGCGTGTGTCTGCGACTTTCCGAGATATCGTCAATACGCCGCGAACGCCAGTGCTGTAAATACAAAGCCTGGATTCGCCACATGGATGCAGGTCTGACGGTGGCTTTGAAGGGGAAGGTACGGACTGTCTCAACTGTTTGCTTTCACCATCTACCCTGATTGTCATCTGATCCGAGATGTCTGAAGCAAGCAACACGTTTCTGGAGTATAATATACCTTTGCTTGCTATGGCAGCAGGCCTCTCACACGTATCAGCTCGCACTTTCCACCTTCTCCTGACCTGCTGTAGCAGCCATCCACAGCCTGATTAAGTCAGACAATAACCTTATAGCACCACCACTTTCCCGTCAAAACAGAAATGTCAGGGGTTAACACACGTACAGCACATTTCTCGGCATCTCAAGAACCGTCCCGAATGGCTCCGCAACGAAAGCAAGCTCGATTGACCTACTTCATCTCACGCGATAATGGCACGACTGTGCCTCTCATTCCGGCAGACGAGCTGCCTTTCAACATCCGTCTCCAGGGAGTTCCACGAATTCTGCGCTTCGAGGAGACGGTGGGAATGCAGCATGTCGGCTTCGCGCCGCATACTGGCTCAACATATGTTCTGGAGCGTGAGATTCACCTCGGCGCGCCGGGTCCAGGAGCGATGACGGGTACTTCCAGCCGGCCTCGGTCATCCTCCAGCCTGTATGGTCAAGATCATGTACGGCCAAAGTACCTCGCTCCAGACGCCTACGCACGTCAGGCTCTTGCTGAAGCCGTGAACACTGCAACATTTCAAGCAGCCACACCTCAACGTCAGCTTTCCGCCCATGAAACGGCCACCAACTGGCGCAACGCATCTAACCCACCGGCTGCAAAAGAGCCCCTTGACACAGCCCTTCCGACTTCACGCACCGTCCCAGGCGACAGAACCCAGTCCGTCATCGATGCCATCCTTGCTACAACCACCGGCGCCGCATCAGCCGCCCGTCTCGGCTATACACAACACCTCACTCCAACCCCCACCCCACCCTCCGGATTTCTTCCAGACCAAGACAGGAAAGAGTACTGCACCTACTGGATCCGACATGGTGAATGCGACTTCATGCAGCAGGGATGCATGTTCAAGCATGAAATGCCGGACAAGGCGACGTTGGAGCGGATTGGGATACGGTGTGTGCCACGATGGTGGGCGGAGAAGCAGAGTGTTCTCAAGCGGGGCGTGATTGGTGGCACCGGCAAAGATTTTCAGAGCACCGGCGGATTTGGTGCACTTGTCAAGGGTTCTGCGTGGCTGAAGCGAGATGTCAAGGAGAATGACAAGGTGGAGAACAGGTCGGCGAGTGGTGAAGCAACGGCGAGAGTAAGTGACAGCGACAGCGACAGTTCGGCCGCGGACTCTGTCATCACGGGAGGCAACAAGGCAACTTTGAGTGCCGCTCGCAAGTTCAGCATTGCGCAGAAGCCGGCAATTACTCGCAAAGCAGCAGACGTTTCGGAGGCGGCGAGCACCAAGCCTGCTGACATCGAGGCTAACAAGCGTACTTCATCACCACCAGCCACCAACATGCGCAAGGCGTCTACTTGCAGCGACTTGATCGACCTTGCTGTTCCCTTGCTGCCAACACCGGCCTCCACCACGCCGTCCACCCCATCCGAGCAGTCACTAGCATCGTTCCCTCTGGCCAGCAAGCAAAACGCAGGCGAGACGCTAACCTCGACGGCAACGGGACCCAATGACGGCAGCAAGGGAGACAGGAAGTGTAGCACCGCGCGCCGCAACGAGGACACCGTCACCGACACGACAAGCAAGGCTCGCGTCTTCGTTCCAAAGGGCGAGTCACCCGAATCTCATATTCCCGAAGCTCGCAAGCGCGAATATGCTCGTAGCGGTGCTATCTCTCACTCGCGCAAAGGTGCAACTGCAACGTATGGCGAGCACGCTCGTGTTGAGGGCATTCAAGCAACGGATTCCAAACTCAGCGCAGCAATTGTCATGGACGAAGGACTCATGGCTTCTCGTCATGCGCCGAGAGCAGGAGACAATGTTATTAATGGCAAGCGAAGTATGAGGGCGAGCGATCGGCCAAGACGTCCGGCGGTGACTAGCAAGGCGGTCGTTGCAAAGGCTTAACCCTCTCGAGGCGGGTGATGGCTATGGGTGAGGATCCTCAACAGGCGAAAGTGTGTTGATGGAAATTGTACGCTTTGTACGACTAGCATTGGTGTGCTCACTTGGCAGGTTGGTTCAGTACGAAGCACTCTATGATTACTGTGGTGCCTTCGTGCTGTGCGGCAGCTGTGAACTTTGGTAGATGCTTACTACACGTCCAAAGGTTGTAGGGACGCGAGGCATATCAATGCTCAAAAGACCATAAGCTTTCTGCTTTAGCGTGAAAGATGCAGTTCACAAATCAGCATTACCACCTGATCGCTCCCGCATACAGCAACGCACAGCATCACCTCCGTTGCCGAAGCTTTGCCGAGGGCTGTGTGCATGCAAGGTAACCTGGAAAGTAGGCTACCTCTTCGAGCTAGGCCACCACCTCAACCGCATCTTACAAGACAACCATAGTATATTAGTGCGGCGCTATCTTGGTATGAGTAGCGAGCTATGTCCGGTCTGTAGGCTTTGAGCAACACTTTACCCTCATCATCCCACTGGGAGAAGATGCATTCACCGGAACGTGATCGGTCCACTAACCTTCGTTGATCTCATCTGCTAACTACAGCTTCACGACGCCATTCCTCCGGGCTTCACGACGCCATTCCTCCGGGACTGGGTTGCCGTGATGACTGACATTGGAACGAGAACGCTGTAGCCAACCTTGTCGGTGTTTTGATATTTTGCGTGCTCCTCGAAGCATACCTCACGACATTGGCAGCCCAATATGCTCAACAGATCATTAAGGTTCACCTCGAACACCATTGGGACAGCCGCTCACAACGGAACCTGCCACAGCCGTGCTGCCGGTCGGTTGCGAGACAGCATGGATCGTATGCATTGATGATCCTTCCACTCAGCACAATACCAATCATTGCTCTCTTCACGTCTGTACAGCATGGACACTATTGTCAGGGGACTCCTTCAGACCCGTCTGAGTGGCGAATGGAGTGGCTGTTCTATATCTGGTTCTTGCTAGTCTGCAGGGTGTCACCGCCGGAAACTGCATGTTCGTGCTCACCGATTCCGCGCTCACCGTGAACGGTGCCCGGAGTCGAGGCCTCTCTCGCACACCATGGGGCGTGTGGAGCATGTTCATCCTCATCATACCGGTCACTGCTCCTTTCGTAATTCTTGCCACACCGTTTCTGGCCATCTGGATCGCATACGAGGTCTTTGTGGTCTGGAGGCGTTCCTACGTTGAGCCAGCGATGCACACCCTGTATCACCGGAGTGACAGCGCCATAACTGTACGAGCGAAGTACTTGCTTGCAGGTCTTACCGCAACGCCTCAGCTTCCCTCCGCATCTCGGGAATGGTTTATGCAGCGCAAGCAGCGCTGGCAGAAGGACCAAGAGCTTTCACGTACCTACTTATTTCCAGATATTCAACCACTTTGGATTGGTGAATAGTTTTGGCTAAGTGATGAGCGGGCTCCAAAGCGCCCAACAACTCTTCACCTAGCATCCCTCTGACGAGTGAGCCCCACCTCGATAGTCGTATCGAGAGCTGTCTGATCTTGTGATGGAGAGGCTCCTGTGATGGACCAGGAACATTGAGGAATTGCGGCATGAAGAAGGGCGGCTGTGCTAAAGTTGCCGGCCAAGAACCTCACCGGACACCGAACATGAGTCACGGCGAGGCAGCTGTAGTTTGTGCAACCCTAAGTCTTGTTCAGCTCTCCCGTGCAGTCTCCTGTAACTCCAGGGCACTTACTAGAGGTAGGCCTAATCGCTACTCTGTCTTGGCGTTGCTGCCAAGAAGTTTGAAGGCTGAGCCAGCCTTGAGGCCGCTCAACAGTACGCATGACCTCAAGAACAAGATGGTGCGTCGCAGAAATCCCAGCCTCACGGCTTGGTGAAGACATATTGGTCTTGATAACAGATCTGAAGATTAATAGGAATACTCTAGTCACAGCTATTCGCTTCCCGATCAGCCAGCTACTACATCACTCACTGTGGACCGAATATCTACAACGAACACTTCGTTGAGCGGAGTTTAATCAAGCCTTTCACGTCTATTGGCGCAATCCGGCTGCCTTTGCAACTCTGTCTACCGATTCTGAGCTGGAGAGGAGCGAGGACCTTGCAACCACTGGCAGCATGACGTCAAGCAGCAATGCAACTCTGTTCAACAATTCAACCATCTGCGAAACAAAAGCACTGTGGATGGCTGGTGTGAAGCCGTCCTCCGCCCACGCTCTCTGCGACCTTTCATACGTGCTGGCTCCTCTCACGATCTTCTTGGGTTACGGATTGATGCGGATATGCCGCAACTTTGGCTCTGCTCACATTAAAGAACAATGGCGCACGAGTTGTTGGATCTTCTTGGGCGTTGTCAGTGCTGGCGGTGCCGGTCTGTTCGCTTTGGCCTTCGTTTCCATCGTCTTGGCAGTACAGCACATATACTATTGCGAGCCGAACCCGCAGTGGAAGTACTACTCAAGTGACTGGGCTGTAGCCTCGGTGTTCATACTCAGCATGTACGCAATCGCCGTCATGCTTTGTCTGGTCGGCACTGTCTACAGCGCCTTGGGATCTGGCCTTCGCATCGCACGCTGGGTCATGACATGGAGACAACCGTGCCAGCATTGGGTGCAGAGTCTACGTGCATACAGCGCAGTACCATCACCGTCTGCTATCCCGAGCAGGCTTCCGAGCGGTACAGGTGGTCATGATGTGGAAGCTGGCAGAGCACCTGCAGCGCGCGTCACCAAGCATCTGCCCATCTATGACCAGATGATGCGTCCGGATTGGTGGGTAGAGGTTCCCCACGGTTCAGCAGACGAGGTTCAGCGGCCGCAAGTCGCCCTTCTTCATTGCACAAATATAACCGCACCACCACCATACGAGCCTTGAGCACGTGAAAGCACAGACCGGATTGCAACGGTGACAAACCGACAGAGTACAGCGAAAGTGCGCAATATCTCATTACGCTGTCAATGGTAGCACTTCGAGTGCGGCGTACGAGCTTGTTGCCTTCCCTTACCACAATGCAGTAAAAATCTGCTCGTAAGCATCACCTCCGAGGCTCCCTTGTAGGACTCTCTACGCGAATCGAAGGGAAGGCTCGCCACCCAACGGCACGGATGCAAGCAAGACGGTAGCAGGAGAAGCAGCTAGAGCAGCCCAATGTCAAAGCTGGCAAGGACAGTTAGAACGTTCAAGAAGCGGAGGATACGGCAGGTACGGGAATCTAGCTGGTAGACCCAGATCATGATGGCCGGCCAGGCTACGATAGCCCGCATGCGGTCAACAACCACCATTGTTGAATGGTGGTGTCACTCAACCGGAACCTGCAACCCCACAAGCGACTTGTTTTCGCATGCCAAGAAAACCGGTGCGCCTCCGCCGTATGTGCCGCGAGTAGACACTTGAAGAGCTCGGAGGACGCAATTCTTCACCTATCTGTTCTTCGTATAGATGAGTACTGCAAGGGCGATCGACCTCATCTCGGACATACCTCGACGATTGACTCGCCTGAAGAGTGCATGGGAGGGTGTGCAGAGACTTGCAGCGTGTGTCTAAGGCGACGGCTTGGAAATAGCAGCTCCAAGAATCAGCAATACTGTCGCATTCTCCACCTACCAACCATACGGATCGATCGACGTGACACGCCGACCGGTCTGCCACCTTAACGGCTGAATGGCAACCGCTTTCATTGCCCAGGTCTCGCTCGCGGTGTGCCTCCAGAGATGCTGACCCACCTAGGACTGGTCCAACTCCATCCCAGATTGAGCTGCTGTGGAGGTGTCAGAAGGCGAGCGAGCCTTGCAGCGCTTACTACATTGTTTCATCCCGGTGGTGTTCCACGTAGATTTTCTTGTGCAACGAACGCTTACAACCTAGTCGTGGCTTGCGGCAGTAGCAGCAAATGCCGAAATATCAGCTATCGTAAGCCAGAGCCTGTGTTACTCCGCTCGTATGTTCATGCTCATTGAAGCACGGTATGAATGATGAAGGTTGTTGGAGGTAGGAATGCTCGTCGTTTTTGGCTATTCGCACGGAATGAAGTCCAACTTCGAGCTTCGAGCAAGCGAGACGAGCTGTCATGGCCCAAGCTCCCAATGGCATGCCTCGGCGTCTGCCGAGGACAGGAACAGGAACAGATCATCAGTCCCGCGATTTTCGACGTGTCATGCACCACTTTGCCACTAACTCCTCCATGCGCCCGTATACGCACGCGACCAATGAGTGCGCGCACTCACCGCGTTAATGCATAGATAAGCGTACGCGGGACTTGGATGTGCTCACTTTCGGTCACGGTGACGGTTCAATTTAAGCCTCGTGTCGATTGTAGCATCAACCACGCATCACCATTACCGCACATTTACCCACATGGAAGCTAGTAAGTACGGCACAGTATTCAATACGCGTTTGCCCCTCTTTCACCGCGTCGCTTCACTACCCTCTCCTCTTCTCTTCCTGTCAGTCTTGAGTGCCAGTAAGCAGGATACTCAGACACAGTATGGACGCCATCAAGACTGCCTCCCGCATCGCGGGCGCGGGCGAGCCTCGTGGCAACCGCATGCACCACATGATGTCCGCCAATGAAGGTCCGATGGACATCATCGCCAAGGTCTCAGGCTACTCGAAGGAAGGCATTCGCGAAGACGACGGCCCATACTTCACCAACAACGAGGGTATCCCGCTCCCGGACCCGGAGCACAGCAAGACGATCGGAGGTATCCCAGTGGCAAGCGATGTTCACCTTTTCCAGAAGCAGCAGCACTTCAACCGTTCGAAGAACCTTGAGCGCATGGTTCATCCTTGCGGCTCTGGCGCGTTCGGATATTTCGAGTGCACGAATGACGTTTCCGACTTGACAAAGGCGGACTTTTTGCAGCGGTAAGCGTCTGATATTCTAGCTCAATGTGTTCCGGGTCGCTAATAGAACTCAAGCCCGGGCGAGCGCACTCCCATCTTCATCCGATTCAGCACAGTCACGCTTGGCCGTGAGTTCCCAGATGAAGCGCGCAACCCGCGTGGCTTCGCTGTCAAGTTCTACACTCACGAGGGCAACTACGACATCGTCGGACTCAATTTCCCAGTCTTCTTCTGCCGTGACCCAATTCAAGGCCCAGACGTGATCCGATCGCAGGCTCGCAACCCCAAGAACTTCTTCCTTGACTACGATGCTACTTTCGACCTTCTGGGCGCCACCCCTGAAGGCAACCACGCGGGGTTGATGTTCTTCTCTGACCACGGTACACCCGATGGTTGGGTTAACGAGCACGGTTACGGATGCCACACCTTCAAGTGGGTCAACAAGGAGGGCAAGTTCGTCTACATCAAGTACCACTTCCTTGCCAAGCACGGCCAGAAGCAGCTCACCGAGCCAGAGGCGATTCGCATCTCTGGTGAAGATCCAGATTACTCCAAGCGCCAGCTCTGGGAACTGATTGAAGCTGGACAAGAGGTCGAGTGGACGGCGAAGGTTCAGATTATGCAACCGGACGAGGCAGACCCGGAGAAGCTAGGCTTCGATCCATTCGACGTCACAAAGGTTTGGCCGCGTGGCCAATTCCCGATGCACGAATTCGGCAAGCTCGTCCTAAACAAGAACCCCGAGAACTTCCACCGTGATGTTGAGCAGGCCGCCTTCAGCCCAGGCAGCATGGTTCCAGGTATCGAAGACTCGCCCGACCCACTCCTGCAATTCCGCATGTTCTTCTACCGCGATGCGCAGTACCACCGTATCGGTGTCAATCTCCACCAAGTGCCCGTCAACTGCCCCTTCATGGCGCAATCACTGTCCTCGGTCAACTTCGACGGCCCGATGCGTGTCGACGGCAACCACTCCGGCAACAAGCAATACGTACCCAACTCCTTCATGGGCGACAGGTTCCGTCCCGATGTGGCAGAAGCGCCGTACAAGGTGTCAGACAACATCGTCAGCCGCAAGAGCCACTACTATCACGAAGGAAAGCTCTCAGAGTACGACCAACCGCGCGAACTCTACAAGCGCGTCATGACCGACCAGCAGCGCAAGAACTTGCACCACAACACCGCAAAGATGCTGTCGCACGTCAACTTCCCAATCATCCAGAAGCAGTACCTCTCGCAAATCTACAATGTTGCGCCGGAGTATGCGAAGGGGGTGTATGACCTGACCAAGTTCAAGCACAAGGAGCCGTTCGAGTTCAGTGAGGTGGAGAGCATGAGCAAGCAAGCGCATCTGTTCTTCAAGAACCCCAAGTTCAGGCCAGACCCGGGTAACAGGTTGGTTGGTATGGTGCCGGAGAAGCCGTTCTACCATGTCTAAGAGCGTGCAGTGCAGCTTTGCCCCATATTGGGCAAGATGATTTCAGATGAGACAAATGAAACGGTTACGGTTATGGTATGAGTTGCTACCTTCACCGCATCACGCTCAGCCCATGTTTTGCATGTTATGAGCTTCGGCCATGCTCATGTCTGACAGACTCGTGTGTTGATCTCAGCTCCAAGGGTACTTGTAAGAGCCGTGATAAGCTTAAGGGCTCGGTATAAATTTACATGGTGATAGTGTTATCAGGAACCACCGATAGGGGAATGAGCGGTGCGATGCCAACACCGTCCTCAACCTGTGGTACGCCACTCCCAGTGAATGGTGTTGTCCGTTTGTTGTTCGTAGTGTCTGTGGCAACCTTCATATCGCGTGACATTCCACAGGGCGACGTCACCCGCAACCCTTAACCATAACCTTCTCCACCAATGCGACAAGCATTGAACCTTCAAATCCTTGACACCTTCACGACACAACACCATAATACGTAGCCCACCATGATCATCGCCGCTATCGCATTACGGAAGCCGGAGAACCAGGAGAAGGTGAAAGAGGTATTCAAGAAAGGATGGAAGCCGGCCGGCGACCGACAGATTCATCGAGATACATGGAAGTCGGACGTGATGGGCATGGCTACCGGGAAGAAGAAAGACCCATACGAAGCATCTCGCAACCACCAATCCAGTCCGCTCGCGACTCTCAAGGATCCAGATTCATTCGGTCCGCCACCAAAGCACAGCGCTTACTATCCGAATGCGATCACGGCAGGCTCGAGTTCAAGCACTGCCGCGCGTGGTGGGTTAGGCGCAGCGGTGCCTGCATCTGCGACTCTACGTATAGAAGATGGTCAAGCACAGGAACAAGAGGAGGCGGCGACAGCAGTGGTAGTGGCCGAGCAGCTGCCCGTTGTCCCGTATCGGAAAGATACGACCGGCTTGAGGACAGATCACCTACCGAAACCGCCCGTGAGACGTGCAAATGGCGATGTCACGGCCAGTCCAGTCAGACGCACCCATAGCGAAACGCTTGCTACTCCCGCACGGACGTCGTCGCCGAGCCTACCTCCAAGACAGACAACGACCGCGCGCCCCGCGCTACCCGCTCTGCCCACGCGACAAGCTAGTAAACCGCCACCGGTTCTGCCTCCTCGCATGACGGAGAATCCAAACGAGTACACCCCTCCACCACCGCCGACCTACGGCGAGGCTGTGCAGGCACCTTCAGAAGACCCTGCGATCATTAACGCTGGTGCAGCTGCACGGCTCGGTCAAGCCGGAGTTTCTGTGCCAGCCTTCGACGTTGGTGCACAATCAGCGGCACCTCGAGCACCACGACCTCCGCCTGCACAGCCACGAGGACCGGAGCTTAGCGAATTACAGGCGCGCTTTGCACGAATGAATTCAGGTGCTGAGGCGCAGGCGTCGCCTGCTCCATCCCCTGCACGACTTATACGGACGACTACCGATGTTGACACGCAAATGCCGCTACCCACATCGCCTGCGTCTGTGGCAGGCAAGAAGAAGCCGCCTCCGCCGCCTCCGCCGAAGAAGAGCGGCCTTGGAGGCAAGCCTTCAAACAATGCTCCGGCGCCGCCACCTGTACCGATGTCCAGCAAACCGCGGCCTGGTGGATGATATATCTGCTGCACACGCGTGGTGCAGATCTGAGGCTGTGTTACGGACATAGACAATCCCTGGATGTCGCTGCAGTGAGTGGACATCAATGTAAAATCACAAACCGGCTCTACTACGCCCAGGTTGTACCATGATATCCAACGATTCCGCTTGCTCACAGCTCCCCTGGTACGCTTGGATGGGCCATAGGCAAACCGAGTAGAAGACAGAAAGGGTTCCACGGTTTGCCCTGGAGCTGGGTTGATGAAGGCGGTACGAGTCGTTAGGGGTCGACATTGCCACATGCTCAACGTAAACCTGTCACGCCTAGTCATTCACAAAGCCTGCGACATTGGTAGAGCCTTACGCTATGAACATAGCCCGCTCTATGTCGCCCGCACTGAAGCTGGTACGCTTCCCATTCGTCGCACAGAAAGTCGTTCCGTAAGAAGGGCGATGTTGACCACCAACTTGGGAATTTGCCTTGCATATTTGCGTGCCAAGCAGTGGAAATGCGTATAGCCAACATTGTCTAGAACGGCGGAGCAGCGTGGATGGCGGACGAAGCTGTACAGTCTAGTTATCCTCTGCTCGTGATACTTGACTGATACAGCTATGTGCAGTGCATCTCCGATACCGCCTTAGGCTGTACCGTCTGACGATTGGACAAAGTTGCTCTACATCATACAGCAACCTCAAACTTAGCGCCATTGATCGCAATTGTCTCATCGAGAATCGATCTCGGCTCCTCGTTCTATGATCGGGTCGAGGGCTCAGTCTCCCGATTAGTGGCGGAACTGGCCGAAGCCACTGCCCGAGGGGCCGAGCTTAGGAACGCTTGACAAAGACTCCTGCGTCATGACAATAGCTCAATCGTCGAGTGGTCGGAAGTCTCGGAAACAACCTTTCGCAGCTGAAGCGGCAACTGCATTCCAAAGTTGCGATCTGTAAGCCTCGGACCGCCGGGGCTCTTTCATCCAGAGAAGTATATGCTTTCCTATCACATCTATCACTCCGTGATCGATTGATCTCTGTTTGGCGTGACGAAGCACACTTCATCCAGTCCTATATTCTCACTATAGCACCCGCTCTCTCTTGCATACCCTTGGCCACGTGAGCTACGATTAAAGTGTGCTCTACTACTAACGCTCACCACGAAGAAGTACCATGTTTGAAACAAACTTTTCCCATGCCTCAGCCTCGCCGCTACCACCAAACGCCTCCATCGACCTCGCCCTAGAACTACTACACGACTTCGAGTTCGTTATCAGACTCAGCCCAGACTGCCGAGGATGCAAGCGCATCCCACCTCCCACAGCAAAGAATGGCTATCCTAAGACCAACGCCACTGCGCCCAACGGCACCACCGAAGACCAGACGCAATACTACGAAGTAGAAGACGACCTACCCTTCATGCCGAAGAAATTCTGGAGCGGCGGCGTGAAGTACACCGCCGACTTCCAGCCCAAAGAAGACGGCTGCGACATCACCGTCCACGCACCGGGTGGCTTCACATCGACGAATCATTGGCGGATACTGCGAGAAACCCTGCATGAAGAAGCGATGCCCACGCTCGAACGAGTGAAGTCTAAGGATCTTTTGCATGCGGAGACGACGGGTGGAGGGTGGTATGTGCAGATTATCAGCGATGCGAGGTGTAACAAGACGTTTGTCACGATTGTGAAGGGCTTCCTGAAGAATAGTCACGCCCAGTTGCAAGCGGCGTTCATCGAAAAGTTGAGGGCGCCACCGGCGCAGCAGCGGTCGAGGAGGCCGACGTTGGGCCGTAGGAAGTCGAGCGAGTTCTGAATGCAGGCCACTGTTATGGTGGCATAGGGTCGCGGCGCCTAAGGTGAGATGGAAGGGCGTAAGGCTAAGGTTAGAAGCCACAAGTGGGTCGGCTATAGTTATCTTCGCGCTGGAGGTGGATGCATGTAAGAGTAGTACCCTAATACTAATGATGACCTGCACTTACTTTTCGCACCCGAGCTCACAATTGAATCGTTACCTCTCCCGGCACTCGTGGACCATGTATCAACATGGGAGTAGTATGCGGCCTGAATACGGCAATCTGATGCAGTGACAAGAGTAGTGGATTTTATTAGCCTGCTATTGCATGACTGCCGCCTTCAAGATTCATCGCAGGGGTCGGCCACTGCAATCTGCTCGTAATCCTCGATGTCGTGTCAAGCCATCCGTCGCCAGCTCATACTCATAGCACTTTGTCAGCCCGTCGTAAGCGTCACCCAGAGCAGTGTCCCTCTGCTCCCTCATTTCTTCTTCGGACCCAACAAAGGCGCACCTATGTCTGAACCCGTAAGCCTCACATTCGCCGCCTTTTGCAGCTTCAACACCACGTCCATGGGCGGGAAATCTGCGTTTGTCCGCTCGAGGTCTGCAACGTGCTTGACGTCTACGTTCGCCTTTACAGCGAGATCCTTCTGTGTCATTGTCGTGCCTTTTTGGTTCTTCAGCTGCACACGGGCGGTGGCGAGAGCTTTCGCGACATCTTCGGGCACCTTTTTCGTGGCGACGGGTCCGTCGGCGCGGTCGACTTTGGTAAGGCGTTGGCCCTCTGGGTTGCCGGAGGCCTGTTGGACGGCGTCAGCAAGGCTGAGTCGGGAACATACAGCTGGAGTGGTGGGAGTCTGAACCTACGTTTGCGCTTGAAAACTTCTTCTCAGTCCCTACTATTGCTCCGCTCCTCTGTGCGGCATTCAGTGCGCTCTTGCCTTTGATTGTCGTCTCTCGCTCGGATGCGCCAGGTCCTCGGACTTTGCTGCCGATCTTGGTGACGGTGTTCCAGTCGTCTGACATTGTGTTGTGTTTGTCACTGCGTTCAACTATGGCGGCACAAAGAGGGAATTAAATCGACCTGACAGAGCAATGTATAGTATTGGGAAGAGTGCTCGCGTGCTCGGCAAATGTTTAGTGACTCAGCAAGCTGTGGCGATGTCATCTGCTTGGCATTCGCGTGCCTTCTATGGTGTAGAGGGCACGGGCCTCTTCCGGTGGAGATCTATTGCGGTCAACCACACGTACTTGCTCGACACTGCAATGAAAGTCGTGCCCAAGCACATGGATTAGGTTCAACCCCTCGGTGATACACCCCTTAATGCACCTATCCGCTCGTCCTGAGTCTATACCCGCCTCGCGAATGCCACCACACTGTCAACAGCCGTATCGAAGTGATCCGGCAGCGTTTGTCGGAACATGATATCACAACCGTGACCGATACCCAGATTCATATGCGCAGTCACTTTCACGCCTGCGGCGTCCAACTTCCTCGCATATGCCATCCCCTCATCCCTTAGCGGATCGAGCTCATCCACAGCTATATGGTGCGGCGGAAGGCCTTTCAAATCCTTTTCCGTCGCATAGTGAGGCCAAGCAAGCGGATCAACTTTACTCTCGTCCGTGGGTGTGTAGTAGTGGCCAGAGATCTCCATGAACTTCAAGCTGAGAATGTAGCCATCGTGAGCGTACATGCTCGGTAGCTCCTTGACCATCCGCTCCTTCGGCCAACCGCCGCCGTTGCTCGTGCTTGGGATCATGGCGTACACACCGTCGATGTCCTTGATGTAGCCTTCACGGTTTGCGCGGATAGCGCTGGTAAGTGCAAGATTGCCGCCACCGGACTCGCCAGTTAGAATGATTTTGTCGATGCCGAAGTCGGATTTGTGTGATGCTATGTATCTGATAGCAGCTTTGCAGTCGAGGGATCCGGCAGGGAAAGGGTTGTGTTGGCCCTCCAGATATGCGTTACGGAACTCCACAGCGATAGCAACTGTGCCGGCGATTGCTAGTGATTTAAGCCAGCGAACATGCACTGGATTGATTGTGTTAATGATGGCTGACAGAGTTAGGAAGAGACTTTACGGTAGGGACAAAGCATGCATGCTACTCACTCATGCCTCCGCCATGCGTGTACAGCAAACCTGGCAAGACTTGACCTTCTGTGTCTGCTCTGCGAAAGACGTGCAAGGCAATGTCGTTGTTGTCTGGACCTTTGATCGTCATGGTCGAGTGTTTGACCTCTGGTTCGTCCTTGTCACGCGGGATATCATTAGGAAGAGAATCGTATAGCCGCTGGAAGGCAGCGTCGTAATGGCCGACAGTGGCCGCGATCTGCTCCATGGGCGAAGAGGCAGTAAGCTCCGGCTCTGGCTGGCGTTTATCCAACCCCAAAGAGGCGAGCTTTTCGGCCAGCTTACGATTCAATCTCGGGTCATCAGCCATCTGTATCTTCGGATTGCCCAGGCGGCCCTCCGGCGTGTAACCAGCTGGAGACGACATCGTTGAACGATATTCCTCGATTGAATTACTGTCTAGGGAATGGGTAGGGATAGATATTTTATGGAATGTAGTAGGAAGGCATTGCTCTTTTATACTGAGATTGTGCGGGGAAGAGGAGCATTAGGAAGTATAACATACCATCAGTCCATTTCATGCTTACATCCGCAAGTTCGACGTCTGTAGGACCATTGGCTTGACCAGCTGACAAGATGTAGCGCATTGTATTTGTCCACAGGGTCGCACTCGTATAGAAGTCCGAGGGGAGTCCGAGAGTTTCGATTGGGATGACTAAGACCGAGCTGTGCGATCGCTCCATCTACGGCGTTCGACTTCCGAAGCGCGTCGTCTGCGGCGAATGTTGTTCGTAATGAGAGCGCGCTGATAATACGTTACTCGGAATGAAAGAGCTCGACAGGCTATCCATCGGGTGAAGCCAGGGTCAGGGTTTCGCAGCATAGCTTTCTGGCCGCGTCGTCAGTGTTGATGTCGTGGCTCCACATGCTTATTGTTATGCTTGCTGCATCGCAGAGCCTTTCAAGGAGATCTTCCTCGCATACCGGGTTCTCGTCACACGGTTGATGCCGCTAATGGTATAAAGTATGCAACCAGAGCGACCACCATTTCAGCGGTGTTAGCCGCACAGAATTGCTCGAAGCGGCGCTTGCACCATGATCTACCTGGTACGAAGCATATCTGAAGGTCCCCACAGGAGGATCGAGTGGATGATCTTCTCTTCCTCATCAGCTTCAAGACGCGAGTCAGCGAAAACAGCTTTTGTCCGTCTCGAGCATTATTCTGGAAAAGGCTCCATATGGTACGGGAGATCTATGTCCCGGCACTAAGCGATACCGAGCCGGCACCTTTGTGCCGATAAGGCTGGAGTTCCGAAGCCACAACGACCGTCGACTTGGGTTCTTTTTGCAGCCCCAAAGCTACCGGCTGTATGTTCGAAGCTCAGCGATCAAGCGCGTTGTGGAATGGAGTGCTCAAGTTTCGCGGTGCAGTAGGGTCGACGAGCTTGTCGCAAGCGCGAAGATGCTATCTGCGGTGCTCTATGTTGAACGAACTTGTCCCAACCGGTCCACTGTGGGTCTAACGCCCCCGTGGCCCCTTTGCGCAATGCTACGCACGCAGACTCCGATGCTCGCCAAACCATGGCCCTGATTCGACCAGACAATGTCCATCATTCCCTGGACCTCGGCGTGGGACAAACTGTTCGCACTACATCGCACCCATCCGTGCTACGTGCGAAAGGCTGTCGAGACCGACGGTGGACTAAGGGTTTAGCACGCCAATCTGGGTCTTGCTGTTGGTGACGTCTCGGACGTTGTGAGGTTTGATATGTAATCTCTGTATCTCCTTGAGCGAATCTTTGTTCGCGAGCCTATCCTGTGCAATCTTTGCACCCAACATCGACAACTGCGGTAGTGCCAACATGGATCCTGAGAAGCAGGACGAAGTTGTTAAACCCAGTGGGTCATCTCGGTTTCAATCAGAGGCAACTTCCTTAGCAGACCCTTCGGAGCAGAAGGAACAGTACGCTAGGGACGAGTTTGAAGAAGGCATCGAAGAGGCGTTCGAGCCTGCCCGAGACGAAGAGACCGGATTCCATCAGCATGGCGGTCGTCATCAGCAAGCAGCTCAGGAACCGGAGTCGTTCTTGGTTGACTGGGATGGACCGAATGACCCAGGAAATCCGCACAACATGCCTCAATCGCGCAAATGGACCATAACCATCGTAGCAGCGCTGATGACCTTCGTTGTTTCATTCGGCTCGTCCGTCTTCTCTACCGCCACCACGGTAACTGCGGAACAATTCGGCGTTAGTGAGGAAGTGATGATTCTCAGTGTATCTCTGGTATGCACCTATTTGGTTTCCCGTACCGGCAACTAACATGCTAACATCTCGTAGTACGTTGTAGGCTTCGCATGCGGACCACTCGTGTGGGGACCACTCAGTGAGGTCTTTGGGCGTCGGATTCCTCTCATGATTGGCATGTTCGGGTTTCTTGTACGCGCCATGTGATTGGAATTTTTGCGTCTCGGAGTTGCTGATGTCCTTATTAGATCTTCCAAATCCCTGTCGGCGTAGCCAACAATGTCGCTACCATCTTCCTCGCGCGCTTCTTCGCTGCTGCCTTTGGCGCCGCACCATTAGCGATCGTCGCCGGCATGTATGTGGACTTCTGGGACCCAACAATGCGAGCGATTGCAACTCAGGCGTTTGCTGCCGCCGTCTTCGCCGGTCCAGCCACTGGACCTATTGTCGGAGAATTCACCGTCAAGAACGAGGCACTCGGCTGGCGCTGGACCGCCTGGTTCACTATGATCATGGGCGCTGTCTTCTTCTTGGTTGGACTTTTTGTCATCCCGGAGACACTGGCTCCTGTTCTACTTAAGCGCAAAGCTGCCCGCCTGCGGGTCGAAACCAAGAATTGGGCTTTGCACTCCAAATCAGAGGAAGAGCCCGTGTCGAATAAGGCCATCTTCCGCAAGTATGGGCTGAAGCCACTACTTATGATCGTTCGGGAACCTATTCTTATTATCATGACGATCTACATCAGCTTGGTCTATGGTGAGTGGAGCAATGTGAACACCCCCATTGCAGTTGCGTGAGACCTGGCTAATCTTCTCATCTACCAACAGGTATCCTTTACTTGATCTTCTTCGCGTTTCCAATCAGCTACCAATACGACCGCGGCTTCGCCTTCGGCACATCATCACTGCCTTTCATTGCTATCTTCGTCGGTGTGCTCATTGCTTGTTGCATCATGGCATGGGAGACGGTAGCGGTGTTCACCCCAAAGCTGAAAAAAGCGAAGAAGTTGATACCCGAGGAACGCCTGCCGCCAATGGTTGCGGGTGGTGTTGTGCTGGTGATTGGACTCTTCTGGTTTGCCTGGACCTCATATCCGAGCATCAACCCATGGCCGCAGATCATTAGTGGCGCCTTCATTGGCTGCGGCATCATTATGGTGTTCATGCCAGCGGTCGTCTACCTGGTCGATGTCTACCTTTTCGACGCCAACTCAGCACTCGCTGCGAACGGCTTCGTCCGAGCCATGGTCGCTGCTGCTTTCCCACTGTTTTCGACATACATGTACGAAAAGCTTGGCGTCCAATGGGCAACCAGTCTTCTTGGTTTCATCGCCCTGGCACTTGTTCCGGCCCCAATATTCTTCTATCTCTACGGCAAGAAGATCCGCAGCTGGAGCAAGTTCGCGTTCGATCTCGGGTAGTCCGATAAGCCCTTATCAACAAATGTATTTCCTGCCCACGATGCACAACTCCTATGTGCAGTTTGCCAAGCTAAACTGGCAGACCAGTTCAGCTTCTCTGACGGCTGGGAAGTTCGCCACCGAGCTGCGGTATCCGTGACCAGACAGTGACTCATTCGACAGCCACCCCATTGCTCGGTAGGCTCTATGGAGATCGTCTTCGTCAGTGCTTGGAATGCCTCCGCGGATTAAGCGCACCAACTTCCCCCGCGCAACCGTGCACCTGCATCACAATTTGCAGGTAGTACGCATACTGGGTGCTCCAACCTCGCATTCATGGTCCGTACTGCGTCAAGCTGGTCATGATATCAGCATCGCAGACGTAATGAAGTGGAGTATGCGGGTTCTTGTGTCGGAGGAGAACATCAGTAATATGTTTGCAGTCTGGGGTGAAAAAGGACCGGCGCGATGAGCTCCAAGGGTCTAGGCGTCTCTGCACGCTTGGAGTATTGAGATGCTACGCGGCATGATGCTGCAGTTATGCGGCTGTGAAGGTGTACCGCCTGTTGAGATCACCACAATATTCAGCTACCTTTAGTACGGTACAGTCTTCACCTTCCTCCTCACTTCCTCCGGGAGCTCCTCCTCCTTGATAAGGCCGAGTTGCAAGGCATCACCCCAGAAAAACATTGCCCTATGGTGAGCGTAACCGAGATAATCGAACTCCGGCGTCTCCTCTTCTTCTGGTGGCCTCATATCGTGTTGTTGCACTGTTGCAGTCTCCTTTCCAGCAATAACGCCAGAGTCGTGCTTCACTTCATCTCCATGCTCCGAAGCCTCCGCTTCACTTTCGCTCCGTGATGACCCTGAAGCCAACCCCGGAACTACCGCTTGTACAACGCCCCACGCAACCCACTGCGCTGTGTTGGCAAGCCGCCAGAGACGGGTCTCGTGCATCAAGCGCTTGACCTCAACGTCTTCAGCCTCTTTATCTGCCAAGTCGTCTGCTGGCTGCGGCGTGATCACGCTTCCTTGATACGGCGTTCGAGCATCAAGCGTGAGCTCTGTCAAGCTGCTCGAAGTGCCTCTCCTCGGCAGCTTGAACGGAGTCTCAGGGCTGGTCGACGGTGTCAGGACGTGATATTCTCGCTTATGTCGCACATACGCCCGGACAAAGCGGTCCTGCTCCTCGGGCGTTGGGTAACGATTTGTATGAATAGCATACGGTCTGCGTTTATGGTGATAGTCATAGCACCACTCCGTGAAGTGATTGGCGAACTCCATGCCTGGTGGATTGGCATTGGCGTACTCAAAGTCAATCACGACTAGCTGCTTGTGCGTGTTTGCGGGTAGCAGCAGCGGAGAGTCACCGGGTGGGACTAGGCGGAGAATGTTGCCACCCTGTGTATCGTTGTGCGCGAAGACAAGCTTCTCGTTGACCGCTTGCTCGCCGCCGTACTCCTCGTAGAGCCATTTGCGGTATCTTGCCACAACTTCCCGGAACCGCTCCCAAGGCAACCCACAGACAAAGCCACGCTTCTTCCAAGCCTGGGTACCCTTTGGTTTGACGCCGGGCTCTAGTGTCTTGATCTGTGTATCCAGCCAACTGGTACAGCGTTAGCAATTACTACGAAAGTATTCGGCGAAAGTCTCTGGACAATAGCAATCCCGGTAACGGTATAGGCCAGTCGCAGTGCTCATTCCGCGAAGTACAGGTGGAATACGATCGGAAGGCTTACCTGACTATCCGTTCTACCCTTGGCATCCACCGATCCCAATTCCGCCATACGAAAGGACCTTGGTCACGCTCATGGTCTGAAAGCTCTATACCATCATGCAGCTCGCGCATACGCTTTGCAATTTGTCTGCTCGTCTCCGCGTTTCGCAGGTCCTTCGGTGTCAGTGGTACAGCGTGGAAATACTCTTCAAAGCGACCGTTGGCGAATGTGCCAAGCAGTCGCGGCCCGATGTGTTTGCGTGCTAATCGGCGAAGCATAGCGAGCTCCGCATCACGGTCAATCAAGTGCTCCACGTTGGGACCGTATATGCGCATTAGTAGCTTAGGCGGAAGGTGTCGGTGTCTCCGATGACGGGTGCCGTTCGTTTCATGGTCATGGAGGCTTGGGAGATTCGACGGAGGCGTGACGACGTACACAGCGTTGGTGAGAGCGCCACTCAGACGCTGTACGTTGACTGCACCGCTCAAGTCCAAGGGTACACTTCGCCACCGTTTGAGATGCAAGGTGTGAGCCAGGCGGACAATCTCATATTTGAAGTGCGTCCACGCCGCTTGATCGCGGTATGATGTCACTCGAGTCAACTCATTTGAGCTGGAATCGTCTGAGTCGTCGGACGCACCGTCGCCGTATGCGAGCGTTCGGGAGTTGTCAAGAAGAGCGTCACAAGCCGGCACAAGTGACTCGCCGCCGAAGTAGTCATCCCCCGATGAAGCACTCGCGCTGGACGACTTGCGCTGCAACCTCTTTAGGGAGCTCCGTCGTTGCAGGCGCGAAAAGGAGTCAGATTTAGGCAGATACGGAAGGCTGAGATTGAGTTTCAAGATCTGTTCCAACTGATCCAGGTCGAAGTCGGGACGATGCAGATGACCGCCACTGCTTCCAGTATCCCCGTCCGGGGCAGCAGTCACAGCATCGAGCTTTGCACGCTTGGCCCGTTCGATTGTAATCCACGCTGAAACCTGTTCGACCAAGCGATCAACCTGCGCTGTCGAATAAGGTGCGCGGGTATCCTGTTCTTGCTTAATAGACCCAAGCTCCGGCGAGAATGGCTTAAGTGCTGGACTTGCATTAGACGCTCGTCCAGAGAGGCGATGCAAGCGTGGACTCCTTACTGAAGGCCTGCGGACAGTTCGGTCATCGTCGAGCGGGAACTCGTCAAACGTCTTCTGCCTCCCTAGAATGAGTGGCGATATTATCTCCGCGTTTTGAGCGATTGATACTGCTGTGATGATTGTCAGGCGAAGTCCTGGGTATAGATGCTGGCTACCTTGCTGCCGTTGTGGGACTGGACTTCGGATGGGAAGAAGTCACGTGTCTGCTCAGCGCGGTGGCACTTACATCGAGGCGTCTGACGAGGCGAGACCGTATAATCCAGGCCGAGGTAGGAACTAGGGGCTATGCGTTCGTGCGACTCTTGCGACTTGAGAATAGGCCTAGGGGAGGTAGCTTCAGCGTGCGGCATTCTTGAAAGTAGGGGCGTCAATCTTCTTAGCGATCACCCAGCAGCTCTAGTCCTTGCAAAACTGAAAGACCACTGCCATTCCTCCAGGCTTCAGCCTTCTGCTTCCGTGTAGGATAGATGTTTATATTTGCGGATTCGTATCTGTGGATGCTGTGGCGTATCCGAAACCCTGCTTCCAGGCGCCTAGCCCACTTCGGAATAGTCTGTTAAAAGCAGACGGTTTCCGATAGCACATCTTCTGAGCAAACCATAAGTAGGGCTGAGACAGCATATTACATGGGAAAGGGCTAGCGAATAAAACTGATCAGCTGACAGCGACGCCTACAACATCTCGCACCATATGTATTCTCGAGACATCGCCATCCAGTCATACTATGTGAGACTGGGTAAGGACAAGGAGCCAACGTCAGATTTGCTGAGATACTTCACCATGATATGTCTTGCTGTACCTCTTGACCGCTACTGCTTCAGGCTTCATGCGATCGCCATCCGTCCACGATTGCTGCCCAAGCGCCAGAAACTATTCGTGCTTTTCGATGCGGTCGGGCCAAGTCCTTGCATTATGGCAGCAGCTACATTTAACCACGGAGCATCGCACAGATACGCTGCTCTGGATGGCTTATGGTGGTGGTGACTTATACCTTGCTAGGTTCCTATACTGGCAGTTCTCTGAAAGCCGGGCCAGCAATGGACATGCTGGTCTGTCAAACTTACCATCGTCGTTACACATCTACAGCTACGGAGGCGAAACATCATCCCAAACCCCTCGAGACCGCTTCTCAAATAGCCTTATTCGACGCCGATTCACAGTACACCACAACTCGGAGAAGCGAAATAGACCATTGTTTTACGGTCAAACGCCGTCAGCGTGCTACCTATATCGTGCTTGAAGCAGAGAGCCCGCCGTGGGGTATTCCGAAATTGTCACATTGCCGCCGTGTTCTCATCAGTATGCCAGCCGGGATAGTTCGCGCCAACGTAGACTTTAAAGATGTGGACGATGCTTCGCGCCTTCAGGTTTCTTTGTAATCCAGTTTTCGAGATTGACAATCAGCTTTCTCGCCCTCTCGGGCTCATAGTGCTTTTCGATCATGGCCTTGACAGTAGGCCAGTCCGCATCGCCGTTACGCCGACCCTTGGGTGTGTCTTTGAGGTGCGTCTTGAAGTGGTCGCTTGCGTTGTCACTCCGACTGATGCCTTTTTGATGCCTACAGTTGGGCAGGAAGCAGTGAAAGCGCCGGTCGATGTTGTGTTTGGAGTCATGCCGCTTAAGATGTTCGCTGCGTTCGAATTTGGCGTCGCACTTCGCGCACTGGTGCATTTTCTTGGAGGAAGGTGTCTGTCTCAGAACCTTTACCTTGCACTGGCCATCTCTTTCCATCGTGACATAGTAATCAGCCTCTGGTTCGATGTCTCTAATGATCTCCATCTCGGCATTGGTTCCTGCGTCCCTCACCCAGCAAGTAGTCTGCCGACCTCTGCTACGTTTGGGTGTCCGGCGCTTGGTGCGAGCGTTATGTATCTGGGCAGGGTCATGATAGCCGTAATTGCGCGACAGTATGGGTGACGACGGCGAGGCAACCGGCGCTCCAGGGACTCGTTCCCAATCTGGATCGTCCTGAACGTGAACCCAATTGTCGTCTGCGTTATAGCCATAAACCTCGCACACATCGGGCGGAGTGGTGCAGTCATAACCTGAGACGCTTGTCTCGGAAGACGCAAAACTACCCAACATACTATTGCTGCCGTGTTGCGGACTGCTGTAGCGCGAGTATTGAGCTGCCATGGGGAAGTCGTCGATCGGGGACAGCTGCGACGGGACGATGATTTGAGGTTGATAAAATGCGCTCGTAGCGGCAAGACTGTACTGCGCAGGAGTGGGCGTAGTAACCATGAGGCAGTCCATATGCATTGATTGTGCGTCGTAGTTTTGGTATGAGCCATGAGTGACTTGTGGCTGGCTTCCCAAGTCATTCATTGAGGCAGGTTGCAGATCAAGACCGTGAGACATTGCGCTGTTTATGGTCTCACCTGCTGCCCAGGCGGCTCTTGTCAAGCTTGCGGCGCCTATCGGCAACGCCGTGGTAGGGTTTGGGTGGTAGTCGGTCGGGATAGTAGCAGCGCGGCTTAGGCCATCGCTGCAGGACAACGCTGTTTGGAGGTCAACGCTGTGCATCCGGACCTGTGGATACGTTGGTGCGAGGTCGAAAGCGCCGTGAGGTGAGAACAGAGACTGTTGACAATGAGCGTTGTAACCATCAATTGCTGGGCACATTACGTTGACTGGTGTTGTGGGTTGTGAGAACGTTGTCATCGCCATCGCATATTGATGGTCGGGTAGGATTGCGTGTGCTAGCGAACCGCGTCGACTGTCATGCGCCGATTGAGGCGGAGTCAAGCAGCCGTGAATTGGAATTGCTGTCAGCGATTTGTTAGATAAGCTCGTGTCGATGCCCGGCACATGTACACCACGATCGAGTCGGGGCGGTGAAGTTCCGGTCGACATCTGGAAGTCTGTGGCGGAAGTCAGCAACGAAGCAGTAATTGAAAGCGTCCGACAATGACACACTGGACAAATGTTGCTATGGGAGTGCGATCACAAATGCAACAAGCTGGCTGGAAGAACAATACAACGTTGTCGTGCGAGTAGCGTCGACCTGCCGGAGCTCCTTGGGAGAGCGCGTGGCTTTTCAATTCTGATATGGATGCAGGGCCGTTCATGACGGACAATCAAGTGAACGACTTACGCCTGTGGAACATCTCCAGGTTCGCGATCTCAACGCCTCGCAGCATCAAGGGTCGAAGTCAGGGTTCGAGTGTGGGTGACGGGCTCTCATGCACGACTGGCTCCGTCCGCAGAGTCCAGATGCACGTCAAATGCCAGGTACAAGCGTACCCGAGGATGGTAGCAAGCAGGAGCAAGCTGCGCCGAGCAATCTCCAGAGAGAAGCTCAGGATTGTTATGTCTGCAGCAAGGGAGACCAGAGCTCTCCGTAACGGGAATGGACTAAGGAACGAAGGAGATCAAGCAATATTGGGGATGCAGAACTGTTTCCGTTGTGCGCTGCTGTATTGGCCTTGCTGAGTATAAGAAGCTGTAGGTCGGTTGCCAGCAGGTTACAAGTGCTCGCCTTGCAGGCTGCCTTTAGTACTGCGCGAAAGTACCAATGCTGCGGAACGGGCAGTCGAAGTCGTGTATTGGAGGGTGGGAAACCTCATTGCAACGTCAGCCTCTGGAACGCCTCAGTCAAGGAATGCAACAATAGTCAACCTTACCGTCAAGACACGTGAGCAAACTTCACTCAGGTCTTGCGTCGTAATTGAAGAGCGAGCTCCATATCGAAGTAGATTCGCAACAGGCGTGTCATCTTGTTTGTTTTGATGCGTAATAGTCTGGCACTCCCTCAACCGAACTCCCTCTGCAGCGTCACGCACAGACTTTTGCAACCGATCAAACAACAAATTGGACCCTACGTCAACCGTACTCTGTTATTGTGCGGACGAATGCTCCGACATGCCGGCGAAGAAGCAGCGAAATTACTGGACGACGTATGCCATCGCCAGATATTGGGACAGTGGGATCTGTGCGCTTGTGATCCATTTCGATGTAGGGATCAATACTGCTCCCTGAGCTTGACTAATGCTGCGTTATGCGCATGCACACAGCAGCCAATTTGGGTCCTGTCAGCCAGTGTGGCGTGGATATAGGCTGCATTGACTTGCTCGAAACCCGATGCCTCTTGCCGAGTCTGCGGCTGGCCGCTTATGCATTGGCACCTATCCGTCGGGTGATGGCAGGTGTCAAATCTTGTCTTACTGTATCGTGAAGGCTTAGGCAGACATTGCTGTGTCTGGCAAATGGAACGTTCATCAGGAGGGTTTGGGGTGGCATGGTCCGCGGCTATACTCCGAGTTCATTCAGTCGCTAGAAGCCAGATTGGTTACACTGCAGCAAAGGTGGCAGGGATTGCGCTGTTCGACAACGGTTCCACAGTCCGCGCTACGACGAGTTGGAGGACAGTCCCCACCAAAACATGTACTTGATGGTGCTGGACCGACCATTGTGTAAAAATGCGAGCAAGCGAACTGCTTCGGGCACGCTGGTCGCAATCAGAACTCATGAAGCGCGTGTTGCGTCAGCTCTGGTTGGCAAGTGCCTAGGCCATCGTGTGGACACATACAGTCGACAGCTACTCATTGTGGCTGGCGGTCCTATTGGCGACACTAGTCTTGCGTGCCTCATGTTCGTGCCAAAAGCGTACCAGTGCCTGATCGCCACAATGTTTCAGAAAGAACACATCCTAGCAGTTGCAGCCGCTCCATATCCAGAACCTCTCTGTCGACCCGCTTAAGCTGGAGAGGCCTACTTCACTATGACTTGCAGGTTGCAGTCTGCGCTCCTTGCTCACGTACCGCCATTGGCTGGCAGTAGCAGTTGACGACGATCGTGACACGGAGTCCCAGAAATGCACGAACGGTCGGCTCTCAGCAACAGTAGATGTTCTGCCCGCAACGTCAACAGAGGGGTAAGAGGATCACTCTGATCGAGGTTGTCTGGAAAGACTCCGATTCATAGAGCGAGGTGGAGTTCTCCACAGTCTGTCGTGCAGCGCAAAACTTCGACCTGCATTAATGTGCAGCTGCTTGTGCGATGGTTGTTGGGATGAACCTCTCTAGACCGTCAGGTACGCTCAATAGACTTCGTTACCAACGCAGCCTTGAGAAGACTGCGGCTCTCAATGAAGCAGGAGACAATTCGTGGTGATCATACAGCGAAGTAAGAGTATTGGTACGTACATCAGAAGGATCGTGGGACCAGAAGCAATCATCTCAAGTTCTGGTACTACAGCCTGCATGCCCTCCAAGACAATCCCGTATCTTCCGTTGGTCGCAGCGCTGCATAACGCAGGCATAGGATACGAATCAGCACATGAATGCTTCTCGTTCCATGGAAATGCCCGCAACCAGATGTGTCCCCTCATCCTCACGGCGGTGTGGCGCTTGAGCAACATTTAGGTCGGTCGCCAACTCGCATTAACGGGCAAACGGCCGGACCCAGTCCCGTTGGTCATGACTTCGTTGACAGCATGAAAACCCTGACGAATGTAGGGCGAGACGTTGTGGTAAAGGTGTGGCTGTACATCGACCATAGCCCGTACTGGAGAGCTCAGGTTGACACTATCTGCATGAGCCTCTGTCGAGCGGTCGTTGTTATGAGTCGCTTGAGCCATGGCGGCTGGCTGAGCGCTGTCAGTAGTCGGAGCTTTCGTGCTCGCCGCATCGTAAACCTTGAGCTCCCTTGCCATGGCATGCTCGATGGGCATAACGTTCAGAACCCCACTCGAAGTCCGTTCGAGAACTCTGTCAGTAATGCTCTTATCATCAACATGTGCACCAAACTCCTTCGGGTTACCGAGAGCGACAGAATCTCGTCCCTGACGCGCGAGCTCTCTTGCTTTACGGAGACCTTCTTCGTCTTCGTGCATTTGCGCAGCCATTTCTTTCTCGCGTTGATCTTCCTTCTCCCCAAGAGCTTCGAGATCTTCGAGCGGGTTGCTATCATCGTCCTCGCTTTCGTATTCATCGTGGCCGTTCACGTAACCATGTGGCGACATTGAGTCTCCAGGCATGGTGGCATTGGCTTCAGCGTAGCCACTTTCCATCAGGTGGTCTAGCTCGCTGAGCTCGTCTCGCGAGACGTCGCGCCAGTGACACCGAGCATGCTTCTTAGTGCATCCCGCGCATGAAGTCAAGTTCTTCACACAATCCATACGCAAGCGCCGACAGCGGTCGCAAGGTGGTAGCACACGATGGCCGCGTGGCAGGCTGTCCATGTGGGCTTGGCATAGCGGCCGGAAGGGCTGCGAACTTTCCAGAGCTGGCGGCAAGGGACGGCTGAAGTTGTGTTTACTCGGCGGCGGTCCTACATTGTAAGTATGACCGCTAATGCTCATCGATGGACGGTGGCCATGCGTAGTGGTCTGAGGCGGGCGAGGTGTAGTTGACTGGTCCGTGACATAGTAGCTCAATGGGTCATTCGAGATTTCCACAGGCACCGGTGATAGTGAGGATTCTGTCGAGCCAGCTTGTCCGGCAATGGGTTCCGTGCGCAGGGTTTCTGGAATGCGGCTGGACTGCACTTGCTCCGGTACGTTTGTCGTAGATAGATGCCTCGAGTGCGGGCGAGGCTGGCTTTGATTTTGCGGAAGGCTTTCAAAATGCTTGACCAGCTCGGCTCGCACAGCGGCGAGTGAGGGTGTGTTCGCCTCCACTTCGAGGCTCAACCTTCCGTTAGCGGTATTGACCGCTGTGAAGCCGCTGGCGGATGCTGATGGTGGAGCAGTAGTCGTCTGCTGTGCGCTCACTTTGGCAGGCGTTCCGCTTCCACCTTCCGCTCTGCGCTCTAAGATGGCTACTTTGCGCCCTTTCAGCTTGTGACTTAGCTGCCTGGTCCGAGCAGCAACAATATCCGCTACGTTCGTAAGCTCCTTAAGCTTCGCTTCGAGCACGTCGCACGTTCCTAATTCCTTCTCTTCGTCTTCCCATATCGGTAACGGGGGAATCAACTCCTGGCACCTACCACTGCTGATGAAGAGGAAGTCTTCCTCGCTGATCTGCACGCGTAGCTGCTTTTGCGGGTAGTAGAACTGACACACTCTCTCGCCTTCGGAGAACGTGCTGAGTGTGAACTGGCTCGGGTGAGCACGGGCGAATTCGATGACTTCAAACCACGTGATGTGATGCACATTTTCGTCGAGAGTGCTCGAAGCACCTTTGTGGTGCGATGCCACCACTTTAGGCGGCGCATCGAAGCAACGCTCGAATCGCTTAATCAGTATTGGTCCCAGAGGTCGTGCACCGAGGTTCGAGGCGAGAGATTCGTGCCTTTCGAGCACGTTGTTGTACGCTATGAGTAGCTGGAGCAAGTTTGGCAATGTGTCGTCCTTGTTGAGTAGGGGCAGATCGTCTTGAGATTGTCGTGCGAGGTAGTTGATGCTCAGCGAGCTACTCCCAGTCTTACTCACCTTCGCCGGCGGCGCAGTAAGGGGTGCCGACAACGACGGTGACCTTTTCCGCTTGCCTGCGGTCTCCGCTGACGTTGCCGTCTCCATGCTGGAAATGTACTAAGAGGGGACAGGCCAGGTGTGGGAGTGAGAAGGCGGAGAGGAGAAAGGGCGGAAAGGACTCAGCCCTCAAGGCTGAGTCCACGAGGCGTCGCCGGCGGCGGTACGTTCCCGCAAGGCCGCACCACCCCGCCCGCCTCCGAAGCCGAGCTGGTGAGAGAAGGCCGACGACGGCCCGCTGTAGAACTGCATTGCCTGTGTATAAACTCAGTCGCCGGCATACAAGAACCTATCTGTTATGCGGTGCTAGATTCGCTCATGCAGCCACGTTGTTCGAAGCGCAGCACATCGAGCAGAGGAGTGTGAGGAGCCATCCCCTCCGACGTGCATCTCGGTGTGTGTGGCCCGAGCTTCGCCGTACCGGCAAAAAGCCCCCAAATGTTTGGCAGTAATTTAAGCACTAGCAATTTCACCACGTGAGCTGCTGTTCAGATCTGGCGCGGAGAGCGCTGCATTGCCAATGTGCCGGACGTAGAAATCGACAAGGATGTCCGAGAGGGGTCAATTTCGCGGAGGGCGTGGTGGTGGTCGTGGTGATCGAGGCGGCCGCGGCGGTGGCGCTGACCGTGGCGGACGTGGTGGAAGTCAGGCGCAGAGCGCGGACCGGAAGAAGGAAAACATTCTTGACCTAACCAAATACATGGACAAGGACATAACCGTCAAGTTCAACGGTGGCCGGGAAGGTAAGGCCTGACACTCATTGCTCGTTTTCAGCCCGTTCTGACGAAACTGCAGTAACCGGTCTACTCAAAGGATACGACCAATTGATGAACCTGGTCCTTGACAATGTCAAAGAGATCACTAGAGGTATGGTCGTCGACGTGCATGGAACAGGTACCTACGACTGACGAGTCTGTAGATGACGAAGGCAACCTGAGCACGCGCTCTCTGGGCTTGCTTGTTGCTCGAGGCACATTGCTTGTTCTCATCTCGCCTGTCGATGGCAGCGAAGAGATTGAGAATCCCTTCGTGCGAGGAGATGACGACGAGTGAGGTGTAATCTGGTTAGAGGTGAGGTCTGGTATGGAAAACCCTGGCCGAACACGCAATCTGCGACTCCATTCCGTCATGCGGAGGCACAGTGCGAAGCGAGTAATGCCGTATCGCCGTGCGTGCCGACCACCAGCACTGTATGAAGAAGCGAGCGGTGGTACGAATTCAGGGAGGACTGCAGCGAACAAAATGCGGGCCGACTACAGAACGCTACAGACCTATAAAGGTATCATCGTTCCTGAGTTCATAAGTGAGTAGTCAAGCAACGCTAAAAATGCGAGAAGTAGTAAACCAGCGGCGTGGTACCGCCGCCACAATGAGCGTTCTCAGTGCGTTGGATTCGCTCCCTACCTCCGGTGTTCACCAGAGCTTCGGTGCAGAATCTTTGACAGTAGTCCCTCCTTCTTGTGCTCCCCGCGATCTCCACCAATCTCAGCTTCCCTCTCGCGAGCCTTCTCAAGGTCATGCTCATGCTTTAGTTGCTGTTTCTCACTCTTGTGGAGCACGTTGTGTCCATGCTTATCGTGCCCTTCATTGCGGTTGATGGCATCGATGAGCTCCTGCTTGGCTGGGCGAGGATCTTCACCAGATGTTGCCGAGCTGGGTGTGGCCATGCTGGTTTCGGCGCTGTGACTGGTATGAGTCTCGGCTTTCCTGGCCTCTTTGACCGCCGTCTTGGTCGGCTGGTGCTCAACACGTGGGTCTGCCCGGTTTGCAATGTTGCTCCTGTATGGTCCCGCGGTTGTCTGATCCTTCATCTTCTCTGGCTCCGGCTTGACTCGAGGGTCGAGAACATTGGCGACATTGCTGTCATGCGGCCCAATCGTCTTAGAGGCTGGCCCGGTGTCCTGCCGGCTCCTCTCCGCCTCGTACGCACCGACGCCGGCCGCTCCTGCACCGCCAGCGAGGGCAGCATCACGGCCAAAATGTGACTCGTTTGACTGCGCCTTCGCTGGGTCTGATTGTACACGAGGGTCGACCTTGTTTGCCATGTCGCTCGAGTAAGGGCCTGCGGTAGTATGGTCCTTCATTTTCTCCGGCTCAGGTCGTACTCTGGGATCGAGAACGTTCAACACATCGCTTGAATGCGGCCCCACGGTGTTAGGCGCAGGCCCTGTGTCGCCGCGATCCCTGGTTGTCTCATACGCACCAACACCAGCAGTGCCGACGCCACCAGCGACAGTTGCGTCGCGAGCTTGGTGTTGCTGGTGTTGCTGTACCGGGGCCGTCTCAGCTGCTGCCGGGAATGCGGGCTTGGTGGTACTGTCGTGGTAGCCCTGACTGCTTGGCACCACGGCTTCAGCCGTAGCGGAAGGCTCAAAACGATCATTCTTCGACTCGTAACCTGCGGCTCCTAAACCAGCCGCGCCGACCCCTCCAGCGACCGCTGCGTCGCGAGCGTACTGTTGTTGAGGTTGCTGCATCGAGGCGGTCTGAGCTGAGGCCGGGAATACGGCTTGTGTGGTCGTGTCGTGGTAGCCCTGACTGCTGGGTTCGACACCTCTAGTCGTAGTGGAAGGCCCAAACTGCTCGTTCTTTGCTTCGTAGCCTGCAGCTCCTAAACCAACCGCGCCAAGCCCAGCTGCTGGATATCCAACCTTGTGCCGATCTTCGCCATCCTCTGTGGGATACTCGCCAGGTACATGGGGGTCTAACACGTTCGCAATGTCCGTTGCTGCGACATCGAGTCAGTGGCTGCAACTAATTCCACCACATATCGCACGCGGCTTACCATGTGGACCAGGCACGTGATGGTAATATCCCTCCACAGGCTGTTCGTCGGGCTTGTGGTACCCATACGGATCAGCTGGGATGTCTCTTGGCGATATGCTCCTGCCCAGGAAGTCACCCGTTGGCTTGCTAGTGCCGGCGTATCCTGGCTTCGGAATATCATTTTCCGGCCGTCTGCTTCCACTGCCAGAGAGGACTTCGCCACCAGCCATCGGAGTGGCGGCACCAGCGCCCTCTAGCGCCGCGTCACGTACGGGGTGTGACTGAAGGCCTCTCGCGGGATCCTGCCTGACTGCTTCATCGGCGCCATATCTCTGCGCCGGGTCGACGTTGCTCGCGGGGACAACTCCGCCACTCAACGGGAAAACGCGCCCCCCAGAAGACCTTGTACTTGTCAATCCTCCATCAAACGGAAAAGAAAGACGTAGACGTACCCTTGCTGCGCACTGCGGTCAGGCAAGCCCTGCGAGGTGCCTGCCAACCCTCTGTGAGCTCCCCTCGCGTACGGACCCTGCATACCCGACTTGATGCTCATAGCGCTGACTCCGCCATTATGGTCGTGTAGTTGCGTAAGCGTACCTGGAACACTGGAGGCGGTTGGTTCACTTGCTTGAATTCCGGCCGACTCTCTAGTACAACACCAACATGTAAGACAAAGTCATAAAACATCGCGTTGTGGTATCTATATAATAACGAATCTACTTACAATCCCTGCCGGCCCTGGCCAGGCAAAGACTCGTGCTGACCTGCGAAGCCGGTCCCCGCGGTTGCGATACCCAAAGGCGCGTCTGACTGTGCGGTCGGCTCGTAGCGATGGCTGTCGTACTTGTCGCCGCCCGGGTTTAGAATCTGCTTGAGCACACCCTTGTTCTGTGTGTCTACGCCTTGGTGCGTTGTCAGGGTGGCGCCGGAGCTGGAGGCGTTAATATCGGAGTGGAGCTGAGTGCCGGAAGTAGCAATGTTGAGAGGGCCGTCGGCGTGCGCAGTCGTGCCGTAACGTGCCTCATCGTACTTTTCGCCGCCAGGGTTGAGGATTTGACGGGTCACATTGGCGTTGCCCGGGTCGACATCCTTCACAGTGTTCAGATTTGCGGTGTTCCCCGCGCCGAGTTCTTGAGGCTTGCTCGGACTGCGCATTGTCAGTGTCAATACATCAGCCTGGTTGTAGGGTGGATGTGTAGATGGTGTCGCGATCGTACATGTTGGGGTCCTCGCGGTAGCCTTGCGGCGTGAAGCTGAGCATATCCTTGATTGAATTGATCGACATCTTGACTGTATATCTTTGGTGTCTGCTGAGTACTGTTGTTTATGTTGCAGGGGTTGTTGGCTCGGAAAGATGCAAGCTTGAAACGGTCGATGTTGTAGGCCTTTGTATAGGCGGGGCATGCGCGCACACGCTACGTCATGCTTGTGAAAACTGAAGCTCTTTGGCGGACATGCAGCCTACCTCATGGGAAATGAAAGCGTGCAAAAGGTGTGCGTGACTACGGGCCGTCGCGGACGAACGTGCTGCAAGTGAATGGACAGCAAAGCTCAGTCGAGTGAAGACTCAGACAGTAAGCTTCGGATTGACAGCGTTGAAGGCTTGGCCGAGCAAGAAGAAGCAACAAGCTCACTGGTGGTCCAACGAGCATGGGCGAGAGGAGATCGCAAGAGGCAGCCTTCATGGCTCCCTCCGTCGTGGTGGGGTGAGATCTCGACCCATGACGATGTACGGTGTCGTCACAAGGGTACCATGGCGATCCCGCAGTGACAGCGACAGCTATGCTTTTCCATTCATGTGAGATCTCAAGTAGCTGGCGCGTAGAATCGCACCCTCTTTGATGTTAGGCAGGCCTGCTGTCTGTCTGTCGGGAGAAGCGGGAGACGAGATGATGTCTAGGGCCGCGCACTCCTCCGTAAGGACTCGAGACATACCTTCGCCGAAGGCATTTCTTCTGGCTTATCAATTCGCGTCAGAATTGGCTATGTCAACATCTACGAGTATACTGGTCTGGCAGGGTCAGTAGTTAATAACGATGACAATCATCAGTCTGAATTGCACACCGCGCGACAACATACACTGCCATGTGCATCGGCAGTTTTCGGCACGCCGACTTCCCGCCATCTGCACGCCATCTCTAGCCTTATAACTGTACCTGCATCTTGCAGCGTCTCATCACCGTTCCATGTGAATCGGATCTGTTCGCAGTCAGCAGCAAATCCGGATCCGGGAAAGCCGTCGATGACCACCGCCCGAACGGCTACAGCTGGGACGTCGACATTAGTATATCCCCTGCCGGCAAGTACTCTCCTTGGCTCCTCCATGGCGGCGGCCAATGCGGGCTTACGTTTACAATATAAGGTAACTTCTAACCGTGCCGACTCCCTTCGCCAAGTTCGCCCCACTTCTGATCTCGTGGGTCTCTCTTCACTTTGACTTGCTACTTCTATAGCCTTCACTATCTGCTTGAGGGTATACGAGTTGCGATATCCACTTCGTTGCCTGCTGAACAGATGTAGTAATGCCATATGGACGCCAAGTCCACTGATCAACCACATCCTACCTCCAACTTTCATCATCACCGTGACTCCGCCTTAAAGCCGCGCCAGTCCGCAGAGCACATCTTCATTGGCAACGACTGGGCGACTGATAACTTGATGGTCTCGGAGACGCCGGATCAGAGAGTATATCTCGGCAAGGCTGTCTCTGCACAGTGACCTGAAAGTCTACCGCAATTCATTTGGCTATCCGCACTTCCAGTAACCAGGATCAAAGGCGTGAACAGGTGCTGACCATGCCCTTCCGCGAGAAAGCCAAGGCTCTCTTCCGGCCCAAGTCTCGCACCGACTCCTCGCTGTCCAAGACTAGTTCGAACAACTCATCTCCATCTCAGGAGCGCTGGCCAAGCAACGTTTATGCGCCAGGCGAGCCTATGCCTAGACCGAAATACCGTAAGCCGCCCACTAAGGAACACAAGGAGAAGCTTGAGGCGTTCTCATTCGCAGATGCTTGGAGAAGGAAGAGTTACCAAAGCACCTACAGTCCGGGAGGCACGCGGGCGCCTAGCCGTGTACCGAGCCGCGCGCCCAGTCTGTTCAGTAGGAAGAGTTTTGGCGGGAAGAGTAGCAGGGCGAACAGTGTTGTAAGCAATGGCGCAGAGGCAGAGAAGGCTGGTACCAGACCAAGAGAATTCGGCGTAGCCATGCAGCCGAGACTCAGCACGGAGGAGGAGGCGGAGGGAGACGACGATGTCGCCAATGGTAAGTCAAGTCCCTATAACGAGTGAAACGAGCATAAGTCGACATACCTAATGCTGACGCCTCCGCAGTTGGTCTCTCTCGTGTGCAGTCGCGTGAGCAACCTCCAGCTAAGTCACGACCCCGGACGGCAGAAGATCGGCGATTGAGTGTACAGCCATACAATATGGTAACAGCACACGATCATGAGTACTTTTCGGAACAGGATTTGGCGCTGGCATTACAGCGCTCCCATCTTGCCGTTCCCACTCAATCCTGAGCAGAGCTGAAGACCAGTGATTTTCTGTGGCGTTATAAGCGATCTTTTGCATCAAGCTGTGCATGTATGAGGGATATGGAGCATTGGCCGGCTGTTCGGATCTTTTGACTGGCGTTTGGACGGCACTCGCGTGGTCCGGAGGGGCGGCTTACGATTCTATGTTCACGAGGGCGTGCAGGGGTGAGACATGGCGGCATTTGGACACCTGACTACACTGGCGGCGAGGGACTTGTTGTATACTGCCATAATGTACAGACAATATCATTCTTCCGCGTTACTTCCAACGAGCCAGATACCGATCCACAGGCGATGATCAGCACCCGCTGCATGCCGATCCCTCGGTCAGTCACACCTCGGCTCGACTGGCAGGCAAGTTGCGCTCAACTTTCCGGAACCGCAATGAGATGAGTGAACACATATAGGATACATACCACAACAATATCATGATTCGTGCTCTTCTGTCATAGCATTAGACTCACACGCTACGCTCCGCCATGTCGAAGAATTATCCCACGTTGATCAAGCCGCCTCCCCCTTCCGATAGCAAGTCGCCCATTGAAGATGTGCTAGAACTGAATCACCTTGCCGACATCGATCCTAATCTCTTTACCAATACTCGTCCGCTATGGCACCCACCAGGCGCACGCGGTATCTATGGCGGCGCGGTCATTGCGCAATGTCTCGCGGCCGCTCAACGCACGGTACCAGCCAACTTCGTCGTTCACAGCATGCACTGCTACTTCGTCCTTAACGGCAATGCTGAGATTCCGATCATCTACCATGTTGAGCATGTGCGGGAAGGTCGCAGCTTCGCCACGAGAACGGTACAAGCACGTCAGCGAGGCCAGCCTATCTTCACCACGACCCTCAGCTTCGTGCGCGAGGGAAGCGGAGGCAAGAAGCTAGTGCAGCATGCAGCACATATGCCTGTCGTACCTGCGCCGAGTGAGACGCAGACGCAGGAGGATATCTTGAGGGGCAGTAGTAGTCCGTTCCAGAGTCAGAGGATTGACATACTGAACGACGATTCTCCACGCCCGCATGAGAAACGGACGAGGCAGTGGATCAAGGCTCGAGGCCGGATTAGTGCGGAAGGAGGCTATCAGGCGCACCTGAGCGCATTGGCTTATATGAGCGACTCGTACTTCATCGGCACCGTGTCGCGAGTGCATAAGCTTTGGAGGTATTCGACGAGTCCTAAAAGTAACAAGGAGTCCGGTGGCGGCAAGCTGGGTATCACAGCCTCAACGGTCGAGCGGCTGAAGAAGATGTCGCCGCAGGAGTTGCGTAGGATGGAGGGAATGGACGAAGATGTCATTGCCGCGCTGAATAATGTTGAGGTTGACAGCCAGGGCAATGTAAAGTGGAGGTCGAAGGAGCAGAGTCCGGCGGAGGTGGGCATGATGGTGAGTTTGGATCATACCATTTATTTCCATGCGCCCAAGGAGTTCCGTGCCGACGAGTGGATGTTCACCGAATGCGAAAGTCCGTGGAGTGGGGATGGGAGGGGACTGGTGCATCAGAGGATGTATACGAAGGAGGGCAAACTTATCGCGACTTGTGTGCAGGAGGTACGCTTCAGAACCTTGATCTACCGTATACGTTGTGCAATGCTAACGATTAGCACAGGGCGTGGTCCGGTTGAAGCAGGATTCGACACCGAAGCTATAGGTAGTGACTTCGAGATACCCAGTTTGGTAGAGCTGCTTGCAGACGTTGGAAGCGAAGTTTGGGTATATCTGCGAACGACTTATGGTGTTGGCGCATGGCTGAGCTTGCACGGAACGTCTAGGATGATGTACGTTCCTTCACTAGCAATTCCCATAATGAGACACTTGAATACATCCGACTTAAAGCCTCACCGATCCCGCTTCGGGCTCAACACCCTTTCCCTCAACGCCTTCATCGCCAACGCCCATCTCCCAACCCCGGGCTCGATAACGCTTGGGCCAGATGCCGCTCTTACCTGGTGCCAGGATTCCTTGCGGGTCGAGTGCGTCCTTGAGTCGCTCATTGAGCTTCATTAACGCATTATCGTTCCAATTGTACGTGCCGGCGACCTGGTCCATCAATGCAAGATGCGTGCGGTATCTGCTCTCCGTCAGCCAACTGTAGATTGCAAGGTCATGCATTCCAACTGACTCTCCATAGCCAAGCTTGGCCGCATCGTCAACCATACCCCTCATGCAATCCATCGCCGCCTTACGCGCCTCAGGCTTGGTCTTGTCGAAGACAATCTCGACGATCAGATGCATCTCTCGTAACCCGACGCAGAAAGCAGGAAAGAGGTCTATCTTATGCTCGGTATGCCTCCTCCTAGCTAGCTCCATGAGCTGTTTAGCGTCCTTCCCTCGGATTGGCGAAACTGGGCTGAACGCGATGTGGCTTCCATTCGGCACCCAGTTGCACCAAAGCAGTTCTTCGAGGTCGGGCACACCAGCCGCAATCTGATCGCGAGACCAGAAGTAGTTATCTCGCGGTATCGTCTGCGGGTCGACCTTGCGGGCTCCGGGGATCTTCCTGAACTCCTTGTCGATTGCATCGAGCTTGTACTGCCGAATATAGGCTGGACCATACGACATACCGTAGTATAGCCAGGCGCATTTACCGCACGGTAGTTTGCTGACCTCTTTGTCAATCACCTCTTGCGGGATGGCGCCAGAACCTGTGAAGAAGTCTGTCCGTGGCCGGCCTTGCACGGCAATTGTCTGTACAGCCGATCGCACCTGAGCCACGTTCTCGAGGACGTTGCAGATACGTAAAGGACGGATGATCTCGATCAGTGGCGCTAGATCCGAGTCTCGCTCGAAAGCGTACATGAAGCTCTCGTGTCCGCCTGGGTTCGGCATGAGCGTCATACCCATCTTCGTTACGATGCCGAAATTGCTCTGCGAAAACAGGCCGTCCTGGACAGGTCCAAAGCCGTAGGGGAAGGCTTGCCAGGTGTTGCTGCCCGGTAGCGCGCCCATCCCTGTCCGAATTATCTCGCCAGTAGGAAGCACTACCTCGAGGCCGGCATGCGTGGCCCAGTGGTCGCCGTACGGCGTATAACCGACTCCGCGGTCTAGCGTATTGCCAATCACGGAGCCACCACCAAGGTCAGGCGTGTCGACCCACATGTGGTCATACCCTTTGGCTTTGATGGCTTCATATAGCGCATAGAAGGAAACACCAGGCTCAAGCAGGCAGGTATAGTCATCAGGGTCAATGTTAAGAATGTTGCTCATGCGCTTGCCGAGATCGACCACAACGCTACCACGCACACGTGGCGCAGCGCCACCATAGCCCAGATTGCGGCCCATCGAGATCGGGAAGATAGGGATGCGATATTGGTTGGCCCAGCGTACGATCAACTGTACTTCTGCGGTGGAGGAAGGATACACGGCCGCAGACGCGACCAATGCGTCCTCGTCAGTGACGTGCATCATGTCATGCGTATTGGGGTGCTCCATGTACCAGCCGTTGTCGACCGCTGGCTTGTCGTTGAGCTCAACATTTGCAGCACCCAGCTGCTGGGTAAGCTCGACAATGGCTGTGTTGAAGGTCGTCCTTGAAACTCCCTGCGGTAGGGCGGGTTCCGTCCGAGGAATTTGGGACGCCGGAACGCTTCTGCCCTGCCAGATTAATGTCTTTGCCCGCCGTGCCTTGTCCAGTAGACGGGTCGGGATGCCAGAGTGAGTATTTGGGAGCGTAGGGGTGTCCGGAAGCTCTGACGCTTGTTGAGTCGAAGCCATAGTAGATAATGACAATAGGGGACGGTAGAGAGGACAGTGACGGAAGTTTGGAGTAGAGGGACGACACGAAGCCATACATATACTTTCCGTCTTATGGAGCGGTCCAACCGCATCCCCGTTCACCTACCTGTAGTATATCAACTACCGGGTTACCTTCTCCGCATTACAGCCCTCGCCGCCGAGAACTGCCCGTGGGGGAATAGCATGGGCTGAGTATGATAGGAGTGGGAGTGATAAAGCTGAAATGTATCGGCCACTGTGCCACGAAAGTCACTGGACTCGGGCATGCTTGCTGTCCTCATCTTCAGAGACACGTTGCAGAGATCCGCCAGACCTCTGGGAGCAGCGTGTTCGATCAATCTCAATGAATGAAAAGCTGGCGAAGACTTCGTTGTTTCAAACGCCGGGAGCCAAAGGCGCGGAATTCGTCCCGCAATGCAAGCAATTATCGAACCTCGAACGTTGTTACAGATCAACTGTGTGCGCGGCATTCCGCAGACTTTGCAAAGTGCGCTATTATGGCCCCTATGCTATTTGATGATGATGACTTGGTGCACACACTCTCCGATGCTGACGTTTCCGACGAGGAGAGCGACGAGCCGGAGAAGCAGCCCTCCGGCAAGAAACGAAAGCGGGACGATGGCGAGGATATTGATACCGACTTCGAGTTTGCGGACGGCACAGAAGCGTTGGCAGATTTCGATGGTTGGGCAGAAGGAGATGTAGTAGATGACGATTTCGAACGGCTCATGAGTGGCCGAAAGCGAAGGCGTCTATCATCTCAACTGGATATTCCATTCGACGAAGATTCCGTAGGCGCCACGGTACCTTCTCCGACTGAAGATAACGAAGCGGACGGTGACGACGTGGCGGATGAGTCAGGATCTGACGAAGACCCGTTACCGCATGATCAGCAAGGCCTGGGGCAAGACGATGAGAATGAAGAAGAGGAGGCCGATGAAGTAGATCCTGGAGGAAGCGCAGAGTCCGAGGCCGGGTCGCCGGGTGCTGTCGGCGATGATACAGACGCCATGGAGCGAGAGAAAGAAGCTGCGTTCTTCGCTCCAGAAACCACCTCGAAGCCAGAGAATGAGACGTCTTTCGGCGCTATGTCCCTTTCACGCCCCATCATGAAAGGTCTGGCCAGCGTAGGTTTCAGTGCAGCAACGCCCATCCAGCGCAAGGCTATACCAGTTGCTCTTGAAGGCAAAGATATTGTCGGAGGCGCAGTGACCGGATCCGGCAAAACCGCAGCATTTATGATTCCCATCCTGGAGCGCTTGCTTTACAGACCCAAGCGGGTCGCCACCACACGAGTTGCAATCCTCATGCCGACGAGAGAGCTCGCTTTACAGTGTCTGGCTGTCGCGAAGAAGTTGGCAGCATTCACGGATATTACTTTCGGCCGCGCCATCGGTGGCCTGAATCTCAGAGAGCAGGAGAAAGAGCTCAAACTACGACCAGACATTGTCATCGCCACGCCGGGTCGGTTCATCGACTTCATGCGCAATTACAACGCCTTTCAGACCGATAAGATTGAAATCCTCGTCCTTGACGAGGCAGATCGTATGCTTGAGGAAGGCTTCTCCGATGAGCTTAACGAGATTCTGAAGACGATACCTAAGAGTCGTCAGACCATGCTCTTTTCCGCGACGATGACTTCACGTGTCGACGACCTAATCCGCGTCGGCATGCAGCGACCCGTACGAATCATGGTCGATGCGCAGAAAGCCAGCGCATCTGGCCTGGTTCAGGAGTTCATCCGACTGCGACCCGGCAGAGAGGAGAAGCGGCTCGGTTATCTGATGCACCTTTGCACGCAGGTGCACAGAGACCGCGTGATCATCTTCTTCCGGCAGAAGAAGGAGGCTCACCGCGTGCGTGTGATCTTTGCACTCTGCGACTTGAAGGCTGCGGAGCTGCATGGTTCAATGAGCCAAGAGCAGCGCATCAACGCAATTGAGAGATTCCGCTCCGGACGAGCATCGTTTCTATTAGCCACGGATCTCGCGTCTCGTGGTCTGGACATTAAGGGTATCGAGACCGTGATCAACTATGAAGCACCCCAGACCCACGAGATATACCTCCATCGCGTGGGCAGAACTGCTCGGGCGGGACGGAAAGGTATCGCTTGCACTCTTGCTGCAGAGCCGGATAGGAAGATCGTCAAGGCTGCGGTCAAAGCTGCCAAAGCTCACGGTGCGCAGGTCCGCCAACGGACTGTTGACAAGGAGGATGCTGATGCGTGGCAAAAGCGCTGCGACGATCTCCATGACGAGATCGAAGATGTGCTGCGTGAGGAAAAGGAAGAGCGGGTGATGCAGCAGACGGAGCGTGACATCACAAGGGCGGAGAACGTGGTGAAGTATGAGGATGAGATCAAAGCTCGGCCGAAGAAGACGTGGTTCGAGAGTGAGAAGGAGAAAGTGGCGGCTAAGAAGCGAGGTGCTGAGGTGCTGAACGGGCCTTTGGATGCGGCGGACGAAGGCAGGAAGGAGAAGAAGAAGGGAGGCAAGCTGAGTAATAAGAAGAGAAAGCGGCTGGAGATGCGAGATGAGAGGAAAGCTGGTAGGACGTGGAAGAAGCCCAGCAAGGGTTCCGCGAACAGCCGTAAGTGATAACTAGCAACGTCTACAGTCAATCTTTCCGGGAACGCGTCACGCCTCTATTCGTAATGGCAACGGCCCAAATTCAAGCTCTTGTATGAAGTTGTCGATGAAGTACCCACAAATCTTGCAACTCGGCATTCCGCACGGTGGATTCTCGGCATACCAATTGAGACTCTTGCCAGCTCCCGTTCGCTTGAAGACCACCAAGTTCCTCTTCGTCGCTGACCGTCTGTTCCGGCTGTGCTTGCGTGTTGAATTCCTGGATTGCGCGGTAGTCGGATCAGATTCCATCCGTACAGCTCGAAGTCTGCACTGGGTGTAGTGGCTGTTGCCACGCTGAGTCGGATACGCATACATCCGTTCCCAGCCGTAGTTGTGTGTGTAGCGTTGTGTAAGGAAGTTCAACGTCTGAAGGGCTGTGTACGGCATGGCGCGGCCAAGTTGGGTCGTTCCTAGCCGTATGTGCGTGACGAAACGGTTATGGCCAATACATCCGATAAGGCGTTGTTTGCTGGTAGCCTCTTAGGCCGCTTTGAGTAGGCATGTCTTGCGGCTTGCCGCGAGCGGACAATGAAGAGGCCATAACGAAGCGTCGCTCACCTGAATCGCTGGGTATAGTGTCTCGAACGCAGCTACAGGTACAGACCTTTGTTGAAGGTGCTACTGTTGCCATCAACATCGGCGCAGACCGATGTGTCGGGTCAGCATCCACCGCACCACGGCCATGCACCGAACCCAACAAAGCGTCCAAACATGCTCAAGGAGGTCGACCGCCAGATCTTGTAGCGTCTGGTACTACGTTACGAGAGGGCTTACCAAGAAGGACTGATGCCATCCAAAGCCCATGGCATGTTAGCGTAGATCTACGGATGAGAAGTGTTAAAGGTGTCGTGGCATATGTCAACGGCGCAGCAAGGCATGCGTCGGCGGCGCTGATGAGGCTGTCGGTCTTGGTGTGTTCAGCTCTTGATTCTGGGTGGGTGGCTAAAGGTTTAGACGCGGACTGTAGAGGTAGTACGCTTTCGTCGGCAACACGTCCGATACATTACCTTACGAGATGTCGTCGACCGTCAATGGCCATATTGCGACCCTGTTGTAAGTTGTGTCTGCTTCACGTTATCGCTGCGCGTATGTTTCTGTGGTTTCGGATTGAGGTCCACATCCCTGGCTCCTCCCGCAGATCTAGAAAGCTTGTCTGCTTGCTTCGGTAAGGGCGCCGCGTGCACCTGCCCGGCTTCCATGGGTCACGCCTGCCTCGGCTGTTCCGTGAGTACAACCACAAGCCGCGTAGCCAATGTGACTGCTTAATGAAGGGTCACGTTGACCGTACCAGTGACAGCCGCCCAAGGGGATGTTCCAAGCGCACCTTTGTAGCGGGTTCGTTTCACAGACCTGCTGTGAGCCAATCAGTGGCTAGTATGTACTTCCGACGGCAGTGGCGTTGGCGCCGTTGACGAACGGGCTCCTGAGCGAACGCAGGGCTTCGAACCCTATGGCTGTAGAAGCGACGACATCTCTTGCATAGGTGTTGCATGAGAGCGCTCCTTGCCATCTGCAATGGGCCGAGAAGCAGCCTTTGATCCACAAAGTTCGTAGCGGTGCACGACTAGGCACTGATCTATCCAAGCGGCGCTTTTCCAATCGCACCTGCTGCAGCGAGTCGCTTGGTCCCACGCTTGGGTTGGGTCTCGTCGGCTGGGCGGTCCTTAAAGGCATTGCTGCGGACACTCATTTCTTCGTCTAGCGCCATGGGGCGGTTCATGCCGCCGAAAGGTCGTCTATGAGGCTCACGCTGCGGCGCCTCAACAAAGAAATGGTTATGAGCAGTAACCGGTGCAGAATATGCCGAGCATCTGGACTGAAGCGGCCAATAGAGCAGACGTAAAGTGATATAAGGAGCAAAGATGGACCCGTTGCGAACGGCGCGCGGTCTTCAAGGGTACCTGAAACGCATTTCGTTTGGACGGTCTTGCTAAGAGAACAGAAAGGGATTGGTTGGAACCCACGACGAGGTACGCAGCTAACGTTTCAGCAATGCACTTCTGCCTCTCTCAAAAGGCTTCACCACTGCCCTCGCCGCTCACCTGCGTTCCGCCTTCTACATTCACTGCTGCTGCTGCTGCTATTGTCGCGGGTGTGGAAGCTCATTGTTGTGGTGAAGTTCTCTTTCCAGCAGTGTTGCCGACAATAGCATTATCCACGTTAGCGTCATTCTTTGCTGAAGCTCACGCGTCGACCGCACAACACCCTTTGGCATCCTGCGTTCGGCACGGGCACTACGCCTCGACACACTCCTTCACTGCTGCGTTCTGCGAACCGCGCAAATACCTTTTTTTCCCCAGTGACACTTGTCTTTGACAGACAACGCTTCGACCTCCGACTTCCACATCCGCCAACAGCCAACTTGTGGTGCAGGACACTAACAACATCACTCATTCAGCAAGAACTCTTAGCACTCAACTCGTTACAGGCCCTCCGGCATCAGCCAACATGCACTCGTTCTGCAGCTCAAAGCTGCTTACAGCGGCGCTGGGCGCCATCCTTTCTTTCACCGCACCCTCGCCAGTAGCAGCAGCACCTACTCCGCAGGCCGCCAGCTCGGTATCCAGCACTTCTTCTTATTGGCTTGCCAACCCCAAATTCCACCAGAACCGGCCAGTCTTGGGCAACCCTGATGCCTCCTACCCCGTCTGGCGCAATGTCATGGACTTTGGTGCCAAGGGCGATGGTGTGACCGATGACACCAACGCTATCAACATTGCCATCAACGCTACGTACGCTTCAAGCGGCTCCCCGGGATCCCTCACCAGATGTGGCGTCGGCTGCAACTCCTCGACCACTGTGCCGGCCGGTGTTTACTTCCCCGCAGGCACGTATCTCGTCAGCACACCAATCATTATGGAATACTACACCCAAATGATTGGCGATCCGACCAACCCGCCTACTCTCCTCGCGGCGTCAAACTTTGTGGGCATGGCTGTGGTTGACTCTAACCCTTACGGCATGTATGGCGTCAATTGGTACATCAACCAGAACAACTTCTTCCGCCAGGTTCGCAACTTTGTGATTGACATCAGGCAATGGGGAGGCGGTGCGGCTGGTGCGGGCATTCACTGGCAAGTCGCACAAGCAACATCCCTGCAGAACATAGTGTTCAAGATGTCCACCAACTCTGGCACCAAGCAGCAAGGCATCTTCATGGACAATGGCAGTGGTGGTTTTATGGCCGACCTTGTCTTCGAAGGCGGCCTGTACGGCGCCTTCCTCGGCAACCAGCAGTTCACCTCGAGGAACTGGACCTTCAACAACTGCCAAACTGGCATTTTCATGAACTGGAACTGGGGCTGGACACTGTCGGACATGACGTTCAACAACTGCGGTACCGGTATTGACATGTCCAACAGCCCAACCAACCAGACCGTCGGGTCTGTAGTCGTCTCCGACAGCACCTTTAGCGGCGTTACCTACGGCATCAAGTCCGCCTTCCTGCTGAGCGGGAATGTTCCAGCAACAGGCGGGACCCTAGTTGTCGACAACTGTGACATGACTGGTGCCACGCACGCAGTCGTTGACGTGAACAGCAACCAGCTCCTGGCAGGTGGCAACACCGTGGTATCATGGGGTTCTGGCAACGTCTACGACCATAGCGGCACGCCGAAGCTTACCCAAGGCGCTCTTACGCCACCCATGAAGAACTCGCAACTCACTACGGCAGGCAACAAGATCTTCTCACGCACCAAGCCGCAGTACGAGAGGGTTGACGCTAGCCAGTTCTTATCAGCTATCACTGACGGTGGTCTGAAGGGCGATGGCACGACCGATGACACCAGCGCCATGCAGTCGTTCTTGAACAATGCCGCTAGCCAGAACAAGATCGCCTATTTCGACCATGCAACCTACCGCGTCACGCAGACCGTGGTAGTCCCCGAGAATGTGAAGATTGTCGGCGAAGTCTGGTCAACCATCTTAGCCACGGGCTTTACCGATTCGACGAAGCCAACACCAGTATGGCAAATCGGTACCCCGGGTCAGACCGGCTACGTCGAAATCAGTGACATGTTGTTCGAAATGCAAGGCTCGAACCCGGGCGCCATAATGATCGAGTGGAACCTCAACTCGGCTCAAGGCAAGTCCGGCATCTGGGATACGCATGTGCGCATGGGAGGCTCGGCCGGGTCCAATTTGCTTTATAGCAACTGCGCGGCAGTGAAGCAAAGTGCCGACGTCAACCAAGACTGCGTTGCCGGCTTTATGATGTTCCATGCAACCCCATCCTCCGGTGGCGTCTATCTAGAGAACGTCTGGCTCTGGACCGCAGACCATGACATGGAGGACCCATTGAACAGACAAATCTCGGTCTATAACGCCCGCGGCATGCTCATCCAGTCGCAAGGTCCGGTCTGGCTATGGGGTACCGCCTCTGAACACAGCGTTATGTATAACTACCAGTTCGACGGAGTGAAGGCTCTCTTCGCCGGCTTCATCCAAACGGAGACGCCATACATGCAGCCATACCCATTGGTGCCCACGCCGTTCCAGTACAACAACGCCTACGATGACCCCACCTTCACCATCTGCACCGGCTCCGACGCCACCAGCACCAACGTACCCTGCAAGGACGCCTGGGGGCTTCGCATAGTGAACAGTAACGATGTCATGATCATGTCTACTGGCATGTACAGCTTCTTCAACGGTTACACGCAGGACTGCGTGCCGGGCCAGAACTGCCAGGAGAACATGATACGCATTCAGAACAGCCATGTCAGCATGTACGCGGTCACGACCAAGGCCGCTGTCAACATGATTATCGATGACAATGGCAACACAGTCAAGGGCGCTGACAACCGTAACGTGTTCGGCGATACGGTGTGCTACTACAACACCAACGGCGGCAACTCGACCTCGTGAACGATGGCTTGACGTCATGGCTGGCGAACACGTTCGTCTTGCACGACACTCTCTCTCTTGACACTTTCTTTCGGAGTTGGTGCAAATTGTTGTCATTCGTTCATCACTCAGGGAGCGCTTCAGGTAGCACAGGGAAGGGAAGGCACGAAATAGAAACGGCAGAGGATACCCGGCATTGCATCATCAGCAGGACGCACATGCGCCTCATTAAGGCTGCCTTTACAGCGCGTGAAGCGATTTGGCATGGCGTTTGGGAGGCAACCGGGTTCACGAAACCGCTTTCGCGACGTAGGTATCTGCAATGTAGACACGGCATTAAGCATGCCAGCAAAAGTGATGTTCCACCCATTCATTTGCTCGTCTGTCCCAGATTCAGTATCGGTATGAGGACCATTTGGAAGATCGACTCTCAGAGATTGCATGTGAGGGTAGGTCGGTTTGGCTACAGCTAAGCGAGGCCGCTGACACAACTACCTCTTCTTCCCCTTCTTCTGACCCTGCACATCCGCAAGTATCGCATCAAAAGTCTTGCTAGCATCCACAGGATGCACATTCCTCGGTTTGCCATCCGGACTTGGCGTCCTCCCATCAGGCACAACACCTACAGGCATGGGCAAGGCCTCCAAGCCTATGCCGAGACTACTATGCCGCTTGGTGTTGGCCATGGGTGAGCCTCCTCTGATTGGTGAACCCCCTCTCGAGTCGGGCCTCAGCATGCCATTACCCACCATTGAAGGATCCGGTAGCGGCGACAGCGACCTCGGCGGAGGTAAGCCGTCACCCAAAGCAGCCGACTGTTCAGCATTGATAGCCTCCTGCTCATGCAGCGCCGAGTTCAGCAAAGGATTACTCGCGCTCCAACGCTCCGCCATTTGCCAACAATGACTCCGTCGGTAGATCCCCTCCACCCCATGCTCCACGACATCACTCGGTAAACTCACAACGCCACCCCCGTCACCCACACTAAACCAAGTTCTGCCCCTCTGCCCGCTCGCCCCAGCGTCAGCGCTGGACCAGGGTACACCGCCTTTTGGCGGTTCGCAGAGGAAGTATTCCACTCCCTGTCCCCACTTTACTCCCGGCGCATCACAGGCTAGCATTGGCAGCGCCTGCAGGACGACGTAGACGAAGATCCACTGGCCCAGTCGCAAATCCACGAGTTCGGCGATGGTGCAGTGATGCGCGGCGCGGTGCTCCATATCCCTGAATGCGTCGATGAACGGGTTGGGTCTGACGTCGGGGTTGTAGGTCTGTCGTAAGAGCCTTGCGATCTCGTCGTCTTTGAGCCGCTTCTGGATGGCTTTCAGATCGGCCTTTTTGTCGCCTGTACCGTACTCGGGTCGTGTAGTGCGTAAGTCCGGGAGCAATGGCAGGTCGAATGGTACAGGTGGCTTTACCGGAGGGCTAGAGCGGTCATACTCGCTAAGTACTGCTCTCAGCGCTCTCGGTGTCGCCTCTTCTCGATCGGCCTTGTTGCTGTCTATACCGTCCACGGTCCGAGTCGTGAGGTTCGTTCGATCGACTAGCAGGTCGTACAAGCTGCTCATGTCATTGTACACATCTCTCAACACGAGCCGGTTGAGTCCACTCGTTTCCAAGTCATTCTTCTTAGACTTTGCCTTGGGCGGCCAATGTCCATAACGCTGTTGATACGTGCTCATGACCCACTTGCGCATACCGAACCATGCGTCCTTCCACTCGTCGAAGCGAACGCCTTCCTTGCGTTCTGCGGAGACTTTGCTGTTCATGATACCAGTGAACAGGGAAGGAAACTCGAATGAGTCGAGGATGAGGTATATCGAAGCAACGCGCTTTTCCAAATCCATCGCAGCCCGTATCAGTCTGTTCTGCGTGATCGGACTGATCAGTCGGAAGGTAGGACTGCGCATCGCCACGAGCTCGGCATGCTTGCCGACCGCATGCGTGAAAGCTTCATTGTACAGGAGTACACTCTTCATGCGCTCACCCAGAACGATGGCCTCAAGGGTCTTCTCGCGGCTCTTTCGTACATCGCCAAGATTAAGCTCCTCAACGTAACTGTCGAAGCTCGAACTCGCTACGTCGCCGAACGTGCTTCCATCAACGTTGCTGAATTCGTACGTCTTCAATATGCTGGCTATAGACATGAAGATCTGGAAAATGCCGCTCTTGCGCTCGGTAGCAATGAGCGCCTGGCCGCAAAGGAAGGCGAAGAAGTTGCGGATGTCGACTAGCGTTTGCATATCGTCCACGGCTGGATCGTGGTGGTCCGAGTCTCTTGAGTCTTTCTTACTGTGTTTGCTGGGTGGAGTGACGGTAGGTGCCGGGGCATTGTATGCATTCAGCCGAATGGGCAAGAAGAGATGTGTTTCGGGCAGAGCTCGTCCGTTGTGCAGCTGCAATCTCTGCATGCGCATATCCACATCACCGTACGCCAGCCTCGTTAATACCGGGCTCGCAGCGAAGGTTGCCGGATCGAGCTTGAAGTTTGCGCTCTTCCCACTGTTCCTTTGGTATAGGTAGATGAAGCAGGTGGCCGTTTCTGATTCATCCCACAGTTCTTGCAAAGGCCTGCCAGCCAGCAGAGCGTCGGTGTCATATGGTGTTGTTTGCGAGTGGCCCGCGATCCAGGCGGTAGGCCCGTGTTCTCCGTCACTGTCTTTCTTGCTCTTGCCAAACCAGCCATGCTTCTTCTTGCGCTCGGCGCTGCCCATCTCCCCTGAAGATCGTGGTGTCGCGGGTAGCTGGTCTGGTACTTGCAGATTTGGTGTCACGGGTCGGCTGTTGTTCTGTGGTGTTATGGGTCGCGAACGGTCTACCGAAGAACTCCGTCCATACGCTCCGTCTGCTGCGATTGGTGGCGGCGGCGGTAGCCAACCACCTCGTTGTTCGTTTGACAAGTCGGGAAGTGTTGGCTCAAGATATGCCAAATGCTGGCCCGAGGGCGCACGCATGTGACTGGCTGCCATCGGTTTATGTAGTCGAGCTGGTGATCGCGAGTTTGAGCCCGGCGGGGAGAGTCGCCGTGGGGAAGCAGGGCTTGCGGAGCCCGAGGATGGCATATGTGGTGGAGGCCTGCTCGTGCTGGCGGTATCGAGTGCTGAGACGCGGTTGGCCATGTTGGGTTATTGCTCGACCGTCACTCGTGCAAGGCAACAGATGAGACAAAGGAAAGGATCGAGGCAGGAGACAATGAATATTGGAAGAGCGCCTATACTTGTAGCAACAGCGCCAACGCCGGGTACATGAGGCAGGGTATACGTCTGTTCGTTTCAAAAGGCTGGTCTGGTACCCGTCAGTCCGTCTTGCAGGGCTCCTACGTAATGCATGAGGTGGAGCGGCCGCGGTTTCGTATTCGGCTTCTCGGCGCCAATCGTTACTCTTACTGTTTCATACTATACCAAACATCAGGCTAGCGAGGGTACGGGATAGTACGTGGCCTCCCTCGCACGCGCTCGCACAACATGCTCGAGCAGGAGATGGGAGCTTAGAGTGCGGATGATGGCGAGAGTGGCGTACGCTCTGTGCACGGTCCATATAACGTAGCGTACGTTCATTCTCAGCCTTGCGAACTGTTGCTGGGCCACTATAACCAGCAGTACTCACTCGTCCCCTGCATCCCATTCTCATGCGCAGGCTGGTAAGTTCCATCGCTTGGTGTAGAAGTCCCCAAGTAGCGTTGTTACGGGAGAGAACTGTAGGCTTTCCATTGATCCTGCAAGTACCATCCTTCGGTTTTCTTCCTTTCCATCGTCACTCCACCACCACGGCCATCATGGGCAACGCTCCACCGGAAGGAGAATCTCTCCTTACTAAACCGTCTCCTATCAACTTAATGCGTGGATGGCCAAATCCTGCTCTATTCCCCAAGCAAGCCCTCCAAGACGCCGCCAACGCCGCGCTCTCGGACCCTACAACCTCAAGCGAAGCTCTCGAGTACGGTCCCGACCCAGGCTGGGAACCATGCCGAAAAGCAGTAGCAAACTGGCTTACGGAATTCTACCGACCCGCCGACCATGAAGGTGAGTCCTACTCTTCGGATGTAGCAAGACTGTGTATCACAGGCGGCGCCAGCCAGAACTTGGGCTGCATGCTCAGCGTCTACACGGACCCAGAGTACACGCGCAATATCTGGATCGTAGCACCAGCGTACTTTCTAGCCTTTCGAATATTTGAAGATGCAGGGTTTGCGGGCAAGATGCGAGCGGTGCCGGAAGATGAGGATGGGGTTGACTTGACGTACCTGCGGCGGGAGCTTGAGGAGAGCGAACAGAAAGCCAAAGCGGAGGGCAAGGATAGGCCACGGTACAAACTGGCCAGAAGGCGAGCGAAGGTGTACAAGCACATCATTTACTGCGTGCCCACGTTTGCGAACCCGAGTTCGAGAACAATGAGTTTGCAGCATCGTACGGAGATGGTGCGGATAGCAAGGGATTATGATGCTTTGCTAGTTGCAGATGATGTATACGACTTCCTTCAATGGCCGGCTGCTGAGCGAAGTGGGCGGTCACTTGACGATATGGAGCGAGCGCATTTGCCACGGCTGACAGACATTGACCGGGTCATTGACGGAGGAAGTGATCGGAATGGAGCCGATGGTTTCGGCAACGCTTGTTCGAACGGCAGCTTCAGCAAGATTGTTGCACCTGGGGTGAGAGTGGGCTGGGTTGAAGGGACGCCCAAGTTCGCTTATGGGGTCAGTCAGTGGTAAGTGCTTCCTATATCTTCACAATGTTTATTGTATAGGCAGACAAGATGCTCACCATACCCACAGCGGCACGACAAGGTCCGGTGGCGCACCAAGCCAACTAACCTCGACCTACATGACGCACTTACTCACTTCCGGCGCCCTGCCGAAACACATCCGCCACACGCTCCAACCGGCCTACGCACGCCGCTACGCAAGTCTCATGAGAGCAATCGAAACGCATCTCGTCCCGTTAGGCTTTACTCTCCCGCAGCCCAATCGCGAAGTAGTGGGAGGTTACTTCGTTTGGCTGGCGTTACCTGAAGGGTCCAAATGGAATGCAGACAAGCTAGCGGCGAGATGCAGGACCGAGGAGAATGTCATTGTAGCACCTGGTGGTCTCTTCGAGGTACCCGGTGATGGTGAAAGGGTGAGCTTTGAAGGCCATATCCGGCTATGCTTTGCGTGGGAGGACGAGCGGTCCCTGGTGGATGGGGTGAAGAGGGTGGGCAGAGTGGCTGCGAGGATTAGAGATGAAGACGCTGGGGATCAAGGTAGTCAGGGCTTTGATGCAGACAGCTTCAAGTGACTTCACGGGTTTCACTGCGCCCTCTGAGTGTTTGATTGCTGGTCGATTTGTCGTCGCCTGCAGTTCCAATGAGCCTAAGGCAGCAACCTCACTTCAGCTGGGCTCGCGACCCTCGCTTCCTTTCTGTAGGTCTAGGATATGCTTCAACTCTCCGTTACCTTCGCCATTACCTGAGTGTACAGGTATGACCAACGTCCAGGCGCCACCAGTGGCCGCCCTCTTCCTTGCCGTCTTCGACCAAAGGGTAGGGTTCGTGAGTGCTTCAGATTCACACCTCATTCGACTTGCCACCTAACGGACGTTCCACACAGATACACCCTCGCTTGGAAAAGGACTGTACCATCTGATCTGGATCTCTCTGGCGTCGAGTATCACTCCTTACCTTCTGGTCTCCATGGCGTGCAAAGTGATGTAGTCTATTTTATCCACGACGGCCAGTATGCCGCGGTCAGCGCCTTTGCGCAGGAGAAAGCAGATGAAACACACCGCAATGCCCGGTTTTGTGCGGTCGGAGCGCTCGTACCGCTTAGCTATGGTAAACTCGGGAGAAGCTGGCTCTATGCGCCCGAGTTGAGAAGACTTGCGCGCGAGTATCTCAGCAACCCCAACGACATGCGATCACTGGAGCTATTCTGGACGAAACACAAGCAAGGATCTAAGAGCGACGCTCGATCATCGTCTCCTACCGAGCATCGCGGGTCAGTCAATGCCAACCTGAAGCGGAAACGTGGACTCTCCGATGCCACGCCAGTTCTAGGATTGGACGCTACTACCGCTGCTGACCATCCAAGCCTCTACATGTCGTCACTTCTCGACTCGTTCGGGCCCTTAATCTTCCCTCTACACCGAGCGGCGCTTCTCCGGAAGCGCATACTCCTCCTCGGCGCGCCTCCATTGCAACGGAATTGCAGTGCAGTCTACATCCTGTCCATTTTGTCAAACTTGCCGGCGGCCTCCACGGAGCTACTGCAGCCTAACACAGAGGCGATACATCGTTCGCACCCGCTGTTCAGCATTGGCATTAACGACATACCCGCTCTCACCAGTAACGTGGACAAGGCAGGTTACATTGCAACATCCACCGACGACATTCTCGGCGAGAAGCATCAACTCTATGATATTCTGGTCGAGCTTACACCGGGCGAATCCGGCTCCAAGCGTAGATGGCCCCGGTTACGGACATCAGACGGCAAGATAATAAAAGCCACCCAGCGCGACTTGCGTAGGTATCGCCGGCTGCGCAGCGAGCTAAGACAACTCCGCCTCGCTCGAAACCGTTATCGAGACGAAGCCAGCGACAATGACAACGACAACGCTACCGACGTTAACGAACAAGCACCACTTATCCGAACAGACAGCCTACTCAACCACAGCCCCACCACCGAACCCCTCACTAACGGCGAACACGAAGTCGTCGAACCCCCAACCTGGACCGCCATAGCCTACACATCGCTAATGTTCTGGGCTACCTACGGTTCAGCCGAAGCGACCGCAGCCGCGGACGGGGAGACAAACTTCGACGCGTCACTGCTAGAAGATCTTCCCGACCTACACGACGCCCTGTCGAACTCTACGACGCTTCCTCCTTCCTCCGCCAAGAACGATGATGCTGCGCAGATGGAGGAAGCGCAAGAAACCGCTACGGTGCTGACAGCGTACTTCCACCGCCTTACCGACCGCATCGTGCAAGCGCTCGCCGAGATAGTGGCGGAAGCGGATGATGAGACCGAAACCGGGGTGGAGGAGGACGCGATTGTTATTAGTGGGGAGGAGGTTCGGGGGATGGGACTTGATGGCTCGAGTGAGGGTGATAGGGAGTTTGTTCGGGGGATGATGGAGTTGTATTTCGGAAGGGAAGCGAAAGTTGCAGAGGGAGAAGGGGTGTGGGTTTGTGGTGTGAGAGTGTGCTGAGATGGATGTAGAATATGTTCTGTAAAGTTCGATTTGTTGGGTAAAGTGGCCTGTTCACGCAAAGGCGAGCCACAGAGGGGAGCAAGTGTGAGAATTGAATGTAAGATCTTTCCAACCATATCCCAACCTTATCCACCTTGCAGAGCGAGAACCTGGGATATGCTCCGAGGCGCTGGGTTTCCCAGCCCGGTCCTGGCTGTCGCCTAGCACTCCAAATACGCCCGCCAGCCAACCAGTCAGATGAAGTCGTGATCCTCCGCATAAAACTCTCAACGCCACCCGCTGCTCGCTTCATCCTCGCCAGTTTTCGTAAGAAGAAGAAGGTCGTTACCAATGTGATGAAGAAAATCCAAAGAAGATCCAGAGACACTCCAGTTCCAGTCCGAAAGAAAGGGTCACGTCCAACCCCTTGCCGCCACTCATCCGCACCTGCACCCGCACCCGCAGCCTACCGCGGATCCGCAAACGGACTCCCCTCCCTCTGGCCCACACCCCCACCACTCCCATCAATCCTACTAGCCCGGCGAGTAGCCTCCTCAATAATATCGCTCAACCCGCCCAACCCCCTCCCCACACCCGCCCCGCCACAGCGTCGGGGAGGAGAGCGACTTCGCTCGTCGACACCCGATATCGAGCTAGCCATGGACGCGTATGGGTTCGGGCGCGGAGGCGAAGAGGAAGAAGAAGATGTGGGAGGAGGAGGAGGAGGAGGAGGAGGAGGAGGAGGAGGGGATATATGTGAACGTTCCGACGCATCAAAGAAGGGACTCTCCGCCGGCTGGACCGTGGGCGTAGTCGTGCTCGAGGCGGGGTGGGTGGGTTTCAGCAGGGATTGGCGCGCTCGGGCGTGCTCTTCTTCCTCGTCCTCGTCCGTTTCCGTCTCCGCCGTGGCTAACGGCGAGGAGATGGCGGGCATGTGCTGGCCGCGACTCAGAGTGGAGGTGGCGGTAAGGGTTGACGCGTCACTGGGTTGGCGGATGGGGAAGCGACCTTTGCCTGCGTTTGTCGAGGCGGGGCCGAGGGTAACTTGCTTCGCTTTCCCTCTCACTGAGCTCGCTGGGGAGGTAGAAGGAGAGGCGGAGGCGGTCGAGGGTCTTTCGCCGGGGATCAGGATGCGCGGACCCGCCGTGCTCGGGGGCGAGGTAGTTGGTCGCTCGTTCTCTGTAGGGGTGGTTGATCGCGTGGACTCAGCTCCCTTGATCGACACCACTTTCGGTGCTGCCCTCGCTATTGTAGTCGCGGGTACAGCTGTGGGCTCGTCGTGGTACATCTCGCTTGCTAATGACGACCGCGCTAAGGACGGGGTAATGGAGTGACGGAGGGTGTACTGCGTGTCCCTGTTGCCTCCTCGTTCGGTGGCGGAGCGGAAGGAGGAGGATGCGGCGGAGTATGAGCTATCCCTCAGATCTCCTGGCCGGAAGAAGAGCGCGTCGCCCTCATTGCTGAGCGGACTCTTCGGCGAGGCGGGTCGGTCTCCAGACTGTGCTGCTGGGATGGGTGGCACAGGCACCGTCCCTAACAAACTATTCCTTCCTGTGCCGGCATTTCGGTTGGTCACGCCGGGTATATACGCGATCTGGATGATATTGCTCGCGCGGCTGAGGATGCTATTCGCCAGACTGCCTCTCGTGCGCGTACTGACAGCGTCTGCGGCGTGCATGCTGTTCAACCTCGTCGCACTCGTCCGGCCGGCCTTCTGCTGCGCAATGTCGTCTTCTTCCCACTCTTCTGCCTCCATCTCTTGCTGTTGCCGCTTCTTCTTGATCCAGAAGCGCCACACGAAGAAGACGACGATAGCCACGAACACGATCCCGCCGACCACGCCGCCCGCGATCGCGCCGACGTTGGGCCCGGAGCGGGGAGGGGAGGGCGACGGGTTGGGGATGCATGTGGCGTGGGCGCAGGCGTCGCAGGTGGTGGGGACGAGGGAGCAGATCTCGGTGGACTTGCATGTGGGACATGACGGGGTGGTGGTGGGGCATTGGAGGCAGCGGCGCAGTAGGTCTGGCGAAGTGTTGTCAGTGAGGGGCTGTATGGAGGGAATCGGTGAGATTTGTACGTACCACCGGCCACCATTGCGCTGCGCTGGGAGAGAGACATTATTGCGCTTCACGCCGGATCGGTCACGATGTGCTCTCTTCCACGCGTTGTTCTTCGTTGGTGAGCAACGTCGCTGCCGCTGCTGCTAACCCCCCCGTACCCCGTAATCTCTTTCCCCTCCGCCCTTGTCTGGCCGACTTTTAATCTCCACCACCCAATCCTTCCCTTCTCACTAATCCGAGAGCCTTCACTCGCCGTGATGAATTGAATTGAATGAACTGAATCCGAATCGAATGGGACGGATGAAAGCGAGTGACTGAGTGAAAGAGAGTCTCAATCAATACCAACGAATCCTCACCCGCCCAACCAGTGCCTCGCTGTCTCTCCGAGCCCCGGCTCGATGCGAACTCGACGATCCGCGCTTCCACCCCGCCGCTCTCCCGTCCACCCGTCCCTTCCCGCCAATAGCGCGTGGGGGCGAACCCGCTTTCTTCGTCGCCCCGTGCAGAAGTGCGCACGTGAGTGGCTTTGTCCAACTTTCCAACAAACAATTCACTCGACATCACCATCCCATCTCTGCTCCATCAACTACTTTCCTCATCAGCATTGATTGTCGTTGTCATTGGCATTGTCAAACACACAAACCAAAACAAAGACTGCCGGCCAGTCAATCTCCCACCGTTTCGGGCAATCACGGTATAGCGAGTAGCGGGACGTGTCACGAGACCACATCATTTCGACGCGTACGGCCAACGACGATGCTACGACGGGTGCGGTTACTGCTCTCCATCCTCGTCTTCGTGCTCATCTGCGAAATCTCGCAGCGGACGAGTGAGAAGGGGACCTTCAGCGTTTAGTGCCTCGCATAGGCATGACGACTCGGAGAGCGGCGTGACGGCCAGCAGGACTGGCTATGGGCGCCTAATGACGCATGGGATATATATGTCGACACGAACTTGCACACACAAGATGACTACATCACACACACGGGTTTATTCAACCAGTGTGAAGACTATCACGCTTCACTTTGCTTCCACCAACCGGCTCTCGTCGCCTCCACCTAACTCCGCCCAACCGGAATGCAGCTACACAGAGTGACGGCCCTGAACATGCAGGCTGCTCACTTCGATTTTGCTTGACGGAACTCGACAAAGGTATACGTCGACAGTCTCAACCAAACACCGGCTGTCGCCCACTTTCGCAGTCAAATGCAAGCTTAACCGGCCCGTCACCAAAGACGACTCGGAAGGACAAATCATAGTACCACCCATCGAGCATTCCGGATCGAGACCGAGATCTGGGGAATTAAGATGGATCCGTGGGCCATGGTCAATAAAGGGGTCATGGGATGGAGTGCCATGCCGTCCTGATCTGGAGGAAGGCGTGTGGACAAGGGTGGTGGGATGCTCTTGCTTGCGCGTTGTTAAGTCTTCCCTTCACCATGTCAATGACATGATATGTACAGTCAATCCGTGAAGCGTAGCCCATGAATTATAAATGTATACATGTATATCGAGACCTCGTCAAGTGTTCAATTGAGCACCGACACAACTCACTCACTCACAGACCATGGATTCCACAGACCCACACGACCACAAAGATCGAAGATTCACATCGTGACGTACCCGTGTGGACGGCAAGAACGCTGGAAGGTACGGACTGCGTTTTCATCAAGCTCATCATTGAAAGACTTTCTCATTCCATATCGCCCTTCTCCTCGTCCGCCGCCATGTCGCAGAAGAAAGTCGAAGTGCTCTCTCCGCGAAGGAGCGTACGCAGGCACCTACATAGTCCACAAAGACACTCCGGCACGGTCCACACAATTTGGTCCCACCGTTGACGAACGCTCATCCACAATCCGCTGACGTTCCCTCTTGCTATTCACAGCTTATCCTGCAGAGCCCCAAAGCCGATCTGCCACAGTCCACCAGCATGCACCCGCAGCCCACGTGCGCTCTTTGCGCAGCCTCTAGGCATTGCTCTTCCACAGCCTACGCTTTTTCATCCATACTCCAGAGAACTTCTTTCATGTTCTCTAGCAAGCCACCCATACGCCACCGGTGGTTCTTCCAGGATTGTTCCGCGAGGATGAAGCCTTCGTGACTGCCTTTATAGACGTCCCTGGATCGCTCTGCAACCATTCACAATGCTTCCACGTTGCCGCGAACCGTGGACTATGGACCGCGGGCCGTGAACTGTGGACCGTGGACTGTGGTTTGAGGTCACCGCGGCCCACAACCCCTCTGTAGCGACCGTGGCAGGCCAATCCCGCAGGAGCAGATTTATATATGGCAGCAGAAAACCATGGACTTGAGCGCTCGCAAGCATCGTGAACCCCTTCAGTCTTGGGGTTGCTGTTGGTCGCTGTCGCGCTTTCATCGGATCGTACTTGGACATTAGAGGTCTAAAAGACGAGCCATTCCGGACTGGCTCACTTCTTCGCCTTCCCAATGATACCCGCACCCCGGAAAGCCACCGTAACCGTCACGACAGCGACCACACCCAGCGCAACACTAAACCAATTCGCCGCCCGAATCCCAGCCAGAAACGCAGGGTTGCCCAGATTGCTCGCTCCAGTCACGGCCGCATTGCGCGAACTCTGTCTCCTCTCCTGCACGGCGACTTGAATCGCGGTGGCGATAGCTAGGCCAATTGCTCGGCCCACCTGCCCAAGCGCGTTGATTATAGCGCCGCCGAGCGCCTGATCTTCCTTCGGTAGATTGTGCGAGTTGAACAGCACCAGTGACGGGAACAAAGTGTCCGCGCCGAAGACGCAGAGACACATGGCCGGGAAGCCGTAGGCCCAGTATGTCTCGTTATCCGGTATGGGCACTGCAAACAGCAGGGAGGAGATTGTGACGCAAAAGGTTCCGAACATAAGGATGTAGTTGATAGGCACCCGGGCTAGGATTTGCGACGTTACGAATACGGTGCTTACACCGACAACACCGGTCGGGATGAAGCGGACGGTTGTCTCGATGGCGCTCCGGCCTTTGTAGTCCTGGTAGTAGTAAGTGGTGAAGATGAGGTAGTTGTTGAAACTGGCGAAGAACAAGCTCATGGTGAAGTTGGCGGCGGCGACGCGCACGTTGCGGAAGATGGTGAGTTTCACCAACGGTCGACGCAGGGTTCGGAGTTCGAGGTGCAGTTGCCAGAGTACGAATGCCGCGATGAGGAGGATGGAGATGGCGATGATGACGCCGATGTAAGGTTTGCCCCAGCCGACGACGTTGCCTTCGGTGAGAGCGAACATGAGCGCGAAGAGGGCCACCGTGATGGTTGTTCCGCCGATCCAGTCTACTGCATTCTTGACGTCGCTTTCGGAAGGTCGGATCACGGGGAGGGGGATGACAAAGTGTCCGGCGACGGTCACAACAGCCGCAATGATGGCCAGGATCCAGAAGATCCATTTCCAACTCGCATACTGCCCGACGAGTCCACCCAATAAGTTGCCGAAAACGCTGCCCATAGGCGCTCCGGCGGAGTACGTTGCAAACGCATAGTTCCTCGCCGTGCCTGGCGGGAAGGTCACGCCCAAGATCCCAATCGCGGTCGGCACATTCGCCGCCGCACCCAAACCTTGCAGCCCGCGAAAGACATCAAACCCAATTTCATTGGGTATGAACGGACACAGAAGGGTGACAAGACAGACCCAAGCAGAACCCCAAATGAAAATCAGCCGTTTACCGTAGACGTCTGCGAGCCGGCCCCAGAGAAGCAGGAAGCAGCCGAAGGCGAGGCTGTAGGCCGATACGATCCATTGTTGGCGCGCGGTGGGAATGGAGAGGTCGCGGCCGATGGTGGGGAGGACGATGACGGCGGCTTGCACGGAGAGAGTGTTTAGGAAGGCGGCGCCGGTTAGGGTGATCACTAGTCCGATTGTGCGAGCTTTAGAAAGGGGGAGTTGAGAGGTTTGGCTGGTTGTGCGGTGGACGGCGGAGGTTGAGCTGGCGCCTTTCTCCGGGTCGGTATTGTGGGCAATGTCAGGCGAGGCATGGATGGCCTTGTTCGTGGCCGCTGGCAGTATGCTAGTGGCCTTCTCGTTCGGCTCGACGATATCGGTGTCTTCAGGCGTTCCAGCCACGGTGTCAGTCACCGGCCGTTGATGTCCTCTGTCATCTCCGGTTCCGATCGACATCGTTACAATGTCCCTGGCAGGTGGCTATGAAAGGAAGAATACTGACCAGCTTACCATTGGATACATGAAGTACTACAGGCTTTCCTTCGACTATCGGATAGCGGCCAAGCACGCCAACAACTACTGTGGATGTCGGCACTACTAAAGGTAGCTGGCGTGGAGAGCACGTCTTGCGGTCCCGGCCATTTTCCGCGGCTTGAGGTGTCGGCAGTCGGAGCTTCTCACCACGAGAGCCTCAACTTAAATGATCCTTTCGTGTATGTGAATTTCGCACATTCATCGTCCTTCAAACGACCCCTTGGCAATCATTTCACCTCATGTAGAATGACTCCGCAGAATCTAACGATGGTCCTGACTTTCGACTCGTCCAGATAGACTGCGACGGAGATAGCGCCCTGCTAACCGTAGATCCGAGTGACACGACGGAATTGACATCATGGGTGCCATTCTTTTCAAGGACGGTAGGTGTAGACTATATTCACCGGCAAGTAGTGATTGATCTCGTGTCCTTGTATCGTTACAATTCTTCCCCTCTTTATACTTACTTCCCATTCTCCCAAAGACCAGACAAGACAGCTATACTCACTATGCCATTCGAGTACAAAAAGGTCCTTGTCCTCGGCGCCACCTCCGGCATAGGTTGGGCCCTCGCCTCCAAATTCATCGAGAATGGCGTCTCTGTCATCGCAGTAGGTCGGCGCAAAGAGAACCTCGATGACTTTGCCAAGCAACACTCCAGCGGCAAGGCCACCGTCGACACCGCCGTCTTCGACATTACCAAGCTGGACCAAATCCCCAAGTTCGCAGAGGAGATATTCAGCAAGCACCCCGATCTGGACTGCGTGTTCCTTAACTCGGGCGTGCAGCGGCACATGAATTGGGCGGATCCAAGCAAAGTCAACCTCGACAACGCGGAGCTGGAGATCTTGACCAACTATACCGCCTACTTACACCTTACCAAGGCTTTCCTTCCGTATCTGCAGAAGCAAGCCCCCAAACCCACGAGCATGATCTACACTACCTCGGGTCTTGCGTTGATCCCCATTCTCTACTGCCCAAACTACTGCGCGTCGAAAGCAGCTCTCCACCACATGATCCTGGCCCTACGGCAACAGCTCAAGGAAGTGAAGTCGAATGTCAACATCATTGAACTGTACCCTCCGGCCGTACAAACGGAGCTTCACGATGAGAAGCACCAGCCTGAGATGGGCGACCGAGGCCGCAGCATTGGTATGCCGCTCAAGGATTTTACCGAAGAGGCCTGGGAGGGTCTCAGTAAAGGCGGTGAGGAGAGCGAGCAGGTGCCGGTGCAGATGGTGAAGACGTTTATGGGTTTCAACACGTGGGAGAAGGAGAGGCAGAAGACTTTTATGCAGATGGTTGAGCGGACGAGGGGCCACTAGCGGCCTTCTTCGTCTTGCATACAACCTTTAATTGTCCAATCTGTTAACCTAAAGCTTAACGCACATCACCGTGCAATTGTGATACCAGTCGACGTCGTGTGACTGAGCACGGCGGCCGTCTTCCAGTCCAGTAACCCGGATGGCTGGCAGCCTAGGTCGCAATGCCGGTTCTGATGCTCTCGAGTCCACATGTTGGCCTGCTGTTGGCTGATCGAGAAGTTATGCTCCGTCGGTCTTGGGACGATGAGATGTTGCGGCGGTGTAGGCACTGGTGGCGCGCACAGGAGTGCTTGCTTTTCGTAAATTCGGGGAGCCTTAATGTACGCCTCCTCAGCCCATCTCCATAAGTTCGAGCATTCCAAGAGTCTCTCTAGCTTGAGCCGCGTAGTCTGCGCCTTTCCTCACACGCCGTGCGATGCGCTTGACGAGATCCACAACTTGTCTGGCCTCATCATCGTCCGCTTCCTGCCATTCGCCCAACCGCGGACTGTATATGTGCAGCAGCAGCAGCACGACATCGTAGATGAGGTTGACATGCTCGGCGTGGTTGATGTATTTCAACACCCAGTGCAGGACCGGTATCAGCTGCTCCTCTGATCGACCCGCGAGCGCTGTGCGCAAAGCACTACGGTGGCGAAGCGCGGTGAGCAATGTAACCATATCTTCGTTACTGAAGCCTTCTCGAGGGTTAGGCTTCAAGACCTGATCGAGCGCGAGACTGTACTTGCCCGCCCGAAGGCTTCGCTGCCAAGGCCGGAGTTTCTGCCGTGTGCGCTCGTTCCCAGCGATAATAATGTCGGCGCCCTCACCTCGAAAGTCCTTGCCTCGATCGCGGGCGCGTATGCCTTGACGCTTGTCTTTCTTCTTCTGCTTACGCTCGTACTCATCTGCTTCACCGGCGATCAGTGCTCGCATCTTCTTTTCCTTCTCCCGTGCCTTGGTTTTCTCGGTGCCAGCCAGACGTGTCCGGAGGGACAGAATACCTGTCTGGAGTCCTACGGCTAGATGCTTGTCTTCACGGTCCGCTTCAAAAGCGCCAGAGCTGACCACAGCGAGGGACAATATCGGTGCAGGATACTTAAGTCCCGATGCGACTTCCCACGTCGTGGTGTTGTGAACTTTGATGTGACCATCGAGGCCACCGGTCAGGAGTCTTGCGCCATTCTGAGCAAGACCGAGTGACGTGACTGTCTTCTGATGCGAGCGGACAATGTGATCCGCTTTCCCAGCAACTAAGTTGAGAATGGCGACTTCGTTGCCAGCGGCGGACGCGAGCATAGCACTACCCAGAGGAATGAGATCCTCCACCGGCGCCGTGTGCTTGAAAGTCAGCGCCGGCTTTCCAGTGCCGGACTGCCTAGTATCCCATAGGCGGACCGTCTGATCATAACTGCCTGTCGCAATCATGCCATGTCCGGGTATGTAGCAACCCGAGCGCACATAGTCTTCGTGGCCAATGCCAGTCCACTTTGAGACATCTTCGGTAAGATCCCACACCCTGACCGTCCTGTCATCACTTGTGCTCATCAAATCAGTCAACACGTTGGGGTTCCATCTCACAACATGCACAGCTTGCTTGTGCGCGTGCTCCCCTCGCCATTGCTTCAGGATCGCCCTCGAGCCAGTGTCGAAGGCTTGCACAATGCCACTGTCACCGCCTGCGAGCAATATGCGGCCGTCGCGCCTCAGCACGCCCGAGCGGGCCGTATCATCTACGCCGAATCTGCTTATAGTTTTCACCAGCTTCCTCGTCTTCGTGCTGTAAATCTGCACGCGACCGCCAGATGTCACGGCGAAAGTATCCGCTTGCGCGCCAGTAGAGTTGAACGATGGCACGGTGATCGAAGTCACGCCTGCATTATGCGGCGAAGGAAGCAGAAGCTGGTCCTTGAATGTCCTCCAGTAGCGTTGATCTGCTGTCAACGGAGCAGGACCCAGCGGGGCACGCTGCGGTGGCAGCGGCAGCACTTCTGCTGCCATTCCACCCAGTGACGGCGTAGCGCAGCGCACGCGATTACTTCAATAAAACTTCGAGAAGTTCACGTTGTAGGCGGGTCATTACGGCCGCAGCGGCGGCCGTTCCGCCCGTGTCTATGACCGTGGGTCTGTGCTCGACACTCTTTGGGGCCAATTCCTCCTTTAAGCGACTTCGCTACTTACGACTATGAACGTACTGATTACTGGAGGCAGTCGGGGGATTGGCCGCGCCACTGCCCTTCTCGCAGGCTCGCGAGGTTGGAACGTAGGCATCAACTACGCCACCAATGCCTCGGCAGCAGAGTCTGCCATTGCGGACGTTCAAAAGGCCGGCGGGAAAGCCATTGCCATCAAGGGCGACGTGACCAACGAGAAAGATGTCATTCAATTGTTCGACGCTATGGAGAATGCTTTCGGTCCAACTAATGGCGTCGTTATTAACGCTGGTGTCACTGCTCAGTCCATGGCCCTTGCCGACATGACCGTGGAGCGCCTGCGCCTCGTCTTCGATACGAATGTGCTAGGAGCGTATCTCTGTGCGCGAGAAGCAGCTCGCCGTCTTCCGGGCGCATCAAAAGAGGACTGTTACAGTAGTATTGTCCTAGTTTCCTCCGCTGCTGCCAGACTTGGTTCGCCGAATGAGTTTGTGGACTACGCTGGCTCCAAAGGCGCTATCGACACGCTTAATGTTGGTCTTTCGAAGGAGCTCGGTCCGAAGCACGTACGGGTCAACGCTGTAAGACCCGGCATCATCGACACCGAAATTCACGCTTCTGCGGGTGATCCTGACCGGTTAGGGCGCCTGGGCAAGCAGACTCCGCTCGGTAGGCCTGGCGGCGCGGATGAAGTGGCCGAAGCCATTGTGTGGCTGCTGTCGCCAGCCTCAAGCTATGTGACCGGCACCAATATCGATGTCACGGGAGGAAGATGAGTCGAAGTGATTCAACCGCTGCACTTATCAGCCAGAACTTGCGCCTGGTATTAGGAGAAATCTTTGCTGTTATCTTCAAGAACGGGACTAGAACTTAGCAAGTTTGCACGAATATCATCGGGCTTTGCAACGAAGATGATAGATATGCCCGTGGACACAGCTGTGGGCTGAGAAGGTACGGCAACTCACTCCTCCAAAACCAACCCTCCTCCCGTGATACGATATCCGAACCCAGTCTCCCCTCCGTCTCTAAGCTTCTGCACAATGCCTTCATTTAGGCCCCACTCGTCCACTGCACACCAGAACCGTCCCTCATCAACCGCTTGTTGCCGCTCCTTCGCTTCGCGCAGAGCTTGCTCGTAGCCGATTCCGGCTGGGAATTTGCGGATCGGAATTCGATAGCATATCAAGCTTACGTCCGGCAACTGCGAGAGCGGTGCCGGAACGGTTGGGCGGAGAGAAGTAGGCTGATCAGGCGTCTGTGGCACAGCGCTGAGGTGTTGTGTCATAAGAATGATCGGGCAGGATAAGGTGCAAGAGGCATTGCGGAGGGCAGTCGAGAGATTGGCATAGGTTGCTGGCTTGCTTGAGGGTTTGCGTGACGGTGCGTCGGCTGTTGAGGTCAAGAGCCTGGCCGCTTCTTCCTCGGCTTTAGTCTGCCAGTAAAATGCTGAGGCAGAATCCAGTGCTATGAAGGCTACAGCCCGCTCGAAAGAGTAGTGTTGGGTTGGGTCGAAAAGGTAGCCGGCAAGGCTGTCAACGGTGGCGATGGTGGAGGCGAGGGACTGCGGATTGAATATATGGACATGCTTGAGCGCTGTCGGAAGAACGTCTTCGGCCGAGACTGCTGTGGTGCTGGAAGTTGCGTGAGCTTTCAAGATAGACTGGATCTGCTGTGCCAATCCCGAAGTTGAGAAGGAGCGTGCAGTGTCTGTAACAACTACGCAGCACTCTTTGCCGCCGTTTATTATGGGGAGGACAGCGAGGGCGGTAAGGTGGTAGAGAAGGTGCGTTATGCCGCCGCCTAGTCCAGTTGACGTAAGCTCGACGATTGGTGGTTGCGGTGGCCTTTCTCGGGCATTTGCTGGCTTCGCTTTAGCCACTGCTTGGATTAGAAGGTCAAGCGGCGGTAGGCGAAAGTGCTCTTCCCGTTCTGCATTACGAAGCCTCAACGTCTGGAGGATCTAGAGTGTGACTACTTAGGCGAGTTCGTGGATGGTATTCAATCTGAGCCAGTGCCCTACCTCGTCTAAACCAATCGCCTCAACCTCCGCCAAAAGCTTCTTTCCCAGATCTTCTGCCATTTTTCATTCCCACTGCAAGCATCATCGCCCAAGGCCGCCCATCGGCTTGCAGCAGATGACGATCGGACCAGAACTTCGAAATTCGTCAATACAGTGAACACTACGTCAACCACGTTTGGACGTCGTCAAATGGCGCCCTTGGTTGAGACCTTTCACCCCTCCAGCCTACAGGAGAGAATCCAGACTCTGCCGAACGGCAAAATTCGAAAGCCGCCGGTCGACTTAAAGCGGTGCGAGCTGAAGGAAATGATTCAGTACGAATGCAACCTACAAGGACCGAAGCACGACCCGCAAAGTAAGGTGGTTTGTATGCCGGTGTTAAGATTGTTTAGACAGTGAGCATACCGGTTTGCCGTTGACTTACATCAGATGGCTTGCTGATGCTGTCGTTAGATGTGCAAACGGCTTGACCGTGGAAACGACAAGTTGGGAAGATGTTTACGATGGCATGAAGTGAGGTGGGAAGGTGGCACGTGATAAGCATCTCGTCTCAGTGACACACATATTTGGGGATCAGAGTCCGTAAGGTATCTATGACCTCCTGCAGCCTGGCATAGGTGAAGCTCACAGCTATGTGAGAGGGTATCAATAGCCAGGAAAGATATGAAACCGTTGAACTCCAGCGCCACGCTAAATCCAGGCACGTGTGATTCCGCAGGCAGAGTCGCATTTCATCGATGCACGCCTCATTCATGACGACCGTGCCTCCAAAGACCCATCTCATAGTTCACTACTACGCCCTCCGGCATCCCCACATCGATGCCGTCCTTTAGCGCATCAGTGGCTCCTTCCACGGCCATGCTCAGATCACCCTCTGCATCTGCCTTACCCCCAATCTCCCCCATCACATCCGCGAACAAGTCGAGCCTCTTATCAACCTTTGTAAGCCTTGCATCTCTTGCTTTGCCTGGCCCGCTCAAAGCGTTGCTCCGCTTTTTCTCCGCCTTGAGCGCACCAGACTTGGCAGCCGTAGCAAGCCGCCTCAGCGCTTGCTCCGCCAGCATACCTTCCTCCGTCGCCTTCTCGCGCATCTTGCGAGGGTCTGTTTCACGTTCGGGAAAGACAGGGGTCTGCTTCCACGAGTGTTGCGGCGGCAAGGGTGGAAAGTGCTTCGGTATATAGTTCGGTAACAGTGACGATGTAAGCGGCCTAAGCAGCGCAGAGAGATCTGGCGCTGGCCTTGGTGCCGGAATGGGTTCGGGAATGGAAGGGTAGGATATGCCTTCTGGAATCAGCAGCTTGAGATGCGGTCGCAGCAGGGACGCGCTGGAAGTGTTCGGCATAAGTGAGAGCGCCATGTTGAAGTCCGGTGGTGCGGGCCTTGCTCTTCTGCCTCCGTGCATCGATGTGCGGATGTAGGTCGAGAAGCGTAGCATATATTCTTCAGTATGTGATCGGAACATTTCCAGTGCCGAAGATGTGACGCTATCAAAGCCCGCTATAGTAAGCGCAGCGGTGATGCTACGCAGGAGCTGTGTCTGCACAGAGGCTGGGTCCTGTGATGCCGGCTCAACATCTTGCGGTAGGCGCTGGACGTGGTGTAGCCTGTGTCGAACTCTGCGCTTCTTGTGTGGTTGGCCTTCGGCGATAGAGGAATATGGTCGCTTTGTGCCAGCATGCGGCAAAGGCTCCGTCATGCTTGTTCCTGTCGCCTGCGCTAAAAGTACTGTTGATGGGTGAGCGCTTGTTCAAGGGAAAGCATCCGGATGCATCGAACGTGGATTCACTTCGTTAATGATTACTCACGCGCTTATTTAAGCTTTTGGCACAATGGAACCATCGAAAGCTTGAAAGTCTTCACTTTCTTCCAGCACTCACGATCTACACAACTTTTCCAGACATCAACACCAGTGGGCTGCAGGGTACTATGTAAGCATGAAGACACAGACTGTCCGCCATGTCACGCCAACCCGATCACTTCCTACAAGCAACCTGTCGTGCCTACATGTGGGGAGAGAACTCTGGTGAATCGCTGAGCAACAGCAAGGCGGACAGAGCGCCGCAGCCTCTTGGCCCCTGTGATCGACTTGTCGCCAGACCCGCCATGCCCAACAGCTGCTAAGGCATGCTCTCAATTACCTACGTGAGCGCCAAGTCTCCACAATGGCGATGTCTAGTCTTGGGGACAACGTTGCCGTGCGGACGACGAAGGATTTGTATGGAACAATTGCATTGTCTTTGCTGTGGCACAACACTCACACGACTGTCCACTCTTTTAACAAAGTCGGCTTGCAACCGGGCGGTAATGGCTTCCTCCTCGCATCCCACCCCTATTTGAATCAACCTTTGTTTGCACTATCGCCATTTCGCAGTACCAAATCTCCTCTTAGATTCCAGCGAAACCTCTCGTTGATCCTTAATACATCTCTCGCGTTCCGTTGACATGTCAGGGGGAGGCATTTGCCACACATGCTACGAGCCGTTGAGCAACTGCTGCTGTCACATCGAGCGCGTTGAGACCGTGTGTCGAACCTGCTCCGAACTGATCAGCCAGTGCTGCTGCACTGTCAAGAACCGCCTGCAGCCTGAGATCTGCTGCAAGCCGATAATGGTGCTGCAATGAGTTGCGAGCAACAAATAAGTTGAGTGTCACCGCTGATGAGTGCAATGGACATAAAATGGAGACTGGATCAGTACGTATGTGATAGACAATGCCATCGACATGCTTCATGCAAGTAGTACCAGTTAGTGTGTCATAAAGTACCAATGCACGAATGGCAGAACATATTTCGCGGAACGACGTTCGATATTCTTGCCTGTTATCGTTTGCCGCACGATGAGTAGGTTCCAGACGCGTTAACCGCAGGATACCCACGGCTCGCTACGCCATGCTTGCAAAAGACACGGATACTGAGTCCGATTAAGTACGTGGATTTATGCCTTGTCCGGGAGATTCCGTTTCATTTCTTCTGTTGGGCGGTCATGCTGTATTTGCTCATATCCCTGATCTTAGGCCCGAACCTGAAGAAGACAAACGGGATCGGTAGCATGGCCACGCTCACGAAAGCGAGCAGACTCGTGGCCCACCCAATGCCGAGAGTGGAATACATCTGTACAGTGAACAGGGGGAACACCGCACCCATGGTATAGCGGGCCAAACCGTTCGCCGCAAGTGCGGAAGCTCCGTTCAGAGGGCCGTACACGTCGACAAGGTAGGTCGCGACGGATATGAAGACGGCGGCATTGCCCCAAGCGAAAGGCATACCCGCTATTACTGGCGAGATCCAGTGTACCGAGCGACGAGCGGTCCACGCAAACCAGAACAGACTGTTGTGGTATCAGCAAGCAAGCCTGGGACTAGAACACAAGATCAACTCACCCGACCGGAATGCCGAAGGCACCAGCCATAGCTGCGTACAACCGGTGCTCGGGCGCAATGTTCTGCTTGCCTTCCTTCACCCCTTGTAGATGCAAGGGCGTATACACCAAGCGATCAACCAAAATTAGGGTGACAACAGCTAAGATGACACCCACGCCGATACCGAGGAATGTTAACCCGTACTGCCATGTGTTGAACCCGTATACTCTCTCGAACGTGTACGGGTATGCCGCGAAGAAAGAGAAAAGGACGCTAAAGGTGAAGGCGTTGTATAAGCTGAAGAAAAGCACAATAGGTTCGGTGAAGAGCATCACCAACGGCCTTGCGAGCGTGATTGTGATAAGCAGCTTGATATAGCCGGCAGTGGTCATGGCGGGAGCTGGAGGTGGTGGGATATTGTGGCGTTTGGCCCGTCTCTTGAGGATGACCTTCTTGTACGTTTCCGGCATCGGCAGGACGAACGCATAGGCGGCGAGTGCAATGAAGATCGTGCACCATTGGGTCCACTTCCAGCCCTTGTACTGCGCAGCGAACCCGCCAATGACTGGCCCAAGAGCCTGCATCGCGTCAGTAACAGCAACTCGGACGCACACTGGGAACGACTTACTGGCCCTAGGAACGGTGACATAATGAACATGGCGCTTCCCAAAGCTCGGTTCTTCTGTGTGTACATGTCTGCCACCGTACCGCCACCGACAGCAAGTACAGGGCCACCGACAATGCCAGCAAGCAATCTGCAGACTAGCATACCGCCGAAGTTTTTGGAGAACCCAGCACCGAGGATGAAGAGCATGTAGAGAGGGCCACTGAGCTTGTACACTATGGAGCGACCGTACGTTTCAGACAGCGGCGCAGCTGTAATTCACACTGTCAGCTTGAAAAAACACATCAGTCATGGAAGCACTCACCAAGCATAGGACCAAGACCGAGTCCGAGGACGAACAGACTCAAAGAGAGAATGGAGGCTGTTCGTGAAACGCCGTAGTATGCAGCAATCTCAAATGTCGCAGGTGTGATCATGGAAGAGCCAGCAGTAACGGTGAAAGCAAGAGATGCAATGCCAAATAAGGTAAAATTCCGTCTCCATAGCTGCCAATTGTGAGGATTCTCTGGGTCGTCGGGGCCTGTCCAGTCTTGAGCTGTGAGCGTACGGGCGGCTGGTTCTCCCTTGGTGTGCTGTGTTGTCGACGTTGCAGCCTTTTCGAGGTCGTGTAAGTCAGGTAACTCGGAGTCGTGGTCATCGTCAGCGGAGCCTACTTCGATCGCTTCGAGTATCGAGTCGGACTCGGATCGGACGGCTTCTTGCGACTGCATCTTCTCTGGGCCGGCGCTTGCTGTCGGAGGGTGGGAGTCTGTACGACGGACAACGTTGTGTGCTGCGTTGTCCATTGTTCGGAATTGGACGTCGTTGTGTGGTCGAAGCGTGCTTCGTTCTTACGATCAATGCCAATGGAGGATGTGCTCGGGCAGCGGCGGTATTGTTGCACGTCAACTCAATGTTGAAGACCTCCGTCTGCTTACCACGACGAGTATTGTAAATGATGGTAACGGCCGTGACATTCTCGGTCGCTAAACTAGGCCGTAAAGTACAGAAAGCGGCACGGTCTACCTGCTCGGAAGCGTATGCCTAGGTTGGCTTGTAAGCAGAACACGATTACTAAACACTGTAAACACTTCAGTGGCTGTTTAGCGTTACTTGAGCAGTACCGTTCCTGCGTAAGAGCGCCAGAGATAGACCGTACCTCCGTATCCGAAGGGCTCGCGCATGTTGCTGATGTCGTTGATCGGTGAACAATACTGAGATAGCCTCGGCAGTGGCATGCAGTATTGAGTGGGCACAGAAACCCTCATGGTCACCCTACGGCCGAAAGTCTTCTACTTGCATGCCGAAATAATCCTGTCATCGACGCATGCATATCGTCGTATAGGCGCTCGAAGCGCAAAGGACGAACATTGCCTCCGACGGACACTATACAGCCGTTGCTCAGTTGGCTCTAGGGCGCTGATTCAATACATCAGTGTGCGTCGCTGATTTCGTGTGCAGATTGCGAAGGCGCAGGGACCATCGAGGTGCAAAGCTCTATTGCGGCTTGTGAGATCCTCTATATCACCTTATGTCGACATTGCAGACGGTGTTGCGCTGCCAGAGCGCAAGGTGTCGCGCAGATGGTTGGACTGACAAGAATATAACGGAAACGGCCGAGATGCCGCTCCTGCCAAGATGGGAAAAGATGGGGCTATTACCCGGCGATTGCCGCATACTACAGCGTCCTTCCTTCACTACACATTGTTGACGTTTTCTTTAGCTTCGATCACTAAATTCTGTACAACAAACTCCAGACAATATACAGAGGTGTTGCACCTGCCCATTGTTAAAGAGCTACTGCCTGGCGAAGCGTGGGGCGACATGGCTGACTGCGGCTTCTTACCTCTTCCCATAGTCTGCATCCAGTGCGGAACTGGTACGGCTTTCGTCCTCGAGACAGATACCGCATAGACGCTGAGCCACCTCACAGACCAGAACCCTTGCCACATCAAGGTGGTCGGGCCTACTGCAGGCTTCATTGTCGCTGTCTGCTTGGCTGTATGTTCAAAGACCTCCCATGTCGTGGTGATTGCCCTGCTCATGCTCGACAGGTTGTATGTTGGCCTGCCGCAATCTTCTGTGGTTGCTGTGCGACGGAGACGGGGAAGAAGTAAGCCTTCCAACCTAGATGCGATCAAGTCTACCTAACCCCCATTGTTTAGGGTGCTCGGAGCTCCTGTCGACATATCGAATTCGGTCAACAATGCGATACCCTTCTGATTCTGCTGGATAGTTCTGCCATCGTGTGACAAGTATACAAAACCTGCTAATTCCGTCGACGGGCGGAGATGGCGTGGATCATACCGTTCAAGATCAATTGCCGATGTACCATTGACAGCTGTACCACTTGCAGAAGGAGCGACCCACATAGACAGCAACCACGTACCTTCTGTATTCACTGAGAGTTAGTATAACTGGAGTGTAAAGTTGCACTCAACGGCCCGATGTAAATATCACAAATCCCGAGTTCACATTAATCACCACGTACTTCCCATTGCAGCGTACGCAGCACAAACCACTACTACGCCCACAGCAAACTCTCCTCAGCTACGAATGGGGTACGCCGAATATGACAGAAAACGAGTGGCGCGAGGGCATGCGCGCGATCGAAGAATTCTTCCCGGAGCGGTCGCAACCGGCAGCAGCAGTGGAGACGGTGACGGAGGATTCGAGATCGGCTCCGTCAGCTACATAGCTCTCATTCGCAATTTCTCGTTTCGCTGACGTTCCCAGTAGCATGAACGGGCAACACAAGGCGCCGTCTGCGCTATCAGCAGCTAAGACGCAGAGTACAGCCGTGAGAATCGAGTTCGCCGGCTTGCTGGAAAAGCTGGACAATCTTGAGAGATCCGGCCTCCTCACGACCACCAGAGCAGCACCGCGAAGTGCAGAGAGCTTGTCGCCAGCCCAGGCTGCTGCTGCTGGCACACGTAGTCGTGGGGAGGAAAGTAGCTTGCTAAAGCATGTGTATTCCAGTGGCTACGACGATTTCCGCCACTTTGTGGTGCCAAAGGCATACCAACTCGACCAGGTGTGCCACCGCTGCGGCCGCCCTCTTCCATACACAAGAGCGCACCGCAACTGCAAATGCATTTCATGATTGTCTGAGAGCAGGAAACGTCGATAGAATCAGAAGCTCTATCCTTAAGACGCAACCGAGCAGCTATTGACAATGTCCTGGGAACAGATTGTGAGGCTCAGTAGAACAAGGAGGATCCTTAGGTCTTTGGTCCAGATGTATAGGGAGCTGGCAAGCTAGTACGGCAGACTATCAGGGCACATAAGAAACGTAGTCAAACATGGGGCGCTGAAAGTGTGGATGTCAGCCTTTCGTTAGGCTCCAGATATGTACACTATTCGCAAGAAGAAGCATGGTGGCAACCGTTTTGATGTCGCTTGCGTCAAGCTTTCGTGGCTGCAGGACATCGACCGCTTTGCTATTGTCGCAATAAAGCATGCTTGCTGAAAGGAGTAGGAAGCGAATGGTAAGATCCAGTGCTACCAACAATTCCGAGACACCTAAGGCTAATCGCTGAGCAAAGAAAATCTTGGTGACTACTCTGCGGTAGACTGCGCTGTCTTCGCAGCAAGAGCGGGCAAACTGATCGATCTGGGGACTGCTGGACCAGGACGACTTGCGCCCCTCCAATGAATGAAGAGTGCTGGGATACGGTTGGCCGGGGGGTGGACACCGTAGGCGCCTCATGCACGCCCACCGGACCGGTTCGATGCTGTACTCACCGGGTGGCCTTTTGGAAGTTTCTCGCCATGTGCCGTCAATAGCATCAAGCAATATCGGCAGAAGCTCCATGTGTTCAATGACGGCTGTCCTGTTCTTCTCATCTGCCGTGAGGCACTCTTTCTCGAGGGCAACCTTGGCATGCTCGTAATGGATGAACCGGCTGTAGAAAGCCGGACTTTGCACGTTGAGAGTGAGCGTACGCTTGTGATCTTCCTCGTATGTGAAACCGGGCGAGTACAGGACAATCTCTGGGCTCTCGCTATGTGCTGGCTCATACACGACTCGCAAGGGCTTAGAGGCCTCGCTGACGACGTGTGATAAAAAAGCACGAAAGAATGCCTCCAGTATCAGTTCGTCTGCAGTGTATGGTCTTCCGATGCTGTGCTTGGTGACTTCGGGCCTATTCCAAAGGGGCAGTTTCCGTTGGAAGAACAACTTGGACGCCTCCCATACAATGCGAGGAAGGGTTGCGAAGCCGACCCAGCACCATGTCGCAATGAAGCGTATAGATTCAATTGCGGTCATTTTAGCCGGGTCCTCCGGCTTGGACTCCGACCAGACTCTGGCAACAATCTTGGGATGTTCCTCTGACGATCGAAGGACGATGGTATTGTCAATTCGGACAAGGCCAGTGCGCTCGTAAGCTCCTAGTGGGTCAGTTGCACGAAGAGTATACGATCCGTTACGGCTATTGAAAGGAGACACATGGAAGTCCTTGTCCCATACATCGTTGAAAACGACTTCAGTCTGCGCCATCGTGGAGCCGTTGAGATGCTGGCCTGACAAGTCGCCTTTAGTGCCATTCTTGACCACTTTCGTACCGACTGCACGAAGTAGGTACATTCGCCGCTCGTTAAATGTGTTATTGACCTCCAATATCACGTACTTGAGCTGCGTGTCCGAATCATACAGGTACCAGAAAGAGACTGGGTTGAAACTGTAGCCGAGGAACCGAGGTGCAGTGACAAGGTACGCAAGGGCATAGTCACGGTCTGTCACATCTTGGGTATGCAGGTAGGATTTCAACTTATGCGCCAGTGTCACTTCGGCGCGCCCGCGCTGCAGGTAGTCCTCAGCATTAACAGAGAACCAGGCAGGCTTCTGAGCATCGACGGAGAGTATTCGGCTGATGCGGCCCTGGATTCCGACTGGTACACCAACCAACAAGTAGGTGTAAGAAAACGCATGCTTCTGCGGGAAAAGTCTTGTATGCGTTGTCTTGCTCGAAAACAACAACGGAGGCAACACTTGCTCATCGATTGGTTGTGCATACAGTGACTCGTTGTGCTCCATGGACCTCAAGTGGTGGCCTCGAAATACAATGCCACCAGCGAAGAGACCGCAGGCTGCTAGCAACAGGAAAATCTGGTAGTAGAGGTGCGTCGTATTGTTAGTGGGGTCCAGAAAGTGAAGGTCCTCTCTGTGAGGCATTCGCCATGCCCCAGTCCAGTAACTGTACACAGCATGGCTGGACAAGAACAGGATGAGGTCTTGCAGCCATGTCGCATCGGACCAGTAGATCCTGAGTGCCCACCACGGTTGAAACAGCAAGACTCTAGCAGCGAGTGTCTTGTGCGGTGGCGTGAAGATGCTCCAGAACAATGTTGAAAACGCCCATAACAGAGTCAGCAGGGTTCCTGTTGGCACGCCCTGAGATTTGTCCTCGTTGACAGTTCTCACGGAGCTGGCGGCGGTCGCCCGCATCTCTGCGACCGCTCCAATGGAGCCTCACCGTAGCAGACAAGGGTCGCAAACGCAGACAGTGAGAATGACATGTTTCGAATAGCATGTGTTAAAGTGATGCTCGTTGCCGCTTCGCCGCCTGCATCCGGCGTGGGTCTGCCAAGTGGAGCCAACTTTCACCTCACCTGGTTCATCAATTACTCGATTCCCACTGCACGCAAAGAAGTTTGACGAAGGCAGTAGCTGTAATCATGCTCGCCGACAAGCAACAGTCATGATGCTGCAGATAATCATGGCGGTACCAGTGCAAAGTAACACCCACTAACAGGATCAGACCATCTCAGCCTAACAGCTACCTCACGCCATGTCTAACCCGTCAAGCTTGGCCCATTGGGACCAGCATGTGTTCAGTCACCCAGCTGAGACCGCGTCGTGTGCTCTAGCACCACAGGCGTTCTCACTTCAAGCGTACTATCGCGACATTCTAAGACCATGGTAAGACATGCCGAATTAGTCTGGTGTTCATAGAGGACTATTTCAGGTTTGCTATTCCCAGCAGATACTCATCGTATGAGGTCACATTGGGATATGGATTGACAATCTTACCACTGGTTGTGCTCTCTAAGCTGGTGCAAATTGTAATTGTCTGTCACTCTGACTTTACGATGTTAACTGGGATGGTCCCGGTGGCTTTGCTCTTACTTGCCACGATGGTTGGCTTGGGATATTGCTGCCCGAGCCGACTAGAGCTCCATTTCGGTGTGCGTTCGCAAGTCACTGCCGCATGTGCTTGGACCACTGAAGCTGTGCAGGGGTGTATTGTCCTGCTCGGCTTCCTCGACATCGTTCGCGTGTGGCTTATTGATTTGCAAGGTTGCGGCCTGACTGTCAATATTCCGCACCTTGGTGCTCTTCATACACTTGGCCGAGTGGCATTGGTCATTCTGACCACTGCAATTGCGACGTTTGCGACGAACTGGATCGACACCTGGATCAACCCCTGCTCCAAGACTGAAGCTCCTCAAGTCAGAGTCTTCACCACTTTCAGATCATCGAGCAGTCTCCCCAACATCACCTGATTTCGGTACAAGGCACTCACTGAGCAGAAGACGGAGCCTTTCGGAAGCAGCTCGGTCGAAAGAGCATGTAACGGAGAAGATCACCATCCTGTCGCTCCGCAGCACTGCTTTAGGTCAGCTTTATGGTGTTAGGGATGCAGCTCGTTTACCGGCCCTGATTGCTACAACGTCAAGAAGGCGGAGAGATCCGCACGGTTCTTCAAGTAAGTACAGTAATCAGTATATGAACGTTGGGCCGGTCAGGCCCGGGACGTGGCCGCGCATCATGTCAGCTTAGAAATCATGAATCTGCATAGCATCGTGTCAGAATTTGCATGGGTCAGACCAACAACTACCACACGGCGGAGCGGAATAGGCGCTTGCGGCCGGCAATGTCGAGCCTTACTCATCCACGTCTTCTTGACCCAGTCTTACCGAGCCACGTCTCAATTTGTCGATCCATGCTGGTAGCGTCAATGACCAATGCCAGATAAGCCCTGCTAGAAATCCAATTGCATCATTCTTGAACGCTAAGCAGCCACCGGCTGTAATGAGCATGGTCAACCACCTGTTCCCTCGCTCACGCTCGCGCTCCTTCTCCGTGTCTGTGAAGGATTCTCCATGTTCGTCCTCACGCTCAGCCTGCTCCCAAAGGTCTCTGCTTTCGCCAACGCTCTGTCCGACTTTGGCAAGTTCGATGCCAGCGGCAAGGACCATAACGCCCAGAAGACTTCTCGGGAAGCGTTGGAGCAGTGGCACGATAGCATCGCCCGCGACCAGACCGAGTACCAGCTTCAGCAGTCCAAGAAGCATGACACAAGAGCCGCTACGCCCGCCAAAGCGGTACTGACCAGCCAGACCACCAGAGCCATGGCAAATCGGCATCGCTCCGAACCAGCAGCCGATGAGGTTGGCTATGGCTACAGAGAATCCGACTGAAGTCGTCGTGGGAGTAGGTGGATATGTTGGAAATAATGATGATGCCAAGGATACGACGGCTAAAATGCTGTTGAGCGTAGTCAACGGTAGCTGAGGTATTGCTGCGTCGATGGCGCCGATTCTCCAAGACTTGCTATTAGGGACAACCACGGTAGGACGCCAAATACCACCTTTAGTGTCTCCGTACGCTGCACTTGGAGTGACAACAATCGCTATGAACAAACTGACGACAGTCATGACCAGCGCATAGGGCACTCTTGAAAGTAGAGCTGCAACGACGAGCAGTAGAGAGGCTATGACTGCTAAAATCTTGTTGTCCCAGCCTGGTGTGACCCATCCAAGAGGGGTGATAAGGCTAGAGCCTGCGCTGATGACAAGTGCGAGCCCAGCTCCAACCTGAATACCCTTAACCACCGGTACCGGTACAGCACGATTGAGCCACCGGAGCAGACCTGTCGCACTGAGGATGAAGACGGCCATGCCCATCGTCAAGCCTGCTGCCATGGTCTCCTGTTTGCTGAACGATTGACTAATAGCGACCGAAGCAATAGCCTTCATTGGCTGGACGGGAAGAGGTATTCCATAGAGTGCGCCAGTGAGGATGTTCGTCAACCCGGAAAAGACTAAGGTTGCAGACAGGTCGATAGATCCGTTCAGAGCCAGTGCAATCATTAGAGGTAGCAATGTTCCAAGGTCGCCCATAGCACCTGAGAGCTCCGTAATCGGGGACTCGCGCAGTGTCCGGAGATTGTGCTCATTGATGGAGCGTAGATGTGGAAGCAGAGACATTATGATGAAACAGTAACGACAGGATGTTACGCTATAAGATAGACACAAGTACAGTGATGGAGAAAGAATGCGAATATCAATTGACTTTTCAATGAGCAGTGGGTCCGGTCTGGTAACACCTTCTCCGCTTGTGACAGCGGGTTACGCCTTTGTTGAGGTTCACTTGCTGCTGTTACCATGTCACTTCACGACGGAAGCTCGTTCAACGTCAGCGATGCTCGCACAGACAAGAAAGATACAGGATTTATATGTCTAGAGACAGACTGTGCTCGACGAGGTTTTGTGGTAACGAGTTGGTTAATACAGCCTGAGGCAGCCGTCCCCACCAAGATGTGATTGGTCTCACAGGGTGCGGTATAAGCGTCGGGACGACACATCGTGGTTCATCCCTCACTGTACACAGCCTTCGAACGCCACCGCTATGCAATATAAAGCACGGAACACAACTCTATTCCTCCAATACCCGGTACTTTTCCATCATGACAACGATACCATCCTCCAATCGCTCCTGCAGATCGTGCGCAAGTACTTTTGCTTTTTGCGCTTCAGTAGCTACCTTGTCATTGATCGCGAGCTCGGCTGTATGGCTCAGCAGATTAGGCCTGTGTTCTTGCCACCACACGTCTTTTTGCCAAGCGCGTTCAAGCAGGGTGCACAAAGACTCGGTTGGCCTTAGACGCCAGGTTTGCCGCAGATCCGACTCCAGCACTTCTTCCAGACGGTCCTTGCGCTTGCGGTGCATTACTCTAGCAGACTCTTCGTCGAATGTGCCGGAAGGCGATATGCGCGGCTGTGAAGCCAGAGGCAGCAGTTCGACTTGTCGTTGAGTGAGCCCAGAGCTTGGGGCGCGATCGTGCGTTGAATTGGAAGACGACATTGCCGCTGCGTGTTGTTCAGGGACCAATTCCTCAGCATCTGCCGCCGCGGAGCTTTGGGCAACGTCACGCTCGTGCGGTACTTGGATAGGGCTGCAATTCCGCTCGTTCAAGCCATCGATGACCCCAACAGCAAACTTCCCAGCCCAGCCCATGAAAATCGCAGAACGTGCCATCTCTGGCAGTTCTGCTGGAGTATCGAGCGCTACCAGGGCGGACTTTTGCGGGCCTTTGATAGGTTTCCGCTGAGCCTCCGCCTGCTGTCGGGCCAGTTTCATTGCGCGACGGCGCGCGATGGACCCGGGCGCGGGCAAATAACTCCATAGTGACTGCTTCATCTTGTGCTCCATGTCGCACGTCACGTGTCCAGCGCAGCAAGCGTGTCGCCAAATCACACGTAACATGTTCAAGTGCTGCCGTCTCCATGCCAAGCGGAAGAGTAATTCGTAGGTCAACTCGTCTGGTGTAACTGGCATGTGTTGTCGGGTGAAAGCTGGTTCGAAGCGCTTCAGCACTGACACAGCGAAGCCAGGGTCTCGGATACGGGTGCTCGCAGCCAGGAACGTATTGAGAGTGTACGTATCCGGCCTAACGTCGGATTCGTCGAGCAGGCTGACGACTGCGAATGCATCCTGCACACGGCCATGCTGAAGTAGGAGTTTGATCATGACGTTGGCTGTAGGTGCGCTCAGCCATGATCTGTACTTCTTGGCACTTATGTGTTTAGGGGTGCGTAACGCGTGGTTGGTCGGAAGATGTAAAATCTTCTCGAAGATCTCAGCAAAGTCGTCCAGATCCGTATTCGCTGCAGTCTCCGACGATCGCCGAATATACGCGTGGAATTCTCGCTCAATGCTGTTTAGTGCCACTTGCTGTACAGCTTCTACATTGTTGAGAACGCCGTATTCCCTCATCGCTTCGAGTACTTTTGGTTGCTTGGCCCAGCCACCATGCCTACGGCCAAGGAGTTTGTGAAGGGATGTCCAAGTTCGCCACGATGGCTGCAGGCCATGGTTCAGCATGTTTGTCAGCCAAGTCCGGAAGTTGTGCGCATCGCCCACCTTGGCAGCTGCACTAAGGAGGACATCGAAATTACTCGTCCGAAACATGTAGTGTTTGTTGTCCTCGAGCAGCGCAATTAGCTTTCGCAAGGCCGGTAACTCCGTCTGCTGGAGGAGGAAGCTGAACGCAACATCTACTGCCTCGCCAGTCACAGAAGCCGCAGCTTCGGGGTTGTCAAAGATCTCAATCAGCACTTCGATCATTCTGTGCTTAACGGCGTTATTCTGATGCTCGTCGGCTCGGTTGCCGCCCGCTTGCGCTTCGCGGATCACCAAACCTGGAGGCAAGGAAGACAGGGCGTACACATAGTCCGTCAGTTCCGTGGCACTGTAGTAGCTAGGTCGTCGAATGGCGAGGCTCATGTTGCCATTGTCGGACACGGTGAAGCTAACATATTGGCCAGCCAAAGCCGGCGGCAGTCGCCAAATGGTGCGTATCCGCATCGGTGCGTCCATCTCTTTCGCGATCCCTATCGGAGACAGACGGTAGCCGATAGCGTGGTCTTTCCCCAACATATCGTGAGATGGTTTTAAGTCCGTAATCGCGTCAGGCTTCCGGTCGCTATCAGGAACGGCACCAGGAGCGGTAGTTGCGCGAGTAGTATCGTTGTGCTGGTCGACAAACAGCTTGTACTTTGCCAAGCTAGCACCAGGATCCAGACCATCAATGGTGACAGCAGTGCATAGTTCTGGGAGAAGGCGGAGAGCTGCCGCATTCTCGTCGGGCAAGCCACGAAGCACCAGAGACTGAAATCCTGTCTCGGCAGCTCCACCGGGCTGCGACTCTTCGACGTTCAACTGTATGTGACTACCAGTGCGCTGCATCACCTCGAGAATGGCCTGGTTGGCATTGCCCTTGAACGCGGCCCGAACACCTTCTGGAAGGCGCACAATCTCTGAGCGTTCGGTGAAGACGTCGTGTCCTGCGCGGGCGCGTATCGCTTTGGTCAGATCGTACAACACCTTGTTGAACCAGGCGTGATCCGAGACACCCTGGAGAGACGGATGGCGCTCATTCTGCCTTTGCTGGCGTCTGATCTGAAGTTTCACGTTCTGTCGCTGCGATACGCGCGGGTCTGAAAGTGTTCTGTGCGGAAAGTCTGAGGGTGCTGCTCTGATTCGAGCAGTGATCTGTTCCCAGCCATCATTCTGACGCACTGTCGCTTGTGCTAAGGCTGCGCTGAAGTCATCCCCTTCTGCCGCCGCAAGCCGCTGACGCTCAGCTCGTTCAACCTGTTGCTTTCGTTCTGTGGCAACGTGATCGAGCCTCTCGTCAGCCCCCCTCAGGCGTCTGAAAAGCCTTGAATGGTCGACTTGGTTATCCGCCCTTGCTACTGCTACAGACTCGCTTCTGCCTTCCCCAATACCGTGGCGGTGACGTCCATAGTTTGACAGAGGCTTTACACCGTCAGAGGCATCGATACTCTGCCGTTCCGCACGAGCGCTCCGCTCCGCGGGCCTGCGTGCATCCTCATAAACTGTCACATTGTGTCTTGGCTCGGTACGTGCAGTGTCGGAGCTGCTACTTCTCGAGTGCTCGTCCGAGCCTGAATGGGTAGCCGCTACCGCGCTTGCGCTGGTATACACCCGGCTCTGTGAGCAAGGAGTAGCGCCCTTACTGCGGTGCGCCGACCGTGGTGGCCGAGGTTGCCGATTGCTATAAAATGCTGGTGTGGCTAATACCGGGCTGGAAGGTGCGATGGTTGACTGCAGTCGTCGGAAGGGAGCATGTCGCAGCATGAACCATCCCACACCATTTCAACTTGGTCACACAAGAAACTTATGCACACGGAAGGGGAGCATGCTCGGGGATGAAGAGAGTGAACTCCGAATTTGTTCGTCGGTCGAACGTTGTCCCGGCCGATCTTTGCTAGCGTGCCTCGGCGAGCAATTAAACGCGTCTTCCACTCGACGCGCCGAGCTTGAACGTTGAAGTCGCAGCAATGGTCTTGCTACTTGTGGACACTACGAACACGATGCGAACACCTCGCTCGAATTACCTTTGAGCCTGTATTGATGAGGAAATGACATTGGCGTAACGTTATCAGCGCGTCCAGCATCACGCACCATGGAGGAAGCGGAAGCATCGGAAGCGTTAGGCTCGCCCATGCCAGAGATGCTTACACCGCGCTCGAAGGTCGCTAGAATGCTGGCTCAGATTGACGAGGCTCCATCTCCAGAGCCAAAATCACCCAGAGCGTCGAACGCGCCAACAGACCTTGCAAATGTGGCTTCAATCTCACCGGAAGCGCAGGTGCAGTTTGGCTCAGGTGGTAAGGCTAGCTACGGTCATGCTCCTCTGCAACCCATTCACGAAGACGACGATGAACCGATTAGAGCTCCCCAAGGAAGGGCCGCAAGACGAATGCTTCGAATGAGAAGTGCGTCTCCTAGGTCTGATATCGATGACCCACGGCCGATGCCATCTTCGCCACCTATGCGGCAGGAAATCACCCCGTTTCAGAAGGATGCCAACGACGAGGATCTTTACGGAGCCACTCCGCTCAAAGGCGAGCACAGGTCAGCTTGGCTACACGGTGTCTCGCCTGCAAGCACGCAGAGTGCTCTTTTTGTCAGCCCAGCTAAGTCCAATGGACGCTGCGACACCGGCGAAGAACTACCTAGCAAGCCTGTGAGTTTGGGCAGTAAGGATAAGCTGGCTCAACTAGTGGTCCAGAAGCGCGGAGAGCGACTACGTCGAGAAGCTGGAGAGCGAGAGCGCACCTTCGGGCCTGAAGCAATTAAGGAATCACAGAAGCGTCAGCGATCATCATCCGTGGAGCTACCAGAGGAAGTCCTTGGGACTGAGCAGCATGAAACTAATCCAGAGATCGAGCGCATTATGTCCGACGCCGCTCGGCCAACGCGCAAAGCCAGCAAGCGAGCTTTGCTCGAAATGGAGCGCGAGACTCAGCGCCTGGCCCGGCAGCAAGCTCTAGCCCACCAGATGAAGGTCAAAAAGAAGTTTACGACTGCGGACCTTTTGGCGCGCTTCAGCACCCGCCAGCCTGCTGTAGGGATTTCCGTGCAGGGGGTGGACTCCGTAGAAGTTGTGACCAGTGGCGCCAGCACCGCCTCATCAGCGCCGAACAGCGATGCTGTAGAGTCGCCATTCAAGGAGCCAGTAAGCACGCCACCGTCAAGCCCACCCACCGCAGGCCCGACACCCTTGGATAAGCAGAAAGCCATAGTTGAGCGAGGTGCTCTAAGCAAGCTGATGCCTGTCAGAGAGGACAGTATTGCTAGCTTGGCCGCGATTGTCAATGGGGAGTACGAGGACTTGCCGGACATGGTCGATGTTTTGCGTGCAACACAACTTAGTCGGAAAGCTGCTACTGTCGAAAAGGACCTGTCATCGCCTACTAAGCAGATTGAGTTCTCTAAGAAGGGCCTTCAGCTGGCTTGGTTTGGCAAGAGAGCTCTTCCAGCGCAGCAGTACGATAGCAGTGATGACGAACTGGAAATCGTCAACAAGCTACCGACACATCTGCGCGCTTTCGAGAAGGCAAGGCCGGCGAACAAGGAGAGATCAGCAGACAGCAAGGCGATCCACACATTGAGGCATCTCTCGCACATCGGCGCGTATGAGGCTCGGCCTGGTAAGCTGGGTAAGGGTAAGGCTCGTCCTTCAATGGCACCGAAAGTGCTTGAGGCGGACCTCAGACGCAAAGCCAAGGAACAGGCTCGAATTCAGCAGCAGGAGCGCATTGCTGAGCTGAAAGCCAAGGGCGTGATCATCCAAACCAACGAAGAGCGGGAGCACGATCAGGAAGCGTTTGAGAATTTGCTGGACAAGGCCCGTGAGCAGGCTCTTAAGCTGCGTGAAGCAGAGAAGCTTAGAGCAAGCGACAAGACTGATGGTGCGATTGTTGCCGTGGACGAGATGAACATCACCATCAGCGATGATGAGGAGGAGGATGAAGAGTATCGCGGCTCGAGCGACGAGGAAGAGGAATCAAAGCCAGATGAAGAAAACGATGCGGAAGACGGTAATGACCTGCTTGATGAGGCTGCCGGAGAGGCCAACGACGACAACGACGATGAGGACGATGACGACGACGACGACAACGACAGCCTAGAGGGTGTCGACGTTGGGGAAGACCATTCGAAAGCTGAAAACGAGCAACTAAATCAAGACCCTGCAAGTATCGATGGCTTAGAAGCGAACAGGGAAGCCAGTCTTGGAGCGATGACTCCGGGCCCCGTAGTTCGCAAGCCTCGCCAAGGTCGCATCATCTTGGACGATGAAGACGAGAACGACGCCGTCGACACCGAATGGACTGCTGCTCAAGATCTTGTAAAATCTAATGCCCCAGCTACTGGCGACAACGGCGAGGATCCCTTTGCAGCTTTTGGATTCGCCGCTAATGGCGGCTCCGACCACACTCTGATGAGCCCAACGCAGGCGTTTCAAGCCACTATGCGTACTCCGACTCAAGCAACGCAAGATGACTCATTCGACATCTTGCGGAAGATTGCTCCACCAACCTGGTCCACATTGGCCCCGACTCTGCCAGCCGTTTGTGAAGACACGCAGCAGGAGGAAAGCCAGATTAGTGTTGTGCCAGGGAGTCAGGTCGTGGATAGTCACCGGATAAACCTCGCCTGGGACACACAGCCGCCAGAGACACCGACAACGGCTACCCTGCAGCGCGGCGACTCCGGATTGACCGAGACACCAGGATGGGAGCCGACTCAAGATCCTGGCTTACCGTCTCCGTGGTCTGCGTTGCGCCGCTCAAGCACCACGATCGGCAAGCTACCGGAGCATGAGACCCAGTCCACCGTGCCTTTGCGCATCACCGAGTCGCCGGCAGGTGTTGCTTCCACAGCCCCGGCTCCTCGGCGTGGCAAACTCGTGCGCAGACAAGCTGCAGTGCTTGTAGATAGCTCAGAAGACGAAGGGCCACCGGTTCCGCTGAAGGTTGCGACGAAGGATGCATGGAGAGAAATGGCACGCCGTCGTCGCGAAACCCTCACCGCTGCGGAACGCACGGAGGTTGAGCAAGAAATGAAGAACATGATGGAAGAGCAGGCCGAAGAGTCTGAGGACGAGTATGCTGGTCTCGGTGGTGATGATTTCGTGGCTCCAGAGACCGAAGAGGATCGAGAGATGATAGACAGTAACCATGTCGAAGTTGACGAGCGGCAGTTGGCTAGACTGTTCGCCGAGCGTGAGCGGCAACGCGAAGAAGAGGAGACCAGCCGTTTGTACAAAGACCTGACGACCGGTGCGCTGCGGAGGAAGCAAGCCAACGCCTGGGGCTTGGAAGAGGACGAAGATGAGATTGCAGTCCGCCGACGTCAGATGAGGCAAATGGAAGAAGCTCGCAAGCGGAAGCTGTTGTTGCAGGATGACAACATCGCTGGGTTGGCGCAAGGCAAGAACAGCAGGGGGAAGGATGCTTTCTTGAAGGCTATCGCCGATGACGATGACAGAGACGAGGTGCTTGACTTGTCTGACGATGCAGAGGACGAGCCGACGCAGGCTACGCAAGTCGAGAGTCAGGAGGCGACCCAACAAGCGCCAGCAACCGTACCGCTTCAAGAAGTGAGCGGCAACAAGCGTCGTTTTGCGGAGATAGAAGGCTACGGAGACACTCGCCCGCCAGCTAAGCAGCGCCGCACCCAAGCGACCGCGTTCAGGAAGCCGGCCAGTATACTGGAAGTACGAGAGTCGTTAAGCTTCTTGCTGGACGAGCCACATGCTCAACATGGAGATTCGACAGAAGGGCTCAACTCCGAGCCGGGCAACGACAAAGCTGGTTCAGATAGCGAGAGCGTGGACGATGACGACGACCTAGTGGAGCTGGAACGATCCCGTCACAACGACGGAGGCTTTGCGCCAAACCCTTCCGACTTCGATGCCCGTGCCATGCCGCCGCCTCGCCTCCCAGCTTCGCGTCGCCGCACATCAGCTCCTGTGGACAAGGCAGTCATTGACCGGCTCATCGTGAAGCGCAGCTCTTCCACTGCGTCTGAAAGCGCTTTGGGCCGAACCGCGTGGGCCGCACCAGCAAGTGGCGAAGGTTTCAAGGTCCCGTCCCTGCTGCGGCGGGCCACGACAAGTGCGAGTACCGTCGCTGGCAACGATCGTGGTGTCACGTACGGCTCCAATGGTCTTGCTAAGGAGGGCGGCGGGGTCAAGATGGGCGGGAGTAAGAAAAGTAGTCTCGCGTACCAGGCTCGAGCGGAGGAGCGTCAGGCGATTGTTGAGGCGAGCGCGAGAAGGCGGGAGGAGAACACTGCGAAGATTGCGCAGATGAGGCGGAATAGTAGCATGCTCGGTAAAGGCCTGACTGGCCGCTTCGAATAAGGCTTTGTAGCAGCTCTGATGGCGTCGGTTTGTGGTTCACTGGGCTCGGTGCCATAAGACTTATGCACAAGAGCTAACATTCATCGACTACATAGCGTTGGGTATCATCATCGACCGAACAATGCGGATACCGTCATAAGAGCGCCTCGCTCACCCTGCTGTTCTATGCTCCGGTAGTGTACGTCCCAACCACTGTCTCTACTCAGGCGCCTGGAAAGGCTTGACCAGCATCTCACTGAACTTGCTTATGCTGTCCACGCCCCTGACCTCCTCCACCAACAGCGGCATTTTTACCACGTTGAAGTCCTCGCCGTACAGATCGTCAATCTGCTCCAGATACTTCTTCTGCATCTTCCGCCGGGAGTTACACTGCTCGCAGGGGTTGTCCTTCTTTGGAAACAAGAGCTGGTTGACCACCATGGCATGCGTGTCGATCTCGTAGGAGCCGAGTTCCTGAATCATACGCTCTGTCTCGTACAACGACAAGAACTCCGGTATCAGTACTGGGATAAATGTGGTGAGGTCTGCGTTCTTGAACTGCCGATTCACGTCCGAAATGGTGTTGCGAAGGTCCTCCATGCGCTTCAACACATCATCAAACGACTGGCCATTGGGCAGACCACCCCGTGCATTGACAAGATTGTTGATCATCCCTCCAAACTGTTGCGACAGCTGGCTGAGCTTCTCCAGCGCCTTCTCCAGCACACTAGGGAACTGCAAGAACCGCAGCGTGTGACCCGTCGGCGCCGTATCGAAGATGATGACCTCGTACTCCATACCCTTGACCTGCTTCAGCACCTCTGCGAACGACATCGCCTCGTCTACACCGGGGATACTGAACGCCATATCTTGGAACATACTGCCCACCCCGCCGAGTCCTTGCATCGCTTCCTGCGCGTCGTCACCGCCCGCCGAGATGAGATCGTTGATACTGCCGTTCGGGTCTATCTCCATCGCTGCGAGACCCTCCACTCCCGTAACAGGTCGCGCGTCTTTGCCGAACTTCATACCGAAGGCGTCGCTGAGGTTGTGCGCGGGGTCGGTCGAGATGAGTAGGACGGACTTGCGCGCCTTGGCCATTTGCACGGCGAGTGAGCAGGAGGTTGTGGTCTTGCCGACACCACCTTTGCCGCCGACGAAGATCCATTTGAGTGACTTCTGGTCAATGATGGGTTTGAGTGAGGGCTCCATTTCGTCAGCCATTTTGACGGTTGTGCTGTGTGACCTTGATGGAGTTGGTGGGTCCGCTTCTGAATATCCTGTATTGATCGATGATTGACCCCTCCTAAAGGCGCGGGTCGGTTTGTCGTGGATGTGTTCCGTTTGCTTGTTGTACGTGTGGGACAGTCGAGCTTCCAGCAACGTAGTCGCAGATGCGATCATCAGCCCTACGTCACCGCACTGCCACAAGTCACAAACCTAGCGTCACCATCCCTGCAGCGCCAGTGCCATCATTCGCGCATTCTCAACTCGGAAGGCACAGCTAGGATGCATACAAGCTGATGTCGACGCCGAAAGCCCCAGGCTATTTCAAGCAACTCTGGTATGGATGGAAGAGTTTGAAGCTACCATGGCGACGACAGTTCCTTGTCGGTGCAGACTTGGCCGGCAACACTTTCTGGGAGTTCAAGGACGCCCTGAACTCGAACCGGTTTAGGAGGATCGTGAAGTATGCGAGAGCGCCACACTATGCGGATGTGAAGATTACTGGTAAGCCGCAACGTACGAACTGGCCGGTAGTATGTGGCGACTGATAGTGGATGAAGCGCAATGGCATCAATGGCTTCGCCACACCCGCGCAGACGCGCCGACCATCCAAGAGCAGCAATACGACGTCTCCCGCCAAGCAATGATGAAGCAGCTCGCCGCCAAAGCAGACGAGCGTTGGAAGTCTGTGCCATCATTCCTTGACTCTCCGGCGAGGCAGCAACCGCAACCTGCGACGCAGCCCAAGGATCCGGGCGGGTACGCGCCACAGACGGAACCAGAGCAACATCAAGGCGTGACGAGTGGAGTTGAAGATCCGATTAAAGTGCAGCAGGTAGCTCAAGAAGGCAAGGATGGGAAGGAGGTGGATGAGGGAAGATTCAAGGGACGGACGAGGGAGAAGCCGAGGGTGGCAGAGGAGAATCCATGGCAGAGACAGCAGCGAGGTGCACCGAGCGAGAATTGGCAGCCGCAGGCATGGACACCTGGAGCTGCACAGCGAAGGTAGTTATCACGGCATCACCGCCACAATCTCAACTTCGGTGCCCTCACACCACGACTTTGATAACCTCCCCTCCACATCCAGACAAGGTCTGAATTCGATGTCCTTTGAGAACCAACTCGAAGTCTGGAGCGAGCAGAGCAAATCGCATGGAGGTCATGAATCTTGTCCGTGATCACAACCATCCAGACATTCCTACAGCCAGGACAAGACTTGCTAACCGCTTGGGCTTACGAAGCCGTTCAGTTTCAACCCTTATCTCACTGAGAATGAATGTGGTGCTAGTGACTTGGATCGATGTCGGGACGCGGGACCTCCGCGCACAGAAAGACGAGGTTGTGCGACATATACTGAGTGGACGAGTTACATGAACGGTCACGTGCTCACAGTCGCGCTTGACCGCTTTCGGCTCATACGGACCACCAGGAAAGCTACACACCCATCTATGAGATAAGACTGCGACTGTGACTCCGCCTCCAGCTTCTGTGTAATTTTACTGATGACTTGAATGTGTAGCTTGACACGCCGTACTTCCTGGCTTCACAAAAGAAGCATTCGGCGCGTAAGCTTTAGGTACAAGTTGAGCTTCCTTTTGCGCGGCTTTATCTCCCAGATGGAGGTCGTCTGCAGCTTCTAACTCCCCCACTGCTAGTCCTCCCGTGTCGTTCGCCCTTGATACCGTCGTACCATTTAAATTGTAAGTTGTAGGCCGAATTCGTGCACGGTAATGGCAACAACAAACGGTGCGCAGTTTATAAGCATCCGAGTAGCTGTCACTCAAGCAGAGCCAGTATGGCTAGACTTGCAAGCGACGGTGGAGAAGACATGCAAACTCATCACCGAAGCTGCTGAGCACGGAGCGAGGTTGATCGCGTTTCCAGAATGCTGGGTACCTGGTTACCCTTGTTGGATATGGTAAGGCTAGACTTGCTCACCAACCAGATCTACTTAGGTGATCATCGAAAGGCTCATCAAGCATAGGCTCCGAGCACTAGACTTCAACCTGATGACCCGCTACCTCAAGAACTCTCTCAAAGTCGACTCATCCGAAATGCGCCGTATCTGCCAATGCGCAAAAGACAGCAACATAGCAGTCATTCTCGGTTTCTCAGAAAACCTGAACAACTCCCTCTGGATCGCCCAAGCGACCATCTCCGCTCAGGGTAAACTCCTCATGACAAGACGCAAACTCAAGGCCACTCATCTCGAGCGCACCGTCTTCGGAGATGCAAGCGGCGCGAGTCTGCATAATGTGGTTGAGCTTGATCTCGGCCAGGAGTCTCAGCATACCAAAGTCGGTGCGTTGAGTTGCTGGGAGCACATTCAGCCACTGTTGAAGTACCATACGTATTTGCAGGGTGAAGAGATTCATGTCGCGGCCTGGCCGCCTCTTGATTCGCATCCGGGCGGTGACGCTTTGTGGAGTATGAGCAGTGAGGGTTCGTATCTGGAAACGTGAGAACACTGCGACGAGGATTCGTCGACTAATGAGACGACAGGATGTCAAAGCCTTTCCCAGACCTACGCGGCGGAGTCCGCAGCCTTCGTGTTGCACTGCACCGCCGTCGTCACAGACGCTGGCGTCAAAGCAATGCAGACGGATGCTGGCTTCTTGTTTAACCGCCCAGGTGGCGGCTCGTCTGCTGTCTTTGGACCTGACGGCCGCCGGATTACTGAACCTCTACCTAGTCACGAGGAAGGCATTATCTATGCAGATCTGGACATGGATATGTCGCTGAAGGCCAAGTGCTTCGTTGACAGCTGCGGACACTACTCAAGACCGGACCTGCTCTGGCTTGGTGTTGATGATAGGGAGAAAAAGCACAAGATTGTCAGCAAGGGCGACGGCAGCCAGTAGCCAGTTCTTACTCCAACACCATCCCCGTAATTGCCATTCGAACATAATCCGCTCCGCCGTGCGTTTGCCGACTGTCGCCCATACATGCATGAATGTCTGCTCACCATCTATCCCACGTCGAGTTCGCTTCGGCTAGTACGTGCAAAGACCCTTGCTTAGCCTCTCTAGCCCATTGTGTCGATACCTCCCGGTCCGCCGACGCTTCGAAGACATACATCGCGGCATCCTTCGCGCTCCACACACCGCTCCAACCCAGCTTGTATACAGAGTCCGGAAGGTCATCGCAGTCGTCTCCCCAGTGACTATTCGACCCGCAGTTATAGCAGGAGACTATCATCTGGCTCCGTGGGATGGTCTTGACAGTCGATGCTGTGTAAGTCCTCCAGAGCCGGTTCTTGTCCACATAGCGTGTGCCGGTGCAGTTGTCGTCCATGTGACCTTCTTCACCACATCTGAGGCAGCGGACGAGCGCGTATGGCTCGGTGAGGTGGAAGTAGCGGTGCTGGAGTTCTTGGTCTTCGGGTGTCAGATCTAAGAGGCGCATAGGATCGAGCTCAGGCTCAGGCTTCGGCTCAGGCTCCGGCTCCGGCTCCGACTCAAGTATAACGACAGACTCGGGCTGAGACTCGGGCTCAGACTCGGGTTCCGGTTTTGGCTCAAGCTTTGTCGAACGCTGTGAAGCTGCATGTATGAAAGCGTGCTCGGCGGTCTCGACCGTAGCAGAATCGCGTGCTATCTGGACACATATCTTGCGGCCCAGATTAATCGTACTGTCAAGCTCCTTGACGGCACGCTCGGCCTCGGCAGCTGTTGCGACATCAACGAAGCCGTACCCGGTGGGATGTTTCGTACGCGGATTGACTGGCGTCGTAATTGATTCGACGGTGTAGGCCTTGAACATTCCCTCTAGCTCGTTCTTGGTGGTGACAAAACCGATTATGCTAACATACAGTCTCCTCCCCTCGGCGATGCTGGTGTTGCCAGCAGCATCGGGAGCGACAGATCTCAGACTGCGTGATGCTACATCACGTGCCAGCTGTCCGTAGTCGTGTGAGGTTTTATGTTTGGTTTGCGTAGCATTGGCATCCGTGTCGGCTACTGAAAGCCCACCACCCACTGCTTCTTCGGATTTGGAACCGTGAGTGCTGGAAACGTTCGGCTTTGACTTTGCTTCCCACGCAGTCCAGACTTCCTTCGCCTGTTTGCGGAACGGCTTACCTACCTCAAGATGCTCCTTGAGAACAGCCTCAGCAGAGAGCTCCCCTTCAGCGATGCGATCCGCGATTATACGAAAAAATGCTGGTCGAAGAACCTCCTTCAGGTCGGCCAATGCCAGTTCCGGCTGTGTATCGGACGAACCGTGAATCACCGCCAGATCGTCATCAATCGGTGTCACGCGACGATTGATGGCAGTAGCACGAGGTGAAGGATAATCACTTTGTCTGTCTCCGACACTAGCGTTGCTTTCACGTCGACTGCTTGCCAACGAGCTTGACACCTCTCCCGATTCCAAGCTGTCCCGCCGATGGTCGCCACTCGGTCCTTGGTCGTCGGCAAGCACATAGTCTACCCGCCTTCGCTTCACGCTTTGAGTAAACGTGTCACTAGCGCTCTCGGCTGGCAGAGCAAGCGCACGCTTCCTGCCCACTGCGCTGGTGCGTGACTCCTCTGGTGAATGATGATCGCGGCGTGCATCGAGGATGTCCTGCCGAGACCGGGCATGCTCAATTACAATTTCCATGGCGTGTCGTTGTGTCGGTGTCGGCGGCACAGACATTGGAGAAGAGTCTTCTATACCAAAGAAGTCTGGCTTCTAGCCTGCCGAAACGGGACCTGCCGCCGTACATAACAGGAAGGCACGAGGCAGAAATCGGAGAGTTTCCGCGCCTCCCCGTTTTCTGAGGCGTCCGAAAATAGCGGCTCAGCGCAGGGATGAAGGTGGATGAGGTCAGGTTGGTCTGAGCGGCCGGCGTATGGGGAACAGACCCTGGTTTCCGACGCGAGAGCTTGAGAATGAGTTGAGTGTGTGAAGCCTGCTCTTTCTGCCGCTTCATCATCCCATTCCACCCCCCCATTCTCTTTGCTTGCTCTTATGTTATATTGAGTTGCAGCTCTCGGATCGGTTACGGCGTTGGCAGGGCCATATAACCGGAAGCCGCTATAGGCAGGTATTACAGTAACGCCGCGGGAGAGCCACATTGTTTGCAGCACCTGTCACAACAACTCCTCAGCACACGCACAAAGGCCACATAACCACACTATCTCCAACATTGACCGCCAAGCTGGCTTTCACCGCCTACAACCCGGTTAAAGTGCTCCGTCGCCTCACACCCTCCTATTTCTATCCGTCAGCCTTGTCGAGAGCTAAGAGCCCGACGACCGATCCAGACCGGCGGAGCACGGCAACAGCACCACCCACCAACACCGCCAAACTGTCATCCACCACCGTAACTCAACAACGGCAGGGGCTGACCTTCGCCGAGCCCGGGGCCGCTTCAGCGCCACCGCTCTGCGTGCAGATCGCGGAGAAGAAGATGAGCATGGCGGCCAACGATAAGGAGAGAAATCGTCGGCGGAGACGCAGTAGCAGTCTGATGTATCAAGAGCCGCCGGAGAGCTTGGAGCAGCAGAGTGATCAGGCAACCATGCCGAACCTGAATGCGCAGTGGGTAAACGCGAAAGGTGCGCTCATATACTTATGCAATAAGGACAAGCACGCGAGCTAATCCCCAACGACTATGTAACAGGCGCCTGGATGATTCACATAATCCTTATCCTCCTCCTCAAAATCCTCTACGACATCCTGCCCGGCGTCTCGCAAGAGCTCTCCTGGACGCTAGTCAACACCACCTACATGTTCGGCTCTTACCTCATGTTCCACTGGGTACGCGGCGTACCCTTTGAGTTCAATGCGGGCGCATACGACAATCTCAACATGTGGGAACAGATCGACAACGGGGATCAATACACCCCCGCGAAGAAGTTTCTGTTGGCCGTGCCGATATGTCTGTTCTTGGTGAGCACGCATTATACCCACTACGACTTGACGTATTTTATGGTGAACTTTTTGGCGACTGTGGCGGTGGTGGTGCCGAAGCTGCCTGCGGTATGCATGATGTTCGATTCACGTTGTTCTGCGACTTGAAAGTGCTAACTCTGTGATAGCTTCATCGCATGCGCTTCACCCTCCTCACACCGCAGCCAGAGCCGCCGGAAGAGCGACGATAGCGTGCTTTGCGTTGCGCAAAAAGCGATTAGGCGTTCGGGGATTGGCGGGTTGCGTAGATTGCGCAAATAGCAATGCTACCCTCGTCACAATCAGACTGACGTGCCGCTCGTAAACGTGTCTCCGCGCTGCGCACGCCTTCAAGCCATGCACACCATGACTCACTGTCATCGACGAGAGCTCAGACCAGAATCCAGCAAGCCAATCAATTGATCGAGCCTGCTAATGACCACATCCGTACGGTCGTCACTCTCCAAGTCCTCCTTGCCGGGACTTCGCAGCAACACGGTTAACGCGCCCGCATCATAACCAGCTGCCATGTCATCAACGCTGTCCCCGACCATCACCAAAGGAAGTAGTCTATCCTGCGGTGGCGTCTCCGGTACCTGTGCATCCGCCGTGATACCCCATGCGTGAGCTATATGCAGCAGAGCCGCGGGAGACGGCTTAGGGGGCCTGAAACTGCGCGTTATGATCGGAGCGAACGGGTTGATGTGGCCGGGTAAATGGTTGCTTAGAAGATGGTTGACTGGAGTGCTGCAGAAGCATTCAGTACTGCCGCATTCACACGATGCGAGAGGGAAGAGAACTCACTCAAAGTTCCTGGTACAGATCCCCTTCTTGATACCTCGTTCGTCCAGATACTCCATTAAACTGACGAGTCCAGCTTGCGGGACTTGGTCGGCCATGGCTCGACGCTCGATTGCTTGAATTTTGGCGAAGGCGGCGTCTTGTTCTTCCGCAGGTAGTGCGTGGATGTGGTCGAGTATGTCGACTGACTTGGGGATGCCGATGGCTGAGCGCATTTCGCCGAACATGTGGTTTTGGGGCTCGCCTTCTTGGGGATGTCATTAGCTAAGTGACACCGCATCAACGAGGCATGTGATCCAAGGGGAAAATGGAAACCCATGGTTGCAGAAGACATTAGGTACCGCAGAAGCGGAAGGTGTGCAGAGACGTATTAAGTTATGACTTGGACTAGTGCCGAGCATGTAGACCTACAAAGAGTTCCGTCCATGTCAAAGATGATACCCTTCAGCTGCATTTCATTGTTCGGTGGTGATGCCGCCGAGCCATCCGCCAATGGAGCAAAGCCATGTCGCTTAAGCCTTTCGCTGGAAACTGTACTCATGCCCGCCCGTCCTCTGGCTGCTAGGGGCGTTGACGAACGTTGAGCTATTGCTTCAACTGCTTTCAGAACTCTTGGAAGCATCTACTGGGTCAGAAGAGGCGCAGATAGGTTAGGTGAGAGGAACCCAATCAAGACGGTTGGGATAGCGGATGTTGCATGTAGATTGGAGTCAAGTCGGAGTTGGCCCACCACTGCCGAAAAGAGTCTAGCTCGTCCAAAGCCTCAATCACCAGCTATGGCTGGCATGCACGTTAGGAGCCAAGACGAACAGTGTGCTCAAGTGTATTAAAGCAAACAATGCATGTTGATACAATCATATGTATATACAGAGATTGCCCAGCCTAAAAGGTATACCACTGCCGCTGCCACTGAATAGGTCGATCCGGCAGATGCGTCCACAAATTCTTCCCAACTGCCTCCCGCCGCCTCTTCTCTTCACGCTCTTCGTGTTCGCGGATCCGCGTCTTCTCCTCCTTCAGGACGACAGAGATACTGGTCCAAGGCGTCTTCATGATGTAGACTTGACCTCTTGCGCGGTAATCGGCCAGCTGACCATAAGGGCCTCGTCCGACCCACGCTTGATCGATGTAGATCTTGGACGTATCGGTGACGGTATGTCGCTTGCCGTCCTTGAGCTGAATTTGTACGGGGCCAGTTACTGTCCCGCTTTCGGTCGCGGTTGGTAGGAGTGGCGCAACGCCGGATACTGGTGGTGAAGTGCTGTTTAGATTGCCGGCTTTCACATCAACGCCAACACCTCCCAAACCCATCCCACGCGTGACTATGGCCTCGTCGCGTGCGAACTCGAGCTGCTTTAGCACTTCCTGGGCGACCTTCTTCTTGCTAAAGCGCATCTGCACAATCGCATCGTCCAGCCCCTTGCCAGCAATCTGACGCGCCAACATGCCCAGCTTCTTCACACTAGTCTTCATGTTATGACTCCTCACCATGTGTTCTCTTTCCGTCCGCTTGATCATCTGCTGCTTTGTTAACCTCCCACCCTTGCGGATCATCTGTATAACCTTCTTCCGTTCCCACCGTTCCCGCGCGTTCGGATCTGGGTCGAGAACGTGCCGCATGTTGGCAGGATCTCTGTCTACTCCGCCCACTTGTAATTGGCCGTCATCGCCATCAGCGCCTTTGGCTGCGGCCTGCTTGGCTTGCTGCTGTGTACGTCGGTCATCTTCGAAAATGGAAGACGCGGAGATATCCCCGGCTTGTGGTCGGTGTTGGCTGGGGGCGGTGGCGGCAGTCTCGGACTGATTCCGCAGATATTTCTCCAATATAGGGTTGCTCGTTTTGCTGTCGTTGCTACCACTTCCACCCCCGGAGGAAGCAGCTCGTCGCTGATGCTGCGGCGCCCGCAGCCGGAAGGGGATGTTTTGGCAAGCCAAGCCTAGCAATGATCAGACTATGTGAATGCTGTATCATCTGCTACAACTTACATCTTCTTGCAGCGCGCTGCAGTGGTACAACACCGCTCATATTGAGCTACACCTCCGCGGCGTTTGCTGATGGCCAAGCTATTCAGATCCTATGCAGAACTGCTTTTCCCGGGGCCCTGGTGGTGAAACGAAGCTAAAGCGGGAGTCTGCCGAGCTGAGTCATGCATGCCGGCAGGCTAAATTCGGAGTTGCTTTGCAAGCGCGTATATTCTAGACTCTTTACTAGGTCCGGTTGCACGCGGAACAGGAAAGGAGAGGCATGCACAGCACAAGTAAAACTGAACTCTGCAGACCGACCATTGCTCTATGTCGATCTTCAGCCATAATTGCCCTTGGGTTACTTCGTCGCGTGACGTTCATCTTCACCCAGGTCGGCGATCCTCTTGCGGAAAGACCGGGTCTCGAACGGCCTGCGGCTTTCCTCCACATGGCGATTTAAAGATACTGCAAGCCTCCCCGTTACGCTTGTTATGCATCCCAGCATTGCAGTGACCTCATGTTCTTGATTTTTGAATCACTGGCGCAATCGTCTGATCGCGCATGAACACCGTCGCCCCGTCCAAAGCATCGTCAATCACCGGACTCGGCGGTATTGCAGGCGCCTTGCGGTCGCCACCTAATCTGAGAACATACCGTCGCATGACACTACCTGGTATGCTCGCTGCCTGGTAGGTTGTCAGGAGAGTTCCGGCGCGTTTGCAGCGCTCCCTCGATCCGACAGCGACATGGACATCAATGCCTTGTTGTCTCCCGACAACTCGCCAGCAAAGGCTGGTCGTTCGGGGGACCTCTCACGCTCACCGCGCAAGGTGAGACCTTCCGGCAACAAGCGCGCAGCTTCAGGTTTGAGCAAAGAGATCACGCGGTCGCCTGATCGCAACCTTTCCACATCGCTCACAGGATTGTCGTCAGATGAGAGAACCAGAGAATCGCTTCGAAAAGCGTTTCCGCTGCATCCCATCACGGAGGCTGCTCCGAACTTCCGACCACTTCATCCACCTGCGCCCACGAGCGATCCAGCAACAAAGGCTCCCTCAGCGTCAAGTCCGCACTCTAGCTTCGCACATGCACAGCTCCAACAGCGGCCGAAAGGCACGCATCGCCACGCATCCACTCCGCAGATGGAAACGCTTGCTGGTAAGTCGCGTCATTCGCGCCTTCCGCCGCGCCGCTTCGCTTCATTGACTGACTCGCGTGATCCCAGACTTGGCGTCAATGCAACAACGACATCGCGCCACACGAACGAACTCTGCCACAAGTCTGCGACATGCCGACATCGTAGAGGTGCAACGATCGCCGTCGTTCATGCATTCAGCGAATCCACCGCCTATGGTCCGTAACATATCTGGCCAATCGCTCGCAGATCTGACCATGGCGGAAGCTCCAACGCAAACACCGCCGCCACGTAGCGTCACCTCAGCTGCACTCAGTGACGCAGAATCCCAGACCGTGACAGGCCTTCTCAGCTATCTCAGCGAGAATTCATACGCTTATGATTCGCACGTTCAACTTATTGGACTTCTACATAAAGGCTTTCTAGCACACACATATCCATCTGTCGAGGCTGTGGAAGCATCACCTCAGGATCCGCATGGTTACGGCTTGCTCGTTGAACTGCGACAAGCTCGTGAAGCCATGGATACCCGCTTTGCTGTGGGCGAAGACCTCTGGCTTGAATGGCTATCCGATGAGACAGCCTTGGCGAGGTCGGGCGAGGAGCGTGTGTCCGTCACTGAACTTTACCAAAAAGCCGTGCAAGACGAGCCTTCGTCGGTAAAGCTTTGGCAAGCTTATGTCGACTGGGTCCAGTCAAATTACGCAGCATGCAACAACCTCGAGGGTGCCGACCAATCCGGCTGGGCCGACCAAGATAAGGAGATGTGTGCGGAGCTCTTTACGAAAGACATGATCGTTGATGTGCTAGAGCAAGGGGTCGCTGCAACGCAGTGGCGGATAGACGAGAGCCACCTACTCTGGAACCGTCATGCACAACTCGTCCTGGAAGATCTTCCAGCCTCACCATCTGCGCCCGATGTTGAGAAGCTGCGCAGCATGTTTGCGCAAAGACTGCAGACACCGCACGCTACCTCGACTGAAACAGCACGAATGTTCTGGTCCTTCGTGAGCAGATTCGAGCCCGACAATTGGGAGGGCATTATGACCGAGGTTAATGAGGTTGCCGCACCAGCAAGGAAACAAGTGGCGTTGCGCGAAGAGCATGAGCTTGCCGTGCAACGCGCTTTAGAACGCGCAGACAAGGAAGCTCTCTTCGCTGCGTTCGCATCGTACCTGCAGTGGGAGCGCAAGCATGTGAACCGCGGTGTCTTTGGCAGGGAGCTCTGCTGCGCTGTTTACGAGCGCGCCTTGTTACGGTTTCCCACGTACACCGAGTGGTGGCTGGATTACACCGACTTTGTGGCAATGGACAAGGCAGCATCATCTGTACTACCTCTCCTTGAGCGAGCCACGAGACACTGTCCTTGGTCTGGCGACCTGTGGGGCAGCCGGATACTGCGAGCAGACGTAGAAGGTAAGCCGCACGTGGATATTGAGGCAACAAAGCATAGAGCGACAAATTCTGGCCTCTTAGACGTTGGCGGCATGGAGGAGCTACTAAAGGTCTTGCAGCAATGGTGTAGCTATCTCAGGCGCCATGCGTTCAAGAGGACGAGTTCGGAGGACGATGTAGATACTGCGGAAGTAGGTATCACCATGGCGCTGGAAGACATCCAGCAAGCTGGCACCAGGATATACGGCAAGGGCTTCACGGGCGATCCGCGATTCCGGCTCGAGACGATTCAGCTCAAATTCTTGTCCGAGGCACGTCGCTTTGACGATGCACGCGCGATATACAAGCGTCTGGCACTTTTGCACAAGGACTCCTTCGACTTTTGGTCAAAGTACTACGTCTGGGAGATGTGGCTGTGGGGATTTGAACGCATACGTGATGCGCACCGAGTCGAGACGAGCGACAACGGACCAGATCTTGCGACGGCGGTGTTGCAGCAAGCACTTGCCCAGAAGCATATTGACTCGCCGGAGAAGGTGGTTGATTTGTATCTCAACCACTTCCAGCAGCACGAGAGTGGGGAGAGATTACAGGCTGCGCTCGTCGATGCTAGGGAGTACGTCAAGCAGGTGGCGGCAAGACGAGCGAAGGAAGCTGAACTTGCCGCCGTAAAACAGCCGGAGCCGCAAGAAGCCCCAATGCAGGTAGAGAGCACTATCACTGGAGGGAAGAGGAAGGCTGAGGAGCACATCGTTAACGGCGATGGGAAGAGGAGCAAGACAGACGCGGTACCTATAACAGTAGCAAACCAGAGTGAGCCATCCGCTTCAGTTTCGGCGCAAGCGAAGCGCGACCGTGAGCACAACACCATCACTGTGCGCAATCTAGCGCCCGAAGTACAGGAGCTCGACATCAAAAAGTTCTTCCGCGATATCGGACAGCCTCGATCGATTAACATACTCCAAGACAAAGATAGCGATACCGCGACAGCAACCGTCGAGTTTGACTCGCACGAAGATGTGCTCGCAGCCAAGATACGAAACGGAAAGGAATTACAAGGCCGAGAAGTGCGCATTTACAGCGGTAGCCAGAACACGCTCTATGTGGCGAACTACCCGCCAGAGTATGACGAGACCACCATGCGCAATCTCTTCGATAGCTACGGTGAGATTCTAAGCGTCCGCTTCCCGTCACTGAAGTACAACAGTCGAAGACGGTTCTGCTATGTGCAGTTTTTGACCGACGAGATGGCGCGAGCGGCCGAAACAGCCATGGATGGTAAAATGTTAGATGGACAGCACAAGCTGGTCGCTAAGATCTCGAATCCCGATGCGAAGAAGCAGCGCTCGGGCGCACAAGCCGAGGGGAGGGAGGTGTTTGTCAAGAATCTTGAACGTAACGCGAGCGAAGCGGAGGTGAAGGAGTACTTCGGCCAGTACGGCGAAGTGGTCAGCCTCAACCTCGTCAAGCTGGTGAACAACAAGCGTACAGGCACAGGCTTCGTAGTCTTCGCAAGCTCAGACGAGGCGAATGCGGCGCTTGCAGCCAATAACAAGCCGTTCAAGGACCGCATTCTCCATGTCGAAGTGTCGTCTTCAAAAGCAGAAGGCCGTGCGGCGCCTCTCGACCGGGCAAGGAAAACAGACATCATCGTCACATCAGGCGCTGCTTCTGCGTCGCCCGAGCCGGATGCAGTCGGAAACGGACGCCGTGGGTCAGACGTCTCCATGCAGTCGGCGTCGCAAGCGAGCGAGGATGCCTTCCGAACGGCAAGGGAGCGGAAGATTGCAATCCTGGATCTGCCAGACACGGTCAACGACGCACGCATTCGCACGGCCATGGAGAGATATGGGCCCATTACCAAGATCCAGCTACGCAGGGCAGACAACGGAGCGATTGTTGAGTTTGCCAATCTCAAGGATGCTTTCAACGTGCGTGAAGGCGTTGATGTGTCGGCGCTGGGGCCGAATGTGAGGACGGGAGACGTGGCGGATTTGCTGTCAAGGGTTAAGAAGCGGCAGGCGATGAGTGGTGAAGTGAGTACGAGTCGTATTATGGGTGGTTTGGGCATGAGACCGGCCTCCTTCTTGCGACCTGGTCAGCGCGGTGGAAGGCGAGGCGGTCTTGGCTTCAAGCGTGGCGGCGCGATAGTGGGAGAGAAAGGGGTTGAGAGCAGCGAGCATTCTGCTCCAGCACCGAGCAGTAATGGCACTACGGCCGCGAAGAGCAATGCCGACTTCAGGGCCATGCTGGAGCAGGGAAAGAAAGCACCAGAGCCAAGGGAGGAGGCATGAGTGATAGATAATTCAACAAAAGTATAGCTTAGGCAGCAATGCAACACGGCCACCAAGACAGCATACGGTTGGCACAAGTAAACAGCAGTTGCAAATCCGCACATCACCACCATCCGTTTACTCCTCTGTGATCCGGCACCATTGCTTCACATCGGCACCGCCGCCCCATCCCCTCTCATATCACTCCCCGCGCTCCACACCCCCACTCCCTCCACGGCATCAACATTCCACCTAATCACCTGCCCCCGTCCAAACAACCCCCTCCCCCACCCCGTCACAACCTCAACCTCATGCCCCATCTTCCTCAACCCCCGCACCGTCTCCTCCGCCAACCCATCCTCAACAAACACCGTCCGCCCCTCCACATCCTCCCCCGCCCCAATACACAACCTCGGCGCATCCAGCGCCGCCTGCGGACTTAACCCAAACACGACCTGATTCAGCAACACCTGCACGTGGCCCTGCGGCTGCATGAACCCGCCCATCACGCCGTAGACGGAATGCAAACTCCCGTCGCTCACGTTCGTCACGAGCGCGGGGATGATGGTGTGGTAGGGCCTCTTGTTCGGGGCGAGGATGTTCGGGTGGGAGCGGGGCTGTAACACGAAATTCGCGCCTCGGTTCTGCAGGGTGAAGCCGCATCCCTTCGGGATGATGCAGGTGCCGAAGCCGCCGTAGTTACTGTTGATGAAACTGATCCCGTTGCCTTCGCTGTCCGTGACGGCGAAGTAGACTGTATCGCTTTTGTTGTGGGCGGGGGAGCCGTGAGATAACGGGGCGGAGGCGCGCTTGGGATCGAAGAGTTTGGCGCGTTCGGCTAGGTAAGCGGGGTCGAGAAGGCCTTTCGTCGGCGTGTTGGAGACCTTGGGGTCGGAGATCCACCAGCTGCCGTCCGCGAAGGCGATGCGGAGGGATTCGATGATGGCGTGGAGGTAAGGGGCGGTGTTGTGGTCGTGGGGGGAGAAGGTGGGGATTTTGCTTTCCTTCTCCAGTTCTTTCAGGATGCCGAGAGCCATGAGCGCGACGATGCCTTGGCCGTTGGGCGGGTGTTCCCAGATTTCCACTTCATCCTTGAGGCGTTCGGAGACGCCTTGGCCGCCGAACTTGAGGCTGATGGGTTCGGTTTCTTCGGTGCCGAGGTCCATGTGGTTTTGCAGGTCGTCGTGGGTGAGGTGGCCGCCGAGGTCTTGCACGACCTTCACGAGGGCTTCGGCGACGGAGCCGGTGTAGAAGCCGGCTTTTTGGTGTTTGCCTAGGAGGCGGAAGGTGTTGGCTAAAGTTGGGTTCTTCATGATTTCGCCTGGTTTGGGCGCGCGACAGCCGTCTGGAGCTTTCGGGTCTTTCTTCAGCATTTCCGCGAAGTTCGGGGAGGCTCTTCGGATGAGGCCTTCCGCGCGGTTCCACTAACAGCATCTCGTCAGCCTTTCTGCCCCACTATCCGCAGGGCGGACTCTGTACTCACATAATGCCCCATAACCTCGCCAACCGCAAACCCCTCCTCCCCCAACTTCACCGCCGGCGCCAGAATCTCCTCCAACGTCACCCTTCCACTCCCAAACTTCTCCACCGTATCCACCCACCCCGCCGCCGCGCCCGGGACCGTAACAGCATGCACACTATCCATCGGAATCTTCGCCTCCTCACCCTCCTTCACCCCAAGATCCTTCCTCACCTGCTCCAGCGTCCACCCCGCCCCACTCCGACCACTCCCATTCAAACTGCGGACCTTCTTCGTGTTGGCATGGTAGAAGAGACAGAACATGTCCCCTCCTATCCCCGTACTGCCGGGTTCGGTCATGTTGAGACCCGCGGCGACGGCGATGGCGGCATCGGCGCAGTTGCCGCCGCGGCGCAGGATCTCGAGGCCGCAGGCGCTGGCGAGGGGTTGGGTGGAGGCGACGATGCCGTGGGTGCTGTGGACGACGGAGCGGCGGGAGGGGAAGATGTAGGGGTGTTTGTCGTGGGGGTTGCGGGGTTGGTCGCTGAGGACGTCTTCGTAGCTGGGGTCGGGGGTAGCCATGGTTGCGAAGGAGAGGGTGGTGGTGGTTGACGAGACGGAGTTTTTCAGTAGCCTCGAATGGAGGAAGGAGAGAGAGACAGAGGTGGTAGATGGTGGGAACAGGGCAGTTGCATGAGAAGAGGAGGAGAAACAGTAAGTAAATGGTCCTACCTGTACACTACCGAGTATTACGTATCCACCATGGTATCGCCAATGGGTTGTAGAGCTTGCCGAAGAAGGAAGGTACATGGGGGGGTGGGAAGAGAAAGGCATCAGGGCGGGCAAGAGAATGGCCGAGGTGGGCTGTTCCAATGCCGCACTACCCGCTGCCCCTTCAATCACCACTACTCCTCCATCACCGTGTCAGAGATAGCAGTAGTATAATATCATTGACACATCACGTTCGATTCCCTTCCGGTGTACGACAGCAATCAAATGGTTTCCGCAAAGGGGAGACAGGTGAAATGCCACCCGGGGGTCGACACGGCCCTCTGTCATCCACATGTACCTCTTTCTGCTTGGCAATGACCTCACTCTTCGCCCATCGTCTTCGCGGATGCAGATGGAACGAGTGCCCTGGTGTGGGTGTGCCGTGTGGACGAATGATTCCGTAAGGCTGTGTAACATTCACCACCCGTAGAACAACCACATAAGCCTTTCCTTCCCTCATCCCGTTTGCCAGTTTCCCGATACTGGTAACCACAACCACAACCACCCATTCCATCACCACCACGTGTGAACATAATGGCGGACACTCATCAATCCAAACATCAATCCTCCCGCACCTCCAACTTCATCCGCGCCTCCGGGGAAGTACAAGACAAACACCTTTGGGGCCCGGCGAAATGGATCGTCCAGCTCATTCAGTACATGATCGCCATCATCATCGTCACGATCGGTGAGGGCTTCCGGAGCATCTTCACCGGCGAGTCGCCTTCGAGGCGGAGGGAGCGGGAGCGGCATGCGGGGGGGAGGAAGACGCATTGACGAGAGGACTACGACGACGACGACGACGATGTGTTTTTAGGATGGAGGAGATGATGACGTGACGGCTGCAACAACATCAAATGTGCCGGCATACGGTCGGCTGTCACCACCTAGACTCGGTGCAGTGTGAATGCTGCACTGCGAGGGGATCGCCATCGTACCCGTGTTGCCAGCGAGGACGAGGCAAGAACGACCGCCATCCCGCCTTCGCTTGCCGCGAAGTTAACATCTTGCCTGAACGCTCTTTCTCGACCATGGCTATGGACGGACGACGCCGGAAGCTTATGCCTGAACATGTCGCGGCCCCGCGGGCTTCGATATTCAGGCGTCCGTCCGGTATTGGTCCTTCCCAACTTTACAACTGGCTCAGGCGAGGGATGATGCTTAGTACGATATCACGAGAGCGTGTGGCACAAGTAGCTGCTGGGCTCAGTACACGCACGCCCCAGGAGTAGCAACGGGGTATAGAGGGTAGCATAGCACAGCATAGAACGCAGCGAGCGGTATTGCAAGCAGCAGGGTATCATCCTCATTCACCCATGAACCTTGACTCCATTCATACCTTTCCGCGCCCACATCATCCCGTGACCATCGTCACTTGCCGCCAAAGAACGCCGTAATCCTCGCATTCCCCTCCTTCGTCGGCGTCTCCTTCTTCTTCGCCTTCGCCGCATTGCTCGTCGCACTCCTCGTCTTTGCCGTGTTCGGCGTGCTTTTCGTCGGCGAACTCTTCACAGGCGAAGCGGACATTTCTTTCTTCATCTTCTTCGCCACCGGACTGTCCTCCTCAGCCTTGAGCAACGAAGCATCATCCACTTCAGACATTTCGCGCTTGACGCCTCGCTCCACATACTCATCCGCACGGTGATTAAGCGCTGCGTCGTCTACCGCTCCCACCTCCTCGTCAGGATCCCGCTTCATCGCGCGCTCCAGCTCTCCGTCCGCTTGACCCTCAGGTTTCGGCAACGGAGCATTGGTCTCTGGATCCTCAACTTTGGACGTGACTCGCTTCTCATCCCCATCCCCCTCGCCTGCCTCTCCCCCCACCTTCTCTCCACCTTCGTGCTCGCCATCATGCTCCCCCTCCCCCTTCACCCCCTTCTCCCTCTGCTTCCCAAAGAAATTCGCAATATTCTTCTTGTTCTCCTTGCTATCCACCGGCACCACAAAACCCTTACTATTATTCCCCACCTTCCCCACCGCCTTATCCACCGGATACACCTCCAACTCTCCCTCAAAAGGCTTCAACATCCGCTGCAAACTCCGATCCCATTCCACCTTTGTGGGATCGAGCCACAACTTCATCTCCGCGCTGCCAGGCTCAAGGATGACGGGCATCCGGTCGTGCAGGAACTGCAACTGCTTATTCGGGTCCGTCGTAACAATGGTATACGTATACAACCCCTCCCCCCGACCCTCCCCCCGCTTCCCCCTCCCTCCCCCATCACCCCCACTTTTTCCATCCCCTTCATCCCCCTCATACCTCACACAATCCCACAACCCCGCAAAACACATCAACCCCCCATCCGCCCGGCGCACAAAATGCGGCACCTTCTCCTTGCCCCCATTCTTCTTCAGCCACTCGTAGAACCCCTCCGCCACCACGACGCACCGTTTCCGCAGCTTCATGCTCTTCCACATGCCCCCCGTCTCGCGCGCGAGCGAGTCGTCGCGGCAGTTGATCGTGCGGAGTTGGGAGGCGTAGTCGGGCGGGCGTTTGGTCCACGAGGGGATGAGGCCCCATTTGGCGGATTGGAGGATGTAGGTTGTTGGGTGGTTGTCGGCGGCGGGGGTAGGGTGTTGAATTGATTGGGTGGAAGGGGGATGGGAGAGTTTTGTTCGTTTGGGGGAAGGCTCGTCGTCATTGTCGTTACTTTCGTCGTTGTCGTCGTTGTTGTCGTTGTCGTCGTTGCCGTCGACACCAGTTTGATCGTTGTGGTGGTTGTCTGGTTGACCGCCATGTGGTTGACTGCTGCCAACCCCACCAGTCTGATAGCCCTGAGCGCGATATATCAGGCCCTGATATCCCGGAGCGAAGTTGTAGCTCGGTCGGACTCGGTCGTCGTCGTCGTCCGGTGCTTCTTCCGCCGGCATATTTTGGTCCGCGAGGCGTTGGCGGACTTGAGAGGGCCGCAGGGAGAGGGCGTAGCGGCCGCACATCGTCGCTCACGCCGTCTGCAGGTTTGCTATGAACAGAGGAAGGTTAGATGAGTGCCAAACCAGCGGCGCGTGAGGGCTCGTGATGACGGCCGAGGAAATTGATTGATAGCGTCATACGGCGGGTAAAACCTGGGGTAAGGCTTACTTGAGCTTCTTGATGAAAGTTGTGGATTACTTTGTCGACTGCGATACACACCCTCCACCTCCGCCACTCCTCACCTAAGGCGGTACCACAATGTCCACCCGACAAGCGTTGAGACCGTCCCTTGGACAACTCCTCCGACAATCCCACCCTCCATCTCCCTCCTCAAGATGCCTCCATACCCTCCCCAAGCGTCCCCTCCGAAGACCATCCACCCAATCCCTACACCACCAGCTCCCCCGCCACCGCAACGCCAGCACCAGCAACTTCACCCACAACCTCCGCACCCTCTTCCGCCAAAACCCCGTGTCCATCTCCCTCGCCGCCCTCGCCCTCCTCAGCGGCGTCGGCGCCCTCATCTACGCCAACATCCTCTACCAAACCTACATCGTCGGCGCTTTCCACAAGTACCCGGAGCCCGTCGCGAAGAAGCTGCGGAAAGCGCTGTATTATACCAATACTGACCCGCAACCCGCCGAGGCGCTGAAATTCTACAAGCAGGCGCTTGAGGTTGCGGCGGAGGTGGGGATGGATCCGTTTAGTGACGAGGTGATTGGCGTGCGGATCCAGGTCGGGAAGTTGATGGAGGATGTAGGACAGTTTGGCAAGGCGGCGCAGGTGCTTGAGATTAGTCGGGGGGATTGTTTGGAGCATGTGCGGAGATTGGAGGCGAGGAAGGCAGAGGTTGTTGCAGGGGAAGGGAGCGTGGCCCGGCGGACGAGGATTCTGGCAAAGTGTGTGGCGATGAGTGTGAAGTTGGGGGAGCTGTATGGGAGCCCTGAGGTCTATGATCGCGAGATGGCGGAGGAGAGGTTGGTGTGGGCTGTGGAGACGGTACTGAGAGAACTGCAACGGCGGGAGGGGGTGAAAGCGAGTGAGGGCATTACGGAGGAGCAGTTGGTGGAGCGGGAGGGGAAGTGGATGAGTGGCTCTGAGACGGGGGCGGCGTTGGAGTCGCTGGCGCATAACTATGAGGCGAGGAGCCAGCATTACCTTGCCAGTCCGCTGTTCCTGCAGGCGCTTAGCTTGTACCCGGCGAAGGACTGCCATACGGTCGTGCTGATGAACAACCTGGCCTCGTCATTAGCACAACAGTCACCACGTGCTGCGGCGGCGGCACAAGCCTACGCGACGTCGAGGAATCTCTCGAATCAGCCTACGCCTTCTGCCCCAGCCCCAGCTCAACCGGCGATGACGCGTGAGAGCTTAATTCAAAATGCGCAGACGTGGGCGCAGAAATCGCTGGACGTCGCGGCGAGTATTAGACCTCCGGAACGGACAGAGGAGTGCGATGTGGGTTGTGCGGTAGCGACGCACAATCTGGGCGAGTTTGCTGAGATGCTGGGCCAGCGGCAGGAGGCGAGAAGACGGTATGAGGAGGCAATCAGTATTGCGAGAGCTGTTGGCTTTCAGGAGGGTGTTCAGCAGAGTCAAGAAAGACTGAGGCTTTTGCAAACGGGTTGAAAGTGAGAGTTTGGGCGGTCAACTTCACCAATGATACGATCGATGGAAATTCGCGCGCCTCTAGCGAAGCGGCAGGTCACCGCTCCTACAATTCTCGAGTCCTCCAGCATAACGGTACGCGCTGGACCTTCAACGAACGGGTGGACAAACAGGGATGGAGCAATCACTTCACCATGATCGTATTTGCGGCTAGCGGCGCGATGGAGATGCTTCGATGCGCCCAACTCCGCTCTTATCCCAAACCCTAATGAGCATCAATACGCTTCGAATCACCCATCGATATTACGCCACCCGTAGGATGGAGCCTCAGCCAGAGGAAGCGCTATCCCGCACATGTTCCGCTTTGAGTTCTTCGTAGAGCGACTTGCGCTCACCGGTACGTCTAGCTCGAAACGGAGGAGGCTGCTCGGTAACGGCGGTCGCTGAAAGCGTAACCGGGTTTTGGGGAGTCTCGCCGCTCTCCGTTAGCAACCTGCGCTTTTTGCTCACACCGGAGACGACGGCACGGTCCAGGTGATCTGTGGCATGCTCTTGCGCCCACTTCTTGAGCACAGCATCTTCGGCCGGACTCTCCAGCGAGTGGTAGGATGCGTGATGCGAGCAGCCGTCGCACTCGAAGCTTGTGGCGGCCTGGCTCGGCATCAGCAAGTTTGGGAGGATAAGAGGCGGTTTGGGGGCTTACTTTGACGGGGTGAAGCATGAAACGTAGGCATGAACAAGCCGGCGCCATCAACGAACTCTTATAGTTGCAGCGGCCACGTGGTGGCGTGTAGTTCATCGCTGACCAGACACTATTTTTGGGTATCTGGCCAGCCATGCTATCGGCCAAGTCAGAGAATCTGCTCACTGAGAGGTACACTTGGCGTTTGCCAGACTTGTGTTGAGGGTTCGCAGATTATGTGCTGCACGTAGCGATCTCTGAGGATAAGTCGTGTGGGGAAGGCACGAGCATGACGCGACGTCACGAGAGTGCAGTTCAACACATTCACCACGACAACGTGGCACAGCACTTGCACGTACGCTCTGCTACAGGTTCGGCTGTGTCTCACGATGTAAGTCCGCAAGCGTCATCTCGCTCGCCTCAACATACTTCCGCCATCTTTCATATCGAGACTCATAGTAGGAGGCGAGCTCGTACACTCCCTTCTCATGTATGAACTCAGCCAGCTCAATAGCATCCGAGATCGCCTGATTTGCACCGTAGCCGCCAAGAATCGGCCCAGCATGCGTGGCATCGCCTATCAGAATGGTACCGTGCTTCGCCGCTTCATGCAGCTGGGTAGCTTCGACAAGCACAGAACGCATCAGCCAATTGAGCAGCCGATCAGATCGCATCGCTTGCGCGTCGAAGATGTACTTGAACAAGCCATCCAGGTTCCGAAGCCCGGCTACTTCCTCGAAAAAGGCGTTCGGTATGCCTGTCGCTCCTGCAGTCGACCTATCTGGGATGAACAGCGGGTCCGAGTCTCTCGCCGGACGTGAGTAGGTGTAGCTGATGCTCACGTGCTCCTTCGTCTCATCGTTGATGGTGACTTGCATGAGCGTTTGCCCCTGCCTTTGCTCCGTGACCGTGCCATCTAGGTGTGGAGCGAATATATCATGCCAGAGCTCACGGTTGACTCGCCGTTTGCCATTGTACACCACGAATGGTAGGATCTTGAAATCGCTAGTGTGCGAGATGAGTTTGCGCACCTGTGAGTGCGGTCCGTCTGCGCCAATCACCACGTTTGACTGCACTTCCCGCCCATTGCGGAAGAGCAGTATATTGAGACCGCCTTCATGCTTGATGTCGGTAAGCTCATGCTCAAACCTTATGTCGAGGCCCTCGCTCAAACGCTGCTCCAGTTTCCGCCTATTGGCGCGGAAGTCTTCATCATTACTGTTCGCATAGTGAGATCTACCGTGCAGCCGACCGACTCCACCACTGGCAGAGTCAACGGCGAAACTTCTCCGGAACCCGTGGTCGTCAAACTTGATGTACGGAAGCAGTGGCCGGTATGCGGTAGGCTGCAACGTCATGCCGTAGTTGTGTCTTGTTGAGAAAGTACGAGCTGCGTCTCTTTCGTAGAGCACGGCAGAAACTCCGTGGTATCGCAAACATTGTCCGAATACTAGTGCCGAAAGGCCGGCACCTATAATAGTAATTTGTGGTTGAGACATACGTTTTGAGAGATGTCTCGTAAAGTAGAAGTGCGCCCACTTTTTCAGGAATAGACCGACACGAACGGTTCACATACGTTGTGCTGTCATGTCTCGAACTCTGTTACAAGCAACACTGTACTTACTTCAGCCGGCATTGTGACTGCGCAGAGGGTCATGTTTCGTGATCTTCGACGCAAATCACTCACATTTGACATGGCGGGCGTAGATCTCGCGGTCCTTCAACCGGGCAGTATGTGACATGAAGGTGTAACCCAACCCTCATTCTTCCCACAGCTGTCTATGCACAATATAACTCACCTGGCTCCTCACTGCTGCAGTCCAGCCCAAGCTGAAGCATGAAGAGGACGTTCGCGACTGCGATTGGAGAGAGCCGTTTGGGGTCCACAGATGAATGCCTGAATCAAAGCCTGTAGGAACATGAACGATTATGCAAGCACAGGGAGCAATACTGGATTGCCTGCATTGGCGCCAATGCACCATGCGGCCTTACGAAAGACGAAAACTCAGGCGGCTGGATAGAGCAGCGGTAAAAAGTGCATGAGAGAAAGGGCTGGTTTTGCGGTCACCGGCCGCCAGGGTTGGTTAACGTTCGAAGAAAACTTCCTAGAAGGTAGCGGTTTGCTGTCGTGATGAGACCTATGTTGTGGCGTTTACAGAGCACACGAGTGGGAAGTGTAGCATAGTGAACAGTGCTCGTCGTCGTTGCTAGGAAACGGGGGTAGATCCGACTGCGGCCGTTTGGACTTCGCGGCAACGCTTCCCGAAGGCGCTGCAGGGAATAGAGTGGATCACGAAGCGATCAAGGCGTGTTTATGCGCAGCCTTTCGGGGAGTTGACTTGGTTGACCAGCATCTTCCGTCCGTCTTCTGCCAACATCAACATCCTTGTGTATACCCACGTCGCTCGTTCCTTATTGCGCATTGTACTCGTCTCCAGTAGCAGCAACTTCCAGCACTGCGCGGTGAATCCCGGGCTTCACTGCATGCACTCAAGACTACCTTACCTTAATCGATAAGCTGAAGCGTACAGCTCGACTTGCTGCGCTGGCACTTCTCAGCAGCAGCATCCACCGGAACGTTGCAACCTGCTGTTCCGCTCTCACAGCGCACCCTTTGCACCACGCAAACAACGATTTCCGTCGCTGAGTCAACGACGAGGCGCAAGAGACCCGGTTGCGGATCACTGCACCACTGCTCATTGCAACACAAGAGCAACGATTGGCGGAAGCGGCAGCGTTACACAAAGCGAGCGACCGCAGACTACCGCGGGCGAGGGAGCTCGAACTAATCTCCGCCACACGCGCAATCCGGTGTAACTCATATTGACTAAGCGTTTGTGAGCTCAGTCTCGCTCTTCTCAGCAAAACATCCGTTTGCGATATGCATCGCGTTGCCGGTAGCACTTTCTTCGCTTAAGCGTTGGGAAGCATGGGCGTCGACAGTCGCAGGCCGCCGCTTCCGGCGCCGACGGAGTCGACGGACGAGAACTCACCCGTCGAGACCGAGCTGGCCACTAACCTCACAGCACGCACCGACAAGACCAGCTACGAAATACCGGAGGATGGCAGCCCGATTACCATATCTACACAGAAACTCACGGGCGGCAAGGAGCTAGGCCGCTCGACACACCACCGGCAGAAGAGTCAAACATCATTACTTATAGAGTACTTCGAAGGCTCCAAGACTGGCGACAAGGTCAAGAGCCGGCCGAGCGTTCGAGTCAAGGTTACACCGAGTGCGACGAAGAAGGGTAGGCATGGTGGACACGACGCAATTCAGATCACGAACATTGGCAAGGATCGCAAGGCTTCTTACACCCGGCGCATTTCGCTGAGCAGCAGCAAGAACGTCGAGACAGGCTTAGCGCCAGGCGAGGGTACGGAAATCAGTCATTCTTCGGAGAGTAACGTCTCAGCACGTCCGCCCATCGAGATCGAAGTATTGAATCACAACGGCAGCGACATGTCGAACGGTCGATCTTCGCGCGGTTTGCTGTATGCGCAGAATGAATCGAATGTATCGTCTATGCCGCCTGATAGCATGCTTGAGGGCAGCAGGATCACAGACAGCGACCTTAGCCGCGATCTCCACCACGACGACGATATCACAGTCACAGAAGAGGACCACTTGAAAGCTCCAGCAGATGCGCGCAGCCGGAGCGCGAGCCACGAGCGCCTCGCACAGAAGGTTGTCGAGAAGCTTGGCCAAGGCGCGACGAGATCGTACAAGGGCGCCAGCACCACTCGAGACCGCAGCTACGGCAAAGAGTACGACGACGATGACTACGACCGAGAGCGCCGAAGGCACAGGTCACACTACCCAGGAGATGATTCAACCATCAGCGGCAACGGCTCGAGCATGCTGTCGTATCGTTCCGGCTCGTCGCAAGCTTCGCGTCTTTCCAACAACCCGAGGTTACTGGAGGTCGTCGAGCAAACGATCAAGCGCGTGATCATGCCCGAACTCAGAGCCATCAAGGAAGATCAGCGTGCTGATCGCAACTTGCGCTCCTTCGACAGCGGTCGTACCACCATCCCGAAAGACGGCTATGAGAGCCCAACGCTTGAGCGGCGTGTCAGCAAGTCATCAAGCACACCGCATCTCTCCAGCAAGCCGAAAGTAGTCCTCAACCGTGAAGGTGATGATCCTGGCACTGTTCTGTCACGTGGGGACTCTGAGCGCCAGAAGATACGCAAGTCAAGTCGCGAGTACATGGATCGTCCATCCAGCAGGAGATCTTCGGGTACGCAGTCGCAGCAAGGTGATGGGTACGACGAAGAGGGCAAGGTGCGCCGCAAGTCTAGCCGAAGTAGCCACGGTCTTCGCGACGCAGCCGCTGCAGGAATGGCTGGTGGCATCCTGACCGCGGCCGCACTAAAGTCGCACGACTCGCAGTCAGACACGCATGAGCGTCGCAAGAAGCGGAACAGATCCCACGGTAGCCGCAGTCGTTCGACGAGCATTGCCGAGACCAACGACGAGGCGTACGGCCGCCAGGAAGAGATCCCGCCCCTACCGATGGCCAGTCGTATCAACGACTCGGATGTCACTCGCGAAAGCATTCTTTCCACCTCAACTGAGCGGCCGTCCGAGATCATGACGCCAATCCGAGAGGTGTCACGTGGCTCAGTGGGAGACGCAATGTCTCCCGTAAGCGGACGTACGCCGACACGGACGCCAGTGTCTGGGTCGCGAGGATTGGGCATGAGCCACACAAACTACTCTATCGACAGTCCGACCAACAGCATCTCTGGAAAGGCACGGATGGCTGGCCTTGCTGCTGCGGGTCTCGGTGGACTTGCTGCTGCAGAAGGCGTCGGAACTCATCATCACGACTCGGTCGATGCTGATGGCTATGGGGAGACTATGTCACGACGTGGCGTCGCAAGTCCAGCTCAGAGCGTCTCGAGTCTCAAGAAGCAGTTCGAAGAAGAGGAGTCGCTCGTACCGCAAGGCCTGCGCCCTAAGAGCGCCGCATCAAGGTCATCAGCCGGACGTCTACGTGAAGCGCGGCTCTCCCCTAACTCCATCCGTTCTTCGCCCACGACACAGCGACTCGCGGCATCAAGGCAGCAATCGCAGAATGTCAGTGGTGACGAATTCATTACACCGCTTGAGCGGCCCGATGCTTCCTTCATGCGTGAGACCACTCCTGGCACGCCAACTGGCGGAGAAAGCATAGACGAGTGGTACGAGCGCCAGCATCAAGTCAATGACCGCTATCGCCATTCGCTCGGAGAGGCGACAAACCGCGACTCGTACCAGACTAATCCTTTTCCCGAGGATGACCGGCGTTTCACGCGGTACACGGACGACAGCTTCGATGAGCCGGTCGAGGAGGTTGCCGAAGACGAGCAGAATGTGAAAGGCGTCGGCGCAAACCCCATTTTCCAGCAGCCTGCGGGGATTGAATCTAACGTGGCTTCACTGATGGAGCCTTCAACCATCAGCAGCAATATGCGGACTTCGGAGGATAGTCCGGTCAAGTCTAGTGGCACCTACGCAAGCCGTATGGCGATGGCGGACAAATTGCGCGAACTGGACAAAGAGGGTCCGCCAGCTATGTACGAGGGCTCTACGCTCAGCCAGACCATGCCCAGCCCGGATCGCTGGGCTGCGATTAAAGCACAAGTGTCTGGCGCTAATAGCAGAGAGAATGTAAGGTCACTCGGCTCGCCACATCAAAGTCCGGCGAGGAGTCTCCGTGAGCAGCCCTCGGCGCCAGTTATGGGAGCTAGTGGCTTGCCGGTTGCTGACGATCCATTACCGGAGATTGGACATTATGATGATACTAAGTCGGAAATCTCGACGAACCCTTCAATCATTCATGGTCCGCTGGGTGGCGATATTACGGGGAAGGATACTTGGCCGTATACACCTGAGCCAGAGTCTGCGAAGAGGGAGCTCGCCACTCCGGGACAGAGGTCGTTGCGTGGTACGCCAGGTAAGGGTGATGGTCTGTTCGCGGCTGCTGCTGGCGGTGCTGCGGCTTTGGCGGCGGCGCATGCTGCAAAGCAGCCGACTGTCGAAGACGAGCATGCTTTGCGGCGCGAGTACTCCCCAGTTGTGCGACACGCGGGTAAGGAAATTGACCGTGAAGCGACGCCAACCGGCAGCCCTGCCGCCTTCCGGGATGAAGGATATGCAACGGATGTGCATGGCCGGTCGACTGATGCCATCACTCCACAGCCACGCTATAGCAAGGAGGACATGGAGGACTATCAACGTGCAATGGACGCCCACGACGATGATCCCTTCACGACGACAGATGTCAAGCATGCACGCCATGTCAGTGGCAATTCGCACGGCATTGCGTCTCCGCTCTACGACAGCGCCACCGGAAAGGGCATCAATGGGATTCAGTCCAAGGACATCGTTGCCCTTATGGATCACCTCACCGTGCGAGATGCTCAACGCAATGCTCGCGATACCGAAATCTTGGTGACACTGGTCCGCAACGCCGCCGAGCTGCGGCAGTCGTTTGACGAGATGAAGCAGTTCATCAAGGATCAGGACCGGCTGATTATGGCCAATACGGATCGCGATGCGGAGCAGCTCCAGAAAGTGCTGAGCGGACCGCGTCCACAGCCTCCAGGCACGCCTCGCACTACGCCCAGACGCGACACGTCTTCGCAAGAAGATGTTCAGGCGAAGCGGAAGGGTGTGCTGAGACGTGCGCTCAAGGGCCTCACCGGTGGCAGACGCGCGGATGATCTTGCGAAGTTCGAGGGTATGCTTATGGAGATATTGGAAAACGTGGAAGACTTGAAGCATGGCGGGGTTAGTGCTCGTCAGCCTACGGGGTACACGAATGATACGAACGACACGCTTGACTCCTACGCGAAGCTTCGCGCCGCTCCCGACTCCGGCTACGAGCCAGAGGGCCATGCAGGTACATCGAGCACACCAAGCCACTCTGGCGATTTCGAGACGCCGCCGAGGATCGAGAAGCACCAGTTCCATTCAGGCTATGATGGTCGACGAGGCTCGGTCAACCGCGTTAGCACTGTGATGGAAGGTGATGAAGATGAAGAACTTACGCCTGACGAAGACCATCTGCTTCATCATCAGTTCGAGAACAATGAGCGGATGCTCACGCCCACGCAAGAGACGATCCGTGACCAACGCGGCCAGTCGCCGAATGATACGCCTTACCACGGTGCGGAAAGGTACGCAGATGGGAATGGACATACTGCGGAGCTTACCCCAAAAACCGCGGACAAGCAGCGCAAGCATAAGAGCAACAGTTCGTCAATCTTCGGCTTCGGTGGAGGGCCGAAGATTTCGCGCTGGTCCAAGACGACCTCTTCGTCTGCGGCTCCGGATCGGACGTCGCTCGACAGTCCGAATGCGGCGCGCGGTGTACGTCCGCTGTCAGCGGCATCACGGTCAAGGTCGCAGATTGATAAGTACGATGATGAAGACTACGATGTTCATCCAGACGACCGTCTGCGGTCGACGCAAAGCCTGGCAAGAGACCAGCAGCGGCCAGTATCTCAGGCGGAGACGAGGAGTATGCGGAGTCAGGCCAGCAAAATCACTCGTACGCCTTCACCGTTGGTCCCGTCCGAGGCTTCCGTTGATCGGGATGTGGACTACCGTCATCGTGAAGCTTCTCCCGTTCAGTATGACGATGAGCACGAGTTCGATGACCCGAAGTACCAGGCCCACCGCAACTCGCTGCTACTCCAGCACCCCCAGCCTCGACAAGGTCCCACCGGGCGCCACCAGAACAAATTAGAAACGCAAGCAGAAGACTTTGACGATCCTTCCGGTACCAACAGCGATGTCTCCCAACGTACTACGAGTGACTTCGACCCAACGATGTGGGGATCTTCCGGTACAGCCGCGCTTGCGCGCAACCGACTGAGCCAAGCCGAACCTATGAGCCCGGCCAGCGGAGGAGGATATGGCGGCACCACAGCAGAAAGGGATGAAGGACCGCTGATTCCACAACAGAAGCCCCAATCTCGGATCCACGAGACGGTGCCGGAATCCGACTGGGAGCCCACATACAGTAACAGCGGGTTCAGCAAAGGCGGCTATTACGCAAGCCCGTACGGATCGGGACATCTGCTTGAGCCGATTGAGGAGGTTCGGTATAGTCTGGAGACGGATAGTGGACATGTAAGTTTCTTCACGTAGCCAGCCAGCCTGGCAGGTGTTTGTGATGGCGTGTGTGTGAAGCTAATCATGTTGTGCAGTTGTCTCCTGAGCCCCAGACTGCACAGGCGGTTGACATGCGCCACAAGGGTCGTAAGATCACGGGTCCGAGACCGATGGGGCGTACTCGCAGTCCTGTGGCGCCACAGGCGAGGATTGTGGAGCACAATAATGGGACGGTTCGTCGGAAGCCAGTGGCGAAAGGTACGACATAACTAGGCTTTGAGGATGAGGAATTGAATGCTTACGTGGTGGTTGCAGCTTCTGAAGACAGTCTTGAAAGCGATGGGTATTGATATCAACCATGTGAAGATGTGCAGACACGAGCTCATAATACGAGACGGTCGTTGGGTGTTATGAGGGAGGATCAGAACGCCACAACATGCGGCAGAGTTGGCTCGCATAGGCCTTGTACATGGTGTGGTACTCTCTCATCTTTCGAGATCGATTATCAGGGGTTGCTGTTGTGTGCAAAGACGGTAATCTGACACAGTGTATTCCGGGAGAGAAGTGTGTTGCACGCGCATTTGCCATAACCGGCCGAAGCCACTTAATGTCGATGGTGAATGACAAGCCCGAGGCAAATATCCAGGCTGCAACAATCTTGGACCTCTAGTCTTGGCAAGGTTCCTGATGTTCATGTACCTCAGGTACCGAACGCTGAACTGCACGCGGCAGCGTATCCCGGGAAAACAAAAAGGCATGAGAAAGATTGTCGTATATGGAAGGTAAAGAACGCTTGTGGGTCTGATCCTACCGATCGCACACTGTGGGAGAGTACTTACAACAAACCCAGTGGCCACAACGTATCGTTAGCTCGGTCGACGCATCGACCGAGCTATGCCCAAGCAGGCGCGGCATTTCGTTAACAGCGTGAGGAGTCAGATCCGTGTAAGCGGTTTGCCGATGGTACCGAGTGGAGAAGCATCCTGCATTGGTATGCCAGACTCTCCCGCCACCTCGATGCTTTTGCAACGCCAGATTGTGCCCTGCAGGGCCAGCGATTGCCGTAATCCAGAGCGTGCGATTCGAACTGCAGGAAATAAGGCGGCGTGAACTCCTGTCTCTTATTGTAGTCATGTAGTTGAAGATCCACTCACGGCATCGTCTGAGGTGGGCCTAGAGGCCGCAGTGGGAGTATGCGCCTACAGAGCCGCATGCGGCATGCTTAGATAATACCTAACTACAGCTCTTGAGGAGCATGACTTGTGGCGGTTCCCTCGGTTCTAGGCTGGTCAGAATTCAGGGCGATCTGATAAAGGGAGCAGCGCGGAGCGTCTGGCTGGCCAAAACCCTGCCTGAGCTTGGCTGGAGCGCTGTCTCGTGATCATAAAGTCCCTATCAATCACTGTAAATATCGTGAATATCACCATGGCTGAGGGGATCGTGTCGATCAGGCAGGGTGCTCGTTTGGAAACTGCGGATTGTAGGTACATCTCGGCAGTGCGCTTCACGGGATACGCAGCGCATTTGGCCTGCTCGGCAAGGGCAAATCGTTGTGATGCAATGGTGGCGAACCCGCTTCGCTTTCCGCCTGAATGGAGTCACGGCATGCTGGGAACACAAGGTATGACCCCGAGCCTGACCGAACCATAGATGATGAGGCTCAAACGCCTCGGTGGCGTGCCGGTTAGGATGGCCGTAGTCCGAGCGTTACGGTTAGCCGCTACCTCTCCCCACAAGCACGCGATGCTGGCGAGGGACGAGAAGGCCTCGAGCGCGCTGCATGCAGGCGCGGCAGTGTGACTTATAAGGGCCCATTCCTACATATTGCGCGGAGAAGAATGGGTTTCAGACATTCTGAAGCTACCGTAGGTGTCGCTGCGAAACGGTTGTGCTCGATGGAATTTCGTTATATGACGGCGTTCCTTTCGAGCTGATCTCGATTCCGCCATTGAATCGTCGATTGCAACGTGCACTATTCTCCGTCACGCATTTGGCATCTTTAACGCTACAGGGAGCTTGCGATGCATCGGGTGGAGCACGCGTGATGCGGACGTCCAGTCTTGACTTCGCGATGTCTATTTGCCTCAATACTGTCCTTCAGGTTACAGGCGATGCGAAACCAGGACAGCTATATCGACACTGTGCCCCACCGTTCTCGGCCGGCGCAGACATCTCCGGTGCTCTGATGTCTAGCGCTGGAAGACATCAACCACCGCCATTGATTGCTGCACGGTCAAGCAAAGGCAGCGACAGCGGTAGTGGTGACGGGTCGCGAACCCCCACAAACTCCGAGCAGCGCTTAGCAGGAGGACGACCGAAGCGGACGCTCATTGAGAGTGCATGCTCAGCATGTCGAAGAAGGAAGTCGAGGGTACGTACTCACCACCTACTGGTAACATTAGCTTGGCTAACGCTTGGCACAGTGTGACGGTGCAAGGTATGTCGCCATTACCATCCTTGGCGCTATGCTATTTGACTGACAGCATCATCCAAGGCCATCATGTACTCGCTGCCAGACGTTGCGTACCAACTGTCAGTATGAGGCCGAAGAGGGCGAAAGCCGGTGGTCAGCCCTCCGTCGCCGCAATCACATCCTGGAAACTGAGCGCAACGAACTACGCGAATTGCTGGGCTACTTGCAGAGTCTATCGGAGCCCGACGCTCAGGAGCTCTTCCACCGCATTCGTAACGGAGGCTACGAAGAAGTGTTCACTCTCGTTGCGCAACTCCGCGAGCGTGACGGCGTAACGCAGTTGAACTCGCTTCCCAGACCGCCACCAATGCTCCACCAAGGATCAACTTCGAGCTCCTCGGGCAACGAGCAACGCCTGCCACCGATCTCGGTCATGTTCGAAGTCTCGTCAGGAGGGCCACCTCCGGCCAACGTACCTGCACTCAACAACTACTACACCTCGCCGACTGCGCCCACGTTCCCTCCGAATCTCCCTCGAGCACAGAGCGACGGTTCGAATTACAGCCGCGGTTCGCAATCGTCGAATGATTATCCATGGTCCGCAACGTCAGCACCCTGAAAGGAGTTACCGAAGTACATATAAACATCCCCATGATGATTTTGCTTCCGTCTGTCCGTGTGATATCCCGCAATCCGCTGTCGGACAGCAGCTCTTGTTTTCACTCAAGCGTGGATGGCACGTCAATCATCACATCGTGTTTACGGCATTCGAACGAAATGCGCACATTAATAGACAGGGAGCCCATGTCGATACTGGAATGCATGCAAGCATAGTTACGGCGTTTTACAGGCGGTCGGAGAACAGTCACTCTACATCGTGAATACACGTAGAGGTAGGCCTGAAGTCTACATACAACGGACTCGGCGCTAAGACAGCGATTGGCGGTAGACAGACTGGCGTGAAAATCTGGCAAGGACGGGCGTTTGCATTGCATAGTTGTACTGCGAGCGGGCTGCATAGAAACAGCTAAGGATTCGGGAGAAGGCGTTAGGCGTCAGTCGAGCAGTACCTAGTCGTTTTGAGCGGGTCCGGCTATATCGAGTAAGAGGTATCGCGGTACTCGAACGATAGCAACGACTGGTGGCACTCACCCAGACTTTCTCTGCGAATGCTACTTGCCAAGTTACTTGGCTGCTAGACCAGAGAGATGACTCCTTGAATGATGAGAATAGCGGCAAATAAGGTGGCCAGAGATTGTGCCTCTTGTCGTCGAGACAGCAGTCTGATGAAGGATAGACGGTCCGCAAGCCTCCACCGCTTCCTCCAGCACAACGCAGCCCCCAATGACCCCGGCAGAGAAGCGTTCGGAGACAGCGTCACAGCGGTGAGACGCGCACGCAGTTGCCGAAGGAAAGCCTATCTGTCAGCCCTACGTCTCGGGCCTGACCGTAGAGCGAGGCGATGAACCCCTCACTAACCCCAATGGAGGACACGCGGTGCCCACAGCAATGACGGCGCAGCGCTGGCTCCAAGATTGCATCGTACGCCCGGTTGTAAGCGCTGACACTGAAACACTGATATACATCTGCCGCAGCCGCTTCGTCCAGTTGCTCGTCTTCCCACCTTCACCTTTATTGCCCATGCCAGCCGCCCACACTCGCTTCGCAGATCTGCAGTATTAGCGAACGGCTGACGAACCGTTTGTGGAGAACGCTCACCGGTTGGAGCTTGACCCTGCAGCATCTGGACCGTTTACTGGGAACAGAAGCTGGAACCCTTGGCAACGGCAAGGCGGACGGATTATTGCAGAGGAAGTCACAGATCCTTATAGCGATTTGACTACACGCATTCTTGATCGGTATCTGCTACAGAGCTTAGACGGCCATGGGCGACCCAAACCTACATGGCCGCAAGGTCTTCAAGGTGTTCAACCAAGACTTCATCGTAGACGAGCGGTATACCGTTACAAAGGAGCTTGGGCAGGGTGCATACGGTATTGTCTGCGCAGCCACGAACAATCAGACGGGGGAGGGTGTCGCAATCAAGAAGGTCACGAATGTTTTTAGCAAAAAGATCCTGGCCAAGCGAGCGTTGCGTGAGATCAAGTTGTTGCAGCACTTCAGAGGCCACCGTAACATCACGTGCCTGTACGACATGGACATTCCCCGACCGGATAACTTTAACGAGACTTATTTGTACGAAGGTAAGACTCAGCGACCGCGAGAGCGCGATGATGTCAAGTGCGCTGACGTGATGCGACCGGTAGAACTCATGGAGTGCGATCTGGCAGCCATTATTCGCTCCGGCCAGCCACTCACCGACGCACACTTCCAATCGTTCATCTATCAGATCCTATGCGGTCTGAAGTATATCCACAGCGCGAATGTATTACATCGCGACCTGAAACCCGGAAATTTGCTCGTCAATGCCGACTGCGAGCTCAAGATTTGCGATTTCGGTCTTGCACGAGGCTTCAGCGTGGATCCGGAGGAGAATGCCGGTTACATGACGGAGTACGTGGCGACGCGGTGGTACAGAGCACCGGAGATTATGTTGAGCTTTCAGAGCTACACCAAAGCCAGTACGTTACCACTCACCCACCGCAGACCGTATCTCAATGCTGATGTGCATGGACAGTCGACGTTTGGTCTGTGGGTTGCATTTTGGCCGAACTGCTCGGTAGCAAACCGTTCTTCAAGGGTCGCGACTACGTTGATCAGCTCAACCAGATCCTGCACTACCTTGGCACGCCATCCGAATCTACTTTGTCGCGGATAGGATCGCCACGCGCCCAAGAATATGTTCGCAACCTGCCATACATGAGCAAGATCCCCTTCCAACAGCTCTTCCCGCGCGCTAACCCCGACGCGCTCGATCTGCTGGACCGCATGTTGGCCTTCGACCCGAGCCAACGTATCGGGGTCGAGGAAGCGCTCGAGCACCGCTACCTGTCCATCTGGCATGACCCGTCAGACGAGCCATCATGCCCGCAGACTTTCGACTTCGCCTTTGAGGTTGTCGAGGATGTTCCTGAGATGAGGCAGATGATCTTGGAGGAGGTGCGGCAGTTCCGACATGCTGTTCGTACGCCGCAGCATCTGCAGTATCAGCAAGGTATTCAACAAGCAGGCCAACCTGTACCGATTCCGCAAAGCTACGATCCGCGAGCGTATGAGAACCCTCGACCGCAGGAGGTGCCGGACCGAACGGCGAATGATCTGGAGAGAGAGCTTGCCATGCAATGAGCTGGATGTTGCTGTTTATTGCTGGTTTGAGGATGTAGCGGCTTTGCGCGCTGGAAGCGTGAAGCTAGAGTAAGCAACACTGCTGTTTGATTGGTTGAGGGAGTAATACGGATCCTCTGGAATGAGGCACTCATAGCTACGGCTAGAAACCATGAACCTGCCAAAAGCCACGATTTCTCTCGGGTGCATATGTGATACGGACTGTAACCCGAATGCTGACCGCCCGCCCACACTAGTACGAACACGTGCTTCTCTACCTTCTACAACGAACGGCAAGCAAAGCCGCCAAGGTTTGTACACCATGCTGGACACAGTCTCTCGACTTGGGACTAAGCATGGCTGGATCAAGCACTACCTTCTTATTCCCGACACTGGTGAGGGACCAAGCTGCTGACGGGTGCCATGGCCTTTGCAGGACGTTTTACTCCGTCGGGGATGATTAGGGCCACGACAAGAGTTGTCTGACCATTTCCACTACCCAGCATGAAACACAGCCGACAATACTTGGCCACGGTATATTCAGAACAGGCTACGTTGTTGGGGTTGAACACAATCATAATATGAAACTCCCTCACCACTCCCATTGATCAACTAAAGTGGCAAAAGAGCTACTAAGGCTTGGCGTAGCATATCTAGCACAAGCTACAACTTGGGAAAATACTACAGGCTTCATGTTTCTCATCACATTAAGACGGACAAGAGGAGCTAGCCTAAACGTTGCGAATATTGCACTGAGTGCACATATGTTCGACAATGCCGCGTACCTCCGTGCTTTCTTTCCTTTGTAACATCTGGAAAGTACACAACCCTCACCAACATCCTCACCAGAGAACAACAGCTACGCAACACCCCAATCGGAACCAGCGTCATGAAGACCGGCGCATCTCTACTTTTCGCTCTTCTCGCGCGTATCGTATCCGCCGTCCCACCTCCGGCGGCCTCTTCCGAGCTTCAAGAACGGAAGGTCGACCCCGAGACAGTTGGTACCTGGTCCTTCAACGGGGGGGGAAAGATGTGCGCCAACTTCTGCAACCACTTTCCGTACAATTGGAGATGTGTTCATCCAGACCAGTGGCCGAAGGAGTGCTTCGCGCAAGGGCCGGACGACGTCGTCTTTACGCCCCCTTACGTAGGGCCAGTGAGGAGTAACGGAGTCTAGGTGGCTTGTTTGGCGGTAAGCTGTCATGTTGACAAATATGAATTGGGACAAGCCCCGCTGACTGTCATGAATAAGGGTGAGACGGTCATTCGCAGAAACGGTCGCTACACTAACTGGGGTACATGATAATAGTTAGCGTAAGGTGGCAGCATTTTTTCAGAGAGGGTATGACTGATGCGTTCTTGGTATGGTTCATGTTGTTGCACACATAGTTTCTCAACCGTCTGTCTTCACCACACAAGTGTCTGCGGGTCTGCGGCCGCAAGATGCCCGCTGGGTCCGCTTCCCAATCTCCATCCCCTCGCTCAATTGCGCTCATGCTTGCGTTACATACATCTTCTCTAGCCAACGCCCTGAATTCAATCCTCCCGAGCACCACTCATGGCACCCAACATTGACACCACCGCCCTCTCCAAATCACCCGAGCTCTCAGATGTTCTCACTCAGCAGGCTCAAGCAGGAGGCTACGACTGTCTTCCGTGTCGGCTGATGGGTCCGTCATGCCCGTCCCAATTATGGCTCGCTTGCACACTTCGCTAACGCAGTGTAGGCAGCGCTGTGTTCACAGGCATGGGCATATACTCGTGGGCCTCCGGGACAAGCCAGCTCCGCAAGCGCGAACTTGAGATTCTCCGGTCCAAGTCTTTCTATACGTTAGGCATGCGCAAGGCATCGATCTGGGTACTTTCGGGGAGCTTGGTATCGCTCGGAATATACAGATTATACAACTGAGGGCTACGATAGCCCGCCTGATAGTATGAGCCCTACGCTGGGAGTTGCTCTTCAACGCAAAGGAGGAGGTGGAGCGTGACGGGCTGGTTCACCACGCATGTGCAAGTCAGTGGGTCGAGAGCTTTGGTTGCGCACCTGAGTGGCACTAACATGTTGCACTCGAAGATTTGCATTATACTGTCTCGGACTACAGCGATTGCATCGGCTACGGACATATCTTTCACAGCAGCCACGCTACCACAAGACTTGCGCAACCTAGCAATGCGAAAGCCGAAGACTCATACGCGCTCGTTGCTGCTCCGGAAAAGGTTGCCGGCGCGCTTCCCGATGGAGTCGTCGTGCTCGCGTTCGTCGACGTCGCCGTCCCATTGGCTGCAGTAGCGTTGCCGCCAACAGTGGCCGGAGCTGTGGAGTTGATATCCAACAATGGGCGAGCTGGGAGATTCGCCAACAAAATCTCTAAAGCACTCAGCTGTTGACCTAACCCCTGCGTCCCATCCCATGAGGAGCGCGTCCAGTCACTTCCGCAGATACTGCCGGAAGTGCTGTTGGAACACTGCAACGCCGCGCCCTGTGCCGAAGCCTGCAGAATCCGGTTCACGAGCCCATGAAGCGTCCCGAGCACTGTGGAGGCGGTGCCGTTAGGAGATTGTCGCCTGATCGTAGTGTCAAGAGTCAGATCTCGGGCCGTGGCAAGTCCACGAGCGAGTATAGCGCGGAAGGCGAGCTGGTCGGTGTTGCAGGTGTTGCTCGGTGCGCAGGCGATCTCGGTCAGAATGTTGTCGTTGTTAGCGAAAGTCGAATTGGCATTGACAAAGAAGCTGAACGGGAAGACATTCCAATATGTGGTCTGAGTCTAGACTCGAAGTATATTGTTAGCCCTGTCGGTACTCAAATGCTGGGCAGAAGCGTCACGTTACGTACGTAATTGACTGCGTATGAGCTGCCGCTTAAGAAAGTACCGGCATTCGACGTCCACTGAAGATGGTTCCACTGCGAACAGTTGGTAGTCGTGTCTGTACCGTCCCAAATCGCACCTGCACTGCCGTTCGCAGTACTGATCATACCGACGCCGTAGGACCATTCGAGCGTTGATCTTGCCCAGTCAAGGTACGTCTGGTTCCCAGTGTATCTGGCCAGACGTGCAGCGAGCTGGAAGAAGTTGCCATTGCTCAAGGCTTGCTTGTAGTTGTAGCCATTGTTAAAGGTGTAGACCTGCCATCGCAGCCTGCAAGGACAGTCACCGTTAGATGCGGTCGCGAACCGACATATTGTGATTAGGATTACTCACCCGCCGTTACACGTGCTGTTATCCCAACGAGCGGCCTGGGAATTGAAGACATTCTGTGCTAGCTGCAGCCAGGTGGGATACGTGCGATTGGCCCCGCCTGACGCCTTGGGGAAGCCATGCTCTGCAGCTGTCATCGCGGCCAGAGCCCAGGTACTCTGGTCATCGTTGCCTTCGCTTTTGGTCTGATTTGGAGGCGTGAAGTCCGAGTTTGGGCCGATCTGGTACAAGAGGCCTTCGCGGACAATGTCGTTGTACGATGAGTCTCCTGTCAAAGCCCAGTAATTGATCAAAGAGTCCCATGCTAGGCCAGACTCCCACCAGTAGTACGGATCGGAGAAGACGCCTGGGACTGTGCTGGTGTTGTGATAAATAGCAAGGATTTGTGCTGCGATTGACCTGGAGGCTGTAGTCATAGACTGAGTATTGTTAACATTGATTATTATAGCGTGGGAGCACTGTAGAAGCGCAAGCGTTGCTCCGACCGTGGGTAAGACTGCTTGTAAATGCATATTGAGCGGAGCGTAGGAGAAAGAACAAGGAATCAGTAAGGTAGGTGGAAGCGCGAATACTTAACCAAAACTGTATCATGGTCGATGAGAGTTCTCACCTCTGAGGACGCACGTCGCTGCGAGTAACGTTTAGTAAAGTCTCGCAATCCTTCAGTGGGCAGTGTTGTGTCGACTACTTGGCACCATCATGTCAAGGAGTGCTGTAACTTCCGCGGATGTTGGCGTGGCCTTGGCAGCGGCTCAGACGGATCGTCACGGCGATCGGAAAGATGGTGACTAAAGACGGGTCATGGCGAAATGACTGCGGAGCCATGAGATTGCGGACAGGCAGGCGCGAACACGAAGTGTTTGAGCAAATAGTCATGGCCAAGGGCTGCACCTTTGCGGCTTACAGTGCACGGACATCTCGGTCGTTCCGCTCATGATGCTCCAAGTACGGGTCTAGCCAGCTCCCGCACATCCGACGTTCTGCCGTCAATTCCGGCAAAGCGAAGATGCTTGACTTCAGAGGTCGACCTTCACCACTCCTCACTCTAATTCTGCAGAGTGCCAAAGTGACTGGCTATTCGAGCGGTCCTTCTCGGCCCACTACTCCGAGCTGCCGTATATGCCATTCGTGTCGCTAACCATCGCTTGCGATGCGATGGCGCACGTCTGCAGGGTACGTACTGGTGGCAGCCCTATTGCAACACCAGGTCTCGTGATGACGGCCATCCAACCAGAAGTCTCATTGTGCGCCACAGTTGTTCGCACGGCTGGCGAGCGCAGGAGTCTAGCAACTGTGGCATGGGTGCAAAATGCTAATGTGGATTCTGTATCTTTTAGAGATCGTCAGTCTCCACGCCCTCCCACGGATAGATCATGATCTCGACTTCCGCAGCGTATTGAGACTGAGAGCGCAGCAGTACAGGTCGGTGGAGAAGATTGTCTAAGCCGCGACCACACGGGGACAACTATGTCTTATTGAGCTTCATTACCAGCGTGAAACCTTAATGTCGTCTACGCCGAGTGTGGCCATTATTGGAGAAGACTGAAAGGCATGTTCCCGCTCAGTCATCCTCACCCCGCATTCGTCTCGTATTAGCCAATGCTTTACATCCTCCCTACACACTTGACCTTTCCAGGATCTGCCAAGCTGCATTGATCGCATATTGCAGGAGTGGTTGGCCCTAGAGTGTCGCACAGGCAGCGAGACTTCCAGTAGGTAGCCTCACCGGACGGTAGGCACGTGAAGGGATGTAACACACCCCCGCATATAAGCTGGCTGCTGCCGCCCCATGACCGGTGCGACGCTCTTCTCGCTCTCTGTGCCATACTTTTGCTACTCTTGGACAGTTAAGCTAACTAACAATATGGCAATGAATGGGCACAAGTGGGTCCCGCATGACTGTACTTAGGTGCGAGTATCAGCTGAACATTTACAGCGACGGCATCGCCGGGCTCAAGAATGAGTTGTATGTGGGCTCCAACAGTTTCAACCCCGGCGGGGTCCGCACCGATCCAGATGCCATCCGCAGGCAGAGCGTGGCCGCCATGATGAACAACGCAGCGGGCGAGATCCGCAATCCGTTACTTGGTTTCTCGAAAGACCAGCTAATGGACGATGTCGACGTGTTCGCAGAGAAGCACGGCAGTGCGTAAGCGGGTGTTCACTGACCCGAGCTGTTGCACTGACAACTCGATACAACAGTGCAGGAGCAAATCCCACTCCTGCGCAAGGGAGCACTGGTCGCTCAGAACCCGACCGACTTCGAGAACATCATGGAGCTAGACGACAACGATCGCCAGGCGCTCCGGGATGAGGTATTGCACCGCTGGCGGCACCCTTGGCCACTCTATCTGACGATCACCCTCTGCTCCGTCGCCGCCGCAATCCAGGGGTGGGATCAGACCGGCAGCAACGGGGCTAACCTATCGTTTCCTATCGAATTTGGCATTTCGGATCAGGTACCCTATTGTGATCCAGTCAACCCCAACGCACGTCGGTGCACCAACAACAGCTGGCTTATTGGGTTCATCAATAGCTGTCCATACATCGCCATAGCCGTCTTCACCGCATGGATATCAGACCCCATTAATGATTTGCTTGGTCGACGAGGGACCATCTTTCTCGGTAACAAGACATAGCCAGTCATTCATTTGCTTGATGGTCGCTGATGTCTCGCTATGTGTAGGTGCGGTATTTTCCTTCATCGCACCCATCGGATCAGGCTGCACGCAGTCTTGGCCGGAACTGGTTGTTTGCCGCATTTTACTCGGCGTCGGCATGGGTCTTAAAGAGGTCACAGTACCGGTATACTCTGCTGAAAACGCTCCGTCAGTGATACGCGGCGGCTTGGTTATGTCCTGGCAACTCTGGACGGCGTTTGGCATCATGCTAGGCTACTCGGCAAACCTAGCTGTTTTCCGAGTCGGTCCGATTGCGTGGCGCCTGCAGCTTGGGTCTGCTTTCATACCAGCCGTGCCCTTGCTGTTGGGCGTGTGGTTCTGCCCAGAATCACCCCGCTGGCTGCTCAAGAAGAAGAAGGTGTTAAAGGCCTACAAGGCGCTGCTCAGACTACGCATGGCGCCCTTGCAGGCAGCAAGGGACGTCTACTACATTCAGGCGCAGCTCGACCAAGAGGAGCGTCTTGTCGAGGAGAAGGGTCTGGCCAGGCATGCCAATCTCTTCACACGTTTTGTGGAGCTCTTCACGATTCCGCGCAATACCCGGGCGGTAGCAGCTTCTGGCATTGCTATGATTGCCCAACAGATGTGAGTTGCGAGGAAAGATTCCGTTTGTGCCCGCTAACGATAATTGCAGGTGTGGCATTAATGTATGCGAACTCCCTAACACGGCGATCCAATGTAATGCACTCTCGATGTCAGCTAATCTCCTCCGCAGATAATTGCCTTCTACAGTAGTACCATCTTCGTCGCGGCAGGCTTTCCGGAGACCAACGCCTTGCTCGTCTCCTGGGGCTTCGGCCTGGTCAACTTTGCTTTTGCGTTACCTGCAGTGTATACAATCGACACTTTCGGGCGGCGTGGTCTGTTAAACTTCACATTTCCCAATATGGCCTGGTCACTGCTCACTGCTGGACTATGCTTCCTCATACCTGCGACCGGGCCATCTTCTGAGGCTCATCTTGCGACTGTGAGGATGTCGCGAGCAACCAATGCGCCGGCTTGATAATCGGCTGATGGCGCTCTGTACAGGTCGCCTTATTCGTTTTCATCTTTGGAGCTTTCTACAGCCCTGGTGAAGGACCTGTGCCGGTAACGTTTCCCTTGTGGACAAGACGGAGTATGAGTTGCTGACACAAGATGCCATAGTTCACCTATTCCGCGGAAGTCTTCCCTCTCAGTCACCGTGAAGTCGGCATGTCCTGGTGAGCCCACGCAGAAGCCGGTCATCAATAGGTCCACTAATGATCCCTTGATTGTAGGGCCGTTGCAACGAATAGTAAGGCGCCTGAGCCTGCGGACTTACGTGAAAGCTAACAGATTTCATAGACTTCTGGGCGTCAATCCTCTCGCTGTCCCTTCCCGCCATGTTGATCGCCTTCACGCCAACTGGCGTGTTTGGCTTCTATGCCGGGCTTAACATCATCGCCTTCTTCCTCATCTTCTTCTTCATGCCCGAAACCAAGCAGAGGACTTTAGAGGAACTCGATTATGTCTTCGGAGTGCCAATGAAGACTCACGCTCACTTCCAGGGCACGAAGATGTTCCCGTGGTGGTTTAGACGGTAGGCACATCGGCGAAACGCGATCGGAACGCTGTAGCTAACGACGGTACCACGCTTCTGCAGGTGGGTTCTCTTCCGCCGAGGCGGGCCGATGCCGCAGCTTTATCATTTCGAAGACACTGCGGCGATGAGCCAGTATGAGTCGGAGAAGATCAGGGTTGCGCAGGAGGAAGATACGGCCGTCAAGCAAGTCTGAATATTTATTTCCTCCAATTGCATCCAGAGGTGGTCGCTCCACCAAAAGCTAATGGTTTGACCTGGGCAACGGAACACTTACTGGCTTGGAACAGTAACACTTTGACTGTGGCAATGTCCCGATCACACCAGCAGTAGGGGTATAGTTCGTCGGTGTGTGTAATTGAGCAGTAGTTGACAATTTGCTCAACCCTCGCTATCCAGAGTGTATGTCAAGTCGATAGCCAAGCAAAAGTATGCTCTCGGAGACTAATACCCGGCCCAAAGCAAGCATAAGAGCGGGAGCACGGCAGAGCCGAAACCTTTCTCCTAATTTGTCCGATGAACTTGGAGTCAAGAACAACTAATGAATGGTGTCATTTCTGTGCGCAATGCCAAAGATATCGAAGCATTAGTCTTACTTGCGTTATCTTGCTTCTTCCATCTCCACATACAATCTAAACAAAATCCACTGTCCAAGAAATAAAGTACAAACATCAGGAAGTCCGTCTGTCGGTGGCAGGGTACGATCGCCGAGACTAGCGACGAACCAGGACATAGCGCATTCGGTGGAGAGCCGTTACAAAGTCAACATAGACTAGCACTCTTGAGACGAGCCTGAACTTGACATCGCAGTATTGCTGGGCCATAGATGTCCAGGAGCATTGCATCGGTCTCTCGCAGCTATCGGTTCAAGTCTGTACGCGCGTTGACCACTAGGAAGAACTTGAAAGGTCAAGGCCAACGTAACGGGAATCAGCTATTCTTAGGGCCACCTGTAGCTCGCAAACTGCACGAATCGTCTGCAGGTCAAAGCAGATCGCTGGAGGCACGCAACAGTTCCACGCTCGTTTGCTCCAGCCAGGCGCAGGGTGATCGTCCTTCGTGGCTAGTCGCTAGACATTACTCCAGCATTTTTCTTGTTCGATCCCGCTACTTCAGAGACATTGACTATCGCATCAGTGGCGTCCGAGAAGCCTGATTGGCAAGTGCTCGATCTCCGCAAAGCTACATCCCGCCTAAGGCAATACCCTGCAGCAAGCATTGCGCGCAGCTAACTATCCCGGCTGGGGCTGCTCGCCTCGATGGACTACAACCAGCAGCAAGCTCAGCATGTTCCTCCTCCTCACACACCGCCCCGGAATCGCATCCTTGGGCCGCCGTTCGAGCGAACGCCCATTTCACCGGTTACCAGCAGATCCACGCCGAACAACGGGCCTGTATACGGGGTTCCGAGCCTGCAGTCCCTGCGGCATCCATACCGAGTTCATGATGCCTACGATTTGAGCCAGCAAGTAGTGTCGCCCGTCATGTCGAGGAGCGCGAGTGTTGCAAGCGATCGCTTCTCGACAATATCTGCTCTGACCTCAACGTACTTTCCACCAAACCCGCAGCATGTCAACCCACGACCGGCATATGTTGCGCCATTTGGTGCGGCACAGGTTGTTGGTGAGCATCGTGCGAGAGTCCCGGAATATCTGAGCGATGATGGCGATTCCAACCCTACCAAGGATGATGTGGACTTCTCCGATCCAGCGCTGGCACTTATCAATGCTTTCCTTGACCAAATGCTGTTCAGCTTCCTAGCAACTGCTCGCTCGACGACGCTTACTGCGCTTAAGCCCGCCGTGACTGAAGTGTTAAAATCCCGATTGGCGCGCGACGCAATCGCCAGTGCCGAAGAGGAGTTGCATGAACTCCTCGCCGGCGGAGATGAGGAAGAGGAAGTGAACACGAGTAAAAACTCCTCAGAGACCAACAGGAGATGGGATTTGGAGCTGGTGTGGAAGAGAACGAGGTTGAGAGTGATGGTATATATGCGCCTTGGTGAGATGGAAGATGATGATGAAGAGCGATATGTCAAGGAAGAGGAGCTGTTTCAGGGCAACGAGCGTCGATTCTCCCAGACTTCAGGCTTGGTATCTTGGGCCGCAGCGATATTCCTGACTGGCGTGCTAGAGTATATCGCCGAGCAGAGTCTTGAGATTGCTGGTAACGCTGCCTTTGCGCGCGCTCGCCGCCAGGATCGCAGCGCAAGATCTCCAACAGCCTTCGGTGATCGCACAGCAGTCATTGTTGAGGACCATGATGTTGAGAAGATTGCATTGAGTTCCACGCTTGGAAGGTTATGGCGGAATTGGCGGAAGCTGCTACGAAGCAACGCCGCCTCGGTCGGGTTCGCCCAGCCTCGGACTAGCAGTCGTCTCAACGGTGACATTCTAGAAAGACCCAGCAGCGCCGGTACTGACAGTGTGGATGAACGAGCGTTGAGACTGGAGGACGTCCCGGAAATGGAGTACCCGGAGCATGTTCTGGCATCCAACATACCGTTACCTATTGGTGATCGCCGGAGAGACGTCGACGAGATCGAGGTACCTGGTCTTGCTCACGATCCAGACGCGCAGAACGTGGAAGAGGAGGAGCCCTCGGCCGTTCGCCGAAACAGCTTCACTGGTGCGCCAGCGTACAGAAGCGTAAACGGCGTTCTTACGCCCGACAGTGCTGGCGCTACTGATCGTGATGACCGGCCGTCACTGTCCCGTAAGCGCTCCGTATCCGTGCCCACTCCGGCGCGGACTCCGCTGGTGCACGAAACCGATCAGATGCCGGGAGCGTTCCCTGAGACGCCAGGACCTGTACCGGAGCTGGAAAGTCCCACGCTAGCTGGTAGAGATGAACAGACTTTGGCGCCTGCAGTACAGCAGACGACCGACGCGCCTGTCGAGAGTGCACCACCGACCCAGCCCCGTGCTTTGGACCCGGACGATGACCATGTCTTCGAGCAAAAGGCGAATGCTGCAGAGATGGCTTCTCTCAAGCGATCACTGATTTCTGATCAGCAAAGAGACAAGCGACCACGGCACAGTTTGCTAGGGACAGCACTGACAGGAAGTGCTGCTGTCGCGGCTGCCGCTACCGTTGCAGCTTCGGTCGCCCACGAGCAGCCTAAGCAGCAGCGGAGCGAGCAGGTTGACAGAGCTGACTCCAATGAACTGCTTACCACTGGTCCAACAAGGGATGTGGAGGAACTCGACCGTCGGAAAAGCTTGATGGACTTGAAGGCACTGTTAGCCGATCAGACTTCCAATGGAGCAGTCTCCAACAGTGCGCAGACTATTGCAAGCCGAGATGGAGAGGAGTCTGGTCAGAAGTCTCTGCCAACACGTAGAGATTCCGAAGGTTCGAACGCGTCATACACGCTCGGAGATGGTGCGCCACAAGCAGCTCCGTCGCAACCCCCTGCTGAACCTATGAACACGAGGCTTGGATATATGCTTAAGTATGGTTATGCTGATGAAAGCGGCATTGGCATGTCACAAACATGGGACACCGGACCTTTCAGTGGGTCAAGTAGAGGTGCAGAAGAGTCGCAAGCAAGGGATCTGTCAAAGAAGCCGACACGGCTCATCTTGGGCGACTCGCCATCTCATAACGGAATCGAGAGTTCCACTGTCCAGAGCACTGTGCCCGCAGAGGGACCGCAGGGCTTTCTGGAAAGCAGATCACTTAACTCGAAGACGGATCGTCCAGACTTCTCCAAACCGTTTCCGCAGGCAAGCAGTGACTTGCAACGTGCGGAGACAGCCAAAGCCGCTCACAAGCGTCGTAGCATACCAGGAGTCGCCTTCACGAGCGCCGCTGCGCAACCAATTGTGGAGGCCAACCCGCACAGGCAGTCGTGGGTAGCAGCGGTCCAGCAGCACCGAGAGCTTGAGAATGGCACACCCGCAAACGATCCCCTGCGCGATGTACCTCCTATGCCAACTGAAGCCAGTTTTGCAGACAGCGCTGCGGTTGCTCAGGAACATCCTGCAGTTGCCATCATGAACAATTTGAGGAACATGAATGGTGAGAAGCAGCAAGAGCCGCAGGAGGAACCCGAGCGAGCGTTGACCAGCGCATCAATTCGCGGACCAGAGGACTTCGATCTGTATGTGCAAGTCGCTGAGACGATGAAATATACTCTCACTCCGGAAGCTGTTCGTGATAATCCAGTAAGTGAAGCGAAGTGGCGCGATGAAAGTGTGAAGGGTGGGAAAGACTGACCGACCAGCAGGCGCCAAGTGGAGCTCTCAAGCCGGCATCTCCCGTCGAGCTGTCAAGCGTTCCTTCCATTTCCAGACTGCAACCAGATCGTCAAGATGAAACCGGCGACGCTCGAATGGGCCGCGAACGAACGTCAAAGCAAGCCACGTCCGCCGCCGTTGACGATGAGGAGGAACGCGCTCGGAAGAGAGAGAACCGAAGGTCCATTAGCCGACCCACGCCACGCAACGTCAGCGCTCACCGGCGAAGTGGGCTTATGGCTCGTGAGCCGAGAGTGCTAACAGAGTCAACTCAGGACTTTGCAGATTTCATACGCTCCACCGGACCGGCAAAAGAACAGGAGGTGCTTCCCATCATCGATCCCGCGACCAGGTCTACCACGTCTTTGCACTCTTTAAGGTCTTCGCAGAGCAATGCCACCTCCAGATCGCCTTCCACGGCGAGCCAAGAGCGTACCCGAAGCATCACCAAATCTGCTATGGTGGCAGAAAACATACCTCCCGTGCCCCCAGTACCTAGCAAGACTAAGAGTCGGACCAACCTGCATCCTCGCTCAGCGACAGGTACTGGCAGCAACGCTGAGCTGATTGACTTCATCCGCGCTGGACCGACTGAAGAAGGCCAGCAGCGCATCCCACGTGAGATTGCGCCGTTCAGGAATACCATGGACTCAGACCAGATGCGGCAAACGGGCGATGCGATCAATGGCATCACGGGCGACCCCAACGCTACCATGAGCGGCAACACACGACCGACCTCTGGCTCGTCTACTCAGCGCCGCCCTGCAAGCCAGCGGACTGCGCAGAGCAGCAACAACGCTGCTGCGACGGTGCACCCAGCGCACAGCGGCCAGCCACAGCGCCTGTCGGCAATAAAGCCTGCAGCGCCAGAAGCTGCGGCACCAGTTGGCGCAATCAGCGCAATGCCAGGTGCAATGCCGCAAGGCATGCCGCCACGGCGACGCCACCGCAATAAAGATCCGTACGCTATCGATCTAGACGACGATGACAATGACCTCCTAACAGCATTACCAATGGGTAAGCGGCAAGAAGAGACGCTCTCGGACTTCTTGAAGAACGCGGAGCCGCCCGAGACTAACGCACCGCGGCCGCTCGTGAATGGTAACGGTGTGGACATGCGCAGTCTGACGAACAAGCCGCGGTCGAACAGTGTGCACAGTCAGAAGTCAGCCCACAGTGCGGCCGGCGCTAGAGCCAAGTCAATGCAGAGCCAGCAAGGACCCCGTCCAGGGGCACCATCAAATGCTGCTTCCGCATCACAAACACGCCTGAATAGTCCTCTTGCGGGTAGCGCTGGATCATCCAAGCCACGAATGGAGGCACGAGAACCAGGCATCAGTGGCAAGACTGGCGGCAAACGGAACTCCAGCATGCCCCCACCCAAGGAGTCAAGCACCAAGGAACTTGCGGACTTCTTAAAGAACTCCGGTCCAGAGCAGAGTGCACCTGCACCTATTGTGGGTCGGCAGTCCAAGCTGACGCCCAAGGAAGCGGCGAAGGCGCAGAAGAAGGTGGAGAAGGAGAGTAAGGGAGCCAAGCGTGGGTTCTTTGGGAAGAGTATTAGAAAGACGTGGTTGGATATGCCATGATCACGCCATGTGTGCGTGACTCTTACTAAATGTCATGGACTGTTTACTGTTTAACTGCGAAGGCAAATATTGTACACAATCGACTGGTGCTGTTCTATACCTCTTGCGGCAAATGTAGATGGGCAATGGCCCAGGCTAGATGGTGTATGATAGCGTGGGCGCTTGTTGAATAGGATTTTCGTAACAGCGTGTTGGTGGGTTCGACACAATAATCATAATCGTGTTCATGACGTGAATACTCTACGATCATGAGCAACGAGTCTGCATTGAAATCCTGTCGATGGTGTATGTCAGACCACTTCACAGGCGTGGCATGAGTGTTTCGTGCAGCGTGTCACATAAGTTGCGCAAGACAGCAAACGCAACAAGTCCACAGCTTGCTTGCAAACGGCCTCTAAGCGCCCAAACACCATGCTATGCCACCCTCGCAATCCCAACCTGAAGACCGCCTTAGAGTTCCTGTTCCATCCGTCGGTTCATATGCCCCTGCATCTCCCGTTCCACCTCGTACTTGAAATCAAAGTATGGCGGATCGAAATGGTGCACCCGAACGTATCCGTCCTCGCCACCGGAGCAGTAGCACTTCCCATCCGGACTTACAGCGACGTAATTGAGAGGTCCGAAGTGTCCACGCACTCGGCCCACTTCCTCCTCGAAGATCTTGTGGTAGAATCGCGCCTCGAATTTACCTTGTCGTGCGGAGGTTGTCGTGACGTCCATGGCTGCTTGTCCACCGCCAAGGATCACGTAGTTGGTTGGTTCGGGCGTTATTGCGGCAGAGTTGAGAGGTGTATCTGCCACGTAGGTGTGTAGGACCTTTAGGGTCCGAGCGTCTTGCAGTTTGGCCGTTTTGTCCTTTGAGGAGGTAATGAAGTACGTTCGGTCTGCGCTCCACTGGAGATCCGTGACAGACGCGCCGTCTTCGTGCGGGTACTCGTCAGCGATCATCTCACCGGTCTTGGCATCCCATTGCGCCACGCAGCCGTTTTCGTGTCCGGTGATGATGTAGCGGTTGAGGTAGGAGAAGCCGGCGACGGTCACTCGAGGAAGCTCGTCCACTACGATCCGTAAGGTCGGCTCGTCGGACTGTTCTGCATTCACGTCCTGCGCGATGTCATAGACGTAGATGTTGCTCAGTTGCCCTGTTCGCTTTTCCGTAACGCCTAACAGAAGTTTCCCGTCTTCGCTGAACTCGACTCTCCGTATGCTGGTGGGGAACTCCCACTGCTTCAATTGTTTGCCAGTCTTGACCTCCCATAACCGCATGGTGTTATCTGCGCCTCCAGTAGCGAGGAAGGTGGTGGTAGGGTCGACGTCAACGGACCAGAGAGCGCCTTGGTGGCCTTTGTACATGCCAAAGCGCTCGCCGTTCGCACTGTACCACGCGCAGACATTGTGGTCTTTGCTGACGGAGAAGATGAAGTCACCCTCTTTGCTAAATTTGACTTGCGTGAGCGCGCGCTCGTGGCCGGAGAGTAATATGGGTCTCATGGTTATTGTGTTGTGTTGGGAAGGCTGCTCATATCAGCGCATATGGTTTTGAGGGCGTGGAAGGCGAAATCTTGGCGGAAGTCTGAGTCATGCGATAGCAGTAAGGCAAAGTGGGCAAGTTTCCATCAAATATGGACCGGCAGCTTGATCCAGAGCATCGAGCTTTCATTGAAGCTTACCGAAAGCCTTCCAATGACTAGCAGCGACTCAAGTGCCGACGAGCTAGTTAGGAGGTGAACGATGGCTTGATCGGCGGAATGTGCGGGCCATTGTTTCATCTGGACCTCTTCTATAGAACATCACGGGACCATGACAATATAGATCAGCTTTCCGTACTCCCACTGCTGTCGCTCGTTCTGTTGCGCTGCGTTGCGCCCGCCACAGTCCTTTCCAATGCATACAGTCGCCTCGCCGGCGATCACTGCAAGGCGGGGCACAAAATTCGGCCTGTCGCTTTCTCGGACTCCTCGGTCCTGCAATTGTTATACAACCAAATCCTTCGCTTCGTCTCACTCTTGGTTCTCTGAGTCGGGAAGGAGAGCGGACGCGGCTTGTTTTGGAGGCAACTCGTATCGACGTTCATTTACGTCAACCACGGCCAGAATGACAGCAACAAAGATTGATGGCACGGCCATAGCGAAAAGCATCCGCGAACGGATCTCGCAGGAAATTGCGGACAAGCAAGCGCAGAACCCACGCTACAAGCCTGGTCTCGTAATCCTGCAAGTGGGAGATCGATCGGACAGCAGCACGTACGTGCGCATGAAGCTGAAGGCCGCCGAGGAAGCGAACATCTCATGCAACATTCAGAACTACGGCGAGGACACATCCGAAGTTGAGCTGCTAGAAAGGATTGAGGGCTTGAACAACGATCCAAAGGTGCACGGCATTTTGGTGCAATTACCGCTACCCAAGCACATTAACGAGTACAACGTCACCAGCGCGGTGTCTGACGTGAAGGACGTTGACGGTTTTGGTGGACTGAACATTGGAGAGCTGGCGAAGAAAGGTGGGAAGCCGCTGTTCGTGCCATGTACGCCAAAGGGTGTTATGGTGTTGTTGGAGGAGAGCGGCGTGAATCCGGCTGGCAAGAATGCAGTTGTCCTTGGTCGGTCGGACATTGTCGGCGCACCCGTCAGCTACCTGTTACGCAACGCGGACGCTACAGTCACAGTATGTCATTCGCGGACCAAGAACCTCCAGGACATCCTCAAGACGGCAGACATTGTAATCGCGGCCATCGGTAAGGCACAGTTCGTGAAGGGCGACTGGCTGAAACCGGGCTGCGTGGTAATCGACGTTGGAACGAACCATATCCCGGACGAGTCGAAGAAGTCTGGACAGCGACTTGTTGGTGACGTAGACTACGATGAAGCCGTTGAGGTCGCATCGCAGATCACGCCGGTCCCTGGGGGTGTTGGTCCTATGACTGTGGCTATGCTTCTGCGCAACGTCGTAAATGCAGCCGACACGTACTTCGACCACCAAAAGTCGCGACACATTAGTCCCTTGCCGCTCAAGCTTAAGACACCAGTCCCGTCGGACATTGCGATTTCCCGAGCACAGCATCCAAAGCTGATTAACAAGGTTGCCGCCGAGGTTGGCATTGCTCCGTATGAGCTGGAGCCGTACGGCGCGTACAAGGCCAAAGTTTCGCTTGATGTCCTGTCTCGACTACAGCACCGTCGTAATGGGCGGTACGTCGTAGTTACGGGCATCACTCCCACGCCTCTTGGCGAGGGCAAAAGTACGACCACCATAGGTCTATCGCAAGCCCTGGCGGGACAGCTCGGTCGGATAGCGTTCGCAAATGTACGCCAACCGTCTCAAGGTCCGACGTTTGGCATTAAAGGTGGCGCGGCTGGTGGCGGCTATAGTCAAGTCATCCCCATGGACGAATTCAACCTTCACCTGACTGGCGACATCCATGCCATCTCCGCGGCAAACAACCTTCTGGCCGCTGCTATTGATACACGGATGTACCATGAAGCAACGCAGAAGGACGGGCCGCTTTACAGGCGTCTGGTGCCCGAGAAGAAGGGGAAGCGCGAGTTCGTGCCCGTGATGTTCAGGCGGTTGAAGAAGCTTGGCATCACCAAGACCGACCCTAACGAGCTGACTGAAGAAGAATATACGCGCTTTGCCAGACTTGATATCGATCCCGAGACCATTACCTGGCGGAGAGTGCTGGACGTCAATGACAGGCATCTGAGAGGCATCACCATCGGGCAGGCGCCTACGGAGAACAAAGTGCCGCCGCGCGAAACGAGCTTTGACATCTCGGTAGCGTCCGAGTGCATGGCTGTGCTTGCGCTCTCAACCGACTTGGCAGACATGCGCGACCGGCTGGGCAGAATGGTCGTGGCGAGCAGTAGGGCTGGCGATCCCGTCACCGCCGATGACCTTGGCTGCGGTGGCGCATTGACGGCGCTTATGAAAGATGCCATTAAGCCCAACCTCATGCAAACACTGGAAGGCACGCCCGTTTTCGTGCATGCCGGTCCGTTTGCGAACATCAGCATCGGTAACAGTAGCATCATCGCCGACCGTGTCGCGCTCAAACTTGCTGGGACAGAACCAGACGAGGATCATGCTGAGAAGGCCGGTTTCGTCGTGACGGAAGCTGGGTTCGATTTCACCATGGGCGGCGAGCGCTTCATGAACATCAAGTGCCGCGCCTCCGGTCTCGTCCCGGACGTCGTCGTCATCGTCGCCACCGTCCGCGCGCTCAAGGTTCATGGTGGCGGTCCCGAGTTCAAACCTGGCGAGCAGCTTGCGGAGGTCTACCGCACGGAGAACGTCGATATTCTTCGTGCGGGGTGCGTGAACCTTGCCAAGCATATCGAGAATGCTAGGCAGTATGGTGTTGAGGTGGTCGTCGCGATCAATCGCTTCGAGACAGACACCGATGCCGAGCTCAACGTGATCCGGGAAGAAGCACTGAAAGCGGGTGCCACAGACGCAATCCCCGCCAACCACTGGGCGGAAGGCGGCAAGGGTGCCGTCGACCTTGCCAAGGGTGTCATCGCCGCCTCCTCGAAGAGCAACCCGGACGCTTTCAAACTCCTATACGGTCTGGACGACAGCATCCAAACCCGTATCGAAGCCATTGCCAAGAAGATGTACGGCGCGTCATCCGTTTCATTCTCGGAAACAGCGCAGAAGAAGGTTGATACGTACACCAAACAAGGCTTCGGCAACCTTCCCATCTGCATTGCAAAGACGCAGTACAGTCTCTCCCATGACGCGAGTCTGAAGGGCGCGCCTAGTGGCTTTCAGGTGCCGATTAGGGACGTCAGGATGGCGGCCGGGGCTGGGTATTTGTACGCGCTTGCGGCTGATATCCAGACGATTCCGGGTTTGCCGACGGCGCCCGGTTATCTCAATGTTGAGGTTGACACGGAGACGGGGGAGATTGATGGCCTCTTTTAGATCGTTGTTCGCTTGGGTTTCGGCGCCGTTTAAGGATGGCACTAAAAAGTTGCGGCATAAGCGGCCAGCTGTTCATCACGGCAACCTTGCGCATTACCTGGCGTCCGATGAGTAGATGGGAATGGAGGCACACTTCAACGTGGTTTTAGCATGGCGCTGGGGTGGTGGGCTTCGGAACGAGTTCAACATGCTGCGATCTGCGGCTATGTACCAAGATTCAACAACGCTAGCTCTCGCATGCTGATGAGTTACACTGCAAAGACAGTCAAAACCACCTGATCAACACGCTCCAATGTCGCCTGTCAGAACTTGTGAAGAGCACCAACCGACGCTGTAGGACGAACTCCATGCCGATACATGCTCAATCCTGACTGGGCTGTCACACCTCCATCCCTTCCCTGTTTGGCCTCCTCCCTCTGCGTCCGGAACAGCCAGGACAGCACGGTTTGGCATGACCAAGAATCTGACGAAACATGTGGCTGACGGACCCGTATTTGTTTTTCAACCATAGCCCCAACCTTAGCCCCAACCCCACCGCTGCCAGTAACATGAGAACAGCGAGCTCGTCCTCGAATTGTGCCTGCGTGAGCCTCGCTGTTGCATCAGTGACCGCTTCATGAATGCATTGCGTGCCCTTGCCAGGGCACATGAACTTCTGCCACCAGTTTTCGGCTTGCGATCCATACCAGATAGTGGTAAAGCTGTGCGTCCTGTAGAACCAGGGAAGATGGTGAGAGGCTTGCAGAATGTACTTGGCGACGGAAATAACGGCGAATGCGATGTATTCGATGATGGCATTGGTTGGCGCCGGAAGATACTCGTGGAAGGTCATGTTGTTTGTTTCGATTATGGAGTATTGGCAGGAAAGAGAGAGGGAGAGAGGAGAAGTAAATAGGGGCGGGAAGGCTAACATGCGTCGAGATGTATCGAGCAAGTGCGAAGTACTTGTAGGTGGTATGAACAAGGCTGGTGCCAACCACCAACTCGGGCTGAAGAGGTATGCGAAAACAGAAAGCCAATGGAGATTAGTCTGAATGAACGTGGCCTCAATATATGCTCACGGTACGTATCTGCCATCAGGGCCTTCTTGCGATAAGTCAGTCAGTCATGCTTTCCAACTTCTACTGGTCAGCGCTTACCGGAGCACGCCCACGGGCAGGCTTGGACTGGTCGCTCAGCGGAAATCTAAGGCATTCGCGATCAATCTGAAGAGAAGCAGGCTTGGCAAGACCTACACAGCAGTCTTGATAACCCAACGGTATGCCATGCTACCGCCATGCTACCGCCACACTGCGAGATACAACAGCCAAAATGCCATTATCTGCGACTTCACCGCCTCGGCACCCCGTTAGCACCTCCACCACCCGGTCCCTTGTTGGCAAACAGCAACTTGAACCCATTCTTCAACGCCCTCATGTCTGGGTACTTGTTACCTTGAAGCTCAAAAGCATTCGGGATAACCTTCACCGGCCAATTGCTTAAGGGCGCGTCGCGGCCGGCCTTGAAGCATAGATAGAAGTAGCCTGGGTACTTCGGGTTCAGGCAAAAGGCGTACATGCTTCGCTTCGGGTTCGCCTCGGTGTAGGTCTCCAGCCATTGCTCTGTGCACAAGATGTCAGTAGATGGTAATAGGCGAAGGTGGAGGTGGCGGGCACTTACCGGTCTGCTGCCTCGACCCACTCTGGTACCGCTCATCCCCCATCATCTCCTCCACCTTCCTCAGCATCGCCCGCACATGCAGCACAATCAACTCGTCGAGATCACTGTAGCTCCACTTGCCCCCCACCCTCAATACCCTGCCCACGGAGAACTCATTTTCCTTGTCCAGCTCCAACACATCGATATGCTGGAACACGCCCTCGTGCACTTTCCACGTCACGGCCAAATGATCTGGTCCTTTACTGCTGGGTCGAATGACACATTCGCCCCTTTGCAGCGGGCCTAAATACTCGACCGCCTGCGCCGAGTTGAAGGGACGGAAGAGCGGGTGCTTGATCACACGTTGTGCGCGACCGGTGCTGGAGTCGACGGCTTTCCTCGCCTCTTTCCGATCTCGTGACTCGAGCTCGTCGTCCCATTCATCTAGCCCATGGTCGAATTGGCGACGGAAAGACTTCTTCACTTCCGCCTCCCTTAATGTCAACCCAGCCTCGAAGACCTTCCGATTTAGGTGCAGGACCTTTGCTCGAATGACCTGGTGTATGCTCCAAACCGTCCTCGGCTCGCGGTTCTCCTTGTAGATCTCCTCAGGAAACTCACTCTCCAAAATCGACCCCGTCACGCCGCAGTCAAGCCTGACATCGATATGGTCGCCAAACGTCCGCTTGACGACAACGGGCACGATCATGCCTTCTTGCAAGCTCTCGCGCGTCTCACCCGTAAGCATGGTGAAGATCTGGTCGCTGCCGATGAAGTTGAAATTGCGGCGTAGCTCTTCGTATGCGTTCTGCAGCTCGGCGCGGATGGTTTCGAGCGTGGCGCGCTTGCGTTGCCGCATCTGCTTCTCCAGCTGGTCCGCGTATTGTTCGAGCACGAGGTCGTTGACGCGGTCCTGCTGATCTTCTTTCACCAAGCGGCGAACGACCGCGGAGGCGCCATTCTCATCCACTTCCGCCTTGATGTCTTCTTCGTCAAGCTCGAGCGCGTCTGCGGCGATTTTCCGCGCGAGATCGTAGTCTTCGGGGTGTATACGGGTGTTGTCCAGGTAATCAGCCTCCGGTCCATCGCCTTCAACGTCATTGTAGTTAATGTAGATGAAGCTCGCGCAGTTCGTCCAGCATACCGGACCCACCGCTGGACGTAGGTTGCGGTCCACATCACCAACCAAGTCCGCGCGGCTAATCACCTCACCGCCGTTCTTACCAATGGCGCTCAGCATCTGCTGAGCCTTCCTCGGCCCCAAGCCAGCAATATAAGGTAACAGATTGGCATTGTACGTATCGTCCAGCGCCTCATTGATATTCACGCCGACGAGGTTGACCATGTCAACCATGCTCGTCTCGAGCCAGCGCATCAGCTTATCCTCCGGAATCAAGTTCTGGTTCGGATCGAAGCTGATGGATCTGATGTCGCTGCCTAGCGCCGCATACTCTTTCACCGGGCTCTGCATGTATCGCGCCAAGCCGATGGTGTATCGTGTCAGCGGCGGCATGGACGGGAACTCCCTTTCAGCCCGGCTGCTGGTATGGTAGAGCCTGGCGACCTCATCATTGACAATGACAACCTCGAGCAATTCCTGGCGCTCGCGGTCTTCGACCGCATCGTCCCAGACCGCGCCCATGAGCTTGTGGTCAGAGACGATCTGCTGCAAGTCTTTGTACAGACTCCTAGTCTCGACCGACCAGCCGGAAACAGCAATGACGTCCGGCTTCCGTCTCTCCACGAGCTCAATAAAGAGCGGGATGTCTTTGCCGGCAGGTATGAACTTTTCTTCGTTGCCACCACGGAGGTCTGTGAACTTGCCGTTCTCCTGCACACGCCCGCTTTCCTCCATGTAGGCCCAGCAAATCGCGTCGTCGCGGTTGCCGGAGCCGTTCGAAAGCGCAAGCACGCGAGGGACAGTACCTAGATCCATGCCCTCCGGCCGAAATGGTGCCTGGTCTAGACGGAGGGTGTACTCTTTACGACAATCCATTGCGATCCTGTTCTCGCATTCGTTCTTGACAGTATCTTTGACACCTCGAGACATGATCTTGTGCAGCTTCTTCAGCGCCGCATCAACGCACTCTCGCCGTAGAGCGTTCCACGCGTCAGCGACTTCAGAGAAGTTGTCGGATTCGATGGCCTTGTACAGTTCATCCCTGACTCGCCTCTCTGACTGCAAGCGGACATTGACCTCGATCAGTCCAGCGCTCTCGGCCTGCAGCATCCGTAGAAAGAGCTCTGGCTTGTCAAGCAAATGCGCGATCTCCTGCGCCTTGAGGTACTTGAACTCGTAATATGGATGCTCTTCGTCGATCTGCTTGAGGCCTTTCTCCGTGCGGTGCACGTCGAAGACGATTTGCCCGTAATAGATCTTGCGCATGTGCCGTCTCAGTCGTGGGTTATTCGCAAGCTCTTCGATAAACATGGCTTTAGCCGCAGTCAGCACGTCCTCACCCGTTCTGAAGTCCGGCTCTTGGACAAGTGCGTCCGCAAAGTCATCCGGCCGTTGATCCATGTCGTCCGTGTAGGTTTTGCGTCCGGTCTTCTCGATATTCTGGGCCACGCCATCCGCTGTGATACCGAATCCGCGCACCAGATGGTAAGCAGGGCCGGCACGCACTTTATCCCAGATATTCCGGGTGCCTCTGGCTCGCTTTTGCGTGCCGTTCGTCTCAGCCTCGTGCATGCTGACGTCCCTTAGCTGTTGCGAGTACTGGAAGTTCATATAGTCCTGCAAATCTTGCAAGTCATCGATCTGCGCCGCGGATGGTACTAGGTCCTCAAACGTTGAATCGTTAAACTCTTCATTGACCTCCTTCAGCGTCTCCAAGCCTTTCTGGATGGCATCACGCTTCTCAGAGAAGGCGCGGTACTTGAGGTCTTGCTCGAGTATGCTCCACAAATCGTCTTGATTCAGCAGCTTCTCGGCGTGGACGCTATAGTCTGGCGCTCCCGGATGATCTGGGTCCGGATCAGTAGGCACCTGCTCGGAATGAATGAGATAATCCTTGCGGTTCTGGAAGATGAATGCCGGCTCGAAGTCGTCAACGTTCATAAAGTGCAGTACCTGCTTGATTGCTTGCTCGAACGGGTCTCGCATCTTCGAGCTGAGCTCCCGCTTCCTCGGGAACATGTTGTTGGTGATCCATGTCGCCTCTTCCGCAGTGCGCTTCTCAATGTCCTCTTCCGGCAGCAGCTTCAAGTCTTTGTACGGCTTACGCAGAAGCTGAAAACGCTCTGGAACGTCCGTCATTCGGATGGTATTGTCGTCATCGGTGAGATACCTCTCTACGAGTTGAGATGGCTCGAAGACATCCTTGAGCTCGAGCGGCTTGTCTGGGTCTGTGACGTCCTGGTTCTGCGCAGCTTCGGCATCCAGAGCCCAACTAAACTCGTCACCCTCTCCAAAAGCACCACGCATGTCCTCAAGCGCTACCTCATCGAGCCCGGACTCTTTCAGATTCTGAAACTCAGCGAAGCCAGCTCGCTTAGGAGCTCGAATGCCTATGTCCTCATCCGCACCGCCAGCCTCCTCATCAGGGAACTCATCTTGCTCGATGAAGTCATCCAGATCATCGCCAGGATACCCAAATTGTCGGCCACGTCCGGCTGTAGCGCCATCCGCACCTTCTTCCTCATCGGAGAAGATATCCTCAACCCCACGCGCCTCACTTGCTGGGCGGTCTTCCCTGTGACCCCGCTTGAGCCTCTTGAACTTGCTCTGCTCGACCTTGCGGCCATCATAATCCGGATGCGTCTCGCCGATGAGATCCAGGTCTTCCTCATCCAGCTGCTCGTCCTCTGCATCCTTCTCTTCGCGCCGACGCTTGCGCCGCTCTCGTCTTCGTTGCTTCTCCTCTTCATCTTCTTCGTCTTCATCAACAATGAAGCCCTCCCTCACCCTTCGCGCCTCTTCCTCATCATCGTCGTCTTCCTCCTCGCTAGAATCACCAAGATCGCCGTTTGTAGCCTTGGACTTGCGCGGTCGGTTGATAGACTGGCCGGTCGCTTCATCAACCTCTTCTTCTTCTTCTTCTTCTTCTTCTTCTTCCTCCTCACTGCCCTCAGCGGCCGTGCGGTCGAAGAAGTCGTCCATGACTGCTGGTCACGAGCGCGAAGAAGGGGGAGCAGAATCGCTGGTGTGTAACTGCCGGATCTCTTCGTGGCTAGCGGGAGATTGAGTTGTCGGTTTCGTGATGATGGAAAGGAGGAGGGAGACAGCACTTATGTGGTCGGCACGGCAAGGCAGTAGTAGGTATCGTTAACAACGAATTGCTTAACCGCGCGCTCCAAAGAAATGCGGAGCGCACAGACCTCACGGGAGCATCGCGCTAGTACCGACGCCTGAGGTCTCAACTTACCTGCCTGATATTGAGGGTCGATGACTTTAAACGCTGCCGGCTATCGTTACCATTGTCACAAAACCTTTACAATTGTCTCGGCAGGTCTACTTTCGACGTTGTTTTGAGGTTGAGGTGGACTTTGCACACACATCTCACGACGGACTTTTGGGTTTCGTTCGCTCCTGAGTCTGATTGTATGCTGCTGACCTCGATCAACTGGACTGGAAACTTGGGTCTAAATGTCGACTGAGACCCCTCGAAGTCAATGCTTCCATTGGTTTGAATTCACATGTGGAAGCGTCACCGGCTCTACTCCATCACTATCTGTATCTACAGGTTAACAAACGCTAGTCGTCCGGCAGATTGCCAATCTCGTCTCATCAATACTTCGCCCTCGCGGACTGCCTGGCTCGATGGCAGTCCCTCTGACTAGACAAACTGACAGTGCATATTGTTCAGCCGCTGATCCTGCTTGCCGCCCCGCGTTAACTCCCATTCGTGCATCGCTCTCGACTTCATGGTCTCACCAATAGGGAAGCTACAAGAGTCTGGCTTTCCGTGTCATCTACTTCGTCTTACTTCATTTCACACCGAAAGCCCTGTTGACATGTTTCTCACTACACAACCACAGCTTCGACCGTTGTTCTCGTTTGACGGGTAGGGATACTGCCTCCTACAATGGCGTCCCAATCCTTCTCCGTAGCCATCATAGGCGGTGGCCTCTGCGGCCTGGCCCTTGCTGTCGCGCTTAGACACCGTGGTGTCTCCTCCACCGTATATGAGTCTCGAGGCTCCTTCACCGAACTCGGCGCTGGCATCAACATAGGCCCCAATTCATACCGGGCGTTCCAACTCATCGACTCCGCCTTGGCTGAGAGCTTCCTCGAACACGCCGTCCGTAATCCGCCCGGCAAAGAGCAGGTCTGGTTCCAAGTCCGCACTGGAGCGGCTACGGGCCCACCGCTGGAACTACCGGAAGCGCACTTGATTTCCGAGTTCCTCGCACCTCCCACGGGCAACATGACGATTGGACGAAATGGACTTTTGCAGTTGCTTGCTGAGAAGGCCGGCCTGACCGAAGGCGAAGGGACGAAGAATGCGGCTTTCAACAAGAAGCTCACAGGTTTGCACCAAACCGAGTCCGAGGTTACGATGTCGTTCGAAGATGGTACCAAGGCCTCAGCGAGCGCAGTAATAGCCTGCGACGGTATTCACTCCAACGTCCGGAAAGCCATGGTGGGTACTGGTCCAGCATCAATTCCGCAGTTCAGCGAAGTAGGCGCCTACCGTGCCTTACTTTCAAAAGCCGACCTCGCTCGCGAGATTGGGGAGGAAATGGCAATGACGAGCCAGGTCTTCACCGGTCCGCAGGGCTACGTAATAATGTACCCTATCGATAGCACGACAGTAAACGTAGGTTTCTGGACCTGGAGGCGCGGAAAGTGGCCGCACAGGGAATGGATGATTACGTCTCAGAAGACAGATTTGGAAAAGGACTTTGGGGCATTTGGTGAGACGGTGCACAAGATCATGAAGTTGGCGGGCAATCCGAGTTTCTATGCCACGCATTATCATGTTCAGCAGCCGGAACATTGTTTCAATGGCCGCGTGTGCTTGATTGGAGATGCTGCGCATGCCATGCCTCCAGTAAGCTCCGCCGACTGCACCTGTCCCGCTTACCGCACTAACACTCCTGCCTAGCACGCTGGCGCGGGCGCCTCCCAAGCTATGGAAGACTCTTACGTGCTGGCCGAAGTCCTTCACTGCATCTCTAAAACCGCCTCCGCAAGCACACCAACCCAGGAGCAGGTTGCGGCCGCTTTCCGCGGCTACGAGGCCGTACGCTCGCCTCGATACAAGCGAGTGACCCAGGTGAGCGTAGAAGGCATGAACGCTTGGACCCATCTATTCGATGGGCCAGTCAGCCAGGACCGCTTAGAGCAGTGGACGATGGTGAACCAGGAGCGATTCCAGTGGATCTGGTATTATGATGTCGCTGACGGTGGGAAGGAGGGTTGTCGGCTTGTGCAGGAGGCTCTCAAGAGAAAGGGTTCAGATGGGGTCTTGACGTGATCCAGACGGACTACGCTATGTTATGTCTTGCAAGAGCTCGCAGACCTTGCCGACCTACTGCTAGTGACTTCGGAAGAATGGATCGCTTTCGCAAGAGCATCTCTACATCGGTATCGGGCCTCTTCGTGTTCTGAACCTCAATGTCTTAGCACTTATCGCTCCTTGCATGATACCGAGGTCCAGCAATTCCTCCCCACAGAATCGAATCTGGACGAGAAGCTTTGTGGCATATTGTACCATGACACGTGATCGTAGTTTCGCAAGTAGCGCTAGCTAGGCGGGAACAGCCGTCAATACATCAGCTCACGTGCACTTACTTTACTCTTATCCTCGTAAGACACACAGGCTCCCTGCGTAGCAACAGAGTCTGGCAAAGACGTGTACCTCCTCCTTTCCACCCGCTCTCACCATCGCAATGTCCGCTCCTTCAATCTCCACCTCCTCCTACGCCCACATTCCCCACCCTTCCACCGCCGAGGAAGTCGACTCTCTTCCCTCCTCCTCCGCCGGCACCTCCGATGATGAGGACGAGTCGGACGCCGAGCGGGAGTGGCGTGAGAGCTTGCAGCAGCTGGAGCTGTTACTCACGATGGTGCTCGTGCCGTATATGGGCAAATACTTTGGGAGGAAGTGCGCTTATTGGGGTGAGTGTACACGCGTGATACGGACAGTATGGAATGATACGGTGCTGACGTCTTGCTTGTTAGGCTGGGCTAAGTACATGGAGTGGCAGTACCCTGTCTCGATTGAGGTGACAAGCCCAACTGCATTCAAGGCTGCGGGTGCGGTGCAAGCTGCTGCGTCAATCTGAAAACATGCCAAGAAGAATCCGACATTGCACCCTGTCACTGGTCGTGTCTGGCCTGAACTGCGTGCGCCTCTAGCTTTGCTGGGCGGAGTGCGGCAGCCTCGCATGATCTGCTTGTTTGTAACAAGTGTTGCCGCCATTGATGGAACCTTCAGCTGTGTGGCTGTCGCACCGGGACAACATACGGACATCTACACTGCCGCACGCTGTGTCAACAGCGGTAGCACCTGCTGTTCCCATTGCAACTCGCGCTACGGTGGTGTGGTCTAGGGACCAGAGACGATAAACGAGCCCGTCACCATTTTCCGCTGACTGACAGGGTACGGGTGCCGTGCCATCAACCCGGGGCACCGCCTTGCAGCATGAGAAAACAAAGGCTGAGCGACAAACCTGCTCACTTTCACTCAGTTGCCTTATCGGCCTAAAATGCTCCACTGTGGGAGTGTTTGCTACTGATAAGAGTCTCTCCTATATCGGGTGTTAACCTCACCTAGTGGTGCTACTCGCTGGGTAACCTCACTCAACACCTAAGATTCAGCTCATGGATACATCTCAGGACGATCGCGGCCAATACGTCCGAGCCCTCCGCTGCTGCAACACTGTCTGGCTCGTGATCAACGGAAGATATCACCTTCGTGTTCCAGCCGGACGAACGAGCGGGCGCAACACAACGGATGACGATGAAAACATCTGTCCAAACTGCCTCCTGTCGCTAAAAGACTCTGTCACCAAAATCCCGCGCTTTGGGAGACCGGCTCCCTGGTGGCACGTAGAGTACGATCGAAGGCTGCTGTATGGGGTCGATCGATCGATTTTTCGTACACTCATTTAGTGGGAAAGAGCGATCCACTTCGGCTCCGCCACCATGAAACCTCTTGCGGTCGATCTACTCATGACAACAAGCTGTGAGAAGTTCCAAGAGATCTCTTGGTCAAAATGGCCTGCTCATGTACTACTCCCGTGCGGGACAATGCCGACAGGTCCGGACCGTCCACTGCTGCGACCGTCTGTTGCTCCGGGATTCACCAACCCCGTCATTCTCGCGAATTGTACGACTTGACGACTCAAGGCGACAGCATCGGCGGAAGTAATGTACGCATGAGATGCACGAAGCGGCTGGAGGCATCCGTGCATAGGTTGGGGCTACCGACGAGGGGTGGAGGTACGCCAGGCGTAATCTTACCAGTCGATCATAGCCATCAGAAGGGCTGTGCAAGTCTTGGCCGATAGTTCTACAGATGACTCTATCGTCGAATTTCGTACGGATACTGCAAGGTTAACTTGCGGCTACGGTGCGGTATTCTGTGCCACACCCAAGTTCGCCAAATTCCTCGCATAGTTCTTCTGCCCTCTCAACTCCGCCCGCGCAAACGCTGCGGTCAGCACACTGGCATACGACCACGTGAGATCCGCCGCGCCTTGCGGTACGCCCTGTAAAACACTGTCAGCCCATCCTCACAATCAATCATAAACGCCAACACGGAACCTACCGTATTCCGGTTGAACTCTTCGGCCAACCGCCCATCAGCAGGAGTATAGTACTTGACAGTCCTCATGAACGCATCGCCCCAACCATTGATACCACCTATAGCTTGATTGTACTTCTGCGTGCCGTACGTGTACGTCTCGCCCGTTTGCAATCCAGCTTGCGGCGCGAAGTAGTCGAAGAAAGGCTTTGACACGTTCGTGACTGTGATCGCTTGGGCTGCGCCGAAGGTGCTGGAAAGCGAGTACATGTACTGGCTCATTGCCGCCGTGCAGAGGTACCATGGGTTCCCGCCGTTCGCGGCGGTGCCGGTGCCGTTGTAGACGTCTTCTGGGTAGCGACCGATGGGAATCCCGAGGACGAGTCCGTTAGAGTCCATGGTTGTATTCGCGATCGGAAAGACGTTGAGGAATGAGGTAGAGATGCGTAAGGCAGACGCCATGATTTGGTCGCTGGAGTAGGAGTAAACATTGTCGGCTGCGTAGCCATGGATGACGCCGAGAATGACGGCGATGTCGAGGTAGCTGGATTTGTCGTGCAGAACCGGACCATATTCGTAGAGCAGGATTTGGCGGTTCGGGTCCCAGAATTGGGAGAGGGTGGCGGTTAGTGCTGTTGCGGCGGCGGAGAGGGTGGCGGAAGTGCTGCTGTCGCCCATGGTGTTGGCGAAAGCGGCGCCCATTACGAGGGCGCGACGCTGCACCATGCGGGTATAGAAGTGGTCGCTTTCTTCCTCCTCCCAGAGATCGAAGGAGGACGAGGACCAGTTTGAGGCCACGAAGAGGAGGTCTTTCTTCACAGGTGCTGTGGTGGGGAAGGTGGCGGAGTCATAGATGTTGCTTTGGACCACGTTCATGCTGCCGCCATTGGCCAGGTAGGAAGTGGCGAACTCCATGAGCGTTATGGCAGATGTGGCCGGGCCGTCATTCTGCGGCCGTCCCCAAGGGCCGCTGAAGATGGTGTTGTTGAGGTAGAATTTGGGCTCACCGAGGCCGGTTTGCAGACCGGGATCGTTTTGTTCCGTTGCTCTGGCGGTGGCGTACTGGAAGAGGATGTCCTCGTATTGAAGCTTCGTCACCTTTTTCGTGGCGGAGGCGTAGAGTGTCTGGACAACGTCCATGGTCAAGCTGGCATCCCTCACCCAGTTGTACTCGTAATCGGGATCGGTCTGCGTGTATGAAGGTCCGCTACGGGCGGCAACGACCACACCTTCGGCTGCACCAGGGATCGCGGGATTGATGTTAAGGAACATTCGCCGAAAAGCAGTCTCCGACTCCGAGCTGGTGTTAACCGAAAGCCATGTAGTAATGTCACCACCAAAACCTCGAGGGGTAGCGTATGGCTTTGGTGGAGCAGCAACACTAGGGGCCGGCGCTCCGCTAGCATTGACGGGCAAGTTGAGGGTCTGTACATACGTCTCTCCAATGTCCGTGGCCTGGTAGGTGAGGTTGAGTAAAGTGGTGATGCCATCGATGTAGACGGGCGTGCTTGTCGTCCAGAGCTCGAAATTGTTCGCGATGCTGCTGGAGTAGCCGAACGTGACCACGGACAACGGTGTGCTTAGACCTTGCGCGTTGGTGTAGTAGAGACTAACGACCTTGTTATAGTCAAGGTTGGCAATGTAGACTGTGGCGTTCAGTGTCCCGCCACAATAGCTGTAGCTCTGCAAAGCCAGCTCAGAACCATCGGTCGGAGCACTTGAAGTAAGTGTGGTGGTTTGACATGCCTGGCCAAGAGTTGTAGCCGCAAACGTAGTACCGGCAAGGATGCTGGCAAGTGCTGACCGCATCCTCGCTACGCTGATGATGGCTAAGTCCGATGAGGAGAGGTAGAAAGTGACGGTGCAAATCGCAACAACAAGAGAGAGAGAGATGAGGTACCAAGTAGAGGACGGTTTCGGACGCATCGTGCCTTTCCGACCGACACTGCGCTCATCGCGCGTGAACAATGACTGCGAATGCCTACAGGTGGAGGGCACCCAAGATCACCAACGCTGTTGAAGCGGGGTTGACGTTCCTCGGGCGCAGAAGGCCTTTCATTCGCCGCGCACGAGATTGAACGCAATTGCGCAGCGGCAGCGGGCTGGCTGCTGCAGGAACAAAGACGGACGGCAGAATGAAAAGGTGTGATCAACCGTACTGCAGATCAGACACGCTGCATGCAGCGCCCCGCTTGCAGTGGAGATGGATGATGTGGAGGAGAAGGGAGGAGTTTGAGAGTCTTTGTCCCGCCTCGGCAGAAGGAACGTTGCGACGCGGAACGTGACTTCGATCCAACAATGAGCATAGACTGAATGAAATCATAGTCTATGGAACTACTGGTACGGTTGATCATCTGTTACAGAATCAATAGCAGGCCAAGAATACCCAGCAACGAAGCGAACCCTCCTTCCACCTTCTTGGCAGGCACCGCCGCAAGAGACCTAGACATGGTCGGTATTGATGTGACAGCACCAGATTGTGACTGATTTGAACCGCTGATCGACGAGGTGCTTATTCCGGTGCCTGCTTTGCTCGTTCCTGTGCTCAATGTGCCAAATGCTCCTCCTGACGCCCCTGACTGCAAAGGGGACTGGCTTGCAGCGGACGACCTTGGGACGCCAGGACCGCCAGTGCTGAGGCTCACTGTGCGCGTACCTTGCAACAGCCCAGAAGATCCAGCGCTAAAGGCCTGGCCAGCGATCGTGACTGGCGACCTTCCGGCAGTTACTGCTTGTGAGCCTATGTGGTAAACGCCAGAGCTTCCAGGATCACTTTATACCGTGAGAACGCTCGATCCTGCTGTAACGGTAGCCTGCGCCACGAGGCTCGACGTTGCGGCTTGGGAGCCAGCGTGCGCTGACAGCAGGGTGAATGTGCTGGAGCCCTCCACAACAGCGCCATCGGTCTGCATGCTAAGAAGGTGTCCAATCACTGTCCCTGGGGCGCCACCAGCGACAAGCGTTGTAGAAGCGAGGTAAAGGACAGCGCTTTGTGAAGGGTCGTACGATGCCGTGACGATTGCAGAGCCGAGTGTCAGTGCTGTCCCAAGGTTCCCACCATTAACGCTGGTCACTGCGGATACTACGGCAGACACAACTGTGCGCGTGCCGTCCAGCACCGCTCCACTAACTTGCATGCTAAGAATGTGTCCGTCTCTATATCCGCCGGGGCGCCACCTGCCCGGAGCGTCGTAGGTTCAATATGCAGCACATTGTTTTGCGAAGCATCTGGGGTTAAGACTAGAACTGATGAGCCTAGCGTCAGCGCATTGATATTGCTGCCGCTGCCAGCACTATGCGCTCCTGTTGCTGCTGGAGTAGGCACGACCGTCTGCGTGCCGTCTAGCACAGCTCCATCTGTTTGCATGGTCAGAGTGTGCCCACTTATGGTCAACGCGCTCCCAGCAGCAACTACACTCTTTGTGCCAATGTAAATGTTGTTGCTTTGCGCCAGGTCAACCGAAGCAATAAAGGTTGCTGAACCAAGTGTCACAAGCTGAGTGGTGTGTGCAGCCAGATTCGGTGATGTCCCGAGCGATACGCCTCCAGCACTGGCGCTCGCAGTCGAGTCTGGAGCGTATGTGAAATGAGGGTCGGCCTCAGACTGTCGGGATGCAGTTGTCCCTGGATCGGTACCTGGTTCGCCGCTCGTAAAAGGGAGATTTGTAGTTTCGTGTACGGCGCTCGGTGCGGTTCCGGAGTTGGGGTCCTGCAAGCTTGCAGTCTGCGTCGCTACTTGGGTTTGGAAGCCGACTTGAGCAGCAACAGAAGCCAGCACGGCGCCCGGATCTAGATACATCGAAAATGCTGCTACGTTGGTACTAGGTTGTGTGGTAGCAGTATCCGGATCGCTATCTAACACGCTGGCTGCTAGGCTTGGTGTCGAGACGACTGTAGTTCCGGGAGCAGCATTCTGAGTAATCACAGAGCTAGGACTAGCCGTCTTTGCGCTCGCAGGCTGCAGTGAGGCTAGAGTCACAAGCTGTGATTGAGCCTGGCTTTGGGGGCCGACTTGTGCTGCGACAGAAGCTAACGCCGCCCCCAGATCTTGTGTTGTCGTCCCAGATGACGCTTGGGTCGTAGTGCCTGCGGCTTGCGCGTTCCCAGCATCTGCTTGAGTGATGGAGGATGCGGACTGTGCAAGCTGGCTACTTCCTGCCGTAACTGTCTCGGTAGAGGCTTGCACACCTCCTTGGTCAGCTGAACCTGCTTCAGTCTGGGGTTGAGTTTGGCTCCCTTGAACGCTGGGTATCTGGGTAGATGCAGGGTTCCCCAACGAAGTACTGGCATCAGATACCCATGATTGTGCCCCAAGGCTGTTGCTCGAGCCAGTGCTGTGGGTTGCCTGTGCGTCTGGTGGTGACTGAATAACAGGGGCTGATGACTCCTCTGTTGCACTCATTGACGTTCCGGCTGTCGTGCTTGTCTGCACCGCTGCCGTCGTTGTCGCATTAGGTGTAGGCGTAGCCATGTCTGGCAAAGCTTGCGAGGGTGTGGTCGTCGCTGCAGCGGCCATCGTCGGAGACGCTGCCGCAGTGGCAGGCTGGAGCGCAGTAGGCGGGTCATAAGCGCCGTGTACATCCCCGCTGCATGTCATCCACAGAGGATCGAGGCTTCTCAACAGCTCCGTTGCAAGGTAAATAATGGGGCCGTAAGTCGAGTTTGCCCTAATGCACGTGACATTCAAGCCGCCGTAGCTGACTAGCCCGCCAGCTTCGTGATTCATGGAAGACATCGGAAAGTAGTTGTTCGACATCAGGTATGACTGGCAGGCGGGCTACTGGTCCAGATCGAATGGCACGGGTTCTTGCAGGTCGGCGTAATTGAACGAAATCGTCAGAGCCTAAGAATTGACAGACAAGACGGTCAGCCATTTCCCACGCGGATTGCGAGGCAGTTGACGCAATGTTTCGCTTACCATGATACCTCCAATGAGCAAGGTCCCAGCGTATTCCATCGCATTAGCGCCAGCGCCTGAAGGTGGGACTGCCGTGAACGATCCATAGATGCTCGACAGAGTGATCGATGTTGGAATGGCGATGGTCGTACTCGTGATTGTGGGTCCCACAGGGCCGCACGTGTGGTTCGCGTAAAGCTTCGAAAAGGAGATATAAGCTGTGGGCCATGTTAGGATGGTGTCCTTGTATAGAGCGATGTCGCCTTGAGTATATGATGTTGTAGGTGGCCAATAGATGAGCTGCACCGTTCCAGCAGTAACCGCGCACCTTGCGCAGCCCAAAGTGCAGCCCGGAGCGAGTGAGGTAGTTGTCGGCCAGCCAACACCGTAGCTAGTGGTGCCATTGGTGGTAAATGTCATTTGTTGTGACCCTCCGGGAGCGTCTCGGTAGTACCTTGGCCCGGGGGGTTGAACTGTCAGCTGTGTCTTAGTCTATCAGGGGAAGCTGCGGAGTACGCTCTGCTTACCAGGGGTTACCAGTATGCCAATAGCTTACGTACGCATCCCTGAGCGACCAGCAGAGGTCGTTCTGGATCGATGCTGCAGTGCAGGGTGGCGTAGTGACGCGTACGTAGCTCTGCGAAAGTGTCGAGTAGTATGACGACCATGAGCTTTGACAGCTTTCGAGCGCCTGGTTGCAAGCGGGTGTGTTCGTCTCAGCAACAAGCCCAGCGCTCAAATAGGATGTCCAGGCCGCTTGGCACTGCGACACGGAAAACGGCAGTACACACGATGGTTCGCGCACCGGCGTCACCGACCAGAAAGATCCTATAGTGCTGGCCAGCGGCCATTCCAGGGTGTATGTCGAGATTGGCACGCCAGACGTTACGAAAGGGCTGGTGACGGCGAACGTAGTCACATAGATGGTTGGCGGGTCGCTCCACGTTGCGGAGATGGTATTGGTTGACGTCTCTGTGGTGTCGAGACGACTGTATGTGCTTAAAGTCCTTACCTCATACGATGTTCCTGTCGTAGAGGTGTAGACGTTGTCGGTAACGTACGGTGTACTGCTCCAGTAACTATCCCATGAAGTCCAACAGGCGTCGTTATTGTTTGCGACAACTGTGGCATTGCCGAGCGCTGCAGACGTCTTCGGGTAAGAGGTCAGCTATGTTGGCACAAATGCAGAGCGATCTGACCATCCCTCTACTTACTGCGAGGCTGGCGTTTGCAGAGGGACTGTGCAAGGTGACCCTAATTGTCTGTGGTGGAGCCTGCACTGTCTGCGTGATGTCGACTGTGATCTGTACAGTTGAGTTCAGTGTACGACTGAGCGTGGTATTCCGTGCTCCAGAGAGGATGCTATTGACAGTACGTGAAGAGACGTTCACGGCCGAGGTGGCTGTGTGAGTTGTCTGTTGGACAACTTCGGTAGCAGAAGTGATAGAGCGCGGTGTATTAGATATCGCATTCAGCAAGGAGTCGTGTTGGAGGGCGCTAGAGGCATCGTCTGCCTGGTCAGAGGCATCGGTACTTGGTTCTACCTGGCTGACAGCGGACTTTAACGACGTTGTGAGACTTGGGAAGGCCGTGGTCGATGTCGATATCGTCGTCGAAGTATCCAAGCCGATCCCAGCGGCAATGTAGGCTCCAAGATTATCGTCCGCGGTGGTAGTGCTGATTGAGAAGATGCTAGAAATGTTGCTTAGGGACAGTGAGTAGTTAGAAGCTGCTGATCGTACACTAGGGAGTAGGGACAGATAGGTTGCTATATATGCAATCAATGATACGAAAGTCATGCTTTAAACACGCAGAACGAGGAACTCGAGCGTAACGCCGTTAAGATAGGAAGAGACTGTACGCTTGGAATATCACAATGCGTGGAGCTGGGACGTATTGACCCAGTCACTATGCTGGCCCATCATGCTGCGGCGAGGAGGCTTGTGCGATGCTTGTAGTGAGAGGCACACAGAGGAGTGCCAAGTGCATGATTTGAGTGGTGTTACAGGCCGAATAGGCTTTCGGTACCGAGAATGGTTTGTCTTTCGTTGTTTCAGCTTAACGCAGTCAAGCCGCCAGTGCTCTGAAAGACAGAAGGGTTCTCGACCGCGCATTTACTGTATGATGAGTGGTTTAATGTAGCGAAGATTAACGCTACATGTACTTCACCGTTCGAGACTAGGAGTGCTAGCACTGCCCGACGTTGCACCTCAAGAGAATGTCCGTGATACCTAGAATTCAGACTCCAGACGTTCACACATGTAATTCTGCCGGGAGGCTGAACTTAGCGCAGAAGACTGGTGATGAGTAACGAAGAGGAAGCTTGGCGTAATTTGACGGCTAAAACCGTGGGCGCTTGCAATTCCTACTAGTGCAATCACTGGCACGAACACGCGGCTGAGCAATTCTCGAGAGTCACATTCGACGTGACAGTGACACTCGCGGGATCTGGTGGCGGCTACCAGCTCGTATATCCAAAGTGGAAAGACAGGTAAACATCCTGCATCAACATTTTTCATATGCGGGTTTGTCAACCCTGGATCACAGGGATCGCATTCTCCCAGTAGGAGGGTCGCGTCTGTCCTTCGAGCAGGTGGCCCGACGTAGGTGGGAGGGATCAACTTGGAGTTCCAGTACCAGTCTTAACGGCATCTGGAAAACCTTTCCGGTTTCCCTACGCTTCCTTGACCGCGACTCCGTTATCATAGTGTCGTCCCAGCGTGACGGACCGCCCTGGTTGGTGGAACGGCTCTGCCACTCGGTATCATCGCAATCCAGGGGAACATCGTCCGCTTGTGGGATCGATTCGCTCACGATTGCCCGTAGAAAGATCCGCCTGCTTTCTGCGTTGACCAACTTTCGTCATTCTCCGACTCCGCCGCTATGCATGTTACTACTACTTTGAACACGTCTTTACAGACCGCCGAAACCGAGGGATATCACCCTCTTCGCTCGCAGCAAGGTCTTCTTGTGACGGATATGCGCAATTTGCGCAGTGATTCCGTCTGGGACCGCAGCCGCCCCTTGAGCGAAGAGGATGTTGTTCGCGATCTTGTAATATTGCTCGCACTCGACACTACCCTCCTCCACCGGACGATGCTTGCTGTCGTAAAATGCAGACTTTGGGTCTCGCGTTTCGAAGAGACCGCGCAAGCCCGGTTGATCGATGCGGCTCTCGTACTTCGTCAAGTGCATGTCGTCGCTCATGAACGTTAGCAGCTGTATCCAATCCGTTGCGAATGTCCGGATATCGGCAACACTGAGTCCGCGTATGCAAACATCGTCGAGGCTAGGTGCGTTGATGCGGATGAGTGCTGCAACGTCCTCGACCTCGTGTACGCGGATTGTCATCAAACTCAGCTCGACAAGCTTCGGAAAGCGTAGCTGTCGGAAGTTCTGACACAAGGACTGGTTGTTCTGATAGTCAAAGTTGATGCCGTAGAGCGTCAGACGGGTGAAGCGTTCGGCGGCGTAATCGTTATGAATGATGCTGAACATGAACGCCATCTCTCGTGCAAGCATGCTGGCAATGGAAACGTTGGGAACGGCGTCCGCACGCTGCCACAGCACATAGTCGTCGCGAATATGTATGCCGTAAAGTACTTTGTCATCAAGTCTGCGGTTGAAGAGCTTCGAACAGGCTTCTCGTAAGAAACCGCATGCTTGGCGGGCGGTGGCGAGCTCTTCAATGGTCAGGAAGGATGCAACTAGCTCAACGAGCTCTACCGGCAGGTTCGTGAGGGTTGCCATTGTGGCTCGCCCAAATTTGAGCCGATTCAGATCGTTGTAAACCCTCGAAAGCCCAAGCGTTGTTATGAATGCTGCAGCAGTCCGGGACGCAGCGATCCAGAAGGTATACGGCACTCACCCTACCACCTCGGATACGCCTGGGGTTGAAAGAGCATGGTGCAGTCTATCATGAGCGACGAGCCCATCCTTTTGACGCCTAGCAGGGTATCTCGTGGCATTTGAACTACCCCAACCAAGACGACTAGCCAAGCGATTCCAAGCTGACCCAAGCGATACTACCGGTCCTGCACCGGAATGGCAGCAGAGTCGAGAAGATGTGACCGTGAGGGGAGTGGCACCTGTGGGTCAGGGGTCTGGCTCGGCCATCTCGGCGCCGATGGCCTCGAAATCTTGGCAGCATTTTCTTGAGCTTCAGGGCAAAAGTTCGAGATCAACTTGTGATTGCAGCTCACGCTTCTGACACTATCGCCAATATGTCGCACGACTATGATTACATAAAGGACTCGAACAGGAAGAAGCGCAAGTTCGGGCTTAGCAAGCCTGGTCACAATGCGCTTATGTCAGGCGGTTTGCCATCGCCAGAACAAGAACAGCCCGCGGAAGACGTTGATGCGGATCACAGTAAGGCGAGGAAGAAAATAAAGAAGGATCACAAGAAGCAGAAGACTGGCCCTGTAAAAGATATTCATGCGGAGGTGCAGAAGAACGGTCAGACTGCGGTAAACAGCGCGCCAGAGTTCACCGAAGAAAATGAGAAGACTCGTGCCACGAAGGACGTTGAAGATCAAGCCGCGGAGAGGGCAAGGAAGAAGGCCAGACGCGAGGAGAAGAAATTGCGGAAGCAGCAGCTTGGTGTGGCGAAGCAGGATGCGGCAACAACTGGTGCCGCAGATGCACCCGTCGTAAAGGGTGTGCGCGACAATGTGCAAAGCAATGGCGACGTCGATTACGCTTCTGCGCACGCGAACGGTGCGATGGAGGGTCACATGAAAGAGATAGAGGTGGAAAAGCAGGCCAATGCGCAATTAAAAGAGGCCGCCGTTGGAACGGATGCTGCTGGGGTTGAGGATGAGTTTGCGGACTTTGATGGCGATGGCGATGTCGACGGAGCTGATCGGGCTGATGGTGCGGAGGCTGATGAGGGAGTCAACGGAATTCAAGAAGAAGGGATTCTTGACCAGGACGACGAGGAAGTGAAGGAAAACGGCGACCTTGGCCCGCCGTCCGACCTTCCGTCCGCGCTGGGTGTCCGGCTACCAGACACATCCGCCGAGCCGCAGAAGTTCGCCGAGCTGAAATTGTCCGACAAGACGATGAAAGCAATTAGCGAAATGCCATTTGACACCATGACCGAGATCCAGCGTCGAGGCATTCCACCTTTACTAGCTGGTAAAGATGTCCTTGGTGCAGCAAAGACCGGCTCTGGAAAGACACTGGCCTTCCTCATCCCTGCTGTAGAAATGCTTTACTCACTCAAGTTCAAGCCTAGAAACGGCACGGGCGTCATTGTTGTGTCGCCTACACGTGAACTGGCTTTGCAAATCTTCGGAGTTGCTCGCGAGCTGATGGAACACCACTCGCAAACGTTTGGTATCGTTATCGGAGGTGCCAACAGGCGGGCGGAAGCTGAGAAGCTGAGCAAAGGCGTCAATCTACTCATAGCGACACCCGGCCGTCTCCTCGATCACCTGCAGAACACACAGGGCTTCGTGTTCAAGAACGTCCGCGCCCTAGTTATTGACGAGGCAGACCGGATTCTCGAAGTAGGTTTCGAGGACGAAATGCGGCAGATCATCAAGATCCTGCCGAAAGAGGACCGACAGACAATGCTCTTCTCCGCCACGCAAACGACCAAAGTTGAGGACCTGGCGCGGATATCGTTGCGACCTGGCCCGCTGTACATCAATGTCGACCATCACCAAGAACACAGCACCGTCGCCGGGCTTGAACAAGGCTACGTCATCTGCGAGGCTGACATGCGCTTCCGCTTACTCTTCACCTTCCTCAAACGACATCCCAAAAAGAAGATCATCGTCTTCTTCTCAAGCTGTAATTGCGTCAAGTACTATTCGGAGCTACTCAACTACATCGATTTACCGGTATTGGACTTGCATGGCAAGCAAAAGCAGCAAAAGCGGACGAACACTTTCTTCGAGTTCTGTAATGCGACTCACGGCACGTTGATATGTACGGATGTGGCCGCGAGAGGGCTTGATATTCCCGCTGTGGACTGGATTGTGCAATTTGATCCACCGGATGATCCTCGCGACTACATCCATCGCGTCGGTCGAACCGCGAGAGGTGCAACTGGAAAGGGCAAGAGCTTGATGTTTTTGCAACCGAATGAAGTGGGCTTCTTGGGCCATCTCAAAGAGGCGAGGGTACCACTCGTGGAGTTCGAGATCCCACCCAAAAAGATTGTCGATATTCAAAGTCAGCTTGAGGCGCTGATTGGAAAGAACTATTACTTGAACAGGGTATGCTCTCGCACTCGCTATCACATAAATAACAGAATTGCTGACGTAAGTTGCAGTCCGCTAAGGATGGCTACCGATCTTACCTTCAAGCGTACGCCTCGCATTCCCTGCGGTCGGTCTTTAACGTCAACCAGCTCGATTTAAAGAAAGTGGCGAAGAGTTTCGGCTTCCCTACGCCGCCACGCGTGGATATCAATCTGGGAGCGAGTATGAAGAAGGGTCCGGAAGGGAGGAGGAGTTATGGCAGTCAGCCGAGGCAGAAGAACGGTTTCATGCATAAGCGGCACTGAGTGGTAGGGTCCGGAAGCGGCCATCGCAGCGCACAGCACGATGTCGTCGAATACCTCTAGATCTGTGGGGCACATCCACACACCTTGTAACATCCGATGCTGTGTTACTGTCAATGATATCGACGCTTTCATCCTTATCAGACTCGCAATCGGACTACTTGTAGTGCTAAGCAATGGAATGTCCAGTGTTTGACCCTCGACCGTTTGCAGTCAATATTGCCGACTCTGGTGAAACGAACGTGGGGACGGGCGAGTGGTGACAGCCGCAGATGTTGCCATTTTGGGACGCGCTGCGACATCAGTGGTTCTGATTGGCCGATCCGGCTCGCCTGCGTCAACGGGCTCGTGACAGCACCGGAGGATCTCACGGAGCAAATCATTCGGCACACGCAACATTTCCCGTGAAGAAGAAGAAGAGGAATCAAGGCTTTTCTTCCTCCAACGCCCCCTACCACACTCTCGCTGAGTTGGCCTCCGCTTTAAGAACTGGCCATTCCGCGACGTCATGAGCTTATGATAACGATTGCACGTCCTTGGTACACGCCAGCCTCCCCACCTTCAACGGCAACGGCGCCCACCCCGAGGCCCAATGGTGCGCATGCGGTGATGCCTCCACCCTCGCAAGGACTACCACCGCCGTCGCAAATACAAGATCCGCCCACTTCTCTGCGCGGCTCGGGCGTACCGTCTACTACGACTGCGCCGGTGCCTGAGCGAAGCCAGACCGAGGATATCGACCCCAAGACTGGCAAGCGAGCATTGTTCGAGTCCGGTAAACAGAGAGCAGACTTCGGATCGCAGAGTACGGAGGCGACAGTGGCAGGTGCAGCCGGCATGATGCCGCAAACGCAAGCGGCTATCAGTGCCATGAAATCGGGCTCGTCAGAGCTGAAACCCCATCCAGCACCCATTCCAATCTCGCCAGCCAGACTACCATACCAAGCTATGGCGCCGTCGCCGTCGCTACTAAGATCGAGCTCGCCACGACTGCATAGCCCGGCCGACAGCGAGATCTTCGAGCGCAACGTGCAAGAACCGGTTGCGATCTCCACCTTACAAGGCGAGCTTAGCCCGGCACATATGCCGAGCCACGTCATTACCGAAGACCACATCCCTCCTGCGTTAGAGGCTACAGTGAACGCCATTACGAGCGAAACACTGAACCCAGATGAGGTGGAGATCGTGACGTCCACGTCACATCAGCCAGCGGCGGAGAAAGTGCTTGAAGCTTCCGCAAGCCAAGCAGACCTCACGCAGCTCCACTCGCCCCCGTTGAAGCACTCGGCCTCCGACAACTCCGATGTCAACTCCTCTTTCCACCATCTACCCACCACCAACGAGGAGGACGGCGCAAGCACATACGGCCAACTCGACCCGAATGACGTCCGACGACTCAGCTTCATCTCCTTCGCCGACGTAGTACAAGCCGAGCATCAGCAGCAGGCTGCCGCCTCCTCGATGGACAACGTCGGGCTGCCAGGGAGCTTCTCCGGTGCGCAAGACCGTGCGTCGCCGCCTCTGCGATCACCACGCTCTCCCGGCAGTCTCGGAGGCGGACTCACGACGCCGCCGCCTGTGCATGCGCATGAGCAGAGTCCGGTGAGGTCGGCGATTATAGGTGGTAGCGCTCCGACTCAGCACGGTGAGCTACAGATTGAGACGATGAGGCAGGCGGTGCGGAAGACGGCGAGCAGGGATATGAGCGGTGTTAGAAGTGCGGGTATGAGCTTGATTGGAGATGATGGTGCTTCTGGCAGTGAGACCAGGAGCAGAACGAATACATGAGTTAGGGGAAGGTTAGGTAACGGGTCACGATCAACGTCGGGGTGTCACACAGGCGACGTGCTGAGTCTTGGGTAGAAACGCATCGTTATGCACTGGGTTGGTTTAGGGTGTGGCCCGCTGTTGGCGTATTGGAGACAGGGAACGGGCTAGCATCGCTGGCACTTGCGATTTTCGAGCTGTACAGTTCTATAACGTGCCGCCGTCAAATTCCGACTCAAGCATTGATACAAAACCCCAGGAGCACTGTACAGTGATCAGCTGCTAGGCGACACACAACATCTGGTTCCCGTGCAGTCATGGTGGGATGGCGTCAAGCCCCTTCACAGAATCCGATCACGGTTGGAACTCGAGTAAACGCTTGAGTGTGCCTTTCTAGCGATGCTTAGAACACTCTAGTGCCGAGTTACCGTACTAGAACCCTCGGAAGAAGGCGCTGATGAAAGATGTAGGTCGCTGATCCAAAGCCGGTCTGCTGCTGCGATGCTCACTCAATCTGCGACTCGACCGTGGGCGGTCGGCGGCGTGGCGGTCCGTCTCGTAGCCGTCGCGGTGTTTACGGTGCGAACGAGCGCCGCTGGTGGAGCTCGCTGGAGGCTCCTCGGCTGTTGCAGGTAAATCCTGCTCTGTCGTTGCAGTGGTATCCTCGGTAGCGGCAGGATCTGAGTGAGGTACTTCATCTTGAACTTCTGGTATAGACTTGCTAACTTCCGGAGACGCCGCTCTCCTCGCCCTTTCGCTCTGCCGCTCGCCGTGATGTCGCGAGCTGCGGGACGAAGTGTGCTCCCTACTTGACCGTGACTGCTGCGTGCTACCGGTGCTGAAGAACAGCGGTGCCGCCGTGAAGGACTGTCTCCGTGGCTTCGCTGGTCGATCCGTTCCCCGCTCTCTGACTTCCTGCCGTTTGCGCCTCGCTTCTGCCTCTTCCCGCGCAACAGCCTCTGCTTCCTCTCGCACGATCCGCGCAGCTTCCTCTGCAGCCGCTTTCCGTGCCGCACGCCTTGCCTCGTGTCTAATCAGGCGTAGCTCCTTCTCCTCAGCCTTCCTCCGCTCTTCTTCTTCGATACGAGCGATCTCTTCGGCCTTGCGGGCCTCGCGCCTACGTTTACGCTCGGCTTCTTCTTCGGCGGTCGTGGAGTAGCGGCGAGCCTTGTGCGGACGCTGTCGACTCTTGGGTTCCTCCCTTGCGTGTTCTTTGTTTCGCCCGCTCGAGCTGGTTTTACTTGTTCTAGTGCCACTCGTTGCAGGTTTACTGGAGGGTTTGCGTTCCCAGTGGCTCCCATGCTGCTTATTCGCGCTGCCTCTGCTGAGTGTTGGTGATGGAGGCGCATCAGCAGCGCTGGTATCAATGACAGCTTCTGGAGGCACTTCTTTCCGTTGTTCGGTTTTCCGTTGTTCGGTTTCAGCCTCTACTGCTAGCTCATCAGACTGCGCTGCGATCGCCGGCGCTCCTAACGGGGCTGCAGGCGATGGCTCAGCCGTGTACTCATTCGTCGCGTCTCCTTCGCCAGTCTCCTCCGTTCCAAGCGGAGCATTCGGCTTAACGGGCTCAGCACCATTACCCGTAGTCACATCGTCTGCGGTGGGCTCGGGTGCCTCCAGCGGCGCTGATTCCACGCCGGACGGAATCTCATCTTCTCCCGTTAAGTGCTCTGCCTCACCAGCTGGGACTGCGGGCTCGCTCTCTTCAGCCTCGGCAGCCTTCAAGACTTCAGCGTCCAGGTCGGCTTCGCTGCTTGAACGTATTGCGTCTGCCGCTTCCGCAACGACAACGTCATCCGCAGCAATACCACTGGCAACGGGAGGAACGTTGTCGACGTGCGCCGCTTGCGTGTCAAGTGGCTCCGGCATTGTATCATCAGTGGCCGCCACTGTGCCTTCCTGTACCTGGTCTTTTTGCTCGTCGGACGGCTCGTTTTGTTTGTGCATCTCGGTTTCGATCTCGCTGGAGCCTTGCATAGGCTCGTTCTCAGCACTCGCTGTATCATTGACGCCCATATCTTCCTCATCAGGGGCCGCTATGTTGTCGTCCAACTGCGGCGAGGCATCTTTTGTAGCGCCAGAACCGTCCGGGTCGGCATCGTTTAAGCTAGCTGTCACTGACACTTTTTCCGAAGCTCCGGATTCTTCGGTGTCTGCTGGCGATTCCTCGGCTTCCACCGCACTCTCCCCGGCGCCGTTTGCAGCCATGGAATTCTCTGCCACTGCTTCGTCAGACTTAGCGTCAACGTAAGGGTCGCCAAAGTTGACTGCCTTTTCGCTAGCATTGCCTTCATCACCAATGTCACTCGCAGGAAGAAAAGTGTCTTTGACATCATCAGCCGCTGCTTGGTCGATGGCCGGCGCAATAAGATCTGCGTCTGCTGCTGCACTGCTCACGCTCGGCTCTGTCAAAGCGTCGATTGGCGCGCCTGCGGAGCTTTCTTCGAGTTCAGTATCGAGTACAACCAGGTCAACCTCATCAGCAAGATCGGCTAGGGTCGGAGTTGGCATGTCATCAAGCGGCAGATTAAGCACAGGCGGTGACGGCATAGGCGGCATGTCCTCCAGAAACTCGTCACTTCCAAGTAAAGGGGGCGGAGGTAAGACCATGTCGATGCCCAATCCGGTGACAGAAGATGCAGCCTCTTTTGACTTGCTCTTCGAGCTTTTTTTTCTCGGTTTCTCTTCGTCCATGTCGGCTAACTTCGAGCTTTTCTTCTTTTTCTTCGGCTTGGCGGCTGTCAGACCATCTGCGTCTTCCGCTTTAGTCGGACCAGGGTTGATGTTTACGCCTTCTGCGAAAGAGTGGAGGCCCATCTCTGCGACTAGCAGGTCTGGCACAACCAGCACTGACTGTGCGTCCGGTGCTGGCGTAACGTCGACAATGTCTCCCAAATATATCAGTGCATCTAGGGGCTTAGATGGTTCGCCTTCGCTGATTTCAGCTTGAGCATCTGCCTTAACGAGATCCTCCTCAACCGGATGCAGATCGTCAGCGGTTAGCGCGGTGTCCGTCTCAGGAGCCATAGGTGCTTCCGGCGGTAGTGCCTGCACAGCTTCGTCGACGATTTCCACAATATCATCTGGCAACTCTTCGATAGGTATTGATGATCGTTTCTTTGACCTACCTTTCGTACTTTTCGTACCTTTCGCACTCTTCTTCTTACGCGAGGACGGTTTTGGATCAGGCGTACCGGGTGCAAAGTGGACGCTTCTGTCTTCGAGAAGTCGCTGCGGATCGCCCCCTTCTGCCAGAAAATCTTCCAAGACCATATCCGTCTCGGCGGTCGTCGCTGTCGAAGTTTCTACCAAGACGGCTACGCCCGACTCCTGCTGCTCCGGAAAGGCACCGGGGGGGCGCTGAAAAGGCGGGATAACAATTTCGGCGTCGCTGGGAAGGTCAGATGTCGGTAGTTCGTCGTCAGTGCCATCGTCTGGTAATGCATTCAGCAAAGTATGCTCAGCAGATGTCGTCTGTGCTTCGTCAGTAGCCTCCGGGTCATCAGCGTTCGGAGAGTCCTTAGGTAGCAGGTCCGACAACCCAAGTGCTTGGTCGACCACAATCGGCTCCGCTGCGCTTTCGCTGGCTATAGCTACAGTGTCTGGTAACAAGCGCGCCACCGGTGAGAGTTCCTCGGAAGGTACCATGGGCGAGTCTACGGGCACTACATGCGAATCAGTGCGATTGGCGTAAAGCATCATTCGTACGAAAGACCCACCTTGTGCCGCAGATACGTCAACCTCGTCGGTGTTGACCGTGTCATCCTCGGGCTCAGACTCTTCGTCGCCAGTGGGTTCCGGTATTTTGTAGCGCACCTTGTAAGCTGGCGGCACATATGCTGCCGCAGCTGCAGCGGCTGGAACTGAAGAAGAGTTTGACACTCCTTGGCCGAGAAAGGCACTGTCTTTGGGGTCCCTCCATTTGGCTACCGATACTGATTTGAGATTATACTTCTTCTTGATCTCTTCAAGACTTAACGGAGCCATGGCCAGGATGACTTGGCTTGTGTAAGAGCATGGAAGAAAGGATGTTGCCCGGTTGGTAGATCATGGAGAACTTAGCACATGTCGCAGAAGGCACACTGTTGTGTGATATGGAGTGAGGCTCGTCTCACGCCAGCTTACGAGGCCAGTCGAGCAGCAGTCTGCACACTAGACATCGGGATGGAGGGCCATACGAGGGTTTGGTTCGCTGCCCACCTCATTATTGACCAAGCACGCACTTGGGTACCGATATACTTTCCATGTCTGCAAGTGGTGGGGGATATGTAACCGTTGTGTCGGGCATGAACTATTTAGCGTGCAGCGCAAGTCACAGGTCCCACGTTCGAGCGCTGCAAAGTGCAGCGCCATTGCTTTGGAAGCAGGACGGGATACCAGGCTGGGCTCGCTGGCAGCGGATGCACACACGGACTGATTCAGGATAGCCGGCGACGCGAACGCAACACTAGTGCATTGGTTTGGGTTGCCATGCAGCCTGCAGGTAAAGCCGACCGTCCCTATAGGTCTGCGTTGTGCTCGTCGCAGGCCTCGCTTTAGGTTGACTGGACGGACCGATCGCGGTCGCCGTAGGGTCACACTGGTCTTGTATCGTAAGTGAGGGCTCTATTTGCCTATCCCAGCCGTCAGTGTTGTCGATGACTGCTGTACGAATCAATGATGAGAACCGTTTGTGACTGACGTGGCGGTCTGCTGGCTTCTGCCGTGCCATCCCGTCCCGTCCGGTCGGAAGCCTCCGTTTGCCAGGATCTTGCACAAGTCGTCCTTCGGTCTCAACGACCAACGGACTGTGACCTCCATGGGTTTGAAGACCACAAGCTACAGTGGCTACCTATTATCGCCCCACAATTGGCGCCTGGGAGGCGCTCATCATCAGAGTGAGTCTGATACTCTGACCACCAAAACATTGTACTCACAGATCACCCATATAAAGATCTTACATCGTTGGACTCCCGTCATCCATACTCCCATGAGCGGATATGAGGGTCGGAAAAATGAATCCAGATACCTGGGACCCGAATGCAGTGAGTCTTGGCATGTTGCCGCCTGTGGGAGATGGTCAACGCATGTTGTAGATGCCCTTGATCGCTCAATACTGACATACCACGACTGATGCATGATTTAAACACCTCACGTCGCTCGACTAGCCGCTCGCATATTTGCAGTCACTCAAAGCTCGACGACCTTTTCAGGCTTCCAAATCCGTCGCCAGGCTTGCGCTGCCGGGCTGCTCGTTTGCAATGTCTCTCATATCCGCTGCCGTCACCGGGTGTACGCGCAGCAGCGGCACTCTTCCTACCCCGTTGCTGTGGGGGGCTGATTATAGCAGCCGTACTTCTCGCCTAACAGTGGTTGCCTAATAGATTCATTGTAGGTGAAGAATCAATGTTCCTCCTGTCTCTCCTCTTTTCTTTCTGTATGCACATCACGGATGTAACCTAACGAGATGCGAGCCGCTCCGTGGAAAGCGAATACGGAACTCAACAGACACCGGAAGCTATACTTGCCACATCCAGCATGGCCAAAGTCTCAACGCCTGCCAACCATGGTCTTCCTCTCCCTCCATCCCCACGCGCATCCTTCTCAATGCCCCGGGGACGTCCCTCAGCAACCAGGCCTTCGCTATCGGTCCATCCCAGTTTTGTCAACCTCAATAGCATGGCCCACAACTACCCCACTCTTCAAGCGCAGAAAAAGATGCTTGTAAACGCCAACGACCAGTTCGCAGCTGCAGACAAATCGCTACGAGCTCAAGTGGCTGGTCTGAAGGCACAGTCGGCCAACCTGGAAGAACGCAATATGAGTCTGTCTGCCGACATTAGGCAAGCGGTCGACCATCTCTCGGAAGCGAAGAAGCGAAACGCCAGGCTTACCACTACCGTCGAGCTTTTAGAAGCTAACAATGAGTTAGCAAGCGAAGCGTTGCAGGCCCTGACGAAGGGGAAACCTGCGCTTGTGGCAGAAAGAAGCAAGCTTGCCGCCGCTCTCACGAAAGCAATAGATGAGCGATCTGATGCGATGTCTACGATCATGGCTTTGAGCGAAACCCTAGAGGTTCCCTTGATCAACATCACTGGCTCCAAGATGTCGGCTCACGGTGCGCTTTTGGCGAAAGCGGATGAGCTTTGCAGGGTGCGAGATGCAGCTGTAGCTGAGCACGCCGCCTGCGAGAAGCTTATACGTGGCGTGCTGGAGAAAAATGCCAAGCAGTCGAGAATATTGCAGCAGGATGGCCAGGATCTCGCGAATCGTTCCTCTTGTCTCCAGCGAGCAGAGTCGGATCCTAACGCTTTGGTGACTGAGAAAAGCAGCTTACAGGGACTTCTAGCCGAGCTGTCTAGGGCGTATTGTGCGCTCGAAGGCAACAACGAGCGTCTCGATAAGCGCCTTGGTGAGACTGCAGGCCTTGCCGAGGACTTTGCCAGCCACCAGACGCAGCTCGCTAAGGCGCAGCGTCGCATATCTCAGCTGAAAACCACGATCACAGAGATGGTGATCGAAAAGGGTGGGCTTGCCGGCGAGGTAAGGATCAAGTCAGCTGTCATTGCACACAAAGAGCAGCAGCTCACCGAGCTTACGACTGCACGTGATGAGCTGCAACGTTCCCTCACCCAGCAGCTGGAGGCTTGTCGTTCGCTCGAAACAAAGAACAAGCATATCATGGCGCGCATGGCCCAGACAGCCGCTTTTGCCGCCGACATTGAAAGCGAAAACCGCCGCCTCGAAGGCTACCGTGCCGAAACAAGTGTCCTTGCCAAAGGTTCCGAACAGAAGGAAGCGGAGATTGTTATGCTGCAAGGCTTCGTCACGCAGTTGGAAGGTGACAGCGAAAGACTCCTGACTGAAAATGGCAGGCTTACAAACGAAGCGAAGAAGAACGCCGCCGCTCTGGCCGATAAGGACCGGCAGCTCACCGCATCCAAAGCTGCACTTGATGGCATGCAACGTTCGCAGTCGACGAAGGCGGGACTTCTGAAGGCTACTTGCACACAACTGGCTAAGCTACGCTGGCGCTATATTGCGACAACTGCGAAGGAGAAGACCACACGCAGCAGTCAAAAGCTTCTACTCTATGCGGCGGCGCAGAAGTACCACACAGACCTCGTCAGACTGCGGAAAGAATATGATGGGGTGGCCAAAGTCAAGGCTGTTAAAACTGTACAAGCGATGGAAGGTACAGCGTCCGCCAGGAAGCGACCCGCTGACGCCCTCGCAGAAACAGGCGAGTCTCCCTCAAAAAGGGTCAAAAGAAAGTATGTTGAGCGTCCGATATGGGCTCATCTGGCCGATGGCAACCCGCGCCGTCAGCTTGATATTAAGACCGATGTCAACAGCACGACCCCAATACCAGCTAAGGCGTCGGAACCAAATGCAAAGACTGAAGCAGTCGTCAGCACACCCAGGATCACGATCAAGCTGCCTGTCTCCGTAGACCGCGGTCCCGGCGAGAGAAGCCCAAGGAAGCAACGCTCGCCACTAAACCCGGAAACCGTGAAGCAAGCCAGCAGCCGTTGCAATCCTGCTACTTGTCCACCGTCCTCATACCTACCACAAGACGATATACCAACGCCGGCACTAAGCGTCCTCAAGTTGGCGGATGGAAGCGCAAATCAGTCGCGGCAACCTCTACCACATCGAAAGCAGCAGTGCGATGAGGCCAAAAAGAAGAAGCCAACTGCTTTACTGCAGAGCCAAGGTAACCACAGCGGAAGCGAGCAGAGCGACATCCAGCGTCAAGCGGACACACGCTGTCGAAAGCAGAGGCGCCCGCCCACGGGTCCGGTTGTGAGTGGGTCATATTACCGTCCAGATTATGAACGTGGAAGGTCTTGGCATCCGGATGGCTGATGGTGATGCATCCCCATGGGAGCGGGCAATGAGCTGTGGTTGGACGCCTGAAATCTCGACAGGCTTGTGAATCAGATGGCTTACGTAGAGGCTGAAGGTTTGGGAGAAGGCTGAGCAGCATCTTCTGCTCGTGATCATGGCATGCTATTCCTAGGGCGCCCATTGTTACTGGTCTGCCGGCCCATGGGGCTCCTGTACTTCGGCCGTTGCTGGTCTGGTCGGAGGGCCCGCAGCGCTGATAAAGGATACCTTACAATTATGTACAAGCTGTGGTATCTGAACTGCACAGCAACGGCATCTAGATGTCAAAGTTCTTCAGCTCCGGCATGAAACCCATACCGCCCCCGGATCCTTTCTTACTCATCTTCTCGCCTTCAGACACATGCACGCCTCCCGCACTCTTATCAATCACATGCTTCCTCAGCATTGACAGAATCTCACTGTTCTTCCACCGTGTCGGCACCGGCCTATATGCCGGCTTGAAAGTCCCCACCGTCTGCGCCCACTCTCCCGTCGCAGGCTTCCGCACTTTCTCATCCTCTGGCTTCTTCGTAGTGTCCGGGTGGGTACTCCCCTGCGCCTCCGGACTCGCAAACGCCGAACCCGCACCCTCCGCATACGCCATCGAAGTAGGGGTGGGCTCCTGCGTCGCCCAATAATAGATATCCCAATCGTTCTCGTCCAGAAACAAATCATATTGCTGCAACTGCTTGGGCGTCATATGCGCCAAATGAGTGTCGGCGAATGTGGAGAGGAGCAGGTCAGACTCTAGCGTGCCCCTTTTGCGGGATTGATCTACAGTACCGCCGCACATCAGCAGTTAGCCAGTGCTCTGTGGCAAAAGAGTGAAGCTTACAGACGAGACGGGCACGCATCGTGTTCGCGTCCTCACCGGTGCGGCGAAGAGGCTCGACGCGGAAGGTGCCGCCTTCGATTTCACCTACATCGAGCTCAGAGTTGGGCCCACTGTCTGGCGCGGGCTTCTGGGTGCCGCCCGTCATGCGTTCCGTGTTCTCGGGATGACTGTCCTTCGGGGTGAAGTCGGGGTCGGCGCTCGTGATCATCTCCGGTGGAGGTGCGTCTCTGCCGATGCTGGGCATCTCGTTGGAGATGGTACTGTTGGTGTTGGTCATGTGCGGATTAAGAGGCTTCTCGGTCTGCGACTTGCGCCATGCGTCCGCATTGTCGTGGGAACGTGGGTTCACGTTGTCGGCGAAGCGAGTGCGGGTGGTCGTGAAGGGCCGGGTGGAGGAGATGGGAGAGAGGCGTGCTGTGCGGAATAGTGCTCGTGTCGTCGACATTGTGTGCCTGTAGTGCGTGATTGAAGGTGAGTGGTGGTGTATACTTCCAATTGACAGCATTCAACAAATAGATGCGCTCGACGGCGGATTGACCTTCACTTCATCCCTGCGGATTACGTCACACATGCATTCGGTCACGTGAGATATCGGTTGCAGCATCGTAAGACGCAGTTTGATGTCACGAACGTTTATACAGTCTATCCCTTTAACTATGTCTCAGCCACTATCCTTCCCATGATAAGTGATGAACTTTTCTTGCAAGAACTCCTCCAAGCCCCAACTCGCATTCTGCCGTCCCCATCCTGAACCCTTCACACCACCCTGCGGACCCGTCCAGCTCGTGAAGACGGAGATGCTGTTGATGTGGACCTGTCCGTACTCTAGCTCCCGGCCGATCTTGATCGCTCGCTCCATGTTGTTGCTATGTATCGTCGCGTTCAGACCATAAGCGCTCGCGTTCGCCAAACGCACTGCTTCCTCGTCTGAGTTGACAACGTACAGACTCGCCGACGGGCCGAACGTCTCCTCGTCAACGATGCGGAGTTGATCCTTGGGCGTCTTCGGATCGACGATGATGATGGATGGTTTCATGCCGTTCTTAACAGCCATCTCCGGCCCCCCAACAAGGAACTTTGCGCCCTTGTCCTGCGCATCCTTCAGGATTTCTTGAGCTTTGGTCGCGATGCCGGAATGCACGGCGTGGCCTCCACGCTCATTCGCCATGACCTTCGCCAAGATGTCCTGGAACTGTTGGGCGACATTCTTGTGCACAATGATACGCTCAGTGCTGAAACAGATTTGACCGTGATGCAGCGTGGCACCTTTTGCGCTCAGCACTGCGGCTTTCTGCAGGTTGGCGTCGTCAAGTACGATGGACGGGCACTTGCCCCCCAGCTCCATGAGGACGGGTTTCAGGTACTTCGCCGCTGTTGCGCCCACGATACGACCTACGGCCGCTGAGCCGATGAACTCAATTTTGCGTATGCGCTCGTTGGCAATGAGATGCTCAGTCACCTCCGCAGCGTTTTCGCGAGAAGACTGGACCGAGTTGAGCACGCCTGCTGGGAGGCCAGCTTGGTGATAGATGTCGACTATGAGGCTGTGCGTGAGAGGTGAAAGCTCGCTGCACTTCAGTACGACCGAGCAACCGGCTCCAAGAGCGCTGGTGACCGCACGGGTCGCAAGCACCAGCGCAGCATTCCATGGCGGGATTACCAGCACCGGACCCACAGGCTCTTTGAACACAAACGCAAACGTATCCGGCTTGTCGATGGTAGGTATCTCACCCTTGATGTTCGACACGCAACTGGCGATCTCCCTCAAGTAGCCCACAGTCGTAGCGATGTTGTTCATTGCCCACGGCTGTGGGCAACACGTCTCGTCCATCTGTGCTTTGATCAACTCGTCCTTCCGTGCCTCGAACAAGTCCGCTGCTTTTATGATGATGTCGCGGCGTGTATTCGCACTTGCCCGCTTCCACCCACTACGACCTGTGTCGAGGATGTTGCCGCTGAAGGCCGTCCATGCTGTCTCGCAAGCCTCGTCGCAGGCTTTGATGTCCGTGGAAACGTAGTAATGTATCGTCTCGTCAGTGATGGAGGACTTGACAGGCTGCACCCGGGACTCGTCTACTGGTAGAGGCTTGCCATTGATAAACAGTGGTACAACCTGTCGGCTTTGCGAATCTTTCTCGAGCGGCATATTGAATTGTTGAGCCAATGATAGGATATCTGTAGCTTTAAGAGATGTAGCAAAGTGGAGGACGGCAGCAGGATAGAACGTGGGACCTACCTCCCGGTGGAACTAGGATTAGCTTAGACTCGAATAGTGATCAATCCCAATGGTTCTGGATTCGATGTGAGATATGGAGCTCCCCACTCAGTGCATTCGCTTGCGCTCTACGGCATTTCTGCTGCCGAGCGAAGGCGGGCCGGTTGGAATCGTGTTGACAGCTCGCAAGAAGATTCATAGCTCGAATGACTATTCGTTCAGCTTTACGATGGAATGCAGCTGAAGTGGGACGGCTCATGATGGTCTCACGCCGCCAGCGCAATACCACGAGGCGATCAAGCGAAAAGGAGAACCCTGCTGCGAGGCAAGTCAACTGCTCAGTAGCAGACCTTTGTTCGCTATCTGCTTTGTGTATGCTGTCTTCGCATATGTACCATGACAACACTCGCAGAGCTGCCTTCAGACCGCCTTTTTACCTTCAACGTGAGTTTCACGCTGTACGCCAAGACAAAGCTTTCCATCAGCAAATTACTATGGAAAGTAGAACTTTCAGCCCTGACCAGAGACCATTATATGGACTCCTACTCTATCACCTTGCACCACCGTCACTACGTGCTGCTCACACTCGTCCTACGGAGGCGGGCGCTCATGCAAATACGTGCAGCTGTCACCCTTCATGCACCTCCCATCCTCCCAGTACTTGCACACCTTCGTCTTGTAGAAGCGGCTCTTGTCGCCTTGATCTCGATGGCGCTTAGACATCGGATCGTCGGGGTTGTTGTCGTCACGTCCTCCCATCTGCGGAGCTTGCATTTGAGGGCTGAAGCCGCTTGTCACTGACGGAGCGAAAGGATCGGGCATCGGCTGTTGGGTGTTGCTCGACTGGCCGCCGATAGCAGCCATGATGGCAGAGAGGTCAATGTGCTGTCCGTTCGGTTGAGGTGCCATGGCCGGAGGCGGGGCCCAGTTGGGCAGCGGTTGCGCTTGCGGTTGCTGCACGGCCTGGTTCTGCGGGAGGGCTTGTTGGAGACTGGCAAGTAGTTGCTGGATGTCAATGTTTGGTGGAGGCGTGGTCGATTGGGACGCCAGCATACTTGCACTAGTCGGCCGGTGCTGGTTGTTGCCGAACTGGTTGAGCGCCGACATATTAAAGGACTGCTGGTTGGCAGGCATGTGTTGCTGTGCCGGGTATGGCTGCGGCCGCATGGCTTTGCGTTGCGTAGCACGAGCGGCAAAGGTGCGGTTAGGTGCACCAAACACTTTCTTCTCCGTTGCAGGCTCGCCATTAAGTGGATTCGCCGGCTCTTTCGGAGTGGGAGGGATGTCGTTCCTGTCCGGGTAGAACACAATTAGAGTGTTCGCTTCGTACTGCTCCCTTGCCTTGCGCTCCTCGGATTCTGTTTGGAGGCTACCACCGAAGCGAGAGAAGTTCTTGCTACGCTCCTCATCGTCGATAACGGTGAAGTCGACCGGTGTTGGCGCCTTCCACGCAATAAGAGTAGGTTCTGGTCCGTCATCTGCCTCATCGCCTTCATCGTCCACATCCATCATATCTTGATGCATCTTGAGCATACGACCTTCCCCTCCTACATCGGACACATCGCGCATTTGGCTGTCGTCGTGACCGGTTTCCTCATCAGGATCGTGCGTGAAGTAACGGATCTCCACCAGTTCTTCGCCCAATTTGAACCTTACGTTCAATTTACGCCGCGTCTCCTTCCTCAAACGCTTCGCCAGCTGCTCCGGCGTCTCCGGCGGAGCCTCCTTCTCTGGCTTCTTCGTTGCAACCTTTTCCTCCTTCGGCTTGCCGAGGTTCGCTATAGTTTCGGCGAAACTGAAGGTGGACTTCGGTGCAGCAGACGTGGCCGCAGTCGTAGTCGGCAAGACCATTTTCCTTTCGGCAGCCTTCGCGCCACTCGCTTGAGCTGAAGCGCCGCTTTTGATCGACGTACCAGGCTTCTTCGCTGCAGACTGCAAACTCGAGAAGAACGCTGACGGCTTGGCAGTAACCTGCTTTGTCTTCGTCGCAGGGGCTGCGGCTGCGGTGGTCTTTGCTGATTCCGCGCCAGAGAAAGTTTTCTTGACCACGCCATTTGAGTTCGAAGCAGTCGGCGACGCAGTGGCCTTCGTAGCCACGGTTGCCACCCTCTTCACCGTGACGCCCTCTGCTACGCTGCTGGCAGCACGCTTTACACCAGCTACTGCACCTTGGTCCACACGCTTGCCTAGCGGCGATGCCACAGTGACAGGCTTTCCAGCGCCATGCTGGGTCGCTGTAGTCGGTTCGGCTGCATCGTTCGCGGCAACAGCAGCGGCAGCCGCCATGATACGCTTGGCATAATGTTGAGTTTTGGCGTCGCCCTTCCTAGCATATTTGGGCAAGACTTTGACGAGGTGGGTCTTTTCAAGTACGGCGTCACTTAACGTCGTGAAGCGCGTCATCAGTTCGAGGATAGCGCGAGACAGCGAGCCATTGAGGTCATCCTCCTTAAACCTGTCAAGCAAGAATTGATAGCACACGAAGACGAGTGACTGGTTCTGACCCAGGTTGTCAACAATACTCCGATGCCCATGCTTCAGTGCAGCCTTGCACGCCACCTCGATCATATCACGCTGATCCTTGACCCTACTTCTAAGCAGTGGCAACTCGCCTACTCGGTTCTTCTCCTCGGCTTGGGTAACGGCAGCCTGGTCAATCTTCCAGCGGTCGCGGATGGTTTTCACAATCTCCCAGAAAGTAACCAGCGCGGTCCTGATATCAGAAGCGGCCAGTGGCTTGCGCTTCGAACTCCAGAGCGCCTTGATCGTGTCGTATTCGACAGCGTCCTTTGGGGTATCAGGACGCTTCTGGGGTAATGGTGACTCCGCTGACTCCTCCTCTGACGAGTACAAGGAGTCGTCATCGTCACTTTCTTCGCTACTAGACGTTTCGCCTTCGTACTTAATCCTCTCATCCGAAGCGTTCGTTCCCTTGGCAACAGCAACCGCTGAAGAGGCTACAGGGGCAGTAGTAAGCGCTTTGTGCTTCAGCGACTTTTTCCCGATCTTGTCAAGCAGTACTTGATCATTGCCGGCAAGCCTTCGGAGCTCATTCTTGGATTTGCGAGGAACATAATGAGGCAGAGTAGTTGTGCGGTTGACAGGCCATTCCTGTGCTTCCTTTCCGATGGTAAGGAACTTGCCCATGCGCTCAGTGCTGGTGGCGCGAACGATCTCGTCGAAGTCGATGGTGGAAAGATATCCGTTGTCGGTACCCTTCGGAATGGCTTGCATGAGCGCAATCTGGTCGATGCTCTTCACAGCAGGCATACTGGCAAAGCGTGACTGGTTGAAAGCGTTCTGAGCGTAATTGATGCCGGTGTATGCATTGACGTTCACGGTGGGCGATCGGATCTCCTGCTGCAAAGCTTGCGGGGCAATGGTACCCAAGCTCTGATTGTGATTGCCATAGCCGTTGAAGTTGGTATTGAAGTCCTGCGCTGGATTGCCAAAGAGGGCTGGATCGTACTGTGGCTGCTGTTGATATTGTTGCAGATTCTGGTGGACGTTGTATCCGGTGTAGTTGTTTTGGCCGAAAGGTGCCGGACTGTGGGACAGTGACCGAGCGTATGGCGCGGGTTGACCATTGATGTTGCCTGTTGCCAAGGGGGCAGACAGATGGCTCGCGTTCTGCCAATTCGGCAAACCAGGCTGCGTAACACGTGACAGGGCCGGATTCGGATTATAACCGCTGGCGTTTAAGGCCCAGGTGGCTTCGGGAAAATTGGGATCATTGCCATTTAGAAAGGAATTGTCATGATATGCTTGATATTGCTGGTTACTATCCGCGAACAGATTGTTGAACCCATCACCACTATGCTGATCCATTTCGCGAGGCTGAACTACCAAGTCCGCTTTGAGATGATGGTCCGTGCACGAAGCGGGGATAGCCGTGCAGTTTGGCTGACACAAAGCCGAGCGGTGATTGAGGGAGTCTATGACAGCGGGGATTCTCTTGTGTGAGACAGCGAAGGTCGGCAAGGGTTGTAGGAACTGCAAGCTCGTTGGCGTGTCTCTCGTGGCGGCCGTAGATGTCTTCGGTGCAGGTCGTGGTAGAACAGTGGACGTGCAGTCTGGGCGGTCAAAGTGACACTGCGTACCAGCCCACAACGCTCTGCCGCGCCTGCGATGGCGGGTACTCTGGCGTTCACTCCAGTATGCAGTATGCACGGGGACAGCTTAAATTGTGCTGTCGCAGGCAAAGTGAGCCTGAAACAGCGCTCGAGACAGAATCAATGCAGGAAGGAGTTGTCTGGAGTGCCCAGAAGGCGCACTACTCGCCAGTCACTGAAGTGACGGTCGCAATTTGCACTGGCTGTGAGTAACACGACCTTCAAAGACACGCGTAGTACACTAAGCTCCCTTCGCCCGTAATACCAACTCGGCCCCATTCAATCACGTACCGTCATGAGGACAAGGAGCGCGAGGGTTTGATGAAGGGTGCTCGTTGGTTGTATGATGTTGTTGATGGAAGGAGGAAGAAACTGTGTCAGAGGGACGGGATGTTAAGGCGAAGAATCGGCGCCTTAGGCCAGCAATCAAGCAACGCGTCCGTGCGTCATGCACGCATCGCATTCGGAAAGTTGACAGCATGCCGGCGCGAAGTCCACAAGGACAACTGTGCAGAGTGACAGTGTTAATTATTGTTGCCTGATGCTACAGGACACTTGACATGGTAGATCTGCATGGGCGGGATTGAAGATAGGCTGTCCCACAGCCACAAACAACAATGTCCTCCTACCAGTCATTGCGGGATCGTCAAGTAGGTTGGTAAACGCAACTTGCAACTTCGGAGGATGGCTCCTGACACGTACAGCCGCAATCGAGCGAGTCCTCAACCTCAACCACACGCCTCAGGAAACCGGCGAGCTACACCATGATGTCTCCGCCTCAAACGGCCTCATACCGCAATCAACGCCTATACTCAACTCTGATGGCGAGCCCATATGGAAGGTGTTAGTCTTTGATAACCTTGGGCGGGACGTCATCAGTACTGTTTTACGGGTGAATGATTTGCGAGGATGGGGCATTACGATCCACTTGTATGTCGGAAGGCGTGCCATGATTTCGGCGCATAGGATGCTGAGTAGCCGTACAGCAATCGCTGACTGGCCAATGTCAGAAATATCAACCAGCAAAGACATGCCATACCGGACGTGCCCGTGGTCTACCTCCTTGAGCCAACAGCTGCCAATTTGGAGCATATTACACAAGACCTTCAAAAAGGGCTCTACTCCCCAGCATATGTCAACTTTCTTCACTCGATACCTAGGCCGTTGCTTGAAGACTTCGCCGCACAAACAGCTCAAGCTGGGACTTCTGAACACATCACCCAGGTGTACGACCAGTATCTGAACTTCATTGTCAGTGAGCCTAGCCTATTTAGCCTTGGTATGGGGAAGGAAACGTACTGGAGCATGAACAGCGCGCAGACAAGTGACGAGGAGCTCGATACGCACATTGACAGAATCGTCAGTGGATTGTTTAGTGTGGCAGTCACGATGGGTATGTGCGTGGCCAGAAGTGGATGCTAATGCTTGGCTCACCGTTCCATGCAGGCACTATTCCTATCATCCGCTGTCCGAAAGGTGGCGCGGCTGAAATGATTGCGGCAAAGCTCGACCGGAAGCTACGGGATCACATACTGAATTCGAAGGACAATTTATTCTCCGGCAACCGATCAGCCGCTGTGACAAGTACGCCTTCTTCTCGTCCAGTACTAGTAATTGTGGATCGCAACGTGGATCTCGTTCCTATGCTATCGCACTCATGGACATACCAGTCGTTGATACATGATGTACTTAGCATGCATCTCAACCGAATCACGCTGGAAACGCCAGCCGACGACAGCAGCTCTGGGAAGGGCAGCACAAAACGCTCGTATGATCTGACTGCAAACGACTTTTTCTGGAAGAAGAACGCCGGCGTACCCTTTCCGCAAGTAGCTGAGGACATCGATGCTGAGCTCAAGCGTTACACGGATGACGCAGCCGAAGTCACGAAGAAGTCTGGAGCCAGTTCGATTGAAGATCTACAAAATGACACCAGCGCATCAGCACAACACCTCAAAGCCGCTATCACCCTTTTACCAGAGTTGCGAGAACGAAAGGCTCTCCTGGACATGCACATGAACATCGCAACAGCACTGCTGAAAGGCATCAAAGACCGGCAGCTCGACAACTTCTTTCAGCTTGAGGAAGATACCAAGAAGCAGACGAAGACCCAAATGCTGGAACTCCTAAACGACTCTGACAAGGGGAAAGAGCCGCTCGACAAGCTGCGTCTGTTCATCATCTGGTTCCTCAGCACCGAGCAAGACGTGTCACGCACCGAAATGACCAATTTCGAAGACGCTTTGAAGAAGACTGGCGTAGATTCGACACCACTCGCCTACATTAGACGCGTGCGCGAAGTGACGAGGATGACAATGATCTCGTCTGCACCCACTCAACCGCAGCAGTCGTCCACGTCCGAAAACTTATTCCGCGGATTCAGCTCCATCTCGTCCCGACTTACAGACCGCTTCAAGGATGCCGGCTTGGGCGCCAATTTTGATACTCTCATCTCCGGGGTCAAGAACTTCCTGCCTGCTAACAAGGACTTGACGGTAACGAAGATTACCGAGAGCTTGATGGATCCGCAAAACGCTTCCACCGGCGCTCTGCAGAAAACGGAGGGCTATTTGTATTTCGACCCACGGTCAGCGAACGCTCGAGGCACAATGCCGCCAAGCGCGAAAGATGCGCGGGCCGGCACCGCGCAGACCAGAGGTATTGAGGCTTCTTTTGGCCAGAGAAGGCAGGGCTTTACTGAAGCCATCGTGTTCACCGTTGGCGGAGGAAGCATGGACGAGTACGGCAACTTGCAAGAGTGGGCCAAGCGGACGAGTGGACCGGGTGGAGGCGCTGCAGGCGCTGTAAGCAGGAAGCGAGTCATTTACGGAAGCACAGAGCTGGTGAATGCCGAGAGCTTCTTGAAGGAGCTTGCTAAGCTCGGTGCTGAAACGTAGATTCATATAAAACATCATAGTATAGCGCATCCGACGAGCACAACCAACACCGTCATCATACTCTGCGAACTCGGGCGTGAAGCTGCGCTGGTGCTTCCATAGCGCTTCGCAAGGTCACACGCTGCCTCCCCAGAAGCTTTGCTGGCAGGGCCGATGGTAAAGCTCTGCACCCCGTACGGCAGATAAGAGCAAGCACCACCGACAACACAATCCCACCGTATCCTCGGCTCGAGGATAGAGCCTCCGTTGGTGGCGTTCACCACCTCGTACGGAGAACACCCTCGACCAGCATAAGTTTGGAAGACGAGAGAACCCATGACGCTAAGATCCTGGCTCGACACATACGTCGCGTTTCTCTGGGAATAATGTATAGTCGAATAATTGCCACTCAATCTATAGCTGGAGGCGCCAGTGACTGTGTAGTTGACGGCGCAGGGACGTTCAGATGAGGTGTTGAAGCACGTGTAGCCGTCATACACGGTCTGGTATGGGTTGTTGCTGATAGTTCCGTTAAAAGTCGCGTCCACGTCGAAGCATGTCGTGGTGTATGGGACATTGTTGGCCGTGAAGGTTAGAGTGTTCGGGAAGCCATTGGTGGCATCTTCGCTGCATGCTCCGGCAGACAGGATGTTACTGTCGTAGAACCTAATGCTCACTCCTGGGTCGGCCTGCTGTCTGTTCCGAGGTTTAGTGAAGATCTCTGCGTTTCACGACGAGGTAAGTAGATCGTACGCTGCGGAGGGGTGTGCGAAGGATAGAGTAAGTGCAAAAGTGAGGGTGCGGAGAATGAAAGCAGACATCGCTGGGCTTTGTAGAGGAAATAGATTGTTCGAGAACACAGATGGCTGCCTGTCACTGCGTACCCGCTTCGATACGAGAGCAAACATCAAAGGCAAGGCTGCACGCCCACCGTACTTATAACCGCTGATCGTAGCAACCTCATACAGTAAACGCGCGCTTCGACAACACAACTGATTGCGGTATAGCTGAGACGGTTCAATACGGCAACCCAAGGAATCCTCTTGTACGAGAACGACATGGCGCCAAGGCGGTGTCTACAAAGTCTCGCGGAGAGGGTTATCGCCGAGCATGGCACGTATGTCATGCCAAGCATACCGGACACGAGGACGAGGTTGGATGGCCATCCAGTCATCAAGCGCAGAGATATTGTTCCTCGGTAGGTGTTCGGAAAACCCCTGACGTGTGCCGAGCGTTGAAGGGCGTCTTGGAGACTTACGGCCCTGTGGCTGAACTTTTTATCGTGGAGAACGGCTAAGTATTTCAGAGCGTTGACGACCACACAATGTCACAGGATTGGTCGTTAGGAGTGATCAGCTGGACATTTAAATGTTCATGGGATGTGGGAGACGGTTGTCGGCTGGCCGTTCGTTCCCGTGCTCTCACGCCTTCCTTCTTCGGCCTAGCGCAGATCGACTTTAGATGTCTACCGTAGAGACGATGTCCGTGGCTAAATATCGCAATGGCGGATACATCTACGTGCCCACCGCTGGAGCGCCAGTCTGTACAAGCGGCACATAAGCGTATCAAGGAGCATATCAGGCGCACACCGGTGGTGACTTGTGCTACCCTCAACACTCTTGCTTCTACGTCGCAGTCGCAGCGATGTCCAAGCAGTGGGCCGAACACTGCTTCTGAGCCTTGTCCACACCACGGTGAGGTATCTGGTCCCCCGGTAAAGTTTACTGCGCGCCCAAATGTCAAGCTGTTTTTCAAGTGCGAGAATCAGCAGCGGATAGGGGCGTTCAAGGCACGAGGTGCGTTTCATGCACTAGGACGCCTAATCGAGGTAGACGGTATAGAGAGCGTGAGAAAACAGGGCGTTGTCACACACAGCAGCGGTATGTCGATTCCTGAGTAGCACTCTCCCTTATCGCTGATAGCTGATCGCAGAATAACACTATAGGCAACCACGCGCAAGCATTAGCCCTTGCAGCGAGGACGTATGATGTACCGGCACACATTGTCATGCCAAGTATCAGCACCCCGTCCAAGATATCCGGCACCCAAAGTCTCGGTGCCAATGTTGTATTCAGCGGTAGCACGAGCGAAGAGCGTGAAGCCGTGACCTCAGACATCATGAAGAAAACAGGTGCTACGCTTGTTCCGCCATATGATCACCCGGACATTATTCTGGGCGCCGGGACGCAAGCTCTTGAATTCGAGGAGCAGGTTGAGGAGCTAATTAGTCACGACCACGACCTTGGTGTGGCCGGGCGGAAACGCTTGGACGCCGTCATTGCACCAATTGGCGGAGGTGGTATGCTGAGTGGAATATGCACTGCACTGCATGGGACAGGCATCAAGGTCTTCGGCGCTGAGCCACAGTTCGAAGGAGCCAACGACGCTGAGCTAGGCCTGAAGCACGGCAAGCGCATAGAAACTGTCAAAACGATGACCATTGCAGACGGATTACGGACGCCAGTTGGTGAGATCCCGTGGAGCATCATCTCCGACAAGGGAAAATGCGCAGGAATCTTCAGCGTCACCGAGGAGCAAATCAAAGCCGCGATGAAGCTAGCGATGGAAAGAGCGAAGCTGTTCATTGAGCCTTCTGCCGCGGTCGGACTGGCTACCATTCTGTACAATGAAGAATTCCGGACTCTGGTGCAGAGAGAGGCAGGCGACGCAGGCTGGAACTTGGGCATCGTGCTTTCCGGTGGAAACACGACGGTGGAAGCCATCACCAAGCTGTTCGCCGTGTCAGAGAAGGTAGCGGAGAGGGCTGGAGGTAAGGTCACTGCCAATGGAGAGAAGGTAGCCGTCAACGTGCCTGGCTGAAATCGGTTGCGGTACAGCCCAGCATTAATGGGTGGACAATTCCTACACCAGTGCGAACGCCCAGTAATGCCAAGGTGCCGAGGTGTAGGTGGCATCGGACAGGTCAGTGGAGCGAAGGGTGTAGCAGGCGCGGAAGCAACACTCCAGGCCGTGTCTCCACAAGAGAGCAAGTGTCGCGCGTTGAGTAAGTCTGCCTGTCGCGTTGCGTTGGCGAGGCGGCCTGCCGCTTCTTCCCACCTCCAGCGACGGCCCGAGGGACGAGGCTCAGTGCCGACGTCGATGTAACAAGATCGTCTACAGTAGTCTGAGAGTTCACAGCTGATGTCGACCCCGGAGGTGGCGAGATGGTTAAGTAGCTGTCCACTGTGGTCGGTGAGGTCGAGAAGGGGTTTGAACGCGCTGCACCGCTCCTTTCTCGACTGCTCGCCCGGTGACCCTGCGCGTCTACGCCTGCCCGTAGCATACTTCTTCTACCATCAACCCCAGTATTGACGATGAAGAAGTCGTAGTTTCGCGGAAAGCCATGTTTGTCTACGAGGTGACTGCGCCGCTTCTTCCATCCAGCGCACACCTTTTCGCAGTCTTCAGCGAAACAAGCGTAAGTCTTTTCTCCTTCGTCACGTTTGGCAGCCACGATGGGATCGTGATTCTCCGCAATGTGAAGCTCGAGGAAGTGAGCCGTGGGAAAGTTACCCTCGCACTCGCTGCAGCGGTTCGAATGTGATTGCTGGTAATGCGCCTCATACTCGCTGTAAGTACTAAAGCTTAGTGGCTTATGTGGAGGCAAGATACAGTGCATGATGGGTGCTACTGGGTTCACCGGCTGGATGAATGCATACTTCGGCTTGTGTGACGCACTCTCACCATCCTGCATGGAAGCTGTGTCTTCGGACGATGAGGTCGAATCTTTCCTCCTCACGCGTTTCGACATACTAGAGCCCACGGCGGTGTATGTAGGGTTAGGCGGTGTCGTGTGCCCTGCAGTAGTAGATGAAGAGCGATTCGCTGGCGAGCTCTGGTAACGTCATCTGAGATATAAGGCTTGAGCAGCAGATCTATGTTATTCCGACATCTTGAGTACCCAAGTTGTGATGCAGACTCAAGGTATTCGAGTTTGGAGGTAGCAAGCGAGCGTGGCTTCCTGCAGTGAGAACACCGTCGGCATGCGGAATCACGTACGCATAGCTACGAACGTTGAGCAGTGAATGTAAGGTGTAGAAAAATTTCGCGGCAAACGTGGCGGAGGTAACAGCTCTGCTGCACGCCGTCGAGAACACTCTCGCGTAACCAACGAGCAGTTCTCGGGATCCGCAGACTGTTCACTACTACCCTTGCTGTCCCATGGTGTCGCTAATGCACTTTCTAAGCTCCATCGTGCGATGTCTCGCTGCAATACAACAGCCTCACATGACAGTCAGCATCTCTGCAATGCTATCAATCAAGGATGTTCGATTAAAAGCCCCACGCAACCTCCTCGAACTCGACATTATGCTTGTTGAGCCACTTCTTCGCCTGCTCAGCGTTCTCCTCCTTCTGCCGGGCCCACTCCGTCCAGAAGACGACGTCGTACGCCTTCACATTGCACCTACGGTAGGTACCATGCCACTGATCCATGAAACGCCAGAATAGTCCGAAGTTGTAGCGACGGTGACTGTGATGCACTTGGTGGTCACCTGGCGTGAGCATGTACTTGCCGGAGATCAACGTGAAGGGTATGACAAGCGGATGGAAAGCCGCCACGATTGTCGACATCCTGTAGCCAGAGTGACCGACGAGCGTCGTAAAGACAATCAGGCTTAGCGGCAATAGCCAGTTCCACCAGTTTCCACCGGCAATGTAGGTCCAGACCAGCCAGGGAACGCCAACTTGGACCATATTTTCAAGGATCTCGGCGTATCCGACGATGTAGCAGTTCATGCTGTAGCTATATTCGTGGTGCTTATCGTGGAAGAAGTTGTACAGCCAGCGATTCTTGTGGAAGTTGGCGTGGATTAGATAGAAGTACACGTCATGGATGACGAGGTAAAGTCCCGTATAGGCGACAATGGCGATCGGGTTAAAACTCCATGAGCGATCAATATCCTTGGTGTGAAAGGAGGCGAACAGCGCCGTCGGAAGGATGAAAAAGAAGGCGGACGACCATGCCTCGACGAGGTGTCGCTCTTGCGGAAGCGGGTAGTAGCGGAGTAGCTTTCCTCGTTGGTAGAGGTATTTGGTTCCGCGGTAGAGCACCTCTGAGTAGCCGATAGCGAAGAACGAGGCAGCGATGGACCAAAGCAATGCTTTCGCCGCTATAGTAGCAGTCTCGTTGCTACCTGGAGCCATGTCGAAGGTTAGGAAGCTGAATACAGGAAAGTCCATGCTGCTCGGCATCCTGGAAGTTGGGAAGCTTATGGCTGGCAAGTCCATGCTCGACGACATTGCGTTGGACATATGTTGACCGAGACAAAGAAACAAGGAAGGAGATTGGACCATGTGGACCTGCTTTGTTATAAATGGATGTGCAATATGACCTGTCACCTGCGTTGTGTAGCGCCCGTTTGGCCCCCAATTAAGCGCGTTGTCAACACCGCCACGAGGGATACACACCAGCGTGAATGCGGATTGCAATGCGGCTATGCCGCGAATAACATTCCATGAAAATCGTCCAGTTGCCTACTCACATGCTGGTCACAGTAGATGACGCTAACCCGAAGGAGCTTACAGATCGTTGGACAAAGACCGTCAGTGAGCTCTCGTGGCCGCACGTTTGTAGGTGGCATCTGGGTACAACACAGTGGAATCAGGCGGCAGTGTGATCCGGAAATGATAGGCGCATATCAGTCCATGGGTCAAGGGGACTCAGTTGTGATTGTGCAATGGTGTACTGTCTCTAGCATGTGGTCGTTGAATGAGAGGCCAGATCTTCCAGGATGACACTCGCCACCCCTTGCCGGCAGACCATATGGATGGAGAGATGTCCTCAACTCTGTCGTACTTCCAGAAGCATGGCGCCGTATGCTTGATGCTGTCCTCCAAAGTGTGGAAGTTCAGCGTCGCCAGCAGTAGTAACCGCAATCACGGCGGGAGCTTGGACAGTGGCAAGCGCGTTGAGCCTCTGCTAGTCGACACTCGAAGTGAGCAGGTATTTTAACGAGCGTTTACTCATCGACTCTAGGTATCAATAGCTCGTTTCTGCCAAATGCCCTGAATGCGTTGGATAGAAGAGAACTACCAACTCGGATTAACGGATTAACACAAAGACGAGAAAGATGCGAGCCTGAGGCGTGAATGGTGGCGCAAGTCCCGGACTCCCGGGACCACATGAGGTGCGCTCCGTCTGGACCGCATGCTAAATACATACATGCACTACCTATTTGCGCACCACGGTTGGATTGATCACTGAAACAGCCACTTGGCGACCCCGAGTCACTGTTGACTCTCTGCTTCACTCCATCGGCACCTTTGCATCAACATTTCGCCTCCACCGCCGACGACCCAAATGGATCGCATCGGCATCAAGGCTCGCGGCGAAAACACGACCTTGACATAGCCACGACGACGACCGAAAGGTCACCACTTGCTCAGTGAAGATAGCGGTGCCGCCTAATGCATCGCAAGAAAAAAACTTCCTACGACAAAGCATGGAAGACTCGCTTGCACGCGAGCGAACAGCCGAACAACGTGTGCAGGAGCTGCTAAACGACAAAAGCCGGCCCATCGGCGACCTTTTGCAAGCCTACAACGACTACCGACAGATATGTCTCGTCAACACATTTGCAGACTTCGCCATCGCTGAAAAGCGTCATGCGAGGCTATGGCAGGCTCATGTTCAAGGCAAGAGTTACTTCTCCAGTGCGCTGCGCGACTTGCGCAAGGTTGAGAGCGGTCACGCAGTGGAAACTCGCAAGCTGGAGAAGCTGTTCAAAGACTGGCTCAAGGATTGCACGCGCTTTTACCGCACCTACATCCATCAGCTCAACAGCACGTTTGGTGGCATACCAGAGCTAGAGGCTGTAGCGCATGCGCTAAAGCAAGAAGGGGAGGGTGAAAGCTCTTCCTCGCCGTCAGCGTTGGAGCTGCGCCCTAAGGCTCTTGCTTCTTGCCACCAAACTCTCATCTACCTGGGTGATCTCTCTCGGTATCGTGCCACGGAAAACCTAGACAAGGTGCAGGACTTTGGCCCGGCGATCGGCTACTACGGTCTGGCCTCCACTCTACGCCCCGACTCCGGACTTGGGCATCACCAGCAAGCGGTGGTCGCGCTTGAACAGCGCAATCACCTGCGCGCTATCTACCATCTCTACCGCGCCATCGTGGTAGACGACCCGCATCCAGCTGCTGCCAAGAACCTCAAGCTTGAATTTGGCAAAATAAATGTCGCTTGGGACAAACAGGAGCTGATCCCGAAAGGCTTACCGAATGACCCGGAAATGAAAAAGCATATCCTCACCGGATGGTTCGTCCGATTGCACAGTATGTGCTCGAAGGGCGAGCCGTTCAGTTCTCATTACGAGCTCGAGCGCGAAGTGCTCGGTCAGCTCGACGGTGTAACTCGCTACTCGGCTACGGCCTTCGACTCGACGTTAGTGCGTATGGCGATGGTCAACCTGTCGGCGCAATACTTCGCTGGTGTGCTCTTCCAGGGTAAGTGCTCAACTGAACATTTACCTCCGCTCAATAACTAATACAGCTTCAGAACGGCAAGCCGTAGAAGATCAGTTGGCTTTCTTTTATCTCTTCAGATTAAACATCAAGTGGTATACTGTTTTGCTACATGCCTTCTACGACGATCTGTGCAATGCAGCTCGTAAAACCACGGATGACGACAACCTGGCAAGCAACCTTACGGTAACATCACGACTACTTCTTCCTGCACTTCGCTTGTACAGCTCGTGGCTTACCTCCAACATTGCATTGCTCGCAGGTCTTGCCGAAGACGACTTTCTGAAGGACGCTATTGTCGATCTCTGGGCCGCATATGCTCATGCAACGGACATACTTGCCGACGATCAGCTGTTCGGTGTCTGGGCTCTCGACGAGTACGAAGTGGACTACATGCTCGAGGAGGACGCGGACACGGTGGGCTTCCATCCCCTGCATCAGCCGCCGCAGCTTCTCTGGAAGAATTGGCGAGCAGCTGACGGCACGTTGAAGCCGCGATTCTCCGACGCTAATGTTGTGCGGTTCCCTCCGGACAAGGAGATGCTGGCAAGAGTCAAGGGGCTACTGGACGACGGGTCTTACTTGGCCCACGAAGAGAAAGCGGCACCCATCGGTATTGTTGGTGGTCGCATCTACTACGGCACGGGTCTCACCGATGCACTCGCAGCCGAGGAAGAAGCGAGAAAGAACCCGCCGAAAACGTCAAGACCAGTCAAAGCTACGCCAAAGCCTCTCAGCTATGCTGCTGCAGCCGCCAACGGTTCCACACCAACCCGTGCTCGCAATGGAGTGCCCAAGAGCGGACACATCTCGAACGGCTCACAGTCGCGCTCGGCCCAGCTCAAACATATGATCGAGTGTCTCGTTGACGACAGAGAGCACGACAGTCCAACGACACCCCCGCAGCAGCACACACAGCGCCCTGCAGCCGTTACCCATGGCCGGCCGAATAGTATTGGCACACACGACAACCACAACGACTTCTCCGCGAACGTGACCAGTTATCAGCTTAAGCAGCAGACTCCGGTACAGCCACATCCCGTGCGGGCTGCCACTCGGCCAACTCCGCCCGCGTTGCGAACGCCGAGGAATGCTCCATCCGCCAGGTCCAGCGAATGTCTACAATCGGTCTCCGATGTGTGGAACGACACAGCAATGTCCACATCGCCACACTTTCCAGTCGGCCTACCTACAGGGACCTTGGGCTCGCCCGCGCAAGTGACACGCCAGGCTCATTCCCGCGTTAACTCTGCGAACAGCATTCGGAGCGGTTCTTCCCAACACTTGCCCACGGCTGGTGACTCGTGGTCTTCTCTCGAGTCGGCACCTGCAGTGCAGTACGCAGCGGGGCCCAATGTGGGCGCAATCCATGCATACAGCAACTTCACCTCGTCTGACCTTGCGAGACCAATGCTATTTGGTGCAGGTGGTGGCATCTGGAGTCCAGGTACAAACGACAGGCGAAGGCCTGCCTACTCTCCGAATGGTTGATGGCGTTTTATCGATACACGTCTACAACACCACGTCTGCTGACAAGCAACGCCGTCGCCATTCGAGCGCCCGTGCGAAAGTTTAAATGCTTGCCACGACGGCTACAGAAATTCCCGGACCTTGGTTGGCAACAGCGCGTCTTCCATTCAGTCCCGTGCCGGCATGGCTTTGAGGCGAGTCTGTAGGCTGTGGCTGGATTATGACCCGTTCGGGCAGTGAAAGGCCCCCAACAAAGTTGGTGGGTGATGCTTCAGATTGGCCGTGGAATTTTTGGTCATGCTGTTGTGGATGTTCTGGAGGTGTCTACATCAGATTGATACCGATCACTTACGGCGAGTTCCTGCAGTATAGGAAAGGGATTCTGTATCGCATAGCACATCTACGGCTTTATGCACATGTTGCTGCTCCGTTCCAACTAGCTTGATTACTCACCGTTTCAACCAGGAGGATTGCTCCTTTGCCTCTGTTGACTGACTGTAGTATATCTGCCGTTCAACAGGCGGTGTTCCAATGTCTACATGTTCGTGTTGTAGAGGACGTCATCGATTTGTGTGACTGCGCTCTTCGTACAGCGGGAGGCATGTGCGAGCTCGTGGGGCCCCACAGTCAAACGCCTTGTCTTGCGCCCTCCGCTATGAAGAAGAAGCCTTCCCTCAGCCCATTGGCACGATTTGTTGGAGTACGGAGTGGCGGAGGGTGATTGCATGTATTTGCCGGCCCGTTAATATCCCCGTCAAGCGATTTATTCTACCCAACAGTGCCTGATGAACAAGGTTTGACACCCGGACAAACCACTGCTTCGATGGTGGTCTCGCTATCGGCGCGCATGATTGACCGGATATTGCAACCATGGCGGAAGGCGGCCTGCAGAGGCAACTCGAAGAGCTTGATCGTGATTTCGAAGAGGGAGAGCTTACTGAGAAGGGGTATTATAAAAGACGAACCATGATTCTGTCACAATATGGCGGCTCAAGCATTGATCGTAGCGATGATGCTGCGAGTCAGACTGGTGAACGGCCAAGCGGCGCGAATCGGCAGAGCTTTGGCAGCATATTGGCTGGGCCCTACGCCAGATCCAACGACGAGGATCATGCCTACGATGAGGGCGACAGCCAGGCGGGCGGCTACGCATTCGCCCAAAATACTGGCATCCGGGTACAGCCTCCAACACCAGGATACGACATGGGACCACCGAGCCAGGTGCAGCGCTTTCAAGAACAGCAACTGGGCATGAGGCCGCAACCGCCAGCGCAGAGACAGTTCTCGCACGGGGTTGGATCCGTATCACCAGGTAGTAGACCGCAGAGTCAAGGCAGCATGTACAGCTCGGCTGGTACGATGTTGAATTCAGACTATGCATTCAACCCGGACAATGGAGCGCCGAGCGAACAACAAGGCTGGAGCTCGCCAGATGGTAACAGCAGGCTGAGCACCATGGTCGACTCGCAAGGCTACTTCTCCGACTTCACCGGACAGCAGCTGATGGACGACCAGCCGCGAGAGAGCTATGGAGGGCCGCAAAGATACTCGCAGGGCGAAGCCTTCTCGCCGACTGCCGCCATACCGCCTCCTCTCAGCCAACTGCCTACGGCAGCCATCCATCAGATGCCGCTTGAACCCAGAGATGTACCCTTCGCCGTCTATGACCCTCATAACGGCAATATACCAATGTCGAAGTTCGACAACATCGGTGCTGTTCTCCGTCATCGTGGCAAGATGCAAGCTCGACAGCCGGCTTACTGGGTGCTTGATCCAAGAGGAAAGGAGATCAGCTCTATTACCTGGGAGAAGCTGACTTCGCGAGCGGAAAAGGTCGCCCAGCTTATCCGGGACAAGTCGAACCTTTACCGTGGCGATCGGGTTGCGCTTGTGTATCGCGACACCGAGGTCATTGACTTCGCAATCTCCCTGCTTGGCTGCTTCATAGCTGGGGTTGTAGCTGTGCCGATCAACAACGTTGACGACTATCAAAAGCTGAGCTTGCTTCTGACGACCACCCAAGCACATTTGGCGCTTACAACGGACAACAACCTGAAGATCTTTCACCGCGACATCTCTGCGCAGCGCTTAAAGTGGCCACCTGGCGTAGAGTGGTGGAAGACGAATGAATTCGGATCGTATCACCCCAAGAAGAAAGACGAGTCAAATCCACTGCAGGTGCCTGACCTGGCGTACATCGAGTTTTCGCGTGCGCCTACTGGCGACCTTAGAGGGGTTGTCCTTTCGCACCGTACCATCATGCATCAAATGGCGTGCTTGTCAGCAATGATCGCTACCATACCCAAAGGCGAGGATACAGACACCTTCTCTGCGCAGCTCCGGGCCTCAGATGGAACTTTCGTCGCCCCACGGCAAGGCAAAGGAGAGATCATCCTCTCGTATCTTGACCCTCGGGAAGGCTGTGGTCTGATCCTGGGAGTGCTACTTGGCGTCTACGGCGGACACACCACAGTCTGGCTTGAGAGCAAGACGGTAGATACGCCAGGCATGTATGCCAATCTCATCACTAAGTACCGTGCAACGGTCATGGTGGCAGATTATCCTGGACTAAAGCGAGCGGCGTACAACTACCAGCAGGATCCAATGGCAACGCGCAACTTCACGAAGAAGATGGAGCCCAACTTCAGCTGTGTGAAGCTCTGCTTGATTGACTGTCTTACGGTAGATTGTGAGTTCCACGAAATCTTGGCAGACCGTTGGCTGAAACCGATGCGCAACCCGCGTGCAAGGGAGCTGGTAGCACCCATGCTGTGCTTGCCTGAGCATGGCGGCATGATAATATCTGTCCGTGACTGGCTAGGCGGCGAAGAGCGCATGGGCTGTCCCCTCACGTTGGAAGAAGAAGAGGCGGATAGCGACGAAGAGCTTAATAGTCCTACTGCGGCAAATGGCTACACAAGCCTCATCGATGGTGCCAATAGTGAGAAGAAGAAGATTCGAAGGCGCAACCGAACGGAGTTGAGCGAGGTGCTCATTGACAAAGAAAGCTTGAAGACCAACGAAGTGGTTGTGCTGGCGAAGGGCGACGATGTGCGTAAGCGCGCAAACGAGCCTGGGACGGTGAGGGCAGGCGCATTCGGCTATCCGCTTCCAGACGCAACCCTTGCCTTGGTTGACCCTGAAACCAACCTTCTGTGCGCACCGTTTACTGTTGGCGAAATATGGGTCGACTCACCGTCGCTGTCTGGCGGCTTCTGGGCGCTGCCGAAGCACACAGAGACCATCTTCCATGCAAGACCGTACCGCTTCGTGGAAGGCAGTCCAACACCGGTCTTGGTGGAGCCTGAGTTTCTGCGGACAGGTTTGCTTGGCTGTATCATCGAAGGCAAGATATACGTTTTGGGCCTGTACGAGGATCGCATACGGCAGCGCGTGGAGTGGGTCGAACACGGCGCCCATGAGATCGAGCACTGGTACTTCTTCGTACAGCACCTCGTCATCAGTGTCATGAAGACGGTACCGAAGATCTACGACTGCTCTGCGTTTGACGCTCACGTTAATGGCGAGTACTTACCAATCATACTCATTGAGACACAGGCAGCGAGTACAGCACCTACCACTACCGGCGGCCCACCGAGACAGCTCGACATACCGTTTCTGGATTCTCTCAGTGAGCGTGTCATGGAGGTGCTGTACCATGAGCACCACTTGCGAGTTTACTGTGTAATGATGACAGCGCCGAACACCCTACCCCGTGTTATCAAGAACGGCCGGCGAGATATTGGCAACATGCTGTGCAGAAAAGAGTTTGATAACGGCAACCTTCCGTGTGTGCATGTCAAGTTCGGCGTGGAACGAGCAGTGCAGAACCTGCCATTGGGTGATGACCCTGCAGGAGGCATTTGGTCCGTAATCGCAAGTCAAGCCCGGCAAAACATGTTAGTCATGCACGCAGACAAGCAATACTCGGGTGTCGATCATCGCGAGGTTGTCATTGATGACCGCACGAGCACGCCACTGAACCAGTTCAGCAACATCCACGATCTCATGCAATGGCGAGTGTCACGGCAGTCCGAAGAGCTCAGCTACTGCACTATTGACGGCAGAGGTCGAGAAGGCAAGGGCGTCAACTGGAAGAAGTTCGATCAGAAGGTGGCAGCAGTGGCAGTGTACCTCAAGAATAAGGTCAGGGTTCAACCCGGGGACCACTTGCTGCTCATGTATACGCATTCCGAAGACTTTGTCTACGCCGTCCACGCGACAATCTGCCTTGGCGCAATCGTAGTCCCTATGGCACCGATCGACTCCAACCGGCTGGGCGAGGATGCGCCGGCATTGCTCCATATGATGGCTGATTTTCGCATCAAGGCAGTGCTTGTCAATGCTGATGTTGACACGCTTTTGCGGCAGAAGAACGTGAGCCAGCACATCAAGCAGTCGGCACTCATCTTGAAGGTCAACATACCTCCAACTTACAACACGACGAAGCCGCCTAAGCAGTCGCACGGGTGTAGAGAGCTCGGCTTAATCATTCGGCCTGCTTGGATACAACCAGGTTACCCGGTACTCATATGGACTTATTGGACACCGGACCAGAGACGTATTGCTGTACAGCTCGGACACAGTACCATTATGGCCTTGTGTAAAGTGCAGAAGGAGACGTGTCAAATGACCTCTACCAGGCCTGTGCTCGGCTGTGTCCGAAGCACGATGGGTCTTGGCTTCTTGCATACGTGCATGATGGGCATCTTCCTTGCCGCGCCCACGTACCTTGTGTCTCCAGTTGACTTCGCTGGTAACCCTAACATACTCTTCCAAACACTGTCGCGATATAAGATCAAGGATACATATGCGACTGCACAGATGCTCGATCACGCTATTGCGCACAATGCAGGCCGGGCAACGCCTCTGCATGAGCTCAAGAACTTAATGATATCCACAGAGCAGCGACCGAAAGCTGACGTCTACCAGCGAGTAAGGCAGGCCTTTGCGCAACCGGGCTTGGACCGAACAGCCATCAACACAGTGTATAGCCACGTCCTCAACCCAATGGTGGCAAGCCGAAGTTACATGTGCATCGAGCCAATCGAGCTATACCTTGACTCCCAGGCGCTGCGGCGAGGCTTGATAGTTCCTGTCGATCCCGACCAGGAGCCCTTCAGTCTTATGATACAGGATTCGGGCATGGTACCTGTCAGTACCCAGATCAGCATCGTGAACCCGGAAACGAATCGACTGTGTCTGGTGGGCGAGTACGGTGAGATATGGGTACAGTCCGAAGCGAACGCCTACTCTTTCTATGGATCCAAAGATCCGTTCGATGCGGAGCGGTTCAACGGAAGGACTATTGACGGCGACCCTGATGTACACTACGTTAGGACTGGTGATCTCGGCTTTTTACACAATGTTAACAGGCCAATTGGTCCTGGTGGCAATATGGTGGAAATGCAGGTCTTGTTCGTCCTTGGTAGCGTTGGCGAGACATTTGAGGTGAATGGGTTACAGCACTTCCCAATGGATGTGGAAGCGAGCGTTGAGCGCTGTCACCGTGCAGTCGTCAATAGTGGCTGCGCCGTCTTCCAAGCTGGCTCGCTACTGGTTCTTATCGCAGAAGTGCGGACAAGAGCATATCTTGCCTCGATCGTACCAGTCATTGTTAACGCAGTGCTCAACGAGCATCAGCTCGTGCTCGACATTGTAGCATTTGTGGCACAGGGTGACTTCCCACGATCACGGCTCGGTGAGAAGCAGCGTGGTAAGATTTTGGCAAGCTGGGTTAGCCGGAAGATGCGAACGATCGCACAATTCAGCATTCGGGACCCGGATGCAGAGGGCAGCGTGGGCACCGTAGTAGCGGAGGATGGAGGCAGAAGAGCCAGCGCACAGAGTGGGTACACCGGAGCCGGTAGCTTACGGCGGGTCACGATGACTGGCGGCAGCTCGTTACGGCACGTCGAAAGCGTCACGCAAATGCCAGTTGCCGAAGAGGAGCCGCTGCATGGTGTGGGCGTACCATTGGCGCCCATACAGACGCAAGAGGAGGGATGGATCCCCGGTCATTCACGGCATGACTCTTCCACCACATTTGGTAGGAATACTGATGAGCCAGAAGCACGAGGTGATGACACGCCAACCAACGAAACACCACGCCCTTTGCAACTGAACACCACTCTCGACTACTCGCCAGTGGAGCAGATGAGCTTCGACTCACCCGAACAACTTCCTCCACGAACGCAGACGGCCCGTAACGAATATGACATGCAGTCAACGTATCATCCGAGTGAGTCGTACGACTACTACTCACAGTACGAAAGCCATCCGCAGAGAGTCGAGTCCATGGTACCCACGATAGACTACCGGACAGGTTCTCCCACGCCAGCTCCGCAATCCACGCATGGCCTGCGAGTAGCTAACAGAACAAGCGTGGGCAGTGAAGAATGGCCGCAAGAGGCGTTGCGGCATATGAAACTCCATCAGTAGACGAGGGGCTGCGACATGGAAGGTTGTTAAGTGTAATTGGATGGCTGTTGATGAGTCCTACGGCGCTAATGTACAGGCGGTGCGTATATGGGCATTGTAGTCATCAAGCGAGGTGTCTGGTACGTTCCTTGGCATGCGAAATGGTCAGGTTTGCACTCACAATCGCAAAGTTGCACGAAAAGCTTCGTTTTAGGATACAGCCACCGCCACCATTGTTATGGTCGGAATGTTGGATTAATATCAAAAGAGCAAAGGAACGCTAATATTGCAGACTCTGCTGTAATCATGCGTCACATACACTTGAATGCTGCGATCCCGTTGCCGAAAGCGATTCAAACACCCTCATCGGCTTAATCGAATGCGTATGATGCTGCGGTATCTGTGGATGTGTACCCTCTTCGCCGGCAAAGAGTGTTGCAATTACTACGTCGTTGCTATTCCTGTCATAAAAGGTGCCGCCTAATGCTAACCGCGTACGGTCGCTGGTATCTATGCGAAAGAAAGACGGATCTTTTGCAGCTCCCCCGACGCCACCCCATGCCGCTAAACGCTTGGTCGACAGTTCAGAAAACAAACGCCTGTTGACAATCACGAAGTATCTGGCAAAGCGTACAACCAATATTCCGCGCTGTACTCAACCTCGAAGGCCGCAGGCATCCCTGCACACGTCTTAGGCGGATTCCCACCTGCTGTATTGAGCCGGTAAACGTTCTGGAAGACCTGGCCATCGGCAGTTTTCGCGTCAAGCTTCAGCCAAGCTACAGATCCATTGCCTTGGCCGTTCTGACCAAGGACGGCGTTGGTAGGTGGGTTTGAGCTGTTGGCTTTCTTGAACGCGCCAGTGCCGTATTGATGCAGCTGCGTGTCCAAATTGAAGAATGGCGTGGTCAAATCCACGAAAAAATGATGACCGGACATCATCTGGTAAGCAGGACTGCTTTCATCGGTAGTCGAAGGACTTGGCAGATCGAGAGCGATGCCGGGAAGCTTGGACAGTAATTCGGGACTCTGAGCGGCAAGGCAGCTGACGTTGAAAAGGCTTGCGATTGCCCCAACCGCCACAGGTGCGGCAGTGGAGTTGGTAGTTTCGCAGGTATAGTTCTGCGTGCCTCGGCCGATGGCGACGTGTGAGAGCACGAGTCCAGACGCCGGTGCTGGTAGTGGTGTAGGTGCTAGGGGATCGTTAGCAGCAGATCAGTCTGAAGACTTGTGTGTCGACTGACCTGTCGGCATCACTGCATGCGACATGTTGCAGACTGCTGCGTTGGTTCGAACCCGCGAGTAGCTCTTGTCGGAAGCTTTCGATGGCGTCCACCATGGGTGATCATTGCTTCCAGCTTGGTTGCTTCCGCCAAAAGGTACCGCAACAGCCGTCGTGGTTAGGGCAAGCACACAACCTGCATGAGAGAACAACATTGTCGATCCTGTGTTGTTCACAAACCTCGCCAGCCAACAGAGGTTTGAGTTGTCAAAGTTCGCCAAGGTCGCAATAGCAACACGTCGGTCAACGATGAGGGTGTTTAGGAACTGTTGGGTGGCGGCGGTGAAATAGGACACGGGGAGAATGCAGACAACGGGAAAGACGCTCATTCATCTCTTACCTACCTTCTATATGGTGCATGGCTGACATTGTGCAACGCGGCTGGAAGCATCTGACGCAGGACGGCGGCTACCAGAATGGTGCGCTCAAAATAATCCCACCTAAATCTGCAGAAGGCTCGACACTAGCAGGGGTTGTGTCTGCCCGCTTTTGTGGAGGCGGCGCGTTTGCGTGACGAGCTTCCACGTACATTTCCTGTCTTTCGAATGCAGAATCGAGGGGATGTGGTATGCTGAATGCGCGCACCGGCACTGAGAAGACGGGCAACTCTAATGAATGCTGATTGTTGGTCAAAAGCGGACGAGGAAATCGCTATCGAGATGTCGTTTTGTCGCTCCGCAGGTTGGACAGGACTCGGCTTCGAAATGCTGAAACATGCAGGTGGCCGCCGCCGCATGTCTGCAAACCCTTCCGAAACGGACCTTGCATACCTGCATTTAGCACATAATCTTGAAAGCAATAGATGGCTAATTTCTCAGGTAAGATCCGCCTGCGTGCATGCCGAATCGGCATCCAGAGCGATGACCATAGTACGACCGACCAATAGCGTCCCGCCCGGCGCTTACTGACGCCAAAGTGGCGCGAGCGACAGGCTCGCAGTTCTCGGCCACAGCAGACCGTTTCCAAAGCTTGCTGCCACGTCCGTCCACCCGCTGCAGTTATTGCGTGCTGCAGATAGGCGGGCGACTTGGATGCCGGCAGAAGCTGTCATTCGAGGGTTCCAAAACTGGGTCTGGGTAGGCGCCCGAACTAGACATGGTCACGAATTACCTATATGGAGCCATGTCCGTCGCATTGGTCACAGTCAGGCCTCGCGAATCCCTGTGCTCCTGAGCTATGGAGCGATGACGACCAGACGATGCTACTTGACATCTCTACGCATCTCAGCAAGGCTCCGTGGTGGCGAGCGATTCATGGTGAGCAGCAGGCTTGGGTAAACTCATCGTCCCAAGCATCTGCTGGAGAACTGCTGACCATAGCGTTGCCCACTCTCGATCCTCTCCGTCGCTGGAATGTCGGGCAGAAGGCCGGCTTTGTGGCGTACAATGGCGGCGGATCGGCTTACTGCGACCGGGCCCTAGACTCGATGGCTGTAAATCGAATGCGAGGAGTCGATAGCAAGCACGAATCGGTTTGCCGGCTGAGCAGCTTTTCCCGCCTATGTGCTGATTGTCCTGCTAGTCTTCGGTCGCTAGCTTGGCATCCCTTCCGGCTCCCAGCCGCCAGGTCCGCCAGTTCCCACTCTGGTAGAATGCTTCTCAATGTCCACTGTTGCCCACCAGTAGAGCATCATTAAGATCAAGAGATGGCATGCCAGACAATAACCTGCAAATAAATTCCTGCTGGTCCTCGTAGCGAGCACCATCCGCGTCATCTGCCAGACCGCTCGCTCAGGCAGTGACATTCGCTTCATCGCTCGCGTACTCTCGCGGGACCGGAAAGCCGCGAAGGGCGAAATGTTTGACTCATATGCAGAGCGGTAGCGTTGATCGGTCTCGTTCACGCCCATTGAGATGGTTGAAGGATTCGGATTCGGTCCGTATGAGGAGCCGGAGGTGGTCGGCTGAGCGCGATTGTAGGTCGAGACGTACCGCGTCTTTTCATACAAGGTGAGGTTGTCGCGTTGCAAGGACGCCACCTCAGACCGAAGCGACGAGACGGACTGATACTGCTTCTGCAGCTCTTGTTCGAGCTCACTGATCTTCTTCTTGAACCGGTCACGCTGGGCTGTGACCATTGGGAGGATACCTGCACCGCTTTCGCCGCCTCGTGGCGACCCTGAACCGAATGACGGATCAAGCCCGCCGATGATGGATGAGGTTGGTGACGTGCCTCCGCCTCTCCTGCTGCCATATGTCGACCGCGCTGGATACCGCGATACATGCGTGCCGGCTACGGACATCGTCTCGAAAGCATTTGATGCTTCTTGCTGCGTCTTCTGAAGATCGCTCTCCAGCGTCGCATTCAAGTTACGCGTCTTCTCGAGCTCCATGTTTGTATTTGACAGATCTTCTTGCAGAAGCTCCAGCCGCTGTATGAGTTCATTATGCGACACTCGCAACTCTGTAAGCTCATTGCTCAGCTTCTTGTTGCGGGCCAACAAGAGCTGCTCTAGGCTGTCCTCTTTGCCTTTGATGCTTGCCCCGTTCACTTGGTCTGTGTCAGCGTCCTCTCCGCCATCCTCGTCGCCCACGGTTGCGAATTCTATGGCTCTCAGCATGTCCAGCTCGCGCTTCACCTCATCATAGTCACTCCACTTCCGCACTTTACTCTGCAAGGCGTCCCGGTCCGCTTTCAGACCGCCTACCTCGCGTTCCAGACTCCGAAGCTTGCCCTCGATGTTGCTCCTCTCGGCGTCCTTCTCGTAGCGCGAGGCGTCAAGTCTACGCATAAGAGATTGGTTCTCGGAGCGTAGTCGTGAAAAGGCAGGGTCGTCTTCGATCGCTGTGCCTCTGCTCAAGCTTTGTGCTTGGCCAGTCGATTGCGCCAAGTCAACACGTAGCTGCTCATTCCGCGCCTCGAGCTCTGCGAGTCGCACATTGGCCCTCTCCAACTCGGAGGAGACCAGTTCCAGTTCGGCTTGCGCAGCACCACTTCTGGTCGCATCCTCAGGCTCTCCACCGGAGCGGTCCAAACGCTGCGAGACCTCGTAGCTGGCCTTCAATTCCTTTAGCAGCCGATCTTGGTTTTCCACCTTCTCTTCTAAATTCCGCTCTCGCGACGACCAGTTCTCTTCTTTTTCTCGTAACACAGCAGACCAAGAGTCTTCTACCTCTTTAAGCCTACTGTCCTGCGAGCCTTCAAACGACTGCCTCTTCGTCCTCTCATCCTCCAGCTGTTTCTCTGTCTCCTCCAACTCACTAGTGAGCTTCGTGACTTGCTTGTGTAGACGCTCATTCTCTGCCTCCAGCTTTGGCATCACCTCATCCGCCGTCACCAGAGAGTCAATGCTGGCTTCCAGCAGTGGGTACGGATCGGGCGCTTCGCTCAGAGGCGAGTACGCCTGCATGAATGCCGTCTGTACAGCCTTTGAGTGGTTCGTGAGCGCATCAATGTAGGTCTGGTAAGCTTTCAGCATGTCCTTCAACTCCACTAACTTCGCTGCGTCTTCGAGCTTCCGGAAGTCCTTCGTCTTCTGCGCCAGCTCCTTTCGCTGCACCAACGACTCTCTTTGATGCTCGACCAAGTCTGAAGCAACAGTGTCTAACGTGGAGACCAGCTTGGTCAGGTTAAGAGCCCGCCATGCTGCCACTGCCTGCTGGAATTTGTTACCACCCCCTGCCGCCTCAATTGCCTCACGTATACCATTGGTCTCTTCATGATCGGTACCGTTGCCATTGGCGGAAAGCGCGCCCGCACTCGCCTGCACATCTGCACTGTCCGCCATGGTGTGAATCACTGCATCGCGCGTAAGTTGCGTGAAACTCCTGCAGGTGCTGAGTCTCGTCTGGTTGATTGCCGGGCTTCGAAGTGCTCCTCGTGGGGCGGACGTTTGCTATAGGTTGCACGAAGAGTGTATGCTCGGTAGCAGGCAACGATTGTGTGCTGACAGAGTAGTTGTGCTTGCGGGCAAACGCGGAGGTGGACAAGGCACGAGGCACGAGGCCACGAGCTTCTTCACCACAAACCTCACCACAAACCTTACCACAAACCTCCACACATCATGTCCTCATATCTGCAGCTAGTATCTTGTGAAACTGGCTCTATAATTGACCGCTGTACTGCAACATGACGGGGCCAGCACGGCCGACCCAGTCTACCTTTGTGGCTGTGGCCTAGAGCCATCATGGCAGCTTCCATGGCGATTGAAGGTTGACACTCATACATTGCGCACTACTCGCTCATTCAGCAGGTCGTCCGACACGGACAACACGGCCATCAAGATTGTAATCGCTCTCGCCGAGGTCGTGGTTGGGCCATAGCGGCAATCAAAACCTTGCGCGGTCTTTCTGTACCTCGTGGGAACGGCTTAATGGCCGACCCATCCGTGGCCCAATGATATTCTATGCATATTGTTGAGAGCGATGCCAGCTCACCATGATGCCAATCATTGCAATGGTCAGCGATTCCGAACATTGCCGCCGTTCTCCAAGTCGTAGAATCCCGATATGGTGCTATAGCTGTCTGAGCAGCTTCTACCGCCATCCTTCGGCTTGAGATCACAAAACTTCAGTCTATGTTTCCAAATGTGCTCGGTAAACCCTGCAACTCCTCAAAACCCATACGTACCGTGTATCGGTGCCCATTCAGGATTGGGATGCTATGTAGCGGCGGATATCATTATCACTGACACTCACCCTTAATGAATACTTTTGACAGTGAGCCTTGCATAGCCTACTCTATCTTGGTGCCTGCTGTCTTCACATGATTGGATGCACTACACTAACCATCCGGAGGACGTTCCTTTCTGAGAAGATCAAGCTGGCTGAAAGGATCTCTGGCGTGTAATGTTACCTAATCTTATGGACCAGTTGCTTCCACAATAGCATCTCCGCGTAATGGCGACTCTGGAAGCTGGTACGCGCAATCTACGACTATCATGAGTAGATTGCTGGCATGGAAGCACCCAATGGCTCCTCTCATGCAACGGTCTCTGGGCAAGACCGTTCGGCTGGACCGTACGTACTTCGAGAGCTGATCAAAGATATACCGCTCGGCGAGCACAAGGATGGCACGAGGTCCCACATCACTTGTGTAGATACTTGGAATGGTAATCTATACGTCGGTACCTCTGCTGGTGAGGTGCTCCACTACGTCGCTATCCCACCGGACCCCACCGACGAGTCCGGTCAGGCAAGTTACATCTTCGCGACCAAGCTCGAGCCGCCTTTCAACACGGAGCAGGAAGGGCTAGATGCTGGTGTGAAGCAGATTCTCCTACTGCCAGTCGCTAACAAAGCTTGTATTTTGTGCAACGGTACACTTACGTTTTACACCCTGCCAGAGCTCAGCCCGGCTTTTGGCGGCAAAATCAGACAGCCGAGCTGCCTATGGATTGGCGGCATTGATACGACGGAGCAAAACCACGGCGGCAATGCTGCATACGGGACCGTGGTTGTCATATGCTTAAGGCAACGACTCCGACTCATTCGAATCGGCGACGAGGCTCGCAAGATCCGTGATATCGAGCTCGGCGGCGTATCTGCCATTCAGCGAATACAAGATCTGGCATGCGTTGCAGACGGGCATGATTACTCCCTACTCGACGTAGTGAACCAGCGCAAGAACAACCTATTTCCCATCTCGTCTCAGGCTACACCGGAGGCACCACCGTCAGAGCCAGATCGGCCGCCAGCCCGGGCGCGGGAGCCATCGCGTAGCTTCTCTTCAGCCAGTCCAGTTCGCCTCGGTCGAGCACATGAGCGCAATACAAGCTTGGGTGCAGAGTCGAGTGATAATGGTCACCTACGCCCTGGCAGCAGCTCTCCTTGGCCCTCCCGACGCTCTTCGCGCCTTATTGAATCTGCTGTGCCGCCTGGTAGTCGTGAGGGGAGCCCAGAGAAGCCTTCGCCAGAGACAGTGTCGGCACGAACCAGTACAGAGGCTGCTCGTGAGCCTGAAGCACCGGTCCGACCTTTACCGCCGAACATTCTCAGCCCGACAGCCAACGAGTTCTTGCTCACGACCGGCACAAAGATGAATGAGCCAGGCGTCGGCATGTTCGTCAACCTTGACGGAGATGTAGTTCGCGGCACCATCGAGTTCAGCACGTACCCACAGTCACTTGTCCTTGATGGAGTCCAGACTGCGGCAGACTCGGCAACAGAGTCTGAGCGGCAAAGTAGCCCAGGCTACGTGCTCGCTCTGGTGCAACGCAAATCCGGAGGGAAGTCAGTTCCAGCGATTGAGGCCCAGCGGTGGGATGTCGATGCATCGGACGCGAGGACCGGGAAGCAATGGCTTGACGTTCCCTTGAACCATACCGAGGCCGGCTTCGAGGATCAGCAAAGAGGCGTGGGCCTCCGCACTGCCTCAGATGCTGTCGAGCTTGCGATTCCTGAGATTGGTTCGAGCTTGCGTCTCCGCCGCATCCTTCTTACGAGTAGGATGGAAGTTTCTTCAGATAGTGACCTCAAACGCGAACAAGAGGAAGACGATTTCGCCTCTAGCTTCGCTCAGGCGTCAGCGAGGGTGCTACTATACTACGAAGACCGGATCAGCTGGGTCATGCGAAGCGCTTTGATTGTCCAGCTTGAGCAGCAATTGAATGCTTCAACCCAGCAGCTCAACGACAGTGCGATCGCCATTGAGGTGCCGAGCGTGCAGCGAGTGGTCAATAGCATACGAGGGCAGAATGCAGCTAACGAGCTCGAATTCCTCACGTTAACCTACGTCCGGCAGAAGACGTCACTGCTACTGTTCGGCAACCTCTTGCTGCAGACCGCGCAGAATCTCACGTGTCCTGAGCGTGATAAGCGCTTTGCCGAGGAAGCCTTGGTTGCGGGCGAGATCGACCCGCGTACTATTCTAGGCCTTGTGCCTCCTCTTGCAGAGGAAGTTACCGCGGGCGAGCAAGGCATCTGGATCGCTCAAGGTTTGCAAGATACGCTCAATACACTTCACCGGGCTCTGCGCGATGCCAAGATTGTACCAAACGTGGCGGGTGCATACGGCGACAACCTGCTGCCACTCCTCAAACGCTATCTCCTGGCATGGCGCAAGAAGAAAGGCTTCGGCAGCATAGCAGACGAAACGCATGTCTTCCGAAGTGTCGATGCCGCATTAACTCACGTTTTACTCATGCTGGATCAGCACAGTCCTCGTGGTCCAGCGCTACCCGGGACGCTTCGCGCGGAGCTTAACGAAGTCGTAGACCGCGGAGTCGACTGCTTTGATCGGGCTGTTCAGCTGTTCGAGGAGTACCATCGACTGTACATGCTCAGTCGCTTGTATCAGAGCCGCAAAATGACCGGGCACGTCCTTGCGACCTGGAGGCGGATCGTAGAGGGCGAGCACGACGCCGGCGGCGAACTAATCGAAGGCGAGCAGGACATTCGAAGATATCTGACGAAGCTGCGCGATGCGAATCTTGTGGAAGAGTACGGAACTTGGCTAGCGAACAGAAATCCTAAGCTGGGCGTGCAGGTCTTTGCGGATGACAGTAGCCGTGTCAAGTTTCAGCCGCAGGAGGCCGTATCCGTACTGAAACGGAAGGCACCTGGCGCGGTGAAAGATTACCTCGAGCACCTGGTCTTCGGCAAGAACCACGTGCAGTACGTCAACGATCTTATAGCGTTCTATCTCGACACCGTCTTGACGCAACTGGAGCGCTCGGAAGAAGCTAGGCAGATCTTACTGCAAAGCTACGAGACCTACCGCGCTCTCAAACCCCCTAAACCAACCTATCGACAATTTATCACGGACAATGCAGTTGACGCGGATTGGTGGCACAACCGTCTCCGACTCCTACAACTGATAGGAGGCAGCCACGGCGCGGCGCAGAAGTACGACGTCCACACGCTCGGGCAGCGGTTGGCACCGCACAGCGACGAGCTGGTGCCGGAGATGATCATACTCAACGGCAGAGAAGGCAAGCACGAAGAGGCACTTCGGCTGCTGACGCATGGGCTGGGCGACTTCGACACGGCGATCAGGTACTGCTTGCTGGGCGGGTCAAGCATTTTCCACTCGGCCGGTGCTTCGGCGCTTGCGCCAGAGACGCTCCTGCCGACAAGGGAAGAGCAGGCTCGTCTATTCAACATACTCCTACATCAGTTTCTGCGCATTGAGGATGCGACTGAGAGGCTTGAGCGGACGGCCGAGTTGCTTGAACGCTTCGGTGGCTGGTTCGATCTGGAGCAAGCACTTGAGCTGATTCCGCTTGATTGGAGTGTTGAGCAAGTTAGTGGGTTCTTGGTACATGCGCTGAGGCGGCTGGTCAGGGATAGGAACGAGAGTATTGTGGTGAAAGCGCTAAGCTCGGCGCAGAACTTGAGGCGAGCGGTTGAGTATGCGGAGAAGACTGAAGTGATAAGTCCAGTGGTTGCGCGGACGGAGGTCGAGGCTGGATGATGCGGGCGGGTCAGATCGACCATCTCCGTCATAACACTAATGCAAGCTCTGCCAGAGGCGTCCTGAGATTCGAAGTGCGATACTGCCAGGCGATGCTCGAGACGGTGAAGCTTCACGACTCGGACCCCCACGGCCAAGGCGAGGACCAAGCAATCCCGGAGATCGAGCCGAAGCTTGCCGTCACCAGCACCGCCACCGCCACGTTGGAACCGGGAAAGAAACATTGCATGTGGAGACGTTGAAGGAGGGGTAGCTTTGTGGATGTTCATGATGAACGCTTGAGACATCGTCGCCATGTCGGCTGAGATGATGTTGCTGTAGCGTGAACGCTGCACGCTGTTGTCAGTATGACAACCATTCAACCTTTCCCAAGCTGTGGAAGGAACCACTCAATCCAGTCACACCTCAAACGCGTGCAACATTTGCTGAGAATGCTACTTACGGGACGTAGCTGCGCGTCATAGTTACCTTCTGATACGCTGTAGCAATAACCATTCGCGCCTGCAGGTCGGCCGTATGATTGGTCGCGATCAGTACCCGTCATGAATTTTGCGGTATATCAGATACCCGCCAACGCCGAGGCCATCTACTGTGGTGACCAACATGATGTTAGCGGTAAGCACGTCCTTGTATGGTGTTCCGAATGGTCCACCTTCGCAAGCTTCTTTCGGTGGCATGTTCTTTGGCGTTCGCTTATTGTGGGTTTGATTGGAAAAGTACGGCCCGCTTAGTTCCGGAGGACGATAGATCGCATAGTTGCAGCGGGGTGGTGCGTCGCTGGACTCTGTGCGGCAATTACAAGGTGGTTTGCCAGCCTCGCCGCGCCAAAACCGTCCCAGCCGTTGACTAGTCTGCGGGTTGGCCGCCAAAACGTGTGGCACATTACGACGCTCATTGCTGCCGCCGAGCCGCAGCTGCCGTAACCGCTTGCGAGCTTGTCCTTGCTTTTCCGCGAGCTTCAGCAAGGAACAAGCTTTCTCGCAACGGTGTTTACCACGAGCTACCTCATCCTTCGTTCACTCGATCCATCGATCTGCCAACTTTATTTCCCAGACCTCGATCCTTTCTTGCCGTTAACACTTTCATACTCCCCCCCACACTCAAGTACTAACTTCCCTTCCAAGATACCCACAAGTAACACTCACTCCCACAGCAAACACCGGCAACATGGTTCATCTTGGCAAGATCCCAACTGACAAGGACATCGAGGAGACCAAGATCCCTGGCCTTGAAGATGTTAAGCTGGACGCGCCCGGCCAGGATGAGTTCACCGCCAGCGTGTACGGCTCTCGCTTCGCAGCCATGGACCTGCCGAAGCATGAGATGCCGGCCGACGAGATGCCCCGCGAGGTCGCCTACCGTATGATCAAGGACGACCTGTCGCTGGATGGCACTCCCACGCTGAAGTCAGTTGTCACAGTTCGACTAAGAATTGGTGGTACGTAAGCTGACGACGATATGGGTAGCCTCGCCTCCTTCGTGACGACGTACATGGAGGAAGAAGCGGAGAAGTTGATGGTGGAAGCCTTCTCCAAGAACTTCATTGATTATGAAGAGTACCCCGTCAGCGCCGACATCCAGAACCGTTGCGTCTCCATGATCGCCCGCCTCTTCAACATCCCCAGCCACGACCCTAATGTCAACGCCATGGGCACCTCGACCATTGGCTCCTCTGAAGCCATCATGCTCGGCACCCTGGCCATGAAGAAGCGCTGGCAAAACAAGCGTAAGGCCGCCGGCAAGGACTACAGCAAGCCCAACATCGTCATGAACTCCGCCGTGCAGGTGTGCTGGGAGAAGGCCGCCCGGTACTTCGATGTGGAGGAGAAGTATGTCTACTGCACCGAAGACCGGTTCGTCATTGACCCAGAGGAGGCGGTCAAGCTGATCGACGAGAACACCATCGGCATCTGCACCATCCTAGGCACCACCTACACGGGTGAGTACGAGGACACCAAGAAGATCAACGATCTCCTGGTGGAGAAGAACATCGACTGCCCAATCCACGTCGATGCCGCATCAGGTGGCTTCGTTGCTCCCTTCGTCCACCCGGACTTGGTCTGGGACTTCCGTCTTGAGAAGGTCGTTTCCATCAACGTCTCTGGTCACAAGTACGGCCTCGTCTATCCCGGTGTCGGCTGGGTCGTGTGGCGTGACCCGGAGTTCCTTCCCAAAGGTAGCCTTCACCCACCTTGCATCACCCACATCAACTAATACTTCCTTTATAGAACTCATCTTCAACATCAACTACCTCGGCGCCGACCAAGCCTCCTTCACCCTCAACTTCTCTCGTGGCGCCTCCCAGGTCATCGGCCAGTACTACCAACTCATCCGCCTCGGCAAGAAGGGTTACCGCAGCATCATGCTCAACCTAACCCGCACCGCCGACTACCTCGCCACCTCCGTCGAGAAGATGGGCTTCATCCTCATGTCGAAGAAGTCCGGCGACGGCCTTCCGCTCGTCGCCTTCCGTCTCAACCCGGAGCGCAAGCACAAATTCGATGAATTTGCGCTCGCTCACCAGCTGCGCGAGCGTGGCTGGGTCGTCCCGGCGTACACGATGGCGCCGCATGCCAACTCGCTGAAGATGATGCGAGTCGTGGTCCGCGAGGACTTCAGCAGGTCAAGGTGCGATGCGTTGATTCAGGATATCAAGCTGGCGTATGATGAATTGAGTAAGATGGACGAGCACAAGTTGGAGCAGCACAAGGAGCACAGACGCGCGCATGGCACGCGGACGGGCAGGCATAGGAATATCAACACGCATTTCACGGATGAGACGCACAGTTTGCAGGGCAAGCACGGCAAGACGCATGCCGTGTGTTAAAAGCATCCGGAGATCGACATGGGTGTGGAGGAAACACTGGCGACAACCATTTGTAAGCACGACTCCAGGGGGCCGATAATGGCAAAGGCACGATGCAGTGGACCTGACCTGAGATGATTATGAGAGATGTCAGCATAGGCGGAAACGCCCGGTAGAGGTGCCAGGAACCACATAGGTAGCCTAAGCATTAGAGAATGAACTAAATGCTCCTGCGGTATTGTACGCCTGCCTTGTACACCGTCAGGCGCCCCGGCGCTGGCGAGGACTCTTGACTTTGTACGTTGCAGCCCAGCTCGGACTATTAGGACAGTCACAAAATGCTAAGGTTATCTGTGCATGTCCTCCCACGCATACTTTCGCTTAAAATGGATGGCGTCGGCACGGGTGAACATTGACACTGAGTTTCGTAAACAGAGCTATCGTACAGATGTGTCATTGAGCGCTTTGCAGAACCAGCCCACGCGCACGCAGTACTATTACAACGCCGTGACTTTTCGTTCGCATTCCGCGCTCATCCCTCATGTCATCATTGCTTTCGTTCCCGTGAAGCGTACTGGACGTGCTGTGACCCCATGCCACTGCCTCTCTGTGCATTCTCCGCACACCCATGTTGCCGTTGTGCCTCATACACCTGTACGAGATCCGCAGGCACTCATCTAACTCCCTTGCGCCTCGCTTTTAACGTGATAGACTTGCACTGGCTAGACCTTCCCTGCGATAACTCCTAGTGCGACGACATGATGTCCTTAATCCCAATCCTCTTGCTCCCGCCACCGCCGCCATTGCTTGGTGCCGGACTCGCAGAAGAGGCCGATGTGTGATGATGTTGTAGGCTGCTCGGCTGGGACGTCAGATTGCTGGGCAGCGGCGTTAAAGTTTGCAGGCTGCTAGATGATGCAGTCGAGGCCGAGTGCTGCAGCTTCGGCGGTGGGTACATGGGAGCCGTCTGCGGCGAGAAACGCTGTTGCTGTTGCTGCTGCTGCTGTGATGGCGGTGGTGGTGGTGGCGGTGGAGCCTGTTGTTGACCATGCTGGCTCTGCTGCACTAAATGCTCAAGCGTGCGCTGAACATGCTCCCAACCACCCCATTCCTGCATCTCGCGCTCGTTCAACGGGCCGTTTGCTTGCTGCTGTTCGGCAGCACGCTCCAAAGAGGCGGGCCCGTTGACGTTCTGGCCGCCTTGAGCAATATTCGTGCTCGCACCGCTTCCAGCCCATGCCCATGCTTCCTCAGCACAGCCTTGCACATCACCACTCACGTACGCCAACATCTCTTCGTCAACCTCAAGATCTTGCTTGGAAGCTCCGGCCCGTAGCCGCGCGATCAGCTGGTCAAGGAAGAAGGCGAGGTAGCGTCCGCAACCAATGTTATTCTTCCTCAAATCGCCTATGGCAGCTGAGGCGTGCACTAGCGTCAGGGCGGATGTGAACTCAAGCCGGAGGCACAGGACCAACGTGCATCGCCACAAATGCGCGCAGAAGAAGGCTGGCGCCATGGTTCGAAGTCGTGCTGCCCAACTCAGGTGAGGCGAGGTAGGCTGCATTGTCCTCTGAACATAGGTTGCTGTGTCTTTGGCAACGGAAACACAACGATCTAGTGCATCTATTCTCTCGCTAGGCCGGCATGCAGGCGAGAGATTGTGTCGGTAGAGGATGAAGCGCGTGTGTTGTAAATGTGTTGCTGCCGTGAGCAGCCGCGGATCTAGGTACGCCGTTGAAGTTATTGGGAAAGGCTCGGGGTAGGAGGCCATGATGGATTTAAAGTGCTCGTCATACGTACTTAGCGTTGCAAATGCTACAGTGCGAGACTTGAGCGTCTTTCTCAGCTGCGCAATGATACGCACCACTGGAATCACTGCAAGGAGTCCGCTGGGTGCTGTCTGTCCAGGCGGAGCCATGACTATGCCGGTGGAGCGGATACTGTCATCGTCCACGGGTGTCGGTTCGGCCACGTCGCAATCATCGTCATCGATCTGCAATGGGCGGCCAAGTTCGAGCGACGTTATGCTAGTAAATTGTCAGTGATAAAGCAAATCATTAGCCCATTGTATGACACTCACCGATCCCAATTATATACGCTCCACCACACTCGCCTTCTCATTTCCGCTTCTAGCGGCGGATATGGTCCACGATCTGTATGTAGGCCCTTATCTTGCGCCAGACGTATTGACGAGCCCAGCCAGACCCATCCAGCGGACCGTAGATTGCTCTCGAAGAACCATGTGCTTATGAGAAGTGTTGTCCGGACAGAGTCTATACTGATATCATCACTCCATGTATTGACCGTTCTAATGCACATGTCAAGGTAGGCGGCGCCTTCTTGTTCTTGAGCGGACCCGTTCGGCTGAGAGTCCATCAGCGTACCGCACGCGAGCACTGCGAAGAATAGCGCAACCCATCTGTGGCGCGAATGTAGTAAGGTCCCAGCACGATAGGCATTCTCGTAATCCTGTATGAAGCTCGGCCAATGGATCATAGGCGCGTAAACATGTACTGAAGCCCGGTAGTGCGAAATCAGACGGTCCGCTACATTCTTTGGAGGAAGTGGTGTGTTCACCATGTACATCGGCTCTGGAGCGGAAAGACGGTGGGTTGGTGGCGGCTTGAAGATTCCTCTCGAATAATTTCGAATGTTCTTGCGCACCTCATCGAAATTGTCAAGCACGGGCAGCCCTTGTCGACGCTCTTTCGACGCAGGCTCGGGCACGTGAAGTTTTGGGACATTGGGCGCTTGACTGTCGAGGTCCGTAACACCACCTTCTTGCAACATCGTCCGATACTGAGCGAGTTGCTGCTTCGCCTGGGCGAGTTGCTTCTCCAGGTCTTGGACTTGCTTGATGGAAGACATTCGACGATTGGTCTCCTTAGTGAATTGACACTTCACTCCACGGCTTGAGCACTCTGAGCAGCTGGACGTGTCGCTAGCATCGCACTTCACTTTACGCTCTCGGCAAGCATCACAGCTCGGGTCCTTTCGCCGTTGACGGTAGGCCCGCTTCTGGGCGGCGTTCAGTGCGGCCGCCGAAGCATGAGTTGGTGATATGCCAGGCGTAGACATGACCGAGTCCGTGGCCAGGTAGTGGTCTTGCATCATACCTGGCTGTAACGGTGCCGGTCCGGGCAGTGAGGCGTACTGGTAGGGTCCTGACATACTGCTATTCGGCGGCATGCTGTTCACAGTTACTGAGGATGACTGTCCGTCCGAGTCACGGCTCGGTGGAGGAGGATAGGCGCCCGACGGCGAAGGCATTGGTGATATCCGTGGGCCATGCGCATGCAGTGATTGATCATAGGGAGCGGAAGGGCGTGCTGTGGACATCTGGTTCGATTGTAGCGGACCTCGACCGCCTTCCATGACCCCACGTTGGCATTCGCTGCCGAGGTTGCTGCAACGGTTGTGAGAGAAGCTCAACGGCGTCAGGAGTCCGGTTGGTAGTCGTGGCTGAATGAGAGTAAGTGATCGAACGAATGACGGTCACAGGAGGATGCAACATATGCGAAACATGACCAAGTGAATGTGGTGAGCGAGAACCACTCGGTACCTGGCGAAAAGCACGCGAGTCAAGCCACCAACTCCATTGCAGAAGACGTGCGGATGTAAGAAAAGGTCCAAGTGCAAATAGTTCCCGGTGGAGGTGAACTACAAAAAGACTTTGGCTAATGCACAAATCGAGCAGTGGTGGGCAAGACGGCAACGGCCGATTGCTCACTTGCCTTTGTGCGCCAATGGCTAGGGTTTGCGGCTCGTGGTCTTGGAGACGCACTTGGGGTACCGTCAAACCCTCCGACTCCACGAAGGGATATTCTATCTAGCATGTCCGCGGCCGCCAGGTTGTCTACGCATCGCTTGCATACGGCGATGCAAGGATAATGTTCCAGACACGCAATACCGACGCCTCTTCATCAATATACGGCGAAAAATGAGCCGCGAAAAAAAAGACTTGAGGTCGGAAAGCCTGACCGGCGGCCGCCCACGCTACATGCACGAGCGCAGATCTCGCCTGCGAACGTACAGCGCACCAACTGCGCGAACTTGGATCCTCGCTTCCATCATCCAATATTGCTAGACACCACGAGGAGCCGATCGTGCTGGTCTCCGTCGGTTAATATACCGGGCTGCTGGACAATTGTACCGCTCGTCCGGTGTGAGAGCACATCGAGATCTGCTGCTGCGGTACACCACAGGAGTCGGCACCCCCATGGCCTTCTCCCGCCCTTCCAGAAGACCTGCACGGAATCCCGCGTCATGCTGCATCGGCAAGGGTGTCGGATGCTCAGACCGAACACCAAGGCACGCGCCTTCGGCAGTGACACAAATGTCAATGCTTCCGATTCGATCGTTTGAAGTGAGCAACGTTACACTGCACGTTTAGCAGATCTGCAATAGCAATGCTTCAACGGGCAGGCGAAAACGTGGTGTTGCACATCGTTCCGTGGTGTCAGGGCAAGGTTCCGCAATGTCATCGGAGCTTTACCGAACCTCGCTTGCTGGTCTGTGCGGCTTGTCGTTCAATGGCCGTGTCTAGGCAACTTTGCGGCGCCAGCGGAGACGCATGGCATGGGGGCGCCACGCTCTTAGGCTACATGCGAAGCTACTTCAACCGCGGTCACATGTGTAACCCTACAGCAACGAACTCTGCGAAGAGTCTCATATCGACTGTATTGCAGTAGACTTGAAAAAGCGGCTACTGCGGGAAAGTGAAGTGAAGATCATCAACCGTGCGTGGTGCGGCTCGTTTCAGTTGACGAGCGTGGAACGGCTGAAGATCTTTGCCGATCAGAATCGCTGTAACCTACATCCTGGATATATGCAGGGTCAAGCACCGGCACTGTGGGTATACAAAGCAACCCCATCGGCTACCATTCCTTGAACGAGTGCTTTCACCCGGTAACCGGATGAAGAGGTCAGGGTTTGTGTTACTTTCAGGAATTTGGTTGTTGAGGACTCGTTTGCGACTGAAGGCACGATCTATCGGAGAGGGAGAAATTGCAACGCAGCTTGTGGAGATGTTCCTCGCGAGCACAGATTGGCTAGTCGCAAATTCTGCATCCGGCACCCTTTTGAGGTGCATTCAGCCAAGCTGTGTCGAATAACCTCGCTGTAAGGTTTGCGCAGCGATTGCCGCGCCATCGATTCGAACTGCCAAGCGACTGAATTTATCGGCGCCGGCTATTAGCAATGAAGACCTTCAAGACGAGAGATCGCCATTACTTGTGATGCAGACATCTTGACTAGCCCAACTTCGTAGTGTACCTAACGATGTTCATGTAATTGTACCGATGCGACACAGTGTCGCGCAGCCTTTCACACGCCCAAACTCCACGCCTGCTAAAGCCACTATGCCCCAAGAAGAATACCACAAGCCCATCATGTCCTCGTAGCGAATACTGTACAACTGGAGTCCGCGCAGCTCTGCATCCTTACTAACCCTACTTCGACCACTCCAACACCTCCAACGCTAACATAACTAGTACCAGCGTACTCGGGAATATAGCCACGACGTAACTCGCCGTCAATAGACTACTCATTGCCCCCATGAACACCCCATTGACTTGACATATCTGCGCCAACTGCAACGCCGACGGTGCGCCCGTCAACAAGAAACACACGATGATGAAAATCGGATCGTCAAGGATGCTGACAGGCACGTACTTGGCCATCAGCGCAAGCACAGGCGCCATGATGAGCGTTGGGAGGATCATGCGTGAAATAATGGAAGCGTAGAGGAGTCTGCGTTCTTCCGCCTTCTCCTCCGGCGTCGTGGCGAGTTGGTCTTGAGGTAAGGTGCTACGAGCCAGATTCGCGCCCAGCACGACCAGGATCAGCGGGACGGCGACGCCGCCGGATTGGCTGACAGCGCGGGTGACGGAATTGTTGATGAGCGTTCCTGGGTCGAAGAAGAGGTGTTGGAGACGTGGAATGGAAGCGACGAGGAGCGCGACAAGCATAGCCCAGAGGGGAGGGTTCATTTGGCGCCATACGCCGCGCCAGAAGGCCGAGTTGTAGTAGTTCGCTTTGGTCAACGTCTTTTGCACGGGCGCGGGCAGACGATGGAACTGGTTGTTTAGGAAGGTGGAGAGTGCTGAGGCCGCTTTGTGGTATTGGCGCAGGCCTTGGTGGTGGTAATGGTTCAGTCGCGCTTTCCAGGCTGGCATGTCTTCCGGTACGCTGTTAGCGGAGCGCGTGGAGTAGGTTGGGAACTGCGTGATGTGGCCCGTCGAACGCGCACGGTCGCCCAACGGACCGGTGGTAGTCGGTCGTTGCTGGGTTGGCGAGTTCGACTCCGAAACGATGTTCCTAGGCTCGTTGCCGACAATGTTGCCATTAGCGGGCGTGGCTCCTACAAGCTCGGGCCTTCCTTCATCGTCCTCTTCATTCGAGACACTATCTGCGCCGGAAGAGAAGCCGGAATCTGGTGTCTTGTGCGCTTTACCGTTAGCGTAGCCGTTCAGTGGGAGGTCAGGGTCTTCATCCTCTTCGTCCGGGTCATCCCTATATCTCCCTTCTTCCCTGACTCGATCCTCGTCCGTAGCATGCTGTCTTTCCTCTTCTTCGTACGCCTTTGCCGGCTTCAGCAGCACGCTGTAACCCCACGTCCATCGAAGCAACTGGCCGAGCTGCTGGAAGATGAGCAGATACAGGATACCTCTTGCCGCGACTTCATTGTCATTGTCGCCAGGCACCTTATCCCAGTGCAATCCACTGATTGTCTTACTCAGACTCAGCACAAGCGAGATGGGCAGACTGTTGCTGTTTCCAAATACACCCATTGCCAGAATGAAGTTCTTCTGTCGCTTGTTACGACTGAAGCCGAACACCCTCGCCATGAGCTGTGCACAACACCAGCTCACCAACGTCTGCGCGGCGAAGATGACGGGTATCACCACCAAATCGGCAAGCTTGTCGGCGTTCAATTGGCTTGCAAGTTTCGTGAAGATCAGGCAAGGCGTGAAGACCATTGTATTCAGCTCTGCAACGAACTTCTGGCTGTTGGCGTCGAACATGCCCGTGCGTGCGACGAGGAAGCCTGGCAGAGCCACGAACACCACTTCGAGCACCGCTTCGCATACCAGTCCGGCTAGATGTAGGAAGTTGGGGTGGTTACTGTGGGGTGGTGCATTGCCTAGTAAGGATAATGTGCTGTTGGCTGCAGCGGCCATGATCGTTGGTAGTTGCTCGTTAGTGCGCCGCTCGAGCGAAGGGTGGAGGTTGAGCGCGGCTTCGGCGAGGGTACGGAGGCGTAAGGACTCTATGAGCGGCATCTCGACGTTGTGAAGGGGTTACGTTAAGCGCTCGCGGAAGGTGTAGGTGACGATTGGGTATGCACGTTGGTCGATGCCGTATCTCAACAGTCACCGCGGAGACGTCACCTACGCAGCAGGGCCGGTGCTGCACGTGAGCTGTGAACAATTCGCATGCTTGTATATTCCTTCAAATAGTCTCAAGAAGGCGGCCGGTGTCATTCTGCAAAACCAAGGTGCTTGAACCTCACTGCCCTGATCTTGGGTGCTTGGCTTGACCCGTCGCATCATCGCTTCCTCACCCTGAGCGACGAAACACGTGCAAGCGTGACGTTGCCGCGCAGCGAGGGTACAACCGCCCGCTTTCCGTGCTGACTCACCCACAAGCGTGGGTTGCGTGGCTTCTATGCGCGCACAATACCTTGCTTGAGTACCTGGAGCGTGCATTTAATGGCTGTTCTGAGCCCATCACAGCACTGCAGCCTTCACGACACGTTTACTTCTTCGATATAAGCAACCTCTGACAACCAAGGCTTGACAACTCTTGCCACTACCAACATCTTCGCCTGGCTGCCCGGACAATAATGATGGGGTTTGTCACGTCTGAGCCATCAGTACCAAGGACAACATGTTCCGGTCCTGATCAGGCTCTTTGCTTAGGCAGACGACAGACTGCGTGACGTGGAACCTAGTCCGCTCGAGTGCCCTTCTGTATTCTGATCCCGGCGATTGCAGAAATCCTGGGCGTTTTCTGGATGTTTCCGCTGCCCGCAGGAACTGTCCACTTGCAGCAATTGGGTTGTCGTGATGCGCAGCATTTGGGCCTTAAAGTAATCACTTGCTTGAGTTTTCAGGCCGGGGGGCTTGGGACAATCTTCGCTGGCATCCTCCACCCTCTATGACCTGTAGCGGACACCCAAGCGCATCCACGAGGTAGGTGTTGGTCCTGAGTGCTTGCACCCTATACTTACACTCTGGAATTGGCTCTTATGCGAGAGACAGGGAGCCTCTATACTAAACAAAGTTGTGTACTGGAATTGACGCTCATGCAATAGACAGGCAGCCATGTAGTCAATGCTCCCTCAGTGAAACGGGCAAGTAGGAAGACATACACCGCCGCGATCACCGGTACTTGGTGGACACCAGTAGAGACATCAACGATCTTTGGGCAGCGATCCAAACCGTAGCGTCAGACCGAGTCCTGTATACGCACCTGCCTTGGTTAAGCTATGCAGGCCGGACTAGTTACTGTGTGAGAGCGATGGCTGTTCCTCAATTTGCGAGAAATATTACTCTCATGGTTGGCATACATTCCTTGTACTGTATGTCGTCTTGCAGAGCCAAGAGCAATTGGCGCGGCTCATGCAACGCCTCCGTGGCTTCACTGTTCTTGACACTGCGGGATCCCGATTGAGCTTCAGCCGCCCGGTCCCGCTTCAGCTAAGGAGCGCCCTCGCTCATCACGACGTTTGACTGGATCGATTGATGGCAAGGATGGTGCAATTGAGCGCGGCGCGGCTTGATATACGCCGTACGTCACCTACGCGTACCCCACACACTCTATCCAATTCCAAGCAGGCGTAGTGAGTTGGGTATTTGCTCGCAGAGAATCTTCCTGAAACACTCCCCTCCTGTTCTGCTTCTTCACACGTCCATGCAATCTGTCGTAGCGTGCAGACTCCTGCTCCCTCTCATACCTTATATTCGCTCATCAAGCACAGCTTCCCCATTTGCACACACCTTCTTCGCCTGATCGACAGCTATCTCGATCTGCGCCTCCCGCGGCGATCCGCTTGCGATTGCCCATCCATCATTGCACCGCCACATTTCGAAAGCTTGTATCGATCTCCGATGTCTATGTACGGTGCACGTGTGATGAGAGGATTGCGGAGACTTTGAGCTTGTATCGAGCTGCATTGACCGCTGCTGCCTTGCTGGGCGTTTACACCGACCAAGAAGAGGCTACCAAGCCAGCCGCGGAAGCATCAGGTGCGGTCAAACCTTGCCGTAAGACCTCGAGCCCGCGCGGCGGCGGCGGCCCTATACCAAGATGTCCACCCCCGACGAGCAACAGACTCCGCTTGACTCACCCTCACCACCCATGTCACCCGAAGAGACCGTATCCTCACCCCTAGGCAGTTCCACCTCTCCGCGGCCGCCTTCGAGACCGACACATGCAGCATCCGAGATGTCTACCTCCACCGTGTCCAGTATGACTGCCTCTTCTCAACCACTTGGCAATCTCAATGCAGCCAGACGACCTGGAGGTGCACCTCTCCCAGCAGCAAAAGGTGGTATGAACAACCCAGATATTGCTGCCCGAATGCGGGCTTTCCACATATCACGACAAAACACCCCGTCACAAGTACCAACCCGAGGTACACCTTCTAATGGCACCGACTCCACGGCATCCACTCCGCCGGTGGCTGGCTTCCCATCGGGTTTCAAGCTCCCACCGCACATGCAAAGACCGGCACCACATGGCTCCGTCTCGTCTCCGGCAGTACCCGGGAGTAAGCCTCCCGGCAAAGGTCCGTCGCTAGCGGAGAAGCGAGGCCTGAGACTGCCCGGCGGTTTACCAGGTGCCCCTGCTTCACCCAACCCAGCTGCTCCCGGCGCGCCTGCAGGCAGGCAAAAGCCGAAGATGACGCTTTCATCAATGGGCGGCGGAGAGGCAAATGGTGGGCCTAATGGAGCGGCTGAGGAGAAGCCGAAAGAACAGAGCCAGCTGGACAAGTACTCCGAGTTCATTGACACTAAGAATGGCGCGCTCACTTTCAAGGGCAAAGCCACGGTCAATGCGGAAGGAATCAATTTCACTTCAGGCAAGACCTTCTCTATCAGCTTGGACGAAGTCGACACGCTCGATGAGCTGGGCAAGGGCAACTACGGAACAGTCTACAAAGTTCGGCATTCAAGACCCAAGTTCCGCCGTGCAGGCCAAGGCCTCGCCGGTAACAAGGCTATTCGCCCAACCGACCGGAACTCAGAGGACGAGGTCAACTCACCTAACTCTCCGACTTCGGCAGGAGGCAACAAGGATGGTACCAGCGGCATCATTATGGCGATGAAGGAGATGCGGCTCGAATTAGACGATGCCAAGTTTCAATCAATCATCATGGAGCTGGATATCTTACATCGCTGCATCAGTCCCTACATCATCGATTTCTATGGCGCTTTCTTCCAAGAAGGCGCAGTATATATTTGCATCGAGTTCATGGACGGAGGTAGCATGGACAAAATCTATGGCGACGGTGTTCCGGAATCCATCCTGCGGAAGATGACGCTTGCGACGACGCTGGGCTTGAAGAGCCTAAAGGAGGAGCATAATATCATCCACCGAGATGTCAAGCCCACGAACATCCTGGTGAATACCAAAGGCCAGTTCAAGATCTGCGATTTCGGCGTGAGTGGGAACCTAGTGGCGAGTATTGCCAAGACGAACATTGGCTGTCAGTCGTACATGGCTCCCGAGCGAATAAGCAGTGGCGGGATGGCGCAGGCTGGTGCTGGAGCCGGGACTTACAGTGTGCAGAGTGATATTTGGAGTTTGGGATTGACGATCATTGAGTGTGCATTGGGCCGGTATCCGTACCCGCCGGAAACATACGACAACATCTTCTCGCAACTATCCGTAAGTAATTCCACGGTGCACACGTGAACGAGCAGCACGGCTGATATGATCTGTAACAGGCAATCGTAGACGGCGAACCTCCCGATCTCCCCTCACAGAAGTTCTCCGAAGCCGCCCGTAACTTCGTAGCGGGCTGTCTCAACAAAATACCGAAACTTCGGCCTACCTACCCAATGCTGTTGCAGCACGCTTGGCTGGCTCCAATGATCAAGCCCGAAACGATCATGGAGGAAGATGAAGAGGCTGCTGAGGCCGAAGCGGCGAATGGCTCGGCAAACTTTGGTGTCGAGGAGACGACCAATGGCAACAGTACTTCTGAGGGAGTGGTGGACCGAGAGGTCGCCGATTGGGTTATTGACGCGCTGGAGAAGAGGAAGAAGGGTACTCTGGGAAAGAGCGCGAAGCCGGCGCTGCATGCGGCGCCTTTGGATGCTACGGTGGGGAATGGGTCGGGTGTACAGCCGGTGGCGGTATGATGTAACCACATGTTAGCCTGGCCTTGAGGGGAGTTGCCAGGACTGGTGGATTTCCAGCGACTTGGACGTGAATGTCACTCGGAAGAGCGGAACATGTCCATACATAAGCGTTTCGAGCTACACGAGGCTTAGAAACGAGTATAATGATGGTATGATAGTGTATATACGCTGTGGGCGTTGACGTTGCGGCCGTGTGGCACGCTGCAGAGCTGAAGGATATGTATCTCGGTGTTAGCAAGGTCAACGCCCAGTTTCAGTGCTACTGCGAGCCCTGCATTCTACCTGCCGGAGGATTCTGATGCTGTCGTTAACTTCTGGCAAGTGCTTCGCTTGGCGCCGGGGGTGGCCAATCAGAGCGCGTAGACGGCGCGTCAGGCGTTCCTGCCCGATCCGTTTCACCTCTCGCCTCGTAGACCGCACTCTTCACCACTCGTCTGCCCTGACTTTGTTGCACTCTCTACTCCAACCCATCGCGTGACACACCGACGGACAGATGCTTGATCATGTAGTATGGGTAATGCCTTGCAGTAAGTGACGCCGGTAGGTGAGCTTCGCGCTCCAGGTTTGGCACCCGCGTAATGCGTCTCTTTGCATCTGTCCGTTCACTCTCTTCTGTAAGACGTGCCATGTGCTACTTATGTACTGAACTGTGGCGGTTCGGTACTCCTTCACTGATGTTATAGGCCGGCGATCCGAGAAGCAACCGCTTCAGCAGCATTCCTTGAGCCGCAGCATAGCAACCATCAAACACTGCATACGTCACGGTATTGCCCTGCAAGACAAGCGCCACGTGACTGCCTACGGCCTACACTATGCGATAGAGACGATCCGTCTTTGTTCAGGACTCATTCACTACCTTCTTTCAAGGCCACAATACTATTCTTTCCAGAAGTGCGACATACATATCTCAGCGCTGGACGCGTGGGCCCACAATCATTCAGAATCGTTAAGACTGTCGGCACCTGCATCGTTCACTGCTACCCGCATACCTCGTGAAACCATCCCTTTCCAGCGCCCACCCGCGTCGCGCAAGACCATTGTTGGGAAGCCGATACAGCCGGCGTCTGAGAAGGCAAGTGCAGCGCTGGCCGCCATGCATAGCCGAGCTTTGTTCCATTCTCGCCACTTTGTCAGCCGGTCTGAGCATGCGAACGACGACCTAACACCGGAGGTGCATATCATGGCACCAAGGGTCGCGCAACCGGAACCGTACCCTCTACCAGAGCCACTGCCGGGCCAGGGACCGGTTGGAGGGTTTGGCGAGCTCCTCAACTACACCACCGCGGCCGAACCGTACAGCCATGGACTCGTCGGCGTCAATCAGGACGACAATTACCTCTTTATCAACATATTGCTCGCTTCGTTTCTTGGACTGTTAGCAGTGACGCTGGGATACCGGTGGGCACAGATGGCCAATGCCCATCTCCGACATCTCATGACAATGGGAAGATGGGAGGACCAGAGGTATTGGATGTACAATCGTTCGCACTTCTGGCCCAGGATCAAGCGCAGCCTACTGTACGCGCCACTGGGGAAGGTACGGCACAACAAGGAGATACAGCTGTCGAAAGCGATCAGTATTGGAACACTACCATCACGATTCCACATGCTTTTGCTAGTGCTATACTTCGCCAGCAACTTCTCATACTGTCTAGCGCTGGACTGGAGGAACGAGAACAGCTACTCGGTGGTAGCGGAGCTTCGAGGCCGGACAGGCGCGCTGGCCGCTTTCAACATCATACCCACCATTCTGTTTGCGCTGCGCAATAACCCGCTCATACCGATCACGCGGGTCTCCTACGACACCTTCAACCTCCTCCATAGATGGTGCGCACGGATGTTTGTCTTTCTGGCCGCCATACACACGATTTGCTGGGCTGTGAACAGCATCAGCGCTGGAGGAATGTACCAAATCCACATCGACCTTACCACCAGCTTTAGCTACAAATGGGGCATGGTGGCGACATGTCTTTTCGGTACCATCTTCCTGACAGCTTTCAGTCCGCTCAGACACGCCTTCTACGAGGTCTTCCTCAACTCGCATAGGCTGCTTGTGCTCCTCGCGCTTATCGGCGTGTACCTGCACTTGGACTACGCCAACCTCCCGCAGCTGCCGTACATCCAGCTCGCATTCGCCTTCTGGGCAGCGGAGTGGGCGTGGCGTGTGCTGAGAGTGCTTTACCACAACGTTAGCCGACAGCACGGTATGACTAGAGTGAACGTCGAAGCGCTGCCCTCAGAAGCCTGCCGCGTGACTTTCAACCTAGCAAGACCATGGCGGTGGCAGCCCGGATGCCACGTTCACGCCTACCTACCCACCTTTGCGCTATGGTCCAGCCACCCCTTCTCAATAGCATGGGCGGAGAGCGGACCACGCAATCCGTCCTTGGACGTGGAGATGGAGAAGATCGTCTCCACAGCTCCAAGCGTAGCGAACAATGCCAGTGACCACAGCGTCATGACCAAGCAGTCAGCGTACTCGAAGCGGAGTACCATCGCCGCGGTCGTCGAGATCACGCACCGGAAGGAGGGCGCTAACATCGCTCTCCCACGGGATGCGGCCGTGACGACTGTAAGCCTCATCATGAGGGCACGGACGGGGATGACAAGAACGCTGTATAACGCCGCTTGTGCTGCTCCGAACGGCACGATCACGACTTGGGGCGCGATAGAAGGACCGTACGGCGGTCACGAGTCGATGGCGTCGTATGGCACTGTAGTGCTCTTCGCAGGGGGCGTGGGAATAACGCATTGCGTCGGGTACGTGCATCACTTGATGCTGCAGTACCAGGCCGGCACGGCCAGCACGCAACGCATCCTCCTCGTCTGGTCCGTGCCCAACACGGAAGCGCTGGAGTGGGTGCGGGTGTGGATGGACCAGATCTTGCGGATGGAGGGGAGGAGAGACATTCTCCGGATTCAGCTCTTTGTCACCAAGCCCAGACATAGAGGCGAAGTCATCAGCAACACGGGGAGCGTGCAGATGTTTCCTGGACGGTGCAATCCGCAGACGATCATTGAGAAGGAGATGCAGGAACGGATCGGCGCAATGGGTGTGCAAGTATGCGGGCCTGGGGCTTTTGCTGATAGCGTTCGCGCGGCTGTGCGAGCAGTCGTGGAGCAAGGGGCGGTGGACTTCATCGAGGAGGCATTCACGTACTAAGAGAAGCGTGGCTTATGGGCTAGCACGGTCTCAGCTTGTACAGATAGAGCTCGCTATGTTGGCTTGAGCGAAAACGCAATCCCACGTTGACACACTGGTCCACCTTAACTGCAAATGTACCGCAAAGACTTCTCCCGGCGCTCGTTTGCAAGACACTGGCCCGTGACCAGGAGGAGTCTCCGGTATGAGCTTCGTAGCTTCCTTCCCAAAAGCACTTGTGACGACATATACTTCCTCTTTCGAGCTCAGCTCACCAAATGCTTAGACATTACTTCAAGACTCCAACGGAGCCACTAAGGCTTGTTCTATACTATCCTCCCACTCATAAGTCTCGCGTTTGCAAGCATCGTGGAAACTCATCGGTCGACCGGCAAGGGTGACAAACACTGCCACAGCGGTGTCTCTGGCAAGGTCGTGGAATGTTTTAAGCTGTTCTGCACGCACACCCATGCCTTGCTAGTAGCCCTTACTCCTGATGTGAGTCCAAAGCAGTGAGCCTTGAGCACGAAGCTTGAAAGGTAGGAAAAGTTCTTTCAGATTTGTGAGCGGCCTCTCAAGAAGTCCGGCAACGGCAAGGCCCATATTGTTGGGTTCTTGGAGAATGATACACCGGATCGCGCCGGGTTGTGTGGGTGCGAGCAGTCTGAGAAACCGACGAAGAACATGGGTAGAGTCCACGATGAAGGTGCTGCTGTGCAGTGGGAGAAGGGCAGCGTCTTGGTGGATCTGCTGGCAAGTCTTTTAAAGCCGCAGTTCGAGCTGCTCGATGCGCATGCTCGATGGATAAGCGTAGTCGGGCATGTAACAGTGGCCATGTGCTGGCTTCCGGTGCAGCTACAGTTGTGTCGACGCGCTTGTGGGATGCGATCACGGCGCCTGTTTCGGAGTGCTCGTCTCCTCCATATCCAACTCCTGCCTTTCGCTACGAGTTGGTCATGCTGCATAGCCAGTAATCGTCACGCAAAGTGTAGCGCTTCCAAGTTGCGGTTCGAAGTTACTGACCCTCAGCACAGGGCCTGCCATGGCCGAGGGGTTGTTCGGAGGGATATTATCAATTGGCAGCGCCATTGCCAGACGAGACGGATTGTGATCTTTCGTGCGGTTCTTATTGAGCTTTTTACACCAGACGAGACGGCCAAACGAACCGAAAGAACAAGGAGGAAATCAGACAAGACAAGATCGAAAATAGATTCGAACTTATTACCGCTTCCGCAATCACAGGTAACTGCGAAGCTAAATATTCTCCCCTTGCGCTGTTGCAACTAATTTGTGAAGTTAGGAAAGGATCCTCTGCCGGACGCCCTTGCGCCAACAACGCCTCGTGCTACATCATACATCTGCAACCGCCAAACCATGACTTCATGAGCTGCTGCGCTGATACACACCCACAACCATAGCATGGTCTCTCTCAAATGGCTCTAGCGTCAACTGCTCTTTCGGCTTGATCCTCTCCTCGCGTAGCTTGACCACTTCTCTTGCAAACACAGCTTCGGGGGCGGCAGTCGAGTCAATGCAGTTTGCCTTGATCGACACAACCACGCCACCACCGACTTTGAGAAACTGATGCGCATTAAGCCCCACAATGCGCGCCTGATCCGGCTGTGCGACGTCAGCGAAGATGCAGTCGACCATGCTGACGAGCATGCGGTACTTGAGCGGGTGCCGTGCGTCTTCGATGATGGGTATGACGTTGGTGCGATGCGTAGCCATGTTGATGAGGTCTCGTCCAGAGCGGTGCGAGAACTCCACGGCAAAGACAGTACCTGTAGGTCCGACAATGTCCGCAACATGCGATACCGAGGTTCCAGACGCAGCACCTAGGTATAGGACTTTGCTGCCGGGTTTCATGTGAATGTCTTCAAGACCACCGAGGATGCCGGCTGCGAGCTTGGAGCGGAAGGGATTCCAGACACGGTACTCGGTCTTGGTGGCGACCGGTGCGGTATCGCCGTTGACTGCACCGTCGCCAGAGACTGCTGTTGGTGTCTCGACGCTGATGCGCTTCTCGCCATAGACTGCTTCACCTGGAGTGAGGTTCTTCGTTACCAGAAGATCTTCCTTGCCGCGCGCTACGAAAACGCCTGGATGTCTGTGGGGTTCCTGATGGAGCGGTCAATTAATGCTCTTGCCAATTCTGTCGCTAATGTCACAACGTACAATGACCACTCTCTGGCCGCCCTTTGCGCCCATACCACCTCTGCCGCGTCCGCCACGTGCGCCGCCTCTGCTGGAGCCACGCGGAGCTCCTCGGCCACCCCTAGGACCTCCTCGTCCTCTGTCACCGAAACCCCCTGTTTGCTGTTAGCACCAACCAAGAGCGGCATAATGCGACTGCTCGTGTGCCTACCTCTTCCACCTCCACCTCCGCGTCCGCCGCCTCTGCCACCCCTCATGCCACCTCTACCGCCTCTGTCTCCGCCACGGCCTCCTCTCGGTGTGAAGGCCATCCTGCTTCACTTTCGCAGGGTTATAGGCTGTCGTGTTGTGATCGCATGCAAGCCTCTCCGACTACTGAGTGTTTGGAAATTTTGGGCTTCTGAGCTTGTTGCAGGGATTCGGCGGGGACAGCCGAACGCTGCCGCACTTGCCAAGAGTCACTTATTCCGCTCCACACAACTGCAGGCGTTGGAAAAGATTGAGCGAGAGTTGTAGCATTGCGCGCATCGACAGTCAACAACCGGCAATATGGTATGTGTAGATGCGTGATCGAGTGGTGTACCTACCAGCTACACCATGTCGAACTGTCACTGACTGTTCATCCTTGCAGGTTCGCTACGCAGCAACACACATCGAGCCCGCCAAATCCGCCCGCGCTCGCGGCTCCTACCTCCGTGTCTCTTTCAAGAATACCCGCGAGACTGCGCAAGCCATCAATGGCTGGAAATACACGCGCGCCGTGCAATACCTCGAGAATGTCAAGAACCATGCGGAAGCGATCCCGATGAGGAGATATGCTGGGAGCACTGGCCGTACTGCGCAAGGTACGTAGCCCATCAAGGCATGCCACGTGCGAGGATGCATACAGTTTGATACTGATACGGTGGTAAAGGCAAGCAGTTCGGCGTCAGCAAGGCACGTTGGCCGGTCAAGTCTGCCGAGTTCCTCCTTTCGCTGCTCAAGAACGCGGAGGCGAACGCCGATACCAAGGGTCTCGACACGAGCAACCTGATTGTCAAGCATATCCAAGTCAACCAGGCACCGAAGCAGCGGAGACGGACGTACCGTGCGCACGGTCGCATCAATCCATACAGTAAGCGCTATGCCGCAGATCAACTGCCACTATGCTCGTACTGATCACATTGCTAGTGTCTAACCCATGTCACATTGAGATGATCCTGACTGAGGGTGAGGAGGTTGTGCAGAAGGCGCCGCAGGTTGTCCACCGCGAGCAAGGCCAGCATCTCTCGTCGCGCCAGCGCGGCAAAAGAATGAGGCAGATTACTCAGAGCGGAGAGGCATAGATGTGGTCATGTAAAGACTACCGAAGCATCACCGGCGCACAATCTGGGCGCCAGGTGTTAACGAGCGACTGGCAATGAGTTCGAGTGCGCGATTCTTGGGGAGTGCATCATTGCTGACTGCTCCGTCACTTCTATGTAACTACAGTACTCAATGCAGCCTCCCACGCTCTACAATCCTCCATTTGCGCTGCGAATGCTGTCGCACTATGCTATAACTTGCCCTTTCCCGTGCCGTTTGCTTCGCTTGCAGCAGCTAACTGCACACCAGCATTCGCGGAGTCGTTGTAGGCATTCGGATCGCGCAGGAACGATTCGTCGCCGGAGAAGTGCCTGCAATGTCGCGACTGTAAGCAAGTGCGCTAGAATGCACGATTCGATGTCTTGCTAATATCTCATCGTGGTGGGGCATGCCAGCGACATGGGCATATTGGGTGCGGTGGCATTAGGAGCCTGCTGCTGCTGCGCAATAGTCTCGAGTTCAATCTTGAAGGTCCTAATGCGGTGAGAACCTCGTAAGTGCGTCCTAACGCGACCGTTTCGGAAAGTGAGGCAGAAAAGACAGGTTAGAGGAGGGAAAAGGTAGCTTACCAGCCGCGCTCTTCGCCACCCTGGAGAAACGAGCAGTCGCCATTGATTTCGCAGCTCCAACCGCCCGCGACTCCCTTTCCTTCCCGCCACGCTACATCGGGTACCGAATCCGCTTGCTCTGGCTCCCACGGAGCCACATGAGGGGCCACCTGCGCTTCGGTCTGCCTACGCGTGAACTTACTGAAAGAGCACGTGAAGCATTTGAAGTCCTCCTCGCTCTCTTCTTTGGGCATACGTCCAGTCAGCGCTCGCCCAATCGCGATCATAGCCGCTGCATGCGTGCAAATCAGCAGCGCTTTCGGTCCATTAGGGTCGGTGTCCATGCGTTTAACGAGATGATGAAGGCAGTACGCTATACGGTCGTGAAGTTGGGGTATGCTTTCGCCTTTTGTCGAAGGCACGATGACGGGGTCCTTCTCGGCATATAGATGCGGGAAATGCGTGTTCAGAACCTCGATAGTAGCGGGAGAAGGATGATCGAAGCGCGCAAGTCCGTAAAACTCACCCAGGCCAGGCTCAATATGCACCCGGACTTTGTCCGTGCCTTTGCGTTGGGCAAGGGCATCGGTGAAAGGGGCCAGAGTCTGGATGCAACGGTAGAAAGGGCTGCTGTAGACAAGGTCCACGGGAGGCTCGACTTGGAGGAGGTGGTCGGCTAGTTGTTGAGCTTGCAAAACACCGTAAGATGCCAGTGCTGGATCTGAAGGTATTCCGGTGGGCGTCCGAACATTGGAGCTGTATTCGCCTGTCTGCGGGTCGACTACCCAGTTGGAGCGGTACTGCGGAAAGTGAGCATGTCAGAAAGATATTTCTTAGCCATTCCCGTCATTGCGTGTTGGGACGCAGACGGCGGCTGCGTACGCTTGACCATCTCAAGAACAACTGAGCCCATGAAATAGCGAAAGCCCTCGCGCCGGACTCCCTTCAATGTCGCGATAGCGTTTGAATGAGGCCCACAAGCGACGAACAACGAGAAGCAATAAGTGGAATCAAAGACCAGCCCTTAACTCCGACAAGCGGTAGGATCTGGACCGCGCACCATAAGAAGCAAGAGATGCACTGACTAAAGCCCTCGATCTATACTCTGTGTCGCAGACCCCATCTCAAAGAGGACGAAACGAAGGGAGAACAGTGATACTTACGCCATGTCTGACTACGTAGATAACTTCGAGCATGTCGTCTGTAGTTGCTTTGGTGTCCAATGCTCGAGCAAATTCGCGTTGAGCTGCGAAATTTATGTCCAAGGATCACCTCGGTTGGCCGGAGGAGGTCGGTAGCGAGGCAGATTCTTGTGCCGGTTGTAGTAGCAATCTCAAAGCATATAGCTGCAGAATCCGGCGGTTCATTCAAGTCATACGGCCAAACCTCTAGTGGCTGGAACCTGCGAAGCCTATCTTATTTGACATCAAGTAGTATACTTACCCTACAATATAGTATGTTATATTTATAAGTAGCTAGTTCCCTTCTATAATGATCTAGATAATTTTAAGGACATTGTTTAGAAGTAACTGCAATAATAATAATAGTAATAATAATAATAATGATGATAATAATCGTTATTGTTATAATGACAAAAGCATAACAGAGTATCTAGAGTATAAAGTGATATAAAATATATATAGTACAGAGTTCTGGAGTACAAAACAGATATAGGAACGAAGCAAAAGAGTCTATGAAATAAAAAGCAATAAATTATGCAGAATATATTCGGTAAAGGCGCCGACGGCGCAGCAGATTAGTTTATGGCCGGATGCGGTCGACACGCCATGGGGCTCCGCGGGATGCTATAAGACCTCGCGGCACCTCGTAGCGACAGTCCATTTTGCTCCTAGACGCTACGCCTATACCGATACTGTGCCTGTGGTATGATCGATCACCCGCAGCATCTACCACTTGACCGCGATGTGCTCCGTCCTGAGTCTCGGGCTGTGAGTTCAAAGGGCCGGAAGGGGATTAAGCAGGATACAGTCAAAGGCTAGGCCAGCTGCACCACCACAAGGTGTGGTTGGATTGATGAGCAATGCTATGGTACTATTGAAAGACTTCGAACATCAATCCTTGGTGGCCCCTTTCTGCCTTCGCCGTCTAACGCTGGGTTCGGCGCCGGGCAAACATTGGCGCGCCGTGGGCATGTTGTACACATCTTCTCGTGCCTGAATGCATGAGTCTGCGACACCTCGATGCCCGTTGCGGGTCCAAACCTAACTTCGAATGCGCGAACACCACTTCCTCGCCGACGCGCACAACATGAACCTCGCAGGTTACGCCTTCGCTGACGATGAGATGTATAGGCGAAGAAAATCATTGAGTAACATACCTCAAGTGTACTGCACGTATCCGGCCACAGGAACCTGAAACGATTCGCCGTTGCTCAAGCAAACGGTCTGCCGTCTTTTTCAAAGCTTGGCATCCGTTTTGACGGGCCAGGGCAAACGACTTGCCGCATCGATGTCGCGAGTCTGTAGTTGACATGTTTGTGCAAAGTCCGCAAACTCCCTCTTTCACTTTCGCGATCAGCCTCCCTCCGTTATCCTATGGGGTTATGAGATGCAATGGCAGGCACTGCAACATCCCCATCCGCCAAAACGCGCCCCCTCTCCAGCTTCCCAATAACCCACTCGTGCACGCCGCGATGCATAATATTCGCCTTGCTCATTACCACGACACCCAACCGTAGGTCCACTCACTTGCTCTTCACATTGGCACCGACACCAACCATGTAGATGCATATTGACTGGATTCTAGCGTAGAATCGAGCTACAGGAGCGTTGACTTACTGATGTAAGCTAGCTTGGACCGAAAAGTCAGCCTCTTGGATTCGCACTTGAGAATTTTCAGATGTCTTACAATGCTACATGTGCATACGTGCTTTCTGCCGAGCTAGTCTCATCGCTAAGCTGGTATGTTATTCTCCATTACTGCCCTTCCATCTTCTGCTTCTCGGCTTTTGCTGCATCTGCTGACTCCTTCCAAGTTCCCGCGTAGTGGTGTGTAACAAGCACGGGACCTCGATCTGTTGGAAATCCGGCTTGCATGGCTGCGAAGGCGTTGTTGGGCATGATCAGCACATCGCCAACGAGACGCGGCTCCTTGGTACTGGAAATCATACGATCGTCGACGAGTCGCTTCAGGTCTTCACTGAGTGACTCCAGGATACCGATGGTCATCGTCTTCGGGCCAGCGATGTTCACTACATCTTTAAACATCCAGAGGTTTAATTGTTCAAGGTCAACATTGTGTTTTTTCGCTGTGTCGTATATTATCGCAACGGCATTGTCGATGACACGACTGAGATGTTTGTTTCCAGGCTTCGAGGCAATGACCCAATTCGTAAATTGAGATGCCACTTCGACACCTTCGCCCCGGAATTCGAAGTCAAACTCGAGTCCGATGATCAGGCTGGTTGATCCGACGAGTTCTTGCGGCACCCATGTTGATATGGGCTGCTCGCAAGAGACGTCGATGTCGGCATAGATGCCGCCCTTTGCGACAAGCACTAGGTAGCGGAATAGGTCGGCTTTGACAATTGGGATTGGGAGCCGCAGGAAAAGGTCCACAATGTCGGGCCTGTGCGAATAATGTTCACGCACGAAGCTGTCTCCTTGCTCGTCCGTCATCAATGTGAAGGAGAAGAAGGGGTGTTTTGCTCGCCATGAAGCTATGTCGTTTCCCTCCGCCGTCGTGATAGGCCGCGGCCCGGTGGTTTGCCATATGTGCGGCGTGAAACCATCCACTTCGCCGGGTACTTTCAAGCTGCGAAAGGATTCTTGCTCCGTGAGGTTGGATATTTGAGGCACCAAGGATGCACAGTGGTCGTCACCAAACAGTCCGCTTATATGGCGCACAGATTGTATAGGTTGCAAATATTGCAGCAGGGTAAAAAAGCCCACAAGTCCAATGGCGATGCTGACTAGCACCGAGATCCTGAGCTTCGACATAAGCCTTTCCTGCTTCCGCAGTGAGGTCAAGATTGGATATCGGGTCTGGTTCGAAAATGATACGTACAGTGTCTAGCAGTGTGCGCAAAGAGGAACACAGCAGAATATCAGACAGCGGCCTGAAGGATGCGGAGGCGTTGCAAGATCGTGGCTCGCTGAAAAGATATTGCCGTCACTCCTTTTACCTCAAGCAAATGCTGCGCCTAGTCCCGCCGAGTCTGTCGTGTAGTGCTACGAATCCATGTGCTCATTGCCAGCGTCCTCGGTCTGCGATATGCTCGGGAGCGCGAACAGCTGGCAAGGAATAAGTAGGGTAGCGTGTTGCTATATGCGCACGCTGACAGGTATGAAGAGGCATCTTAGAATTCGATTTTGACCGCTGGAGCCGTGTCGTAAGGCTGCGGACTCTATTCTCAGCGGCAGGTGGCGGCAGGAAGCGCCGCCGACCTGCAAATGCTCAGCCTTCAATCACATGTAGCGGCGATACTTTGGCCCCAACGTCTACGCGCTGCTAGCGGAAGGGGTGGGATGTAGCCCGTGGCAGTTCGATGCACACTGTGCCGTACTGGGTTAGTGTGGCTTGCCTAGCTCACTGGTTACCTGCTTCCCGTCGAGCGCCTCTGAAACGAGGGCCGCTCAGACGCTAGTAATAGCTTGATGAGACGTGAGTGGTCCGCTGCACAAACACGGCAGGCGGTTGATGGCAGATGAGGTCGAGCAGGATCACTGCCATATACCAACGTAAAGCGATGGAGAGAGGGAGAGCGCCTGGTCGAGCAAACAATTGTATGCACGCGGTCCTGTATTGGGCGGGTGCCGACTCGGCATAGCGTCTTTTCCCTGTGTATACCCCTACCCACCGCTGGAAGGCAGACTGATAGCACAGCGTCACTCTCCTAGCAGGCCTTCACCGGAAACTAAAGCTGATGCTCACTGGGTTGTTAACGCGACTTGGCAGCAGAACGAGGCGCGCACTGATCATATTGCTCCGACCATTTGTTCAGCCGTGCGGCGCTAATGTGTTCCATGAAAAGCACGATCCGTTCTGTGGAGACTCAAGTTCGAGCGCTCGCCGCGTGCCTCATCCTGGAAATCTCCACATAGGGGCTGGAATTCTGGAAGTTTGTATGTGAAACACACAGTGCATGTGTACGTTCTAAAGCACTAACAGAGCTGCTCGGGTGGAACTTCGTCTGGAAAAGATGCGACAATAGTCTTTGTATATCGAGTCCTCGTGCTGGGCAGGCCCTAGTCAAACCTTCAAGCACAAGTACGGCTGCGTCACTTCCCTTCGGACGTAGCCACGATTGATCGTACATCAAGATGGAGTCCGTGCTCATACTGCAATACAGGTCAAGTTGAGGTAGTTCAAGGTATGGAACACACTTTGTTTGTGGCTCGAACATATTGCAAACGTGGTTATCTGTACTCCAATGAACAAGCTAAATCACCTGCTAAGCTTCAAAGTGCATCTCCTGCTACTCTTCGCATTATTGTCCTGCCGGCAGCTCGTGCGTAGGGGGAACAGAAGACATCTCATGCGGTTGAAAATAGCTTTGCGGTTGGTGTTGGTAGTATTCCGGCGGTTGCTTTACCATTCCAGGGCTCTGAGGCCCAGAAGTACCGCCATAGTAGGGATGCTGAGGCATCGTTGTTGCCGTGTTCGCGTTGCTGCTCGTACGTCGTCCTTTTCGAGAGCGGAAGAGCCATACTGCGAGTCCAACGAGAGCGATTGCAACAACCGGACCTGCTACAGCACCTGCGATCCACGCCTTTGAGGCTGGAGAAGATAAAGGAGTTGGCGTGGCGCTGGACGATTGGGTTGAGGATGGAGAATCAACAGCTGTTGGCGTTAAACTGGACGCTGTTGACGCTGAGCTGGACGCTGTTGGCGTTGAGCTGGACGCTGTTGGCGTTGAGCTGGATGCTGTTGGCGTTGAGCTGGACGCTATGCTGCTTTTCACGGTGGAAGATACACTTGTCGAAGTAAGTGTACTCGTTAGAGTGGCAACAGATATCGCTGCGCATATTAGCACTGAAGGCCTGCAAGTGATGTGGTTAACCATACTCGTGGAGGATGTTACTATATTGCGATAGACGGTGGATGCCAGCCAGTAGTTGCCACAGACGATCTCGGTAAAAGGGACCTGGCCTGCTGCTGGGTATCGTTCGTAAATGGACATGGTACCGCAATAAGTGCTGTTGTTAAGTCAGTGTTTCAGTATCGGCACTGCTGCCGTTAATCGACTCACCAAACGGCTGAACTAACGCCAACCGCCGTATTTCCGTTGCAGGACGTCCACATCGTAGTGCATGTGGTCGCGCCATAACTGCAGCATTGAGCGAAGTTGGCTGTTGAGGTGAGACTCTGGGATGTAGGGCACCTGATCGCTTCCCCTACAAGTGATTCAGTGATGAGCTACGTGCACTGAATCTAACAGACTGTAACTCACATGAGGATGAGGAGTCGTAATAGTATCCCTGGAACTGCAGATCATTGATAGGGGGACCGGAGGTGACAGGTTGAACGACGGTCGTTGTACTTGTGCTTGTGCTCAGTTGAGCCATTTTGGACGGAATGTCAACTCGTTCGACCCAAGTGTGCTACGCAGGAATGCTGGAAAGACAATGTCACAGCTGGCTCTGTCCCCTACATACACAGCCAGGAGCATCTCCCCCACGGCGGCTTCTGAAGCGTCTGAGCACGGCTCTTAGACAACCTAGACTCACGCTGCCTGCTGATCATTAACAAACCCTAGTCAGTACAACGGCCAATCCGGCAACAATTCACCCGTCTGTAGCTAAAGATTGGTGTATGCACGGCCGTACGCCCTGTTGGGGGCCGCAAACCGTGCCTGATGTTAGTGGGTGTTAACCAAGCAGCGTCGCGCCACTCGCTTGCATACCCAATGATGGTACTGTATTTTGTGAGTGCTGAAGCTGCATTTGACATTTACTTTCTCGCGAAAGGCGGAGGTTTACACCCTTTTTTGCGCGTTCTCGTCCTACTGCTAAAGCAACTCGAGCAAAGTCTGTTCGGCATTGCACGTATTCTCTCTCGAGTGGTCGTTCGTGCATGATGGAAGTATCCAATGTCAACGCGAGAAGAGAGCGTAAGCCCAAGCGGTCGTTGAACGCGGCTGAGCAGCGTGTTGGAGGCGCGAATGCTGTCCAACTACGACCTGACCTGGTCTGCAGGATCCACACGCCGCGACTAGCTCACTACACGTGCTGGAAGGGCACGGCAGTCGCAGATTAACCTTCCAATTTTGGTCTTGTGTTGCATGTCAAGATCGATAACGGCAAATTATCACAGACCGCCGTAGTGCAGGGAACGGGCGGTGCTCGGGTTGATGGCGTAGCCAGCATGGTTTTGATCAATCTCATCATTGAGAAAAGGATTAATCGAGGCAGCCGGTGTCGTTCTTCCGCGTGCACGATGCGCACGCGCACGAACGCACATCTTATCTCAACAGTGTCGACACTACCAGACATGGACCCCTCCAGCTGGGCGCCTAAAAGACTAATATGCAAGATGGGCCACCAATTCCTCTTGCATCCGCGAGCCTTCCTTGACGGCATGTCAGGCTTTCAGCTCATAAAAGGCAATTCCGAGGAATGATTATTGGTCGAAAGGCTCACCGGTCTCATTGTCGTCCTATCTCTGTCTGTGGGGCCGCCGAGACGATCAACCCTGCGCCTTCGATCCTGGTCCGTTGCTACAGCACTCGGCCTTTCGCAGAGTACACGGCATCTGTATCACTACTCGGTCAGCCAGATACCGCCTTACTACAAGTCACAGCCACGTGATACGACGGGCATCGTTGCGTCTTCGTGAGCTCTTCCTGTCCCCGCATGACCTTGGCGATTGTCCAATCGTGATTGTCGCAGAACATCATAAGCGTCTGCTTGTGTCAATATTCTCTCTCCGGAAAGCGGTGCGGACCGCAAGGCAAGAAGGATCGCACAAGGGGAAAAGCAAAATACGCCATGAGCTCGACACGGTTTCCAAAGTGCGGGGCATATCTCCGATCACAAGCTACACCTATCACAGGGGTGTGCAAAAGTAGTGAATAGCGCCGGCCGCTTTACCCTGCCCTTACCACACATATCTCTCTTGATGTATGATTCTTGTCGAACTATGGATTTGAAACTAAATGGTTTTAAAATTCGAGATTATATGTAAATTCAAGTTATATACTATGCTGTTTAATAACCGACATTAACAGGACTTCATATAGATCCATATTTGAGATATAAACTTTAGACAGCCGGAAATACTAGGCTTACTAAACCGGGAAAAGGGCCCTCTAAAAATTGTACGCTATCTACTACTTTATACACTTTTATACTAAGTTTCTATGATACTAGTTACTTCATATATAGTTATAGACATCCTATCTAGTAATGTATACTACTAAATAAAGATTATAAGCCTGCTTAGCGCCAGAATTAGATAGCAATGGAACATAGTCAATGACTTCGTCGACTGACCAGAGAAGCGCCGGAATACTCTGCCGACAAATCGCAAGCAACCATTTTGAGTGCTGAACACTTAGTAACGTTGTTCGACGTACATCGCTACACCACAGCTATAGCATTCGCCTGACGTACTTCTCAGGTCAGAGCAGAGGCATCCGCGGTCACATAACAACTATATGCGGGCAAGCTAGTCAGGGCGCAACGGCTTGAGACGATGTTGCAAGGTGGAACGAACTGGTGCTAGTGCCGTCTAACAAGTCATGTCATGGCCGTATGGTCGGCCCTGCTTACACCTGAGCGCCACGCTATGTTGATCCATGCGCGTGCAACAACACGCCGCGGCGTGCCACGCTGCCATCTTATCTTCCGGCGTAGGGCAATTGCGATGAGAAGCACTAATAGAAGAAGCCGATGATCTTCCCGGCTGCGTGCTTCCGCCTAGCCTCCTCGTGGTCCATGATGCCAGCAGAGGTGGTGAGGACGATGTAGCCGAACTGACGTGAAGGCAGGAGCTTGACAACCCATTTCTCGAGATCCCGTAACTGGACGTTGTAGCGCGGCGAGATGACGCCTGTCTTGTTGACACTGCCGGAGACTATCAGTCTATCGTTCAGGGGCGCAAAAAGCTTATTGTCACTCACCGGCCGTTCAGCTGGACGACGATCTTTCCGTTGCGGTGATCGTCAACTTCTTCGAACTCGCCAATGTAGCCTGCGTGAAGTATCTGTCAGAATGTTGCAATTGATTAAACGTGCATTCTTCAGCCAAGCAAGCGAATGCGCATCCGAAGACGTGTAAGATCCTCGCCGAGGAGTTCGATCTGCCGAGCACTTAAAGGGCGTTGGTCGTGGGAGCATTATAGAGACCATTGCCTAGTTATCAACCCGGGTGTGCTGCGCTTCCTACTCCGCCTCTTGCGTCTTGGGGCTGCGCATTGCCGAGCTGTACCAGTCGAATGCCGGAATGAGACGTACCGTGCCTCTGCATAACCTGCAGGAACTTGACGATCACCTTCGAGCTGGGCCTAATCATGCACTGGCGTTTGCCGCGCTTCTCGGCGTTGTTGATGGCATTCAGGGCATCATTGAGGACGGATGTCTTGACCATGTTGGCGGTTGTGTTGAGATTCTCAAGGCGCAGAGGTTGCGGCAAGAGGTATCTGTTGGTCAATTGCGGTCAGCCTCTAGAAGCCATCAAGAGCGCAAAGGGTGCCCTTCGGTGCCGTCGAAAGGGTTCTTTGGCTCATTGTCGTCGTAGGCACAGCGGTGTCACTGCTCCGCGGACGAGCAATGAGCGCTGACCGATGGCTACCAGAAGAGCATCTGTGGTGGAATTGGCGACATACCTCTGTATGGGCGGCGAGCTTGAAATAAGTTGACGGGTAGCTGTCGGTTGCAAAGCAGACAGTGTGGTGCTGGATTTGCTGGCGGAATTTGTGTGGGCACGGATCATTCTTGGCATGGCGCTGGATGGTCGGAGAGGGTCCACTGGCAGCAAAAAGTTGCCCCGCTAAATCTTCACCAGCGCCTCGACAATTGTGTCCGCCTTCGTGCAACGATATCAGAACCTTCACGACGCTCATAGATCACTTGCAATCCCGCCTAGTCTCTTGCTTCCTCTCCAGTCGCCAACATGATCATCTACAAGGTACGTGGCTCTGTCACAGACAGGCTCTACGGCGCCGGCACTGCTTCAACGCAACCCCATCTCACGGACTTGCGAACGCTCATTATCATTCGTCTTGTAGGATGTCATCACCGACGACGAGATCATCTCGGATGTCTACGACCTTAAAGATCTCGGAGTCGTATACGAAGCGGACTGCAAAAAGATCACTCTCGGCACCGACAACATCGACATTGGCGCCAACCCGTCCGCAGAGGAGGCCGAGGAGGGCGCAGAAGACAAGGCCCAGACCGTGATCGACGTAGTCCATTCCTTCCGCTTAAACGAGACGAGCTTCGACAAGAAGGCGTATCTAGGGCATCTGAAGGATTACATGAAGAAGGTCAAGGCGGCGATGAAGGAGAGGGGCGAGAGCGACGCGGCAATCCAAGAATTCGAGAAGGGTGCGCAGGCGAAGGCAAAGGACATTGTGGGTAAATTCAAGGATTACGAGTTCCTGATCGGCGAGTCGATGGACCCCGATGGAATGTGAGTCGACTGTGGATCTGCGCACACGCCATCAAGCTGACATTGACTGTAGGGTCGTACTGCTCAACTATCGCGAGGATGGCATTACACCATTCGTGACGATCTGGAAGCACGGCCTAAAAGAAATGAAGGTTTAGGTATGCCGCTTCAGAGCCGATTGTACTCTGCTATCCGCGACCGAAGCATCGATAGCCGGGTGCTATTGAATCGAACAAGCGTTACAGCCGAGCGCCAGCATCTGCGGTTGCCGTCGTCCCATGGTTGTGGCCGTCTTTTATACCCGTAAAGAGCGAGTCTTTGTGGTTGCTTAGCGTGGTCAAAAGCACTTTACGCATATCTCACTTCCACTTTCAGCTCACACGACCGCCCTTTGAGAGCCACTTTGGGTTTCACAACGTGAATTTGCGAAGCGGTGGTATCTCCGGGGCGCTGCCAGTATGACCTGTTCCAGAGAAGGGTTTTCGGCAAGGAGGCAAGGTCATTACCGCTAGCTGAAGGTGTGGCGGGTTTCTCAATGCAGTTTATCTGCTGCAATCGTATGCCATAGGTCTCACAGCACCATTTCTGCGGAAGCACTTTCTGCAAAGTGCTCAAGGTCACTGCCGTCCGCTAAGGATATCACCAACATTCCAACGCCATTAATTTCAGCAGTATAGCATGCTATAGGCCTCACAAAATGCTATGTCATAACTTTGGACCATCAAACCCTATGCCACTACTGAACCTCCACGTCCGTTGTAAGACACTCTTGTCGTCTTTCCGGCACGTGGAGGTCTCGCGACGTGCCTCCGTGAGCAGGAGTTCGACGCACGGACACTTATGCAGCACCAAATGGCTTCTTGCAAGATAAAAGTGTCGCTTGATTTCGCGGTCCCCCAAAAGAACTCTCAATTATTGAGAACACCATGGCTGCAGAACTGACCATACAAGCTCCGCCCCGCGAGCTCGACGCCATCGAATTGATTGACAACTCTCTTGTCTTTCCCGCCTTCACCGCACAGACGGCCTGGAGCCTGGGTGCTGCCCTTCGCACGAAGCTGCTGGCCTTTCCCAAGCCCACAGTGATAGATATCAGCTTGGCTCACGGCATGCACTGCCTCTTCCACGCAGTAACCCACTCAGGCACTACGCCGGACAATGACACGTGGGTGAGCCGGAAACGTAATACTGTACTTAGATGGGGCAACAGTACCTGGTATATGCATAATAAATATGCTGGAGATGAAGCTGCGTTCCAAGCCAAGTTCAGCCTAGGAAGTACCGCGGGTAGCTATGCTATACATGGCGGGGGATGGCCGGTGAGGGTGCGAGGGGTAGAGGGTATAGTGGCAGTCGTGGTGGTGTCAGGGCTGAAGCAGGATCAAGATCACGGCATCATTGTGCAGACCGTCAGCGAAATGCTCGAGGAGATGGGCGCGGAGATAGGTGAGAAGAAAAAGGAAGATTGAGCGGGCAGCATGCAACGAACGACCCGCTATGTGGCTCGGATTCCCCAACCATGGTGCATCATGTTGTTTGCGGATTGCACAGTGAAGCTTTTACTGGCGAATGTCGGGAGACGAGACAGCATCCGAGATAATGTAACCGCCCCCGTTACACACACGAGTACCAGACTCCAAAGACGGCTTCAGGCAGTGTGCAGCACGCCGAGCCATATTTGTCACTATACCGGAGCCATTGTAGGCATAAGGGGCACCGAGGAAGCGATAAGACAGTAAGCGTAGGACAATGCGCTGGAGAGAATTCGAACCTACGTCGACAATTACACACGTCCGCCGCCCACACCACGAGGGCGCTGTGTGCCACTCCTGTAGAGAGGGTGGCGAAGCTCGGAACAAGTTTTTGGCCGGTTGGAGCTTGCTGCGTGTGCGACCTGTGAAATCATGATACGTCACTATGGCCTGATATCATTAAACTCGCCGCTCAGGCCTAAGGGCATGTAGGCGTGCTTCATGTCTGAGCTATTACCACTTTACTTACTCTGCTGCAGCCACGCAGGCTTCTCGTCCCCTCGAGAGCGCTTGGCTCTCCCATCGTGTTCGAACATCCAGCCCGTTGGCGTAGATGGTAAAGCTCTGTCGAAATCCACGTCGGGTTCTCGTATTCCACCTATCAAGTTGGCACCTGCGTCCGCTAAAGACTCGGGTTTCATAGGTCTCTTGGGTGCGCGTAGCAATGGCTTGGTGGGCGAAGCGACCTGCTGTCGCGGAGTTGCGGGTGAAGTCTGTCCTTGCCTCCTTCTCGTCTGCATTCCAATAGTGTCTCCGTCTCTATCAGCATCGGGCACAGCTGTGTCACCCGTTGGTTGCTCGAATTCATGGAAGGGCACAGTATTGGTTGCTTCGGCCGGTGTTACAATGCCATCCGTGTCCCAGATACCGTCGAACAGGCTCGAGTGAGCATCGAAGCCGTCGTCTCCGTCATAGTCCGCTTCGAGCGTAGCTTCGAAACCCATCTCTTCTGCAGCTGTGGCAATTACCACGTGCTTGCTTGGCTTCATGGACAGGTAGATCTCGTTCATAATCGTACGGCTGCCATCTAAGCCACCGCACGCTCGTGCCTTGAGCTCGCATAGTTCGCGGGCAGCAATGCTGAATACAAAGGATCCAGCATTGCCCTTCTCCCAGTACAGTCTGGCGATCGAAGACGCTTTCAAAGCTAGCCACATTGTAAGGCTTTCGCCTTGCGGGCGAAGCCACTCGCGAACTGCTGGGTGTGTGGGATTACAGGGCTGCAGCGCGATGAATGCGGAGCGTAGCTCGCTCACGAAATCCTCCCAGTCTGCCCAGTCAGGGGTATCTTTGTTGCGTTGTCGAGCCGCACGCAATTGCCATCGTTCATAGAGCAGTTTTATGCTACTCTGGAGCGCTTCCAACTCTCCACGAATGACTTTATCTTCACACAACGCAACATCTGCGTACAGCGCACAAAGATCAGTGTCCAGAGGGCAGGGCAAGCCGCTCCCTAGGTCTTTCGCCGCGGTATGCATCGCTGTGTGGAGCTCCGGCTTCAACACCCCGAAGTAGACGTAGTCGACGATGTCGGAGAAATTTGGCTTTGCCTTGCTAGGTTCGTCGTGGGTTTTGGTCGTGAACCTCCAATGAGCGACGCCAGGTAGGCTACGCGGGATGATATCAACATAGCGCCCGCGCCATGCTTCGAACGCCTCTGAAGTGTACGAGTAGCCCTGCTTATCTGCATCAACGAGATGATCATGCAAGTCCGCAAGTAATGTCGCCCCTTCAGAACTGATGTCTCCTCCATACGTCAATTTCGCATGCAGGTTAGTGACAGTACCCAGCAGCGAGCTGTTCATGCGGGAGGCAATGCCGCGGTGTAGCCACCTGCGTACCGCATTCTCGTCCAGGGTTAGGGAGGCGTCGACTTCGCCGTTCGAAGATATGATTGCCAAAACTTCTCCAAGCTTGGTGTTGTCCTTCACAATGCCGAAATTCTTGATATCTGTAAGCTTCCAAGGCGCAGGCGCATTCTTGAAGGGCAACACAAGCCTGGGATCCCAACACACCCAAGCAATATCGCCATCGTAATCGCCTCCGGATAGTTTGCTCGCTAACGAGCGTGGCCCTTGCGTGGAGAACACAATCACATCAAAGATGCCCGCCAGCGCCGCGCATGAAACTGCACGTAGTTTTTGCATATCGGAATTCCTTATGCAGGGATTGCGGGCAACGAGAATATCCATACCAGCCAGGCTTGACCATACCCGGCCACTTGTTCCATCCTTGATCGGCTTTGAGAAGCTGAGATACGCTTCACCGGGCTTAAGTGTTTGCGTCCAATCCGGGATCATCATCACCGAAGTACAAGAGCCAAGGTGTAACTTCCATGCTTTTGCCTTCACATCGAAGACATGGCCGGCGAAATCAAGCACCTGCTTCCTACCCTGCCATCAGCATCTAGAGAGTTTTCTCAGGAAGACCAGTGCTCGGAACCAGGAACGACAAACCTTAGGTAGGGACACTGCGCCGGCTCAAACCAGCTTTCGAGTAGGAACAAGATACGCTCTATAGTATTAGCTGGGAAGCCAGCGGTTAGTACAATGCCACCAGCTGCCGCTCGGAATCCGACAACGTTTCTCTGGCATAAGACCCAGCGATGCAGTGTGGAGCGGCTCTTAAGCGCCTGCAAAAATCCGGAAGTCTCCAGCTTTACTTGCTCTCCTACTACGTCAAGTATCGCTTCTTTAGGAACACCACGGTCCCGAAGCACAGGCAAGAACCCAGGCGGGATGTGGGAGGAGCGGACAGATTTGCTGTAATCGACAACGTCAAGCGTTCTCCTAGCTGGGTCGTCAAGGTCGGAATCAGAATATTGAAGCTTACGTTGAGTCTGCGTCAGGCCGATACGCTCCTGTGCCATGTCGCCTTGCGTAATGTCTTGTCGGACAACGAGAAGACCTTTGGCACCTGCGATCCGCACTTGGAAGGCCGACGGGAGCCAAGTCAGATTCAGTATACTCTGGACTCGTCGTGCAGCTGCATACGTGATATAACCGCACCCGTCGGTCATCGCGACAGGTACCTGATCAGATCTCAGAAACGGGAGACTTGCATCGTTAAAGTCTGAAGCATCCGGGACGTCATCAGACATAATATCTGCGATGTGCTCGATCGCATCGGGCGCGAATACAATGGTAGCATCTGTACGCGACACCGGAAGATCGAGGCGTGAGTACGCTTTGGCTGCATACTGTTCAGCATTGTTACGAAGAGGCACGGCCCAACCAGCTGCCTCGACTACGTTTATACTGTCAAGACCAGCTCCCTCGACAGCGAAGAAGCTGATCTGGAAACTCTTGGAGTCGTCGTAGCTGGGGTCCACACTAGTAACTTTTCTCTTCTTGTTCAAGAATGCAGTCCATTTCTGGCCGAGCAGCATATGATCACTCTTTAGCATCTCCAGGATACGTGCAGTGATATTGCCTTTCTGACCTATGATGTACTTGGGTAGCTTGTCCAAGTCGGGAAAGTCGACCACCAGAATGCGGTGGCCTCCGAACTTACGTTGTAGCGGGTGTGACTTCTCCGGGCGCGCAGGATATAGTTCTAAGTCGAAGAGGCGACCTTCTTGACCTCTGGTCCACACTAATCGACCAGCTAAGGTATGCTGCAGATAATGCGTTTCCTTTCCGGCCTTGAAGCGTCTGTTGTACCGTCTTGCTAGACTGTGCAGAGCATTTATACAGGCCTTGCCTTTCAACTCAAACTCAAGCTGCTCTGCAGAAAGGCCACATGCGTACATTACACGGTAAGCTTCCGCTTTGACACACATAGGCTCAGTGTGTAGGCTTGGTGGGATGTCCGTGGCAGTAAGGCCGTCCGCAAATATACGTGCAACGCGGTGATGCTCTGTGGGGAGCTTCGGCAGAGACGGTACAGAAGCTGACTCGATTGCAGGCTCCGCCACATCGCTTGCTACGTAAAGGCCAAAGGATCGATGGATTTCGCTATCAAGACGTCCAATCTGTGATGGCTCCCAGCTTGATTGCAGCAGATTAGATGCCTGGGTTGCCCATAGCGATGTAGCTGCAGTGGCTTCAGAAGGGGCGCTGGTCTCCGTCGTTTCCGACATGAAGGAGGTGTTTGCTGTCATGGACGAATCATCCAGCTCGGCTGGGATCTCTAGGAATGGTGCATTGTGCGTAACTGCTGGTGGTGCATGCTTGACCGCAAGTGTCGGTGACGGAGGGGCTTCATCGTTGGCTCGCACGTGGCAACCATTAGGTGTTTCGATATTAGCATACCGCTTTCTTCGTGGTGTATTTGCTATGAGTCGCGCAGCCTGCTCAAGTCTACGGTCGAGTACCTTCAGCCTGTCAACTGCATCTGTGTCTCTGATCGTGGGTTGGCAAGCGCGTAGCTCGTCAACCGTCTGATCCAATACATCTCGATCTCGAAAATATAGCAATTTGATCTTATTGACAAGGCCATAGGTGACAGTACGCGGGGTCTTGCTTGGGGATGCAATGACATCGATGGGGAGCTCAATGTTGAAGGTTTGGCAGAACGTCCGCAAATACGCACTGATACCGCTTTGACTCCTCTCTTTCTGCGGGGTTAGTGGTGGTGGAGGTGGAGGCGCGGGAGACGGTTCGGGGCTTCTCGCCGGCCTAGTGTCACCCATTTGCCGGCGAGTGGATGCGCAATTCTCTAGGTTCTATCATGAAGGTACTATGCTTGTGTTGCACGGTATAGCGTGATAGTCTGCAGCAGGTGTGCCAGCGAAGCAGCGGTTGAAGATGGAGAGGCTCGCAACATGTGACAGAGCCTAGTGGTTAGACCGAGACCCACTTTTCCCATGCAGACATTCTGCCCGAAGTGTTTTACTACGTGCTGCTTGGACTACATATATCTGCCATTAGACATCTGCTCGTAATCACGCCTAGCCCGCGGAAGCAGCATCACAGCACTCGCGATCGCATTTGCGACGCTGAGGTACTGACTGCAAGCTGCAGAAAGTAGCAAGCAGCATGTACAAGAGTTTCCGGGCGTGCCTCCTGCCTGCAACAGTTCGAGTACTGGCAGTAGCATACGCAATCAGCCAGCTCATTACGCCAGCGCGATGTTCCGACTCCTTTACCATAGTCCATCTTTATAGCCATCTCTTTTTGCCCGCATTTTGTCAAGTATCAGCACCATTACAGAATGACTGAGCAGTCTGGAGATGGCTCACTCAACAAGCGACCAACCTTTGGTCAGTGGCTGAAGATCAGCTGGCCAGACCTATTGACATATCTCGTAATGGGCGCCATTGGGCTGACCGTAGGGCGATGTCACAGACTTCACCGTTTGAACCGCTAAAGCATTTGCATAGGTCTTTAACCTCCCGCCTGCGCAAACCCGACGCTTCAGGGTGTACACCTTTGACGGCTCGATTAGCAGCCCTGAGATTGCGTACCCCTACGAGAAGGCGCATATTCCCACCTGGCTTTCAGCCCTTCTGTCGCTTACTGTTCCAACCATTGTCTTCCTGCTACTCCAAATCCGAGTCCGGTCATTTTGGGACTTCAACAATGCCATATTCGGCATGCTCTACGCCCTCCTAACTGCGGCTGTCTTCCAGGTCATCCTCAAGTGGATAATCGGAGGTCTACGTCCTCACTTTCTGGCCGTCTGTCAGCCGGACATCCCACGGATCATAAGCGGCTCGCAACTGGGCACAGGGTATGATGGGATGTACTACGAAGCCAGCATCTGTACGGGCGACCGAGCGCGGATCAAGGAGGCGCTGCAATCTTTCCCATCAGGTCACACTGCTGCCGCGTTCTCGACAGGCCTCTTCACTACGCTCTATCTCAACGCGAAACTGAAGCTTTGGGCCAACTGCCGGCCCGTATATTGGAAGCTCATTGTCGCGCTGTTACCGCTACTAGGCGGCGTGCTCATTGGCGGTCAACTCATCATAGATGGATACCATCACTGGTACGACGTTATTGCGGGAGCTGGCATTGGCATCGTGACTGGAATCGGCGCCTACAGAACGGTATACGCGGGCGTTTGGGATTGGCGCTGCAACCACATCCCGCTTGTACGGAGCTGCCCATACGAGCACGCACATCTTCAAGGTGCATCAGCGACGCGGAAAGCTAGTTGGAGAGGTGCGGCGGCAACGGAGAGCAACGCAACTTAAGGCACGCTGCTGAAGGCGCTGCGATTCTCTATGTTGATGGTTGAGTAGATACTTGGCTTACGTCCTCCTGTTACCTATCGCGAAGTCCATGCTTGCATGCAACCCTGCTCTACCAAGCAATGCGTGCCAAGAAGCTTTGTGGCCACCGTCTTACAGCCGCCTTACGTCCTTCGTCCATTAGCAGCAGCGCCATGCCGAACCCCATGGGCAAGAACCAATGCTCCACCGGCACCACAGCCGTACCCAGGACATCGTGGAATGTGGGTACATAGAGGAAGAAGATTGTAATCAGTAGAGCAAAAATGATCGCGGGCAAGATGTACCAGTTCAGCGAATGCTTGAGCACCGATAGCCGCCTCGTTCTCAGCGCGAAAATGCTGAACCATTGCATCACCACCAGGTTGACGAAGTATATCGAGCTTGCCGTACTTAGGATCTCTACCATGGTGTCACTGGACATGCCGTCAGGGGTGCTGCCGAAGCCGAACCATAGCGCGGAGAATGGGAGGCCAGACCGCTGAGCATACCAGTAGCTCATCGCAAAGGAGGTCACGGTTTCGACAACCCCAATGAAGCCGTACGCCTGCAGGATCAGTTTCCAGTCGACGAGTCGGTCCTTCTTGGCGTTTCGCGGCGGACGTGTCAGGACATCAGCTTCAGGCTTCTCATACGCGAGTGCGGTCGCTGCGGCGCAGTCGGTAAAGCAACAGATGATGATCATGTTGAACGAAGAAAGGATCTGGGGGAGGCCAAATACCACATTAGTGATAACGGGCCAGAACTCGGAGAACGATCCGGCTGGGAGAAGGTAAGCAATCGTCTTCTTCAGGTTGTCGTAAACCACTCGTCCGTATCGGACGGCTTCCACGATTGCAGCGAACGAGTCCAGTAAGACCATATCGGCGGCTTCGATTGCGATGTCCGAACCACTGCCCATAGCGATGCCAATATCTGCGGCCTTAAGCGAAGGCGCATCATTAACGCCGTCGCCAGTCATGCCGACCGTGAGCCCTCTCGATTGCAACTCTTTGACGATTTTGAGTTTGTGGTCTGGCGTTGTGCGAGCGAAGACCACCTCATCAAATGCGCAGAGTCTGTCCCACTGATCGTCATCGAGATCATCAAGTTCAGAGCCATTCATGACGATGGAGCGTCCGGCGCTATAGGCGTCCCCACCAGCGTCAACGGTTTTCCCATTGAGGAGGCTAGCTTGCTGGTCGAGATCATCGGTTGTAAGAGACCTCACGTCCACGACTTGGGCAGGGGACTGTGTAACGATACCGCATTCGGCAGCCACAGCTTGCGCGGTAAGCCTGAAGTCGCCAGTTACCATGAAGATCCTGATACCGGCACCGCGCAGCGTCTCGACTACACCTAAGATCTCTGGCCTTGGAGGGTCAACGATGCCCAAGACGCCAACAAGGGTCAACTGAGCAGATGCCAAGTCCATGATAGAGATCTCGCATTCACGTGGCTGTGTTGCAGGGTCGAATGGAAGCCTCGAGCTCTGAAGTTTCCGTCGCGCAAGGAGCAGCACGCGGCGTCCTTGAGATGACCACAGATCTTTGGTCCGCTCAATCTGGCGCCGTACATCTGTTGTGAGCTCCGCAGTATTGCAATCACTGGTTAGGTACGACCCGCACCTAGGCAAGAGTATGTCTGGCGCGCCTTTTATCAACAACACCGCTTCATCCGAGGCGTCTGCCTGAATGACGTTGACAGCGAACTTGTGTTTGCTGTTGAAGGCCACCTTGAAAAGCGACCTGTTGGAAGCGCGAAGTGAAGCAACATCTTTCAAGCCTTCTACGAAACGGAGGATGGCAGAGTCGGTAGCGTCGCCGTTGATCTTTCGCTCATTAATTGACAGCTTGAGTGTGGATGCATCGAACTCGGCCTCATTGCATAGTGCACCGAGCTCTGCTAATTCTTGAAGACAATCATCTTGCTTCTCCGCCGTCAGCGCATCAGCAGCTGTGATAGCTTTTGCCCCAATGAGGCAGTCCGTGACATTCATCTGATTGCGCGTGAGTGTTCCAGTCTTGTCAGAGCAGATCACATTGACCGCTCCAAGCGTCTCGACGGTCTTGAGTGACTTGCATAAAATGCGGTTTTTCTTCATTATGTTGGCGCAGATTGTCAAGCTGGCTGTCACTGCGATCGGCAACCCCTCGGGAATGAACGCCACAGCCACGCTGACAAGGTCGACAATCAGAGTTGGCACGTTGATCCAGTTGGGATGGTGGGTACGGAGCCAGGAAGACCAGACAATGATAACAACCACGATCATGACTAGCATGAGCGAGACGATAATGCCGACGAAGTACAATATCTCTCTCTGCAGCGGTGTCAGACCAGACTTGGGCGTATTCGTCAACTTAGCAATGCAGCCGAAGACCGTCCTGTCTCCGGTATCCACTACAAGACCCCAAGCGTTGCCGGAGACACAGTGTGTACCAGCCATACCGATGCAAGCAGTCTCGAGATAGTTGTCATCGGTCGTATCGATCGACGCCAGCAGTGGTGCTGCCTCCCCAGTCAAGATGCTACGATCGAAACGAGCATCCGAAGTTGCCTGTATGAAGCGAACGTCGGCAGGAAGCTTGGATCCTGTGGTGATTCGGAGCACATCTCCCGGAACAATGTCTCGGGCATCTACGCGCTGCTCTTGACCATCGCGGAGCACCACGCACTGATCTGGGAGCAGGCCTGTGATGGAAGCCATCACCCTCGAGCTCGAGAAGTCTTGCCAGAAGGAGAAGAGCGCTTGCGCGACCCAGACGAAGGCAAGGACAATAGCCAGTGCCAAGTTTGCCGTAGCCGGCGGCTGCCCCAGTGGCTTCCACGCGACGAAGACTAGGACTGCAGCGATGAACAGAATTGATCCGAATCCACCGTATAAATAGCCAAAGACTCTCTGAGCCCATTTCGACGGAGGGGCGGATATCACGTTCTGGCCGACAGTTTTCACTTGCTGTCCAGCTGCGGAGCTTGTGAGGCCTTGTTTGGAAGAGCTGCCAAGGCGGGTGAAGAGGTCGTTGACCGACAGTTTATGGTAGTCGATATTGGCGTACGCAGTCTCAGCAGGTGTACTTTGCGGCTTGCGGCGGCTGCTAGCGACTTCCCGCTTGCTTTGCTCTCTTCGCTGCCTTTCTTCCACCCCATAGGAGACTGTACGGTATTGCGGTGGCAATGCGAGGCTAGGATCAACGGTGCTGTTCACTCGGTGTATCGAAATGGACGAATCTCTCGACCGAGGACGGCGATTAGACAGGCTAGTAGCCGTTCGGTGGACACGCCCTCGCTCCTCAAACGTGTCTGACGCGTAAGTGATGGAGGTAGCCATAATGGCCAAATAGCGCGTTGCTGGTGGGGGGATGTTTTCTCGAGGAGAAAAGCAGTAGCGAATAATCAGTGGATAGAAGGCAGCAGAAATGGAGAGGATGAAAAGTACATTAATGAGAATAGGTAGGCCTGTACGGCAGAGCAGAAACACGCGAGCTTCACATGCAGCGCCATTGCCAATGCTTGGAGCATTAGGCGCTCAAAAATGGCTCATATTATTGGTCGTATGCTCAACGCACGCCTGGACCACTGCCGTTGTCCTAGCTGGTTACAGGAGACCTTTCCTACCATGGTGAGCGATTTTCGAGCATGCGCGATTTTCGCCTACTTGGTCCTCCACAGGGTCAGTGAGCTTGTGTCATGAGGGTATCAGAAGCAAGCGAAGCCATGCACTTCGAGTTCGCGGCTGTAGAGGTAAGCGGTAAGCAAATAAGAAGCGACATGTGCCCGAATGTAGACAATGTCTACCTAGGAATGCTGTTCTTGCTATCGAGCAAGCCTGTTGCTGTAAGCATCCCACGTACATGGGCCCACATCGAAGCGCCATATTGGTGCAGGATAGCGATGGTGTCGTACCCGGCCCATGAGAAGTTAGCAGGGTATTTTCACGTTCCATACCAATGTTGTGAATATGAAGGGGCAGCCATGGAAATCAACGTCCGCCGAGCCTGAGGCAGGCAACCGCGCAACTGCGCTCGTACCTTCTAACCTCTTCCCACTGCAGCTCCACTCGCAAGGTGTGTGCCATCATTACTCAACCTATGACATGCAACAGCATAGAAGAATTCCGACAGCGCTCTAGGAAGTGTCGAGCGCAAGGGAGATGAAATCAATGGTTCATGATGTAGTCTTAAGGGCGAATCTACGGATTGCACTTCATGTTCCTCAGGACCGCCTGCCCAAACCTTCCACGAAACTGAGCCACTCCGCCAGCACACAAAAGCAAGAAAGCTCATCATATGGCTCTCTCTCGAACTCACGAGATCAAAGCTGCATGATACCAGAAGCAATCTAACATACCGGGCTGTATCAAGATGATTTTCTCAAAGCTTTCAACACCAGCAGCCCTTCCATGCACTTTCCTTCTGGGATGTGAACATAGCTCAGAATCAGATTGTGTAGGTCAGAGAGCTCGTTTGTCCGTTCATGATGCGGAAGGCGGCAGTGTTGAGGTGAGCCGTACCGCGCCTGGCTGCATGCACGGCGTACCTTCCTCGCAGTATCTGCAAACCATGAGCGAGCCCTATCGTACCTCCTTCGTCAGCTCTCGATCTCTTTCTACCTCCCTGAGTGGCAAGCTTCTACAATACTGTGTTCCGCTCCCGTCTTTAGCTCATTCGCTAGCGTTGAATTGGTTGTGTGTCGAAATGCAGCGTAAGGTTCTGCGCCAACATGCACGCTGGATTCGCGACGATCTTGATCCGCAGGTTGCCCGAGAAGGAGGAGATGCGCTGCACGCCGACGATGTACTCCAGCTTGACGAGTTGCTTCGAGAAGTGAAGCTGTCCGCAGCAATCGAGCTGAGCGATCTTCGATACAGTCGCATGCACCTCGCCATCCTCGCTATTGTCGGGCGGGCCACAAGATGGCCACATCGGCTCATTGAGCGGGCCGAAGACGTTCAGTCAACTTGGGAGACCAAGTTCGGACGAAGGCTAAAAGATATCGGGTTCTCGCTCTACGACGAAGGTGGTCGCTTGCACGGCATCTGCGAGCCGACCGATCTGAGCAAGGAGAGCGTAATTGTAAAGTGGCTCAAAGAGTCCAAACTAAAGGCCAGTCCCGTGAGAGCGCTCAAGTCCGGAGACCTTGGCTTTAGGCCAGGAGAGTAAGCTGTATTCGTATAAGTGGCGTTCAAGCATGATACGCTGACAAGATCCAGCTGGTGGATCAACGCTCTCTTAGCCTTCCGCGACGGCATTATAGACCATACCGACAACACTGGCTGGATCTGCCACGATATGAAAGGCGTGTACGCCATTGTCATGGCTGATAACGATGAGCTCAACAGTCCAACTCCTGAGTCCTTCACTTATCGTGGACTGCCCGGTGACAAAGGTCGCTATCGTCTCACAGCCGGAACGCCAGAATCTCGCAATGCGGTACGCATACTGAGGAGCCATACGTTACGGAGCTTCTGGAGTCCGAAGGCGGGCTTGAGATACGATGGGCTGTAAGTCTACCGGACTGTGTCAGGCGTACCCTTCTGAGGGGGTATGATGCCGTATTGAAGGCAATGTTAACCATTGTTACAGGCACAAAGTGACCGGCTGGTATATCCAGCTCGATTCACGCACGAGGACGACCGTCTACTACATCAATTTCAAGCGCCTCCCAGATCAGTTAAGCATGGATACGGTGCTGGCTCGCCCATGGACGGAGGAAGTAGAAGACTATAGGGAGTACAAGCGAATGAGACATGCTGCAAGGTACGATTCTGCTGCAGATCTCGAGCTACCTTAGCACTGTACTATCACGCTGGTTGCGTTCTGTCATAAGCTGCTCGTCATCCTACCGCCCCTTCTGCCACGCCGTTGCCGTGGGATCAGTGGCTTAGGTATCCCCCGCCGTGATCAACTGAACCTAGCATGCGTCTTAGAGCGGTTGGCGCAAGCCACAGCTGCGTCTCTCTCCTGAGAAGCTCAGCGACTTGCTTCTCGAGCTGGGATATGCGCGCCGCATCCTCCAATGGGGTCTCCCACATGGCATCAGCCCATTAGCACTGTCAACTCTACGCTGCTGTGTGGGTGATGATACCTCGTGCTGGTTGGCATACATGAGAGCTTCGAGCACAAGGTATTGCGCTGCCTTCAACTCCGCTACCTTCTTTCCGGACTGCTGACTGCGCATACTGTCAGTAAGCTAAACGGAGTGAAGCGTGGCGATCAGTGATGATGTTAGTCAGCTAAATTGGGTAATAGATAAAATACAAGGACGTCAGTAAAAGGCATCTATCGAACTTCCTCCTGCGGCCTTTGCCTTTCTTCCTCCTCTCGCCTTCTTGCAGCGACCTCCTCCTCGTTCCTCCGCCTCTCCTCCGCCTCTCGGGCCCTCACCTGAGCCTCGCCAATCCCAGGAACGAGACTTGCGAAGAATAGCGCTATTGCACGCTCGACCGGCCGAGTGTACTCCCTCAGCTGTTGAGCTCGTGCGTTGCCGCGCTGGTTGTGCTCGTTCAGAAGACGCTGAGCTACTTGCTCAGGCGTCGGCATAGCACCTCTTGCTGCGGCTTGACGCGCACCACCATCTTGCTGCGCAGCCTGCTCTTGGCCATCAGTGGCCCCCTCACCTTGAGGTTGCCCATGTTGCTGTCCTTGCTGCGCCGGTCTCTGCTGCTCAATCTGCATCACGCCTTCCCACCACCGCCTGATCACGCCACCTTCTCCGAACAGACCAGCCCTGATCATCCAAAATCCGAAGCCTATCATCATAAGTGCAGCAGGTCTGCGCCAGCCCATGTTAGAACCAAGCAAGAAATACGCAAAGATTAAGACACGTAGAAGCAGCCACATGTGATTGAGCATCGGCTGCATAGGTCCCATAGGATCTGCTGCGGCTGCCTGCACCTGCTGTTGGCCGCCGGCAACGTCAAGCACTTGCTGACCACCTGCTGCTACAGCATGGTCAGCGCGCGGCGCTTGCTGAAAACCTTGTGCGCCTTGTTGACCGGCTTGAGGAGTCGTGGCGGTCGCCGCATGAAGCGTCGTCCTAGGTTGTGTGGGAGGTGAGACAGAATTAGCAAGCGTGCCAATGTAGGTGCCATGCTGAGGGGAGAACAACAGCGCTTGAGGACCTTGTGGCCCAGAGAGAAGATAGCAGGTCGCTTCATTCGAGCTCATAGCCCTCTGCGTCGGTTGCTGTTGCTGCATCTGTATGGGATTGCCGAACAACGGATTGCGGAAGAGCGGAGCCTGCGTGAATGAAGGTGGTGGTGGGAGCGGCTGCGGTTGTTGAGCCTGCTGCACCGGCGCTTCAGCCGGCGCGGCCGCCTCTCTGCCGGTATTGCTAGTGTTGGCGCCGGCTCTCGGTAGGCCATGGACGTGGAATGGGTCTACATAATCGTTCACCCTACGCAACCTCTCCTGCAAATCAGCGACTTCGGTTCGTTGCTCCTCTTCTGTTCCACCAGTGCGCGCTTGCATTCGATCGAGAACCCGGCGCATCTCAGCAAGGTTATCACGAGCTCGGTCAAGTGCGGTAAAGCCGCCATTGTTTTGAGGGGGTGCTTGCTGCAGCGGTTGTGCTAACGGGAAGAGAGGTGGCATTTGCGGTAGTGCAGCTATGCCTAGATTCAAGGGTTGTGCAGGAAACTGTAGGGTTTGTTGGTGAATCTGCACACGCTGCCCATCAGCTCGTACGCCTTCGAAGTGGAAACCCTGACCGCTAACGGGCCGATGATGAGGTTGCGGAAAGTGCTGGCCCGGGACGGCTTGAGTTGTGTGTGGTTGACCTTGGCCATCTCCCGGTGGTTGAGGTTGACCGTTGGTATCGTTCGCTTGAAGGTCGACGGGCTGAGGAGTCGCGCCGTCCGCTTGAGGCGCACCTTGTTCCCGCCGTGGTGCCTGTAAGCCTTGCATGCCCATCGCTGCTCTCTGCTGCTGATGGTGCGCCACTGCTTGCGCAAACATGGGAGGCTGACCAGGGCGCTGAGCGAAAGGAATGCCAGGCACCCCGCCCATCATCTGTGGCGGAGCGTGAGGCGGCACGCCGAAGAAATGCTGCGGCGGCATGAGTCCTCCATGAACTTGCGGAAAGCCTTGGAGGCCCACGAATGGGTTCTGCATGAAACCCGGGGGCACTGGTAGTTGAGGCGGCAGTTGGCGTGGTTGTTGGGGTTGCTGATTCATGCCGTCCGGTCCTGTTCCAGCTACGGTAGGTATGTTCGCAGCTGTTCTATGCCCTGCTGTACCTTCCGTACCTGGCGGCTGATAGGAGATGTCTCCCCTGACAAGCAAATGAACCACATATTCGGTCTGACTTGTGTCCCTTCTCGTGTTCAAAGCATCCTCCAGCGTTTGTTCGTTCTCTACCAACGCTCTACCGCCATACAGGATTCGTTGCCTCTCCGGCGGAGGATGTGACGGCACTACCTGCTGTATCTGCTGTCTAATTGCACCGATCGTTGAGGCCACAGGTACCGATCCAATCGCGAACTCGTCGCTACCGCCTTCAATGTATCCTGGCGGGACTTTCACCTTCAAGGTGACGGCCGTTGGCGGAGATGGTGCCATGACTGCAAGTGTCCCCAGCAATGCCTGTCTCAGAATAGTACGGGTAGGCCGCAGAGCTTGCTGCGCGAACACCAGAGGTGAGAGCACGTACTGAGAGTGATTGAGTGAGTACGGTACAAGTGTCGTCTGAACTTCCTGGGGAAGCTCGGTTCACTTCACGTTGCCGAACGCGCTAAGAGCGCCACTCATGTGCCCTGCATCACTTCGAAACGGCCTTTCTGGGGTGCAGTGAAGAGTGCATGTTGCTGCTCCATCACCATGTTAGTAGCAGAGGCTCGAAGAGTGTAGAGCCTTTATTAGTTAAGAGGCGCCATGACCACGAGACCGGTGAATGGGACTACTGCTAGGTTAGGCAAATATGTCGCGTGGGCACGACCGATTCCATGTCGGAGGCTACCGCATTCACGCAGACTTCATCAGACTTCACGATGTCGGAACGAGTCGTTCTCATCAAGGCTAGGCACTGCCTGGCGCTCCACACGGGTCACTTGGCGACCGATCCCGGTAGCCCTTGGCGTGGCCTTCCTAGGTGCCTTCCAGCTGTACCGTATCTCCGAGCGGGAACGACGAATGAAGGAAGAAGAATGGCGTGTACGTGGCGAGGAAGCCGAGGAGGATGGGGGCGGTGCAAAGCCTCGGCCAAGGGAGAGAATCAGACCAAGCGGCCCGTGGGCGGTGCAGGTTATGAGCACCATACCACTGAAAGCGGTAAGTAGATGGTGGGGATGGGCTAACAGCCTTGATATTCCCTACTATCTGCGTGTACCCGGGTTCAAGCTGTATGGCTATCTGTTCGGAGTCAACTTCGATGAGGTGGCCGAAGATGACCTGCACAATTACAGGAACCTGGCGGAGTTCTTCTATCGAGAACTAAAGCCTGGTGTGAGACCGATAGACTCAGACCCTGAAGGAATAGTCAGCCCAGCAGATGGCAGAGTCGTACAATTCGGGTACATCGAGCACGGAGAGGTGGAGCAAGTCAAGGGTGTGACATACCATCTGGATGCGCTACTGGGCAAAGAGCCGACAAGCAATGCGCAGGCGTCAACGAACATAGCACGCACTTCGGGAAGCCCGCAGCCAAGTGAGAACAGAGAGCGTCATGGGGACGAGGAGACGATTAAGGCGGATGAGGAGTTTGCCAGAGTGAATGGCATCTCCTACACTCTTCCAAACCTCTTTTCCGGTCCTGCAAAGAGCGATAAACGAAGAGATGCCGGTCGGGGGTTCGGTTTCTGGAACCCACCGACTTCTGATCAAAGCACAAAGGCGCAAGCATCGTCCGAAGCTGAAGTCACAGCTGACCTCGCGCGTACCGAGAAGCCATGGTACTATCCGTCCGGCACAGCAAAGAAAGCGCCAACAGCACTTTACTATTGTGTGGTATATCTGGCTCCGGGCGACTATCATCGCTTTCACTCCCCAGCTAGCTGGGTGGTCGAGTCAAGGAGGCACTTTGCCGGCGAACTCTACAGCGTGTCTCCCTACCTTGTCCGCAGCTTACCCGGCTTGTTCACGCTCAACGAGCGGGTGGTGTTACTCGGTAGATGGAAGTACGGCTTCTTCTCTTACACACCCGTGGGCGCAACCAATGTCGGCTCGATCGTCGTCAACTTCGACCGCGAGCTTCGGACCAACAGTCTTCTTACGGACACGCTCGCAGATCACGCTGCGGCACAGGCAAAGGAGAAGGGTGAGACGTACTCTGGCTATGCTGAGGCGACATACACCGCCGCGAGCCCAGGAATCGGCGGTCACGCACTGAAGAAGGGCGAGGAGATGGGCGGGTTCCAGCTGGGCAGTACCATTGTCATGGTTTTCGAGGCACCCAAGGGCCGACGGCCTAGCTTCGATGAAGGCTGGGACGCTGACTCGGAGGGTACAGGCAGGAAAGGTGGCTGGCGCTGGTGTATAGAGAAGGGCATGAAGGTTAAGGTCGGGCAGAAGCTGGGCTACGTTGAGAAGGAGGATGCGGCAGGATGAATGCCCGAATTTCACTGCGACACCTCAAGGTTGGGTTGTGCCAACGTCGCCGCTCTCTGCCACCGCCCCCGCACCCCTGCTCACGAAACGTCTTTGGATGACGAGTTGCTGGTGTGGCAATCTCTCAGATTACTCTTATGGCGCCCCTTCGGACATTATCACCTCCGACTGGTCTCCTAGAGATGCGTATGGTATTGGGAACGCGCTAAGCACTATATGCCTCGATTGAACTCGACCTTGCCGCCTTCGCCGCCCTTGTCCCAGAACTCCTTCTCCAGGCTTCTGGCGCTGACAGCTTGTCGTTGCGGGAACGCCGCAAGCGCAAGCGGTAAAGCGAACACACTCGTGACAAGGATCAGTCCCAGATTGACCGGCAGCACCAGTCTAGGGCGCTGTTTCAACCACCGCTGCTCCTGCAATCGGACCAAGATTAGCGGCGGCAGGACCATGATTGGGGTCGAGTTTAGGACACGCGAAAGCGCTGTCTCCCCAACAGCGAGTGTTGCAGCTTGCTTCGACTTGCCGAGCGACTGCAGGGGCTTGTTGGCTGCCTCGCGCGCCTTTCTCTGGTCGTCAGACTCCGAGGGGAACACATCGATACCTCTCCTGATCTCTTCGCCGCGCATGAGAAACACGTTCAACGCACCAGCGCTGGCTACTGCCGCAAATGGCACCAACCTCCCAAGTGTTGTGCGCATCGTCGGGGACAGTCGCTTTAATCGCGGGACCAGAGAGTTTAAGCCTACCGCCACACCGCAGCTTGCGCCCACGGCCACGAAGTACGATTGGATGAGCTGAGTCGTCGTGATTGGTGTGCTCTTGTTAGCATTCGCGCTGTTGATGGCGACGTTCAACGATTGGTTTGCCCATTGCCACGCAATAGTCCCGGTGGTTGATAGATTGGGCGTAAGCATGCCCGCTGTGACGACGAGATTGGACAGTACGAAGCATGACATTCGGAATGGTAGAAACACTGGTTCGCCGGTATCTGATGGGAACAGTCAGTAGGTAGGAAGTCAGAATCCGCTTGCTGAGCGTGCTCTAACCTGGATGCAGTGTTGAGTCCACTATCTTCTTCGCTTTCCAAAGCTCGGGCGTCATCGACTGAATCTTGCCTTGCTTGTACTGTGTAAGAAGGGTCTTGGCATGTTCGAGACCGGTTGTCGAGGTCAGAAGTGTTCTAGCAAACCTAAGTCAGCCGCTATAATGCGAGACCTTGAAAAGCACATCGCGAGCACTGCTCGGCAATATCGACCGCGTGCTTCGCTTGGTGCTAGGTCGACCCCCAACAACATCCAAGCACCGTGCGATTATGAAGGTGACAAAGAGAGCCAGAGTAGTGGATTGTCCGCGTGGACTTCGGCGGCTCGCGGTACTGTCAATGTACGTTGTGACTAGGTATCTCACCTCGGATCTGCTATATCTGCAGAGTGTAGCACGCGACCCCAGTATGTGTTGAGGTCATATCGCGATGCCGGAAGGTCTCTGCTGCCCGGCAATGATCCCGACATCGAGACGGTTTGTACTAGATAGCCTCTTGCAAGAACAAGTCCACAATAGCGGTTACGAAGCGACGACGATGGCTCGCTTCCAAGTTGCGGACTCCGTCGCAGTCAGCGAACCTTGTACGTGCAGTGTCTATCGCCGGGCTATCTCCGAACGTTTACCGGAAACTACCGTACAGTCTCAATTTCCTAAACTCTGCACTCCCACTCCATCCTAACTATCCTGCGTCGTCGCCGGCACAACGAACATACCTTATGTTCGTCTGGTAGCCAAACCGACTTGACAATGCAGCAATAGAATTAGGCGGTCTCATACCGCGCTCGGTCTCGCGCACGTCATCACAGATCTTGAGCTGGTCGCACTCCCAATGGTGAGCGTGAGAGACGAGATTAGATACGACGATTTTGAGTACGCGACGACCACGATGCTACGGCCGGCCGCGTAATTTATCAGTCGAAACATACGGCAAATGAATTCGCGATGTGAGCAACCCAGCATACTACGACCATCGCCACACTTGCGACCCCTTCTACTATGCCGCAATGGTCTGGACACCCTCCGTTGTCTGCCTTGGATAGTGTGTCTTGATTTCGTACTATCTCAGTAGTACGCATTTCGCGTTCCAAGGCCTGATGCGCCGTATGGACCTGCGATGCCGGACACCGGCCGGTACAAATCAGTGGCGGTGACGCTCATCTTCCCACTCTCGCGCATCCGACACGAAGAGGCATTCTGTATGTATTGTGGATGTGGGGTTGAGCCACGCGATATCAGACATCCGGTATTGGCTCGCGTGGTGAGAGCCCGTCACTACCTTTACCACCTGTTCTTCATGGCAAGATCGTACTTTCCATGGCAATCCACAGCTACTCAGGGTTATCCGGTCTGGCAGGCAGACTTCGATGGTAAGCGAGCCGTGGCCAACTGAACTTATAGAAAGGGCAGATCTCTCGATGAGCGCCTGACTAGAAACTGGCATCTCGAAAGTACAGCCATTCTGAAAACATCTTCCGCTTCCTAACGTTCACTGATACGATCCGAACCTCTTCCAGTTGAAAAGGTCAATCAAGATGATTCCGCTCACGCTTGCCGAGCTCGTCGGCGCGCTGTATGCTTGCTAATGTGGCTGATCGGCGTTGCGCCCGTCTGTTGCAATGGGGGCGTCAATCTCATGACCTTGAGTGGCGCCGCTTGCGAGCAGGACACTGTGTTCGGTAAGCAAAGCAATACGTATATATCTTCGAGGATTTCTGATACACAGCTGACTGCGCCAAGGGTGAAGATAGGGGACCCACGCCAAACACGGTGGAAAGTACCACAACTTGCCTGGCGCGGCGAACGGCGTCTCGTATCGCTGCATCTTGCATAAATGCACGGGACGCGTCAAGAAGGCTGCGGGAACTGCAAGTTTGCTTTGTATCAGGGGCAAGACTGCAGCGGTGGCGAAGTTTACAGACGCGGAAACATGAGGCCATCCGCTCCGGGGTCGCTTGTGAATCGTCCTAGCTAACTCGGCACAGGCCGATCGAAATTTACGTATAATGAACACTGTCTTCCGCCGTTCGCTGCGCCGGCTCAGAGCGTAAGGGGGTTCTTTTGAGCAGGATTATTGTCCGCGCGCCGTGTCAGGTCGAAAGGGGTGGGCTTAAACCACTACATCTGTGTAGAGATTAGATGGGTAGTTCACTAAGCAACGTGCTTCGCACGTCAAGGATAGTTGGCACTGCCCGTGACTCGTACTAGTCGAACCAACTCACTAGGACGGCTGGCAAACTTGACAAATTACTCGGACAATAGGCGCCTGGACGGCGCATCTTGAGCACGAACGGTACACGGTCGAGATCAAGACGTACTGAGAAGATATGCTCAGAGACCCACCCATTAAACATTACGTCCCTACTAGCGCGCATAGCTGTCACCCATACTAGCGTACACCATCTCGCCACCACATCCCCACCCCCACTCCCTCATCTAGCGACTCAAGCCGCCCGACTACCAGTCCTAGGCGACCGTCTCAACCCCGCCGTAGCCGCAACCGAAGCCGACGACGACCTCTTAGTCGCAACGACAATATTGCTGCCCCGGCTCGAAAGCCTCCTACTACTCGACCGTCTCCTCATCGCCGCCTCCTCCCCCTCCTCCTCCTCCATCACCGGTCTAACTTGCCCCTCCAGCTCCGTGAGCGCAGCGGAATCGAGAAAGGCGTCTCCGAATAAATCCCGCATCTCCTCATCGTCCGGGAATAGAAAGCCTGATTCGGCAGGCGCGTCTGGCAAGCCCAGGTCCTCGCGACTGTGAGTCTGGCTTCGGCTTTTGCTCCGCGTGTTCATGGCTGGCGGGGAGTTTTCGACAGCAACGGCGGTAGCGACGGCGTTGGTGTGGAGCTGCTCGGTGATACGAGCGCGGAGGGTGGCTTCGTGGTCGTCTTCTCCGTGGTCGTCGTCGTTGGCATTGATGATCTCGGGGTGGGGGTAAGTCACCGCTTGAGTGTTGGCGTGGCGGGAGGAGCGGCGGAGGCCAGTGCCGGGTAGAGACAGACCCAAACCCAAACCCACGGGTTGCTGCACGGCCACGTATCCCTCCGGCGCCGCAGGCATCTCCTCAACAACAGCCCGAGCCTGCTGCATGCGGACCTGACTCTGCGTCCTCCTTTGCGGCAGCACCACCTGCTGCTGCTGCTGCCCCACCATCTGCGCAACCGGCGCAACCATCACCGGCGTCTGCCCCTCCACCAACCCCGCCTCCTCCTCCCGAACCCTCGCCACATTCCTCTCGTAAGCCCCACACCTACACCCGGGACTCCCAAACGCCATCGCCGCCCTCCCACCCTTTCCCCTCGGCCGATACCGATACCCGGGGTACTTCCGCTCATGCTCCGCCTTCTCCCTCTGCGCCAGCCGCTCATACATCGCTTTGACATGCGCCGGCTCGGCCTTCCACATCTTCCCCGCTTGATGCGACACGGCGCCTTGGTTGCTCCGGTCCGGGGTGGGCGGGAGGGCCTTGGCGATGCGGTTGCGGTTTTGCCGGCGGTAGATCATGAAGCTGTTGCTGGGGCGGGGGATGTGTTGGGGCGCGGTCGGGGGGCAGATGCAGATTTGGTCGGCTGATGGGAGTTTGGTGCGCGGGCGTTTGGGTTGGGGTGCGGCTGCGCCAAAGTCTGCGTCTTCTTCACCGCCTGCGCCCTCTTCACCCTCTGCGTCGGCGTCGGCTTCGGAGACGAAGAGGGCGTCGCTCTCTTCTACTTCACCGCCGCGCGCCTTGAGCGCTTGCTGCTGCTGGTGCTGCTGCTGCTGCTGCTCCTCGTGGAATTGCGGACCAAAGAACTTGCGCTTACCCGTTGCTGACCGGTTAGCTGACACGACAGGTAATGGCTGGAACTGCTGCTGCTGCTGCTGCGAGGCCATACTCACCTGTCCGCCGCCAGCGAAAGCGGGCATCTGCGGCTGGGCCACGGAGCCGAAAGTCGCGCTGGGCGGGTGGAACGAATCCGGTGTGGCAACTGGTAGGGGTACGCCGGGAAGGGGACGGCGGACGGCGGGGAAGTACCATCCTATCTCCGCATGCCACGAGGCGCCTGGAGGGCCGGCAGACGGCAGTACGGGAGCCACCGTGCTCTTGCGCTTCGGCGTGGCCAGATGCTGCTGCATGAGAATGACGTTTTGCGCTTGCGGAAAGTTGCCGAAGACATTATCCGTGTTATTGAAGTCGTCGACGTCGAAATCAAAGCCGCCTTTCGGTGTGATGTATGGCTCTACGGGGCCTAACTGGTTGCCATTGTCGATGCCTACGGCATAGTCAGTCATGTCAGCGTCACGACTCAGACCCATCATGTAGTCGGAGTAATCAGTCGGGTTGAATGACTGGTGAGAGAGAAGCGATGGATCGATGCTTGTCGGAGTTTGAGGGTAGTAGGGAGCGGACATGTTCTTTGTCGACGCCGGGTTTGGACAAGGCAGAGCCCGAGAAAGAAAAGGGGAAGAAGAGGGGATTTGGGTGGGTACTCGCGGTCGCTGATTGCTGAAAGGGTTCGCTGTGTAGTGTGATGTAGCTTGAGATGTGACCTACCAGAGGTTCCGACCAGACGTGACAGTCGAGCAAGCTCAGCAGTGAGACCGGGGTTGTAACACTTCGAACACACACGAGGGAGCGAAAGGGATTGTTCTCGGGCAGATGAAGGGCGAATATTATGCATTTTCGTACTTCTTTGTTCGAGGGTCCTTTTACTCGGCGTTGTCAAAGCCAGAGCGGTCGGGTGTTGAAAGGGATGGAGAGGAACACAATGTGACAAAGAAGATGGCACAAGTCCATTGTAGATGTAACAAAGCAGATGTTGTTCTGAAGAAGTATGCCTGTCGATGACGAGGATCGAGAGGCCACGATAGCAGCAGCAAGATGTGAGGGCGGTGCTGGCAGTAGAGGCTGTCAGGTCTTTGTTAGCTGGTGCTTCTTGCAGAGTGTGCGTGGCGGTGAGTCGATGGATTGAGCGTAAGTCAGTAGGTCTCCAAGCATATTGTCCGCATTGTGAAACTCGGAACAGGTCTGTGAATATTTGCATATTCTCATCTTCGCAGTCGCAGGGTGGGAATGAAGTTAGGCAAGCTTACCTGATCGTCGCAAGGCAACCAACAGACACATATGCTATGGTCATGCCCGCTGAATGGTGCGGCGCGCGGGTTGTAGCGTAGAGATGCTTGTGAGCTTCGTCCAAACTAACGCTTGACCCATGTCGGCATCTTGCGTGCCTTCAGATGTCCGGGCTTCTTCCGCTCTACCCTTCGCGGGTCACGGGTAACGCAGCCAGCTGTGGTAGTATAGTCAGCATGGTGGTGCTCGACTACACTCTAGTGCAGCACTCACCCCTTCTAAGTGCGGGCTTGAGATCCGGCTCGTGCGCCAACAGCGCCTTCGCGACCGCCAGCGTAATTGCTTCCGCTTGTCCGGTCGTCCCACCTCCTTTCGCCAGTGCCCAGACGTTATACTTGTCCAGCCTCTGCGTGCTCTTCAACGCCCATACCGCACTCTCCCGATCATGCAGCCGACCAAAGTACTCACTCAGTCGCTTGCCGTTGATCATGCACTCACCCGTTCCCTCAACCAAATATGCCTTGGCCGAACTGCTCTTCCGCCTTCCCACGGCCGCGGACACGCCGTACTCGTTGACTTCGATCGGTTTGGGCGCGTTCATGTATGGCTGCGAGTGCCGCTTGTACTTCTCCAGCGCCTCTGTGACCTCTGCAGGCATGAGGGACGGGTGGATGTGGTTGAGGCGTCGGAGGAGTTTGATGAGCATGCCATATCCTTTCACTCGGACGGGCTCCGCCAGCTCGGTCTTGTATTGGTCGATGGTCTTCCACGCTACACGTGGCGCTTGGCCGGGCGGGAGCATTGGCAATGTCTGATGTGCTCGAAGCAATGAGGAGAGTTCGAGGAGGTTGTCCATGTATTCCGGGGTTGCGGTAAAGTACGAAGGGGAAGCGGGCACGATTCGGACTCGGCGCAGGAGTAGGTCTTGGTCGTGGTCATCGCGGCCACCGGCGTGGTCGGGGCGTCTGGTGCGACGCGGGCGACTCCTATCCTGCACCAGTTCAGCGCGAGGAGCAGCGAATTGATCGGAGTTGGTGGTGAAGGTGATGGGCGCGGCGGCTTGGATGTCCCCTTGCTGCCCACTCGCACCCGCACCCGCACCCGCCGTCGAACCGGAGTCGGTGGGCGTGGCGTAGAAGCGGCATTGCTGCAGCACACGTCGCTTGGCCGGGTTGTGCCGCACGGTGATGGCCCGACGTACAATCTGCCGCAGCTCCATAGGGTATTGAACGGGATATGGCACGTGAGTTGCACGCCAGACGAGATGGGGGATGGACAAAGAACCTGAAGAGATGCTTGGCCTGCCAAGCCGTGAATGCCTTAGGCTTCCATACTCCGGCCCTTCTACGTCAGGGTCCGTGCGACGTAGCAGAAATTCTTGAGAAGGAGCGAGCGAGAGAGAGGGACGGACGGGAAGGTGGAGCTTTGGACAGAAGTCAGTCACATCTAAGCACTTCATCCAATACTCCCAGCACCACCACAAGTCACAGCCAAGGAAGGCGCATAGCAACACACCACTTCCACACCCTCTTCTTCCGCAAACATGGCACCGTTCGGCAAGATCTACTCCTACCCAGTACGTCCCTTCCCTTCCCTTCCCTTCCCCTCCCACCAACCAACACATGGCCACGTTGACTAATCATGGTACGACTACTCCTTGCAGGGCAACCCGCGCACCACCGCCATCCTCGCCGTCGCCAAGGCCAACGGGCTCGAGCTCGAGCAAGTGCATGAGGAGCCGGCGAAGGGCGTGAGCGATGACTACCGCCTGCTCAACAAGCTCGGCAAGGTGCCCACCTTCCAAGGCACCGACGGCTACGTCTTGACCGAGTGCATGGCCATTGCCATCTACAGTACGTCCCACACCTCTCCTGCTCTGTCTGTGCGATGCGCTTTCCACGATGAACAGATTATACAACATTTACAGTTATCCCTGTCTGAAGACTACTGTTGAGAATGTATTCACACTCTGACTTGCTACTACACGCACTGCACTCAACACCCCCGGCTTGCGCACTACGGCAACCCACTAACATGTCATGATGTGACAGTCACCTCGCAGAACGAAAAGACGACCCTTCTCGGCAAGACCAAGCAAGACTACGCCTCCATCCTCCGCTGGATGTCCTTCGCCAACACCGAGCTCCTCCCCTCCCTCGGCGGCTGGTTCCGCCCCCTCATCGGCCGCGACCCGTACAACAAGAAGAACGTCGACGACAGCCAAAAGGCCACCGCGCTCAAGGTCAACGTCCTCGAGGAGCACCTCCTCGTCAACACCTACCTCGTCTCCGAGCGCCTGACCCTCGCCGACCTCTTCACCGTCTCCATCATCTCCCGCGGCTTCCAGTTCTTCTTCGACAAGGAATGGCGCAAGGCGCACCCCGGCGTCACGCGCTGGTACGAGACGGTGTACAACCAGGACATCTACAGCAGCGTCGCGTCGAAGTTGGAGTTCATCGAGACGGCCATCCCAAACCAGCCGCCGAAGAAGGAGAAGGAGGAGAAGCCGAAGCAGGAGCCGAAGCCCAAGGATCAGCCGAAGAAGCAGGAGAAGAAGAAGGATGCCGATGAGGAGGAGGATGAGGAGGAGGACAAGCCCGCGCCGAAGCCCAAGCACCCGCTTGAGGCGCTGCCGAGGGCCACATTTATTCTTGATGACTGGTGTGCACTCTCGTTCCTTACACTCACAACTCCAGTCGCAGTCGCTAATGTTGTGTATAGGAAGCGCAAATACTCCAACGAAGAGACGCGCGAGACGGCCCTGCCCTGGTTCTGGTCCAACTGCAACTTCGACGAATACTCCATCTGGCAAGTGGACTACAAGTACAACGACGAGCTGACCATGACCTTCATGACCTCCAACCTCATCGGCGGCTTCTTCGCCCGCCTGGAGGGCAGCCGTAAGTACCTCTTCGGCGCCTGCAGCGTCTTCGGCGTCACCAACGACTCCGTCGTCCGCGGCGCCTTCGTCGTCCGCGGCCAGGACGCCCTGCCCGCCTTCGACGTCGCCCCCGATTACGAGAGCTACGACTTTAAGAAGTTGGACCCCAAGAGTGAGGCCGATCGCGCGTTTGTGGATGACATGTGGGCGTGGGATAAGCCGATCGAGGTCGGCGGCAAGACGTATGAGTGGGCGGATGGGAAGGTGTTCAAGTAGGTGAGTGAGCTTGTATGGGTGGATGGGCCTAGGCATGCTTGTCCTCGAATGCTTCTTTCTGCGGCGGCGTGTCGCTTTGATGGGATGAGCGGACGGCGTGGGGCTAACGTGGATGATGGCATGACGAGATGTGGGTTTCAAAAGCATTGCATGAAGGATGATGACTGCGGGAAGGCATGGAGATTGCGGCAATCAAACCGTACAGTAGATGTCTCTTTCCGGCCGGGGACTAAGTAGCATAGACGAGCGATGATATGCATCCTGTTCGATTAAGGCCTCGCTCCGAGCGCCGCCCGTTTCCCCGTAACTCAACGCCTGTACTTTGGCAATGCGCTATCCGTTCACCAGGCAGACGGAGAGTATGCGGCACGAGGTCTTTTGAAGTGCTGCTCTCCACATGTACAGGTTCGCCATTCCCCTCTTACATCACCTACGGCATAGCGAAGTAGAACGCGAGGAGTTGCCGCACAGTGCAGCGACTTCATTCGCTTTTGTCCGCTTCGGCACACCGCGCGCTGAGTTGGGACCGGGGTGTCAAGGAGAAGAAGTTCGCCACCCAACAAGATCTTCCCCGTACAGAAGCATATCATGCGCTCATTTCATACCTTCTTACATTACCTTCTTTTCAAAAAGCGACCCTCGTCCGCATCTCCTGCACCTTGCGCTCCACCTCCTTGACCTCCCGCTCCACCTCCGCCGCAATCTTCTGCTTCCCGTCAAAGCTCAACTTCATGAACCGCTCGCACAGATCGCCATCGATCACGCCCTTGACGGGGACGTAATAACTCCGATACATCAAGTGATCCCTCCCCGCCAACGGCGGCTCCTCCGCTCGAATGAGCGTCTCCAGTTGCGTGAAGAACTCCACGTCCTCGCGTGAAACGAAGGGTACCAGCATGCCCAGCGTACCTTGCAAGCCGGACCAGAATAGGACTTCCTGCCCGCCGGCCACGAGCGCCGTGCGCTGGATGGACATGGGAATGTCTTGCGTGAAGAAGTGACTCCGCAGTTCGAGGCGATACGGTGCGCCGCCCAGATAACTCCGCTCGTTGACAATGTAACCACCGAGCCCTTCCTCGTCGCTTTCTTTGCTCGCTTGCTCCGGACACCGCACCACCCACAAATTGCCGAATTTGTCGCCCCCCGCGCTGGTTTCGTAGTCGATCATGGCCGCGGTGGTGGTCCAGCGTTGGATCACATCGTCCACGAAACCGATCATGCGGTTGTGCTTGGGCTTGAAGACGACGTAGGTTATGGATTCGGATACGTCGGCGCAGATGAGCCGGTTGCCGCGGCTGTCGATCGAGGTGATGGTGTTCGCCACTACGGTGCCGCGGGATTTGCGAAGCAGTGACTTCAGGCCGACGTCGTAGAGGAAGAGATCCGCACCGACACCAAGAGCGAGCCGGCCTTGGAATGCGTGTACGGCGTAGATGGGGGCGTCGAAGGGCGTCTTGTGCACTAGCTCCATATTCCGCCCATCCTCGAGCAGCTTGTAGATGTGCACATAGCCCCTCGGCGCCTGTCCTTTGGCAGAGACGCCAGGGCGGAGATGCTGGCCAGTTCCTACCGCAAGATAGACTTCCCAGTTCTTGCTTTCGAACGGTACGGCGGCGCAACAAAGCGCTGCCTCGTTGTCCGTAAACTCGATCGTGTGTGTGGCAGCCTTTGCGAAGATTGGATCTACCGCTTGGATGCAGGAAGCCCAATGTCCGGCTGAGCGTGACAGGCCCAGTTGCTTCGACACATCTTCGTCCACGCCGTTCATCGCTCCGTCCGCCGACAGTAGCTGGTCTTTTGTACCTTGCGCAAGAGTGTTGCCGTCGGACTGCGCCACGTACCACACCGGGCTGTACGGGTGCCTCGTCATGGCTCTCGGTGTATATTTTAGCCCGACTTCCGACGATGAGAGTCTACCGTCGGTGGTTGGTAGTGTGAAGATGAGCAGACTCTGCCCTTGCACTGCACAGAAACCGCGCAGGTGCTCCGTAACGAATGGTCGTGCTGCCTCCACCTGCCCCGTGACAAGCGGTGTCAGGGTGTAGGTGCCCTTGTTGTTATAGCCGAGCCAGGGTCTTGACGAGCTGGCGACGATTCCTTGCTCCTCCGCAATCTCGACTGGGAAGATGCGCGTTGGCCGCGCGCCCAGAAACCTTGTTCGCACTTCGCCTAGCTCGCCAGTAACATCGTCGATAACTGCTCGTAGATACAGACCTGACTGAAGCCCGATGTGCACGTAGTTTACGAGCACGTTCGAGCTCGGATCGAGCATCTCGACCACTTCGATGGATGTCGGAACAGCCGACAGCGCCTGCACAGAGCGCGGCTCGAGCGCTGTCTCCAGCTCGATGGAGTAGACGCGGATGGTGCAGTCGTCGCAGCCAACGACTGCATACTTTGCTTGCTGTTGTCCGCGTGGAGTCTGGCCGACCGATAGAGCTGTGATCTTGCCGCTCATCTCCGGCATCTCTTCCAGCTGGTTGAGCACGCCATCGTCGCCCATGAAGAAAAAGGCCAACTCTGACGAGCTCAAGCCGAGTAAGAGCTGACGGTCATTCGAAGAAGCAGCAACGATGGTGCGGTGTGCGGGAGCAGGCCACTCATTGAGCGCACCGCTCTCAAGCACGGAGAGAATACCACGGGCGTGGACTTGGACAAGCGTAGCATCGCCCATCTGATTGGCGGTGATGGTGGCACGATTTGTGAGAAAAGGCGAATTCTCCATCGTCTCTACCTCGTCACCTATGGAGAGTACGATAGTCTTGTCGCCGTAGCCGGAGCTAAGCAGGAGGTAAGAGTGGTAGTCATCGACCGCTCGGTGCTTCAATGACCAAAGATTGTCATACTGCAGGTTACCCAGAGGACTGCTGACGATCTCGTTGATCTCAAGGCCGTGGCGCATCGTTTTGAGGACGCTGCTGTTACCCGTGCCCTGGATGGCGTAGATCTGTGGTGCGTCTTCGCCAGTCAGGTTGTCGACTTTGGTTCGCATGAGTGGGTTGAGGCCCGGCACATCGTAAGCCAGTGAAGTGAAAGTGAGACCGCGGGGTGTGAAGTAGGTGGGCTCATATGTGGCGGCTGGATCTGATGAGACGCCATCCGACGTGAAGTTGTTGTGCGGCTCGACCTCCGGGTCTTCGGCAAGGTCATTGACATGGTAGAGCTTGCTGTTACCGTTCTCCGCGGCGACGTAGATGTATCCTTTCCGGATGAGCAACATCTGCTTGGCGGGTGGATACGTGTCATAATACTTCATGTGCAAGCGGACGGGCTCCATGGTAGGCCGGTCCTGGGCGTCCTTCGCCATCTCCATCGTGAATTTAAAGACATCTCCATCCTCGGTCTGCAACAAAAAGAAGAACTCGTGCCGTGATTTCTGCAGGTGCAGGCAGCCGGAGACGATGATGCGCTTTCTGTTCGGATCCTCCGTCGGACCTTTCCGGCGCGGAATCGGTATACATAACGGGCTGGTCTTGTCATGGCGGTAGTAGATCCTGTCTTCGCAACACACTAGCACACCCGATGGACCGTCTTGCCCGCCGGGAACGCCGAACATAATGTTTGCGGTGTAGTCGACAGCATCCGTCCAGCTTTTCACCACATGGTTCAGACCCAGATCCACGGTGTAGTAGACCAGCTGCTTCTCCCGCTGCTCGTACATGGCGCCCGAGGGATCGCTCTCCGCTTCGTTGTAGTCAACCTCGAGCGCAGCGAAGATGGGATGCTCCCAGCCTGTATCAAGCGCGCAGATGCCGAAACAGAGGCTCGCCCACTGGTTCGCTTCATGCGGACTCGAGATGACGACCTCGGCTTCGGCGTTGCGGTTGACTATATAGACCACTTTGTTCTTCTCCACGCTTGCAAGCATGCAACATCTCCCGCGCGGATCGTTTGCGAGATACTGACCGGGAATCGTGCGGCGTATGCCAGACTTACCAAAGGTCTCGAGATGCACGCGCTTAAATGCATTCTTGGCCGAGTCATAGTTCAGCAAGGCTATCCTGCCGGAGTCTGAAGAGACTATGAGTTGATCTAACACCCCAAGTCAACGTCTTGCGCCACAGCAAAGGAAAGGCGCCCGAATAGAACGTAAGCGACCGGTTTCCTAGACGGCGAGACTATGGCGGCGCAAAAGCTGCACAAACTCTCACATCACTATGGGCGGTTCGCTAAGCAGCTGCGGCAAGTACATACCTATGGGGGTGCCTGGGATGCGGAATGCAGCGACGCCACGAACGATGCCGAAAACGTCCTGCTCCACCACAGTCGACAGCTTGATGACGGTTCGATCTTCATTCTCGACAATGCGGTGCAGATAGATGCGCTGGCCGCGCGCCTCGAAAATCTGCTGATCGGCTGTCTTCAGACCGGGTATGGCGTTGCAAGTGACGGCGGCCGTCACCGCAGAGGGTGGCTCCAGCGTCAGCGAATAGAACGCCTGCGTCTGTTGCGTGTTGGACATGTCGGCCGCAGCAATGCGCTCCAGGCGCTGTTAGACAGGATCACACTGGCGGAAATTGTTGACTATCAAGATTCGCGTCCTGCGTGAAAGTGCATGTGTGCATATGATTACGAGTCAAGACCGACTCTGTGGCGGAACCTTCTGAGTCATACTAGCATGCGGAAACATCTCCTTTGAGTGGGATCATTGATGGCAAGCTGCATGCACCAAGCCATCAAGACATCCTGTCGCACATATTGATTGGAGAGAGGTGACGGGATGGCGTCAAACACGGTCTGTCACCGTTGTCTTCGTGCAGCGGTTAGCTTAGCACGGTCTTCGCAATCAGCGTCGACTGCCAGTCGGCGGACGTTCACGTCGTCATCAGCAACGCGTCCCTCCCGCCGCAGAAGTATACATCAAGCCGCCGCAAGTCGAGCACCTGCTGTAGAGGCGGCTCGAGTCAGTGAACCATCTCTGCCTTACCAAGATGTACGCGGTAGACAATCCGACAAAGATGCAGCTGCGCAACGACAACCCAACCGCATCCTCCTACAACCCAACAACCTCTTCCACTCCTACACCCATTCTCCCGCGCCCGAGATAAGGAAACGAGCGGCGTTCATGCGGCAGAATGCGTACTGCCCTCATCCGGACCATCAGCCGACACGAGCACCCGTCTCGCCGGATGACCTGGAAGCGAGGAAGACAGGCGCCATGCCGCCACGGCATGTCTCATACGAGTGTCCTGACTGTGGCATTCCAGTTTCATGTTCGGAAGAGCACTTTGTCGACGACTACAGCTCACATCTGGAGATCTGCGATACGCTTCGGCAGATCAACGAAGATGATCATGACCTGCTCAGTGGCCGCTTCTTCCCCGAGTTCGAGTACCCCGGTCCGCAGATAGATGAAGCGCAAGTCAACATGACAAATTGGGACACCATGCTGTACAGCAGAGAGTTCAACGCCGTCAACGAAGCGCGCCCTATGAGGCAGGTGACGCGGTTGTTGACATACCCTGCCACGATCGCGAGTGTTCTCCATGAGCTTAGCCCGTACAGCCTTAAAGATCGCATACTACCAGAGGGTCTGCGATCGCTCAGTGGTAGGCTCACAACCTTTCGCATCCGTTTCACGTCACTAACTTCTCCTCCCAGCCCTCCGCTACACCCTACACCCACCGCGGACAGGTGCCGGTATCGACATCAAAGGTCTGCGCCCCAACCCTCCTCCCGTACGCCTTTTCATACTCGGTGCCCGTGCGGAGTCCAGTCTCCCTCGCGAGGTATGGATCCAACTTGCCCACCTCTTCCCCCGCGCCACCTTTCACCTCATCTTTATCGGTCCGGAGTCAATGTCAAACCGTGACGACGAGTTCCCGCTTCCTCCACGGACGCCCAGCAATCCGTTCGGCGCAATAGTCGAAGATCGGCTTGGCGGTCAAATGAAGATCAGCACGTATGTGGAGTACTTCCACACGCTGCATAATGCTCAGCACTTCTACCCCTATGACCCGTACTTCGACTGCTTCATGCTCTTCCACCCGGGGCTAGGACATCCGGCCAGCTCGCACGAGTGGGCCGAGACGCTACCGCAATTGCTAGAGACGAAGGTGCCTATCATTTGCACAGGGTACACAGAGTTTGACATGCAGCGAGACATCGCTTGGGTGAAGGAGCAGGCAAGGGGTGAGGCTGATCTGCTAATGCGACCAGGCGAGAACCGCTTTAGGAGTTTGAGATGGGATCTGAATGATCTGGATCCGGGTGATGTCAGTTGTGGCAATTGGGGCGTGTGGGCATTCAGAGGCAAGAGGTACGAAGCCGATGAATACCGCGGCAAGCAACAAGAAGGGACTACTGGTTGGGAAAAATGATTACTGGCAGTAGAAGACCTTCAGCATCGGGCCAATAGATTTGGGGGTGAGTACAGTAAGCTTCGCACAGTTGGAAGAACCGCTCAAGCACCACTCGCCATAAACCTAGGGTTGTTTCAGCCAAGCACACGCTCTCGAGTATTCGTCAGTTGCTTGGCCGCTGGACATCCCAAAAGTGGTGCCGATGAAGCCCTTCTCAGCACTTGATGAACTGCATGTTGATCATAATGCTGCTGCTGCCGTTGCCGCGCCCTCTCGTTCTTCCCCCCCACCAATTCGCCCAGCTCAAAGCCGCCAATATCACGGACATCTAGCTTCAAGCACCCAAGCCCGCTTCTCATCTTCATCAGATCGATGCGTGCATGCTTGAAAACTTCGAGCGCTTCCTTTGCTACTCGCCGCTGATCTCGTGCTTCGAGAGCCAGTTGGTGCGCTTCGTTGCGACCAATGGTCGTTTTGCAAGCTGTATGCCGTGCTGCTGAGGCTGTATGAAGTAGGTCGATCGCCTTTTCTAAGTCGTCCGCGGCGCCGGTATGACCACGAGTGAAGGTGCCGTGTGAAGCAAGCAGAGTGGTTGTGGGACTTGCGCTGACGGTGAGGCGTAGTTCGAGGCCGTCGAGTTGCTCGAGCATGTGGAGCAGCAGGTTCAGATGCGTCTTGGAAAGTGCCATCGTGCGCTGCTTCTTGTGCGATGTATTAATTGATTGAAGGGCGCTGTTAGCTGATGTTGGGTCTGCAAGAGATATATTCAAGTCGATATGTGCGCATGACGCGCTAGTGAACATTCGGCACATGACAACAAGCATAGTTGAGGATGCAAGGGAAGGCTTGACCATCTGATAGCACTGACTCAGCATATAAAGGTAGCTTTAGGCGCGAATGTAGTAGCACAGCAATCCTGTGACCGAGATCGCCGGGTCTCCTCCCAACGCCATTTGTGCGATGCTGTGCTCAATGTAGCCAGCATTGCCTCCGGCGCAAGCTGAAACATCTCCTTCATCAACACCCTGCCCATTGCGCAACCACTAACCCTTCTTCTTGCTAACACCCACAGTCCTACCCCTACGACCGGTCGTCTTGCTGTGCTGACCTCTCACACGCAGACCCCAGTAGTGCCTCAGACCCCTGTGCGCCCGGATCTTCTTCAACCGCTCCAAATCATCACGGAGCTTGCTGTCCACACCGTTGGCCAGGATTTGGTAGTCCTTGCCGTCCACAATGTCACGCTGACGATTGAGGAACCAGGTCGGGATCTTGTACTGGGTTGGGTTTTGGATAATGGTGACAATGCGCTCAAGCTCTTCGGAAGTGAGTTCGCCAGCGCTATGATGCGTTAGTAGGCATTGATGATGGAATGGTAAATGGTGGCGTACCGCTTGTTGAGGTCCACATCGGCCTTCTTGCACACCAAGTTGCTGTAGCGGCGTCCGACACCCTTGATCTTGGTCAAGGCATACATCACTTTCTGCTTGCCATCGACCTGTGATCGTCACTGTCAGTCCATATCCTGTGCCTGCGATCGGAATTGCGCCTCTCAGCGCGGGCGTTGCGGGCGCCACGTACGTTGGTGTTGAGCAGACGCAAGATGTATTGGAAGTTCGACTTCTCGCCGGAGACGAGCGACATGTTGGCGATGGTGAGAAGTGTTGACAATGTCGCTGTCGATGCAGAAGCTGCTCGTGTGTCGTCGTCGCTCCGCTTTGAAGTTCGGCTGCATTTTCGCTAGTGGGCTTGGCAAAGAATAGGAAGCCTTAGGCAACGAAGGCTCGAAAACAGGAGGCAGCATCCATTCCAGCTTTGAGATGATCTGTGACATCTGCATGTGTTTTCACAAGATTGATGCACTCAGTTGCCGATCATACTCAAGCGTTGCTGCCATAGAGTCAGCGCGGTCACAATGCCGGCTGTCCAGCCAAGTATCGTATCAGCGTATCGACTAAACGTGCTTCCTATAGCATGTGGTTCACAGCTCAGTCTGGATGACAATCTACTCGTTGAACAACAATCAAACTAGCGAGTCGCAACCTTAGCCGATGTGCTAGGCACGTGCAGGCAATTGATCTCGCTGATCGACTTGATGCGAGCGACTGTGCGGATTGGCCGTCCGAAACGAAGCAAGTTCTTCGTGTTGAGACAATAAAAGATAAACCAGAGACTGCGCCTCATCTCGTTCCCAAAAGCGCATTATAGTCAGAGAGTGCTACGGCTATCCAAGCTTGCTCGCCTACACAGCATCGGCTTGAGATTAATGAAGGTGTTGGCAGCTTATCTCCAAGGTACGGAGGAAGCCTGATTTGCTGCCGTGGCAGTCGACTGGTCATTTACAGGGAACTCCGTGCGTGAGTTAGGACACGGTAGATGGAGCCACGGAAGCGTATAGGCGATGCTTGATCATGACAAGCGAGAGTGCTCACTCAGCAAGTAGGGCATATCGTCTCTGCACGGGCGCCCCAACACCGTCTTACAACTTCGGCCCCTGCATGCATCGAGCTTTTTCACGTAACAGCCTCCGGCGCCATGCAGCCCAGGGTCATCTACAAGTGCAATGCGTATGATTGGGTGGTATCGAATTGTATGCGTACAAACTCGCAGTACGGATGCATCTCTTCGCTGGAGTGGGGAGAGTCATCCATCGAAAGTGTCCGCCTGTTCGTGGGTACTCCGCCATGCGTGATCCCAATCGCAATGCCATGCGGCGAAAGGAGAAGGAGGCGCCAGGGGTTCAGATTCTGGGGACGGGTTTTAGAGTGGAGACCCGCAGATCTCGTCCGTGCTTCTATCGACCACAAAAATGCTTCCCCAAATCTTGGATGCCTGAAGGCGAGAAGGATCACATCTTGTGCGCCGAATCTGTACACACTACAACCCATCCGTCTGAAGCACTCGCGCAGTTGTTTGTTAGTGTGCAATGCTAGACTTCTATATTCGAGAGTCTGGGAACTTGTCAGCGATATGCGCGTCAACACTACCCTTATTATGCACGTTCGCCAGTCAATTCCGGGCTCTAGCACCCTTGACGGCTCGACCACAATCATCAAGCCAGGATTCCAATATTGATAGCTTCTAAGTTTAGCGTGGATTCGGCAGGTTGTGCGGATGGATAGCTGAGCGTTTGCTAGACTAGTCCGATGTAAGGCTGATCTCACGCCACGACTAATGTTCCGATGACAAGCGAACCTATCGTTCGCGACTTCACTACCCGACTATCAGGGGCACGTCCATTTGTGGCACATCGACAGACTTTGACTCAACGGTACGACTGCGTTTCAGAGGGTGTATCGTGGCTGGTCTGGAGGCGGACGAGTGATCTGGTCCGACCAGAGATGGGATAAGTACTGTTGGCTCTCCTTACCTCCCTTCGCCGTCTGTCTTGTCTCGTACCGACATCCCCACAAGCGTGCCACCCCTTAGCTGCGCATCTGAACCTTGACTTACTGTGACACGAGCTCGCTCAGCGGGATTGCGCATATAAGAATCGCAGGCCAGTCACCTTGTTTAGCCGACTTACCTGCAACTTTCGGTGCATACATTCACGACTAGTTAAAATGGCAAGCGAAGCTCTCGACCGGCGGGCTGCGGCCGAGCTCAATGTCGAGATCATCCCAGGTACCGAGGTGATGACAGATGTTGGTGATGTGCACTTTGCGCATGCCGGCGGCTCAGAGAAGGGCTCAGTGTTCGTACCATCGAAGGGCCTATGCCATTGATCGAAACGGCGTCTAACAACTTCGGCAGCCTGGTCCCTCATCCGACGAACAACCCCAACGACCCGCTCAACTGGTAGGTCAAATCGTGTCCTACGCTTCGACAGGAGCCGGAGACTAACGTACAATGAACAGGTCTCTTCTCTGGAAGCTTACAACCGCTATCTCCCAGCTGCTCTATGTGTGGGTCCTCGTTTGCTCGGCGCTATCCCTCGCTCCCATGTTCCCATTCCTGGGCATGGAGTTCCACCTCAACCAGCAGCAATTGTCACTTCTGACTGGTTTGAATGTGATCACACTTGGCTTCGCGAACATCTTCATTGTCCCGTTGAGCAATATCTTCGGCCGCCGTCCGACCTCCATTTTCTTCGGTATTCTGGTCGTACTCACGAACATCTGGCAAGCTCTGGCAACTAGCCACCACAGCTTGCTCGCTGCTCGTGCTCTCAACGGCATCGCTGCCGCCACTAGCGAGACGATCATGGTTCAGGTCATCGCGGACATGTTTTTCCTGCACGAACGTGGCCTCTGGGTAAGCCCCCATCCACCAACAATGTTCATGCATAAGCTGACGCAAAGCAGGTGGGCATCTACTTCACCATGTACTTCTCGGGAGCTTTTCTTGGCCCAATAATGGCTGGTAACATCGCGGCACTTCATGGCTGGCGCAGCTTTTTCTGGCTGTCTGTCGCACTTGCTGGGTTCGTTACGATCCTCCTCGTAGTGGCCTTCCCCGAAACCCGCTGGCGCCGCCAGTCTGCCAACCACTCCGGTGTTACCACGACCGCCACGAAGGACAACGGCGAGATCGAGGAGAAGCATGTTGACTCCGAAGCCAATAGCGAAGCTGCCCAAGGTGGTCAGCTTGTAGGAAAGGGCAAGCCCAGCAAGCTGCAGTGGTCGCCAATCCAGAAACCGGATAGCAACTGGGCATCATTCATCGTTCGCGACATTACGACGCCTTTCGTCGTCTTTGTCAACCCTATTGTCTTCTGGGCTGCTTTGATGCTTGCCGGTCCGGCAGATCTGCTCTTGATCTTTAATCTTACGTAAGCGATGCGCAGCGTCCTATTCCTGAGCAGTCTACTGACAGCAATCTATAGTGAGTCTGGTCTTTTCGGCTCTCCTGCCTACGGCTTCAACCCTGGACAAGTCGGTTATACAAACTTCGCCTTCTTCGTTGGTGGCATATTCGGTGTGCTCACTGCTGGTCCTCTCTCCGATTGGTGGGCTCGCCGCGCTACGATCAAGAACAATGGCGTGCGTGAGGCGGAAATGCGTCTTCCCGCCCTAATCCCGTACGTCTGCTTCTTCATCATTAGCCACGTTGTCGGCGCAGTCGGCTACACCAAGCTCTGGTCGTGGTCCGCCATTGTGGTCGCCGGCTTCGGTTTCTCTGGCTTGGCCGTCACCTCAATTCCGACCATTGCCATTGCTTACGCCGTGGACTGCTACAAGCCCATCTCTGGCGAGATCATGGTTGTTGCCACCGTGCTAAAGAATGTCCTCGGTTTCTGCCTGTCCTACTGGGTCTTCAATGTCATGGCCATGGATGGCTGGGTCGCCGTGTACATGACGCAGTTTGCTGTGTCGATGTTGCCGGTGGTCTTGACCATCCCGCTTTACTTCTTCGGCAAGAACCTGAGACGGTGGACGAGAAATTCCAGCCTTCACCGCATGGAGGCATTCTGAGCAAGATGCTAAACTTCGTCGCGTATTATGAATTGATCGCTGCGCGCTTCATACAGTTCTCTTCAGCTTGACATAGCACATGAACAAACGCTGTATTTTCACCTTATCTCACGTGTCCCGTCGCGAGACGACTCTCGAAGCGCCTTCTCTCCCGTTGACTACCGCGTCGACGATCAGATGGATGTGATGTGTTCCAGGAGCTCTCTAGTATGATGCACGGCGAAGCAAGTGTGGGCTGACATACGAATGCTTCACAGAGATAAGCTCAAATGGATGTCGGGACATTCCCACCATTACATGAAGGCTATAGGCGCTTGGAAGGCCGATGATGCCTTCTCGATAGCCTTCGGCTCTGGGTTCACAAATGTTGTGATCATACCATCGCGATCTACCTCGTAAGCAAGACAGGCCATCTAGCGAGAGACGGTTGACGCGGAAGCGAGCGAATACATCGCGTTTCCCAAATCGTGGGACGTGCGGCAGAACGTGATGTCTGCAAAAGGTAGCTGGAAGACAGGTTATGGCGAACGGAAGCTGTACCTCTTTGCCCTGGGCGAGGCACAATAGAGCATCAGGACCGACAGACTCGCCATCGGATCGTTGCAAGGCGGCGGATTGTGCCTGTGAGGTACCGTGGAGCAGCCTCGTGCCCACACGCTGGCATCGAGGAGCATAGACCGTCTGGTTGCGGGAGTAGTCGAAAGGTTCAGCTGTGTCCGCTGGAGGGTGCGGAGTAGGTCTCACCAGTAACTGCAAGTAAGTTCGGTCCATATGCTGTCTATACGGCGATACTATATATACGCTTTTTCTAGCATTGTAGACTCCAACCTGGGGTATCCGCAAAGTGTACGCCTCCATCGAGGTCGTAGCATGCCGTAGCAGAATGGGAATGCAAAGTGCAAATGAAGCGTGACATTGATCGCATGCCATCGTCACCACCCAGTTGCCGTCGTCGGTGCTGTACAGAGAAGGCCATAATCTGTGCTCACCCAGGCATCTCACGTGCTGAAAACTGGCGCCTTGACCAACACCGATCGGCCTCTGATGGAGACGCCGATGCCCGCGGCCATCCTGACCCTTGGCGGCACATCGTCCTTCATGCCGTGTGAGCTCTCTGGCCGGTTGAGGCTGCTGGAGCTACCACCCGCACCAGCATGCTTGCCTTGTGCAGCCGTGCTCTTCGTCTTGCCCGTTCCTGTCAGGGCGCTAAGCATGCTTCGCTTCTTCGGATGCTCGCCACCACCCAGGGACGTACTGTTTTCCGTCATGTCTGTGATGTCGCTGCCTGCGCTCTTCAAAGAAGCACGCTCCGTCTGTTCGTCGTGTATTGACACGTTGAGCGGCGGAATGCCAGATTCCATCTTCATCTGCTCGTTCATAATGCTGTAGTTCGGCTTGAAGTACTCGATCACAACATCTCGACTCTCCAGTGGGAGGTGAATCGCAATGCTAACGACAAGCTCGATAATCATGTGTACACCGCCCTCCAAGTCAGAAGGGGGTGGGTCCTGCAGGTGCACGGCTAGTGCTGAAATCAGCTCGCCTTTCATCAAGTCCGTGAGCTGCGCCCGGTTCGTGGGACACTGCGGCGATCGCAACGCGTCTTGTAGGCCTTCCAAGGTTGCTAGTCGCCAATTCACAACCTTCGATGTCAGGAATTCTTCTTCTTCCACGCTCTGTGCCGTAGGCGCGAACTTCCGAATGTTGTGTTGGATCGCCTTGAGCTGGGCTGATAGCGTGGGCTCAAGATCAGGGTGGAAGTATTTGTCGAAAGCCTCTTCCACAAGCCATCGGGAGATAAACGCACGTCCGACCGCCGTCATCTCCTGTTTCCCTGTTGCGACAGCATCGCGATTGACTGACTTGAATAGCCATTCGGGCACAGACCTCCAGCTTTTCCTGATGCTGAATGCTAATTGCGCAGTGAGGCCGTCGAGCCGGTTGAAGCGGGTAGTATATTCGCTGTCGTCAAGCGATGTTCTTGACTGTGACAATCGTTGATGTGCGAGACTGTTCTGTAGTTGCTTCACTTGGTCTTCTTTCTCGAAGTAGTACTTCTTCACTTTGGTGTACTTTTCGCCTGTCCCATGCCGTTAGCATGGTGTGTCATTGAGTAGTAGCAAGACAGCAACATACGAAGCTCTTTGTGATCTTTTATCAACTGGTTGATGTCCTCCTCGGTCATATCTTCACCGAGCTGAGCAGGTTGTGGTGTCACTCTGCCGACGTCACCCTGTTGCTGACTTGCGCCGTTCTTGTATCCCTGCCCTTGGCCAGCGGAAGGTACCACCGATGCATTGAATGCCGGCACGCCTTGTTGCTGACTTGATCCGTCGCGCGCCCCAAGTCCGTTGTGCACGCTCTGCCTATTGCTCGCACCGGTCTTTACGGGCCGTGGCGCTGGTAAGCTGCCATTGTTAGACGAGGACATTGACGTGTCGTCAGCACCAGGCTGCGAGAAGCTGCGATTGGAGCTCAAAGTTGGCCTCGAGCTGTCCTGGCCAGAGGATTGCGGGCCGGAGTCGGGTGGAGAGTATTGTGGTTGGGAATAAGCTACCTGTGGGACGACGTCAGTGTAAAGTCAAAAGGATGTAACGAATGTGAAAAGCGCTGACTGGTTGTGTCTGTATAGCAAGACCTGCATTTGGGTGCGACGCCTGTGCCCCTCGCGCGCTTGAATATGCGGCTTGCTGCGAAGGATGCGGCTGAGTTTGTTGGTGCAGGCCCAATTGTGGCTGTGCTTCCTGACCGGGGTAAGCAGCACTGACAGAACTATAGCCGCCCTGATCGCCGCCCGGCGGTGGGCTCGTCACACTCTGACCACCTTGCCGCTGTTCACGGAAGCCTTGCTCAGTGTTGAGACGCTGCAGTCGTCGCTGCGACCAGCGATCCAGGGCGGAAGTACCGGGGCCGGAGTCGGACGAGACCTTGCCAGCGCTGATGTGCTGGCCTCCACTCATGAGCGCGTCTTCGTCGAAGGCCTCAGGCTGTTCGCCAGGCGGTGGTAGTTGCGAGAGGTCCGGTGACCAGACGGGCGACGGTAAAGCAGAGTTGTCGTAGGGTTCAAAGTTATTTCTCTGCGAGCGTCCGCCTTCCCTACGAAGCACAGTTTGCGACCTGCCCAAGCCTCCACCGAGTGTTGGGGACGGCTGTCCAAAGTCGTCAGATGCGTCGAAGTTGAAAGCCTGGTCGCCAGTGGGTATGACTGCAATCGAGCGCCGGTCTGAAGCAGACTCTTAGCACTCTGGGCGCAGTCGCGTGACTGTAACATCCAACATACCACCAGCGTAGCCCGAGCTAAAGCGCTCACTCACACTCGTACTGCGGCTCAGGTTCGTCTGCGGTCGTGGAGTCGGGGACGGGGCGGGAGGAGGCGGCGGATGCGGGCTCAGCGGAAGGTCAATGGCATGGTCAGCGAACAGGAAGACAAGTGATTACTGTGCGAATTCCACGTGCGGCTCCCCGCCACGGCGTGCATTGTCTGAGACAGAACTTACCTGGGTGCTGCGACTCGGGGAACCAGCTAGTATTGTGACTTGACTTTGTCCTCCCGTTCTTGAGGGAAAACCGCGGCATGGGAGTGCGCTTCTATCTCCAACGGCCCACCCAAGCGCAAGTAGGTTGTCTCAGACGGTGTAAGGGCCCTATTTCGGGGACACAGCTAGAGCATCTAGCCTCTGGCAAGATTGTGGGAGCGTTGGCGATGGTGTGCTTGATGGTGCCTGCGCTGCACGCTTCACCCCGGCTTGCTACGCGCTTGTGACGGAATACTAGTAGGGAGCATGCAAGACAGAGGATCGAAAACCCTCCCGCCTCCGTCCCCAAGCTTCCAAGCCATCAACGCCAGCGGGCTGCCCTTAGTGCTGCGCCGCCACAATCCCTTCTCATTAGTCTGCCAAGCGAGCAAGATCAGCTCGAGCTGTCCTCCGCTGCCGTGAGCAATGGCTTGCGCAGCGTGCTCGTAAGCACCTATCAAGCTCCCGCATCGATAGGCGTCTTCGCAGCCCTACGAAGCGTAACTACACCCTATGCGCGCAATGCTCAAGGCTGCTAGCACGCTCACCCCACCTATAAGGCCTTGCCTCTACAACGACGGCTTAGATGAGAGCTCAGACCGCAATCGGGTTCTCCACGTTTGAATAGACCTAAAGTTAGAGCTCCCTGCGTCAAATGCTCCGCTCTGTCGAACGGTCGCACAAAAACCTTTCGAATCGGTTGCTGTTCGGGTCCGTTCTCACGACGTTGCAGCACACCGTCTCCTGCCTCCCGCTATACAAGTGGTCGTCTACGAGGCTCTCGCATGGCTGTCTCGGGGAACAGACACCATTGTGGGCCCCAGTTTGCCGCCTAGGCATGCACTGATGGTGCACGGGTGGACCCTCTTGGTCATTTACATGCGACTGCATGCATTCCGAAGCCAAGGAGTTTGGCATTCGAAGTAGATGTCTCAGAGCAATATGGAGACGGAACTTGCGTTCATTGCCGAGCTGCTGACATGCGCACAACACTGCCTCGGGACTCCTCGGTCTATTGACATATCTACCAACAACGTCAGCGCACATGGTGGAATACAGAGCGCCCGTTTTGTGTAGTAGACCGGCTGAGCGACGGTGAAACGGCAACGCTTCTGCGAGACGTTGAATCGTGTAACCGTAGGTAAGGAAGCTGTGAGCTGCAGTGAACCGCTCCTTCCTCGTCTGTTTGGTGACTCGCAGGTGTCGTTCCTCACCTTGGTGCTCAATCCCACATCCATTCACGCTCAACGGAAGACTATCGCTAACGCTCGGAACTGTTTGTTGTACACTGCCCGAAGAGCGGAATATCACGATTGAAGCAGGGTGCTCCTGTACCAGATACACCGCATTGCAGCGTCCCAATAACAACACCATGTTCGCGCCCACCTATCTTGCACTTCTGTCAGTCTGCGCATCCTGGGTCTCCAGTGCCGCGGTGCTCGTCAATATCCCGGCATTTGGGATCACGCAATTGCGCATTCTTCAGCTTCATGGCGGCAACACCACCATCAGCTTCACCGTCCATGACCCGAACCCTCTGGCGAACGCCACGCAGACGTGTACTGGCAGGTGGACAACCAACATCAGCAACTATCCGCAGGGCACCTACGTGAGTCGTCGCGGATCTCTTCTCGAATCAGGACGATCGGCTAACGGAACTCTAGCAACAATGCGGGAACAGCACCCTCGCGTGGAATATGCAGAGTTTTGTCGACATTAGCGACTTCCAGCTAGGCGTCGAGCACCTCTTCAGAGATCCAAAGTACGTTGACACCCAGTTCGTTGTGGCGCGAGCTTCGCAGCTGCGGAGCAGGTGTACATCATAATATGATGAACGTAGCGGCTCATAGAGACTGCTGTTGTGATGAAACGGTGCTGATACTTGCGTAGGGTGGGTGTGTATCCCTACGATATGATCATAAACTTCGGCAAGGCTGTGGTCAATGAATCGAGCTGCGCGTGTTCGGCTCTTGGTGGGTTCGCAAGCTGCCAACAGCGCACTGGCAAGATCCTGCATGCGCCGGTGTACGCGTCCGTGGCGAAGCGCAAGTCATGATTCGAATGTGGCTGCGGCTTCTAGGGCAAGTGTGGAACCTACAGAGGCCTGAGCCAATGTGCCTGGATGTTAATGATTCCGAGCCATTAACCGCTGAGAGTGTCACTTACCCTAGATGCCTACAACGAAATTATGTAAAGCCGCACAGCATACGTACATCAAGACGTTGAAAAATACACGCGGTACTAGACACCCGCCTTCAAGAGCTGGTCGCATTCTTGAGTACGATAGCAACTCACAGCGGTAGGCGATGCACCCACCCGAGCTGTGGCTTTCATGTTCTGTTTGTTATCCGGATGTGGGGACGATAATCAGATATATCAAGATGCTATCAAGTGTACAGGGGTGCGCCGCAGATTGTCGCCAAGGAGCCAATCGGCTTTTTGTCTCGACACACAGCAGCATGGAAAACCACTCGTGCGACGATGGTCGATCTGATTCGTGAAGCGCTCCCCATCGCAGCGATGCATCAGCCGACAATGGCTGCCATCACCGCTTGCCCTCAGCAGCAACCGATTTACGTCGGTTACAGCCTTATTGTCGGACTTTGTTGGCTTGTAAACCATGCTCCATCCACCAGGATTGCATGTGCGACAGCGATCCGTTGGGCGCTATGAGCCCGAGAGCAAAGACGAACAAGCAGAGGAGCCCTTACTTGATGCAGTATTCACTCCTACCATCGTTCTCACCAAGAGAGCCGGTGCCGTAACGCTCTACGCTCTGTGGGCGATGACATTGGTCGTCACGTCAATTGTCACTGCTGTCCTGACTAGGCGACTCACATACCAATCCCTGGGCGCCTTCGATAATGGCTTCGAAACGGAGCTTTGTACGTGCATGTACGTTTTAAAGAAGACAATTGACCACTGACATTCAAGCATGCAGATAAGGCGAGACCACACATCCAGGTCCTCCGAGAACAATTTACCGGCAGCCTGGACTTCAAGGACCGCTCTGGCTTCATCCCACCGGACTCGCCAAGTATGAAATACATCGGCGCAACCCCTGACGTTGATGCAGCGTGGATGGAGCTAGTGGGAGACCGATACTTCCTACTCTCGGACGAAGAAGCTGATGCCGCTTTTGGCCCGAATGCTGCTCGCTACTGGAACGTTCATCATGGCGGATACGCAATCGGACTTGATGTTCTTCACACGCTTCACTGCGTGAACCAGTTGCGGATGTCGCTCTACCCCGAGGTCTATCCGCAGGACCCACGGCATGGGGTGATGCATAAGGCGCACTGTGTCGATCATTTGCGGCAGCTCGCGATGTGTGGCAGTGACCTGACGCCGATTCCGACCCAATGGTTTCCGGGACTTGGTCAGAATTACATCAACTCATCACAGGAGCATACCTGTCGAGACTTTTGGAGGGTCCGGGAGTGGGCTACCGAGCGCTTCAATGGAAGCACGGCGGTCAAGCCTCGCAATCGGGATGGTGAGCATCAGACCGTCAGTCAGTGACATGGAGGGTTTTAACCTTAGTGTAGGCTCTCCGCGAGAGGATTTCTACGCTCCCTGGTCGCCTTGAATACCGTCGAAGGGTTCTAAGGGCTGCATCGTAACGTCATCCGCATGTCGCCCACCGACCGAGCGGGCTTTTGACGGTTCTCCAGTCGTGGATACGTACGATTAGAGAAGGGTGCCTTGTGCCAAGATAACTCTAGCTCCGATTTCATTCGCCGTGAATGAGCGTCCGGGCACATCCGGTTAACACTAAACTCTGTGTCTTTCCACAATAATGTAGACTGTCTGCCTAAGTGCCCACTAGATCAGGAACAGTGACCAGGTCTCCCTTCGCGGCAAGGTGCCTTCTCCTCCGTGTTGGGTATCACGTATGGTAGCCTGCACAATCTAATGGCGCAGCGGAGAGCATTTAGTCATGGGAAGATGCACGTCTGAAACGAGAGTTTGGTGGCAAAGCCATTTTCTTAGACTTCTACTATCTTACATGGTGGCCTCGCATCGCTGCCGGCCGGACTCTCCCCGTCTGAAAGCAATGCAACGAAAACGCAACGCACCGCAGACTAAGCTATGGAGGCAGGCGGTGTTGCTGTGCCCGCACCATCCTTCTATACCAGCAGAAGCCTTCTGTGCAGCAAAAGCCTTCTTTGTCAGCAACATCCTTCTTTGCCAGCAACACCCTTCTTTGCCGGCAACATCTTACTCTACCAGCAGGATCCTGCGCTGCGAGCAACCTTCTGCGCTCCTACGCTGCCAGTAACATCTTGCTCTGCTGACATTACCCTAGTCTACGAGCAACCTCCTGCAGTGATTAGTTATTGCACTGTGCACTCAGCGCAGGTGCGTCTTGCGGTCGCACACGATCACCTCCGCCTTGTGCAAGTCCGTTTGGACAAAGTTACCGCCAGCAAAGTCCTTCTGCAAGACCGACGGAGCCATGGTGACACGAACCACCCAGATCGGCGGATCCTCATCGCACTTCTGGCCAGCAAGCTCCTCGTTGCGCTGGACCATAAGCTTATGGTCCCAGCGGCAGCCATAGCGGTAGAACATCGTGTCAAAGTACTTGGGCTCCTTGCGCATGCGGATGGCAATCTTGAGAGCCTCGAGCACGGCGCTATGCATCAACTTTTGAGCATTGGCAAGCTCTGATTGCGGAATGACTGGCAAGAGCTCGGAAAGAAGCTGGTGGCTCAGATCTTCTGCTTGATCCTTAACCCACTGCTGGAAGCCGGGCGTGGCGGTGATGATATTGGCCAGACGAGCACGCTCGATGGCGACGGTACTGCGAGGTCCGTACTCGTTGGCCGAGAAGAGATTAGCAGTCAGTCTCTGCTCCGCACGCCATACATCTAGGTAGTGATTGGCAAGCGCGAAGATGGGGTGACAGTTAAGAATGGCATGCTCGAAGATCTCGTCAACGACCTTGCGATTGGTGACGCCGATGAGCAGCGGCAGACGGAGGTTGGTATGGCCAAGCATGTAGATTGCCTGGCCGCGGCTGTCGAGGTGCTCACCGCAGAGCCTGACAAGGCGCTGAACGTCGCGATCGTTAGACCTGCCGGAGATTGGAATACTGGCAAAGCGACGGATCAGAGTCTCGATCTTGACGAAGGCCGAGTGGAGCAGCTCAGAGTACTCCTTCTGATCGAATTGAGCTGGAGCGTGACGGCTTGGTGGACCGAAGACATCATCAGCTGGGTTGGGGTTCGTGATGGCCATGGTAAAGCCGCCCGGTGGAGTCGGAGTCGGAGTGAAGCTTGCGCCGCCGGCAGTGGCGAGATTCGGAGCGCTCTGCGCGGATGGCAGCATCAAGCCATTGCCAGCAGCAGTGGCAGCATGCATTGGCATGTAGCCGGCATGCCCTGGGTGAGTGAAGGCGCCAGCGAGCTGCCCTTGAGTGGCAAGAGGCGTAGTCGGATAGACCAGACCAAGCTCCAGCTGACGAGTGCGTTGCTCAATGTGGCTCAGAATGGCGTCGCGGCGAATTGTGCGGTTCTCGTTGGCTTCCTGCCTGTCCATAAGGGTGACGAAGTCTTGATGCTGCTTCGTAAGCTGAGCTTGCAGGTCGCCATAGTGCTCCTTCCTCGTCTGCTCCAAGGCCTCGTGCTTATTGTACATAGCAACGTAGGCCTTGCCCATCGCTTCCACAAGGCTTTGCAAATCGGAGATGGTTTGCGTATCCCGCTGCTGACTTTGCTGGACATGCTGAACATCTTGCTGGACTTGCTGAACACCTTGCTGGACTTGCTGGAGCCCATGCTGAAGAGTGTGGATCATGCTACCGAAACGAAGAAGCTCATGCTGAGTACTTTGCTGAGTGGCAGCAACGTCTTCCTTGGTGGCCATTGTCAACTTGGTGTCGGCGATGCGCTGCTCGTTATCGGCGATGCTCTGCTTGGCGTAGGCGATGCTTTGGTTGGTGGCAGTAAGGTCGTGCTTCGACACCATGCGCCCAAATGTGGCAGCGGTAGCTCGCGTCGTGGTGGCGAGATCCTGCTTGGTGGCCATGATGCTCTTGGTGCACTCCTTCTTCGCGGCGGCGAACTTGGTATCCATGCCATGGGTGAATTCGTCAATGTACTTGTGAGTGTTGCCGAGCGCCGCTTTCACCTGCGTCTTCGCCTCGCTAGCGGCAGTCACGCTTACCTTCGCATTCACGATCTTCTGCGCCTTGCTGAGATGCTTGTTTATTTGGGTTTCGGCAATACCGAGCTGAGCGCTGATTGCTTTCCGCTCAGCAGCGCAGCGTTCGTCCAGCATAGCCTTGAGCTGGTTGTTCAACTGCTCGTGCTGTCTATCGAACTCCCTGCGCAGATTTTCGGCGCTGAAGATGTCTAGCTTAGCACCGTCGGCTTGACCACTCTCCGCCAGAGCTTTGATGACCTTGTTGTTGGTTTGCTCGCTTGGATCAGATACGCCGCGGTAGTGAGTGTTGCGGTAGGCCGAAAAGCCAGCAGTCGGACGCTGTACCTTGGCGCCGCTGTCGCTGTCACTGTTGATAGTGACGACCTTGCGGAAGTCGGCAGCAGTACCGTGGACAGAAGATGCACTTGAGGTGGTGCGCTTGCGGAAGACTTCGCCGCCCAAAGCAGCCGACCCGGTAGTACCTGCCAAGATTAGCTTGCCAAGCGTGGAGTGAGGGTAAACAGCCCACATACTGGACACAACCCGCGCGCTGTCGCCACGCTCCATGGCAGTGCCGTCGAGCCCGAAAAGGGAAGAAAGACTGCGATCAGTCAGTAAGCTGCAAGGACGGAGAGCGCAAGAGTGACTTACGTGCCCGAAGGCTTTCCCGAATTGACACGGTTGGCCTTCATCGCCTCACGCTCGCCGCCAATAACGCCGTGCTGAGACGTATCGCGACCTTTGTCCACCTTCGCAAAATCGTAACCGCCTGAACCGTCCATGATGGTTCTCACTCGTCAAAGAACGCTTGGTGGTAAGGACGGTTGTCACGTCTCAGCTTGCCCGCTGAAAAGATGCTGCCGCTGCCTGCCGCACAAACCTGTGGGAACAAAGCAATGCAATAAGTGTTACCTTTGTGTGTACGGACTGCGGTAGCAATCGATACGGCTCGTGCGAGCGTGCTCAAACCTTGCTGAATGTAGTTGTCGAAGAAACCGTGGAAAGTCTGTGAAGCTGCATAAGTGTCAGTGAGCTGTAAATGAGCGGCGGCGCCGATATGGTGACCGCCGAACTTTGTTAATGGTTTAGAAGCGTACCTTGAACGCTTGGAAGTAGCTAATGGCCAGCCGCCGTCACCGACTAAGCGGTGTTGGTGGATGGCAGGATGGTGGTAGGTGGTGTGTGACGGTGGAAAGTCGAGCAGCAGCTTCAGAAGAGAAGCTGGCGGAGTTGAAGTGGGGGCTAATTTGGAAGCAGACTGATTAACCAAGGCAGCTGTTGATGCAGAAACCGGTCTGGTGGAGCTTTCGATTGATATTGCAGGGTCCTGCAGCGAGAAAAGTTCACTCAGATCAGGAAGGAACGTCGTTGCCAGAGTGATGGGCTCCGGCATGGTCGCAGATGGCAACGGCGCTCACGCGGAACCCGTACACCGCGGTGGCAGTACGAAGCATGGGTGACGAGTAGGACACAATCGTATCTTGCCTTACCTGTTATCAGTATTGACTTTCTCGTCGCTGATGCCGTGGACCTTGAGGTCCGATTCTGTCGCCTCGCCTCCGTCTCCAGCAGAGCGTCCAGAGCGCAGCTTCCTCAAGTGTTTGTGTAACAGCCTAGCTTCGTACCCTGCAGCTCACCGGTCTGAAAGCCTGGGTTCTTGGTTCGCACGGAGATTTGGGAATCACAAGTTCCGGCTGTAATCGGCAGAGCTGCTTTAACGTCACTTCACGCTGCGCTTGAGCTTAGCAGATCCGCCATGCAAATCCAACACGATAGATCACCTACCTCAAAACCAGATGAGGCTTCCCACCATATGAATGACAAGATGCCGTCCAAGTTTGAAGCTGCCAAAGGTGTTGTTGATGCTATTGCGACGATTCCAGGCAAGTTGTGCTTGGCGGTAGTCTGAAGCTTAGCACGTGACGCCAAGATTTTCCACCGGCGCTGAGGGTTGGAAGGTTTACTTACGCCACCAATACCACTTGGGGTGCGCTCTGCCAGCAGCGAGGTCAACACCCGAAGCCCAATGCACTGCCCGGTTGCGTGAAAGATGGTAATCGAACAAGCACGGACTACAGTTGCCGGAATCAGCAAGCCAGAAGGTGAAGTTAAAGAGTATGAGCAATGCTGTTGGTTCGAATCGGAGCGATCCCAGCAGTAACGGTTTCCGTGAGCACACTATCTGAGCGTCAATTTCTGTGTCGACGCCCGTATTGCTTAAGATGCGCTCCTGCATCCTCCATGTGGAAGAATTTACCGCTGAATCAACCATCTTCCGCAGCGCCACCGCTGTGACCACCCTCCCAGAAGCACGCCGATTAAACCCACGCCATGATTCTTGCCATTCAACGTCTTGAGTGCACATCCCGATGAAGTCCACGCTATGATTCCTGCCCTTCTCCAATCTTGAGTGCATTATCTCACCCTATAACCTTGCCTGGTCTCATTCTTCATCGTCAACATGAACAACCCCGCTGCCTGCTGTCTGCACGCCTGCTTGCTTGCTTGAGCTGCCTGCCCGCCTTACCAAGGTCACAGACGAGAAAGTTGAAGAAGCAACGCGCACGCTCAAACTCACCTTCATCACAAGTTGGCCGCTTTCGGGAAATTCATGTTGTAGACGGCGTCGACGACGTACTGGGCGGTGATCATGCGCCCGCCGTACATGCGACCGTTCAGGCCGCGGATGGCGTTCTCGCCGCCCTGCTTACGGTCAAATTTGATGTAGATCTCGCCGTCATTATTGTCGAGGGCCAGGCCAATGTGAACGACCTGGCCATACTTCTCATCGCATTCGACTTTGACGTCTTCCTCAAGCTCCTTCTGCCAGCCAGGCTCGGTCTCCCTGTGTCAATGTTAGCGATGGTCAAGCGAAGAATCTGAGCAGTACGGGGAAGGGTTGAAGTACTCGGCCTGGTTGTATACATTTTTCAGCAGCACGCATCTACTTGGCGCTGGCTGATCGACCGGTCCAGTCGGCTTCTTCTGCATGGTCTTCGGAGCAACTTTCTCCTCCGAATCATCAGTGCGCGCAAGCTTCCTCATCAGAGCGTCGCGAGAATAGTTGCTGAAGTTGACGCCAGCGACGTCGGTGTCGTCGAGCGCACTGGCACCGCCGGTCTTGTCGGCATCCCTGCCGCTAGCACGATCGAAGTTTGCCTGACCACCAGCGTGAGCACCGCGTCCACCCATGCCCGAGAACGAGCTGCCTTGGAATGCCGCAGCTTGACCCTGAGAGGCGAAACGCTGTAGCAAAGACTGCGTGCTCTCCGGCGTAAACTTGTCATTGCCTAGGCCCACGCGAATGGGGCGGCCAGCGAGCTCGAAGCCGTTCATTTTCTCGAGCGCTTCTTTTGCCTGTGCAGGGTCAATGAACTGCACGAAGCCGTAGCCTTTGCTCCTACCCTGCTCCTCCTTCTGGAGCTGGACGAATTCGAGCTCGCCGAAAGGCTCGAAAACGTTCTTGAGGTCGTCTTCGGTGATGGAGAAGTGTATGTTGCCAACGTAAAGGCGATGGAATGGTATCCCATTGGACTGGGTAGCAGTGCCTTCGGTGTGGCGGGCCTGCCGATTCTTCTCTGCTTCTGTGAGTTGCGCGATGATAGGTATACCAAGTAGCTTCTGCCCGGTGAGTTGAATAGCTTTCTGTACTGACTCTTCGTCCTTAAATTCAACATATCCCACACTGAAGAGGTGTGTCAGCAGTGCAATAAATCGCGCAATCAAGTATACTTACCCCTTCGAGCGTCCGCTCACCCTGTCCTTGACTATTTGCGCTTCCACCACCGGTCCGACTGCCTCGAAGAAGGCCTGCAGCTCCTTTGTGCGCAAGCGGGCTGCAAGCTGCTGCACGAAAACGGTGCGCCTGTCACGCTCATCATCAGTTGGCTCCGGTGACTTTCTCTTCGGCGGGGTGGTACGACGCTGTCTGTCGCGTCGATCGTCATCGCGCCTATCGTCGCGCCTGCTGCCATAAGCTCGATCAATCTCGCGGTCACGCCTATCACGAGGCTCACGGCGGTCGCGGTCATGCCTGTCATCCTTGCCGGGACGGTAGTACCTGTCATCGTCATCATGGTCTACTGAGTGACGAGGTCTGTGAGAGCGCCGATCATCATCATCGCGGAGCCTGCTGTTGCGAGGGTCACGTCGATCGTAGTCACGGTCGCGATAGGCGTCACGGTCGCGAGGTGAGCGCCTAGCACGTGGGCTGCGGGATCGGCGTCTGCTCCGGACACTACCATTAGCAGAAGCCTTGTCCGAGTCTCGGCCCACATCTTCCATCTTGACGTCTTTCAGGTCTTCCATCTTGACATCCCTCAGGTCCTCCATTTTCACATCCCTTATATCCTCCGTTTTCACCTTCCTCATGTCTTCGTCCGAGACGAGCTCCTTGGATCGACGGGACCTGCGCTCGTCATTCGCTTCACGCTCATCGGAATACTTGTCCTTGTCGCCGCCCCTGCGGCGTGGGTCGCGATTGCCATTCTCGGTCGGCTTCGCGGGGTCGCTGTCGTGGGTCTTGGCACGCTTCTTCTCGAGCGCTCTCTTCTCCTCCTGCTCGAGGAGCTCGGCTACGTCCTGGCTGTCCACAGTCGGCATCGTGAGGTAGTTTTAGCTGTCAAGGTCTGTAGATGCTCACAGTAGAGGTGCTTGAGCTGTCGTCGTGTGCTCTACTCCGAATACGATGCGCGAGTGCTGTCTCCTCAGGCAGATGGAGAGGCGGTGCGGCTTCCCGCGCTGTGGATGTGTGAGGAGTGCGCAGCTGAAGAGTTTGCGGTAGATGTGATCTTGCCTTTCCGGCTACAAGACACACGCGCGGCCACGGTAGCAGCTGAATATATAACGACCGTGTGGACGATATGAAGGTTGGCAACGTCACTCAGTGACGACCGCAAAGTCGATGCGATGGTGATGAGCGTGGGAGAGAGACACGGACAGGTGGAGAATCAGGGATTGTCGGTTGCTTGCAGCCGGCCTTGCGGGAGAAATGCGCTAGCTGTGGCTGACTAAGCGAAGCACTTGCATTCGATGCCACCATTGACGGTTAGAAATGTGTTGATCGAATACTAACAGTTGGAGGCGCATATGTGAGGTAGTGTTTGGTGGGAGAGGATTGTAGTCTGTACATATTGTCTGCCTGGGAGAGCGGCGGCATCGACACTGGCGCTTCGCTGGACGGAGCGCATGACGACCTTGACGATTCTACGTTACAGCAAACTCCACTTGTTCAGGCCAAGTATATCTGCTTCCTACTCTATTCGAAAAGCACGTAATTTCCATAACGACAAGGCTACGTCTTCGGATCCATTCGCGCCGTCATCGAGTGTGCTATCCCAAATCGAGGGACTGGCACACGGCCATCAGCCATTCAAGGAGAAACAACCAGAAGAGTCTACGCCGCAACTAAAAGCGACCTGGGATTTCAGTATACAGAGATACGACGCGAGAGATAACGCCGTAGATCGCTGGCGGAGGAGAGACGTTCTCGGTACAAGGAGAAGGAATGACGCAGCGACTGAGCTAAAGTCCGCCAGTGTTAGCAGCGAACCTATTGGTGGAGTGGAGGCCCTTTTCACGGCCCAGCACAAGGCGTATTTGAATCCACCATACCAGGGTAATTTCAAACACGAGCGACGTCTCGATTTTATTCAACATCAAACCATGCGTTCCTACGTCCAAGTTTTGACGACACCCACCGCGGACACACCTGGCACCACGCTCTTGCTGCATTTCGACAACAGGCGCTATCTCATTGGCAGTCTTGCCGAGGGCACACAGCGAGCCGCCGTACAAGTCGGTGCAAGGTTGCTCAAGGTGTCAGAATGCTTCATCACCGGCCGGACAGAGTGGCGCAACACAGGCGGCTTGATTGGCATGATTTTAACCCTGGCCGATGGTGCCGCCTCAAGTGCCGCTGCAAGTGCTGAGGAAGGGCACAAGCGTGCGCTTGCGAAGGGCAAGAGGCTCGGTGTGTCACAGAATGAAGCGAGGATGGCAGAGTTGTTTGAGGATGCGAAGAGAGAGACGAGCAATAAGCTGGTCCTGTTCTCTGCGCCAAACCTAAACCACACACTGGCGACGGCGAGACGATTCGTCTTTCGGAAGGGCATGCCAGTGGACGTGCACGAGATCGATAAATCTTCTTTGCGCGATGAAGGCGTGGATCAGTGGGAGCCATATTGGGCAGATGAGAACATCAAGGTATGGGCCATGTCAGTCCTACCTACTGAACCCGTCGCAAGCAACGTACCCCCGCGCGTTGGGACGGAAGGTATTACCAACCCTCGAAAGCGAAGCATAGATGAAGTCTACGAACGCAGCGTGCCTCAGGCAAACGGCACGTCCACGGTGACAGCGTCTTCGCTCACGTCAGCTCAACGGGACCAATTGACTGTCAAGGCTGTCGTTGCTGACATGTTCAACTCGTCATGGCGGCTCGACACCCTCCATGAGACTGCGCTTGGCGATGTAAGGCTTCCCGCGACGATGTTCGTCCGCAACCCAACAACAAACATGCTTGAGAAGTACACGGGACCTTTGCCGGGTCAGCCGGTGAGGCCAGGTCAGCCTGCACCCGATCTCAAAAAGATTGTACTCGTCCGCAAGCCGTGGCCCGGTGCGCTTGTCGAGAGCTTGCCGCCAACAGAACCGCGCAAAGAGGCAGTGAGCTATATCATCCGCAACCACGTACAGCGTGGCAAATTCCACCCTGAGCGCGCCATGGCCCTAAAGGTGGAGAAGGGGAAGAAATGGGCGCATTTGGCTGCTGGCGAGAGTGTACAAAGTACGGACGGCAAGACGATCACACCAGACATGGTCCTCGGTGAGAGCAAGGAAGGTGGCGGTCTAGCTGTTATTGATCTGCCTGAGCCTATCTACATCGACAACCTGCTTGCCAGGCCGGAATGGCACGAGCCGAAAGTGATGGCTGGTGTTGGCGCCATGCTTTGGATTTGCGGTCCGGACGTTGCGCGTCATCACAAAGTGAAAGCCTTCATGGAGCAGTTCTCGCATATACATCATGTTGTCAGTGGCCCAGAGTACTGCGCGAATGCGATCGCGTTGGATTCTACAGCTGCTGCGACAGTACGGTTGCGACAGATAGACCCGGCGAGATACAACGTGCCCGTACATGAGAGCAACGCTTCAGCGCCAGCATCAGAGCTGCCGCGAAACGCTCGAGTTGCAATGAGGGGCCAGGTCATACAGCTCGAGCCGGCCATGGGCGTGCACGAAAGGGAAGCGACGCAGCCGGTAAACATCGCTGAAGTGGAATCAGAGACTCCCGAAGAAGTCCTCGTCGAGGCCAGAAAGGCGCGTGAAGGCATTATGGCTGCTGCGCCCGAGATGCGGAGGTGGGCGGAGACGTTACCCAAGGATGCCCGTGACGCAGAGATTGTAACATTAGGGACTGGCTCCGCGTTACCAAGCAAGTACCGCAATGTCTCAGCTACACTCCTGCGCGTGCCAGGTTGGGGCAGCATGCTGTTCGACTGCGGCGAAAACACGCTTGGCCAGTTGAAGCGTGTCTTTCCCGCCGACGAGCTGAGGCAGATCATGCGCGAGCTGAGAATCATTTGGATCAGCCATATGCATGCCGATCACCATCTGGGTACCGTGAGCGTCATCAGAGCTTGGTACGAAGAGGTGCACGGCGGCAAGCCGCAAGCTCCGGACGTGGACCGGAAAGCCAGTTTTGATCCGAAGACTGGCCTAGCCGTCATCTCTGAGCCAGCCATGATGTCGTACTTGCACGAGTATAGCTATGTCGAGGACTACGGCTTTTCACGGATAGCGCCAATTTGCATCACACGCGCCAGCCCGTTCAAAACCCCGCCCTTGACGTCGAAGCTAGGTTGGTTCATACCACCCACAGAACTTTCAGCTCTGCCCAGCGATAACGCCCGCCAAAGGACGCTAGATAATAACATAATGCAGCCTGGCTCTCTGAATCTGACCGATATTCAGGCCGTAGGTGTCCAGCACTGCCATGGTGCTCGAGCTGTATCTTTTACCTTCCCGTCTGGCTTCAAAGCCTCTTACTCCGGAGACTGCAGACCTAGCCGTGCTTTCTCTGCCATTGGAAAAGGCAGCACAGTCTGCATTCACGAGGCTACCTTTGACGACACGATGCGCGGCGACGCAGAAGCCAAGAATCACTCAACGACATCTGAGGCCTTAGGCGTGGCGCAAGCGATGGGCGCGAGGACGTGCGTGCTGACACACTTTTCGCAGCGGTATCAGAAACTGCCTGTACTCGAGCGAGGGGAGGCTGGAAGTGGTGGCGCTGTGACAGACAGTCTGCCGACTGTCGGTGAAAACACTGTCGAAGAAGAGTCCGCGAATCCCGAGGATGCACTCTCCGGCCCACTCGAAGATGTCGCTGCTACGTTTCCGGACCAACACACCAACGGCGAAGGCATGGAATATGACATGTCGTCTCGAACCAAGGATGAAGCGAACCGGACGGCAACCGAGCCTGCGGCTGTCAATTTCAAGGTCACGTCCGATATGAAGGTGTGCGTGGCCTTTGACTACATGCGGGTCAAGGTCGGCGAAATACCGCAGCTGGAGAAGTTCACGCCCGCCCTGCTGAAGCTGTTTGAAGAGGAGGCTAAGGTAGCGGAGGAGGAGGCAAAAGCTACTACATCGAACATGGTTTCAAGCAAGGCGGAGAAGAAGCAGAAGCTGAAGGGTCAGCGTGGGAATACCTGATCGTGCCCCTACACTGAGACGTAGGATCTATGACTTCTAAATCTTTGCCTACCTTATACCCTTCTGGTGACCCTTTCATCTCCGCCTTACACTTAGCTCAAAGTGTGCCAGAAGCCTCGGTATCAGCTTTACTATATCCAAACGAAGTTACCTTATTGCTCAACATAAGCCAAGGAATGATAAGTCAGCGACAAAGGTAAGCATGTGCGCAGCGGATAGCCCCGCGGCTACAGGCGCCTGCATGAGATCGTCACTCGGCCTCTTCCCACCTCCACATGCCGCACATGGCAAGTAGAGTATGCTTCATCGGACATCACAACAGCTTCTTCGGCAACATGACCTAGGAACAGATTGGCCTTGAATGACATGGCGACAGCGGTGGCTCGGCCTGCTCAAGCGCTTCGACGCCGCGACGCGCCCCCACGACCATCACTGCTCGGTAAGCGCACTCATACGGCCGTGGATGGGGATGCTGCAACCAACAAGCGCCGCAAGTTCGAGGAGCCATACGTGATCACTAGCGATTACATCCTTAACAAGTTCAAAGGCAAGCCGCCCAGCACTGTCATACATCTTCACGATGACTTCTTCCGCTTCAACGGCCAGGAAGGGAGCTGGGCGTACAACAGCCCTGCCAAACTCGTCTTGCAGCATATTAAGCGAGGCACCATTCCTCATGAGATTCTTCCGGAGCTGTTGGCCGCAGGCGTTGTGTTCTACGATGGCTGCCTGATCGTCGAAGTGCACAACCACCGCACACCCAAGACTGGTAAAGCCGTTGGCCAGACCGGCGAGACGAAGGGCGCCGACGCCAAGTTTTCCATGCACTCGTACAACGAGCATGTCACGCCTAGCTCACTGGTGCCCTACCCGGCTGGCGCACGGACGGATGATGTGGAGGAAGCGAAAGACGTCGACGTGGCCGAAGAACCGCAAGCGGATGCGCCTGAGCAGCCAACGGAAGGGGCGCATAAGATCTACACCACTGTCTGCCACCCGACAGCCCTTTCTCGACACGCCGACATGCTGATACTCGCCAACACACCGAAAGAAGAGCTCCGCCGTAAGGTTAAGAACATGGCCGAAACGCCAACGAGCGCACAGCCGCCGACTCCATCAACCGCCGTGCCACCCGCCCCGCAAAAGATGGCCATTGAACCAGGCGAGCGCATCGCCATTGAAGCGGAAATGCTCATGGCCACCCAGCCACCATTATATCTTGGACCGGCTAAGAATCCGCAAGAGGCGGAAAGATTGCTAGCCAAGCTTAGACACCCGTTGCATTCCGCTGAACCACCTCCACCAAAGAGTCGTAAGAGGACTACCGCAGAAATGGCAGCCGAGGATGCGCAGAATGCAGAGCTCGAGCGTAGAATGCTCCTCTTTGATGACCGAAGACAGGCCAATAGGGCCGGTGCCGGCGCATCATCGACCGACAACCAAGGAACTGCCGCAGCACTGGGGTTCTCGCGCTTCAAGACGATTGAGATGGTGCGACAGAAACACGAGGAGCAGGAGCGTCATCGGAAGGAGGAGGAAGAACGCCGTGCCGCCGACAAGAGACAGCACGACGAACAGAATGCGGCTCGGATGGCGCAAATGCAGCAAGCACAGCAAAAGCGGCAAGAGATGATTGCGGCTCAACAGGCCATGGCGCAGAATCAGGGTACTGCGCTTGCGCAGAGGCAGGCGTTGCTGAGAGCGCAGCAAGTCGAGCAACACCGCCAGCAGCAGGCCGCTGCGCAAGCCCAAGTCCAGGCCCAGGCGAGGGAGCACGGACATCCGAATGCAAACCAGATGATGCAGCAACAGCAACAGCAACAGCAACAGCAACAGCAGCAGCAGCAGCAGCAGCAGCAAAACTTCCAAAGTCAAACCCAGCAAATTGGCATGCAAGGCTCGCCAGTGATGAGGCAGCAGACTCCGGCCATGATGAATTCAAGTCCCATGCTGCCAAACGGGGGATTTCCCATGGTGCCCACATCCTCTCAAGGCGCTGGCAGTCCTGCCCGGCCTACTTCGGGTGCGGCAATGCAGAATAGGAACGTGCAAGCCATGGCACGGCAGGCATCGCAACAGCGTCCAGGCAGCCAAAGCAATACACCACAGATACCGCAGGGCACACCTGGTATGGTCGCGGCAATGCCTAACAGACAAATGTCCGCAACTCCACGCATGCCACCAGGCTCACCTGCAATCAACATCCAGGGCACGCCCACTAGCACTGGCGGCCTGAACATAGCAATGCAGACTCCGCATATGCAAAACACTCCTCATCTGTCACAGGAGCAAATGTTGATGCTCCAGCAACAGCGCACCAACTTGCAACAAGCTGCCATGCAAGGTCATGCCGGCTCGCCGAACGGTAACATACCCGCGGGGATGACTGTCGATCAAGTCCAGCACATTCGCTTGGTGCAGGATTTCAAGCGGCAACAGAACATGGTCAGACAGCGGCAACACGCCCTCATGGCTGCTATTCAGAACCAGGGCGGTCAGATGACGCCCCAGCAGCAACAGCAGCTTGGCCAGTTGCAGAAGATGTCACAGGATCAGGTGCGAATGATGCAGCAACAGCAAGCAGCCATGGCCAATGGCGGTCACGCCACGCCTATGCCACATGATATGCAACAGCAACAGCGCCATCCGTCCGCAACACCACAGATCGCGCACGCTCACCCACCACAGACACCCCAGCAGATGCAGACTCCCGGCGGCCAGCAACAAGACATGAACGCCATAATGCTACAACACCAAGCCGCTCAAATGCGCGCCCAACAGATCGGCCAGCATCGTCAACAACTCAACCAACAACAAGCGCAGCAAATGCAGCAGGCGCAACAAAACGCTCGCTCACAAGTTCAGCAAATCGCCAGCCAATTCGGCGGCATCAACCGCATCCCGCCCGCAGTGATCCAACAGCTCGCCCCGCCCGTCCGCCAACTTATCATGGCGCAAACCCAATCCCAGAGCTTGGCAAGACAGCAGGCCGCCATGCGCGCCCAGCTGAATAATGCCATGACCGTCGGTGCGGATCAGCAGGTTCCTGCTAGCGCGCCGAACCCGGGCTACATGGCGCAATTGAGACAGCAGCAGGCGAATTTGCTTCAGATGCAAAATATGCAGCAACAGGCGGCGCAGATGCAGCAGCAGAATGGTGGGATGGGCATGAACGGTGGGCAGCAGCAGCAGGGAGGACAGCAGCAGGGTGGTGGCAACAATAGCCTGGACCCGTTCTTTGCGAGTGCGGCAAACGCGCTGAAGCAGGGTGGAGGGCAGTAGAGCTGCGTCTTGTCTAGGTTATCTGACGCTGGAATGATCGAACAGCGGAGGAGGCTTCTTTACGAGTCGGATCAGTGTACTTAATGTATTCTTGGACATTCGAAACACGAGCCATAGCTGCTTAGTCATGCTGTTGGACTTATTAACGATAGATCACTCCTTTCCGGCGACCGCCGCTATCACGTCACTCTGCGTTTCATCTCTTAAGCAGCGTTCCTCAAGCGTCTCTCCATAGGACTATATCCCGTCTTTCTCCGCATGACCTCGAGGGAAGACCGCACACTCTCATCCCTCAGCAGACCAAGGTCAATGACGTACTGCCAGAAGCTCGCCTGCCCATAGTTCCTCTTGCCAACCAACAGCTGACTCTCGCTTCCCTCCTGCAGCTCCTGCTTTGCATCCGCCACCAAACGCGTTAGCCTGTCCCACATCCCTCTTTCTGCCAAAGCCCGTGCGGCACACTCCATTGCTCGCCAGCTGGGCCGTCGGTGTTGATTCTTCATCCTGTCCAAGAAGTGGAGAACTGGTTGGATGCCAACCGCCTGATGATGCTGAGCGTAGCCTTCGATCATACGGTCATAGAGCACATCGTCCACAGCCAGTCCACGCCCAGCCTCAGCGGCCTGAATATGGCGCCACAGGCTCTCCGCGGCTTCGAAGTCCGGTTGCGGCTCGCGTTGAAAGTGGTGCGTCATGAGCACGGTGTAGATGTGTGGAGTTGGCTTCAAGCCTTTGTCCATCATGTGCGCTAAGACGGCATTAGCGGCTGAGCTGTTCTTATACCATTTTAGCAATCGGTCAATGACCAACGCGTAGCTCTTCTCGTTCAACGCGCTCGGGCCCGAGGAGTCGGATGAACTTTCTGATATTGCGTCCAGCGCGGTGATGAATCCCATGACTCTCCTCTCCTGCTCCTCGTGTGTCAAATCATGCAGAGTCTGCTCGCGGAGCATACTGTCGAGCATGACCGTCCATGTAGTGCCATCGGTGGCCATGCCGCGCTCTTGCATGCGCATGAGGATTGACAAGGCTTCGTCGATCATGCCGTTCCGCATGCTGACGCCGAGTAGAGCGTTGTAGGTGACGAGATCGGGCTGTATGCCGAATTTGCGACCCCACGAGAGCACCTTCGGGATCAATCTGTCGGCACCTACGGCGAGTCCTGAGATGGCGGAGTTCATGACGATGATGTCAGGCTTCGGCACGCCATTGATCTCGCCCTCGAGCTTGGCGAGATCGTCGATGCGTGGCTCTGGTGCCTGTGTCGGTGTCTTCTGACGGCCTCCGTGCCGTGACCCTGTAGCAACTTCCGTGTTTTTCGACGTCCTGGCAGCGCTTAGCCAGTCATTGCCGCACTCGGTCAGCGCCATCAGCCCTTGGTCAAGCTTGCCACCTCTGATCAATCCGTGAATTCGAGTAGACCATGCATATGTGTCCGGCTGAACGCCAGCGTCCCGCATCTTCTGCCAAAAGCGTTCCATGCCGTTTACGTCTCGCACTTGCTGCGCTCCTTGCATCATAACAGTAAAGGTTCTCGTAGTTGGCTGCCGTTTTAAATCACCAACGAGATGATTCCACACCTCGATGGCCGAGCCGGCACTATGTAGAGTAAGCAGAGCGAGCATTAGCCGCTCGTAGAGCTTATTGGGAAGGCCCGCTGCTGCTCTGTTTGGGTTCCTGGCATATTCCAGGACTTCTTCTTTAATATGCTCGGCGAGGCCCAATTGTAGCTTCGCTATAGCTGTGTTGAGACGATCCATCCGCAGGTTGACAAACCGATTCGTAGCGGCATCGCGCCAATCCTCAGAAGTATCGCTTGACTCGGGGAGACTCGGCAGGCTTAGCGTCGCAGATTGCGTATCGGATTGCAACTCTACCGTTGATGCCGCCGTTGCCGTCAGATGCGAAGCGTCCGCAGTCGGCGACGTATGTAAGTGCAGGGATGTCTTCGTGTCCTCACCAGCCCCTGGACGAGGAGCGTCTGCATTTACATGCTCCGGAGACGAGTCCGTCATCTGCAAATAAGAAGCAGGAACCCAGATCTCCGAACGACTGGCTTCCACGTCGGATCGTGACTGCAGTAATTTCACTAAAACCCAGCCATCTCCTGCATCGGGCTCTACAATGGAGACTTCTGTACCCTCTGTTACCGAGAGCACACCAGTATCAGGAGCTTCGTAATTGTATAGCATCCGGACCGTCGGCGGCGATCGTAGATCTTGCCCCACAGCATTGGCATTAGAGCCCATTGCCTCGAAGAAGTCGTGGTTCTGGTTATCTTTCGTCGCATTTGACACGATTTGCTGTGCCGTTTCAGGTAAGGTTTCATTCACATCATTTAGTACATTACTTTCTTTGGCTTCAGGATCCGGGCTCGGTTGGGCACGCGTAGTTGCAGGCTTGTAGATCATGCCAAAGTTTCTGATGACGGCTTCGTACTGTTGGAGAAGTTGAACTCCCGATGCGGAGTCCAAGTGGATCTGCAACTCGTCCATATGTTTCTGCAACTGCATCGGTACACCAGCTCCTCGATGCCTTGTAAAGGCAGTTTCCAGGAACGCCAGTAACGGTGCATAATTCGGGTTGGGTTGTGCTTTTCTGAGGACGTCCAGAGTTATATATGCTGAGGAAGCGTAATCACGGGTCAGCAAACGAGCAGAGTCCGCCTTCAGCCAAGCTCTGACAGAGGGCAGTAAAAGCTCGAGAACTTGTGCAAAATCAAGATGCTGGTGCTGTGGTTCGTGAAGCAAGGCCGTGAAGGTCGTTGATGACGGCATGCAAGACCAATCAAGGGCTGCTGTTGGCTTAAGCGCTTCTGGTTGCCTCCGCATACGAGCCCAGAGAGCCAAATTCCAGACTTCCATCGTCTCGCTGAGGGTTTCCTCACGAGGAGTGCCTTCGTGGGCTCGCTGCGCCATCATAGTCGTAGAAAGACGCCATAACACCATAGACCACACGTCGCTCCTCCGTATCCCAAGTCTAGCCTGCAGTCGCAACAGCTGGCTTGGGCTCGGCAGAGCCTCCTCGCCCCTCTGCTGCGTTTCTAGGGACTTGCACCGCCTCCGTAGAGTGTTGAGGTAAGCTCCCATGAACCGAGGAAAGCCAACAGCCAGCGTTGCGTCTGGGTGGGCAGCTGCCTCTTGTAGCAAGCGCCAAGCCTCTGCATCACCGCCAACGTCTTTCGAGATGCCAATGAAGCCTTCTAGGTTTGCTTTGAGCTCCGGCGACAAGGATGGAAGGCTTTGGTCTTTATGTCTCGCCTGTGGCCGAGCCCGGCTATGTTGTGCTCCATACCGCTGCGTACTGGACAGCTGATCGAGAAGGTGTTGAGGCTGCAATCTGCTTTCGGGACGGAAACTTGGTCGCTCATGTCCTCCGTAGCGTGCATATCCAAGATTGCGGTCATGTTGGCGCTGTCGTGTCGGACTCTGCGTGACCTCTTGTCGTCTAGAAGAGTATCCAGCAAAGCCACGCCTTGTCTGCTGAAGCGACCATAGGCGATTCCGCAAGATCTGATGCAACTGACACGACGGGCAGACATGAGTGGGCGGCATGGCTCACCAGCCCAAGCTACAGAGCATATATGCTTCGCTCAATAGCTTGCCATTGCGCTTAACGGAGCGGAAGTGAGCTCCAATGGCAATGGCTGTGTTTAGTGCTGGAACCGTAGCTGGCGGCGACTTATGACACCGGCCATTGCAACGCATTCTTTCTTTCTGGGCATCCCAATGTGGAAGCCAGCGAGGACAGCGCGCCCGCCACTCTCCACGCCCCATTCGTGACCAGTAGTTCCTTGTGTGATTGTAGCGACGGCCGGTTGCCTGAATGATGCTTGCGATGGTCGCTCGGTAGCACCATAGTGGCGCGATATCCGTCTCGGACATCCTGGATCTACACCACACCTAACCTAAAGAATGTCGACCCTTCAACCGCGCCCACCTTATAGTGACGATGAGCTCAGAAGACTGTACCCTGCGAATCTAGAGCTTCGTCAGGTTCAGATTCTCCTCCGGCATGGTGAGCGAACGCCAGTGTCAGCTCGCTTTAAGAATGCGGGTTTAGCTGCACACTGGCCGTACTGCGAAGCGGCGAAGAACTTCAAGGATGTCGTGCTCTCTGTGAACGGTTCATGGGACACGCTGCAATGGAAGCGGAGGCTGGAGACCTCTGCGGCGAACGACGCGCCAACATTAGCTGCTGGCAGCAGAGGAGAGGTGGATGCTGTGTGCCAGCCTGGCGAGCTAACCGATCCTGGACGCAGGACTACGCTTGCACTGGGCCAAAGAATACGAAGGCTATACGTGGACCAACTAGGCTTCCTGCCCAAGGGTCTAGATGCTGAGAACGAAGCACAAGTGTACCTGAGGAGCACACCGATACAACGCGCGCTGGAGAGCGTGCAGCAGGCCTTTATCGGCCTGTACCCGGCAGCAAATCAGGCTGCAGGGCTCGGGCCAAAAGCCATCGTGACGAGGAGCATGCAGGACGAGACGCTGTTCCCGAACGAAGGCGCCTGCAAGCGCTTCGCCCAGCTGTCCGCAGCGTTTGCCGAGCGGACAGCCTCGCTTTATAACGACGGACCGGAGATGGCATATATTAACAAGAAGATTGGCAAGTGGATGCCAAAAGAAAGTCCGGTTATCAAAGTCGACTCGCATCCAAGGTTGAGCGGCATCATGGACTCAATCAATGCTACCCGAGCACACGGTCCGGCGACCAACTTACCGAGCGAGTTCTATGACCCAAAGGTCCTGGAGCATGTCGACCGGATATGCACCGAGGAGTGGTTCGTTGGCTATCAAGAATCGGAGGAGTACCGCAAACTCGGCATCGGCGGCCTAGTAGGCGACCTCACGCAACGCATGGTTGAGAGCGCTACCAGCAGCAAACCTTCGGGTGCTGTCGGTGTGCAAGATGACTTCAAACTGAGCATGGCCGGCTGTCATGACACAACAATCGCTGCTGTGCTTACCAGCCTTGGCGCATTCAATGTTGCTAGAGATAAGTGGCCAAACTTCACGAGTAACATCGCCTTTGAGCTTTTCAAGCGCACAGATGCTGGAGCATCTCAGCCAGCGTCAGCTTCGAGTAACGGCGCAATGTGGCCGAGCAAGGACAAGACCTGGTGGTACTCCATCTTTTCCTCACCTAAAGCGAGTGTAGCTGCGACCTCCGCTCGGACTCCGATTGCAGGCATGTCGACTCCAGACCGGGCCAAGTTGGACGATCACTACGTTCGCATACGCTACAATGATACGCCAGTGACGCTGCCCTATTGCCGATCAACTGGCAAGCATTTGGACGGTGACGAATCGTTCTGCACACTTGCAGCTTTTAAGGAGGCGGCAGATGGCTTCACGCCAAAGGACTGGAAGGCGGAGTGCGGTATGAATCTGGCTGAGCCAGCGATACGGCCTGTGGTTCAGCGGCCTCCGGGTCTTTAGCGTCACGGTATGATCTTACGACCAAGTAGAATTGGTAGAGTGTGGATAGAAGCTGGACCATTATTCTGCTGAAGTGCGCTGCAGTAATAGCGGTAATGCTTAGCCTGCTGCTCCGTTTTACGAACGGTGTGCTATTGCTTTTGCAGTTGTGCTTCATCGGACAGTGATCTGTGGCTTCCCAGTTGGGACGCTAGGGAGAAGCCGAAGCTTCACCGAAGCCGTGCCTCGGCCAAACAATCGCCAACTCCTCACCATGTAGTACCAGCCAACTCAGGCTAACGATACCAGGCTATGTTTGATGCCATTGCACTCTAGATGCATTGGTATATTGTACAGAACGGATAATCAACGTCTACCGAAGTAGTGCTCCTCATCCACTGCCTGCATAGCCCGGCATTCGTGATGGCAGCGACATGGCATGATATCGCGGCTCGTAAGCAGAGAGAGCGCGCTGACCGTATCCCAAAAAAGTGGCGCCTCCCAAATGAGAGATTTCAAGATAACGACAGTGTGCTCGATGTGCCTCGTCGGTGCGGCTTGCTCAGCAAACAAGATATCCGTATCACGGAGAGTTATGATGCATCTACACTGGTTGCGGAGCTGGCAGCAGGCCGACTCAGTAGCTTGGACGTCGTAACTGCATTCTGTAAACGAGCTGCCATAGCGCAGCAAGTCGTCAACTGCCTGACTGAGATCTTTTTCGAAGATGCCATTGCGCGGGCAAAGCACTGTGACCAGTATCTCAGAGAGAAAGGCAAGCCGATAGGCCCATTACATGGCCTCCCTATATCCATCAAGGACTCTTTCAAAGTGAAGGGTTACGATGCGTCCGTCGGAGTCGCTGGCTTCTGTTTCAAGCCTGCCGCAGCAAATTCGGCGCTTGTTGATCTGTTGCTGGAAGCAGGTGCTGTGCTTTATTGCAAGACAAACGTTCCACTAACGATGATGGCTCTGGATTCCCACAACAACGTCTTCGGTAGAACGCTCAACGCGACTAATATGAAGCTCACCGCAGGTGGTAGCTCGGGAGGCGAAGGCGCCCTCATCGCCATGCGAGGAAGCCCCTTGGGAATTGGTACCGATGTGGGTGGAAGCATTCGCATACCTGCAATGTGTAACGGCTTGGTTGGTGTTAAGCCGAGCCACGGCCGGCTTCCATATGTTGGGCAGGAGGGAGGCGCTCCACCCGGGAGCAGCAAGCTTGGCATCGAGTCGACAGCTGGACCAATTGCCCGTAACGCGAAGGACTGTGAGATGCTACTGCGAGTGATCGGGGACAGTCAGCCATATATGTACGATCCGGACGTACTTCCTCAGACGTGGGCGCAACAAACGAGCCTGCAGACATCCTTACCGTCTTCGCGCGTGCAACAGCCGCTTTTAGTGGGAATTGCCAGAACAGACGGTCATGTTGCACCATTACCGCCCATTCAGCGGTTGCTAGACGACGTTTCGAGGTGCTTGAGGTCGCCCACGTTGCCATCCTGGGAGGCAATCCGGGTGGTCGATGTAGACATCTCGAGCTTCGGTCCGCAGATTCTCAAGGTTTTCAACGGCATCATGTCCATTGATGGTGCCAACACCTGGTTCAACCACACCGCATCAACCGGGGAGCCAATGTCGCCATGGTTACAGACCCGCCTCAAACGCCGGCCAGCGAAGCCCTTGGACGAGGTGCGCTCTCTACAATCTCAGAGGACGGAGCTTCAGACGCGCTTTCAGGCCATTTGGCACGAGCGAGGTGGCTACTGGCAAACCCCGGCTGATAAAACGACAGCTGGTGGTCGTATGCTAGACGTCATTATCTGCCCTGCAGCGCCGCATCCGGTGCCCCCAATTGACCGATGGAACACCACTAACTATACCTCAGCATTCAACCTGCTCGACTATCCGGCCGGAGTGCTCCCCGTACGGACGTTCGACAGTGCAGACCTGGAGGGTAGTGTGCCCAACGAAGCTCCATTGAATGGATGGGATACGATAAACCGCGGCTTATGGAATGACGTGGACCGCCGGCTATACGTTGGTAGCCCACTGAGCGTCCAGATTGTTGCCCCACGGCTGATGGAGCGGAAGCTGGTCGAGATTATGGTGATGCTGGAACAGGCGCTATCACCGCTGAAGACTTTACGGGCATCAGCAAGCAAGCTTTAGGTTGAGTGGGCCGGATTTTATCGGCGCGAGGTCTCGCTAGCGCTGGGTTCAAGACGTGCATCACTCACAACATCAAAAGCTAGGCGGTAAAAGCGTGTGAGCAACTGATGACTCGAAACGGTGTACGGGGTCATGCCTGCGCCGCCCTCTTGACCCAACCACTTAAAGTTGCCGCACCCGCTGGTCAGCGCCAGCTATAGCCGTACGGTGTTGATGCCGAACACCGCTGAGCACAGGGTCGTAGACACCTCTGCGCTGCAATGTTTCTATGCACGGGCCTTCGGCATGGTCGAACAGAACTCGATGGCCCAGCCGTCAAGCCAACCCGACCACGACTACTGTTCATGATCTATCGCAGTCCTTCCTCCGTCTCTATGCCTAACAGCCTAATCGGTCCAAACAGCGATGCGGCATTTCAGAGAACAGTGACCTAGCGGCGACTGCCTGAGTTAGTGACAGATCGCCTCCGCGGCACTCTCGCATCCGGATGCTCTTTGTTTAGCCTGAGCCTTGACGCTCAAGGCATGGCAATAACCAGGGTCTCGACTCTTACGGATGTCGTACCGCGAGCGGTGACTGGTTCGATGCGTCGGAGCAGTGCCGTAACATCTGGCTAAGAGACCATGCAGACAGCGGCGACACGCCAGAGTTAGGCGCTTGTCGTGCCGATCCATGAATCGCACCAAACTGACGGTCAGCGTCAGTGGGAGGCAGCTATGCCGCAAGCGCGATTTCTCCGACCTCCGCCACCGCCGCAGATGGTTGGTTCATCAGAAGAGCTACCTAGAAGTCCATACCAAGTCAAGGCGATGATAGCCAGTGAGTTACGGACGACGAAGGCCACGCAGAGCGTGAACAAGACGAGCTTTATGCAGCATAATGGACGAGCATGCTCAGTAACCAAACAATATCGGGTTGGTTGAAAGGAGCATCTCAGCTACTCGGCATAGCTACTCGCGGCCAAAGTTTTCAGTGGACGAATCGGCTGTTGACTTGGATCAACGCCGTCCTTACGTTATCCACAATGGCGTCTTGTCGCCATAGAAGCTCGCCGGCACTGGGCTCACCTGTTCGAGACCGTTGGTCGAGGCGCTCCAAACGATTCCCCGAAGCATCAACATCCACCAAGCCTCTTCGACTGCTTCGCGGGTCAAGCCTCGGTCCTTGTGCTTCTCTAGTATGTAGTTCCATATGCCGTTGCTTTTCGAATTCGTGACGGCGTCAACATAGGCGAGACCTTTCTCGAAGACTTCCTCCGATACCCAGTCGCCACGCTCTTCAGGCTTCGCAACGTTGTACCGCTTTCGGACCTCTTCTAGCCATGCTTCATACTTCTCGCTCGAAACCCAGTCCGCCATGTTCTCATCGTCGTCAGTCTTCGGTATCTCTGCAACTGCAATCTTCGCTGTCTCTGCAACTGCAGTTTTCGGTGCTTCAGGAACTGGCTGCTGCTTCTCCTTGCGTTTCTTCGCGGCTTCTCGTTCGCCACGCTTACAGGCCGTGTCCGCCATACATACATGTGTGGCAACAAGATCTACATACTGCGTTCGGCTCTCTACATCCGCGAGGTGCCATCTCTTCTCTCGAAAGTACCGCGTTGTGTGGTCGAATGCGTCCCGAAGGAATATCAACAGTGATTCTTGCTTTTCGGGAGAAGAATGATGCTCCGTGAGCGCCCGTTTGGCCCGTCGTACGTAGTAGTCGTCAGCATATTCCTTCCTGAAGGTATCAAGACGTTCTCGAATCGCAATCAAGGAAGAATCTTTAGAGCTACCGTATCGCGCTATCGCCTGCTCTAAGCCGCGATGCAGACACACTCTGCCCTCCCAGCACGAGAACACGCCTTTCATCGATTGGACCCAACCCGCAAAGGAATGTAGCACCATTTTACAGCCTTTTAGTGGCAAGAATGGGCACAATAGCATAACAAGCTCATTGTTCGTCTCACGACATCCATGCGCCAGGATGGTGTTCGTCGCTCCATAGGTGACACCGATTCTCGTAAGCAATGCCTCCAAGCTTTTGTGGCCATCTAGGCGCTCGATGAAATCAAAGTCTTCGCGCACAAGGGACGGATCACCTGGGATGATGCCGCACATCAGCTTGTCAACAGCTCGACTTGGAACGAGGGCCGGAAGAAAGCCGTCTTCCCGCCCAGCGTTGAACCGCACTACGAGACCAAGGCCGCCTTCCTCGCTGGCCGTAATGCTGTAACCATTACCCTCAGCTGCCAGTCTACCGCTGCCGGGATCGAGTGACCGCCATCGCATACCAAGCCGTAGTGCTATCACGACCATGTCACCTAAATCAATTCTAGCAAGCGGCCGGATAAGGTCATCTGGCATGAAGTCCCAGCTCCATTTGCAATAAATCGCTGCTGGCTCTGTGCGAGCGTGGTTGTCCGCGCATGGGGCTTCAGGGTTTCGTGGACTCTTGCCTCCGCACACTTTCCGTCGGCTGTTGCATTCTGCAGTACAACCTTCTGGGAAGTAACCCACATAGACGGAGTGAATCTCGTACATGAACCTCAGCCAGGTCGCTAGTATTTCGGTCTCTCTAACACCGACCTTCCGCCCTCTCCGTCGGCTCTTCGGCTGCGGTTTCTGTTTGGCGGTCCAGAAGCCGTAAGTTTTGGGGTTATGTCTTGCATTTGATACACGATCGGTGGGCGGCGGTATCGCCATCTCGAGTTCGGATCCTTGACCGTCCATAGATGTGGCCAGTTTCCGCATGGACGGAGCCGTCATGTTTGTCGCTGGTTGCATATCAGGAATCCACTCGCCATGTACAGTGTCGTCAAGCTCCCGATATTTCTTATTACCATTGAGCTCAGGGCCGAACATCAGGCTCACAGACTTTTCCTGCTGGTTAGCGTGATCTTTAAGCTCATCAGGCGTTACCAGCACAATCTTTGGTGTCTCGTAGCGAAGCTCAAGCCTGAGCTCGAAAAATCGCGGCCGTAGACTTCGTCTGCGATACCATGGTCCAATGACTTGGTAAGAGCAGCAACGAAAAGCTGACACGGTCGACAAGATCTGCTGGGTGAGCTGCATGTAAGAAACACCGAGAGCAATCAGCGAGATCACGAGGGCCGCAATAGTCACATCGTCGGAGAGTTGTGGCATGGCGGAGTAGGAAAGCTAAGAGAGTGGGAGAAACACTGTGGGCGAGAGCAAGAACATGATATGCGAAAGCTCGTCTTCAGCCGCACCAACACGGATGCGCGCATGCCCTGGTTCCAGTACACAAGAGGATGGTGGGGCCAAGAGCGCAATGTTACTGTTTCAGGCTGGCGCTACCGATTTGTGTAGGACCGGACGCATGTGCGAGTCAGGCAATTCAAGGGCGAAGTGGGCATGATGGAAGCTCATGTGGTGCGAAGGGAGAGGAAAGAGCGTTTGGCAAGCGTCTGTGGAGCTGGCACAAACGGTCTCGGCGACCTGCACGTGTCAATGTATAGTTAAAGCCTTTCGTCAGATCTATCTTAACTAGATACATCATGGCAATGAATCTCCACCTATAACCGCCGTTCCGTCGCTTGAACGCTTGAGCAAAAGTCATGCATCGTTAATGCATGCATTCATTCAGTCATAAAGATCCATCTCACCGCCGTCACCGTTGCGCTGAATTTCTTCGACAGCGTCATCCTCATCCCCATCCCACATCTCGCTATCTCCGTCAATATCCTCAATGTCACTCTCGCCGTGGTTCGGCAGTACTTGAATGTGACCATCTTCCAGCACGACTCGTGCAGTTTCACCATCTCGGACCGCACCTCTCAAGATGAGTACAGCCAAGCGATTGAGCACCTCCTTCTCAATAAGCCGTTGCAGAGGTCGAGCACCGTACGCAGGCGAGTACCCAGCGGAGCCGAGGTAGTCTTTGACCGCATCACTGAGCTGAATCTTAACGTTTCTGCCATTGCTTGTGAGCCGCTGCTGGATTTCGGTAAGCCGCACGTCGACGATCTTGCGGATTTCCTTCTTCGAAAGTCTGTTGAAGATGACAATGCTGCTGATGCGATTGAGGAACTCGGGTAGGAAGTAGTTGCGGAGCGCATTCATGACTAGCTCCTTTGTCGTCGGATCGATGCGCCCGTCCGGAGCATTAGGCCGGCTGAGGTATTCGGCGCCGAGATTGGAGGTCATGACGACAATGCAGTTGCGCGCATCAATGACACGACCTTGCCCATCGGTAATGCGACCGTCGTCCATGAGTTGAAGTAGCACGGTAAGGACTTCTTTGGCTGCTTTCTCGACTTCATCAAATAGCAAGATGCTGAAGGGCCGACGACGGAGTGCTTCCGTTAGCTGACCTCCTGCGTCATGGCCAACGTAGCCGGGTGGTGCGCCGATCATGCGTGATAGTGAGTGACGCTCCTGATACTCGGACATGTCGAGACGGATCATGGCCTTGGGATCGTCGAACAAAAACTCGGCCAGTGCCTTGGTAAGAAGTGTTTTACCAGTACCAGACGGACCGCAGAAGAGGAACGACGGTGGCTGACCTGGGTTGCTGAGACCAGAGCGCTGCAATCTGATTGCATTGGCAACCGAGGTGACCGCCTCTTTCTGACCGACAACTTGTGCACCTAGTACCTTCTCCATTTGCAGCAGCTTATCCTTCTCGGTAGTCTTCAGTCTGGTAACTGGGATACCGGTCCAGCGTGCAACGATCTCGTTGATTTGGTCGGGCCCAACAGCGTCTGCGACCAGCTTCTCGTCAACGCTGCCTCGGCGCCCAGACTCTGATTGCTCAACTTCCTTCTTCTGGTGCTCTAGCTGCTCAATGCGGGCTTCTACGTCGGGAATGGCGTAGTACTTAAGATCAGAAGCAGTCTGAAGATCGCGCGTACGCTCTGCTTCTTGCTGTTTCACCTTTAGCTGGTCTAGTTTGATCTTCTGCTCTTGGATCTCTTTTGAGCGAGCTTTCTCGCTTTCGTACTTCTCCCGCAGCGGCTTAAGTTCTTCCTCTGTATTGGCCTTCTCGGCCTTGGCGTGGCTCAAGCGGGTCTTGGACGCATCGTCCTTCTCGCGTTCAAGAGCGTGAATTTCAATCTCGAGCTGACGTAGCTTTCGCTCCATGTTGTCGAGTACTTCGGGCTGTGACTCGCGTGTCACTCGGACGGCTGCCGCTGCTTCGTCGATGAGATCGACAGCTGAGTCTGGCAGTCTGCGTTGCGTCAGGTAGCGCGAGGCGAGAGTGGCTGCGGCAACAATGGCACCATCCAAGATAGTGACACCGTGGTGGACCTCGTACTTCTCCTTTAATCCACGTAAAATGGAGACCGTCTCGGGGACGCTCGGTTCCTTCACCAGAACTTGCTGGAACCGACGCTCGAAAGCTTGATCTTTCTCAATGTACTTCCTGTATTCGGCAAGCGTGGTCGCACCGATGCAGTGAAGTTGGCCACGAGCGAGCATAGGCTTGAGCAGGTTGGCGGCATCCATACCTCCTTCGCCTGAGCTACCCGCGCCCATAAGCAGGTGGATTTCGTCCACGAAGAGCACGATCATCTCTTTGCTGTCTTCAATCTCTTTAAGCACTCCCTTCATGCGCTCCTCGAATTCACCTCTGTACTTCGAGCCCGCCACGAGCGAGCCGACATCCAGAGAAAGAAGCTTGCATGCAGCGAGGTTTGCTGGCACATCTGCATTAACAATCCGCTGCGCCAGACCCTCGACAACAGTGGTCTTGCCAACACCCGGCTCGCCAATGAGAACTGGGTTATTCTTCGTTCGCCTTGACAGGATCCGAATCACCCGCCTAATCTCTTCCTCACGGCCGATGACCGGGTCCATCTTGCCCTCTCGTGCCAGTGCTGTCATGTCGATGGTGAACTTCTTCAGATTCTCGTGCTCCTCTTCGGCATCAGCCGTCTTGCTGTCGACTCGCCTGGTGCCGCGAATCTGTTGTATGGCAGTGTCGATGAGCTTAGTGTTCGGCACATTGGATTCTGCAAGACATCGCTGGACCGTCGCGTCTTGCACCAAGCACTGAATCAGGTGATCGACGGCAATGTAACTGTCTTTCTGGGTCTTGGACAGCTCGTTCGCAGCGCGTAACACTTTGCTGAAGGCTGGCGAAACGCTGACGCTTTCTGGCGGAGGGTCTTGACTCGGCAACCTTACCAACGCCTTCTTCAACGCCCGATCGAGTAGTTGCGGATCACCGTGGGCGCGCTCGACCACTTGCTTGAATAGCGGTGCCGAAGAGGTCGCGTGCGATTCGTGTGCATGGTTGGTTTGTTGATCCTTCGACTGATCCGGAGGAGGGTCGAGTAATGCTACGCCAAGGTGGATGGGTAGCATTTGTGAGTGGGCATACTGGGTTGCCAGATCCTGGGCATCACTCAGCGCTTGAGTTGCCCGGTCTGTGAACTGCATGCCGGATGCCATGTTCGTTGTGTTGATGTAGTCACTGTCTGTAACAATCCTGAATTGGCCTCGACGCCGTCAATGTATTTGTACACAAGATTGATCTGGGAGGAGAAGTGGGAAGTGGAAGTGGAAGATGTACTTATGCGCCCAATGTGCTGTCCAACAGCGGAAAAATCACCGTGATGCTAGTGGATGCTCGCAGCTGCTCGTGCCTTCCCTGCTTCTCGCACTTTCGACGTCGAAAGCGGAGTCTACCGGGTCGGCCCGGTTATTAAGCCTCAATGTCACGTGGCATCACAGAGCATTGAACAACCATCTTTGGGGGCTAAGAACGAAGAGGGAGCTAGTACCGATGCTTTTATTGATCGCAAACAATATGCAATTTCCGAAATATGTACTTCATGCCTCTTTACAGCCACACCGAAACTCCGCGCTAATTTGACAAGCATGCTTTGCATCAAAACCACATATCATACAGCAGCCACCACGCCACTCATTGCCGCTTCTGCAGCTTCCGTGCTTTCTTCTCGCTAAGGACGCTTACTCGATCCCGCCGGTCGCCTTCCGCCAACCATTGGCTTGCCTTCACCAGTTGAAGCACATTTATCCATTGTTTCACCAGCATTATCGGGAGGCTTGCGGCTGTAAGGATCCATGGCACCGTACTGTCCATCTTGTTCGCTCGTGCCATTTCCATAGCTCCCGCGCTGAAGGGGCTTGGGAACAGTAGTGAGGGTACCGGATTGGCCGGGGTGACTGGTGAGCCACCTACCGGAGGTAGGAGCGCCGGCGTGATCTTCGGCGAGCTGAAGCAAAGAAGATAGAGAGCGATGAAGAATAGTTCGTTGCCAGCACAGCAGGTGAAGAGGACCGTCTGTGAATATGTGAGCAAGCATGATGCAGTATTGGTGTATAAACATCCATACCTTGTTCGTGTAGTATGTGTTCATGATCCAGCTCCGATCTGCGCTAACGTTCTTATGGCTCTGTCCTTGTCCTCCCATGGCTAATGTAGCGTACATATGCATGTAGTGGCTCGCCAAATCCAGACTAATCAGACCTTGAAAGATCATGCTGTAGGCAGGCTTGGCTGTCGCCAAGAACACCAGCAGACACGTTGTAGTACATCGATCCGTAACCATATCGAGGACCGCCCCAAATCTTGTCGACTGCTGGAATTGGCGTGCTGCTATGCCGTCGACTGCGTCCAGAAGACATGAGACAGAATACAGGAAAGAGCATCGTCGCGGATGTAAGGGCATGAAGTAGAGAGAAGCAATGCACAATACGACTCGAATGTAGCCTACCGTTTCGCATCAGCTCCGGTCTGACGTTGGACATTGTAATACACCACAAGCGTACCAATTAAATTCGGCACGAAGAGGTAAATGTTCTCATGTGTCTGCTCGTCCACGCTAGAGCCTGCTACCGGACCTTTTGACTCTCCGTTCATAGGCCTGCCGTTGGGCATGGGTATTTCCACCTTGTCACCCATACTGCGTCGATTCACTGCCTTGAAAGCCTGGTTACACCAGCAACCTTTGCTCGCTACCACTTGGATATTGTTCGCAACGGCCGGTCCAAGTATCACCGTAACGTCACTGCAGACCAAGGTACCCTTAGTCCTTTAACGCAGCAGCACACGTGTCGGAGGTCTTATGCTGCCCTCCTAGTGGAAGCAAGGCTGACTGGGTGAAGGTGGTGCGCCTGCCCACCTAACCGCCAAAACCGTCCAGTTGTGCTTTCCGGAGGCTCGAAGCGTAATTCCAAAGCCAGCAATATACGTAAAGTGCAAACTGTCGCTCATCCGGAAGTGCTGAGGTTGGTCTCGTGCCACCAGCAAAGCTTCACAAGCAGTGCGATCGCAGTAAACAGCCTGTTGCCGTAAAACTGTCCCGCGAGATTCCGGCAGCACACCTCGGCCGATTGATAGCCCGCTTCCGGGGCTTTGGGTCACGTGCACAGTAGCGTTGGCAGCGCATCACTTCTGCGTCGAGCTGTTGCAGACACCAAACCACCCTACGGAGCAAACCCCATCGAGGCTAGAAGCGGTGTCTCAAACACGCTCGGTTTTCGTACTATGGAACATTCTGCAAACTAACTACATCCAAGCACTTGCGCCGGAATCGAAACTCTCAAAAGCTCGAATGCACATAGCACGACCCATCACTTCTTGAACTTTCCAGCAATGCACTGCGTAACAAGCTTCTGGTCCGTGTAGGTGCTGCCACTCACAGTTGGTGTCTCAGACAAGACATAGCTTGTGTCAAATGAGCCGGCACCCCAGCCGATCCAGCCCAAGTATACGTCACTGTTCGTATTGAGCGTGTCAAGCTCCTGACAGACATCCGTCAAGCACGACGAGTCGCTCGGCCCACCGCCAGTCTCGGTCAAGATCGCCTGCCTTCCGTTTTGCCTGAGCCACTGAGCAAGGGTAGTGAAGCTGGCCGAGTTGTTGGTGACACAATTCGAGTGAGTGCCGGAGTTGTCACTGTCAAGGTACTGGTGAACGTCAAAGATAAGGTTCGTCGTGGTGCCGTCAGGGTTCGTGACAGTGTTCAGAGCAGCAGCAGAGCCGTCCGAGATGAACGCAGCAGCTAGCAAGATGCATCAGTATCACTCCTAACAATCCCTAGACTCCTCGACTACTCACCACTGGTATACTGAGTACCAGGCAACAGAATCTTCTGAGAGGTGGCGCCAGCTTGACGGATGGCAGTCACCACGGCCTGGACAGTAGCTGCCCAGGTGCTGATGGTGAGATCATGCTACGATCCTGTCAGTGCCCACGTTCGAATATGCTGCAGCAAGACTGACATACCGGCTCATTCATAATACCAAAAGCAATTTTGGAGTTGGTGGCATACTTGGTAGCCAACTGCGACCACAGACTGACGAACTGTGCGTTGGTCGGACCACCCTGGCCGATGATTGCACCGTTCCACCGAGCATAGTTATGGACATCGATAATGCACAGTGCTGCACCGGAAGACAGGCAACCCTGGACAAGAGCATCGTAGTTCGCAAAGTTAGTAGCGTCGAGTGTACCACCAAGGTTGTTGTTGACCAGATATTGCCAGCCAACGGGCAGACGGAAGGCATTCAGTCCATCGTCCTTGACGAAGTGGTTCATTTGACCGTTGCCATTAGCTCCTGGTGGGACGACGCTTGAGGTGGTGCATGTACCATCAGTACCGCAACCGAAATCGAAGCCTGCGATATTGACGCCGGCGTATTGCACGTGGCCGGTGCTGGCAGGTGTCGAGGCGGCGGTGCTGGTCGTCTTCGTCGTCGTGGTAGTCGCAGAAGTAGCTTTTGTAGAAGTAGTGGCAGGGGTGCTTGCTTTGGTGCTGCTCGACGATGTAGAGGTTTTCGAGGTTGCCGCCGTGGTAGAGGACGAGCTTGGGACACACTGGGAGTAGTAGGCATTCTGGGCAACGCAGCTGTAGCCCGCAACACAGGTCGTTGATCCAGTCCAGTTCTGCCCGCCTACAGGGCTTCAGCAATATCCTCCAGCGAAGCATCTCAACATGTGGAACTCACCACACTGGCTGTACGCGGCATTCTGGGCAACAGCCGTACCAGCAGCCGCCGCCAGGGCAAGAAGAGTGGTCTTCATACTGAACGTCGACATCCAGTCGGGAGTGAAGTTGTACAAGCTGTACTGGATACTAGAAAGAGGGAAGGAACAAGGGACTCTTGATGCTGTGACAATATCTTTATGCCTTTGGCGGCGGTTGTAAAGTACTTATACCCGTACGGAGTAGTACAGCAGACAACCTGCTCGCCTTCCGCGACCGAGGCCCGGTGTACATCTGTGCGAAACATACTCGCTGAGCCTGTGCAACGCCACTTACATGTATCTGGAGATGGTCCAGTAGCTCTCGCAATATACAAGACACAGATCGCTCGGCGCTAAGATCTGTCTGGCCGCCCAAAGGTGGGCCAGTTTACGTTAAACGAGAGCGAGCGCCCCGGGCGTGACGGGACGTACTCCCGAAGAAATGGCAAGGACCTGCGGTACGGTATAGGCCGTGTAGCACCTTCTGCAGCATAAGGAATGGACGGAGGCTGCAAAGCTGATGGGAGCCGGGGCACGCTCCGTTTGAAGCACATCATCGCGTCTTGTTGCCATGGGATTTGTGAATGCAGAAGCGGCGGAATGGTGCATAGGTGCGATCTGGGTTGAGGCAGGGCACGGTGCTCGCTTCCACTGTCCTTGATCTGGACGTAGGCTGGTGACGCAGGGTATGAGACGTAATATATATCCTGGTCGTCTCATCAAGATTGATTGATGGCTCCAGGGAGTGGCCGGCTGAAACGATCGCAATCTGTCACAGGGATCTGTGCAGATGCCTCCACGTGGGACTCAGGGTGAGGATGAAAGGTCGTCCCATGTTACTTGGTACAAGTCTCAGACGATCGTCGACGGAATGCAATGCTGCCCGCAGGGTATGCTGCAGCAGTCGTGACGCAGGTGGACAGAGTTTGACTGGAATGATAGATGCATTAAGCGGAGTGGCTCGCTTGATACAGGGCTGATCGAGCCGAGACACATGCAATGCCGATCATTGCCCGCAGCGGGACGGGGACGGGGACGAAGCATTGAAGCGGGGCTTGAACCTCACTCTACCCATTCTGCCTAACCTCTGCTCTCAGCCTCTGGCGGCCCCATGACCCTCCTCTGCAATCCTCGCTTGCGGAACTCGAGCTTTGTATAGGCAGCTGAGAAGCCCAAATTACTTCATTCAGCTTCTGAGATTGCTCGTGGGGCTGCAAAGGATGCCTCGGAAGCTTAGACTTGCAGTCTCTCAGTCGCGCACTCTAGCCACACTCAGTGAAACGCTGTCTTCACTTGCGGCGACCACGCGAGAGGCAGCAGCTCGCGGAGTTGACCTCATTCTTTTTCCGGAAGCTTTCCTTGGTGGCTATCCGCGGTCTTGTGACTTCGGCGCCACCGTTGGTTCACGAACAGATCAGGGACGCGAGCAATTCCTCCAGTATTTCCGTTCGTGTGTTGACCTTGGCGACACTCCCAAAGGTGCTGGCGATGATTGGATCGAGCGGCGGTTGCCAGTGGCGAAGGGGGATGACTTCCGCGGGGATGGCACGCGTGAGTACTTGGAGCGTGTGGCAAAAGAAACCGGAGTGTTTGTAGTGACCGGATTGGTCGAGAGGAGTGGTGGGAGTAAGCAGCGCTTCGTAGTCTTGTCACCTCATGTGTACTACATCCCACTAATGCTGTGTAGGCTTGTACTGTGCTGTCGTCTATGTATGCCCCCGCATGGGCTGTATAGGCAAAAGACGCAAGGTCATGCCCACTGGTAGCGAGCGCCTGGTCTGGGCACAAGGTCACCCCTCAACGCTGCGGGCTGTAACTACGCGCATCAAAGGTGTGAAGCTCACGATGGCAGCCGCGATTTGCTGGGAGAATATGATGCCGTTGCTGCGGTACTCTCTTTACAGCCAAAACGTGAATCTTTGGTTGGCGCCAACGGCTGACGCTCGTGATACCTGGCTACCTCTCATGCGCACCGTAGGCAATGAGGGAAGGTGCGTCGTTCTCAGTGCGATTACCTGTGTGCGGCGGAGAAACCTGCCGCCTTGGATCACGGGTTTTCCATCGTCCGCAGGCCCGGAAAAGTCTGTTACGAATGGGGCATTGTCTTCGACAAACACGCAGAAACCAGGACTTGAAGAAGTCACGGACCACGAAGACAGGCATGAGAATACGCTGCCCGCAGATAAGAATACGGCGGCGTCAACCTCAGTAAATGCTACAGATGGAGATCGTGGTGTGCATACCGAAGCACCTTCTGCGCCGGCGCATTACGCTCGTCATGACGCTGGCGATGAGTTTGCCTGTAGAGGAGGCTCGTGCATCATTGGCCCGATGGGTAATGTGATCATGGAGCCGCTCTTGGACGTTGAAGACGGCGGTCTGCTCGTTAGTGACGTCGATTTCGATGACTGCGACCGTGGGCGGCTTGATCTAGACGTTGCTGGCAGCTATTCCAGGAATGATGCGTTCAAGCTTACTGTCGAGGGCTTGGACATAGATCCGCCGCCATGAGCAAGCTAGAAGGGTACGACGGTCAAATCCTGAGACAGACGCAGACATCAGCTTCACGCCATGTTGCACTCCACACAAGGCTTGGAACAGGTCACTGCGTCTTCCACGCCGTTCTTTTATAGAGTCCCAAGCCCTCTCTTCCACTGTACACGAAGCACAACTGTACACAGGCCGCGTGCGAAGCGAAAGACAATACTATGCTTCGCTGAGAGGACAAGCAGCACTTGATCACCGAAGACACACTGCTTCGGTAACCACATCTAGCGGCATCGTCGTTACTTCAGCGCCGCCATGTGCCAACGAACCTGCCATAAGCCCACCCGTGCCCCAGAGACCTCTGCCTTCATCCCAATGCCGGAACAACATCTTGAACTCTTGCGGTATGCCAGCTGTGAGCACAAGTGCTCGGGGCGCTGTTTCAACAAAGCGGTTCTTCGCGATATTTGACGCTGATAGAAGTGCATATCCCAGCATCGTGTTTCGTGCATTAGTTGTCTGCGATGGAAATAGTGGACCGTATAGGACGAATATCTGACCATAAGCGTTGAGGATGTAGATGCCTTCCGCCTCTAGGTCTTGTTGCGTGAAGGGTATAATTCGCTTCAGCTCCATCTTCGTATCTTCTCGTATTGGCGATGGCGATGGAGATCTGCTTTGCCAGCTTGGCCGTCTGAACAAGCCGCTGAAGTACCCAACTTTCTGCTCGATTTGCTGTACTCTGAACAGTGACGGGAAGTACCCATCTAGCGCTTGTGCTTTGCAGTCCCACGTATGTGTCGACTTCGATATGCTAGTCTTCTCTGTATCAGCGCCGAAGATCTTCAAGAAGCTTGGAAACTCGGCACCGTGATCCACTTCAATCATCTCGCCACTTTCGCTAAGATCCATGCCGACCAAGCGAGCGGCACCGATCTCCTCTGTGGACCAAGCTGAGCCTTTCCAGAGGTATAGCTTCGTCCGGTGAACTGTAACAGGATACGAGATGATATAGGTGAAGCCTGCGCAAAGAGATTGTACGCCGAAGTCGACCTCATCGAACACAATGTGGCCCAGATGCTTGCGTCCGCAGAGGATGTACTGCTTCGACGCGCCTTCCGGTGCACCTCTGCGCGTGATGACAACGCCGCCAAGCGCCTGGAGGAACGGTGAGGTCTCGTAGCCTTGCCGTATTGTCACCGGTGCAGACGCCCCGGATTCGCGCAACACTCGTTTAGCAGCAAGCTGCGCGGATGCGATTCCCGAATCTGTTGACGCGCTGCCGCTCCAGATGAATACCTCGGCTTTGCGAACACCAGCCGCGTTGGCGAAGGTGTGGCTGGAGACATAGACGACCTCATCATAGAGCGTGTACTCATCATGCTGGCTCACGCTTCTGAGCGAGCCGTCGGGTCGAACTTCCTGTATGCTCTTGCGCAGCGTTCGCGCCACGTCTAACGCCCCACCAGTCGCAGCTGAGAGCGCTGGAGTAATGTCTATGGCTAAGTGGGCGGATGAGATCGGAAGACCGCCAAAGATGCGGGCGAGCTCTTGTTCAACCTCGGTGGGCTGACGTGGATTGCTCACGCTCCCTTGAGTCTAATCAGTGTTCAAGCTTTTCAAGGGACTACAAATCGTGTCAGAGCGCAGTATGAATGAAAGGCTTGACGAATATACTGAAATTAGTCACACACCTTTATTTGGCTTTGCCTCCTGCAGCTGGCCGCTCACCACTCGAGATGGCTTTGCCGGCTTCGGTGGAAGACCTGCGGAAGCCGGAGGTGTCGAGACGGAGGGCTTCGCGATCGGCGCGGAAATGCCGAGCCCATTGTTTCGTGCTGCCGTGCCCTCATCACTGGCGCTTGGTAACTTGATCTGAGGTGGGGGCTCCATCTTGTGGCCGTTGGCTTGTCTGCCCCAGCGGGAGGCAGCAGATTTAACAGAAGGTGCTCCCGAGTGTGCATTCTCTTTATTGTCTTCTTGACTGACTGCTGGCGCAGACTTTGCATCTGATGAAAAGCCAGCAAATTCTGGGACAGCTGGCGATACGTCCGGTGTGCCATGGACAGCAGCATTTGCAGAAACATCTCTCGATTTGGCTGGCGTGGCTGGTTTCGATTGCTGCACCTGAGGAATAAGCGGACGGCTCAGCGAGGCTGTCATGAGAGCGGCGGCTGATCCTGGAGGAGCTCGAGGCTTCGGGGTATGCACCTCAACAACTGGCTGTTCGTCTCTCACTGTTGACAGCCCAGCTGTTGCCGGTGCATCGGAGGCGGCAGGCTCATCGTCCGTATTTAAGCAAGCAACGCCACCGCCAGACTTGCCTCGTCTTGGACCTCTCGCTCTACCTTTCCGCATGTCGGTAAGCGGACCGCTGGCTTCAGGTTCAGCATCTGCACTCAATGCGGATGTAGCTGTTCGCTCCGGGATAGCCGGGCTTTCGGAGCGCGAAGGCGCATTGGAGCTGCTGGCGATGGACGGCGGGCCACGGGCCAACATACCTGCAAGTCCCGGGTTGAATCGCGCAGCGAGTCTGCTGCTCTCAGCAGACAGCTTATGCTCGATGATGCCAGGCGCGCTTCTCTGCTTCGATAGATGCTCGAAAGTGGCCGTATCTACTGCCGGCAGCGGTGTCTCTCTCTTCAGTACAGGGAGTTCGACCATAGGCTTGTCCTCCAGTGTTTTGTGCGTCGCTAACGCTTCGGAGGTGGATCCTCTTTCCTTCTCTGCATTAGACGGCGTTCGAGTGCTGTCGAACTTCCCAAGTACCTCTCTCTTGGCTAACGCTTCTGGCTTGCTGGGCGTGGCTGGTGCAGTACCGCTCTTGCGCTCATAAGCCGCACCAGGAAGCTCTCTGCCCTCGTCTTTGGCCTTCTTCCAGTCTTCCTTCTTAGCGAGCAGAGACTCTTTTAGTTCATCTCGTCGCGGAGTTTTGACAGGGCCACCAGTTTTTGTAAGATCGGACTTGCCTCGGAGGATATTGTTCTTAAGTACGTCTTCCGCGACAAACTTTTCAGTTTGTGCTCTTCGCAAACTGCCAAACTTGGCGAGAAACTCGGGCGCTTCTTGTTGCTTAGTACCAGTGACGGGTCTCGAACGTAGAGTGCTCCGAAAGTCAGTCGGTGGCTTCACTGGCGGTTCTGGTTTGGCTTTGGTTGTTGCTATTGTCGTCGCAGCCTGCGCGCGTTCAACTTTCTGCTGCTCATCGTTAATTGGCAGCTCTGACGTCTTTTGCGAGGAGCCGATCGGTGAGGTAGGATCTGCGGCCGTTGGCTGAATGTATTCAGTTTCTACGGCTGCCTCCGCAGGCTGGGCGGTGAAACGGCTCAGGTTATGACTTTGGACGTCTGACCTGCTGTCTTGCTGACTCGTGTCCTCGACTTTAGCCTGTGCTGGCGCTGCCGAAGCGCGCAAGCTGACCGCCGTGGGTTCACGCGACACTGCGGCTTGATCTGGACGGGAGTCCGTCTGTGTCGTGGTTGACAGCGCGCTCCGTTTTGGCGGTAGAGACAGATCCCGCGACTCCGACCTTCTCAACACACTCTGGCCAAACGCTACGGGCTTTTGTGGCGAGGGAGGCCTGGCAAGTTCATCATCAGGCTTTGGCGTTCCCGTACGTGGTGTCGAGTCAGCGCTAGCACGTTCTGCTTTGGCCTTCGCAATGTTCGCCATCCAGGTTGGTTGGGAGTTCCGCGATGGGGAAGGCTTGGGCGACTCAGGCCGGGTAAGCGAAGTCTCGATCCAGCTCGATTTGGTCGGACTCCAGGGCTTGGAAGGACTGCCAGGTCGTGAAGTGGCTTCTCCGTCCGCATGCGGTACAGCGGATTTGCTGCGGCTGTGGTGTGGTAGGGCTGGCTTGGCGAAGCCATCGCCGCTGTCTTTTGCAGCAGCGAGCGCAAGCAAGTCGCTGCTGCTGCTCGAAGTTGGTCTCGACGCCGGCTCATTGCTCCCTTCCCTGCTGATAGACGTGGCCTCCAACTTCGGCGTGCTATGTGATCCTTGAAGCTCACGGTACCCGCTGCGGAGACTCGCGACCGAGCCTTGTCTGCTCGGCGCGACGCCTGACTGCGCGCTCCAGCGTTTGCTCACGCTTTCGGTACGTTTCATCATCGCACTTTGAACGAAGCCACCACTGCCCTTGGTAGGAGAGCTTGGTCTCTCCACAGCTTCTCCAAGCCGGGCCTGAGAATTCGACATTGTCGGTCCGCGGCCTATGCTGACCGACTCGCCACTAGCTGTCGAGGTGCGATTGGACAGCGGAGAGGCTTGGTGCTGTGCCTCGTCTGCGGCAACAAGCGACTTGAGGTCAGCTTTGCTTGGTGTGGAACTTGACGTTGCGATTGAGTAGCGATTGCTTGCAGTACCACTGTCCCTGACTGAGCTGGGTCGAGATCCGAGGTTGCTCCCGACATCGTGGGAAGGTGTAGCGGTTGCTCCTTCCTCAGTGTCCGTAGAGACTGGACGCGACATGCCTGGCAGCCCTCTCCGTTCTCGTGCTAGCATTCCTTCGTCCGCGGTTGCATCCTTGCTTCTCCTGTATGCCGCCGAACCTACTCCTCTCTCTCCGGTCTGCTTGAACCAGGAGGGGTCTCGCGACGCAAGCGAGGCGGCAATCTGATCCCTAGTTGGTTCATCCTGTCCGTTTGTATTTACCCGCTGAGCCAAACTTCCCTTGTTAGCTTCAATGACTGACGCTGGTCGGCTGCCCGGCCTGGAACCTGGTCGGCGCTGCCATGTCAAAGTGCCGGAACGGGCCAGGCTGCTTGCGCTTTGCGGAGTGTGAGAGCCACCCGTGGAATCAAGGCCGCCATTGCTTGTTACTGAGCTTCTTGCTGATCCAAAGCCTTTAAATTCGGGAATGTCTTTGGTGGGAGACGGTGGGTTCGCCGGAGCGGAATCCATGTTCGCTTGGGTCGTTGAGAAAGCGTTCAATGGCGTAGGGGTACTTGGTCCATTGGAGCTTGTTGGTGATCTTCGCCGCTGCCTTCGGTTGATTGTGGAAGACTTTGGTGGTGAATGTGAATGTTCGCGCTCTATTGTTCCATCTGCATGTTAGTATTGCATGCATGCAACGCAGAGCGGCTGTCGCGAGCAATTTCACATTGAAGACTGACCAGCTCTGTGCCGACTTCTTTCCGCCCGGCTCTGCTCAACCTCCTCCTGGAGCTTCCGATACCTTTCAAGGTCTTCCTCTTCCCTCCTGCGCGTCAGTTCGCGTATCGTCTCAAGGAACTCTGCAGGTTCAATGTCATGAGGATCGCGTTTAGCGGAGGAGGGGGAAGGAGGCGCATCAACCGCATCAACAGAAGCCATATTGCAGGGATCTTAGCATACGGGACCAACGCATTCAGAGACCGCGGAAGACGTGTTAGATGGAAAGCAGTAATTACACGGATATTTTCAAGGATCATTCAGGGTATGTTCAGTTTTAGAGTCTATCTAGATCGTGCGTAACGCCTATTGACTGGAATGCGCGCTGGTGTTGGTGCTTGTTGACACTCTGTCCGACCATGTCGACTTCGCCAACTAGTTTGCTATTACTCCTTTGCTGCCCTTTGGCCACTGCATTGGATCCTCGATAACGGTGAAGCTGTGCGGTTTGCGTGACAAGATCATCGCATTGACCACGATGCCGCAAGATGGTGGCGCTAATTCCAACGGTAGGGCGTAGCGCGTCGTCTCGGACTATGCGCATCGCGTTGCCTTCCTCGGTCGACCATCAATAGAGAAAGAGACGGTCTTTCGCATCCTGAACAACCCACGCAAGACCCTGCTGCAAATTCTGACCGGTCATTGCAGAGCACGGTAAAATATGCCACCGATGCGTCTGGATGTTGTCGAGCTGTAGCCCCTGTAGCGCTTAGGTAAGTTATACCGTAGAAACGCCCGGATAAGTGGGGAAAGGAGGACGCGACGAAATGCGCACCTCACGAATGTCGTTCTCAGTCATGCAGCCCGAGACGTCGCTTTTGTTTTTGAAAACAAGCAGAGACGCGCCCATAAGACGCTGCAGGCGTCAGCATACGTCCGAGATGAGGCAACGGCGAAGACTGACCTCCTGGACAAGCAGACCATGCAGTTCTTGCCTGCAGTCAACAAGGCGCTCTCGGTCAGTAGCATCAACCACCCAGATGAGCGTGTCTGTCTTCTCGAAGTAGTTCTTCCAGTACGTGCGAAGTGTCTTCTGACCGCCGACATCCCCTAGGACCTGGTGAGCATCCATCACAGAGACATCGCTACTTGAACTCACAAATGTTCAGTTTGTAGCTTCACTCCTCCATCAGCACTCACTCGCGTTCCACATTTGCAGTCACATTCGCTTGCTCACCCGTCGTAGTCGATCGTCTTGATGATAAAGCCCAACGTGGGGCTCACACTGTTGACATCTTCATTCATAATCTTCTTCACTATCGTGGTCTTTCCAGCGTTGTCAAGACCACTTATCGGCATCAGCAAGGCCCTTGACAGTAGCTCAGTGGACCAACAGCATCAGTATCCTCATCTCTTTGTCTTTCAGTCGAGCTTTCCTCAATATCGACAACATCTTGACGATCTGACATTTGCGTAGGAAGGAAGAAAGACACCAAAGCGTGGCGTCTTCTCACTTCTGCTTGTCACGTGTGCCACCGCCAGCACTTACAGTTCGGTGATGACGGTCGCCCTACTAACATCCTCTGAATTCAGCGTTGCCTTTTCTCAGCTTGTCGCCACTCAAGGCGTTCTTGCCACAACACCGGACCGGCTTGGGAGCGCTGCAAACACGCAGTGACCTCGAGTTGATCATGGCCGCCAGCTTTCCCCTGCCACAACCCGGTGATGGGGCCTGGCTCCTCACGCATGGTGACGGACGCAGACGTCCTCGTCGTCAGAAGGTCCCGTCCTTCCTATGCCATGATGAAAATGATGTCAACCTGCCGGTTCAACACGGAAGGAGCAACTTCATCCAGCCCACCTTCCTCCGCCGACAGACTCTCGGCAACACGATGTCATACGAAACACATGACTCACGTACAATAGGATTTCAAGAACTGTTGTCGGGCGAGGCTTACAAACCTGATCAGGCCGCGAGCTTCCTGCGACCCCAATTCCACAAATTCGATTGTCCATCACAACACGTAGAAGCTGTTGGGGACATCATGAACGACGCCATGCCACCAAAGATATTGCCGCCGCACTTGCGACCAAAGGTCAAACTGCCTCTGCAGCCACCAAGTCAGTCGTCGCCGCCAAAGCATGGCATGCGGCCCACAGATAGCACAGCTGTCAAGCGTCCCGCAGCAGCAGAGCCGACGCTCTCTTGCGAGCCTGCGGCTGTAGCAACCAAGCAAACCACGCCTCATGCCGACCACGCATTGTCATTCTCTAACCGAGCAGAGGCTAACCCGCTGTCTCTGTCTCGGCATGACTCCAAGCTTTCATCTGATGTAACGAACGGTGGCGACATCAAAGCCAAGCTTGCATCAGACTTCGGGTGTAGGGTCAGCGAGCCAAAGCCAGCAAAGTCCGCCACAGCGCAGCGAAGCATAGGCGCGAGTCAATACTCTGAAGATCCTCCTCCCGAGTTTCGCGGACGCGGGCACTTCCAAGGCCGCGGCAGAGGTGGCTTCAGGTGCGAACCTGGCAATAAAGCTCTCCGCAGCCAAAGATGGCCGAACAAGAACGATATCCCAAAGCCAGTTCCCAAGCGGTGGGAAACGAACTGGAACTCCGAAAGGTCCGTGGTCGACTCACTTCAAGCAGACAGTGGCTGGGGTGAGGACAAGAAGAAGCGTGCCGCCGATTATGGTGGCTCCAAGTTGACCGACTGGACCGGCGGCTGGGCGCCCGCACCGATCGACTGGGATGCTAGACCTGGATTCAGCGACTCTGGCACGCTAGCGCGCATCGAGAAGTGGCTAGATGCAGTCGAGAACGACTTGCACGGCCTGCAAAGCGGCATTGAGGAGGCTTTGGTGCTCGATGGAAAGAACGCTGCCAACGACCTGGCGCCGCGTTACTGGGTGCCAGTCGTCATCGGGAACCAGGCGCCGAATGTCTTCTTCGCCGACCTACTGGCGTCTGTGGAGCCTCGCCCCCTCGATGATGACGATCTTACTGGGGCCAGGCCTTGGTGGGTGCTGTATGGAGCACCATCTGACTGCGTTCTACTTTCGCCATGCTCTCATCCAGAGATTTCCGGCTTTGATCCCAACGAAGAGAATCTGCGGGAGAAAGCAGCTCGCGAAGCTGACCAAGGCTCCGACAATCATGCCGAAAATCGGAAGCGAGCGGAAAGAGCAGAGCGCGAGGCCAAGCAGAAGAAAGCGCAGGAAAAGCTTCAGCGCGAGAAGAACCGCGCAAGCAAGTTGAGCAAATTGCCATCAAACTCAGCTGCACACCAGCGCATCAAGCCTGGCGTGAATATCTACTTGCGAATGGCTAAGGCCAGCGACATGGCCCAAGTACGGGACATCTACAATTACTACGTCGACTTCACCTGTTGTACACCAGAGACCGAGACACGAACGACAGCCGACATGCAAATGCGATATGACCGCGTCATGAGCAACACGCTGCCTTTCCTCGTCGCCTGTGAGCGAGGAGGGAAGTTGCCTCGTCGTGGTGGCAGAAGGCACCGCGGAGGCGGCGAAGACATTTGGCTTCCTGATCGGATCGTTGGTTTCGCCACGGCGGACGACTTCCACGACATGATGGGGATGTATCGCTTTACATGCGAGATCGAGGTGCCTGCCGCAATCCTCTCAAAAAGCTGACAATCACTGACAGGATTGTAGGTCTACGTCGCAAAAGACCGCACTATGCAAGGTATTGCCAAGTGTCTTTGCGACAAGATGCTCGCCATGCTGGACCCGGATTACCTCGAACGCGGCGGCTACGATATCCAAGGTGATGATCTCGAAGGCGTGGGGCCGTCGCGTGTAATGCAGAACATTATCGTGCACGTTCCGTACGAGAAGCCGGAGCGCCTGGAGTGGATGAGCCGTTGGCTGTACAGCATGGACTTTGAGCAAGAAGGCAATCTGTCCGATGTGGGTAACAAGGTCGGCATGAGGTGAGTCAGAGATCGTACTGTGTAATATGCATCTGATTCCCCTGACATTGTACGCAGCATATCTCTGGCGATGTTCAGACGCAAGACTGGTGCAGTCTTCGATGCAGCCAACCCCCCTACCATGATGAGATACCCATTATGAGGAAGAGCTTTGGGCAGCTCAGCTTAATACCGTGCCTTTGGGCCGCCGAATAGTAAAGGGATGATGGTACGGCGTGTTGTTCGCTGGCCGCCGATGAAGCCGTAATATCGGGCGTTCGGCGTTCTTGAAGACAAGGTACCATTGACTACGGCCTCCGACATAAAAGTGCTTCTGCATATGATATGAATGTTCATTAGGCCTCCGGCTGGATCCCCAGTGGCTTGCTTGCCGCATCACACATTACACTTGCTCTCATACCACCGCTGATAGCGAGACATCTCTGCTACACAGTCTGCCGCTGCTGTACATGCTCGTCACGCCACTGTCGTTGTGAAGCACTCATAGCTTCGCGTCATGTTGATCCAGCTCAATCTACTGAGGTCGCTGTCCTCGATGCTATCATGGTAAAGGTCGGCATACTGTTCGTTCCCATTGCATCGATCTCTGCCACGCACTGTTAGACCTATCCCAACCTCTACCGTAACGACAAACCACTTAGCTTACTGCATCAACAAACACTCAAAGCCCGCGTCTGGCCGGAAACTCAACGTCTTGCCAGAACTATGTTTGCACCCATGGTCAGCGTGCTTACGCCCTCCCTGCCCGCCGCAACCCCTCAGGGCTAGCTGCATGATGGAGGATGGACCTACTAGTCGTTTAGAGCAATGCACTCGTTGACCGGCCAGGCGACACTGTCGCAGCTGCTTGTGAAGTTGATGCCGGTACACAGTGTGATACCGGCAGATACATTGCTGGCGCGCTTGCCGATGTTCTTGAGCGTGTGGGAGAAGCTGAAGCGTGAGTCCGCTGCAGGGTAGCGGTGCGGTGTTGGTGGGTGCAGAGCGGCGGGGATGGCGACAGCGTGGTGGACCAAAGCTGCGAGGAGTGCGAGAGGCAGGGTGAAGACTCGCATCTTGGGGGGTGGCACGGAGTGGGATGTTAAGCTTGCGAGCAGTTTCCAGGTGCCGAAAGCTGTAGAGACTCGAGAAGCAAGATGATGTCAACTTAATTTTGTGAAACTGGTACGGAATGCGGCGATATAAGTTCTGCTAACAGCCCAAGCAAGGAATGAAGGTGCGATCTCACCTACCGAACCAAGACATTGTTTGCTGCCATCTGTGCAACGTGAGACAGTACGCCACTCCCACTTGATTACAAAGGTGTTGCAGTGCAGGGTATCGGGACAAGTCTTGTGTGACCGGGTTCGCGCTCTTAGACAGGGACAGCAGTCACTGTGATGCATACTTGCCGCTGTATTTCATTGGTGACAGTATCATGCGGTCGATCTGTATGCTTCGTTTGGTACCGGTCCAACACCATCGCTAAAGGCATCCGTATTCGATAATTAACACTTGCTGGAGACAAAGCTTTACGGCCATCTTCCAGCGGAACGCATCCAATATGCCCTTTTCCGGGTGCGACTGCTCAAGAAAGCTTCATCAACAGCCTCTGCAAAGCTTTCTTATGATGCCCGTCCCTCTCAAGCACGAGCACCCAGTCTCGCCCCTGGATACCCTTGCCTGCGGGCCCGTCCTCCCTCCAGTCACCCCACTCAGAGACTGTAGCAGGCTGCTGTTGCGAGCTCGCTCCAACCGTTGTCATCCCGCTAGCGCCGGGCGATGCGCCTTCCTGCTTGACGGCCGGTCCAGGAGTAGAAGTACCGGAGTCTGTGGCGGCCGGGGCTTTGTACCGGTTCTGCAGACTCGCTTGGCTTCCACCACTCATCCAGGAGTACCGACTCATCTTCTTCCCACCTAAAGCCATCATTGCTGCGGTTTGGTTTGTGGTGCTGTGTGAGTGGGCTTCTGAGAGATTCTTTGCTTCTTTGTCGCGACGGGCCTGTTCCTTCTTACTCACCTTCACCGGTGCTGCGGCGTCGGATGGAGCAGCTGCATTTTCGGGCGCGGCGTCAGTCATGGTGGCATCGGCGGATGCCGCATCGATGCGTTCTGCGGCAGCTTTTCGGCGCGCCTCGCGCTTCTTGATGCGCTCTTCTTCGGCTGCTTTGTCGCGTCTCACCACTTCACGCAGCTTAGCAGCAACCGCAGATTGGAAAGAAATTGTTGGCTGGGCTTGCGCAGTGACAGTGTGCTCGTCGTCACCACCGTTTGCCATCTCATCGCCCTCACCCGGCACCTTGTCCCACTGGGTACGAGTCACATTCTCTGGCACCACGCTTTCCTGCCTTCTCTCACCATGTCCGACGGCAATATGTGCGAAGTCAGGAGGTACCCGTCCATGATCACCGTATCTCCTAGCCCGCGCTAGCCCATATGCTTCATCAAGTAGCCCACGCATGCACTCCCCGGTCGCAAGGGAAATCAAGCACATCAGCTGCTCAAATGGCTCGCCTTTGGCTGCGGTAAACTCAGGTCTGCTGTCCACCGAAGTGGCCACCATGCCTTGATCGACCTGAGTATTAACCATGACGTTCGTCTTCGGAAGCTCTTGCCGCTGATAGAGGCCCTGCGTGTTCATGGATACACCCTGTTCCGTCGTGCGATCCATGAGCCGCTTGCGAACGCAGTTTGTTAGAAGAAACTGATTGTTCATGTGGTGCTGAAGACGCTCGTTTCGAGCTCGAGCGGCGTCTGCGCGCTTGCGCTTCATCTCATTCTCGATATCTTCTTCCGACTGCGGCTGTCCTAAAGTACCGGCGAAGGCACCGTTCGAAGCTTGCTGGCTGAACGACGTGCTTTGAGTAAGCATGTTGAAGCTGTTGCCAGGGGACATCGTAGTACTGCCGAACGACGTCGCTTGTATGGTCGAGCCGAAACTGTTGTTGACGCCGTATCGCCGGTCGAAGTCCGAATGCATATAGTTCTCCTCATCTCTTATATTGATACCGGACTGATGCAGTGAATCGCCAATATCCTCGATATTAGCTCGGTTGTCGGGACGTGGAGGCGGAGGCATCATCTGCGAGCTCTGACTCTGCGACACTGGAGGGCTCATCTGTCCCCGCGGTGCAGGCGCCGGAGTGGGCGGTTGTGACTGCCACTGCGGATGGTACTGCGGGGTGTTGAAGGAGCTTTGCGGCGGGCCTGCAAAGGTTGACGGGCTGGGGTATGGTGAGTGTGCTGATGCTTGCGGAGCATATGGGTTGCCGTAGATGCCATATGATGGTGTTGCGGCATATGGAAGGCCGGCGCTCTGTGGCGAGCGGGCGTCGGGTGATAGTCGTGGACGCTTCGCAGGCGGCTGGCCGTATGAGGAGGCACTTGTCGGAGAGCCGGCTGCCTGGTACGATGCTGGCGAGAAAGGCCGGGGTGCCGGCTTCTGCGGCGGCGACATGGCGAAGTTGGACATCTTCGCTGATGTGAGATGGTGCCTCCAGGTTGGTTCGGTGGTGGTGAAGGAGCGCTCTCGCCCGCGCAGCGAGCAGGCGAGGAGGAAGCACCTCCTCACGCAGACAGCTCGGTTAAGCCACCCTCATCCGGCGTCGCTATTGCTGTGGTTGACTCAACCAGGTGTGTTCAATAAGCCTTCACCGGACCAACGCCGTCTCTGATGGTATGGGCGAAATGTTAATGGAGCTGCAGGCACACGCTCTCTCCCTTGGCGAGGTTGTTGTATGCGTGACGGCGACAAATCAGCCAACCCCGGAATCGCTCATGCGACAGCGGGAACACCCGTCGCCAAGAAACGGTCGTGGTTCAGTCTTCAATCGATGTCGAAGGTAAGCGCATTTGATAAAAGCTTCCAAAGCAGTGCACCATCTTACGGAGTATCAAGTACTCGAGGACTCACATAGTCTCCATTGAACGATGGCCGAAGGCGAGAAGGCGGCCAAGGAAACGAAGGGCGCGTTCAGTGCGATCGGTGTACGCCACCAATTCCCCTCACATAGTCGCTTGTCATGTGACTTGCTGACTGCTGCCACTGACAACGGTTACAGGAAATGGGGGAAGACGTGCGCAAGAACGTCAACTCTTTTGCCGATGAATTGCTGGGCGGCAACAAGTCTACCCACCACCCCTCCGGCGGCACTGGCGACATTCATCCCGATGCGAAGAAAGCAGGCGACTCGCTGCAGAAGGGTGTGGACGACGCTGGCAGGAAGCTCGACGAGGCGATGAACAAGCACCATTGATGAATTTCTGGGGTGTTCTCGTCGAGGATATCAAGTCTCAATGTCCGTTCCGTCAATGGTAACAATATGCCACTTCCGCCTCTATGACGCATGGGATGGAAGTAGTCCGCCCGGTGTTAATCATTATCGGCGAAGCTGTCAGTGAAACACTTCATTGTCACATCCTGGGAGGCATCATCGTAGGAGAATGCTTGGTGAAGTGAACGTGTTGCCGCTCATACTCGCGTTACTGATTGGCGCATGAAAGAGCGCGGTTTGTGCATTAGTTTGCCAAACACTCCAAGACACATAACACAGAATAGCCGTAACATACCACCATCCACAGTCTCGTATTACAGTATCACTCCAGTCCAATCATTAGCCATGGACTAGGCCGCCAACAAGATCTCGCCAATTCCCAACCAGTCCTCCCCAGTCAAGTCAAATTACGCCTCACGGGCCATGCACTACCAGGGTCTGAAGGACTCCAAGCGCGACTTTCACCAGGTGAAGGTGGAGGTCGAGGCGCGTGAGAAAGAGAACAAGGCCTATAAGGCCCATCACGAATCAACAGGTCCCGGAAAATGGGAGGTGCTTTACCGACTCATGGAGGAGAGGTATGACAAGTTGAAGGCGGAGTTCGAGAAGGTGTCGAAGGAGTACGCGGCGCTGAGTGAGAAGGACAAGGCGACGAAAGGAGAGGGCGTGGCGGAGAGTGTGCAAGTCGATAAAGTTCTCGGAGGTGGAGGACTTCAAGAGGAGGGTAGCTGATGGGACAGATTTGGACGAATCAGCGGCCTTGCGAGTATGTCTGCATTGGTAGGGCGGAGATAGCGAAGGTCAGGGATCGGATCGCAGTGAGCAATATGCTCGCTTCTCCATTAGAGCCGCACAGCAAGCGGAGGGACTGCTATCCTCGTCCGTGAGCCGGTCAAGGCGGCGTAGCCCGCCTCAGTAGATGCAAAGCATCAAGCCCATTAAAAGTCCTTCTTCGGCGCACTGCCTTCCTCCGTGCCAGTACCATACCTCTTCACCTCCTCCTTCGCCGCACTTTTGTCCTTCGCAAAGTACTCTACTTCCTTCGCATTCATATTCTTAGCCACATTATCCGCTTGCCACTTCTTAAAGCTAAAGCCAACACCCTCGTGGCTGTAGTCCTTATCATTCGCCTGATCCTTATGGTACTTGACCTGGATGAAGTCACTGTCCACCGTGCTGGGATCCAAGCTCAAGCTAACAAGCGCATTGATCGTCGCCGTCTTCGGGATGAGCTTGAATGTCCAACTCTGCTCGTTCTTGAACTGGATCAAGTCGCGGTCATTCTTAATGACCTCGTAGCCCTCGTTCTTCGACGCATTGAACAGTTTCGGAAGAGCGAACCACTGACCAGCCATCTTGTAGCGGTCATTGGCGTAGACGAACTGGTCGTCGTAGACGCAGTCGGGGGTGTACCGCTCTACACGGCGGATGGTGGGCTCGCATGAGTAGAGGGCGATGATGTCGTCGACTAGTGCCTGTCGCGCCGGCGATAGCTTGATCGACTTCGACGGATCAGGCTTGTAGTCATCGGTGGTCGAGGTTTGGCGAGGCTCGAATTGCTCGCCTGGAGCGTCGGCGGAAGGCATGTTGTTGAAGGTTGCTTAATGAGATTTCTGGGTATGCTGTTGTGCTGTTTCGCGGGAGTAATCTGCGTGGAATGGATTTTGTCTAACAACACAGTGCAAAGGAGAACTACTACGTATTGACAGACCTACCTATACGGAACCAGTCCATCGAACAGCGGTTGGCAGTGACGTCTTGTCTGGGCTGCTGTTTGCCACTAATCGGAGGAGAGAAGACTCCGCATGGCCAAATAAGCAGCAGCATTTGACATTTAAATGGTTAGCTGCATCTGTTCCTAAGATTGACGAGTGAGATCTGATCGGAGGCACGGAACGATGACGAAGAGGGAGGAGACGGGACGCTTGGCCAGAAATGGAGACGGAAACCGAGCCGGCTGTTTAGCTGGACTACACTCTACCTCTTTCTCAGGCTTCGTGTCCTGTACCTTATATATGCTACCTACTCTGCGCGAATATAGTGCAGTAGATCTTTCTGCTCCATGGTGCCCGGCAGTGGTAAGAACAACGATACAACTGGCATCGCTCGACCGACAACCATCCTGAATCCATACTTTCTCATGGCACAAGCCCCTTCAACTTCCTCAACTTCGACTTCAGTCTCTTGTCCTCTGCTTCGTCCTGCTGCGATCTCTCGTCCAACTCATCCATCGCCGTCTGCATCTCCTTCACGGCGGTACTCTTTGTCCCGTCAGTCATGGTCTTCGGCGCCGCGCTCCGTCCCTTCCTCTCCTGACCCCTCTTCAACGACTCAAGCTCAGCCTTGGTCTTCTCAAGCTCGGCATCCCTCTTGTTGAGCTCGGCGTGCTTCTTCTTGAGCTCGGTTTCGTTCTTCTTGAGCTCGGCATCCTTCTTCCTGAGCTCGATCCCCGTCCCTTCAATTTCCGTCCTTACATTCTCAACTTCAGCTCGACTCTTCATCCACTCAGCCCTCAGTTCATCATTATCCTGCACAAAAGCTGCACACTCCACCGTTGTATCTGCCGACTTCGCGCCCTCCTGGAGATTTGCCTCCAGTTGTTTCGATACGCAGATTCTGGCCCCGATCGTTCGAGTCCTACTGCTCGCAATTCGGGACGGCCTGCTGCAGCTCACGCTCCACTCTCATCCTTCTCTCGCAGGCTCCTCTTCACTTACCCGCACTCTTCCATGAGCCTCTTCTCTGGCCGTTCCAGCCTGTCGTCTGCCGCTTTAGCCTGCCCCTTCAGTTACCCGGTCCACTCGCCACGCTTCTGAGCCACGGCCTTCAGTTTACGAGTCTCCGCTGTCAGCGCTGCATACTTAACAGTACCGGGCCTGCCAGCCTTCGCCGTCTTCAAGGCAGGCCTCAACTCCCTGACCGTCGCCCGAAGACGTTCGTTCTCCTCGTCCAGCTCGGTCTGATTACTCTCGGCTTCATCCAAGGCGTCAGCCTGCGTGGCAATCGCGTCGTCTTTCTAGGCATCTAACTCATCCCTCACGGCCACTTCGCAATTCAGCACGACAATCTGTCGCGTGAACCTGTCATTTTCGGCCATCCTGTCTCTCTCACGCTTCTTTAACTCCGCTACGAAAGTCATTACACTCTGATAGCGGCTACGATGCTTCATGCTTGTCGCATGCTCTTTCAGAAAACGTATGGAAGAACCCCGCAGTCGCGACGGAGCCTCTGCAAGGTCAGCGAGCAGTTGGGTAATGGCTTTGTCTTTCGCCAGCTCCGACGCGCGCCTCTCGCGATCCATAACCTCAGGCTGATTAGAGCCATGGTTCGTGAGGACCCGGATCATAATGCTGGTTACGGTCGCGGCCTCGGGAGCAGCAGCACTGCTCGCAGTGTCTCCATCAACATTCGTGCTCGCAGGACCGCTGATGGTAGCCTCGGTAGCAGATACTTGCGATCTCTGAATGGTCTAGATACTCCACATATTGACGAGGATAAGTTAGGTACAACTCCGGCACATCCACCACCTGCTCCGAGCTCTCTGGAAGGAAGGCCGTCCGTCGCTGCTCCCGTTGGGAACAGTACTTCTTCACGCTGCGTTCTCCGCCTCAAGTGGACATTGTCCGGTGACGGTCACGGCAAAAGAGTCTTCTTCGCACTGCTGCACGGCTCTCTTGGTTAGATTGCGTGCACGGTGGTGGCGCATATTCCCTAACGAAGGAGGTAGGCTTAGTCCATTCTATCAACTTGCAGGAAGCGTCATGAAAATGCATAAGATACAGCTCAGCTGCCTCTCAAAACTCCAGTGTGGTAGGAGCATGTGTGTGGACGTATCGTGGCAAGTCCTCCAGCGGCACGAGCCGGCGACTCTACGATCGCACTAAATCAACACGTCAAACGGCACGCGTGTACCTGCAAGAGCGTCAGTCACCACAAGCGAAGATTTCAAGTTTCGCTGAACCCTCAGACGTTTGCATCCAACACAACAACAAGCTTGCACGCAGGCACAATGAGTACACGCTCCTACCCCCTCCTCTTACCCCTGACTAAAGGCGAAGGGCTGGTGCCGCTTCGCCTGGGCTTTATGGAAGTAGATAACCTACGCTACATGGACACCACTTTGGGGGCTAGCGACCCGTGGGCGTGGGTTGAGTTGATCTGATCCTCCGCTACGGCAGCTCAGACAACGCTTCCCCCTTAAGCTTGGTCCATGCGGGATTCGGTAGCCTGCGCTCCCTTCCCCTGTGACTGCCCTGGTCTGAATCAGCGCCTTCTCACGGTCAATGACCAGCAGCGTGCAAATAGCGCTGCGCAGGATGAAGTGAGGTTGAGACGCGCTTATGGCTCGGCCGACACCGGAACAACCCCTCCACTGCCCCTCCAAAACTTTCCAGACGGCAAAATATGGCAGCTGTGATTACTGCACACAATGCCTTCTTATAACATCGTCGTCTTTGGCGGCGACCATTGCGGTCCCGAAGTTACTGCAGAAGGTGTCAAAGTACTACGCAAGATTGAGGAATGTAGCAATGACATCAAATTCAACTTCCAGGACCACCTGTTGGGTGGCGCATCCATTGATGCAAACGGCACACCACTAACCGACGAAGCTCTCTCGGCCGCCAAAGCTGCGGATGCCGTACTGCTGGGAGCAATCGGCGGTCCAAAATGGGGCGTCGGCAAGGTAAGGCCGGAGCAAGGCATCCTCAGACTGCGTAAAGAAATGGGCACATTTGGCAATCTACGACCATGTTTCTTCGCTTCGGATTCGCTAGTGGAGCAAAGTCCGCTCAAGGCAGAAGTCTGCAGAGGAACCAACTTCAACATCATCCGTGAACTTACTGGCGGGATCTACTTCGGCGAGCGGAAAGAAGACGACGGCTCCGGGCATGCGCTTGATACCGAGCCGTATTCGCGCATGGAGATCGAGAGAGTTGCGAGGCTTGCTGGGTATCTTGCTCTGGCAGAGGATCCTCCAGCTCCGGTCTGGTCGCTAGACAAGGCTAATGTGATGGCGACTAGCCGGCTATGGAGGAAGACGGTAACTGAGGTGATGGAGAAAGAGTTCCCGAAGTTGAAGCTAGGTCACCATCTCATTGACTCGGCGGCCATGCTTATGGTAAAGAATCCGAGGGCATTGAACGGGATCATCGTTACGAGCAACCTCTTCGGCGACATCATTAGCGATGAGGCGTCGGTGATCCCAGGCTCGCTTGGTCTGCTGCCAAGCGCGAGCTTGACCTCCAGTCCGGACGGCAAGGGCAAATGCAACGGCATATACGAGCCTATACACGGTACGGCCTCCGGAACCCTTACCATTGCAGGATCGCTATGCTGACACTTCCGGCAGGTTCCGCACCAGATATCAGCGGCAAGGGTGTGGTGAACCCTGTCGCCATGATTCTGTCTGTCGGCATGATGCTGAAATATTCACTTCAGCAGCCAGAGCTAGCGAAGAAGGTAGATGAAGCGGTCAAGATTGTTATTGATCAAGGTATCCGAACGCCGGATATTGGAGGCAGAGCGAGTACCAGCGAAGTTGGTGACGCTGTAGCGAAGGAGCTAGAATCAATCCTGAAGCGGTAATGGTCCTGCTTTGACAAGTCCTCCATGCTGCCGATACCACTCCACGCATGAGAGCCCGGTTGTCACCATACTGTTTAGTGCTCAAAAGCAGAAGTTTGGTAAGGTGGTGCTAGACTCTTGGAGTCGTGGCCGCTTGAGCCGAGGCGAGCTGATTGGGCAAACTCCGCTGCCTATGAACTCTCCTATTAACTCCTACCTTTGCCTTTTGCTTGAAATGACAAACTCGGACTCCGTTTTGAAGCGTTTGCATATCGAGTGGTGACTGCTACCGGGACGTGTGAATGCATATGCCGAACATGCGTCCAGGTGATGCCAAATCGAGAATCGACCGGCATACAGCGGGCTGAACGTCATGCCTACGAAATGCTGCCAGTGATTGCACGTGTGAGAGCATGCGGTAGGAGACAGCTATCTCGCCGGTAGGAAGCATGCTAGGAAAAGCATCATGAGCAGGTGAAGTCATATCTCTAATCGTCTGAAGCTCTCCCATTTCGTATGTACCTTCAAGCCACAAATTCGGACAGCCGCATGCTTGAGTCTAGCGTTGTGTAACCTAGGAGTCAATTGCACGTAGGTCAAGCCTTGCCAGACATCGACAATACAAGGAAAGATCCTAGAGGAGGCCGTGGTCAGCAAGCATCAAGATGGCGGCTGGCGACCACACGCAAACAGATGGTTCACCCATCACCGGCATAACAGCCAAGCATGGCTTCGAAGCAGCACCTCCCACTAAGCACATTGAGCGTATGGAACGCCTCAAGCAAGAGTCCGGCGAGGCTGGTATCGCTTTGTCAGAGCTATGGCTTGGTCTGGCAGCCAACTATGAGAAGGATGGCAGCGTTGATTTAGGCTTCGCCTGCCACGACGGCACATATTCCATTGATTTTGCTGTGCACAACCTGCCTGTCAACGACGATGAAGGGGAGGACAAGAAAGACGCTGGGGGCGCTCCGCCAGAGCTGCCTTCCAATGCAGACGGCAAGGCAAGCGCAGTGGCGCAATATCTCGTCAATGAAATCCGGAGATACCAGAAAGATCACCAGTACAAGTTCTTAGGCGCTGGCATCTCGCAGGAGGTGGTGAAGTTGAGCCCACAACTGCCCGCTCGGCTGTGGTCGGACCTCGACATTGTGCCCATTGTCATTCCAGAGAAGGAAGGCGGCAGCATGAGCACAGCACAAGCCGCTGGTCTGGAAGGCGTGGACGAGTTGGCTGATTCCCTGGCCCGCAAATGTCTGGCTTTCTTCGGACCGTCGAGTCAGCCGCGTGTGCAGGTCGGCTTCAGCAATATGGTTGAGGTCGATTGCGGCGGTCGCGCTCGCTTGGCGGCGCTCCAGCAGTATCAGCTCAGGTGCAATGAGCGCTCGTGGAAGACATGCGAACACTATGCGCAGTCGCTGAAGGAAGGCAACAAGAAATTTGCGTTCTTCAGCGCCACGCCTCAAGGTGGTGGTGTGGCATTGATGAGGCATGCACTTGTTCGCTTTTGGCGTCTTTTGGGCGTAGACTGCACGTGGTGGGTACCGAAGCCTAAGCCAGAAGTCTTCCGGGTTACGAAGACGAATCACAACATCCTGCAAGGTGTGGCAGACCCCAAGGAGAGACTCACGGAGGACAAGCAGAAACTTATCGACGACTGGATCCAATCGAATGCTGAGCGCTTTTGGACTCGCCCAGGTGGGCCACTCTCACCGCGCTCTCAAGGTGGCGTTGACGTTGTCATTGTGGATGACCCGCAAATGCCAGGCCTTATCGACATCGCGAAGAAGATGGACCCAGACCGACCTGTCATCTTCCGCTCACACATTCAGATCCGCGCAGACCTTGCTGAGCAACCAGATACCAATACAGCAGGCGTCTGGAAGTGGCTGTGGAGCAGCGCTCAGCACGCCAACCTGTTCATTTCACACCCAGTTGCAGCCTTCGTGCCGAAGATGGTCCCTCACCGTTCGCTGGCTTACATGCCTGCTACCACCGACTGGCTTGACGGTCTGAACAAGGAGCTCAGCGATTTCGACAACGCCTACTACCTCCACGAGTTTAACACTCAATGCCAGCGTCAGCGCATGAATACTCTCGCTTTCCCGAAACGCGACTACATTGTGCAAATTGCACGATTTGACCCATCCAAAGGCATTCCACACGTCCTGGCCAGCTATGCCGAGTTTCGCCGCACCTCCGAGTTCTGCAAGAACAAGAAGCCAGAAGAGACGCCCCAGCTTGTCGTTGCAGGACACTATTCCGTTGATGACCCAGATGGCGTAATGGTGCTCAATCAGACACTCGATCTGCTTGAAAACGACTACGCCGACGTCAAAGACAGCGTCGTCGTCATGCGACTAGGGCCGACAGATCAGCTGCTCAATGCACTCATGTCGAATGCGCGCGTCGCGCTGCAGCTTTCTACTCGCGAAGGCTTCGAAGTCAAGGTCAGCGAAGGCCTGAAGAAGGGCGTGCCGATGATCACGACCAAAGCCGGCGGCATCCCACTGCAAGTGCAGCCGGACAAGTCCGGCTTCCTTGTGGAGCCTGGCGACGCGAAGGCTGTAGCGAAGTACCTCGACGTGCTGTTCTCGGACGAGAAACGGTATGACGAGATGAGCAAGTTCGCGGCCGAGCACGTGAGCGATGAAGTGGGCACGGTGGGCAACGCCATCTGCTGGATGTATCTCGTCGATAAGCTTTCGCGTGGTGATGGTAAGCTGGAGCCGGATGGGAAGTGGATCTGGAACATGGCGCGAGAGGAAGCAGGGCAGCCGAGAGGTGAGGGTGAGGTATGGTTGCCAAGGGATTGGACCACGTGAGCGATCATAGAGCGCGAGATATACCTATTGCCTAGACGCCATCGCTTCGCACCCATCCCACGCAGTCTCAAATGCCAAAGGTATGATCTCAGGCGAAACAACACGCTGCACACGAGGCGCCACCGCTACCAAGAAAGCACAATAGAAGCAAGTTGAAGGTACAGCGTTTCCACGGCAACAGCATACCGTACACGCAGTGATGGCGCCGATGCAGTCCACAAAAGCCTACACCATCCTCCTTCCCGCTCTCCCCACACTCCCCGCCCCCTTCGCATAGTTCACCGTTCCCGTCTTCCCACCCAGCGCTGGCGCACTAACATCTCTCCTGGGGACGACACCCTCCAGCATCTGCTTACGCGGCGTGAGATGCCCTTGCGCAAAACTCCTCGCTCGACCGCGACGATACTCGATCGCTGCTAGAGCTGCCGCGCGGTCGAACGTCGCCTCTGCTTGTCCCGAGTCGTCCGACTGCGGTGGGATATTTTCTGCGTCCTCGACGGCGTGTTGGGAGACCTGAGGTTTGGCCATTGGAGTGAAATGCATAGGGATTGTTGTCGTGGTTGTGACGGTGCGAATGGAGGGTTGTGGCCGGAAGGGCGTAGTTTGGTGGTGCTGGGATGGCGTGCGTGGTGAGGAAGGCTGTAACGGGATTGTAGCTGGTTGTTCCGGGTTGCTGACAGCTTTAGCAGGCGTGCGATGAGGCGCTATCGAAGCCTCCTTGTCTATCCTAGGTGCTGGCTTCTCTGGCGTTTCGGCGGTCAAGGTCATACTGCGGTCAACCTCCTCTGCTGTTACAGACTTCGTGCTTCCAACGTCTTGCACTTCGAGCGTTGTCTTCGCGAGCTCTGGTGTTTCACACTCCTCGATGTGCTCATGATGAGCTACTTCTTGCATGTCAACTTCGGTTTCGACAGCTTGGCCTGATGGGTTGAGTACCGCCTGCATAGACAACATGATGTCCTCCAGCTTTTCCGACAGTTCGCTTGCAACCGAAAGCTCGAAGCTGTCATGCCCAAGCTTTCTAGACAAACTCTGACAGCTACAGCATCGAAACATGCATTCCATACTCAGGAACTCGACCATCTCCTCGGCGTGCTTTCTTCGTCTCCGCTCAAGCGCAAGCTCATCACTCTGATCTTTACTTCTCATCTTCTTGGTTGTCACCGGTTGGTTCTCCTTGTCGTCAGAAAGCGGCGACCGCTTTTGTGGCGAGCTAAATGGTTGGTCATCTTCCTGCGCCAGTGGCAAGGCTATCATGCCATTTGCAGCAACCTTTGCCACTTCTTCTTCTTCCAAGGTTAGCTTTAGAGCGTCCTTCTCTTCTTGCACTATGCGAAGGTGTGCTTGCAGCTTTTCGAGCTCCTCTTGCACCGCTGCAAGCTGGTAATGTGCGTTGAATGTTTCTTGCTCTGTTCGCTGCACTCTCTGCTTCTCCATTTCGAAACCCGACTGCGTGATCCGGAGCGTGTTGCGAGTTGATTTCAGCTCCTCTTGCAGCTTAATGACGGCAGAAGAAGATTTATACGCCTCCTTCCGCGCCTTGCGGATCTCCTTCTCATAAACGGCCATTTGTGATGCGTGCTGTTGCTTGGCGGAAGCGAACTCTTCCTGTTCGAGAAATTAGCTGGCACCGCTTCAGGATGGAGATCGCGAAGCCTACCATGACCACCTCCAACCTCTTCCCGACCTTCCGCTCCCTCTCCCGACCTTCATCGCTCTCCCTACCCGACCGCCTGAGTTCCTCTCTGAGCCGCCTGACATCAGTCTCCGCCTCCTCCCTCGCTATCTGCGCCCGCCGCAGCTCGGCGTCTTGCTTCCGTCTCCGCTCCACGCTCTCCGCGTCCCGGTCCCGGACGTCCAGATGCTCGAATCGCTTGACAAGGCCTTGCACGTCGCTGTTAGTCCGCACATGGCTGCGTAAGGCGTTGATCTCTGGTAAGCTAGGCGAATGCGGCAGCGCGAAGCCGGTAGATTGGTTGGCTTTGGGCGTGGTTGGATGGTAATCAGCGAATAGATTGGCTCTTCTGGTTGGTGACGACTGTGTGGAAGTAGGTTCTCCTGATAGTGTGGGCGAAAACGTCTCGGGGGCGGTGGTCACCGGCGTCTTGCTCGGTGTTGTCGTTGTTGGTGTCGTGCGCGTGTCGACGCGTTCCGGAGAAAGATGCTGAGGTGGTTGCCCGCCCTTCGAGGGCAGCTTGAATATTGGTGGTGGTTCCATACGTACGAGCGCCAGAGTCGAGGTTTACCGTCCTTCTTATCGAGCCATATTGCTCGCGTCGTGTGATAAATATGCAGTCCGAGCGTACTTTCCTCCGATCGAGTGTTTTGCGCTAAAGGGCCCCAGCAACGCTAGTGCGCTTGGACCTCCAGTCTTCCTCTACGACAAAGACAGTACAATCACGACACATCTTTAGGGCTGCGAGCAGGTTCGCCAACATATCATGCACTGGCGTCCAGCTCATTGACGATGCAATCACTCCAGCTTGCACGAGAGCGAACCTGTTACTATGCATATGTCAGGCACCACTTTCATACCAGGCCGAGCAAATCCAGAGCGCAGACAGTCAGGTTGGCTCGGCTAAGGCTACATCGTAGTGGCAGCTAGTAATGGCAAGGAACTCCGTGAAGGCGGTTACCAGGACCGTCATCGGAAGTGCGGTGACAACAGGAAGTTACCAATGCGCAAAAGTCGGCTCAATGTCCTCGGTCAAGCTAATACCCTGGAGTCCACTCGTTATTAGGCCTTATAACGTACCGACAGCAAAACAAGCCATGCAGATCACGTCCACCATGCTCGATGCATGAATGATGGTGACAGGTGATCAAAGGCGCAGTAGCTGTGATGACGAGACAAGCCTAGGCTTTGGGCTTCGCACGGAGTCCCGCATGCACCTTAATGTGTTAGTGGCTAGCGAAGCTCTCATGAGAGGAGGCCATCATCGGAATTCCTAACTCACAAATCGGGGCCTGATCAAGCGAACAGCCGGCGACAAGTCCAGTGTTTCTCGCTAACCTTCGCGGGTAAAGTTTCCCCGTAGAAACACCTATCCAACCCGTATCATTCTGTATGTCTTATGGGGAACGACCAAATACTGACTGCGTCTTCCATTCACATCTGCTAATATCGCCTTCCACCTCATCCTCCGCAACGCACAGCCCCCTACTGACGCATACGAAGCACACTGACGAGCACGTCGACGCGCACACACAGTTTCTGACCTTGTCACTGTCGCAGCCAAGCTACCATCCCAAAGTAGGATCCGGTCATGGTGCAGACTAGAGCCCAGGCAGGCCAGCAGCGTACGACACCACCCCTTTTGGGTCTACCGCTAGAAGTCCGGCTTCAGATCTTCGAAGCGCTCCTCGGCGGCCATACAATACATGTTGGCTATCCGGACGGCACAGGGCGTGCGACTCAAAGCGACACGAAGCAGTTTCGACGTGGGCAGCAAGTAGTTGCTAGTCTCTGCCAGTCGGAGCGCTCGAGTCATGTTCGCCGCAACGCGTCGCGCGAAGAGTCGACCGACGTTCACGAAATGCAGGCCAACTACTTTCCCATGGCTCATCGCAGGTGCATCAGGGAGCGACAGCCGCCTTACGGTGACGACGAGTTGAACCTGCTCCTGATCAACCGCCAGACCTATGCTGAGGCCTCGCGACTCCCGTTCGAAAGGAACACATTCACCTTCCACAATCCCCGGACACTGGTCCGTTTTACAAGATGCTGTGAGGCCTATCAGCGCAAAGCGTTACGATCGATTGAAGTGCTTGAGGTTCACAGCCTTCGGCTCTGGGCCAATGCCCGACTTAGCCGCCCATTCATTAACCGCCTCACTTCGCTCCGCTCACTAGATATATCAATTGATCTAGTCTCGGAGGACCTCTGGTCATCCGCGCCGAAACGGCTTACAACAGGTGAGGTCCGGAAGCAGATCTTCAGCTGCCTAAGGAGCCCAAGGCACATCACAACGTGCAAGGTTACAGTGCGAATCGTTGACTGTGTCAGGCGGGAGGTGTATCTTTCGCTCTCCCAATTGGGCATTGTTGTCCGAAAGCCTACGGGGGCGGAGCTTGATCGGTGGGAGAGGGAGATTGAAGCAGCAATTCTGTCGTGAATGAATCAGGGGCCGTACTGGATAGGTAGGGACCTGAGTCGGGATCGCGTAATTTAGTGCGGACGCTTCCCTCGGTCTGGGGAATCCATGCAGAGAGGGGTTGAGGCATGATCGTCAGAGATCGTTGGCTCAGGATGAAGATTGCAAAGCATTTATGTTCTGAAAACCTACTTTCGCAGAAGTTTGCAATGATAAGCCAACGCTGAAGGGATTATTTTGGGACTTGCGGGAATGTTTGGCGAGAGCCTGCGCTCTTGCGGCAAATAGCTCACAATCTACCCTTATGACGGCAGCCTATTGGTCGCTCTGTTTGGCTTTAACCACGTAGAGATGCGCGCCAATTCCGAGTCATACAGGCTCAACCGGCACAGTTGGCTTCACGGCCGCCTGAAGATACGACTCCTGGCGCTCAAACTGCCGGCCCGTGACTGTGCGCAAGCATGGCAGCACGGAAACGGACGGGTCTGATCATATCTGCCTTGGTTCATCTCTTGCAGACGGCTGATAACGAGCACGCAACTGTGGCGTAAGCGCCAATAAGTAGTATCGGCGTCGGCAATTTGGATGTGCATGTGAGTTTGGCGGGCTGGGCGGGCTATGCTTTGGCATGACCGAGGAATGCCATGCTTCCGGCTGCAGGTCCTCTTGTACCTTGCACGGCCCGTCTATGCTTTGCGAGCCAATGATGCTTGTAGCTCTGGCGAGCCTTTCCTTGTAAGGCTCATGCAGGTGCGTTACCGTTGCCAGGAGGTAGTACGACTCCCTTCCTTTCCCCTTCCCATCTTCTTACAAGTTTGCGGCGAGTATCACGGACGAGTGGTAATGCTTGGAGAGTTACTGGACCATTGGACACCTCGCAATAGTTGAGACCGGGACCGGGATTGCGCTATCAAGCGGCCAACTACGCTTGCAAGCTTGCGTTCTGGGCAAAAGCACAATTGTACAACCGGCGAGATGCATTGATAGGAAGAACGGTATACGGGTACGGCGGTATCACAGCGCCCAGCTGTAAGAGAGGACACATGAGTTTTGCAATGGCTTTTGATCAGAACTATGCCGGGTAGGCAAAATATCTGATCCGGCGCCTGTGTCTATTCACTTGGCTTACACATCAGTAGCAATGGAGATTGGCAGTTCCCAAGCCCCCAAGGAACACCGACTGCGGGTTCGTTCCACAATGTACTGCAAACGCCGAAAACAGCTGCCTTTCACTCTCACTTTCAAGATGCCTTTCGTACTCCGCAGATGCCGGTCTATTCAACCCCACAACAACCTCACTTCGAGTCTATGGCCCATATGGGACCATCACCGCAGGCATATGGATGCCATGATGGATTAGTGGTGAGCCCAGCGGTTGGAAATCAGTACACTCCTGGCCATCTTGCATCCGGAACTCATTTTGGCCATGCCCAGGGAATCCAGAATGATGCCAACCCAATGACAGGGCCGCCTAGCTTCAGCTCGATACAGATGCAGACGCCTCCGCCAACAAGAGGCTTCTCTGCGAAGAAGGCTCAACAGCCCGATCCGATCGCTTTTGGTACACCATCAACGATAGCCTCTCGTCGCTTCATGACGCCGCAGCTGCAGGCCATGCCGCTTAAGGCTGGTGTAAGCCAACACACCCCGGTACACTTCCCGCAGTTGCAGTTCTCGCCGGAACTGTACCAGTTCAGGAACCTTGGCCCAGCCTCTGCGCCGGTGATGCCACAGACGCAGTTGCTCTGGGATCAGATGGCACCAACGCCTGCAATTGTAGCTCATCAACGCCCTCTTGACGATCCGTTTGCGCCTGCCATGCAGCAAAGCCCGGCTTGGCCAGCCAGTTCACCGAACCCGGGCATGGCACAAACGATGAGTTTCGATACACCTGCCATGACGAGCTTCTCCGTGCAGCCACCGCATCCAAGACCAGCGTCTGCGGCATCCGTGCCTAGTAATGCTGTAGCGAGCTACGCTACAACGCTCGGCGCCTCTTCAGCAAGTCTTGATCCGTCTCTGATATACAGCTCGCCTATCAGGTCAGCATTTCCACAAGATGGTCAAGCCGTAAGACCTCGCGCTGCTCAGTCTGCAACCAACAAACATAGAGGTGCTACCAACGGCGCCATGGTCTTCGAATCCACTGCCACAGCCGCTGAAACGATTACGCCGCAGACGGTTTCTGGTGGCAACCTTCGTTGGAATAATACTACTGGCAATGTTCGTCCGCAAACAGCGCAGGCTGCGTTCAGTACTTCAGACGCTCTCTACAACCACCCTGTGCAAACTGCGTCGCCCCTGAAACGCTCTAGTCGGCTGCCGTTAGGTTCTATATCGGAACACAAGCCAAGGAAGCGTGCCTCTGTGATCTTGACAGTTGACCAGCACGGCATCGCACGAACTGAGAGAAACGAGCCAGAAGGCAGCCCTACCAAATCGATACGAGAGAAGTACCCTGGACTCTTCGACAGCGATAGTAGTGATAACGAGTCAGACACAAGTAGCCGAATACCCGGCGCAGACGCATCTATGAGCATCGCGGAGAGTATGACACGCCGATCTAAGGTCGCTCGTCTGGACCCGCCCGTAGAGAACTTGGTGGGCTTGAACATACCTCGCTCAGGCTCTTCGGCCTCACTGAGAACCGTGACGCCCTCCAGAGCAGCCATCGCCGCCGCGGCCTCGTTGCGGAAGCAGGGTAGCCTCAGGCGGCCTAGTCGGACTGCTGCGAGCAAGCGTAACTCCATGGCCGTCCCAACCACTTTGATGATTGACTCCTGTCCGATGGGTGATGAGCTTCAACCGGACATGGAGATTGGCATCGAAACCAAACGGATTGGTGGTTCTAGTGCCCGTGCGCATAGTAAGCGACGAGACGCAGAGCACACTGCGCTTGATGCTCACAACCGCCGCTGGAGCATGATGTCGTTCGAACATTTACAGCCGGCTTCGATCCCGACATCGATGCGACAGCCGAGTTTCCAGAACGGTTCACGTTCCCACACGGCTCCTTTGATTCGCTGTATATGCGGCGTTCCGCAGGACCATGGGGTGCCGCTGGTGCAATGCTGCTCTTGCACCCAGTGGCTGCATTCTCCCTGTGTATGTCTGGATGGGCAGGACCCTCCACCTTTGTATACTTGCTTTTTGTGCACCAAGCCGACGTCAGCGCTTCGGTGAACGGGCGACTTGAGTTCGTGGCAGACGACCGTCGTCCTTCTTGCAGCATTTCTCCGCCGGCCAGGTGTGCGTGCTAACTATTTGTTCTTCTACTTCTTGTGACAGCGTTTGAGCGATTCATACACGTTCCCGGTTTGCTCGGTATACGATGTGACACAATTAGCCGGCTAGGGCTCCATTTCCGGATCACAACAAAGCCTTCACCTGCTGGGACGAAGACAAAGCATTTCAACGCTGCACAATGCATTGTCACCGCTGCGCGCTCTTCTTAGATTTCCTAGCGGTTTCAGCTTCTAGCGTTCGCCATCGGAATACCAACGTTCTGCAATCGAACGTCTTGCTCGATTTGCACGGTCCGGTCCATCCCAATAAACCCAGGTCGCAGGAATCGGAATATAACCATGCCCATATACCATGGTATGTACAGCCAGCAGCAACTGCATGATCTTGTCAGCGCTCCACAGTCTCGGAGGTACAGGTACCTGTCAGCGGCGCAGATTGTTGATCTTGCATCCATCGTCACACAGTCGCCGATCCAGCGCACTCAGAGCGACAGGACGGACGGAGCGGAGGCCTGCGGAGCCTTGCGAAAGCCTATGAATCAGTTTCTCCGTGACGCAAAGGTGCGGACATCGCTCTGCAAACTGCACGACAGACTGAGCGAGCTGGCAGTGGTCAGTCTTTGGGAAAGACTTCGAGAGGATATTGACCGCGAATTGAAGGAGACATGGATGCCAATGCTGCATGATGATCGCTTGTCGTCACTACACGCCCAATATGTCTGCCGATTGCTGAGGTACCCATGGTATACAGGAGCGCGCGATTGCGCTGCTTGTTCGCTGGGTCAGCTGGGCGGTGACACGGAATTGTTGTTGGCAATGGGAGCTGTCACCATTGCTACACTGCCGCCTAAGCACTGGAAGCAGAGCAGGCGTAGCTTCTTCCTGGAGTACCTGCTGCAAGAATGTGTGGATCCACTCGATGCGGAGAATGTGAAGCAAAAGATGTTCAATGTCGGCGAAGCGTTTCGCATGATGCGTCAGGCATCACGGCGTCCATCGACAACTGGTGGCAATCGGTCTAACATCGATTATGCCACCGTGAACTACCAGCATAGGGCCAAAAGCTGTGAGCAAACCGCGCCTGTGCGGACTGCTCCCAACGAGCAACTCCCACACGTCCACTACGGACGCCAGAGCAAAGCGATCATGTGGAGATTGCAAGGCGAATATTGCTACTACGACGTTAATTATGGGCCGTACATAATGGCACAGTAATGATATGTCTCCCGCCACCAGGTCATTCTGAATTTATATAGCATTAGAGCATACCAGTCACAGTGCTTGTCGGAGACGACGTAGAAAAATATGCAGTCATTCTCTGCCAAAAACCCATTGTTCCAACCGTCCTTGCCACGTTCGCCTTCGCTCGAGTTTGGAAACGGGTGGGAAGGGCGCGAAGAAGGTACGGCCGACTGATACGAAGAGGAACAAAAGAGAAAGCCTTGATGTCGGGTGTTAACCGACCGAGATGGAGTTTCGAGCAGCATGGGGCTCTAGGATCACCAGATTAGTCCATGGTTTTGGATAACAAGTTGGGAACATGACTAACCGAACCCACAGCCTTTGGTGATTTCAAACCGAAAACCAACGCGCTACCATTGCGCCAACCGCCCAGATTATGTTGGAAGTGGTCAAATCTTTCGACGATCTTGGACCGCCCAATCACCGCTAACATTGTAGATGTGGTATTATATACTGATTAGATATGGGCCGACATTTCGCCGAACCAACTCGCTTGCTTTCGACAGTCTCTCCTTTTCAGGATCGTCAACTGGCACGAATCTACCCAGCACATACCGGACAGACCACATCAAGCGCCTGTGTTATCTGCTATGAGGTCCCATGTAGCACTGGCTGATCACGCCGAGCACTGCTTCGATACGACATTCGCTGGGAACACACCCATGTGCAGCACCCACGGCACGGTAACTGGTCTATAGTGATCCTGCTTGGTAACCAGCTGCTACTACAATTGGCCACAGTCATGGCTCACTGTCTCTTCCCCTCTGCGCAAACGGATATCTATGAGCGTGACGATGTCTTTCTCACCAAACATCCTTCACACATCGCTTGTCTGCCCTGCAGAAGGCAAGATCGATCGTGTACTGTCGCTCATACAAGATCTTGAGGCACGTAGACTAGTGGACTGGTAATAATTCAAGGACGTGATCAAGCCTTTCTGTATCACTGTACACGACGAACGGCCTGGTGCATTGCAGTTCCAGATGCACGAGGAGGTCGACGCAAGGGGCACGCCACGGATCCTGATGGTCGAGCTTTAAGTCTTATGTTCTTAACGACTGTGACCTGTAGCGTAATCACGACGACCTTTGCGATCAGTACTGATTCCCGACCAGCTACGAGGATAGGGAGGCTCTGGACGCACATTACGCCAAACCCTGTTTCAAGCAATTGCTCGAAATGTTTGAAAGTGAGAAATTGCTTTGCTCAGGAACCCGTGCTGGTTTATGGCAAAGCTACTGCTGGCTTCAAAACTCGTAGATTGTCCGCGGGCTACTAGTAACAAGGGCCGCAGTGTACTGCTAGTTGGTCGGCTTCCCTAGCATAGTCGCCAAAAGCAGATACAAGCCGTAACCTCTTCTCGGCTGGGTACAAGCAGAAGGTGATAATCATGCCAAGAGGAAGGATCGTCTAAGCAGACTGTGCCTACCGCTTCTTCCTAGCAGACCTCACCCGCTCTTGATAGGCAAGCCATCCTTGCTTTCTGTACTCATGCGCTGCTCTTCGTCTATCACGCGCAGCGAGTATGCCACGCCCGACGATTATAATATCGCTACACTGCTCCCCGATGACTTTCTGGGGCGTGTTGTATTGCTGGCCCATCGAATCGCCGCCAGCAGACAGCTGCACTCCGGGAGTCATGGTAATGAAGTTGTCGTCGGCCTCTTTATTCAGTGACTGCTGAGCGATGAAACCCATGACGAAATTCTTGTTTTGCCGAGCGTGATGTAAGCACTGCTGGGTATACTCCGGGGTGAAGAGATTGCCAGCTGATGACATCTGCGCCAGAAGCAGTAGCGCTCTGAAGTAAGGCGGAGGGCCAAGCTCAGCCATCTGCATTTCAAGGTCGTCGTCCTCTTCTGCCTCTTCTTCCTCGTCCTCATTTGAGCCGCGCGACGTTGAAGGCCTCAGCCCTGGCTGGGGACTGATGGCTTCGGTCTTGGTGCTGATCGTTGTACTGACGGAGACGACAGACTGCTTGCGCGCTTTTCGCTCGTCCGGAAGCTCGTCACTATCGAGCTGAATTCGCTCGGCCGATCCGTCCACGGACTCATCGTCGTACTCACTGTCCATCAATGAACCCGCGGGCGATGCTGAGATGTCTGTGGAAACTGATGTATTGTGGGCCAGTATCGCCCTCCTCGCCGCATCTGCAAGTGCAGGAATGACTGCGGGGCCTGGGAATAGCGCAGCATTCACAATGGACGCCCACTTGACTATGGCCAGTGGTCCGCGTGTGTATTGATGTTGTAGCGTGCCTAATACGATGCACCCTATGGTTAGCGTAACTTCCAGACTGCTGAAAACCCTACGGTGTCGTACTCCCAATGTCTCCGAACTTTCTGTCCTCAAAGATGAGAAACTTCTTCCGTCGGGAGACTTCATTGAGGCCTCGTATAGTCTTGTCCCCAAAGTCATCGATGATGTCGGCGTGCGTCTTCAGCACACAGATATAGTCGCCGACATCCTCGGCGAGCTGCAATAGCTCCAATGTCGTATGGACGTCTGCGGACACGCAGAGATTGGTCTGCTTGAGGTGAATCAGTCGCAGAAGATATTGAGCCAGAGGTGTGAGATCCGGGTCTTCTGAACGCTCTCCGTACGTCTTGGAGCTGCTGGAATGCCGCTGTGCTGTGGAAAGCATTGCAACTAGTTGGCGAACCGAGGCTGGTGGGCCAGATTCGGTCGAGACAAGGGTGCTAGTCTGGTTCCGGAGAAGAGCTTTGGGAGAGCTTGCAGACTCCTTGTTGCATGGGCTTCTGGCAGACGGTATAAAGCGTCCTGAGTAGCGTGCGGCCTTCGCAGCGAGACCGTTGCGGTGGATAAAGATCTATCAAGCGAGCCGACAGCAGGAACTCCAGCCTCGGCTTGGAAAATGTAAACGAGGACAATTGACGAGGGTGCTGAAGTCCCATGCAAGCGGACGGCGTTGAGATGGATGGTAGTAGAGGGCAATATGTTCGCACAAGAGCTGGCCTGCCTCACTTGCATGCCAGGAATCTGACGGCGGTGGCGCTGTCGGGACGTGGATTCACGACTCTCCTCGGCGGACGGATCTTACAAAAGCTCGCACGACTTATTGCTTATTATGTGCGCTCACGGCAGTTGACCGGAGTAGGAGCGTCGTCAGTGGCACAATGAACCAACAATTTCGTGCGCCTCACTCAATGCAATGCAATGCAGGGGACGAGTTCTGCAAACAAAGTTTACCAACTCGCGAATAGCTTCTGCGGTGACCACTCACAATCGTGTCCACCACCCAGCAGTGTCACTAGATCGTAGACTACTGTTATCAGTGCCGCGGGCTTGGGCACCCGTCAACCGCCCCGCTCAAGACTGACAGGCGTAAGGACGCCCCACCGGAAGTACTACGGCCCACCAGTGACTGTGGAGGCGACACTTCGACAGCGCTTGCAGCATGCATGCAGCCCCAATGCCGTGTCATTCGCTGTGATATGTGACCGCTTTGCGTCATGCCTGAAACGTCTGCAGTCTCACACAGCTTATGCGCACTGCGATCGAACTACGCTCTGCCGTGGTTGCATCGGCTTGCAGCCTGGTCTCGACCTTCTTGCGCAAGAAGGAGAGCTAATGCGAGGACGAGGATCGATTTGCAAGGGCCGAACAACGTCCCGAGAGTCCCGTGAAGTTTATGAGTAATCCGATCTTTTGCCGTGAGAATGGCAGCATTGTGTGACCATGCTACCTGGTAACACCAGCGTACCAAGATCTCGATCAGCGGATCGACGTGCTTCTTTTAACATCAACTTATCCGCATCAGTAGCGCCCGTGCAGCGCTTGTAAATTTCCATAGATGTACAATGTACTTTCGTTAGACACCTGTTGAGTGCTACATGCTACCGATCATTTCCACCAAACCTCGGCGTTTGCGTCTCATAAAGCCAACAAGGGCAGCGGCAAACGCAAAGACTCAGCGACTGCAATCATTCGCTCTTGTGCTTAATTCGTGCTACCTCCGTGCTTCGCAATAAATCGCTTTGCAGATGCGAGCTCCGCTGAACTGAGCGGTGCCGCGCCGTACCTGTTTCAGACCGTCAGTAACTATCATCACCTCCTTGCGCAGATCACGGCGCCCAGAGGGGACTGGCGTTGACGTACCAAGCAATGACTGCCATACCCAAGAAAGCGCTAATGCAGCTGAACACTAACGCCACAATGCCCTTCGCCGTGAAGCCGGCTGGCAGTGGGTGCACCATCTCGTTCTCGCCCTCCAGGTCCAGGACATTGACCGTGTTACCGGCGGCATTCCCAGCAACGGGCACCCCAGCCGCACGACAGACGTCGTAGTGGTTCTGTGGAATGGACAACGTCTTCTGCATCTCGAGTGGCGCCTCGATCAATGTCGCAGCTAGACCGCTGGCAAGATGCCAGTCAATGTGACAGTGGAAGAACCAGACGCCTATACTTGCGGTCAGCGCATATGCAACCATCTGGTCCGGGTGCGTTGGAGCGTACCTGGATTGTCCGCCTTGAAGCGTACAACAAAGTTACCCTGAGGCCTTACCATGAGGGTATCGCGACGCATTGGCGTCGCTGGGAATGCGGAGTGATTGTTTGGGTCATAGTGACCCCAATCATCCTCGCTTCTCACAATCGCTTGAAAGTTGTGACCGTGAAGGTGGAAGGGGTGCTTGCCTGCGTCGTCATTGTTGAGCACAATGTCCACAATATCATCCTTTTGCAGGACGTAGCTGTTGGTGTAGCCGCCGTAAACTGTGACGTCCGATGCGTTGGCTCCAGTGGTTAGTGCGCTGTAGAGTGTCGGTACGACGGGAGCCGTGTACGTGATGTCGTTGAAGAAAGCGTAGTTTGCGCCGTCTCCGAGGTTGTTCATTGTCAGATCAAGGCTTACCGTATAGTCGGCTTGCTCGTAGAGACTCATGCCGTCCTGCGGTATGAGCGTGAAGTCATCGAACGGTTCAAACGCATCGAGGAGAGCCGCACTTTGCTTAGGTGCAGCGTTGTTGTACACCAGCCACCCGGTAACGTTGGCGTTGAGAGTTGGCGGTAGTGTATCGAAGAGATCAGTGTCCATGCTACCAGTCATTGCAAAGTTCGCGGAACTGTCATTCCTCATCGTGACAAGGAATCCATACCTCTGCGCAGCCGTGAGGTAGATCATGTCCGCCTCAGCCGGCTCGGTATAGACACCATCCACCTCGATGATCCTCATGGTATGTCCCTCAATCCAGAAGTACTGCCCTGCAAATGCGCCGATGTTCGTCAAACGGAAGAAATACGTCTTGCCAGGCTGAACAGCAAAGGTAAGGTTCTGGGTATCGTTCATGAGCGCCGAGTCCGGTACAGGCTCAGCGCCAGTGGGGTTCTTGTAGTTGATGAAGCTGGCAAGTAGTCCTGGCATCTCGTCGTGGTACCAGTCAGAAAGTGTGAGAGCGACCTCCTCGTCGTACTGCCCGAGGTACGGGTTCTCTGGGTCATAGACGACGAGTTGACCACGTAGGCCATCGGGGTACTGTCCGCGCGTGTGCGAGTGATACCAGTACGTCCCGGGCTGGTCAACGGTAAAGTTGAGGGTGAAGGACGAGCCTGGAGGCACATCGCACTGTGTCACTCCAACAGGACCATCCATCTCGTTGGTGCCGTTTTGGAACATTCCGTGGAAGTGCATGCTCGTGCTTTGATTGCCCAACTGTTATCGGTCAGCCTTGGAATAGCACCCGACTGAAAGGAGCCCGACCATGTTATTCAGGTGCACGACAATATTGTCGCCTTTTGTGATGTTCAGAAGCGGCAGCGGCCATTGCCCGTTGATGCCAATGGTAGGTCTTTCGGCCATACCATCTGGGTTCGCTCTCACCCATGTAATGTTCCAGTTGAAGGTCACTGTGTCCGCGTAGACGGCCAACACATGGCCGCTGGTTGCGAGTATTGCGTACAAGAAGTTCGACAAGGACAACGCCATGGCTACCGCTCGACCGTGGTCACAAGAACTGTCGTACCAGTATTGAGAGAGAAAGACCGCACACTCCTGGGCGTCTTGAGCTCACTGTCGCCGCCAACTGATGAGATTGATAAGATTAGTCCGAGATAAGATCAGCTGGCGCCTGACGAACTGCTTGTCGTGACTGCCGACTTCGGAAGATCAGGGAAGAATCTGATAAGTCCACGTCTCAAGCACAGGGTCGCGCCACTCCGCCAAGTACACCAAGTCGCTAACAAGCTTGGCCAAGCGGTAAGAGAAGCTCCAGCACTGGGTCTGGCCGTTTACGCTGCAAAGTCTGGGCCCTTTACAGAATGCTTGTCTGAAGAAGCGCCCTTGACAGCCTCTGGAGCCTTGTTGGTCGCTCTCGTTGGTTGAACACTGAACTGCTTATTGTTGGGATCGAGGGAGCAGGAGCAGCTCTTCGAACGTTGTGACAGTCTACTCGGGGCGACAGCTAGACGTCAACGTGATCGTCGCATTGGATATGCCGAGCAGTATTGGACCCCGCTTATCAGATCATCATGATCACAAAGCTTTCAATGGCCGTTGCTTGTTCCGCTCTGATTCGCTTGACGGAAAGCGTGCCAAGGCGCTAGAAAAGATCTGATAACGCTAAATGGGCATCGGCTTCTGCCCCTCAATGGTTCGCGAATTCTGAGAAGGCCGGTATGAGTTTCTTTTGCTGGTAGATGAGCAGATGCAGGTTCATAGTAAGCCAAAATGAATGATGCGAGTCAAAAGTAAAGGACCAGAGTTGTCGACTTACTGTACGTAGCCTGTATCAAAGGCATAAGGTAAATCGCAGAACAAGTGGGCTCTTTCCCGCCAGTATTTACCTTGACCATTTCCGGCAACTGATACCGGATCTTCTCCACAGGCTCAACCGACAACTGCGCTGATCCGGCTTCCCTGAGCCGTTCATTCCAGCGCCGGTCTCGGAGGTAGCCGGCTGAGTTGAGAATCGTGTTTCGTTTAGCGACTCCTCGGTGCATGCCTCGACCTTTCAACTTCCGTGATTTTGCCATCTGATAAGATCTTGATCAATCACCACTCACTCACCCACTACGCTCACGGCAGTCAGTTCTCTTCGTCTTCAGTCCAGCATCCTGAAACGCCTTGGGCACAATCATGACGGTCAACGTGTTTGCCGTGCCTGGTCAGCATTGCTGCCTTTTGCAATTTGCCCGACATTGCTGACCGCTGTGGTAGTGTTCTTCATCTGCTTTCGAGAGTGCCTGGAGACCGTCATTATTGTCTCGGTTCTGCTGGCATGGCTCAAACAGACCATTGGGCCAGATAGGGACCCGGCCACATACAAGAAGCTCGTCCGCCAGGTCTGGTGGGGAATCGGCCTTGGTTTGCTGATATGTCTCATTATCGGAGGTGCAATGCTTGGAGCCTTCTACGGCCTCGGCAAGGACCTTTACTCCAACACCGAAGACATCTGGGAAGGTAGCTTCGGCCTACTAGCAACCATTATCATCTCAGCCGTTGGAGCAGCGCTGCTTCGTGTCTCCAAGCTACAGGACAAATGGCGGGTCAAGCTCGCCCAAGCGGTCGAGAAGAACAACATCAATGCGAAAGCGAGCACCTCGAGCAAGTTTAAGCTCTGGTGCCAGAGATATGCGATGTTCCTACTGCCGTTCATCACCGTGCTGCGAGAAGGCCTTGAGGCTGTTGTCTTCATTGGTGGCGTCGGACTTAGTCTGCCGGCGACAGCTTTCCCGCTGGCTGTTGTGTGCGGTCTGGGTGCCGGTGTTTTAGTTGGCTATGCCATCTACCGGTAAGCGTGTTCGACGTTCACCCTAAGGGACGAAGTGCTGATTTGGTGAAAGTGGCGGCAACACTGCGAAGCTCCAGATCTTCTTGATCATCTCCACATGCTTCTTATACCTGGTTGCAGCTGGTAAGTCATACAGCACCGTGAAAGCGTAATGTCCGTGCTGATTGTCGTTGAGGTCTCTTCTCCAAGGCTGTATGGTCCTTCGAGACTCACGCTTGGAACTCCATAATTGGCGGCGATGCCAGTGAGGTCGGCTCCGGACCTGGCTCGTACGACATCACAAAGAGCGTCTGGCACGTAAACTGCTGCAACGCCGAACTCAACGGCGGAGGTGGCTGGGGTATCTTCAACGCCATCCTCGGCTGGCAGAACTCGGCTACCTATGGCTCGGTCATTGCGTACAACCTCTACTGGGTGACGGTGATCGCCGGCTTTCTCTCAATGAGATACTACGAGAAGAACGGGCATTGGCCGCTCATGAAGCCTCGCCGTAGAGACTCTGCTGATGGAGAGGTTTCGGATGACTCGTCCCAGGGCGAAGGTGTAATTGAGGCGTCCATCGAGAAGAAGGCAGATGGAGAGGCTCCGATGACTGCGGCGACAGTCCGCGAGTTGACGGTTTGAGTGTTCCATGATGGAAGAGTTTGTCTGTTTCTGAGCGATCGCTCCGACAGTGAGCGGTATCTAGTTCAGCGTTGATAACAATCCATTCAATATTCTCGGCATCATATCCCCGTGCATCGATAGGGACGACTGAGGAAGCGGCGATAAAGACGTGCTGGGGTGAGCACTGCCGAATGTGATTGGTGCGCGTCAATGAGCTTTGCGTCAGCCGACGTTTCCCCGATGAGCCTTCCACACACAGCTTCTTCATGTGAACATCCAAGCAAACGCGTGGCGCTCATACAGCTGTACACAATCACAACTTGTCTGGTAGCCCATACTGTGCCTGCCATGTTCTGGCCGTATCCGTGACGAGCAGCGGGCTCGCCTGTGCCTCACACAGGCTCACGTGAATAACTAGCAGGTGGCCGAGGGAGATTCTTTGCTACGAAGATGGTAGCCTCACGCAATGCTCGGGACTCACCGTCAAGCAGAAACTTCAAGTCCTCTGCGGTGCTGGGCAATGGTGCGGAAGAAGTACATGACGACGGCACGGAAGTGTTTACACTCGTAGCTGATGGCGACGTCGTACTGCATTTCCAGCATGAAGCCAACGGCGTCCAGTCAAGCGCAGCATTCCGAGTCTCCACCACGGAGCTCAAATCAAGATCGAGGTACTTCGACCGGCTATTTGGACGCTTCGGGGAGGCAGCCAAGGTCGAAGCGCGCCACAAGACCCTAGGCCAGCAATATCGGACGATGGCAGACGTACCTTCTGCGCAACTGCCAATGATCGTCATTGAAGACCTCGGTCGTATCTCTGGCGTCAAGTCTCCAGCGATACTGTTACGGGACTTCCTTCGCATCCTCCATAGCCAGGAGATCGAGTCGAACCTACCAGTTGCGAACCTGGCGAATCTGTCGATTGTAGCAGATCGCTTCGATGCACTCGAGTGGCTGAAGGTGTACTTTAGTCGGAAAAAGGCAATGCAAGCAATAGACAGTAAGATGACGCCGAAAGCGGACAACGGCCTATCCGAAGAGAAGGTCCGACAGCGACTGCTGGTGGGCTATATGCTCGACTTCCCGAAGTGGATCGAGAAGCACTCCGCACGCCTGATAATGAAGGGATGGGTAGGGCAAGAGCCTGACATATCTGCCGCCCTGTGGTGGGATCTGCCCGGCCGCATGGAGGAAGAGCTAGCCTTTCGGCGCGAGTGTGTGCTCGAGACGATTCAGTCGCTCCAGACATACCTCCTCGGCTTGTATACGTCGCGAGAGCGACAGTGCAAGCTGGGCTACGACTCGTCTGCGCAATGCGACTCCTTCCAGCTGGGCGAAATGATACGCTTTTTTGCACGAATCGGTACGCTGAGATTGCAAGGCGCGATACTGGAAACGGACGAGCCACATCCGCAGTACGACGGCGACATACAGAACCTCGTTGATCTTCTGCGGCAAGTTCCAGAGTATCAGATTGACCGCAACCATACTCACTGCGGCTTGCGTACCCGGATCATGCCGTTACTCGACATGATTCGAGATTGTTGTTTCTATGTGGGTGTCTGTCCGGACTGCTGGCACGCGGATAGAGCACAGTATGCTTGGATTGAATCGAAGAGGCCGCTTCTGTGGAAACGCCAGAGTTTCAGTTTGAGAGCGTACCTGAGCCGAGGACATGGCAGTAGGCACGCTGAGTTACGCGACATGTTCCTGGCGACGGAGCGAGACTGGAGCTGAGCAGTCGACAAGTCGCAACAAGATGGAGTACGATGGCTCGAAGGCACAAGCGATTAGCAAACTCGAGCGTGCTTGACTATACCGGCTAGCTGCGGTTCATGCTCGGGAGGTTCCTCAATATCTGGATTGGTGAGGCGACCAAGCAATCATCACATGGTCATCATGTCTAGAGGACATTTCATTCAGTGCTGATGGCGTGACCTCAACATATGAGACCATCGCGCACAACTGTAAGGTACAGAGAGGGTCCAGGAGGCGGAGCGCGAGGCTGTGGGCTGCGGGCTGTCAAACCAACCAATCACCCGTCGCGGAACTCCGCGCACCCAGCCAAAGCCGCCACGTCGCTTAACTCTCACAGATCGTTTCCACTATGCCTCAAGCTGTGCAATGGCATGTACCCTCCTTGCCCCTGTGGCCGGATGATATTGAATTTCAGTACTCCATCGGATGAAAAGACGTGCGAGCTGCGCCCGATGGTGAACGGCTGGTTGAGGCCTCCACCCGGCGAAGCAAATTCACCATGAAATGAACGCCGACACATATGAACAGTACAAGTAATGATCTCTTCTGCCAAGTCCTTGTCATCATCATTCACTTGGTTCACGAGCAGCACCTCTTGTCGCGTGACCCTTTCATAGCCCGAACTTTGTACCTGCCGCCACCCGCTTGACAGCACCAACTAGAAAGCAGCAGCATGCCGATTGACGTGCTCGTGCCTACTCCCGCTACATCCTTCACTGCCGGCCATCTTCGTCCCCGCCGCACTAACTCCTCAACACATCGACACCGCGAAAACATGCTTAGCAAACTCAAAACCCAGTTCGGTTCGAGGAAGGAAAAGGCCATGCCTGGCAAGGTCGACATTAGTAGTAATCCGCATCCACACACCAACATCACCCCAGCCACAAGACGTCCAGCACCCGGAAACAACAACAGCCCCTTCCTCAACCAGGGCGATGCACCCCCGGTCTACACCCCCGCCCCCAACGCCGCACCTATCCCACCCACAACCCCCACCACAACCCTCACCGCCCCCACAGCAGACGATCCCTACGCCTTCCTAACCACCTTCGACACCGTCTTCCTAATCGACGACTCCGGCTCCATGGCCGGCTCGCGCTGGCGCGAAACCGCCGACGCCCTGGAAACGATAACGCCCATCTGCACCGCCCACGACAGCGACGGCATCGACATTTACTTCCTCAACCACCCGGCCTCCGCCTTCCATCGCGGGGTGACTTCTTCCGCGACCGTGCGGGAGATCTTCCAGACGGTGCGGCCTGGTTGCGGGACACCGACGGGACAGAGATTGAATCAGATCATGAAGCCGTATCTACGTCGGTGCGAGGCGAATCTCGAGACAACGAAACCGTTGAACATCATCTGCATCACCGACGGCGAGCCATCCGACGACGTGGAATCCCCTCTCATCGCCGCGGCGAAGAAGTTGGATAAACTTGACGCTCCGGCCTGGCAGCTGGGGGTGCAGTTTTTCCAAGTTGGGAGGGATGAGGAGGCGCGGAAGCATTTGCAGCAGCTTGATGACGAGTTGGCGGAGATTGCGGGGGATGGGGAGTTGAGGGACATTGTTGATACGGTGCCGTTCACGGGCGGAGAGGGAACGAGTTTGACGGGAGACGGAGTGTTGAAGTGCGTACTCGGCGCGGTGAATCGCAGGCTAGACCGGAAGAAGAGTAAAGATCTGCATCGGTAGGTGGGTGGATCTTGTTGGGGTCCTTAGCGAGGTGTCGGCGGCCACGTGATTGTATTTTTTGCATGGAAGGCCAACGTGCGCGGTCAATTGGCAGTCCATTGAAGCCTTGAGGAAGAATCTCCCTGGGTAGACGGGTGGGTTATATTGTCGTTCTCAGCGAGGAGTTGGTGGCTTGGTGGTTTTGTCTCTTGCGTGGGAGGTTGGTGTGCGCTTGTGGGGTGGGGATGGGTTGTACATAACTGCTCTGAGGAACTTCCTAGCCGTAGCTTAGTGGCTGGCAAACGCTACCCTTATGGGAAAAGAGATGAAGACACTCCGGACTCCTCGCTAGGGTCTTGTCATTAGCATCATTCGTCGTCTGCCATAGCATGTCGCGTAGCCGGCGCGCCTCCCAACGCCTGCACCACCGCCTCCATACCTTCCACCTCGTCACGTCCGATCTTCCGCCCCGCAGACACGTCCGCACTCTCCGACGCAGTAGGTTCGACGCCTCTGCGCACCATAGCCTTTTTAGCCTGCGTGTCGAGGTACTGTCTCCGCCTTGCCGCTTTGGACTCTGGATCTTCGATGTGCTGCCTCGCATTCGGCAGCGTCTGCACGGACTGCTGCAGCTGAGCGAGCAGGTCACGCAAAGCAGGCAGCTGAGTGAGCGCATACTGCACACTCTGCTCCATCGGCTGCCCGTTCCGCGCCGACTCCGTGAGGAAGGCAAAAGGCGACTGTGAAGCATCCCCACTCCCACCCGTCAGACCGCCCAGCTGCTCCAACACCGCCGCATTCTTCGCTTCCTCCGCCTTCAGCATAGCGTTCAACTTCCTCGTTTCCTGCAACTTCCTCCGCTGTAACTGCACCTCTTCCGGACTCGGTACATTCTCCACCGCCGCCAGATCAAGCTGCTTATAGTGCTCCAACCGCACCCACTGCGCCAGATCCCTCGCTTCATCCTCATGCCCAATCGCCATGATGTTCCGCAACGTGTAGATTTCGAATTTGTCAAAGTCGCGATCGACGGTTGCGTTGAGGAGACTCTCGAGTTGGACGATGCCATTGCCGATTTCGCTTTCTTTGAGGTGGTAGAGGGCATCTTGTCGTGCTTCTTCGCTTGGGAGCGTTGCTGCTGCTTGGGAGGGGGAGAGGGTGAAGCCGAGTGCTTCTGGTTTTACGTTGTTTAGGCCTTCTTCGATGGCGCTGACGGCGCGGTAGACGAGTTCGTTGACGGTGTTGATGATGTCGTCGAGTAAGGTGAGTGGTGTGTAGCGGAAGTGTTCGGTCAGCAACGCATTGTGAACCTGCTGCGACGTCGCCATTGTGTCGGCACCAAAAGGAGAGATGGTTTGTGTAGTGCTCGCCGGCGCATTCGGTGCTGGTTGTGGTGAGGGGAAGACGCGAAACAAAACACAGCGCACGGACCCCTCAGATCGCCGTCACAGCAAAATGTTGGAAGCTTCTGCATGTTGACCGGACCAACATCAACATGGTGCCTTTACCGTCGCACGAGATGGAAGAAGGCGAGCGCGAGAACGAGCAGCTGTCGGACAGCGATGGCAGTATTCAAGGGGTCGAGGAGTATCACACCGAAGAGGAAGACGACGACGACGGTGATGGTGGGGATGAGAACGAACTCGCTCCCACTATGGCGCAGAAGGATGTGGCACCATACCTACCTGCGCACCTGCTCACAGCGCAACCCACCGAGCCTGTCCGGGAGGATGCTTTGAGCGAGCCGTGGGAGTCAATGACACGCCCACAAAAGCGAGGTCGTCAAGCGAGACTTAGGCAGCGGAGAAAGAAACAATTGAAGCGACTTCAAGACGAAGCGGGCGCGAATGGCGTGCTGGAGGCTGGCAGGCTTGCGCAGGGAAGACGAGGTGTTGCATCAAAGGCCAGCAAGAGCCATGCGAAAGATGCTCGTCCGGTGCTGTCCGGCAGGCAACAAATGCTCGAGCAGCGGAAGAGACAGCGTGGAACAGAACAGCCAGTCCGGCGGAGCGTAAGAGCGAAGACTGGGAGCAAGCGATGAACTTCCCAACAGAACATCAAGCTGAACACAAACCATACCATCATCACACACATAACCCACCACCCACGGACGGAGACGGATGACCCACTCAAAAATCCAACATCATCCCCCCAGCAACCTTCTCCAAGTCCTCCAACTCCAACCACCCAACATCCTCCACGCTCGCCTCCTCCCTCTCCACCGCCTCCCTCTTCCCCACCGCCGCCCGCGCAATGGCCTCGCGCACAAACACCTCCATGTACTTCTGCAGCACCCTCACGGCGTGCTTGTCGATCTTCGTCTGTTTGTCCACAAAGTGCTCGTGCAGGAGACGGACGAGAAGGGGTTGCGGGATCCGTGTTGGGTCGGAGAGTGGGGTGAGGGGAGGTGGTAGGTCGACTGGGACGGGAGGTGAGGAGGGTGGGAGGTCTGGCGATGAATCGCGTAGGGGCGAGGGGTTGCGCGGTGCTACTGCTTTGCTCTTCGCGGTGGTTGAGGGTGGTCTCCCGCGAGGCTTCTTCGCCGGCGGCGGCAGCGGCTTCTTGCTGTCTAGCGGGTTGTCCGCTAGCTCTTCGTCGGAGGCGCTGTCGTTGTCCGCGTCGTCCTCTTCCGCCGCTTTGGTGCTTGATTCTGCTGGCCTGCTGTTGACACGAGATGTATGTGTGGAAATTGTTCGCGAGCTCTCGGACTCCGTCGTGCTGACTCGCGGCACTTTCGATGGTCGTTGTGGCTTGAAGGGTGGAGCTTTCCGCTTGGATGCTGCGTACACCACCGTCTCCTTCTGCTCTTTGCGTGGCGGCATTTTGGGCATTGTTCAAGTAGTGTGTCTGCGAGACACGCCCCGGATGGTCCAATTGGGACGCTGTGTTTCTATGCGCAGCGACTGCAGCGAGTTGTATTGCGGCAGAAGGTTGGAAACGCGTAAAGGACGCGCTAGGGAATGCGGCACGTGATGACATCGCGACATAGAGCTAATCTTGAGTCGCTCCTTCAGGTCAAGCGTGGAAACAGCGGTCGTCCTCTTTGTCAAAGGTGAATCAACGTGAGGAAGTGTCCACTTTGCGTAGAGTCCTTGATCATGGTGTTGACATTACATATCATCATTCTATGTACATGACATTGCTTCATATGGCACAATGCCTTCATGCTTTTCCACAATCATCATTCAGCCGAGCCGTCAGTTCGTATCGTAACTAACGCTCTTGCACCCCTTTTAACTTCCTTTAAGAGGTATCCTGGGTGATGTTGTTCGCACCAACGAACCAAACACCCGTAGCAGTGTTATTCGTAATATTCGTTTGCCTGATGGTACCGTTCTTCAGCGCACCGCTCTCAGCGATACCACCCGAGATTGGTCGGGCCAGTCTGTTGGCGCCGCTGTTGACGGTGAAGTTGGCCAAGCTGATCTCGTACGGGTTGCGGTTAAGCAGCGTCGGCAGGCCGAAGAAAGAGGCGTTGACTTGGGAGTAGGAGAGCTGCATCTCGAAGTAGCCGCGGTAGTAGAGGTCGTTCCAGTGGAGTTCTGGGTTGGCGCCCTCCAGCCATTGCGAGTAGTTGTTTGCGGCGGCGAGGGTGATGTTCTGGCCGTAGGGGCAGGGGGAGGAGACGGCGGAGCCGGCGAATTCGACGCCGAGGCCGCCCGCGCCGGTGTCGGAGGAGTAGTTGGCGTGGTCGAGCTGGTTTGGCATTAGTATGCTTCAGTGATGTGCGTGTACAGTGCGATTGTGATGCTTACCCAGACGAGGTCAGAGACCCACGAGGCGTGGCTGTCGCCGGAGATGACGATGTTGTTGCCAATGTTGTTTTGCGTCATGAAGCTGAGCGTGCGGTTGCGGTTGCTCTGGTAGCCGTCCCAAGCATCGTAGTCGAGCGGGTCAACGTTTCCGTAGGCGAGCGACTCATTGACCTTGGAGAAGACGGTCTGCGAGCCAATGACTCTCCAGCGAGCACCGCGGTTGGCGGATGTGGCGAGTTGGTTGTAAAACCAGTTCTCTTGGCGGCTGCCCATCATTGAGCGGCCAGCATCGTTGGAGATCTGGTGAATGTAGTCGGTGTTCCAGTAGAGATCGGTGATGGAGCGGTCGTACTGGCGGGTATCGAGCATAATCAGGTCGAACAGGGAGCCGATGGAGAACGAGCGCCAGATGCGGAGGTTGTCGTCCATCTCAACTTGGCGGATGGGCATCCTGCAAGCTTGTCAGCACAGTTCTTGCACAACTACCGCCAAATTTAAGCGTACCATTCGAAGTAGGCACGGACGGCGTTCATCTTGCGCTGATCAACAGAGACGCCACCATCGGAGACGAACGAAGCCTCGGTGTTGTTCAACTCTGATGCTCCATCACGGTAGGTGTTGTCCGCAACCTCATGGTCGTCCCAGACAGGGATCCACGCGTTCGTCTGATGAGAGAGTTGCAGGTCGGGATCGTTACGGTACGTAGCGTAACGCTGACGGTAGTCATTGAGCGTGTAGATGATGTGAGCAGGTTGCGGGACACGGTTGATCGAGTAGCCGTGACCGTAGTCGCCGTTGCCGGCGTACTCGTAGATGTAATCACCGAGATGGACCACGTAGTCAACGCTTCCCTTGCGCGCCGGGTTGCCGTAGGCGTTGAAGTAGCCGAACGGGTAGTTGCTGCATGAGAAGATGGCAAGGCCGACCTTGCTGACGTAGTCGCTCGGCGCAGGAGCGGTCTTCGTCTTGCCGATGGGGCTGGTGTAGTTGGATCCGCAGACGTTGAACTGGTAGTAGTATTGGGTGAACGCAGTCAAGTTGCCAGCGTTGACCTTGACGGTGTAGTCGATGTCGGAAGAGGTGAAGGCCGTACCGCTCGACTCGACCACAGCAAAGTTGGGGGTCCGGGCGACCTTGAATTGCACGCACACTGGGGCAGTGGACATGTTGTTGGTGATCGGGACTGGGTTGTAGAGAGGGACATAGCCGCTGACGGTGGAGTTGTCGTTCACGTCGGCGTACATTGGCGCCACACGCGTCCAGAGGATGACGGAGTTGGAGTATGGGTCACCGGAGGCAACGCCATGGGTGAAGTTGAGCATGGAGGCATTGAAGGCCTTGTCCAAGGTGTTCCCTACACACGTTTGTCAGTATACTTTCCACAAACCCTACGGACTCTTTGTCGTGAGGTTTTATCCAAACGTACTCTTGTTGACCTTGTGGAGTGAGATACCCAGACCTGGGTGGTTCTCTGAAGGCTGCGAATCGTTAGTCCCAAGTGTCCACTCAAAGCTGCAAACTTCTGCAACCTACGGAGCGGTAGTTGAGGTTCTTGGTCCTGGATGGAGCTTGCAATCAGCTTCGTCCACATTTCACGTCATTTCTTGTACATACCAGTACGCCGAAGCGACTGCCGCGCACGAGAGCGCGGAGAGGATAGAGGAGACCTTCATATTGAAGAGGTCTTGAAGACAGAGATGGACAAGACGGTAGAGCGATCACCTACCTCACCAAAGCCAGACGCGTTTTGGCGGACGTGGGAAGCTTTTATGACATGCTGGGCAACACTGCTCAAGCTCAACCCGACAGCTTCAAGCGGTGCCTGAACAGCATCGGAGATGTCGTCAATGGCACTGAGTCGTGCATGCGTGCACCTGGCAAGCGGTGGCAGGCGACGAATGAACGGCGCCGCATCTCTCACGTCGTTGTTGCTTAGCGATCTTAGTTGACTTAGCCATGCATGCGTTCTCCGCTGCGTGGAGTAAGAGTGCCTTGGCACGACGTGTGAGGGAAGAGAAAGAAAAGCTTGGACGGACACGTGCGAGAGGCGGCCTTATAAGTGGCCATGTGAGGCGCGGGCGAAGGCTAGAGGAACGTCTGCATGGCTTCCCGGAGTTCAAGTTTGCTCGATGCCGCGCGGTGGCGTGGGTGGATGGTTCGCTGCGGGGGATCCCCCAGCCCGGTAAGGTGGGCACGGCTAGCGGCGAGTTACAAGTCTTTTAGCCTGACCAGCATCCGAATCTGTCTTGATTCGCGAACACAAGCGACAGAAGGAAAAAGACAAGCTCTTTCGGAGTCGCAGAACAATGGCATCTCGCAAAGACAGCTCGGCAAAGCGTTCGAGGCGAGGAAGCGGGTTGGAGATGGAGTCTTGAAGCGCGTATCCCAGTCGAAAAGCGGGAGATCATTCGAGCTGTAAATGTAACAACTACTTCTAATCGAGGTAATTGCGACTACTTCTGAGGCTATGTAAGACGATATGGCGGAGTCCTCGGAGTAGACCGCCAATCTCAAGGCCCAACGAGGCGGTGGTGTGTGTAACGATCAACTCATTGCATGGTGTCGCAGACTTCCTTCAATGACTCCTCCATAGGCCTCCACCCTGGCTGACCCATCCACTTCAGCAGTTCTTCCGCTCGCTTCTGTCCGATGACATTGGCCATATCGACGCCTTCGTTCTCCGGCGGGTCTGTTGCGGACGAGGTGTCAGAACCATGTAGATCCGCCATTGGCTGCCTTACTCACCAGGAAATGTATGGTTGGGATACATCCTGCGTAACCGCGGAATGGTATCCGTCCACGTCCTGTTGTGGGCGTACGCAAAGATACGCTCGTTTCGGACGTCAGGCTTGAGCAAGGCAACAATATGCAAAAGCGCGGCGTCCCCAGCGTCGACCAGGAATTGAGGATACAGCAATTTAAACCTGTCATCGTGGTTCCACAAGGCATACAGCATGCCGCATGATGGACCATAGCCTTGCTTCTCCAGCTTGACCGGCAGCCTGGAATGTTTGACCGTCAGCTGTCTCGTCGTCAGTTGCAACGTGACCGACAATTGCTCTCACCCGCAGATGAAGTCCGGCAGGACTGCGTTGACCACGAAATGCGGCTTCTGCTCTTCTACGAATTTCCACATTGCTTGCTCGGCTTGCGTCTTCGAGGCGCCATACACCGCTACAGCTCTGTCCATTTCGTAGGGTGGAGGCGCCCAGGCAGCTTCGACAGCTTTAGTGTTCCACATTTCCGGTGTTAGATCGTATGGCTCGTTGTATCTAGATCATTAAGGGTAGCTCTAATCCTCACGCTGAGACGTACACAACGCCGGCTTACCTCGACTGTGCCGCAGCGATTGAAGACGAGGTAAGAACGAAGCGACTCAAGGACGACTCTGAAGCTGCGGCTTTAAGGGCGTTCAGCGTCAAGGTGACTGTCTCGGTGACCACCACGTTTGGATCAGGAGAAAATGAGACATTGCTGGCAACGTGGACCAAGCCGGCGCAGCCTGGATACATATCAGCAATCGGGTCAAGAGCTTCGTCCGGGTCACTCACCCTTGACAACCTGGTTTAGCGAACCTTCCTCTTTCAGGTCCCTGACCCCGACTAATTCGAATTGGTCGGAGCCGTATGTCTTGTCGAAGTGGTCCTGCAGCCATGACTGCTTCACAGGGTCTCGGACAGTGCCTCGCACACCTGCCAAAGTTCAGCAACATGGCGATGGGATGATGTGGGCTTTGAGATCTTACGGTATCCAGAAGCCAAGAGCTCATCCACAATTCGCGAGGCGAGACTGGAGACAAACTTAGTGGCATATCTTGACGTACTTGTGGTCAATAACACTCACAATCCATTGGCGCCAGTGACGAGGATCAACGATCCAGCGCGCAACACTGCATCACTGGGCGGAGACATGGTTGTGGTGATTTGCAAGATGCGTTCTTCTGCGAAAATAATATGGTTCAAAAGTTGGCCTAAATAAGGTTCATGCAGAATCGTGGTGCCTCCGAGGCTTGAATAGAGGTGCCTGCGACGTCTGAATAGTGGTGCCTACGAGGTCCCGAAGCTTGAACTACGCAATTGTTGCATTAGGTGTGCGCTCGCCCGACGTGGTGTTGGTTGTGGCCTTCTTTCATTTTCTGCGGGTCGCCTTGATTACAAACCCGGAGATACTGATATGGCTGACCAAGAGGTAAGTGGTCTGCGAACAAGTCCTGGGTAGTATTATTATGATACAAGCAAAGCAGTTTCACATGTCGTCTTGCACAAGCCATGATCGGCACGAAGACTGACAATAAAAGCTGCAGTGGTCAGCTCCCAGGCAACTCCTGAACGTTGATGTCGATGAGTGCCACATGCCCATTGCTTCCACAGTGCCGCGCAAGCACGAGTGACCGTTGCATGAGTGCCTCGAGGTTCGCATGCAGAGCCTTTTTGCAACCAACGCATCCTAGCTTCAAGCCGATTGCGTTCTTTCCCGTAGGACAGTTCGCCGATACATACAGACTACATGTTGTCAGCTGTAGATGTCCATGGATGTATCACAGCTCTGCAAACACCGGCGCCGCCCTCACTGCCGCCTAGATCTCGGATCCTGCGCCTCCTGCAACCTATACTCCCGCTGCTCCCGCGTACCCATACTACCTCCCCCACCTTCATTCCGTCTCTCCCAGCCCCCAAGCCTCACCACAAGCGCAGTAGCATTGTCCGCACTCTCGGCCGTCTCCGTGGCGAAGCTGATCAAGCTCTCGGCCGCCTGCGCCGGCGTCTTGGCCTCCTTCACCACGTCCACCACCTCCTGATCGGACAAATGACCGCTGATGCCGTCAGACATGAGAACAATGAAGCTGTACTCAGCGGCTGACAGCTCCAACCGCGTAATCTGGGGTTCAGCAGACACGCCCATGCGCTTGCTGCTAATGTCGCCGAAAGCGCGGGTGTTGGCTAAGCCACCCATGCGTTCTTCGCCGAAGCTATCGGCGACGAAGGCCGCAGCATACCGGCGGAGACGCGTGGCTTCCACCGGGTGAGATGGGTGATGGTTGATCGTCGTTGGCACGGCTTTGCCGTCCGATGAACGACACAGCAGGATCCGCGTGTCGCCGACGTGAGCTGAGATGAACGTTGAGGGTGACGCGGGGTGCCAGAATGGCATGGAGGTCGGCGTGGAGATCAGTGCTATCGATGCTGTCGAGCCACCCTTGAAGCGTTGCGCGCCACCAATGGGAGCCTGCAGATCGGGCGATGAGCCACGTCGGGAGCGCTTTGTTCGGAGATTCTGGGATGCTGGCCGCTCAGGGTGGAAGAGTAAGTCATTGTCGTTGAGCGGCTTGTCGGCTAAGACGGGGTCGTCAAGCGACGAGACTTGGAGTGTGGCGGTGTCCGCGGAGTGTTTGCTCGCTTGGGCTGCTGTGAAGTCCAGGTCGGCTTTGAGAAACGCGTAGGATAACACCGTTTCGATCGAGTTGTTGTTCTGCGACCACGAAGTACCAGGCGACCTTCGATCCGCCACCGCAGGAAAGTACTCCGGTCGGAACCTCTTAAAGTAGCCACCAACTGTTTCCCGCCAGCTCGAGACAAGACTCTTTTGCAAATCTTCCGCATCCTGCTCTCCCATCACACCACCTTCTGAGTCTTCCATGGCATTTCCACTCTGTAACGAGCTTTCCATGCCGAACAGCAACGCAGCTTCCTCCACGTAACCATGCAGCCTCTCCCGTAGAAACTCTGAGCACTCACTTCCGCCGTGTCCATCGAAGACTCCGAAGTAAAAGACCTGCGGGTCGCCACTTTCACTCCTCGCCGCCTCCCCGCCAACCTCACCATTGCTTCCCGACAATCGCCTACTCAAGCTCACCGGCTGGCGCTTGGCAAAAGCCGGGATCTCGATCGTGCCTGCCTGAAACGTATCTTCATTGTAGGGCCTACTTCCTCTACTTACCCCAGCACCGAAATGATGCTTAGCACTTCTGATTGGAATACGGACGATCGTTGTGTCTCTGCTCGCAGCCGACGGTGCTAAGCGTGCCGCGCTCCTCGTCGGACCGGCGTGCGGTGCGCTGTCGCTGCGCGGCAATCCGTGAGGCGTACTTTGTTTGTCGGGCGATAGTGACGATGATGGAAGATGCGTGACAAAGTATTCGTGAAATGCTCGACGCTGTGCAATGCTTCGTGTTCGATTACATAGGCTCTCGTCAAGGATAGCGGATAAGGCGCGGCCGATGCTGAATGGGATGCCGCTATGCTTCATGATGATTGTGAAAGGTATACAAACTGGCGCACCAGGCGCACGAAACGGGGATTCAATGCATCATGAAGGTGTGGCGGTGCGGAGTATGTAAGGTCATGGTTATGGTTACATGGTATGGGTGGGGATGACGGCGGCGAAGCGGAGCAGACGCCGGAGTTCGATCACATCACCTTTCTTCTCCGAGATTGAATTCATCCACTTCCTTTCGGGCTCCTACTCTGCTACCATATCGGACCCGTTCTTCTTTCCATGAGTAGCAGCAGTGTTGCGTACCGACAGACGACAAGGCAGCCAGTCCATGTTCGTTGCGCATGTCCCACCATCTGCGACCCGAAACATCATTGCCGTTGGGATAGCGCTTGTTTTGCGACACGATTCATCTTCTTCCAGCACCTTAGACGGAGAGCATGTGGTGTGTTGATGGCCATTGGTTTCTATGGACATCCGGCGCCCTCGTCTTACGCAGCGGTTTCGCGTCCACACGGACCAGACAGTCTGTCTGATGAGATTGAGCATAGACCACACATGTGACTTATAGCCATCCTCACAAGCCAGTCGTATGCGGTAAGAGACTGGTGGAAAGTCTTTGTTTTACTGCGATTGGTCCACAGTAGCAGTTGACCCTTCGTGAATGCAGCAAAGCGAGGTAAATGTGTGTGCGACATTAGCCTCGAGCACACAACGCCCTTGTGATGCCGGACACTTTCTTGATGTGTTGCTCCTCGCGTTCCACAAAGTCTTAGAACCAAACTACGCCCTTCTTCTGATAGCAAGAAATTCCGCTCACTCACTTGACCGACCAGCTCTCCACGAGGAAAATACCACCCCCGCCACAGCCTCCCTCAGGAAACAGCCACCGTCGACACATCGGCGCCATGTTTGGAATCACTATCATCATCCTCGCCACCTTGTGTACAGCACATATGCAGCTCAACTTCCCTCCACCCTTCAACGCCTCCAACAATCCCCACCGCACAACACGAGCAGATCCTTACCTCCAATACCCCTACAACTGCTGCGGACCGCACGATAGATGGATGTATCCCTGCCGTGGTTACGAGACGCTCCTCGGCGATCCACAAGGCGCCGCCACCGCAACATGGCCAGCAGGCAGCACGCAAAGCTGGAACATCAGCGGCATCGGCAACCACTACGGCGGCAGCTGTCAGGTAGGCTTCTCCACTAACCACGGCGAAACATTCCGCGTCGCCACGAGCTACGAAGGAAACTGCCCGCATAGAAACAATGGCAACGGGCCAGATGGGCAAAACTTCGACTTCACTGTGCCCGCGGATCTGCCAGCCGGCGTGCACCTCTTCACGTGGACCTGGTACAATCGTGAGCAAGAGCTCAACAGTAACTGCGCCGCCGTCGAGATCACGGCATGTATCGCAGCGGACACGCCTCCCGCTCCCGTCGCGTTCGCCAGTCGTCCGGAGATGTTTGTGGCGGATGACGTAAATGGATGTGTGACTCCGCACACGACAGCTGAGCTGCGGTATCCCTTTCCCGGACCGGAGGTCGTGACGGGTGATGGCGCGTATCCGCTTCAGCTACCTACGGGTAATTGTGGCGGTGTGGGCGTGCAAGCGTACCATGGCGAGACCGGAGAAGATGGGCATTGACCAAGTCACTCCTGATCGGCGTTGAGCTTCACGCCAGAGGTCTGCTGCGCTTACCATGCGTATGCTGGTCATACGCTGCGGGCCACATATGGGCAGGATCCATCGATAATGGTAATGAACATAGTGGCCAAGGCACCGGCCTCGACCAATGCAGGGTGTACAGCACGAGGAAGGGAATGGGATTGTGTGCTTGACATTATGTTGTGGTTCTTATTGTTACCTACCTACCTACCTCACATCTTCCTCCTCTTACCCGTCCGAGTGGGCAACAGCTTACTCGATGTCTACCTTCCTCACTTCCACGAAGCCATCCTCAGCTGACAGCTTAGGGACATCAATCTTGAGCACACCTTCTTCCAACTTCGCACTGATGCCTTCGACATCAACCTGCGCCGGGCTAGCTCTGCTGCCAAGCCGCACCTTCCTCTCAAACACCCCGACCTTCCTCTCATCCATCGCAAGCGCATTCAGCAATTCCTCGTCAGCCGGACGGTAAACGACGCCAGCAATGCTGAGCTCAGACTTCTCCACGTCGTAGTTCACACCCACATCCTCCTTCTTCGCGCCGGGAAGTGAGACGTGCACGACGAAGCTGGATGTAGTGTCGAAGACATCAACCTCCGGGCGGAAAGACGCGTCGTCCTTGTTGTCGTCGGCGGCCCTGCTGTTCTCGTTGTGCTCGCCGAACAACTGCGACTGGAACATCTCAGCCAGGGCGCCGAAGCCGCCAGGACCGCCGAAGGCTGGGTGGCCGAACGGACCACGCCCGCCGCAGCGTCCACGTCCGCCGAACCCGCCACGTCCCCGCATACCACCGCGTCCGCGATGGCCTGGGCCGTGACGGCCATGATGGCCTGGTCCATGGTGTGGCGGCTCTTCCTCGAATGGCGGAGGGGGACCGCGTGCGTCAGACGGGCCATCTTCGGGGACCTGCTCTGGTGGGTCTGGCATATCGTGTTCAGCTGCTGGCGGTGGTGGCGGGCCCGGTGGGCCATTCGGGTGATGATGCGGTCCGTGATGGGGTGGCGGGCCGTTGGGGTGACGAGGGGGTCCGTGTCTGCCGCGGTGAGCGAAAGGGCCTCCGAAGGGGAAGCCAGCGGCCCATCCGTCGGTCCATGGGTTTGGTTGCGGCTCGTTGTCGGACTCGTCGGTTTGGCGGTTGTGGTTGTTATTGTTCATGCCAGCGAAGAAAGGGTGTGAGGCGCCCTGCTCCTCCATGCTGGCGATGAAGTCCCAAAAGGGAGCGGTTTGGTTGTAGTAGCGTACTGATGGCATGATTGGTTCTTAATGATGATGTGTTGATGGAAGAGCAGAAGGATGCGAAGATGCAGAGAGAATAATGACTATATAGACCTACCACTAACGTCTAGGCAGCCACAACTGTACGGTTACTACGTGTAGACAGGCAGAGAGAGCGTCGTCAGCCACACCTCCGAGAGCTTCGCACGAACAGTGACCGTCCAGAACGTCGGAACATGCAAGAGAAAGGTACAGAAGCTTCTCTGCGGGGAATTTGTGCGGTGACAATAGCCAGCCGTTCGTGAGAGTTGGAAGGTGACAGAGAGTGATAGGCAAGCACTTGGTCTACGTAGGCTGACTTGGCCGCATAAGGTGGCGAATGTGGCGCCGATCGGCACGCTCTAGCCACATCTTTTCCGCTGACTCGTGGAGGCATCTCGGCCGAAGGAGCGGACTCTTAGATGGGGTGACACGGTACCTTAGACATGTATATTCTAGCAGATGCATGCATGTATACAGTATGTACTCAGGTCTAAAAGATAGGCTCAAGCCCCTGCTCCTCCCACCTCGTCCTCCCCTCCCCAACCTCCTCCCTAACCTTCCAATACTCCCGGTTGAACAACCAATACTCCTCTCCCGTAATCGGATGCTTCGCCTTAGTGAACCATTTCGGCACAAACTCCTCTCCTTTCGCCTCCCGCTCCCGCCTTCGTGCCCTCTGCGCCTCCTCCAGCCGATTCTTCTCCACAGCCGCGAAATCATACTCCCCCTCCTCCATAGCGCGTTGATCCGGTCGCAGGCGCGAGTCCGTGGGCGCGATGAGCGGCTTCAGACGCTCCGGTAAGTCGTTGAGGGTGACGACGAAGGGCGTGATGTTGAAGGGTATACCCGTCGGTCGCGGATGGGCTTCCCAGATCAGGAACGCCTGGTCTTTCCCTTGCTTCTCCCCCATCGGAGGTGCTTCGACCGAGGCCTCGTAGCCGGGCGTGAAGCGAGCGTAAATCTTGTCGTTCCAGCGCCCTCCTATACTCCAGCGGACGCGACCTTGTTTGTCCACCACACGTCCCGTGACCTGATAAGCAGAGCTGGCTTTCCATCCCTTCGCCTTGAAGTCGAGGTAGCAGACCTCGCCTGTCGTCCAGTTCTTGACCTCCATCGGCCCGTAGTTGTCCACGGTCGGATTGCCGGTGATGATTCCTACAACGGACGAAGTGACCTTCTTCCAGGTATACAGCTCTTCACCTCCAGACACCGGTCGGAGATGTAGAAACCACGTACCGAGCGGGTTGAACTCGAACGACTTGCCGTAGAACTTCGACTTGACCGCGGACTCACCATAGTAATCCCATCTTGGACTCTCGGCGTGCGCGGCGCCCACAGGCGGGTGGTGAGTAACCTGCTCGATGAAGAACCGGTAGCCGAGATCAGGACGGCAGTACTCGTACGTCTCTCCCAACAACGGATTGAAGGGCTTAGCGACACGGCCGATGGTGCTGGCGTACTCGGATGCTGCGAAACCCGCTACGTAGACCAGGCGCTCAGTGGAGTCCATCCGGTCGGCTGCGACGTTCAGTAAGTCGGTGTACTCCATGTCCTCCACCACACGGTAAAGGAGCGAAGTCGGTTCGTTGAAAGACACAGGTAAAGTCATCTTGGTCATGTCCTTGCCGATCATGGACTTGAGGATGCCCTGCGTGGCGTCAGCAATTCGCGTCAACAAAGGGAAGGGGTGATCCGTACCCAAAGCGACACCTTCGGCCTATTATCTGCGTCGAGCTTCAACCGCTTTCTCACGCCGTCCTCATAACCCTTAAACGACTTCGCAATCTCAAGCTCCTTCGAAGTCTTCTCCTCATTCGGCTTCTCACCCAACGCAGCATCAATGCTCTTCTCCTCAAGAGCAGCAGGCGGGCTCGAGGGTGGCATAACATCAATAATCTCCACCTCCCCAGCATCAACAGCATCAAAGAACTCATCCTCAATTTCGCTCTCATCATCCGACACCTCATTGTTCGTCAACTCCGCAATAGTCGGCCTGCGACTGCGCGTGATATCCTGTTGGAGTTCCAGCTGCGGCTTACCCGTCTTGACCGCATTCTCAGCAACCGGCTCGTGAGTCTCGGGCACCTGACTCTCGAGCACTTCCTTCAACGCTCGCTTCGTCCGCTTGCGCTTGTCCTCAGACTCGCCGATGCGACTCTCCAGCACTTCCTGCTCCTTGGCCACCCGCGCCATACTGTCTTCCCACAGCCGGCGGATGTTCTGCTCGCGGTCCAAGCGGTATTGCCAATACGCCTCGTGATCGCGCGAGATGCGCAGGAGATCCATAAGTAGCCCTCTCAGATTGCCGACCGCGGTGTCGTAGGAAGAGAGTGCCTGCACCATAGTCGGGTGGGAGACGGCCATGTTGGGATTCTTCGTCTTCTCCGCTTGCAGCGCCGTCGCCACTTGCTCTAGCAAATCGAGCTGGAGCTTCGCGGACTGCGCCGTGATGCTGAAAGCATCCTTGTTGGCCGGTCGAAGCTCGTGACTACTTGCGTCGTCGCCGTACTCCTCGTCATCATCGATGTCGCCTTCGATGTTAGCAGTGTTAGTCCGGCTGAGCATGCGCATGGACTCTACATCCTGCATGCTGGACTGATCATTGATGGAGCTTGCAAGATACGATGTGGAGAGAGCGGATGGTGCGACATCAAGCGAGGTGCCGGGCACAAACATGCCGCGACCTGTCTGCGCGACTTCTGCCTCCCGAGTCCGGTGTCGCTCTAGCTGCTCGTGCTTAGCTTCGCGCAGAGCTGCACTCTCTTGCTGCTGTCGCTTTTGCTCCTCCTTGGCTTCATCCTTCGCCCATTGAATGGCATTGTTCAATGCCCAGTACCAGCGCTTGGCCTCGATCTCATGATTTGCTTTCAGGTTGTACTTGACCGATGATTTGCCGTGAACCTCGAATTGAAGCTTGTCCTTCGGGTCCATGTGCAGCTTCGCGATTCGCATATTGATCGCTCCGCGGCAAGCTGAACCTGCATCGTCTTGATGCTTGTAATACGACAAGACACCGTCTTCCAAGACGAACCATCGAAGCTTGTAGCCGCTCGTGTAGTTGGTCCACTTGCGTAAGTAGCCTTTCATTTCGCGACTGTCCTTGCCGGCTGGTCCGCCGTCTGCACTCGGCGCGCCACCAATCTGCCCCGTCTCGCCCAGAATGCTTCGTTCTTGTATGCTGCGCTGAGCGACTTGTGCAGCCGGTGATCGTTTCAGGATCGCGCGAGTCCGCTCATCCTTCGTAACATCATGGGCCAGCCGGCCTTTACGGTCCCGCCTGAACGGATCGGCTCCATTAAGCAGCAAGAGCTGGGCAAGCTTGACGTCCTTGTTCCGGGCTGCCTCGTGCAGTAAAGTGCCGCCGCTCTCAGTCGTGGCTGGATCAGTCGCAAGCTCTGGCCCGTTGACGTCGATAGTTGTCCGGACACGGCTTTCCGCCAGAAGCTGTTCGAGTCCCTCGTAGTCACCAGCCGTGACGAGCGAGTGGATCTTGCGGACATTGCTGTCGATGAAGACCGATCGCGCGAGCTGCAGCTGCTGGAAGATGTCGGGCGTGCGAGCGACATCCAATGGCGTTTTGCCCTGGTGATTCATCCCCGCATCGTTCACACTTCCCTGGTCGAGTAGAAGCTTGACGACCGCCGCTCGTCCAAGCATGGCGGCGACGTGAAGCGGAGTGTTTCCATCGCGGTCCTTGGCATTGACGTCCGATGATCGCTGAGAAAGGACATACTCGATTACGGGCTGTTCTGCGCACTGAATCGCCAAATGCAGTACCGTGGTGCCCTCGAGCTTGCCCGCCTCGTCCGGCTTGCATGCGCGTGCAATAGCTACCGTATCGCCGTTGCGCAACGCTTCGAATACCTTGAACAGCCTCACCGATTGCTCAATGGATGCTCCCTGCGTGGCGCTCGTTGGTGTGGTAGAAGTGGGATCGGCGCCGTCGGGGCCGAGTTCCATGCTCCGCCGGGGTATGACTGTGTTCGACATGGTCGTCGACAGGTGCGGTCGGTGTGCCGCTTGCATGGAGGTGCGTGTCGGGGTAGTCGGCGTCAAGAAGTCGGCGTTTGAGCGCTTGCTCTCCGCTGGACTTGCGCTTGCACTTGCCATCTCACCCTCCGCTGTCGACTCTTGCTGTGTCTGCAGCGTGGGGACCTCGTTGCGGCTGGAGATGCGTTGCAGCGCACGAGAGACGGCAGACTTGGACCGCTTGTGCAGCCTGTGTAGCAGTCAGTCGACGTTGCGCTTTCCATCCAGCATTCTGGTTCCACTCGTTGCACAGGATGGCGCCAACACTTACGAAGGGGTCGCCGTGCCTTCGCTCATCTTGGCAAAGCCTTGTGCGCAGCCTCTATGTACCGAGCCAAGTTCAACAAGTTAATGTATGCGTTATATTCTCCACCCACGCTATTAACATTGTCTGCTGTCAATGTAAAGTTATCGCTTTGAGCTCTGCGAACCCAGCGCCGGCAAATGAGTGGAACAGCCCCTCAGGCCCCTCTAGTGTCTAGAAAACAAAAGCCATGCGCAATGACATCCCCTTGGCCCGCCTTTCGTCGACCAATAATTACCCGTGTCCCCTCGCGCATGTCAGATTGAGCTTATTCATCGCCGCAGAAGCTTGCCCGTTAGCATGCCTATCTACAATTCCTCCGCCACTTCCCTTCCGCTCCTCCAAGTCCCGCGGATGTCGGATAGTGTCTCAATCAATATTTGAACGACGGGTGAGAGCATCGAGGGCAGCTTCTACCCGCCGGTACTCGGCATCATTGACCATGTTTATCGAACATTCAACAACTGGTTACATGAAGATTGATCATTTGCGATACCCCACATTGAACCATCCGTCATCGGAAGCGTTATGCGGGGTTTGCAAATACAGAAAATCTGTCTTGGTGAGAGCCACTGATTGATTGACTCATTGCGGGAGTCAGTTGCTGTCGCATAGGATATCTATCTCTCCTGCTGCACGTACTACTGAGTGTATCGTACGCTGAGCATATCGGCAACGTTCAATCAAGTCTATTGCGAAAGCGAGGACTGAAATTCATTGATCAAGCCCATTCTAACCAACGGCCACTGCGCCTACAGTCACCACCACCATGCCTTTGTACGCCGCATATTAAGCAAGTCCTTTACTCTTGAAAATGCAGGCATTGATTTATATCATAGACTCAAAGACCCTTCCCGCAAATACCGCCGCTTCAAACCCCTCGACATCCCCGACCGCCAATGGCCCACGAAAACCCTCGACAAAGTTCCCCGCTGGCTGGCAACCGATCTCCGAGACGGCAACCAATCCCTCGTCGACCCCATGGACGGCGACCAGAAATGGCGCTACTTCGCCATGCTCGTCCAGCTCGGGTACAAAGAAATCGAGATTTCCTACCCCAGCAGCGGCGCCACCGACTTCGATTTCACGCGCCGTCTCGTTACGACGCCCGGGGCGGTGCCGGACGACGTGTGGTTGCAGGTGTTAAGTCCCTGTCGCAAGGAGCTGATCAAGCGGACGGTGGAGAGTCTAAAGGGTGCGAAGAAGGCGATTCTACATCTGTATCTCGCGACGAGTCCGTGTTTCCAGCAGATTGTGTTTGGGATGAATAACGAACAGAGCAAGCAGTTGGCGGTGGAGTGTACGAAGTACGCGCGAAGTATTACAAAAGACGATCCGAATTCCGGGGTGGAGGAGTGGAGGTACGAGTTTAGTCCGGAGACGTTCTCGGATTCCGATCCGGAGTTTGTGGTGGATGTGTGTGAGGCGGTGAAGGCGGCGTGGGAGCCGACGGAGAAGGATCAGCTGATCTTCAACCTACCGGCGACGGTGGAGATGAGCACGCCGAATGTGTATGCGGATCAGATTGAGTATTTCTGCCGGAAGATTACGGAGCGGGAGAAGGTGTGCGTGAGTCTGCATCCGCACAACGATCGGGGTTGTGCGGTCGCCGCGGCGGAGTTGGCACAAATGGCGGGCGCGGATCGAGTAGAGGGGACGTTGTTCGGCAATGGCGAGCGGACAGGAAACGTAGACCTCGTCACACTAGCCCTAAACCTTTACACGCAAGGCATTCACCCCGGCATCGACTTCAGCGACCTCAACAGCGTCATCGACATCGTGGAGAAGAGCAACAAGATCCCCGTGCACCCGCGCGCGCCCTACGGCGGGCAACTCGTCGTCTGCGCCTTCTCCGGCTCGCATCAAGACGCCATCAAGAAGGGTTTCGTGGCGAGGGAGAAGTCAGGCGCGACGAGCGAGGATCCGTGGGTCATGCCGTACCTCCCTCTCGACCCCGAGGATATCGGACGCACGTACGAGGCGATCATCCGCGTGAATAGTCAGAGTGGCAAGGGAGGCGTGGCGTGGATCATCAAGCGCACGCTCGAGCTTGACCTGCCGAGGGGGCTGCAGATCGCGTTCAGCAAGATTGTGCAGAGGGAGACGGATATGTTGGGCCGCGAGCTGCAGGCGAATGAGATCAAGGAGTTGTTCGTGGATGCGTATCATTTGAATCGGAATCCGAGGTTCGCACTCATCGATTACAACATCACGAGCGACCGGTCTGTTTCGCCTGCGCCACCGGCGGCGGCGGCGGCGGCGGCACCAACAGCGAATGGTACCAAAACGCCTTCTTCCCGTAATCTGAGGAGGAAGTTTGATGGTGTGATTGAGATTGATGGCGTGGAACATAACGTTTCCGGGACGGGGAATGGTGCTTTGAGTGCGCTGGCGAACGCGTTGAGGACGTTGGGGATTGACTTGGATATTGCTGATTATAAGGAGCATTCGATTGAGAAGAAGGAGGGGTTGGTGAAGGGGCGGGATACGCAGGCCGCGACGTTCATTGAGTGTACGGCGGCGGGTCAGGCGCAGAAGGTGTGGGGAGTGGGGATTCATGAGGACGTGGTGCAGTCGAGTCTGTTTGCGTTGCTGTCGGCGGCGTCGTCGGCAAGTTCACATTCCTTTTGTAGGGTCTGTGAGGTGGTTGAGTGCTGACGGTTGCGTTAGTTTCTGTCCTCGAGACCGTCGACTCCAGTACCATTCCGGCCGAAGCGGTCTAATACGGCGACGCTGGAGGCTTCACCACTTTCAGGATTGAGGAACGAGATGAATGGCGCGCCAGCTAGTGCACCGGACGCTGTGGCCAAGTTTGAGGCGAAAGTTGAGGAGCAGGAACAGGCGCGGCAGGTTGACGGTGTCGTCACTACTAATGGTCATACTTGACGTCGCGTTCTTCACAGCGTCTAATTCGGTGCAAACTCAGCGGGCGTTGGGATGGAAGGGTCCGGGATGCATCAACGGTGGGGCCAGCGGAAAAGTCACTGTATCGTACGCGCGCATCGAACCAAACGCATGTAGTGAGGTGCCTGGATGGCGTATTTGGAAGCTTTATGATTGTTAAGCTCACCCCCTCAACCTCGCCTCCCTGCCCGCCCGCTCCCTTGCCAAATCCGCCCTGCCCAAAAACTCCTCCCTCTCCAAATACGTCCCCCGACTCCTCCCATACATCGCCATCTCCTCCCCCAACCCCTCCGTATCGACAAATCCCTTCCAATCCAGCGCGCTCTTTTGCACCGTCGTCATCTTCTCCGCCTTTCGCTTCTGCTCCTCCTCCGCACGCTTCGCCGCCATCAGCACGTCCAATCGATTAGGAGCTCGTGGCCGCAGTTTTTCCGCGGCGACGCCTTTGATTGTGGCGGTGGGGTTGGGTTCGAAGAGGGAGGGCCGGCGGAGTGGGCGGCGGAGGGTTGCTTGTGGAGCAGAAATGGGGTTGTTAGTAGGGTTTGCTTCGGGGTGGTGTTGGAGGTAGAGGCGGGCGGCTTTGGAGGCGCGGGGGACGGTTTCGGTGACGGTGGTGATCTCGCCTGCGTACTCGATTTGGCGCGTAATGGTGATGGTGTCGAGGTTGGAGGCCGCGTTCTCCTTGTTCTGCTCGCCGTCGCCGGTGTCGACGTCTTTTCCAGGCGGCGGCGGCGGGACGTGAGGCCCAAGTGGCGCGGACTGCAGTTCCTTCCATATCTGATCGACGTCTACCGTGACCTCTCCGGTACCGATCCTTCTCCGCTCCCTCCGCTCCTCCTTCTCCGCCAACCGCTGCGCTCTCGTGCGTATCAACCCGCCCTCTCCTCCGCTCTCCTCCTGATCGTCTGCAGCAGCCTTCTTTCGCCGCTTTCGCTTCCGCTCCTGTATCGTTGCCTCATCGCCAGAGTCAAGTCCTTCGGCGCCATCATCAGCCTTCCGCTTCCTACCCTGCTGTGTTTGCTTCACGGTGTCATCTCCCACCTCCTCCTCTGATGAAGAGCCGTCTCCCTCGCCCACCGCAGTCTCTTCTGGGTTGAAGTCCTCGTCTGCTTCTTCGTTGTACTCTTCTTCATCCCGCTCCGTAATGGCGGCTGTAATACCTCCTGACATCTTCGCCTCTACTCAGAGCTTGATGTTACGAGACAAGTGTACAATATGCAGGGTCCTTACTCAGTCACTCAGACGCTGCGCTAGCCTTTGTCATATTATTCTCGTGATATTTAAGAGAAGAGTACTTGCTTTACATCCTCTATCCTACAGAATAGCATAGTAGCTGATTCAATTATAACTTGATAGCTAGAAATAGATGTCTCTATTTAAGACTTATACTAAATGTAAGAAATGCAGGTACCGGCATCGTGAACATCGAAGGGCAGTTTCTGCGTTACGCTCTACGGTCAGGCCGGTGCAGACGGCAGCTCTTCGGTTATATTATACACTATATAAGAAGACGATACTCGCTGACTCAGCATTGATCCTCGTCGAGGTTTTTCTTGACACTGCCTCTATGGCGCAGTGGTAACGCGTCGCACTTGTATCCAACAATTTGACGCGGTCCAGTCCACTGGATCAATCAAATATCAAACATCCAATGCGAAGATCCCTAGTTCAATTCTGGGTGGAGGCAAAATAATCTTCGGGCCTCTCAGAGGTTTCATGCCATTTCTTTTGCTTTCTAAAGTCACTTCTATACCGGTGGTAGCGATGCGTTTTACCCTCAGAATCTGCAGCAATAATGAGTGGGAATAGGTTGATGATCAGACAAGTTATACGAGCAACAACTTCGACGCTGCTTCCTAGTTTTAGCGCTTGTGCAATACCGGAGTAGGCTCCTCGTGCTGCAATAGATACCGACGACAACTTCGACGTGTTGACGAAGACATAGTGGCTTACGGTACCAGCCATAGACGAACATGCGGTGCGAACGAAACGTTCAAAGTGCTCCACGAAGCTTACCCTGTGATGCTAACGACTTGCGGGTCACGCATTGCACACTCCAGTGCCGGGAAGCTTCAGTCCAGTCCATTTACTATCGAGCTATGCCTGCAGTAAGAGGAGTGTCCGGATCATGTCCGTCACTCCCAACAGTGTCCAGCTGCACGCTCGCTTCGTCCTCCGGGTTGTAGCTTGGCAAAGGACGAGATACCAATCGAACCCACTGACTTCTGGCAAGCCATTGCATTACCGTTTCTCTTCGTCCCACAACATGGAAGCCAAATCCAGCCCCATCCCTATTCTCAATCCGCACTTGATCGTCGACAACTGGCTCCACAGGCGGAAAATGTTCGTCGCAGCAGTTGGTGAACATATCGGATAGGGGAAGGTACCGAGCGAGGGAAAGAATCACTGCTACGAAGTTGTTTTCGGTCGCATGCTCCATTTCAATCAAGAACACGCCGATGCATACGGCGATGATGGCGAGCAAGTCGGCCACACCATACACAATCCAAAGGTTGCGGACGTTGTATTGGTATATGTTCACCTGCGCCGTTTGAGTGACATTCGCCAGAACCGTAGTGCTACAGCATAGTCAGTAAAAGATTGATAGAACGTTGCCGTGAGCGAAGCTAGCTTACCACAGGAGGGGGTTGCTTCGCAGACTCATGGTGAAGTTGAAAGCCAGCTGCTCGAATAGGAATGGTAGCGTCTGGTTCTGTGCCAAAGCCTTGTCTGCGAGTCTCTGATCCTTGAGAAGGTAAGGCTTTGATATCATGTCCGCGGGGACACCCTTGAGCTGCTGGTTTTGATGGAAGACGAAATCCAGGTCGTTGCTGCCGAGGAGACTGGAGTGCACAATCTGGCTGTCGAACGAGCTGTACGCAGGCGTTGCTGGAGTAGCTGACCGTTTCATCACCAGACCCATAGAGCCGACAATCTGGTCTGCAAGGACCGCAAAATAAGCACTGTATGCAAGTTGAACGAGATCAGATGGTTCGCTGGGATCTGTGTTGGAGTACGGCACCGCTGACGCGAGATCGATCCTCTTCTCGGTGACCGTCTGTATCCCATTGCTGTAAGACAGCTCGGCCGTGTAGGTGGCATCCCAAAGGGCGCATACGGAGTACTTCTGCTCAGGGACATAGCTCCCGTTGCTGTTCACGACACGTCGTCCTCCAGCATCCTCAAGAAAACGCCAGTATGTCATCCAAACCTCATTGACCGCATTGGTAGGCGCGCTTTGTGCTCTGGGATGAGTAATTGCGCTTATGTTCGTTCCGTCTGGGGCCACGACAGATGTCCCGTCCATGCTCGAATTGTACGAAGGCACGAAGGCGTAATACGAGAAAGCCTGATACAAGCCACTGGGAGCAAGTGCATCATTCTCGGACTGCATTATTGCATCGATGATGCCTTGGACTGTGCCATTTGCGTCGTGACAAACCGCGTGTGGAGCGCGGAAGTTGAGCTCGAAGGAAGATTGAGGGCTTTCTGGCGGTACCCAAAGTACCGCGCCGGAAGAGCCTGTGGCGCTAGCCAGCCTGGAGTAGATCGTTCGTGCACCGTCGAAGAGGAAGTTGTCAGGATTGGCAGAGGGTATACTGGCGCTCGCAGGAAGAATGTTCGCAGAGCGATTGACTTGGTTTGGATCGGAAATGTTCGGGACTGTGACATTCATAGGCGAAGTTGTAGTGTAATTTGCTTGGATGGCTGTCAATGTGGGAGGAGTAAACACTCCAGGAATGCTGAGCGCCCTAAGCCTCTTGTCAAAACGGAGGGTGGTCGGGTGCAGTGCAAAGTGTACTGACCAGTAGGAGAGAAGCAGCAAGTACATTGCAGCGGCTCTGCGCTGCCAGAGCTCTGGACGTAGAAGCTCGAAGACTGTCTTGAGGGCATTGAAAAGTGCGTTCACACCTCGGATTGACATTGGCTCTTTACGGAGATGGCTGAAGACTGCTTGGTGGTAGAAGAACCCGACCACATAACACAGAAAGGCGCCCACGAGAGAAGAGAGAAAGTTGCCGGCTCTGGTATCTGGTATGTCAGCCATGCTGCATGCCTTCGTTGGGCGAAGACACGGACACGAATCCAAGGTAGAACTCCTGCTGCTGAGCGCTATCGACCATTTTGCCCTCGAGGGATTTGTAGAGCTAAAAGTCGTTGGAACCAATCGATCAGTCGAGCACCAAGAGCCTTTGCCGCGACGAGGCGTACCAAATGGTGACCAGCAGTCAGCAGGATGCCAAATAGAGAGATCACTGCCAGCTGTCCAACCTTCCACATATTGACAGCATGATATTTGCATCGTACAGACACTGCGCGTCCGATATCTTTAAGATAGGGTGAGCTCGCGTCAGTTCCGATGGACTCTATCCACTCGCTGGAGGCTGTCCTTTCTTCTCGAGCACCGGCTTGCGCGGAAGATGCTGCCATTGTGCCGTTCCCTGTACTTGCCGCTGGATTGTTCATGTTAGGTCTTGATATGCTCTTGGAAGATCGTCTAAGTTTTCGTGCTGCCTCTGCAGTCAGACACTGCCAGCTGAAGCCATAGATCATATAGGCGACGGTCATGCATAAATCAACATGACTAACTCCATCACAGCTATGATATGACTAGATGGACCTTGGAAAGATAACCAGCCTGACGAGACTCTTGGCTGGCAAGGCGTGCGTTGGCCGCGTGATACCGCTTTTGAAACATACGGGCAAAGCAGCCTGATACTAAACTCGCGCATGGTATCTGAGCATCTGGCGGGCCGCTGTGACTCGGCGGAGAAGAAGTGTTCCGATGGCATGACCTGCCTCGTGCGCGATATATCTATGGTGGCTTAGAGACGCCTCAAGCGCAGTTTGCGGTAAGCTGCAGATGCAGACCTGCTGGACTGAGCGGATGCAGCATGTGCTGGTTCAACGGATTGTACAGAAGCAGACATAGCCCGCGCAGTCGAGAGTCACAGCGATATCAAGTAAGGTCTTGCAGATGGGATGAAGTTGACAGCTCGGTCGTGCCGATCCACAGGGGTGAGGCGATGTGCTAACAACCGAGCGTCTGTGTCACAAGACCATGCCTCGTGGCTTCTGCTCTGCCTCAGAGCAGCAGGTAAGATGTCGCAAGATCGTAGTGCTAATTGATAGACAGGACAGCAACGCAGAGAGACTTGGAATAATTGCCAGCATGGTGATTGAAACATCGACTATGTCCGTAAGTACTTTGAGCCAAGTCAACGCGAATATGAAGGCTGATGGCTGTTGTTTTCATGGTCACTGAGGCAGAATTCATTGTTCTTATTTGGTGTTTTTGATCGCTGGCAATGAGTCGTTGAAAGAGATTTGTATCTTGCTCACGCTATCACATATCACACCTCCCTTCTTCATAACATTTTCGACTTACTTTCAATACTACAGACACGATCGCTCTTACATTGTAAAGCTTCATCACCCCGGCTCAATGTGTCAAACCCAGTTTCATACCTTGCTGCAGGCTCTGCCAAAATGCGAGCACCATCTGCATCTTGAGGGAGCATTGACACCAGAGACATTGTTCGCATTGGCCGTAAAGAATGGTATCCAGCTGCCCTCTGATGATCCCGCATTTGCTAGTCCAGCATCTCTTGCACTTCGATATCAGCGCTTCACTTCGCTTGACGACTTTCTTCACTACTATTACCTTGGGATGAGCGTGCTGCTGCAACCATCAGACTTCGAGAGCCTGGCCTGGGACTACTTCCTCCATGCATCGAAGGACGGAGTAGCCCATGCAGAACTCTTCTTCGACCCGCAGGCCCACCTTGCTCGTGGTGTACCATATGAGACCATCGTCTCCGGCTTCACAAAAGCAAGAATGAGGGCTGAAGCAGAGTTGGGCATCAGCAGCCTGCTTGTATGCTGCTTTCTCCGTCATCTTCCACCGGTTGAGGCAGTCGCTACGTTCCGTTTACCTGAAGTACAGCATAGCTTCACCAGCGGCCAGGTCACTGGCATTGGCCTTGACTCCAGCGAGCTCGAATACCCACCCGAGCTGTTTACGGACCTCTACGCTAGCGCTAGAGACCTCGGACTGAAGAGGACGGCGCACGCTGGAGAAGAAGGACCTCCTTCATACGTAACCACCGCACTGGAGGCGCTACGCATCGAGCGCATAGACCATGGTATTCGCATAGCCGAAGACCCTTCCCTGTTGACGCGTGTAGCTGATGAAGGCATTCTCTTGACCGTGTGTCCCATCAGCAACGTCTTCCTACGTTGTGTCCCGTCTGTCGCGGATCTGCCAATACAAGCCTTCATGCGCGCAGGCGTGCGTTTCAGCATCAACTCAGATGATCCTGCGTATTTCGGTAACCACTTTTTGCTTGACAATTACTGCGCTGTTCAGACTGCCTTCGATCTTACGGCGAACGACTGGAGCGTCATCTGTAAGAACAGCATCAACGGAAGCTGGTGTTCTGCATCCAGGAAGGAGGCATTGCTGCGAGGATTGAAGAGTGTTATCGATGATTGGACCTCCGTTCAAGATCCGTGAGCTGCGCGATGAGGAAGGATGATGGAAGAGGACCTATCGATGAACGTTTGCTGCTCGTACGGCGTAGCCGATCGCCGTTCGTATTGCGGGCGGCTAGTGATGCGTTGGCACGCGGTGGCTGCTCAGAAGCCTTTCGAATACGAGGCCGTTTGCGCCCGTGACGTGCCGCTTTGTCTGCAGAACCGGCAGAACGGCACTTATCTTTTTACCCTGCGAGCGAACGCTTGTGAGAGGTCCAGCGACTCTGGAGAAGTCTAGCATGGATCGTATAGTTGTACCGTGGCTGGCAAACACCCCATCCAAGGTATAGTCATAGATTAGCAGCCAGATAGCGACACGGCAGTTGCACCGGGCCAGGATATCCGCCACGCACTTGCTGGAACCACAGTCCGCATGGTGAGCGATGCGGAAAGGTTAACACGAGTGAGTAGCACCGTTGTTCCAGCCTTATCGAATTGCTAGTAGCGCACGAGAAGTCTACCCACTTTTGCTGAGTCCCTCGGTACTGGGCCTTATGAAACCATCGGTCCAAGGAACTGTGCGTCTTGGTATAACCTGTCTGATGTCGGGCCGGCAATTAAGGCCTTGGAGACGCCATTCACGATCAAGGTATGGCGTCCTCAAAACGCACCCGATTGACACCTAGACATCGTCCTATCAACCATCCTCCTCGCGCATCGTACACTCCCCAATATTATGGCATATAAGTCATCGTGTCGTTGGCTTCTCATGAACAGAATGGTGTGCATGAAGTCGTCCGCTTCGGCGACTCGAGGCCTTTGGGTGTCGCTGGAACGGGGCACCAGAGCAGCCTCCATTATTTTCGAAACGCTTCCGATCCGCCCTTTCACTCATACTAGCACCCTACGCCGGTTCGCCTTCTCGACTGTACCCAGCATCCTACCGTCGTCGCCGATCTGGTCTCGCACGGAGGTGCTACGCTTGATGAGTACTTGCTCGATAGATCTGATGTCGCAATCGAGGTGATCGCGCGTAGTGGTTCGCTGCCATTCGGTGTCCGCAGGCATGTGCTCGATCGTCGGCAGAAATAATGGTTGACCGTCACATTCATTCGTCGCGTTGGGATTCACCCGTGTCTTCGTCAGGCGCTGGGGTCCTGAACAACATCTTAGTCCGCGACCGGTTCTCATGCCCATATAGCTGTCGGTACGAACCCGCCGCCGAAGCTGTAAACATGCTCCTGTGCCTGCAAAGTGAAAGGGGGGAATCCAGGTGAAGGAATCCCATACTGTTGAGTCCCGGAAGAGAAGGAGTAAGGGGTAGGGACGCCAAGGAAAGAAGAGCCGGACGGAGATGTATGCTGGCTTACGTCGTACATTGGAGTAGCAGGTGCGAATGCAGGGCTGAGGTTGCCTATATTGGTGTAGCTCAGCGTGCTGGGGTCGATACCGAATGATACAGGCTGCTGAGAAAGCGCCGACTGCTGAACTTGCAGCGTGCGATGCCGGTATTCGAATGCTGCTTGTCGTGGGAACTGCATGAGTGATGCGACCTCCAGAAGTGAGGTATCCGCTCCACGTTCCGAGTGCATGGCGTCGGTCACAGCAATAATAGCCTCTAGTGGTGGAAGCGATGCTGCTGAGCAGAATGAGGAACCAAGATCGGGAAATAGCGGGTCGATAGCCAGGGCAGTTGCATAGAAATGCGCAATCGTTAGCATTGCCGGGCCTTGTCCACCCTCACGTTGCAGCAGGAGCACCGGAACCCAGAATAGCCATTTACGCAGTTGATAGAAATGGTTGAACTGCTCTTCGGGAGTTTGCGCAGATGGCAGGGTCTGCAGTTGCTGGACGTAGTGAACCAACTGAGTCGTCCAATGCAGCTCCATCTGCGCGCCTGCTAAGCCCAGCTGAAGCCTCTGTAGAGCATATGCTGCGTTTTCAAGCAACGCGCTTCTCTCGACCGGGCTCACAGAAGACCGTCTTCGGTGCGTGTGAAATGGGTTGGTGGGTGCATCTTCTTCAATCACATACTCGGCAAACACGGAGTCGTGTTTCCACGATTGCATTGCGGCAATAACCTGCTGTCTGTTAGTTAGATGCCAAGCGTAGGGACGGGAGACAAACCGATTGAATCCCGGCACGAAGAGAGGACCAACTGCGCCTGTTCGATGTCAGTGGTATCTCGCAGATAATGCCAGCTTACTTACCAGTCTGTGGCTTGCCAAAATAGCAGGAGTGAAGCCGCGAGCACTGCATCTGCGTTGGCATGCGAGAAGTTGCCGATCGCTTCATGCAGACCACGAAGCGCAATACTTCCGTGGTGGAGGTAAAGATTGCGTGTGGCATTCGAGGAATGCAGCCAAGCGAGATGGTTCGCAGACATCGCAAGTAAAGCGTGCATCACGTATGGATGCGTTGACGCCACACTTAGGAACCTTCGCCCATCCGGTCAGTTGTAAATCCTACAATGTTTGTTCAGAGATGTCTTAGCGACTCACTTGGGCACTTTCTGCGTCCAGGTCGTAAGATGAGACGCGCCTTTTAGTGTCAGATTGTTTGCGATAGTTGAGAGATGATGAATGAGCCGAAGATCGTTTCGGGAGTACTCGTGGGCGTGCGGATGTGGAAACACCTGCATCTCTGGATACGGGAAACGGCCTGATTGCTGCCACTGCTCAACGCGAGACTCTGAGCCTGGACTTAGCTGCAGGCTCTGCTGTTCCGGACTTTGTTGGCTTTCGATATCGGAGCCCGCAGTCTCCATATAATCACAGCGGACTTGGTGCTTGGTACAGTTGCGACTGGCTACACGTAAGCGATGTCAGGACAACCTCGAAACGTGTGTTGGCGTACCATTGCGGGTATGTCTCATCGCACCGGATATGCCTTCGTTTGCAGGTCTTGCAACCTTTGCGACTTTTGGTATGGCTTCGCCTGGATGGACCGGCTCCTGAGCCTGTCATGGTCGAAGGTGTTGACGTAGTGATATTATGTCGTGTACGATTAGATAGTGTGGACTTATAGAGTCTACAAGTGGGTTCGCCGCGGGGATGTCGGCTTGCTTGGACCTTATGTTCTGCAGACGATCGCTTTCAAGATCGCTTTCGGATTGCTATTTGCGGTATAAAGCGAGTGTGAGGTGCTGTACTCTGCACGTAGTGGTTAGTAGCGAGTGCGGCGAACAACGACAGTAGTAGCGAACGTCGATATAAATGCAAAAGCGAATGTGGTATACTCCTAGTATAGCAAAGCTGGTGAAGATCAGACCAGAAGACACAACTCTCTACGACCGCGCTTGACATATACTACAGCGAGAGCGTGAGACCGGTATGTGGTATCGTGCCTGGACTGCAGCAGTCAAGACCTCGAAATAGCTGCTAGTCAGCCTAAGCTTGAACGGTGCTGGTGAGCTAATGCCGTAGGCTGCAGCATGAACCCATAAGGTCCTTCTGACGCGACAGGGTCCTCGTATGAACTTGCCAGTCGGGAGCGTGGGTAACATCTCAGTCATCCAAAAGAAGCATTTCGCCGCACAAAAGCTCCTAGTAATCATAGTGTGAGCAAGTCGGCAGAGGCTGACTGAGCTAACCCGCCGTGCCGGAGCCTCACGGCGAGTCGGCGCACCATCGCGGAGGACAGTAGCCCTGAGCAGAATCGCAGCATATGTGATGATCACGAATCCAAATAACTGCACGACTCCGTAGTCATTGGCCGGAATCAGCTGGTCGGTGCCAGATGTGGCATGGCGGCTTTCCCTCCCCGGCAATTTGTGCCAAATGCTAAGCTTTTGGGATGGTGTAGTCGGACAGATAGCCTTGCAGCATGCAACTCTGCAGGAACCGAGCGACCACTTTCGTCTCCACACCTGGCAGAATGATACTGGCCAGTAAGTCCTCGAGCCTCTGCTCAGCCCCGTGTGACATTGACTAGGACCACCCGTCAGCTGAACCCGGATTCCGTGGCACACGTCGATGAACGTTCCATTGGCATGTCGTCCGGAGCGGCCGCAGCGGGTAAGGTCGCAATAGACGAATCTGCTGCGAGAGGAGCGGGATGACGACAGACGCATGTGCTCATGCTCTCGAAAGCCAATTCATGCGGGGTTAATCGTAGCGCGTGAGACTAGCGATCTGATACTATTTTCGGGTGTGGCGACAAAGCTTGACCGTGATGTCCAGAACAGTAGCTTTAGCTATCAGATTCACATTCGAAGGTTCGGGCATTGCTCGCGAATGCTCCATGCTACAGTCTCGGGCATGCCACTGCCGAGCTCCACGGCGGAATGTATAGTTAGCCGTTCAGAGCTCAAGACGCATTTCAGCCAGCTAGTATAGCGCTCAGGCAATAGCAAGACGCCACCAGCGCACGTATCCGCTTGGCAAGCGAAGACCATGTTGCTATACATCGACAACCCATGTGCGTTACGCATTTCGGGGCTCACTTCGCTGCAATACAAGCGAATAACATTGCCTTTGCGACAGGAGCCTGCCGACAAGGAGACTCGTCCTACAGGTGTCCATCAATGCTACAGTAGCAAGGAATGGATTTTCTGAGTAAGTGTCTCCAGCTTCGGAGCCGCCGTTGCGGCTTTGCTCGACACTGTGACATCTCATACGGTTGCGTTGTGCACAACCCGTCAACGTTCTTCGATAATGCTCGAAGTTCCGCCAGCGCACAATGCGAGTTTGGAAGCCGTATTCAGAGGGTCTAGACGAAATCTTCCTCTTCCTTCGCGAATCCTTCCATACTTACTGCTTGTGCAAATCGATGTAGAAATTCGGTATCAACTTCTACACAGCCACTTTGTTAGCGGCTGACGTTAAAAACATCGAAGCTCCGGAACTGGCGCCGGTTGCTGCCGCACGATCCCGCAAGCGCTGCTATTCTAAGCTCTCTTTCTGCACCTCGCTACTAGTATCCATCTGCATTCGCATGAAATCGGGATGCCGATGGCAGTACAGCCGCGCTGATGGACAAGACTGATCAATATGTGTCTTGCTTGATGTTGACGATGCCATGGCATGCGACCTGTTTGGTACAATCTACATCATGCTCACAGAAGCCTTGCTTCCGGCGCTGCCATTATGTTTTCGCGATGTAAGCGGAACAGCAATCCTCCAGCTCTGTTGTCACCAGACAAGCTCTAAGCATGCATAATGCACAGTACCAGGCCGGGGGTCTGCTGGGAATTTATTCTGACTAGCTCTTGACTGGCGGTGTAGCGCTTGGACTGGACCACTCATAGCGGGTTCAGCCAACGATTGACCTCGCCTGTATATAATCACTACCTCAAGTTCCGCCAGAGCGAAACATTGCTGAAGCAACCTCGACATACCTCGCCGCACACTTTCTATGTTTACGATGTCTTTAACCGAGGTGGGTTATTGTCCGAGGCTATAAGAGCAGAGACCCACCGTGCCAGTGTCTCTAGCTCCCGTTTCTAAAGCGCTGGATGTGAAGCGCTTCCAGCATCGTTCATGTAGCCTTAACTCTCTGCTTTCTCCTTACACGTTGTGTGAATCAATTTCGACACTTGACAAGACATACTTCTGCGATCGTACTATCGGATCCTCTGTGAGACTTGCTGTACAATAACATCCTAGATCGGTTCCACTAGATGCATGTTACCGGATATCTGAGAGGAGGGAGATATGCGGAAAGTGGAGGGTAGCAATGATCAGCACTGATTTACTCAATGCTATCTGTGGGGAGCCGTCAGGCGACAGTTCCAGTCTGCTTCGAATCCGGTGATTCTCGCCGTCGTCACTTACAACAGCTCACGCCTTGTATGCATCCGCAACGAAGGGCACCGGGAATTGGTCCACTCCGACTGCACCGCTCCTCACGAAGACGGCGACGGCGTGGGTGCCAGCTTTACAGCCAAATGTGCCAGCCCCTGTACTGTCGATAATCACCCCAATCCGGTCCTCCGCGTTCGCCAACAGATCGATATACACCTCACCCGGCTTTCCAAACGGGATCTTCTTAGTCACCGTCTTCGGGTTACCGCTTCGTGTCCGAGCGAACCAACCCTTCCTTTGCTCTCTCTCGGTCAACGGCCAAGGATCGATCGACAGCAGTACGACGCATCCACTGCCGGGCTTGGCTGAATGTCCTTCTCTCGTCCAGGCGACGCAGGTCATGCTGTCCAGATGGTCCTTCTGCTCGCCGAACGCAAAGAGTCTCCTTGCGAGCATTAGATCGGGAAGCAGACTCCTCTTCCCACCCTTCCCGTCCGATACTAAGCAAGCTGGAGCCTCGGCCTTGTGTCCTTTCATACCGTACAAGTCGCCCCAGAATACGCAAGGGTACCCTTCACTTCTTAGTAGGATGAAAGCGTACCATAGTGCCTTCAACTCCGGCAGCATTGGCGTGAAGCTCGTCTGTCCAGGTTGTGTATCGTGGTTCGTTACTAGCGTTACCGCCGCATGCGGCCGGTGCTCCAACAGACTGTCTCGGAGTATAGTGCGGAGGTCGGAGTTCTTACTGTTGGTTCGGACGTCCTCGGATATACGGCTGAAGTTGTACAGCAACGGACTATCGTATGCGAAAGCGCCACCACCCACAACATCGAGCCACTTGACAATGCGGTCCACCTCGCCAGTCCATATTTCGCCAACGATGAAAGCGGGCTCGCTGCGCTTCCTCTGACTCGCCGCTTGGACACGAGCGATCCATTCACGGGTGAAGTTGTATGAGAAATGCTGCACTGCATCCAGCCGGAAGCCGTCCACGCCGTTTATGTCGACCATCCACTCACCCCATTTCAGCGTGTCCTGTCGTACAGCTGGATGCGTGTAATCGATGTTGGAGAACATGAGATAGTCGGCGTTGCCGTGCATGTCATCAACGTCGTTGGCCCAGCCTCTACCTGGTCGTCGAGGAGGGGGTGGCGGCTGCTCACAAGCCTCTTCGGCCGGGCTAGCACTGTGGTTCTTTGCAAGGATCGTAGATCGAGTGGACTTCCACAACCGCACCTGCTCCGCATAGGACTCTGGAAGGTTGGATGGATCATCAATGAGCTTGAACATCTTGTTCTGTCTAGCTTTGGCGTCCCAGTCTGTACCGTTGAAGTGCTCTGCGTGCCAGATAAGGTCACTGTACGGCATGCCCGCTTCCTTCCTACCTGGAAAGTCGAAGCGGAGGTATGCTTCGATCGGTCTAGGATCTCCAAGTTCAATGCGGCGGTCTGGAGATGTATCGATGACATATTAGCTACGTGACCTGCGCCAATACTTAGACTGCACAACGTGACCACTTACCTTCTTTGTCTACCTCCACTGCCCAACACTCCTCTGTTGCATCCCCTGCTGTCTTGTGGTTCAAGACAGCGTCCCATATTACACTTACTCCTAACCTCTTCGCCTCCCGCTTTAAGTCGCTCAATTCCTCTCGACTTCCCCACTTCACACTTCTGGTCCATTTCTGGTCGAACTCGCCCAGATCCCACAAGTCGTAGCAGTCGTATCCGTTCCCTTGAGCATTATTCGCCTTACAGCCAGGTGGAAGCCATAACGAGGTAATTCCGATAGCGGAAAGCAGAGGAAGAAGACGGGTAAGGCGGGGATAGTGGGATGTTTGTGAAGCATGGGTTGCAGAAGGTTGAGGAGGCGTGGAGACTGTGTGCCACTCGAAGGCTTGAAATAGGATAGGGTTGTCTTCTGCTAATCTTGAGACGGCGAGGGAATGAGCCGGGGTTGATGGTACGTCTGTCTCTGGTGCAGGGGGAATGGACTGCTGTGCATTGGTGGGAAGGCTGTTCATCGCAGATCTGGAGTATTGTGATAGAGCAGAGAGATACGTTGCCTTGAATGATGAACTTTCAGCCTACGGTGCAGGGACACGCACTCTGCTGCACCGCGACAGCTTGCATGCGCAGGACGATGCATGCACAGCATGTGCGATGAAGCTTTGGTGGAGCCTTGGACAAGCTGCCAACTTGCTTCGGTTCCTGCAACTTCCTGGAGTTCTGGCGGCAACTTCCGAAGCCACTACAGTATGTTGCACAACCGGTGACTGTCATGTTTGCTTCGCCCGCTCTGCGTCATTACACAACTGTGCGCTGTATGAGACATGGGATCAAGTCTCGATTCACTATATGCAGTAGGAGATCCTGCAGCGCTGAGGGGATATATGATCGGCGAGTAAGTGTGCGAGCATGAACAATGGCAACACGCCGATCACGTCTCCGCGGTCAAGGCACTCATGAGCCAATCGTGGACATCCCAATCGATGCGGCAGCCTCACAGAACGGCTCCCAAGATCTCGTGCACGACCATGTCATGTACGAGGAAGGTATAGAAGATGAGGACGTGGAGGACGGTCAAGGTACGCTTCACCCTTTGCCACGGTCTGTTTCGTATGCCACTGAAGACACGCAGCAGATGCCGCCGAAGAAGAGGTGGTGTTCCCACCGCCCGGGCTCAAAGAGATATCATCACTCGCTTCGTGGACGGTCAGCACAGCGAAACCCGGAAACGGCGTGGCGGCTCTGCGGTCTCCCGATCCGGCACACTTCTGGCAGTCAGACGGGCCGCAACCGCATTTACTTAGTATTCACTTCTTCAAGCTCGTCTCCATTGTCTCAATCAGGATACTACTGAGCTTCGAAGATGACGAATCGTACACGCCTACTAAGATTCAGTTTCTGGCCGGCATGGGCGCGCATGATGTGGTGGAGTTCGCCGAGATGAGTTTCGAGCAACCAAACGGCTGGCATGAAGTTGACTTCCGCCATGTTGGTCCCATTGACCCTGGCAGCGACAACGACGCCCATGGACGAGACGTCGACTGGACCAAGCGGCCTGTTCTGAGAGCCTTCCTCGTACAGGTACGCATACTCGAGAATCATCAAAACGGCAAGGACACGCATCTTCGTGGCGTACAGATCTTCGCTCGGGACGACGCGCAGGCGTCTCGGAATGTGGCAGCAATGACGAAGACTGGTACGCTGCCGACAGGGCCCGAAACAAAGCCCGGCGCGCCGAAGCCGTCCCAACCTAACACGATTCAGTTGGCGAGTTGGATGCAAGAGCCTGATCTTCGATGAGCGTGTTGCACGACATTGTGGTCGTATCGGCCTGCGGTCATCCTCCGATTTGTACATCGAGACATCATTACAAGAGTGAGTTACTCTATTGGAAGAGAGCATTGTGCGGCGCAGCTGATCTCTGTTAATCGTAGCAGCATGCGTGGCAGTATGAGCACGGGTTGCACCGCCAGACCCAATGGGACTGATATGTCCGGTAGGAACGACATGCCTGCGTAATGCCGCACTCAACTGACCGGCTCCACAACGCTTTCGCATTCACCTGACATTGCTATTGGAACCTACTGGCGTGCGGAGTCACTTCGTGACTTGCGGGCTCGGTCCCACGGCTTCCGGATGTTAGTGACGCAGAGCGCACGCTTAAAGCCTTGGCGGCTCACGTCACCTTCCCATTCAGCACAGCATTATCTACAACGTCCATCCAAGAGCCGCACCAGCGCAGTAGTTAAAGCTTGCTATCTGGCGTGCGCATGTAACCGAGGGCCGTCACTGCAGGCTATCGGACTCCGACATCTCACAGCTGGGAACCAGTCCACTGAGGAGCAATATCATGCCTTGCTAGTACCTGCATGCAGATCTGTAACCTTCTGTAGACGGAAACTGAATAGTAGCATTGAGAAGGACGGAGACCCTATTTATCGACCACCCAAGGTATAGAACCATGAACGATCGCACTCTCCTCTATGCTTGACACTTTCCATTTCCACCATTACGCTATCACAATGAAGCTCTCACAGCTGTCTGTGGCTCTCTCTGCCTTTACTGCAGGCTTCACTGCAGCACTTCCCGAGAAGCGAGGAGTGCCAGCTGATCCCACAGGTGTAACGACCATCACTTCGCCCAATGGGGCTACCATACGCTACAAGCAACCCGGAAAGGAGGGTTTCTGCGAGACAACACCGGGGGTAAACAGTTACTCTGGATATATCAGTCTCAACGCGACAACCAATAGTACGCTACCGCACCGTGACAAGGAGCCCCTCTGCTGACATGTGATTGTCAGTGTTTTTTTACTTCTTTGAAGCTCGCGAGAACGCCGCTCACGCTCCTCTGACTTTGTGGCTTAACGGCGGTCCAGGATCGGATTCGCTCATTGGTCTGTACCAAGAACACGGCCCATGCAACGTTACTGCAAACCTCACCACGACAGTGAATCCATACAGCTGGAGCAATGTGTCGAACATGCTCTACCTCTCACAGCCAATTGGTGTCGGTTTCTCATACGCCACCACCGAGGTCGGCTTGTACAATGCTACCACCGGCGTCATCAGAAACACCACCGCTGCGAATGCTTCGCTCGCGAATGGCCGCTTCAGCTTGACGGATCCATATAGATACGATACGACGTACTTGGCCGCGGGCGGAACGTGGGAGATTCTGCAAGGATTCCTCGCTAACCTGCCGACGCTTGACAGTACAGTCACGAACAAGACCTTCAATCTCTGGACCGAAAGCTACGGCGGCCATTATGGTCCTGCATTTTACGAGTACTTCTACGAACATAATGCCATGATTGCGAACGGCACTGAAAATGGCACGGCTTTGATCATGGATACGCTTGGAATTGGTAACGGGATCATTGACGAGCTAATTCAAGCTCCTTACTATCCTGAGTTTACGCAGCGGAACTCTTACGGCATCCAGCTTGTGAACCAGACCATATATGACTTCATGAAGACAGCCTTTTATATCCCTGGCGGCTGTCAAACCCAGATCTTGAGGTGTCAGGCTGCAAATCAGAGCACGGCGGCAGGTCAAGCCCTATGCTCGGCGGCGACGAGCTTTTGCAGAGGTGAGCAAGCATATCCTCATTGGCAGAGTACCGAATCGCTGACTGCAAGAACGCAGGCTTTGTGGAGGAACCATACTACTATTACGGTAAGTGGAGTGGTGTATTGATCTCCTTGGGAGTGTCCACAGTATGCTGAATCTCTCACCCTTCATCTTCAGGCGGGCGGGGCGTGTACGACATCCGCCACCCGTATAGCGACCCAACTCCGCCTACCTATTTCATCGACTATCTCAATACCGCTGCAGTACAGAATGCCCTTGGCGTCAATATCAACTATACCGCCGACAGCTCCAGCCTGGTGGGCCAAGGCTTTAGTTCGACTGGAGACTTTGTCTATCGCTCCTTGATTGTCGACCTCCAGGCAATCCTCAACCGAGGCGTTCGTGTTGCCCTTTTCTACGGCGACGCAGACTACATCTGCAATTGGCTAGGTGGCGAAGCAGTCTCAAACGCTCTCAACTACAGCGGCAGCGCTGGGTTTGCGAAAGCGAACTATACGCCATTTGTGCTCGATGGCACTGAGTATGGCGAGGTGCGGCAGTACGGCAACTTTAGCTTTTTGAGGATCTATGAAAGCGGCCACGAAGTGCCATACTACCAGCCGGCTGCGGCGCTTGAGATGTTCAGGAGAGTGCTCGGCAACTTGGTGCTTGCGGACGGAAGTGCGCCGGTCACGCCTAACTATACCACTCCCGGATTGCCCAATGCCACACATACAGAGTCGTTTGTGCCCTTGTCGAGCACGAGCTCAGCGAGTAGCACCACAGCAACGGCGATCCAAGCTTTTACAAGGCTGGTATAAGTGGAAGCCAGAGGCTATGATCAAAGAGCTATCAGCTTCGCAGTTGATGTGCGGCTGTCAGCTAGGAGAATAGCTACCCATGGACGCTCCAGCACCTCGGATGAAGATGGTGAGATAGGCTTGACACAAGATGCATGCATCTCAGAAGGGCTTGCAGTTCCGAATGGACACCGTTCTTCTAGGCCATTCAAGATGCTTCAGCAACCGACTAGCGTCATCTCCTTGCAAGATCTAAAATTCCTGCTGAAAATAGGACAAGCAAACAGTAGAAATTATCAGAGTAGCTTCCACTCACTCAGCTTTGATCATCATCTTCCAGGCTCTCATACATACTGCCGATGCCTGCAACGTATCGCTGGCTCACACTCTCGGACCGTTGATCGTCGTCTCCGTCACCCGGTTCTTCCCGGTTTAACACATCCTCGATAGCCCACGCCACTCTTTCTGCGCCCTGTCTCGCACCCTCCAGGTTCCCAGCTCCGGGTCCTAGTTGCAGCGTCGCCATCTTGCCAGTCACGAGCAGCGGGACGTCAGACTTCCACATGAGGTCATCAGTGAGGCACGGCAGGCCGCTTACGTCGCGGATGGGGAAGTCCTTATGCATGCTCCGTAGGCAAGGTATACTGCGGATGTCGGCTTGTGTACCTGTGGCGAAGTAGATGTAGTCTATTGCTGGGAGGTCAAGACTCGGAGGGTCAGTTGTAATGGTCCATGACCGCGTTTCACAGTCGTAATGCTGGGTGGCAACAACCCTGTTGCATGCCACTGATAGGCGACCAGATGCGATATGTTGTTTCAGCCGCTTGCTGTATAGAGGAGTGATGCTACCACCATTTCGCGCTTCGTGGACATATTGCAACCGTTCTATGCAAGCGATGGTCAGTATTTACAAAATAGCGCCAACACAGAGAGCTCAAAGTAGCCCACCTTGGTCGCTGTCACTGGACCAGAACGCCGCCTGCTGATGATTTTTGAACTTGGCTATCCAGCTCAGATTCACATCGAAAGGTTTGATCTTCCACTGGCCTCTCATCAGCAACCAGACCTTGGTAACGCCACGCTGTATGAGACAGTCCGCGACTTGAGCGCTCGTTAGACCTCCTCCAACAACGAGCACATTAGTCGGTATGCGAGCTCGTATCTTCGCGGCAATGCTTGGATCCGGAAGACCGCGTCTGGCGAGGTTCATAGCATGACATGCTCCGTGGGCCACGTCGGGGGAGAATGGCTTCGGTATCGTGGGCGTGCCACCACCGGTAGCGAGCACGACCGTGCGGGCAAGGTACATAGCCCTCTCGGTTCTGACAGTGAAGACCTGCATATCTGCTGAGCCTATCGTCACCGCGCCATACTTGATGTCCTGGACGGTTCCTTGCTCGATGACATGCTCCTCGTCCAAGCCATACCTTTCTACACAGTGTCGACAGAAGTCCTGGAACATCGCACTTGAAGGGGTGAAGTAGTCTTTGCGATCGCGTTCGTCTATTGTGACCTCTGCTCGCGCTTCGCCACCCTTATCCCTGCGCTTCTTCCGCTTATGCTTGCTGATTTCTTTACCAACGCACCCAGTGATCTCCACAAGTTCGTCGCTACGCCCCTGCGTATGAGCGTAGGCGAGCAAGGCGTCGCGATCTTGCGGGTCTGGGTGGAAGAACATTGGACTGCGCAAGTGTTCGATTTCGAAGGCGTCGAATAGCCTTGTCCATTTTGCGAGCCACTGTGCGCCGCTGTTGTCAAGGACGAGTATGGAAGGCTTCCGATTTCTCATGCTACCTGCTTCGAGCCCTTTGCCAGGCTCAGTACGCCCGGTCCTGGACTGCTTTATGCTGGCTTGGCTTGCGTGTCTTTTGATCCATCTGTAGCGAGCTTGCTCTGCGTCTGTGAAGAGTGCTGATGGATGTTGCTCGCGGAGACGAGCTGCCACTGAGAGGCCGCAAGGGCCGGCGCCGACAATGAGGACGTCAGGAAAGGTATTCGGACTCCCGGTGGCGGTCACGGTCATGGCGTGGTTATTCGTCGCGAGGTGGGCTTGAGGTCGCCATTCAGTCTTGGAAAGGTAGAGTCTCTTAACTCATGAGAGCACACGACCATCAATGTCGCTTCGGAACCGTAACGTGCGAGACACCTTGATGGCACCTTGCCGTAGCCCATAATTAGAACCGCAAGCGGGTACCATGTCGGTATTGCGAATCCGCTTCTGTGGGTGTCGAAGCAAATGAGTGGAGATCAAGTAGGGGAGGCAAAGTAGGGGAGGCAGGCTAGGGCGATGCTGAGCGCTCTCGAGGACGATGCTGTCGGACCAGTGCTGCCCGTCGCTTTCGGCCGCATTATCGTTCGCTGTCAGTGATTGCCGAGCTCCGGAGACGGTGATGGTCATGGTGACGACGAATTGCGTTTATGGGTATGTACAGCAAACTGTTGGACCGCTGTAGCATTTGTGGTTTTTCCAATAGAACAGCCAAAAGTGAGATTGGAGGACATTGCAGTCAACTCCATGGAAACCGACGGAGTAAGAGTGTGTAGGGTACGCAGTGGGCACCGCCATATTCCCGGCACTGGGCGTCGAGCAGGACATAGTAGAACATGAAGGAAATGATCGCTTACGCTTCAGGCGCACACACTTGCAGAAGAACAACATGTCTGCCCGACCTCTGTGTTCGATGTACGCTGGTCCGACATGTCAGCAAGTAAACTCGTTCTAAACCTGCCATGCGGTGAAGTCAGTGACGCAACTATGCTTAGTGCCACCCTACTGTGTATAGTACAGCGCAAGTGAAGGTCAGCAGCTGCCACGCTCCATCGCCTTAAGCCTTCGCAGATTCTCCGAGCCGGAAGCACGCCCACACAATTAGGTATCTGCGCCATGCTCATGCCCCGTGCCAATCCTCAATGTACGCTTTTCGAGTAATAAAACATTGTCGTCAGTGGCCAGCATACTGCACGGCCATTACTGACTCTCATATGCAACTAGCAGGATAGGGTGCCGTGCGGACCATCTTTCGCCGGCTACCGCATTCCCAGGCATACCGAAGGACATGTTGTTGCCGCTTACTTGGCGATCTCAACACCACCAACAGCGCCGATGGCGCGCTTGATGTCACCTGATCATAAGTCAGCACGCACGCTCACAGTACGTTGAAGCCATTCCAGAACTCACCGTAGATGGCGAATTGACCAGCGGTAAGTGTGCCAACCATGAACAATCTGGCGCCGATGCCGCTGAAGCTGCCCCTCAAGCCGAGCTCACGCGCAATCTTGATCAGCCTGCTCGTCGTGCTCTCTCCCGGAAGACCCTTGGTCTTGTTGATCTTGCTCAACATGGTGTCGGCGGGTTGCGAGATGATGGCGGCGGCGAAACCGGCAATGAGACCGGAGCCGAGGTTGATGACGGTGTTCATGCCGGCGCTCGTCTTGGACTTGTCGAAGAAGTTGGCGTACGCGTATTCGGCAACCTTTTCGTAGACGACGAATTTGGCCATGGTGTACGGGATCCTAGCGAATCGTTAGCGGCCACAACATCCAATAACACTGACTAGTGCAGACTCACTGCTTGAACAGGATCGGGCCAAAACCGCTGTAGAATGCACCAACACCCTCTGTTCTCAAAATCTTGCTGAACCCACCAATGAGACCGTTCGCGAAACCCGGGTCGGACACAAGACGAATACGCGTCGCCTCAAGCGGGCAGAGAGCGATGTCAGCGAAGAACTCTGCGCATGCGGAGGATCCGAGATAGACGGCGGTGCGGTATTTGGAGGCATTCTCGTAGCCGAAAAGGCTAATGGATTGCTGCTTGAAGAACTCGTAGCCGCCGAACTTGAAGGCGCCTTGAAGGAAGTAGCCTGCGAAGGTCGGGCCGATGCCGGTAAGGAGCGCGCCGGCACCCTCATTCTGGATCACCTGCCTGAAGCCGCCAATGAGGCCGCGGTTGTAGGTGACAGGATCGAGCTGGATACGGGTCTTGACGCTGTCAATGAGCGTCAGTCATCGTCCGAAGCTTCTGGCTTCAAGGTTCTGCCCCAGCTATCGTGCGGAAGCTTGAGCTTGCAGACTTACACATCGACCGGTGTCAATGCGCCGTGAGTCACGGAGCAGCAGACAGCGCCGGCGAAGGCGAAGCGCGAGTACAGGTCGACGCCGCTGAGCTTCTTGGGTGTCGCTGCTGCCTCAGCCTTCTGCTTGATTGCATCGAGCTTCACGCTCCCTGTCGAAGTCGGGGGAGCTGTCGCGGTGCCAGACATCTTGCCGTATTCCTAACTCTGGAGTCTAAGTGTGGGAGGTGAGTCGAGGTGCTGTGTGATGGGAGCGCGGTGGTGGAGTGAGAGGGGAGAGCGGTGGTGGAGTGAGATGGTAGAACAGGAAGACGGGTTGGTCAGTAAGGAGGTCGATGTTTAAGCGTCTAGCCCAACTTTTTATTAGAGCCTCACGAAAACAGCTCCGGAAGTCGCCGATCCTCCAATGGCGCCGACACGTGCTGCTAACCTGCGGCACCACCCGCTGTATTGCCGAAGTCGCTAACCCCCCTTGCTCTCCTTGCTGCAAGACTCGAGACATATCATCTTCGCTCAAGCTCGTGTGTACCAAACTGGTTAGCGGAGCGGGTCATTTGTCCTTCGCTTGCAAGGAAACCTTTACACTGGGGAATATTACGATTGTCTGAAAAGCGGGTTGTGGTGCGCACTCCATGACCATCAAGGCCAGCATATCCGTGGAATCAATAACACCCATGCCATACTGAAGTGGTCCAGTCTGTTTACTTCTCGACGGAACACGTCATCTCCACTCCCGGTGTCCTATTGCGTCCTCACCATGCTCGATGATATCCAACTTTCAGTAGATGACAAGCCTCAAGAGAGCGTTGCGTTTGACTATCGCATACACCTGGTGCGACCTCAGTCCAACACACCGTGCCTAGCTCTAGTCCAGAAGGCTTTAGTACATCGCCGCATGATCTGCGATTTACCGCCGTGCTCGCAGATGTGTGCCTGCAGTACCGTAGCTGAAATGAGCAGCTCATGTCCTGCAGGGGACTATGGCGCTGACCATCTCTGAAACGCCTAACGACATCGGACGTCATGAAACCGCATTCAACACGATCACATGCTGAGCTAGAAATGCTGCGCAAGCGGCTGTGCTAGAGCTGGTGCAGGTGGTAGATTTGCTTGCTGTTTCACCTGCACACATGCGGCACAGCAGGCCGGCGCTTAGTGAGTGTCTTTTGGCTATTCACAAGATCATCGCGAGGCACGTATTTCCGTCCTGACGACTTCAACCACAGGAAGTGCTGTGCTAGTCGAAATCTTTCGACGTCGTGTGCGGAACCTGATAATGCCCGACTCACACTCACATCTTGCGACATGCTGCTGCAAAACATCATTGTCGCAGCACCCTTGTGTCAGACGCTAAATGCTGCATTGAGGCGGCGGCGCAGCACTTACAACTTGCATCTCTGCATGTGACCCCATTCACGTCGACTCGGACTCAGAGAACACACGAGGCTGCTATAAAAGCTATAGCAGCTGCAGGAGCTACGACGCAGTGACTGGACTCCCTCTATCTTTCCAAGCAGTAAAGATGGCAATAGCTAGGATGTCATTCTCTACTCTCTCTTTTGACGCATTTGACCTTCTTGGCTTTGACGACCCCGAGGCAGGTAAGCAATCGAAGGGGGTGCCAAGCTTATCCGCTTCGTGAAACACTGCTGACGGCTCGATCTGCGTGATATAGGCTTTTGTTGTGTCGGTTACGCCAAGTCACGAGGACGTCGCTGCCACAAACCCATCGCAAGGGCCGATAAAGAAGAAGCACGTGAACTTCTCGATGCACTACCCAGCCTGGTGCACAACAACCAGGCTTTGCTGCGAAAGCTGCACGAACTTGCCGCCCTCAGCATCTGCAAGAACCGCAGAATAGGTCATCAAGCCCAACGAGATGCCGTTGCTGCCAAGTGGCTTCGAGCCATCCAGGCAGAGACCGCTCGGTCTCAACGGCAGCGTATGGAACCAGCGGTAGTGCATTCTCGCAGAGCATCACGGCAATCTGCTGCACCTCACACACCAAGGCCAGGCCTACAAACGGTGACGCTCACTCTCGCACCGGGTCCGACTCGTTCAGTTCCGCGGACTGACGAGCGAGCCACTACACCACGTCGCGCAGCACCGGTTCACTCGACAATGGTCACACCAACGACACCGGTACTTCAGACCACTGACATTTCCGACCGAGATGCTCGGCATACTCGACCTGCGAACCAGCGCGTTGTCACCCGAGCCGTGCAGTCTGTCTCTTCCCCTCCACGAGGCCCAGAGACACCCGAGACGCCGAGCCGCAGCTGTGTGATATGCTACGATGCTCTTACTGAGTCATTGCAGACCCCTTGCGGCCACACGTTCTGCGGAGCATGCATTCGCCATTGGGTGGCGGAGCACGGTACCTGTCCCATGGATCGCAGCACTGTCCGGTTACACCAACTAAAGCCTCCGACTCTGCCTGAGATTGCTGTCACACCAATACGCTTGCGCAGCCTCGGCCGCTCACGTCCATCGCTTATACCGCGAGATGTCCCCGGCATATCTACACCCGCGCCGGTGATCGATAATGCAGACGATCATCTTATTGCCACCCCACTTCTCCAGGATAGCTCTACGATCTCCGTGACTGCAGGCGAATCTCTGGCATCCCAAACCTCCTCTTCCAGCCATCTACTTCGGGAGACCTCTCCGCTGCCTTCTACGCCGTCATTGTTCCATACCACGCAGCCTGCCGATGCGGTACAAGTCCCACATGGTACATCAACAGACTCAACAGTGATAGCACTATCACAACCTGTCCAGCCTTCGTCGGGAAACAGTCACTCGGTTCCGGACTTGCCTATCACGTCCACGACATTGCATTCTCTCGAGGCCGCCGAACCTTCTCTCACAGTCCACAGTCCTTCAGAGACTGCACCAGCTCAACAATCATCGGCGGCATTACCTGCTACTGCCATACAACCACAACCCGATCTATCGGAGGTCCCCACGGTAGCCGTGTACAGGGAGACTCAATCTACCAGCGTTGCCCAACGCTTTCCGGATCTGGCGACCGCCACACCAACACAGAGAGCCCAAGCTCAGCCTAGTGCCAGCAATCCTTCTCCACAGGCGGCACGAGCTCCTCAGAGAGAACATTCTGCTGCTTCTAAGCAGGTTACGTTGGTCAAGACGCCGCCAAATTCAACTGCTCGATCTTCCCATGCGGCAGAACTTCCACGCGGTGAGGGAGTAACAGCGCAGCCCGCTCGGACGGCGGGAGGTGCATCTATGGCGCTATCTGCTCCCGAACCCCAGAGCGCAAGTTCTGGTCGGGCAGCACCACGTCCGACCCATGCTCAACCTGCTCGGACGGCTTCCATGATTGCGCGGCCTCCTGCGAGCCTAAGGGAGGATAGTCGCACACAGCACTACCATTTGCTCGATGTTCGCGGTGTCAATTGGACGGAGTGTCCGGAGTGCCGCGACAGTGCCGCTACACCTCGAGCCGAAGAAGCTTTCTGCCACGGCGCGCTGTGTGGCTCATGCGTCTCGCGATGGCTTGCTGTGAGAGCACACAAGCTTTGGGAGTCACTTTTTGTAGGGGAGACTGGGTAGTGGTCTCTCAGGCTAGTTGATACAATGGAAAGTAGGTGCGTGGAATAATATCTCTCTTGGTACACGTGGGTGGTGGGGGCTAGATCGCATGAAGCGTATGCACTCATCTATGGAATACGAACACATACTCTATGCCTTCCAGGTTCTGTCCTTTCGGGCGTTTTGTGTTAGCATGGCGTACGCAAGTAACACTCATCGCGACTTCACGTTGAAGAGAAATTTCCATCCAGTTGATCGACTCATGCTTAGTTTCCGTTGTGAGGCATTGTGTATCGACGAGCCGCGAAGCCGGAAGTTGCCGGCCTCCGCGCGCTGCGCTAGACGAAATTGAGGCGCCGACAACACCAAGGCAAAAATGCTTGCTGCTGCACGGTTGATTCCCGATCTCAATCAGTTTCAATTCCCAGGGCGCCGCGTTTTGTCGGAAGTTATCTCCGCGTCTCTGCCACGAGCATCGTAGCCTTGCGGAAACGGCGATGACGTGGTTGCGCCAGGGAGCTTACCCACTTCACACTGACGGCATCCTGCCGCTTCAGCTCTAGATCATGTCGCATGCCTCCTGCAGAACTCCGTTGAAAAAGCCCGAACTACTTACTGCGGAGTAGACTCTGCCAACCATGGCTCGCCGAGAGTCCACGATCGGGGATGATGCCCACCTGGCCGCTCTGGGCGTGCAACAGGAACTGAAAAGACACTTCAGTCCACTATCCATGCTAGGTGCGATCAGATACACGAAGGGCTGGCGGCTGTCTGAAACGATTCTGACGCTGCAAGATCAACAGGATTGGCATTCGCTATCCTTAATTCCTGGACTGCACTGAGTGCTTCGCTTTCGCTAGCCTTGCCGTCCGGTGGCCCTTCGTCAGTCATCTGGGGTCTGGTCACCGCTGGTATATGCAATCTCTGCATTGCTGCTTCACTGGCAGAATTCCTTGCAGCGTATCCTACGGCAGGTGGGCAGTGAGTCTGTTGAGCAGACCCAATGGTGACATTGCCACTGACACTGCCTCAAGGTATCACTGGGTAGCTGTCATTGCGTGGAAGAAATGGATGCCACTACTATCGTGGATCACCGGCTGGATTAACGTATTTGGCTGGATGGCCTTGACCGCCACAGCTGGTCTACTAGGCAGCCAACTGATCATTGGGATCATTTCATTATACGATGCTGCCTACACTCCTCATCCATGGCATCAGTTCCTGATATACATCGGGTATAATTTGGCCGCTGCTCTACTCAATGCATTTGGCAATCATCTCCTTCCTCACGTGAACAAGACAGCAATCATTTGGTCCATTGCGGGCTTTGTGGTGATCTCGATTACAATCTTGGCAACTGCGTCACCAACCTACAATTCTGGCGACTTCGTCTATCGCCTTTTCATCAACGAGACTGGATGGCCAGGCGGCGTAGCTTGGCTACTGGGCCTTCTTCAGGGTGGGCTCGGACTGACAGGCTACGATGCCACCGCCCACATGGTAGAAGAAATCCCGAATGCTTCAGCCGAAGCCCCTCGGATTATGATATATTGTGTGGCGATCGGCACCTTCACTGGCTTCATCTTCTTGAGCTGCTTGCTCTTCGTCGCTGGTGACGCGCAACAGGTTATCGAGTCGCCCGCGGGGCCCCTCGGCTACATCCTATACAACGCAACAAAAAGTCGTGCCGGCACGGTATGCCTGCTAATCTTTCCACTAGTATGCCTTCTCTTCGCGGCCATTTCGATTATGACAACCTCCTCAAGAATGACGTGAGCTTCAACCCAGATCTGTGTATGCGATCCAGCTAACCCTCGTACTCATGGGAGCAGCTACGCATTTGCTAGAGACGGAGGCCTGCCCTTTAGCCCCTTCTTTGGACGCGTCCACAAAAAGCTTGGCGTGCCTCTTGAGGCTCTTGGCCTTACTAACCTAGTCGTTCTTGTCTTTGGGTGTATCTTCCTCGGCTCAAGCTCCGCCTTCAACGCGATTGTTTCGGCCTCCGTCGTCGCCCTTGGCCTTTCTTACGGCATCCCGATCGCTGTCAATGTCTTGCGAGGCCGTAAAATGCTTCCGGCAACTCGAGCGTTCATCCTACCGGAGTGGTTCGCTTGGCCTGCCAATCTGCTAGGGATCGCCTATGTTATTCTTACCACGGTGCTGTTCGTGTTCCCACCCGAGCTCCCGGTCACAGGCAGCAACATGAACTACTGTGTCGTGGTGTTCGCGATAGTCATCGCTATCAGCATGGTTCAATGGTTCGTCAGCGGTCGGAAGAACTACACAGGACCTCAGGTTGAACTCGACAATCAAGTCCTCACTTCTGTCAACAGTCCAGTCAATGTTCGCATGGCATCTCAACTACAGCAGCAGGACGACAACAAGCTTAAGCAAGAGGGAGCAGCTTGAAATCTAAGAAATAGCCTGGCAGCGCGGGAAGACAACGCTTTCGCGACGGAAAGACACTGTCGTTGATCCCAATACAACGTACGTCTACCAAACTTTCTTCGTGATCTACCCTCAAAGCTACTATGATGACCATTCACTCACACTGTCCGATGTACACTGACGATCATCTTATTAATCCAATTGTTCCTACTGATACCGATGCAACCGTTTTACATCTACAAGACGACAGCTGTGCTAGACCCAAGCTAACAACACGGCCAGGCGTCTCTGCGAAGATGAGTACTTTGACCGAGTCATCGCATCGATCTTACACACGATGGCCCGCGGCCATGCCAGCAGATGCTCCCATCCTTACCTCCTCACTAAGGTGTGGACCTCATGATGACCGCTATGCGTTTTCCGTGCGAGATAGTTCGTTTGAGGTAGCCGTACACAGTTGGTGCGCCCTTCCCATGCCGCGCCTTTTACCTTTCATGGTGTGATGCCTGCCAGCGTTACTGTCAGTTGTTCTTGCGACAGAACAACTCGCTTGGTATCCTCGAAAGGGAAGGCACAGCCATGGTATTGTGCGATGAAGGACGCCGCTGACATCTAGCTGCTGCGGTCTAACGAGCTGTGAAGGACACGCAGGGCTGAAGATGGCGTAGCAGTAGCGTGTCTTGCGCGATTGGTCAATCTGCCCTGCAAGGCCTCTGGGTTTCGTCACCAAGCCACGGTGATCGTTGCCAAGAACGGCTCGGTCGCCTTGCAAATCTTCACACTTTCGCGCGTTGGTCGTCTCTACTCTCTTCCAATCGTTCCGCCCACGCGCACCCTGCTCTATGTCCGAGCAGGAACTTAACACAACTACGCGGTTACGTTACGAAATGTGCAGGTTGTCGCGCGGGTATGTTGCCGTGATGTCGCTTCAAGATGGTAACACCTAATGGTGGCGGTTGAATATAAGCCTACCGTCTCCCGGGGGTAGGTAAGGTAAGGTTGTTACAGCATCGGTTCTTCGCCCCTCCATTCTCCATACACCATTATATATCCGGCCATGGATGTCTTGTCTCTCTTCAACGTGCTCAGCATTGTGGCTGGCACGGTCTTAGCAGCCAACTACCCGCCCATCCCGTCGGACAAAACCACACCTGTCCAGCAGCGCATTGCCATCAATGGCCCAAATGCTATGGCTATCGGGTGGAACACCTACGAAAAGCTCGACCAGTCCTGCGTTCAATACGGCACCAGCGAGGATAGCCTCACTTCTCAGCAGTGCTCGTCAGACAGTGTAACATACCACACGTCGCGAACTTACGGAAATGCGGTCGTTCTCTCAGGCTTGGAGCCAGCGACGACCTACTATTACAAGATCGTTTCGACGAACTCCAGCGTTGACCACTTCCTAAGCCCGAGGTCCCCGGGTGACTCGACTCCGTTCAACATGGACGTTGTTGTCGATCTCGGTGTCTACGGTAAAGACGGTTTCACAACGACTAAGAGAGACACAATCCCGAACATACAGCCTGCACTACAACACACCACCATTGGCAGCCTCGCGACGAACGTTAATGACTACGAGCTCGTTATTCACCCTGGCGACTTTGCCTACGCGGATGACTGGTACTTGACTCTCGACAACCTGCTTGACGGCAAGGATGCGTACCAAGCCATTCTTGAGAATTTCTATGATCAGCTTGCGCCCATCGCGGGCAGGAAAGCCTACATGGCATCTCCTGGTAACCATGAGGTATGCAACAATTCCACGGACACTCTGTCTATTGTGAGCTTTGATCAGTTGCTACTGCTAATCAAAACTAGGCGGACTGCACTGAGATAGACTATACATCAGGTCTCTGTCCCGAAGGTCAAAGGAATTTCACTGACTTCATGACTCGCTTCGGCCAAACCATGCCTACAGCCTTCGCTTCCAGCTCCAGCAACAGCACTGCACAGGCAGGCGCTTCAAAGGCGCAGAGCCTTGCCAAACCGCCGTTCTGGTTCTCCTTCGAATACGGCATGGTACATGTCACGATGATTGATACAGAGACTGACTTCCCATCTGCTCCCGACGGTCCTGGCGGGTCCGCAGGCCTCGATGGTGGACCCTTTGGATTCACGAACCAGCAGCTCGAGTTCCTCGATGCCGACTTGGCAAGCGTTGACCGTACCAAGACCCCATGGCTTATCGTAGCTGGTCACCGGCCTTGGTACAGCACTGGAGACAGCTCGAACAACTGCACATCCTGTCAGGCGGCGTTCGAACCGTATCTCTACAAATACGGCGTCGATCTTGCGGTCTTTGGCCACGTACACAACACCCAACGCTTTCAGCCCGTCCATAATAGCGTTGCGGATCCCGCTGGCCTGAACAACCCGAAGGCGCCTATGTATATCGTTGCCGGTGGCGCTGGCAACATTGAAGGCCTTAGCTCAATTGGCAGTGAACCGAGCTACACAGCGTTCGCATACGCGGATGACCTCAGCTATGCGACTCTGCAGTTCATGAACTCGAGCTATATGGGTGTGCAGTTCATCCAGTCGTCTACCAACGCTGTTTTGGACTCGAGCGTACTGTACAAGAAGCATGACACGGCATTCGTTGTACAATAGCTGTCGTCTGTTGGATGTTTCTGTAGTCCGTTAGCGCATCTCTCCGAGTCAAGTCGACTCCCCAACTGTCCCCCTTTGTCACACTCCCTCAGAAGACTCGGTGGTTTGGCAATGATATCCATGCAAGACTCGCACGCTTACCTGAACCCGTGATTCATCTCTGTTAACACCCCGCACTGAGTACAACACTGACGGTAGGCTTGCTATCTTGGCGGTCGACCAATCCCAACATCGTCACCATTGCCAACTTCGCACGGTCGTTACACCGTGGTTGTTGCGCTCTTAGCACCATGCAGGTCCTGCTTCCGGCTTGGACGACGGGACTTTGACTGACATCACCGAACCGTGGGAGACGATGGGTTGGTTCCTCTGTACAGTCGAAGGCACGCTTTCTAAGTTGCGACAATGGCCCCGAGCCAGTTCTAGAACATCTCTGGAAGCATGCAGTCCGGTTATGACGAAGCAAGATCTTCCCGTCGTTCCGACCCGCGACAACGTGGCGGGCTCCCTTTTGCGGCTTCTATGAGTCGTCTTCACCTCAGCAGCAATCCCATCCGCGGCACACGAGCCTCTCCAAGGCACGCCGTAGTCAAAAAGCTCGATGCGATACACCGAGAAAAGCACCGCACCGCATGCGCCACGACGCAAGGTTTGCCGCGGTCAATGCTTGGCATGTAGCCGCGGGAGCTCGCTGCAGCTTGGGATGATGGACCGACTCCGTCGTGGTGTTGCACTTCACTTGCTATCTCTTAAGGTTCTAACCTGTGCTACACTGCTTCTCTGACTTACTGTACGCTTCTCTTCCTTCTTGTGTTCATCACTTATACCGCGCTCTTGATACCTTGCCTGGTTCTTTGCGTAGCGATACGAGCAAACAACCTACGGAATCTCACCTACGGTGGCTGCCTGGACAGCTTGTGCTAGGGAGCGCTTGCAACCGTTGCACGTTACCGACCGCGTGACCGGCTACCAGTACAGCCCCGCGATACTGCACCGGACATTTGCGGGTCTAGGCGGCGCCTTGCAGGAGACTTTGTGTTAGCAGGACGGAAGCCGCCGACACGGGCAGCAATTACGCAGCACCGAGTCCTGGGCTCTGACATACCCGATCCCAACATCTGTATACAACAGGAGGTGTCTGCGGCAACAAGTGTGTGCTCCATGACCACATCCGGTGCCGCGCTCGGAGGCTGAGATTGGTGGGCGGCTGCATGCATTTCTATGAAGACACGCGGGCAAGACAGCACGGTCTCGGATACCGGTCAGAAGCCGGCGATACAAGTAATCTGTCTCGGCGCTTCTGGTGGGCCAAGCGAGGAGAGTGTGACAGCCTTCCTCGTACGGTCTGTGCACAGTGGTTGGGCGCGGGGCTCGCTGCTCGCTCTTGATGCTGGAAGCCATCTGGCACCAATAACGCGGATCTTGGAGCGGGACTTTCCAACCGTAAGCGATGGCAAACGAATAGATGGTGTCCCGAGCAGTGAAGGTGAAATCCGCAATGGGCACGATTCGGAGTCGCCTGAAGCAGATGCCCTGGTTGTAAAGCCTGAGCCTACCGTTCTCACTTCGGGACCGTTCAGCGGCTTGGAACTACCGCATGCCTCAGCGCGTGCGAATGCGCTTCATGTGTTGCGTGCTTATATTTCTGCGTACCTTATCACTCATCCTCACTTGGACCATATCTCTGGCTTCGCGATCAACACAGCTGCCTTTCACGCTACATCCAAACCGAAGACATTGGCAGCTCTACCCATGACAGTGGATGCGATCAAGCAACACATTTTCAACGACGTCATCTGGCCGAACCTTACCGACGAGGATGGCGGAGTCGGCTTCGTCACGTTCCAGAGATTGAAGGAAGGCGGAGACGTCATGGTCGGCGACGGGGAAGGGCGCGGCTACATTGATGTGGTCGACGGGCTTGGAATTAGAGCGTTTAAGATCTCACACGGCGTCTCCACGAAGGTTGCACCAACCCATCACCACCGAGGCAGTATATCTGGGTTTCCTGACATACCTGTAATCAACGAAACCACGCAGTTCATGGCTCGCACTGTGTCCATGTCGCAGCACCAGTATTCCACCCCTGGTACCCCTGGCATTGGTCCGCGCCAGTCATTCTTCTCACAGTCACAGCCTTCGCCTCGCTTGTCCGCCACTGCTATGGACATTCCTTGCGTGGTCGACAGTACTGCGTTCTTCATTCGAGACGACCACACGGCGCTGGAGGTGTTAATGTTTGGCGACTTAGAGCCGGACAGCATCTCCCTATACCCGCGCAACCGCATCGTTTGGGAAGAAGCTGCACGTAAGATTGCTCTCGGCCTTTTACGTGGGATCTTCATCGAGTGTTCGTACGAGGATGCGCAGGGTGATGCGATTCTGTTCGGGCATCTCTGCCCACGACATCTCATCTCGGAGCTTCAGTCTCTCGCAGCTCTCGTTGCTGAGGCAAGAGCAACAAGAGCAATGGAGAAGAGTCTCCGGAAGCGGAAACGCTCCGTTGCGAATGGACCTGATTCGGCCAAACATACTGTCTCGGTGCATAACCGTAAGCGAAGTCGTAGCCTAGCCGGGCGGAGTGTTGCAAAAGACATCCGTCGGAGTAGTGCGCCCGGGCACGCAGCATCTCACGTCACGACGTCACCGCCGCTTGGGCAGACGCTGCCAGCTGCGGGTGCTGCTGAGCACCCACGGCACACAGAAGATAGCGCAGTACTGCACACTGACGTTAGTTTCTTGTCTCCCGCTCCCAGTGAGCATCAGCAACAGCATGAGCACCTGCCACTAGCTGGCCTGAAGGTGGTAGTCATGCACATCAAGGACACGATGAAAGACGGTCCGTACGTCGGCGAGACAATCCTGGCGCAGTTGCAACAGCACGAAGCTCAACTGGATGAAAGTGGAACGGCATTGGGCTGCGAATTCGTAGTCGCAAAAAGCGGCGAGAGCTATTGGCTCTGAAACCCATGGACTCGCCGTTGGAAATCCAGTATGGGGATACTCCGTTGGACATCCTACGATAATCGCGTGGCACTGCAGGCGTTGACGCGTTGGTGAGCACATTTGCTTTCTGTAGGTTAAGCAAATGACGTACAGCACTTGGCGTACATGTACATGCTATGCTCTCGGCTTCCACGTTGTGCATAGAAGATGCCTTGATGAAGAAGTCGTGAGCTGTTATTGGGTTGTGCTGCAAGTGAACTCGGGCGGCCAATCACGTTTGGGCTCCGGGCGCTAGATTGCAAAAGCTCGTAACGCTAGCGCGACCCCCTTCATCTAATCATCTTCGCGACACGCTCAACTCCACGCCTTCGCCTTCCAAGTCAAGATTGGAGCCGCCAGCAACGCTGCGCATTAAAGGCACGTTGATTCACGCCAGCCAATGCATGCCGCTTCGACGTGTGCAAAGACGCAATGCCTTCGAATTCGCCACGATCAATCTCCGTTTCAAGCCACTGATCGCGGCCTCTCGAGTTTAACCCGGTGGCGTGTGCGGATATCTGCGTATCCGAGCATTAGCCAGAGCATCGCGAACGAATAATCTGCTCAGCTGCCAGTCCTGGCGAAAGCCCCGAGGCATTACTGTTTCACAGATAGCCTGCATCATCTCAAACTAACAGACCAGCTAAGCGCGCAACAGCGACTCTAGTGCCCACGCAGCAAGTGACGAGTTGGCCCCTTCACGTGCTGCGTCATGGACATGGTAGGACCATGACCGCGATGGTACACTGGTGACAATCTCGCCTCGGCAACTCTCAGCTGTATGTAGGCCATAAAGCCGCCTGCTCGTGAGATCATCGAAGAGTGTTCATCAACCGCTGGCGAATAAGCAACGCGGAGACCGCACGGCTCGATCAAGCTTCACTTTACCTGCCGCTACCATGCACTTAGCAACGTCGATCAACTTGGCATATATGCACCCCTGGACGTCGTGCGGGACAGGCTTGATGGCGTGCGCTTTCTCCGCTCTATCGTTTCGGCACCGCTGGGCAAGGGTGCGCTAGCATCTCTACCACTTGTTACAGATGGCCGCCACTGGACGGGCGCAGATGACCGAGCTCTAGTGCGGCGTTTGACAGACGCTTCGAAATATTTCCGACATACCCGGAAGAGCAAGCGAGCCAATGTGGTTCAAACAGGGCTTCTTTCTGCTGCCTAGCCTCGTTGCCTAGACCGTCGAGCACGGTGCTACCAAACTTACAGACATCGTGATAGTCGGTAGAGAGCTACGCTGAGGATGTTGACGGTTGGCTGTCTCGGCGGAGCTTGTATCAAAGCAGGCGCCTTGGCAGCTACCCGCCGTCCTGGCACCTACTGCAAGCAAAGAACTCCGGTTGAGTTAGTACGCCGTGCAGAAAACCGTCGTGGTCTTGCGACTGGCATGCGCTGAGATTGCTACCTTGTCGATCAGCGCACGATGGCGAGGCACGTTGTCACCGACGAGGAACGCCGTCCAAGGATAAGTATCCCTTTGATCCTCCCTAGACACTGCTCTCATCATCTCATCCAACACACATCCAGCAATCGAGGCAGCTCAGGCAGCTACTCACAGTCTCTCATTTCTTACATTCGCTATGTCTCCATTCATTAGTGCTATTGCCTTCGCGGCCACTGCCACCATCGCCATGGCTGCTCCGGCAGACATATATCGCCGTGACACCTTCCAGATCGAGCAAGTCTCTACTGGTCAGGTGCTCAAGAGCGGCCCCATTGCCATGATGAAGACATACAGCAAGTATGCCAAGGTCGGCGCATCGGCGCCGGTGGACGTTGTCAATGCTGCGACTAACGCTTCGCAATCGGGTGAAGTCGCTGCAAACCCGGAGCAGTATGACGAGAGCTATCTGTGCCCGGTGCAGGTCGGCCAGACCACTTTGAACCTGGATTTTGACACTGGCAGCGCAGATCTGTAAGTCCTCGGCTTGACATTGTAATGAGTGCAACGCAGCTAACATCAACCAGTTGGGTCTTCTCCACCCTCACCCCAAAGAGTGAGTCAACTGGGCACTCGCTGTACAATCCTAGCACAGGAACCAAAAAGTCCGGCTACACCTGGGACATCTCATACGGCGACGGCTCCGGTGCCTCCGGCACGGTGTACGCCGATAAGGTTGTCGTGGGCGGCGTCACTGCTACGTCTCAGGCTGTTGAGGCTGCGACCTCCGTCTCCTCGCAGTTCGAGCAGGACACGGACAACGATGGCCTGCTTGGTCTTGCGTTCAGCAGCATCAACACTGTCGAGCCGCAGGCCCAGAAAACATTCTTCGACAGTGTAAAGGGCTCGCTCGCAAAGCCTTTGTTCACCGCAGACCTTAAGAAAGGCGCTGCTGGAACCTACGACTTCGGCTACATTGACAGCTCCAAGTACACCGGCTCGATTTCATACGTCAATGTCAACACTGCTAACGGCTTTTGGGAGTTCACTGCCAGCGGCTACGCAGTCGGCAGCGGCTCCGTCTCTGGATCTGTTGGCGACGCCATTGCTGACACTGGCACCACGCTCATGTACTTGCCTACCACGGTCGTGCAGGCCTACTACAACAAGGTTGACAGCGCAGACTACGACAGCAACCAGGGTGGCTACACCTACGACTGTAGCGAGAACCTTCCCAACTTCCTGATCTCGCTCGGTGGCAAGACCTTCACCGTGTCCGGGACTGACATCAACTTCGCGCCGGTCGACAGTTCCGGCGAGACCTGCTTTGGCGGCATCCAGGAAAACACTGGTATCGGCATGTCTATCCTTGGCGACATTTTCCTTAAGAGCGTGTTCGTTGTCTTTGATCAGACGCAGTCCACTCCGCGTTTGGGCTTTGCTGCGCAGTAAACGACTCTGGAAATCACAGGAGGTCCGAGATGGGCACATTTCTAGGAATTTGGTGGCCCGCGGCCCGCTGATTGCTCGTTTCTACGAACATGCCATAATTAATGTATGATATGCGAACTGTTTCTTTAGGTGTAATGCGTAGACATACAATCTCTGTCTCCGAGCAATGATCGAATTACAATCTATCACCATTGCACATGCACAGAGCCGGTGGACTCAGCGGACTTGAATACTCCTGGGCATGAGCGAGTTCGAGACATGTCACCATCGTCAGCCTCAAGGCCAGAACATGAGAGCATTTGCTGCACAGTGCCGCAAAGCGCCGTCTTCGATCACAGATGGCTGGTTTTGCCCACGCGTTGTGCAAGAAGCGGACTGAAGGGATCGTCTTGTACTCAGTTTCTACAGGTGCTAACTGTCGGTATAGATTGAAGAAGCCAGGCGTGAATGATGGTCGGTAAGTGCCCGCGTCAAGTGACTTATTGATGTATGTTCGACTGGCTATGTTTTCTCATGAGCCACTCTAGCGACCTGCCGAAGTCCAATCCAGCGTACAAGGGAACATGGTCACTTGGCCCTCTCTCAGCAGGTGTTGCTAGCATGCCAGCGTCCCTTAAATACGGCTTAAGCGACGAAGAAACAATGATCATGTCGACTCTGTCGCAGCTTTCGCCAAAGGGCCGGGCTCGAGAATAGTAGGTGTAGCCTTTCTGATGCGGATGCAGGTACCTGAAGGTATCTACCATACCTAGACTGCTTCCGGTCTCTTCAATCACAGCGCTAGGGTTTGAGACATCCTTGATATCGACTTGGGACCTAGTGGTCTCTGTGTCCGAATGCTCGGCTATGCTGTGGCCGAAGAAACGGGCTTCGAAGTCTGCCCGATTTAGGCAGTGTTGGTAAGGAAACGTCCTGAGATTAGGATGGCCATCGATGCGATGCCGAGCAATGTTGAGATCACCCGCAATGATGATGCGGAAGCCTCTACGCTCAAGCTTGCGGCATTCAGATTGAAGAAGACTGTGGACTTTGAGCTTACGATCATGCCGAGTTCCGCATACTTCTCCCGTCATGGGATCTTTGTAGGGGTTGTCGGTCCCGTTGACAGCATACACGTTGAATATTGCCAGTCTCAGTATGTTGCGAATCGGCTTTGTTTCGATCACAAGGAAGCGACCTTCCAAATCCCAGTCCACATGACGGACACGCTCCACGTACTGGTCATGGAAGTCCTTCCGAATGATGCTCGCCACACCGTAAACCTTCCTCCCGAAACCTCGAGCGTTAAACTTGTCACTAGGTAAGCAGGTAAAGGTTACATAGTCAGGCGCGCCAGCATCGTCAATATTGGGCCGGACTGATCTTTCAAATGCTCGTATGGTTGCTATGTCATCTGGGTTGATCTTCACTTCTTGCAGAAAGAGCAGTTCTGGCCAGTGATGCCGACGAAGAAAGTCTCGTAACGACGCATGCGCATGAGCACGTGGTTCTGGATTGTGAGCACTATATTGGAAGAAGGATGTGATCGAGCGCTGCAGATATGGCTGAATGCCATTCACATTGTGACTGTATATTCTGAAGAGTTGTAGATCCTCCAATGGAGCGGCGCTGGAGACGCTTGTCTTCCGGCGTTTGGAAGGTGGCGGTGATACCGTCCGGCTCATAATCGACCAACTGTAAGATATCTGAAATGTGCGCGTATCGCACAAACTCCCGCGCGCCCTGATCTCTTGTCAATTGCAGCAAGAAGAAGTCGAAGTGAGGGCGGTGGTATTCGTACGATGACCGCGGCTCTGGAGAATATGAAGGCTTCCGTCACTTAACACGCCGAACTACTGTCGTTCATACAAGGCTCGCAGAACCAAGGAACGCAATAAGCTGATGCGCTAGTTGATTGTTCACCTCTCACCTCGACCATAGGGCCGGAAGACAAGTATAAGGTACGGCTCGGGAGAACAACTCGGAGCCGATGGAAAGTGCCGTCGCTCGCGGAGTGCATGACCGAGCAAACATAGGAGCCCTCTTGATGTACTTTACATTGACATCATTTCTGACCACCGGTGGAACGCAAAACCTGAGCCCGAAAGGACGTGTGGTCTTGACTACATCAACCGGGGATGCATATAACGAGGCGGCGGTTGCCGGCTGCCAGAGTGGCAGCGGAGCTACAAGCACGACACGCCAAGAACTCTCTTGAAGATCTAGACTGCCTGCGGGTCTCGTAAGGGAATGCCCAATGCCCCATCATAGGTCCAGCACAGAGTAAGCACCCTGTAGGCCTTTAGCACTATGGGAGTGGGGTTTCAACAGCGGCCTAGCGGCCGTTTCGTGCTGGCTTCAGGCCAGAGACAGAGCGGTGCTCATCGCGCGACAGGACGGGTATTACATGTCATTGGCGGCAGAGTATGCAGGCACAGCGGGCCGATCTCTGCCTGCGACACTGCGTGGTTACGGCAGCCTTGATTTGACCCACATACTCTGCCGTTAGGTCGACCTATCAGGCAAGCGCTGCGTGCGGGAGAGAGCTGTGCGAAGCCTACTCGATTATGGTACAGATTGGAGCAGATGTCTATGTTGGCCAAGACTACCGCTAGGAGTCGCATTGCACGATGCTAAACTGTTGTGCGCCTGATGGTACGTCAACCACAGGGCCGACTCCTGCCGAGAAGGCCTACAGCACGGGAGGCTTACGTGAGGCCACGGTTACACAACGCCGTGGGGCGACGCCTATTACTTGCCACATGCGCAGTTTCCTCGGACACTGTAGTTCTATTGAGGCTTTCAGTTGCGATAGAAACGCGCTATCGGTCTTACGCCAGATCTGCAGTGTTCAGTCCAGTAATATGAGCCCACCGCATGCAACATCACAAAACCCACAGCAACAGCCTTCAAAGGAGTCGCCCACGCAAGAGGATCAGTCACAAGACCAGCGCTCCCAGCCTGCGCTAGCTCGAAGAGAGAAACTGCGCACGAAGGACTCCAGGGAACACGTCACGCTCGCGCTGGACTATCGTATGTGAAGGGGAAGGCACCTGTTTTAACAGCAACATCAGCACGACATTGAGTGATCTCGTCAGCGGCACCCGGAGCCGGGTCGCGTTGTGGCTGCCAAGCTATGATCACGACGTTGACTATCATACTGGTTGCACCCAATCAATACATGGGCATAACGCCGATCCGTCCCGGCAGCGTGGGTTGACACTTCACAAAATCTGGGTATTGTGGGGGGTGGCGTTGCCGGCTATAACTGACATTACATTTCTGGAAGCAGCAGAAAGCATACATGTTTGGTCTGCTATACGCTAACGATCTAAGAGGGCAAGTGTCTAGCCACATTCGTGGCCCTTCTTTCACCCGTTGGAAGTGACGACTGACAGTAGCTCACCAGGTAGCTGTAAAGCCGTTTGCGGCCAGACCACAAAATACCGCGCTTGCTACAAAACTGTCCTCATGGCATGGCAGCAAATAAATTGCGGAACAAGGCGTGACCAGCGCGTATAGCATGTGCCGCCTACCATCACGCACAATCTGGGAACCCTGTTGCGACGCTGACAGTAGGCTACCGGAACCAGCTTTGTCACGGTCAGTTTAGGAGGGCACTTGACGAGCCCATTAGCGTCTACGAGCTCATGGCCGTCGCCAAAGGCTTTGGTCGGCGCTGTGCATCGTCCGTGATTTCCAAGCTAAAGAAACTCCACTTACCGTCGGCATGCCGTAAGCCAGGCGCTTCGCTACTTACCGGACCGAGAGCGAGTCGTTCAAACCTTATCGGATCCGCGTAATCCTTCGGTCCATCGTTAAGCCTGTTTAATGGAACGTTGTTCCGTTTGTATGCATCTCGCTGCGGTCCAGCTGTGTCGCCCAACGAAAGATTGTCGGCTGCATTCGCTGATGCAGGACCTATTTGTCAACCAATGATCTTATTCGTCTGTAGTACAGAAAAAGACTCGTTGTCTCCCGCAATACCATTATCTTTCGCTAGTCGTTATCACTGTTGTTGGAATACCGTCGGCTTCAAGTTCCAGACCAGTACCTTTCACTTCTTTGGATAATTTCGCAGGATGCCATCAGCTACTCCTACGACCTTCAACGATGGTAACGTCATTACGAAACCGTCAAAAGCGCGATGCACCGCCGACGGCTCCGCTGTCGATGTAGCAACCCGTTCCAAAAGTATCTCCACTGTTTTGCATCGATCTCTTGATCAAGATCCGCTGCGTGTCGTGTCCGCGCAGGGTAACCATTTGCTCCTCAGCAACGGGCAGCGAATCTTAGATGCTACAGGTGGTGCCGCAGTTGCGTGCCTTGGGCACGGCAACGAGCAGTAAGCGGCGTACGTGGCAAGGAGGGAATGACGAGCACGCTAATGACTCCCAGAGTTCGGCAAGCGATACTCAACCAGATGATGGAAGTTTCATACTGTCATTCACTATTTTACGCTGTCACAGCTGTTGAAGAACTAGCGAATCTGCTCATCGAAAGTACAGAAGGTGAAATGACACGAGCCTTCTTCATCAGCAGCGGCAGCGAAGCCATAGAGGCAGCATTGAAGCTTGCTCGCCAGTACCATCTCGAGAAGCAACCTAGCGAGCCGCAACGTTCTCACATCATCGCGCGGCAGCAGAGCTACCACGGGACAACGCTCGGCGCCCTTGGCGTTGGCGGCCATGTTGCTCGCCGTGCACTCTTCGAGCCTTTGTTGAGCACCAGGTCAAGCCGTGTGAGCCCTTGCTACGCCTACCGCGGCAAAGCCAGTGAGTTTGAAGATGACGACTCCTACGTAAACAGGCTAGAGGCAGAGCTGGATGCCGAGTTCCAGCGCGTTGGTCCATCCAACGTGGCGGCCTTCATAGCGGAGCCAGTCGTAGGCGCAGCCCTCGGCTGCGTACCCGCGGTCAAGGGTTATTTCCGGGCGGTGAGGAAGGTTTGCGATAAATACGGCGCTCTACTCATCCTCGATGAGATTATGTGTGGAAGCGGGCGCATCGGACCCGAGCCGACCGTTCACTATCCGAAACCTCTGCATGCCTGGCAGGATCCATCAATCGGTGTCACACCGGACATTATGACGATGGGCAAGGGGCTCGGCGGCGGCTATATCCCTGTCGCGGCGATGCTTGCCAACCGGAAGGTGGTCGAGGCTCTAAAAGGCGGCAGCAAAGCGTTTCAACACGGGCAGACGTACCAAAGCCATCCAGTAGCCTGCCGAGCAGCGTTGGAAGTCCAGAAGATTCTGATGCAAGATGATCTAGTTGCCAACGTGCGCAAGCAAGGGAAGCTTCTTGGACGTCTGCTGAAGGAGAACCTTGGTTCGCATCCAGCCGTCGGCGACATTAGGGGTAGAGGTCTGTTCTGGGGCGTCGAATTTGTTGCGAACAAGACGACTAAAGAACCGTTCGAGCCGCAAGAAGCTGTTGCTTCGGGTATCCATGAGCTAGGCAAGTCGACAATCACCGTTACATCCATTCCACTGCTGACTTACTACTACTACAGGCATGCAACAACCTTATAGCATTTCGCTGTATCCAGGTACCGGCTCTGCGGACGGCAAGCGCGGCGACCACATATTGCTTGCACCGGCATACACGGCCACCGAGGAAGATATTGCAGAAATCGTCAGCACGACGGGTCGCGTTATAGAACACTTCTTTTCACATCTCCAACGCGCCTGATGTGTATCAGACTGGACCAGATAGCGTTGGCGTTCTAGCCGAGGCGGCCGGTGACATTTTAGATACTTGTTGGATCATCTGCCGCGGTGTTTCACCTCTTCTTCGCGACCCAGAAGCTAGGCCTATAGATGTCTTGTAGCATACTAGCAGAATCTTGGTTATATCCCGCTGCTCCAGCCGGCATCTCTGCTTGGTCAGTGATATCGAACCCAAAGTGGCGCACCAGGGCATGAACCTCATCGTTTGACAGTTCGAATGAGCCCGGTTGTCCAATACCTGACGCATAGCCTTCGCCGGTCTCGTTGTCGCCCATCTCATCCCGTTGTGGGTGGCTCGAAGCAGTCGATTTCCTCCTGTGAGCCGGATGCGGCGCTGCGTCAAAGTGCCAAAGCAGCGGGCCTAGATTGATCCAGACTGCGCCGGGCCTAAGACAGTGCTTAACAGCCTCTATGTAATTGATCAAATTCGGCGCTGTGTCAATGAAAAAGCATGTTGTTACGGCATCGAAGCAGCTTTCGTACTCTGGCCTGCGATACAATGCACAGAAGTCGCCTGCTGACATGCTCATTCGCGCAATATGTTTCATATGGGGAGGCATCCTGCCTTGAGCTTCTTGTAATATTGTCGCAGGGTGTATGTCAGGCACAGCCACGGCACGAAGCTGATCGCTTCGTTTGAGGTGGTTGGTAAAGGTCAGAGCAAAAGGGTATAGCTTGTGCTGGCCTGCACTCTGTGTCCCGTTCAATATGTAGTTGGAGGCGAGGAGTTGATGATAGGAAATCTCATTACCTTCCACAGTGTAGCCTGCCACGTACAATTCGAAGACTAGCCTTCCGAGACCCGCCCCAGGAACGAGTATGCGGCAGTGGTGACGGCCCTCAATCCTCGCCTTGGGCAGATGTGTTTCAAGAGCCGAGAGTATGGGAGAGAAGGAAGCATGCCTTTCAGACAAGCCTTCTACCGACCACTCACGGTATAGCTGACAGATGGTCAGGCGTGCTTTGTCCATGTCGCTCGGTGTAGCATGACCTTTCCACGAATCGTCTGCAATGCCAAAAGCGGGAACCCCAAAGGCCAGAATTGCCTCTGCGATGTCGCCATTGGAGTCAATAGCATCATCGACCGCCTCGAAAGTCTTCGGCAGAGAGAACGGTGGTTCAGCAAGTAGGTCAATATGAGCGTAAGGTAAGCTGTAAAAAGCCTGACGTCTCAGGTGGGTGACATTGTAGTGAGCCGCATGGCGGTATTGACTAGTCGTCCTCCACACGTGAGAATGAGTTCATGCCGCAAGAGAGATATGGAAAGATTGACGAAAAAAGTGAATCGATGCTGCAGAAAGCGGCGGAGCCTAGCATTTTCGCATAATTATACATACCGGAAGCTATCGAGTGCGGCGTGGAGTACCGCCCGCTCTTCTGGATCGGACAGTGGATCGAACATTCGAGCTTCGTGCAGCGCTGTCTCGTGCCGGCTGCCGTTCAGATGTTGGGAATGAACGTCCAAGATTTGTGCGCTTTGGATACTGTGGGCGGGCTATGTACTATTGATTTTGCCAGATAGATGTTCACAGACGCAGAGACTCCTGGCTGCAAGCCTGAGTGGCTCTCTTTCTTCACTTCACACGCAAACGACGATGGTCCAGGATGGAAGAGGGGATGAACGGAGTAAGAAGAAGAGGTTTCGCTAGACGGACGCTAGAAAAGGTCCGTGCCTTCCATATACGCATTCCGTATGCTAAACCTCGATGTTTCCGCTACCCCTCGACAACCTGTGAGATAACGGTTGCGAAGTCATTATGGCTGCTGATAATCTGGAACCGACAGTCCTTACTAATGGCACGGTATCAACTGGCAAGCCCATAGAGTTAGCCATCAGTCTCCACCACAGCCCAGGAACACGGATACATCTCCATATAACCATCTTAGCGACTAACATTATGTTGTTCGTCACAACTGGGACATTGGACGCTGGCCAGGCAGGAGCAGCAATGGGATCCTTGGTCTACGCAATGCCTGATGTGCGTTGCTTGGGCGTGAGGTCTTCAATGCGATGCTAACGCAAGAGCTAGAGATACAATCCAACGCAGCCGATCAGTACTGCACTCTACTCGTCGTCCGCCTCGCTGGACTTCGCAACACGCATGGCCAAAGTCCTCGCTAGGCGCACGGGCAAGCCTAGTTATGTGGGAGGAAGTCTGAACCTTTCCAATGCTGCCGGCGGAGGCACGCTGGAAGAGGAGATGGAGGCTTTCCGCACGATCGTCGAAGTAGTGACTGCAGAAGTTGCGAAAACGGCAAATTCAACTGCTGAAAGCTGAATTGTTCGCGACGTGCCTATCTCTGTGCGCTAGAACATGTTATCTCATCTGGCTTGGTGGCGGCTTTGTTCCATGGAAACCGTTGCCGGCGAAGTGGGGTGCCGGGTCTGAGAATACGAGGGGGTGAACCATAATCTCTCTGCCGCTTGCGCTCCATTGTTCACGTTGGAGCCGCCGCTCGAAAGTCTTCCATCCCGCATGAACCTTTTGACGACGCAGGTACATTTGGCCGCTTCCAAGCAAAAACAACCCGCGACCGCAGAATGGTCAGGAACGCGCTAAGACTAGCCTTTACGGCCAGTCTACTTCGATTTGCGCGCGCTCAACTCGGCATCGGCGGGACAGATCAATCAGTATGCACATCGGCATGCAACGAGGCGTCTGTATGCCACCTGCAATGCCTTGGCCTTCCAACTACCAGCGCGTCGCTAGCGTGTCTATGCCAAGATAGCTGTATCAATCTGATGGCCATTTGCAATTCATGCTGTAGCGCCAGCTCCTCCTTCTGCAATACCCGCATCAGCTCCGATTTGCAGACCTGCAGCAGCGTAAGACCCTTCTTACACTCTTCCTTTCGTGAACGAGTCCGCTGACGCAATGTCAACAGGGTGGCATTACACCGAACACGGCCGCCTACGTCTTCAGCAGCATCTCGTACACGGCGACTGCCTCCTTGCCTGCTAGCGCAGCGAGCTTTGTCAGCGAGCTGTCTTCGCCTACCCAGGTGGCGCTCGGCGCGCAGACTACCCCGAGCGGAGCGCAAAGCTCGTCGGCTGTCGCATCCAGCACGGCCGCAGGCTCGACATCGCGATCTGCCAGCTCTGTTACTCCAGTCATTGCCAGCTCGGCTAGCGCTCTCGCCTCGTCCGCCGCCGTGGCCTCATCAGCCGTCGTAGCCTCATCAGCCGCCATCAGTCAGACTTCGCGTGCTGCAAGCTCTGGAGGCCCTACCGGCACTGCTTCGTCGGCAGCCCTACCTGCCAGTTCTGCATCTGCTTCCAGCCGGACTGCGGCGCTGAGCTCGTCCGCTGCTTCGGCGGCCTCGGGAACGTCTTCGGTTGCGAGCGGCGTCTCTGCCGCTTCGTCCACAAGAAGCTCCGGCGCGTCGACCTCCAATACGACACCATCGGTCACCCTTGTGCCAGCTACATCGCGGGCGTCAACCACACCGACATCAACGTCGTCAGCGGGCGCTCCTTCGATCATTCCAGGCAGTGGGTGGCTTGCAGTCTTCCTCTTGGGTCTGTTGCGCGCAGCGGCTCTGGCATAGCCTATCTAATTCACTAGGATACCCTATAGGAGTGTACAATATGTTCATGGATACTCGAAGCGCTACAGCATTGCAATCCCACGCCCCCACGCTGCCGCGGACGGCTCCACAAGAAACGCTCGGCAGGCTAGGAAAGCCTTTATCCCTGCATGTGCGCCGAAAATGTCAGCAGCTTCACCACAGATGACGCCACAGCAGTGACTCCACCTCAAACCGCAGACAAAGGTCAAGTTGCCGCCCGTATGCATCCCTGGTGTTCACACTTATCTCCATGCCTGTATAAAGTATGGCGCAAGGCCTCCACATTTCTCATCGTATCTTTCATAGAGCCTTCGCAAGACCGGATTGACTCAAGGGTGTTGAGGCTACTGTGGCGTAAGAGATTCGCATTGATTGAGGCGCAGAGTGCTGCTTGCTTCGCCAATACAGGCTTCTATATTGCACTGTCTACCGGCGTGTCGGTAACCATCAAGGTACGAACCGGTAGCCCAACGCGCGCCCTTGGTGTGAAAGCTTTCCAGCAGCTTCTACTGCTGCAGCTTTTGCGCTTCTAAGTTAATGCTGGCATTATCACTCAATGATTGCGGAATTAGAGGTTTGGAAGGAGGTTACTGATCAGCAAAAAGCCTAGAAGCTCTTTCCACTTTTCCACTAGGCACCCACCACTATGGCTGTCAGTACCCGCTCCGAGTTCGTTGACTTCATCGTCCCGCTTCACGAACGCTTGAAGCTCTACGACCCTCGCTCTCCACCGTCGGACCAGGCGAAGAACAATGCCGCAGATCCCACCAAGCGCATTCCGCAGGGCTTCCTCGATGCCATGACCGTGCGCGAAGAGGTCTTCGTCCGCGAGCAGAAAGTGCCTCTGGAGAACGAGTTCGACGAAGACGACAGCCGCAGCTTTCACTGGGTCGCCTACGCTTCGATACCCACCAAAGCCGTTTCACCCGACATCAAAGCAACGAACGGCACCGCAGATCCGAACAGGCGGGTCAGCAACAGCACCAAGATCCCTATTGGCACGATCCGTCTTGTGCCGCCTCCACACCCACCTCACCCCACACCAGGATCCCACCACAAAGCCGATGCACTCGAAGGCGACTTACGTAAAGACAGCATCTCACCTCATGACGGGAAGGAAGCTTACATCAAACTCGGCCGCCTCGCCGTCATTCGCGAGTTCCGCCGCACCGGCATCTCCAAGCTTCTGATCGAAACAGCTCTGGCGTTTGCGCGCCAACATCCGTATGAGATCATGCCGCATTTTGATCCTGCGAAGATGGAGAGCCTGAAGCAGGAGTCAGATCGGGGGTTTGGGCTGGAGTGGAAGGGGCTCGTGTTAGTGCATGCGCAGGTGGGCGTGCAGAAGGTGTGGCGGAAGTATGGGTTCGAGACCGACGAGGCGATGGGAACATGGGATGAGGAGGGCATCGAGCATGTAGGAATGTGGAGGAGGCTGGATATCGAGGGAGGACGTAGGCGGAGTAGAGCGTTCCCGGTGCTTGCTAGTCCGTGAGCCGGGTAAGGCATCGTGCGTAAAGGGCGCTGTATGGAGTTGAGAGGTGATGGGCGCTATTTGCTTCGGGTATACCCAATCATTTGGATGTGCTACATATGTTGCCCAAGACCATACAGCGGGTCTGGGCTTGCGTCGCATAGATGGCCAGCCAATCCTTCAACACGGTTTTCGGGCATATCTCCGTTCGAACACAATGTCTTCGCCAATATACGTCAAGCGGAAGAGATTGGTTTGGTGAGGCAATAATCGCAGCGTCAGGTATGGGTGTGACTTGGGAATAATGGCACCGATCACAGTCCTCGGACTTTCGCCGAACTCCGCAAGCACTTCCACATGATCCGTGCGCAAGATTGGGTCAGCCGAACTCGCTTCCAGTCCTATCTGATCCACATCTATCATGCATTTTTGGTACAGCCAGCAATGGCAAGCAGAGTGACAAGCCAAGGCCTAAGACGGGTAGCGAGACAGGCCCAATGTTCGCCTTCAGAGGCAAGGCGAACCATAGCTTCGGTGGCGGCAACATCGTCCGCGTATCAGGAACCGGTCCCTCCAGTACATGATATCTATGCGCCTCCACCACCACCAGTCCCATCACCAGCGCAACCTCCGTCTCAGACCGCTCGTAAGCGGAGCATCCAGGAGGCCAAACCCTTCAGCGACTTCCTTACCGACACCTTCTCACGGCAACACGACTACCTTCGCATCTCCGTGACGGAGCGCTGCAATCTGCGATGCCTGTATTGTATGCCCGAGGAGGGGATCCAGTTGTCGCCGAGCAAGGAGCTCCTAACAAGTGCAGAGATCTTCTACCTGAGCCAGCTCTTTGTCAATCAGGGTGTAAGCAAGATCCGTCTAACTGGTGGCGAGCCGACGGTAAGGAAGGACATCGTGCCCTTGATGCAGCGGATAGGCAGCCTCAGGAGCGCTGGTCTGAAAGAGCTGGCGCTGACCACAAATGGCATTACACTGCATCGGAAACTGGACGCCATGGTCGAAGCTGGCCTGACCGGCGTCAACATCAGCTTGGACACTCTTGATCGCTTTCAGTTCCAGATCCTCACCCGAAGATCTGGGTTCGATGCGGTGATGAAGAGCATTCAGCGAGTACAGGAGCTGAACCGGCTGGGCGCAGGCATCAAATTGAAGATCAACTGCGTAGTCATGCGTGGCCTTAACGACCATCAGATCTTACCGTTTGTCGACATGACCCGAGAGCAAGACGTTGAAGTGCGCTTTATTGAGTACATGCCTTTCGACGGTAACAAGTGGTCGGAGAACAAGATGTTGCCGTATGCAGATATGCTCAACGTTATTCGCTCGAAGTACCCGGACATCTCGCGGTTAAAGGGAGCCAGGAACGATACGTCAAAGACGTGGCAAGTACCTGGCTTCACCGGCCGAGTCGGCTTCATCACCAGCATGACGCACAACTTCTGCGGCACATGCAACAGGTTGCGAATCACATCCGATGGAAACCTGAAGGTGTGTCTCCACGGTGATGACGAGGTCTCGTTGCGCGACCTTTTGCGTAGCGATAACGATGGCACGCCAATGGATGAAGAGGCCTTCGAAGCAGTCCGACAACTGGAACTGGATCGTCGGAAACATGGTGTCTTGCGCCAAGACGGCTGGATCAGCAAAGAGCTGCAGTTGCTGGAAGTGATTGGCTCGGCTGTGAAGCGTAAAAAGGAGAAGCACGCTGGCATAGGGGAGCTGGAGAATATGAAGAACAGGCCAATGATCTTGATCGGTGGGTAGGTTCTCGATTCACTTGGCATTTCGCCGTCTCTTTTAACACCTATTCCACAGTGTGGTAACCCTCATAGCGCCTTTCACTGCCCCAGTCGAGTCAGTCCGGTCTTATACGTCTCCCATCTGCCTTGAATACATGCCATCTACCTTTACAATCCATTTGACTGACCTCTAGGTAGGTGACCGAGGAGTATCTCCATTCTCAAGATGGTCTCGTGTCCCAACGCCGATATCATGGTCGAGGCAAGAGCTCATGCACCGTACCCCGACATACCTTCTACGTCATCCTGGTTTTGTGGGACAGTCACGGCTGTTTTCGAGCACTGCACATACACGTTCGCCATCTTCTGATGATGACGTGAACGGTAAGTCATCCGGTCTTGCCTCGGCTTTTGGCTTCCAGAGTTTGACCGGGCTATTCGCTCAGCCGCCCAGCGGCCGGTACAGTCGTCCGTCAAGAAAGGAGGGAGAGAAAGAGGCTCACCCGGCCGTGACGCAGAGTCCGGCTGAGACATCGCGGTCGCAGCAGCATTTCTTCCAGCCATCTTCTCAGGTACCGTCAGGGTCAATCGGCGCCGAAGCGTCGCCGTCCGTTGAAACGGAACAGGGAGCAAGCGATCCACCGATTCTGGCGCGGACCAGACGGCTTGGGCCAGGCAGCCGCCCAAGGTTTCACGCTACCCATCACGGGTTGAAGTGGTCAAGTTTTGCTCCTACCGAGCAGGGAAGGCTGGTACGGCCTCACAAGCTGCGGTCGTCGGTCTCTCCACCAAGAGGTGGCGTTCAGCGTCAGGTCCCTATGACGGCGCGAGGCACTGCTGAGGATCTATCGGAAATCGACAGACGCCATGTCGCGCAGCATACGCCCCGGCCCTGGGGCGTGAGCGAAGATGACGCGAAGACCATTGATAGGCTTGTGGATCCGCGATCATCCGTGAACCACGTTGAAGCCGCGGCGACTGAGCCTAGCAGTAATCCAGATATGTTTCAACCACTCCCGGCGCAGCCGACGAGCATTACCAGCAAAGCGGATAGCAACGGAATAATCACGCACAGACTTACCCATGTCACCTCAAGCGGCGAGGCGCACATGGTAGACGTTGGCGCGAAGGCTGCCACGAAGCGTATCGCCATCGCAGTCGGCTTTGTGTCGTTCAGTAACTCAGAGCCTCTACAACTGATCATGGAAAACAACAACAAGAAAGGTGACGTCCTCGCCGTCGCTCGGATTGCAGGCATCATGGCGGCGAAGCGGACCTCGGACCTGATCCCGCTCTGCCACCCCCTGGCTATCAGTAAAGTGGAGCTCGACGTGAAACTCCTCGCGCCGAATCTGAAGCTTTATACCTGGGCCCTGGGAATGGCGAAGACTAGTTATGAGCATGGCGCGGTCAGCGTCGAGGCCCGGGTGGAGTGCGTAGGCCCTACAGGCGTGGAGATGGAGGCTTTATGCGCAGCAACAGGCGCGTTACTGACCGTCTATGACATGTGCAAAGCGGTAGATAAGTCGATGGTGGTTAGTGGGTGCCATGTCACCTACAAAAGCGGCGGCAAGAGCGGTACGTGGGTGCGATATAACTGGGCGAGCCACAAGGGCCAAGCCTGGTTCGAGCAACAAGGCTTGGAGTGGGTGCCTCAGCAGGAAGGGAAGGGTGAGAAGGATGGGAAAGGTCAGAGCAATGAGAAAGAGACATGAGCTTGCCTGTGCTGGGTGGCCCACGATTTCTGCATCTCTTTAACTGCAGATGTACCATAGCGGCTCAGTAGCCACAAGACGTGTACCACATATCGAACTTCCTGACAATCTCCGGCAGCTCCTCTGGCTTGAGGTCACCCGACAAGGTGCGAGCTCCTTCCCAAAGGCCTCTGCTCCGACTGACAGCGGCAGCTTCGACATTCCGTAGGTCCGAAGTGCTTCCAGAGGCGATATGGACAGGTTGCGCTTACAGCGTTGACTCTACCGCAACAAGTGCTGTGCCAGAAAGGCGTCGAAGGCATTGATCACCAAATACGCCACGCTTTGTGGAAGTCGGACATTACCGTCAGACTATTGAGATTTGCACTAAATGCATGAGGGCGCTCCTGGCAGGCAGCGGGTGATGAACAGCGGAGTCGTTGTGTAGTCGCTATCTAGTCATCAGGCAACCTCAAGTGTCCTGCTCAGTCCAAGGCTTGCAGGCATCATGTATCGCTTTAAACCTCTCATCATAGGCAATAATCTGTTCATACTGTTCTAAGCACACTCGCTTGAGGCTCTCCAGCAGAGCAACAACGCAAAGGTCTGCGTAGCACGGAGTGCTACCGAGCACGAAGGGTCCCTCGTCCTTCTTATGCTCGGTCAGGAAGGATTGCAGCTTCTTTAGAGCCGCTTCGGCATTCTGCCACGCCTTTTCGCCTCCGAGATTTTCTCGCATCTGCTGCATGGTCATGCCGAAACGTCGTTCCCGGTCTTCTATGAACCAGGATTTGGAGGGCTCTTGGAGCCAGTCGTCGAGTAGGCCATCCACGACAGCCGGCACGATGGCAAAGAGAAGCTCTTGGGTGACGGACGCGGCTCCGAGGTGGAGTCCGTTCTCGAGATGGAATGTCGGTTTGGGATGGTCAGCCTCGAGCTTCTCGGCGATCTTCACCGAGTCCATCACGTATGTACCGTCTGGCAAACGGATCGTGGGTGAACTGTAGTCTGAGAAGGAACCTGCTGGGTTCGGCGAAACCCCTGCTGCTTTGAAGGTTGGCTCGAGTTCGGGATACTCGAGCCATATTGTGTTGTAGTCTACGCCCTTGAAGTTCAATGCCAGTCGACCTTATATACATGTCAATTTTCTGCGTGATCTCGGATCTGGTGACACATACCTTTCCATGGATTCGGGGCCCACGCAACGCCTTTACGACCTTTGAGATCGTAGAAGATTAGCTTATCCGACATGTTAGATGTGTCAGATGATTACGACGTTAGGCAGTTTGGAGGCTACTGGTACGACGGTAGGTCACGGCGGTCTACCGACGGCATCTTATAAGATGCTCTGTGGACATTGACTCACGACTCCTCGATGGTAAGCTTCCTGGCTAAACCATTGATCCTACCGTAGAGCTGCACTATGCTCCGGTTCGGCTGGTGACAAACAAGGTTGGGTGGATCCGCTGCAAGCGAGCGCCATTCGATCCACCGCAAGAGTACATGACGGAAGGCCTTAGGGCGCGTCGCAAATAGCACGGAGCGGTGAATGCAATATTGCGAGAGCCGCATCCGAGTCACACGGTGTCGCGAAAGCGGCTGGGCCTGGGCGTAGGCCTGAGGCATGACTGACTTGGACGACCTCCAGCTACATCGTGGGCACTTGCTGGGCAGATGCAGTGACCATAGCATTGACTGGGTCAGTACTTCATACCTCAAAGCCCACAATTACCAACATGAAGGGAACCTCAATAGCACTATATCCGTCCAAGTGCTTACGCAGAACGGAGCCAATCGCAGCCGAGGAAGAACAGATGCCCGTAGCTCAATCAGGCACCGATACAGTCGGCCAACGGCAGATTGTAGGACCATTACTTAGGAAAGCTAGAAAATCTGGTACGCAAAGGGCCTTCAGCCAGCAATCAGTGGATGTAAGATCTGAAGCATATTAACACATGCCATTAGGTAGCATACCCACACTTCTTGGTACGAGACTGATACCTCTGCGGTTCAGATGCTGCTGATGGCACACTGAACACTTCGCAGGTCTACCTGCCGAGATCCGCTTGAAGATTCTCGAGGAGACGGCGAGCCTCGACTACCCGGTCTACGTTCACTATGAACGTGGTCACAGAGGCGAACTGCATCGGGCGCTGCTTTCGGTCTGCCGAAAAGTTCGCGCGGAGTCGCTCGAGCCGTATTATTCGAAGAACGTATTCCGACTCTGTTCCATGTACGACATAGGCGCCTGGTTTGGTACGCTCGGTCAGACGTGCAGACATGTCCGGAGACTGGAGCTAGCGCCACGCGCATTGGAAGGCCAGGACTTCGACGTTTTCGACCGGGACCTGCGGCGATCATCGCACCAAGGCTTGGTTTCACTGTACCTATCAGAGGGCAAAATCGCCACATCTGCGATCTCAGGGAACGTGCGGAATCACTTGATCGAAGAGTCAACGCAAGCGCTTGAACCTACAGCGCGATACCTCCGAGGCATCGGGCATCCTGAGCTGACGGTGGCTGGCGCGGTGGCTCATTGCGAGCACTGTGCCGAAGGGAAGTGTAAACGCTGTAAACGTGTAGTTGGTTGCTGTAAGGCTACAGGATGAATGCAACTCGAGGGGTGCCACTCAAGCTTTCAGGCCCGTCTTTGAACAAATCCCATATTGGGCATTCGCGATGCTTTTTACAGCAATGGTTCGAAGCAGCATATACCTTGGTAAACAAAAGGTCCGTGTATTCATTCCGGAGTCGTTTGTTAAGACTGCAGGAGTGATCGAACGTAGCCAGTGGACTTCCAGGCTGGCAGTGATCCTCCTGTCCTACGGCGTTGGTGTCGTTGCTACCAATATTCTGCTGTAGTCTGCGAGTAGGCCCGCAACAACGTGCAAGCATCAAGATTTTCCCGCGCCAAGACTTCGACCCATTGAAGCTCTCTCCACGTGCCATCGTGGACCAATCGCATTCGCTTGCATGCCGACTTCCTTCTGCAGGAACATTCTGCGTGAACTCAAGATCGCTGCAGATTTGTGCAAGCGCAGCATGAGACGAACGGATCTGCTGCTAGTTACAGCACTGCGCAGGCATAGTGCTTCATGACGCTGCCTCTTCTGGCGTCAGTCCGCAGAAGCTCCGAGTAAGTCATATAGAGCTTGAGTAAGTCTGATTCCACGTCGTCTTCGTCTCCCGAATATACCAAAAATGTACACTTCCCTCGTTGTTGCCGCTGCGGCGGCCTTGCTGTCGTCCAGCGCTCAGGCGCAGACCATCAACGTTACCTCCACGCCAGCAACAGGGTTCATCAACTATACCACTGTGACCGGCTACTTCTTACAAGACAACCCGACCACGAACGCCAGTACCTTTGATTATGTGAGTTCCCTTGCGCGATGTGTTAGCTACAGACTGATCCATATCCAGACTGCCACCAACTTCGGCCTCATCAACCGAACCTACGACGCTACCTCAGGTGTCAACACTACCCTGACCCAATGGCAGAAGTTCGCGCTCCAGGTCGAATGGCTCAACAATAACGCTCCGCTCAACACTGTCTACAAGGTCATCTGGTTCGGCAGGCACGGCGAGGGATATCACAACGCTGCTGAGACCTTTTACGGCACACCTGCGTGGAACGTAGGTACTGCGAAGATCAAAACCTGGAGCATAAGCTGATGTGCCATTGAACCGTAGTGTTACTGGGCTGAACTCAACGGCAACGCAACCGCCAACTGGGTATGTAGAGTGACATGTAGAGCTTATCTGGGGATATAACTGACATTCTACCCATGAACACGTAGGCTGACGCCGACCTCACGCCAAACGGCATCAATCAAGCCCTCGTCGCCCACAACTTCTGGGCTCAGGAGATTGCCATCCAGAAGATCCCGTTCCCGCAGTCCTACTATACTTCTCCGTTAACACGCTGCCTTCGCACCGCAAACTTGACCTTCAGTGGCCTTAACCTGCCAGCCTACTACCCATTCGTTCCAACTGTCCGCGAGCTCTTCCGAGAGGGCATCTCTCTCCATACCTGCGACAGACGCAGCAACCGAACCTATATCCGCAACCGCTTTCCAACATACAACATTGATGCTAGGTATCTATTTCTGCTCAACATCCCACCAACATTTCGAGACAGTGCTGACATTGGTATCCGTTTAGTCTCACAGAATATGATCAGCTCTGGAATGGTGTCACCGCAGAGACGAGCGCGGCACAAGACGCCCGCAGCCGTATCGCGCTCGACTCAGTCTTTAGTGACGATGACCACACCTACATCTCAGTGACCAGTCATAGCGGCGAGATCGGTTCGATATTGAGAGTGCTGGGCCACCAGCCCTTTTCACTCAGCACGGGCGCCGTGATTCCGGTGCTCGTCCGCGCGCAGTTTGTGCCTACTGGCCTACCTTACAGCATGCCCGCCTACACAGTGTCGACGCACTGTGCAGCCCCGCCAGTCACCAGCATTGGCAGTCTGGCGCAGGGCTGTGTCTGCTCTGGCACTGCAGTGGGCGGTATCACTTCGCGCATCGGTAAGTTTGACCACAACGGTAAGTTGTGCACACACCTGCTTACACAGGGTGCAGATACCATCGCTTCGGACTACCCATCTGGCGCAGGCTTCCAGGCGAGTACTGCGCCCACCGCTACCACGTCCTCAAGCGGCAGTCGAGCGTCAAGTGGTGGCGCTTCCGCCAGTGCGTCGGCAGCTGCACCGTCCACCAGCACCAACCGGGCGTCGAGTGGTAGCCCTTCCCCCAGTGCGTCGGCAAGTATCAGCCTTTCGACGAGCACAGGCAGCCTAGCGAGCGTCAGTGGCTCTGTGAGTAGCAGCCGTGCTGCGACCACTAGCCCATCGACGACTACACCACCAACGAGCAGCGGCAGCTGTGCGACCATCTGCAGCCCGACGAACTTCCAGACATGGGGTCCTGGAGGCTGGGGTCCGGGATTCTGGGGTGAGCGGCCTGGAGGATGGTGAAAAGTCGACTGCGGTGGGTCGTATCCCCATCATGTATGTAGTGGCGAACGATAGACATGTGGCACCCTTGTGGTGAAGAATATGTACACAGTTTAGCTTACGAAAGACATGACAAGCGTGACGATTCCACCTTGATGTCTGGTCGACACAGTCATGCCGAAGTACCCTAACCATAGCCCCGCTGGGGTTTCGTGAGATCCGAAGAGGTCGGGTGTAATTTCAACCTTAGTTCGAAGCATCTGCGAACAACGAACACCGCATCACTGAGTAGACAGGGTGGTGGTGGAAAGGTACATGTAGATCGATGACAAGCGCCCCACTTCGAAGCCCAGATCCTCGGTCAGGCGCAGAAGCGCGTTGCTGGCGGAGAGAAGACCATCGCATCATCACTTTCTGCTGCCCGCCGCTCACTCTTCAGCGACTGGCTTAAGGCGCCGAATATGACGCCCCTCCATACTTCCGATAGCTGTGACTGAAAGTCTGCAAGTTATCTAGTCTGACTACCATCCCATACATCGACCCTCCACAATCTCGTACGTTGGAAGTATTTCAATCCTTGCAGATATGGACAGAATCCAGCAGGAGATTGCCAAGACCGATCCTTCAGTACCTTTCCGCGCCACCACCAAACATGTTCACTACACCTGGGCGAAGACCTTCTCAAGCCGACCGGAGCTGTACATCAGGCCCGAATCGCTGGAGGAGGTCCAGAAGATTGTCAATCTTGCGCGAAAGTGCAGAAGACGTATTGTTGTGGTTGGATGCGGCCACTCACCGAGCACTCTGACTTGTACATCATCATGGATGGTCAACCTGGACAAATGCAATCGCGTCTTGAAGGTGGACCGGCAAAAGAAGACGATGCTGGTTGAAGGTGGCATCCGGCTTAGACACTTGAACGATGAGGCGAACAAGATAGGCTTTACGATTCCGAACCTTGGAAGCATCGACGAGCAGAGCATTGTGGGCGCAATAGCGACTGCGACACACGGCAGTGCGCTGAAGCATGGCCTGTTGTCAGAGTCGGTGCGAAGCTTGCGGATTGTCTTGTCGAACGGTCATGCTGTGCGGTGTTCAGCTGAGCAGAATGAGGACCTCTTTCGCGCGGCACTCATCTCCCTAGGCGCGTTGGGCATCATTACAGAAGTTGAATACGAGATGGCAGACGCTTGCAACATCGAGTGGGCGCAGACACTCGAACCGCTCTCTCACATCCTTGGCACGTGGAACACCACGTTATGGTCGGCTAAGGAGTTCACGCGGGTATGGTGGATGCCTTACACGAAGCGTGCCGTTGTCTGGTCAGCCGAACGGACAAGCAGCCCGCCTCGCGCAGCGCAGAGCAACTTTTACGGCGAGAGTGTGGGCTTCCACACATATCATAATTTGTTATATCTTTCGAACTGGATACCACAATTACTGCCATGGATCGAATGGTTCATTTTCGGCATGCAGTACGGTTTTAGCACCGGCAAGTCCACGACTGCTGTGGAGCCGCTCAGGACAGGATTGCTCATGAACTGCCTGTTCTCTCAATTCGTGAATGAGTGGGCGCTTCCGCTGTCGAAAGGTCCGGAGGCTATCACGCGATTGTCAGCCTGGATCAACCGAGAGGGCGATCAAGGCAGGATTCCGTTCAGCAACAAGGGGCTGTACGTGCATTGTCCGATTGAGGTCCGAGTCTCGGATACGACGTTCAACCACACGCCACGACCATATCTTGACAACACGTGCGCGGATGGCCCGACGCTATACCTGAATGCTACGCTCTATCGAGCATATCTGCAAGACCCACCATGTAAGGACCGCTACTACGAAGCTTTTGAATGGCTCATGCGAGAAATGGGCGCAAAGCCACATTATGCCAAGAACTGGCAGTTCACCTCTTCCTCGTATATTCAACAAGCCTTCGGGGAGAACCTGCAGAAATGGCTTCAGATTCGCGACGAAGCGGACCCGGAAGGCATGTTCCTTGGAGAATGGCACCGAAGTGCTCTTGGTGCTGGCGAAGGCACGAAGTTTGCGCTTGCAGAGCAAGAAGTCAAGCGCGAGCCTACTAAACCAGGCAGCTGTATGCTGTGGCGTGGCGCGATATCAAGCCCAGACACAACAGATGCAGCATTCAGCGCGACAGGTGAGATCGAGGAAAAGGCTGCGGTCACTGCGACGACACACGCGCCACATAGTCCGACCGCGTCTAGCAGTGGCGAAAGCTTCGACATGATGCATGGCGCAGAGGCTGAGAAGAGTGTGCTTTTCAATGGTGATGATGAGGAGGATGACGAGGGAGAGCTGACGGATAGGGGCGACGCACGGCACCACGGTAATCCGAAGCATGGGTTCACAGGCACCCGCGTGTTTGACAAAATGTAATTGCTACGTCCGCGTTCAAACGTCCAACTCTCGATCAGCAATCGTTGTCCGTAAGAGGTTTTTGAAACCTGCAACTACGCGGAGCTTACTGTGGAATGCGCTAGCGATGTCAACAGCAAATAACGCGGAATGCTGTAGCGTACGACACCAACTGTTGAAACGTATGTCGACTATCAATGGCAGTAGGGCAGGCGGCAACGTGTGCTTAAACTCAGCTTCGCTTACTCGCAGCAATACATAGAAATCAGCGTCCGCCATGCTCGATCTGCCGTCTCCGCTCCTCCCGGCTTTCGCGATTCACGTCTCTGTCCCAGCGCTGAATGGACGACGAAACTGTACTTCTAGGCGGCCCCCTCCAAATACCATCCCACGGTCTCAGCTCGCCCGTCCACTGCCGCGAAATGCCCGACTGCGGCGGAAACGCTGTCTGCGGGTAAGCAGATTGCGGCGGGTATCCCGACTGCGGCTGGGGTGCGTAGTAGCCATTCGCCGGAGGTCCGTCTTCCTCTTGCCCTTGCCAGTCAATGCGGAAAGTGCTCTGAGACGGGTCCGGCGTCGGAGGTTGCTCCTTTTGGAGTAACAGCATTAGCATCTGCTGCCGCTGCATCTCCTCCTCCGTAATTTGGTTCGGATCATAGCCCGGAAGCGGTGGCTGCTCTCGCGAAAACGTCGGAAACATATTCCGGTTGTAGTTCTCGTAGAAGTTCGCGTCCTGCCACGGGCCTGAAACGCTGCTCTGCATGCTGTGCGGCCGCAGTGGAACGCTTGGACCTCTTGCCTTCACCACACCAATTCTCCGATGGGTGTACATGAGTAGCCCACCGTATACGATCGTGCTGATCGCGGCCGCGATGGTAAGCAATAGCGCCGGGACATTCCAGACATATCTCGAGCTGATCAGGAAGTCGTAAAAGATCGTAAGTAGCCCGATAGCGCACGATGTCAGCGCCGGTAAGAAGACCAGTTCAGCCTGATAGAGCGGGTTCCGCACAGCAAAGCATAAGAGCGCCGTAAAGGAAAAGCCTGCTGTCAACAAGGCTATGCCGAAAATGCCAAGCACGGAAACAGAAGTCCGTAGCTTTGGGTTGCTGTCAAACGTCACCGGCAGCATGAGGTACCCGCCCAGGATGATGAAAGACGAGCCAAGCGCAACCATGCGCCAATACCAGGGTGTCGCATCCCGTTCCTGCGCCAGATGATCGATCGTTCTGTAGTCTGGAGCGCGCCGCCGCATTGGCGCTCGCTTCCGCTTTATCGCATTCACCAGAGCCAGTCTCTTGATGCGCCGCGGCTCAGACGGTAGCCCAGCCTTTCTTCACCTCGGAAACAATGCGGCGCTGATGTTGTCGCTTCGCTGCACCTCCGATCGCAGAACGTCCAGTGGAATAGGTGTAAGTTGCGCCTAACAGACTCGTGTGCGCTGGTGTCGTTATGTTCGTGAGCACTCGTGGTCCAACAGTTGTTTGGAAGCGAGGTTGTACGTCCGGATTCGCACGAAATACGGAGGGAATCCGGTCGTTGGCGGTGCAATCGCGAGATAAGGTATATGGGAGGCCTGAAGGGTCGGAATGATGGTTGAAGTGGACGAGTCGATGATGTTGTCTTGTCAACGGACAGACGAGATGTTACAGTGAAGACAATACAGCAGCAATGGTACCGTCGCGTCAGCACTGCCTGCCCGCAGGCTCCGTACGTGGTGATCGACGCTGCCAGCTTGGCGTGCAACCGTTCTGCCGGCTGCGCTTGATTGGGCATGCGCTAATGAACTTCCACTCTTCGCCCCAAGCCACAGCACAACTGCGAATACAGCGGCTGACCTGATGTGACGTACAGCCCGCAAGTGGCTCTGCTGGGATGATGTACTTCCTTGAGAGCGGATATCCATTTGACAGTTGGACTTCCGTACTTCGCTATAAGCATTCGGCAGTGTTGACCAAGCCGAGTTTCACCAGGCCAAGAAGGTGGGGATAATGATCTCTCTATTTGGGGACACCATGTGACCTGCGCTCCGACGCCCAGCAGCGTACAGTTTCCTCCACCCCCGAACCTGTAAGTTTGACAGCTGCACGGTCAGCCCACGCTACATGTAAACGGTCACCAGCGTCACTGTACAGTTCAGTAGCAATACGGTCTTACTGGACGATCCGCTCAGGTGGAAAGCTTAGAGCGCATATGGCTTGGCAATGAGATCACTTGTTGACAACGTCTATTTCCCTTTGGTAGATGAACTCTGATGCAGGCAGTCTCCTTAAATCCGAAAGTACACGGCTACTGCAAACAATGATGTCGAAAGTACTATCTTCTGTAACAGGCATGAGCAACAGTACCGACGAACTTGTGAGGTGGGACGACAGCAATGTCGAACCAGATATTCCCAATGAGGACGAGCTGGTTCAGCAGCTCATTGAGATCGTCAATACCATGCAACAGAAGAACTTTGCCCGCCATCGACATGGCTTCCGTGGTACCCACGTCAAAGTCCAAGCGATCGTAAAAGGGTCAATGACTGTCGAGAAGAACCTGCCTCACCACTTGGCTCAGGGAATGTTCAGCAAAGGCGGCGAAACATATCCGTTAGCGATCCGCTACGCCAACGAGCCGAGCTTCTTACAGGACGATCGTGCACCAGGACCGAGAGGCTGTGGCATGAAAGTCTTCGGGGTGGACGGCACGTTCCTCAGCCCCGAAGGTGAGAATGCGAAGACCCAGGACTTCACTTTCAACAATGCACCATTGCTCGAGCTGACGGACTTGCCGACGTGCGTCGAGATATTCGATATCCGAAACCGGCATTTCGATGATAAGAACGGCCGTGAGTCGGAGATCGGCAAAAGGCAGGACAAGGACCTTCAGTTTGCTCCAGCCGGGTTACCAAACCAACACTTCATGTCGTATACAATGTATAGCCAGTCTGCGTACCGATACGGTGAGAATGTAGCCAAGTATGTCATGTTCCCAACCGGCCAGTTTCAGCAGGATCTCGCAGAAAGGGCGCAGATCACAGACAGCAGTGACCGGGAACAACACTCCATCTGGCTCCGACAGTACTTTCAGCAGCACGATGCTGAGTTCGACTTTCGTGTTCAACTCTGTCGTAAACTCGAAGAACAGAGTGTGGAAGACACGTCAAAGCCATGGAATGAGGAGAAGTATCCTTTCGAGACCGTTGCGAAGATCACGCTGCCAAAGGGGCAAGATGTATTCGAATCGAAGCGAAGGGCGTTTTGGGACGACCATATGAAGCTCAACGTCTGGTACGGACTCGAGGCTCACAAGCCCTTGGGCTCTGTCAACCGTCTGCGAAAGGAGCTGTACAAGGCAAGCGTCGTTAAGCGGGCGGAGCTGAATGCTGCGGACGTGAAGTACGTGAGCAGTGTAGATGATATTCCGTGAAGTCTAGATCAAAATAATCATTCCCTCTTCACTGTTCTCTTTAAGCCTGTATATGTAGTGCTCCAGGCCTTAGTCAGTGTCAGGGTCCACTGAACGCTCACATCACCCATTGCCACTTCCTCTTTGCTCTGCGCAGTGGTCATTAGTGTCAACCAAAGAGTCCACTGGCAAGTCACGAGGAACTTCGAGGACGCTGTTTAACATCTCACGGTGATTAGCACCGCGAGAAGGACCGCACCCGCATGGAGTGCATGACTTGAAGACTAAATTTGAAGGCGCAGGAAACGTGACCTGTACGTGGCGACATGGCTTCACTCTACACTTTCCTTAACCGCTTGCTGCCGTTTGCCACGCCCGGGACACCGATTCTGCAAGATGTCCTCCATTTAGCGATTATCTGCAGCGCTCTTTACTTTGCGCCGCAGATTCAAAGTCGTTTCCAAGAATGGCACCGTGGCCGTCAGGATGAAGACGCCAACACCCAAGGGCAACTTGGACATACCGAAACGCAGCTTGACCCCCGTGTCCAGGATGATGGCGAAGACCTACTCACTGACGGACGCGAAGATGAGGCCGCGGAGCCTGCTTTCAACGCAGACGGGCATGCAGACGACACTCAGGCTGAAGCGGTCGAACCCACCGACATGCTCGATGATCACCCGCGCCATGCTCCTCAAGTACAGATGCCTTCTCAACGGAACGTAGGCGCGAAGAAGGCGAAGGCTCTGGCCAAACGCGACCAACGACGGGCTTACAACGAATTCATGCGTTCTCAAGGTGATATCCAGCGTGCTCGTGATGCAGAGGGAGCACAAGAACGCGAAGCCGTACTCGCAGCAGAACGTCAACGTCGGCGAGCTACAGAAGCTGCACTTGAAGCCAGGAAGGCTCGGGAGCGCGGATTGAAACGTGAGCAGGAGACGAAGGCACGGGAAGCGGAGATTAAACGGCGAGAGTTGGCTGTGAGTACCGTGAAACGCCAGCTTGATGAGAAGCGCATGGTCAATCTCTTCGACGTTGCGAAGCTTGTGGGCGACGATGCCGACGATGAATGGGTCGAGCGCATCCTGAACGCGGCCGGTGTGCTTGGAAGGTCTGGCAGCATGATGACCATGGTGACGGCTACACGGTGGGTGGTTCGGGTGACCGAGAAAGACATGCACGCTGTATATGAGCGAGTGTTGGAGCAAGACATGAGCGACGCCGATGGGAAGATCAGTTTTGACACTGTGGCCACCGCCCTTCAGAATGCGCTGGTCGGGAGTTAGTTGATCCAGCTCAACAGCACATTGTTCACCAGCAATACGCACGCGCCCTGCGGAGAGTCTGAAGTAGCCGCAACAGCCTACCAGCAGCTCTCCATTCCTTTTCCAACACTGGGAATCCGGTGGTCTTTAGGAAAGCGGAGCTCCGCAGCCGCTTCGACCTCCAATGCATAAGATGTGGCAGCCCTCGATGGCAGTGGTGGCCACCGACCACTCCTGTCCCTCGACCATCTGCTCAGCCACTTCTGACCCGACGGTGCAGGGTGTCCGTGTGTCGACATTATCTGCCTGTGCAGCTTTAGAGCTATGTGGAAGCCTAATTGAGCTTTAGAGCGAGTAGGACCGCGATTGTTAGTGCCTCACCTTGAGTGTGCGTCGAACCAGTGCTGACAGATATGTAACGGTGCAGAAGCTGCTTCGTTGGCCACAAGAATGCACGAGGTAGTCGGCAAGCAGGCCATCGGATTAAGGAATGGACGTCTCGAAAAGTCTCCTTCGCGGCGCCAACAGGCATTTTGATCTCTCCTTTGGGCAACCGTCTCGACGAGGAGTGCCGAGAAATGATGCTCGGCTTTGACTGTAGCGCACAGAGTGCGAGATGAAAAGTGCTGGAGACAGGCAAGGGCAAGTTGCAGAGAAGGCACATCTCATGGATACGCATAGTATGGCCTGTGGCAACGATACGAACACCTCCTAGCGTGGAGAAATGTCTCCACAAGTCGATTGATAAGTTTACAGAAGTCTGCAAAGGGTATTTTCACTCGCTAAAGTGCACACTCCTCAGCGCCGTGCTTCCCAGAACAATCACCTTCGCTCAGCCATGCTCCAACACTCCAAGCATCGGATAATCACAATGCCTTCTCGGGTTGCTTCTGGTCTGCAAGACTCGCAGTAGCTCGGGTAGAAACGATCTTACGATTCGCTGACAGCGTCCGAAGGCCGCCGGCGCGACAATAGCGGACTGCGCTCGCTGGGGTGCTCGTTGGGCGCGACTGTTGATGCCGCAACCGATGGACGATCGCCACGTGCGCGTATGGCCCAGCCATCGAAACTAGCGGGTAGCGAGGCCTCGAGCACGGTCTGGAATGGCTTGCCATCTTCGCCAACTCGTCGGTCTCGTATGGCGAATACGGCAGCCATGATGATCAAGATGAGCTGCATGATTCCGACGAGGACGTAGACTATCCAGGCGCTCCATCCGGCAATACCGACGCGGACCATCATGGAGATGCAGAAGATCAAGGTGTACTGCATGTCAAAGTGAGCGACAGAGGTTTCAACTGACATGAAGAGAGCGAGTATGGCTTACTGGCGTGGTGAGCAAGAGGGAGAGCACACTCAAGCTACCCAGATGGCCGAGATGACTGCCATGGTCAGTAAACGCATACCTCACGCGACGGTAGTCGAGAACATACAAAGAGGTGACCACTTGAGGTATCCACTGAAGGCATGCAAAAACCGCCACAGCGATGCCGAGAACATTCGCCCAGGTCTGAGAGTACTGCGGGAAGCGGAGCCGGATGGTCCAGGATATCACCAAGATGAGGAGAGCGAAGCTGCAGGCGGTGATAAGTACATACCACGCTCGCGTCGCGCGGCGGTTGGTTCTCTCAGGTCCGGCAATGGAAGATCGACGACCGATCTTCTCAGCGACGGCTTCTTCTTTGGCGAAATAGACGTATAGTCCCAGCACGACCCAGAAGCAAGCAATGCCGATCGTAACCTGCATCATGCCGAGCAGCCCGCTCACGCAGGCGAACCCGGAGTTTACATTGCAACAGTCTAGCGCGATGGCCGAGGACGGCAGCATCATCTGTAGCGACGAGCATTTGGGTTAGCGGCACGTTCAACACCGTACTGTCTCGCATGCCACGTACGACATTGCCAATCGCGCAGACGCCCGAGATCGATCCCAGCAATATGTAGAGTGTTGACAGGCCTTCAGCAGATTTGCGGCTAATCTAAACCGTGAAGGAGTGTCGTTAGCAGATCCGACGCTGACATACTCGTGCGCTTGTAAGCGCTCTTACAATACGAGCCCATTGCGGTAGCGTACAGAGCACAACCCACGCCATTAGTAGGCATGATATGACAAATTGCACCTTGGAAGGCGCGGCGAGGTCCTTGCATTGGTTGGGATCGAACGGTGTCGGAAGCGGTAGGTCGGCCATCGTTATATTCGTGCTTCGTCCTCGATGCTGGTATTCGCTCGTCGCAAGCGTATATAGATGAGCTGCGAGATTAGAGTTCAAGAAAGCGCAAGCACGAGGTCGATATCAACAAATGAAGTTCCACCGTTGGGGAAGGCTTAGGGAGCAGCCGTCAGCCGTCACCCACACGTCAGTGTGCAGGAGCAAGCGACGCCTCCAGTCTAAAACGTGTAGAAGCATTTGGACTGTCGCAACAGCTGCAGACGCTGGAATCAGCAGATTCCCGAGCGTAAACGTTGATATGATCGAGAAGGCATCTCAGGCTACCAAAGTGTCTACGTGCCTTTGATATAAACGGGCCTGGCGGCAATGTGCATTTGCGTGACTTTCGATGCTCTTATAAGGTATTCGGCCTGGTCAACTTGCCTCCGCCGACCCGTAACCGGCATTAAACTGTTTGGTCCAAGGCAAGTCTCCAAAACGCAGCTTGAGGGATCATAGCTGGGGCACGACGCATGCCCGTCAAGGCTATGAGGGAGTTCTCGCTGCGGTCAACGTCAGTAACATTGCCGCCAGTGAGCGACAGGTGTTGTTCAGATCTCTTTAAAGTTGCCAGGCTAGTGATGCCGATAATGCTTTAAGCATGCTGGACTGGCCTACCAGGTGTCCATGTAGCGGCGACAGGGTAGCGAGAAGCCCTGCAACACGGGCGGCCGCGCCAACAGACGGCCCGAAGGCCCGTGCTTCAGCATCGCGGCTCACTTCACTTAGAGACACACAACTTCATCTTGGCTTCGCAGCACCACAGACACATCGCGTTGGCGACACACGCACATCCTACCGCCAGTATGGCGTCAAAACGCGCTCACGCTGCTATGAGCACACCGGCACCCGATGAAGAGCCTGTGGATCCGTCAGATGAGCTTACCTTCGTCGCGCTTGGCGGAGGCAGCGAGGTTGGCCGCTCATGCCACATTATACAGTACAAGGGCAAGACGGTGATGCTGGATGCCGGTATACATCCCGCATACGATGGCCTGGCAGCTTTGCCGTTCTATGATGAGTTCGATCTGAGCACAGTTGATGTGCTGTTGATAACACAGTAAGTGCTCCCCTACAGGGTACGGCGATTGACAGCTGGGCGGTGCGGGTGCGGTCATGCAGGCTATACGACATGTTTCCCTCCCGGTCAAGTGTGGCACTGGTGCGTCTGTTGGCAAGCTTGTGCGGACATGCTCATGGCGAACAGGTCCATAGCCTACATAGTCAGTGTATATCATCTTCCACCAGCGCTCCATTCACTTCTCATTCCTTCAATAGAGCAGATCGTGACCGCATCCGGCCAGCCCACGAAGACCGTGCCATACACATTGACATGGACGAGACAGCTAACCGCGCTCAATGTGCAGCTTCCACATGGACCATGTCGCCTCGCTACCCTACGTTCTCGCCAAGACGCCTTTTGCAGGTCGTGTATACATGACGCACCCAACTAAAGCCATCTACAAGCATCTCATGACAGACTCCGTCCGCGTACAGAACACTCACACCTCCGCCACATCCGGCACAGACGGCTATGTAGCGCAGCTGTTCAACGAGCAAGACATCCTCACAACCATGCCACAGATCCAAACCATCTCCTTCAATACAACCCACATCCACAATGGCATCAAGTTCACACCCTACCCGGCCGGCCACGTCCTCGGCGCATGCATGTATCTCATCGAGATCGCTGGGCTCAATATCCTCTTCACGGGCGACTACTCCCGCGAAGACAACCGTCACTTAATGCCCGCATCCATTCCGCGCCACGTCAATGTGGACTGTCTCATCACGGAATCGACCTTCGGCATCAGCACGCACGTTCCACGCGCCGAACGCGAGACAGCACTAATGCGTTCCATAACCGGCATCCTCAACCGCGGCGGCCGCGCTCTACTTCCCACGTTCGCTCTCGGTGGCGCACAAGAACTACTGCTGATCTTGGAAGACTACTGGGCACGGCACCCGGAGTATCAGCGCTTCCCAATCTACTTCGCCAGCAGCTTAGCGCGAAAATGCATGGTCGTGTACCAGACCTACATTGACGCCATGAACGAGAACATCCGCACCAAATTTCAAGCTGCACAAGCGAATCCGGATGGAGTGGGCGGACCGTGGGACTTCCAGCACATCCGCAGCTTGAAGTCTCTCGAGCGCTTCGACGACGTTGGGGGGTGTGTAATGCTAGCTTCGCCTGGTATGTTACAGAATGGAGTCAGTCGCAGCCTGCTTGAGCGCTGGGCACCGGATGCCAAGAACGGCGTGATTATCACTGGCTACTCTGTCGAAGGCACCATGGCGAAATCGATTATGCTTGAGCCCGACAGCATACCGGCGGTCATGACGAATCGTCAACCTCAGACTGTGATTCTGGGCAAGCGGACGGGCGCGGACGAGAACGTGATGATACCGCGCCGGTGTACAGTTCAGGAGTTCTCGTTCGCGGCGCACGTTGATGGGCAGGAAAACCGGACGTTCATTGAGGAGGTCAATGCACCTGTCGTAATCCTGGTCCATGGGGAGAAACACAATATGAACCGGCTGAAGAGTAGATTGCTGAGTCTGCAGAAGATGAAGGTCTACTCGCCCGCCAATTGCGAAGAGCTACATATCCCCTTTCGGCAGGATAAGTACGCGCGTGTGGTGGGGAGGCTGGCGAATGAGATCAGCCCGCCCACTGCTGCACAACAGCCTAGTCCGCCAGCAAGCGACGAGGAAGGCAACGAGAGCGAGCCGAAGAAGAGGAAGGATGAGGGTCAGCTGGTCAGCGGTGTGTTGGTACAGAATGACTTTAAGCTCTCGCTCATGGCGCCTGAAGACCTGAAGGAGTACGCGGGTTTGACAACGACTACCATCCTATGTCGGCAGAAGATCACATTGGCCGCTGCTGGTGTTGACCTTATCAAATGGGCGTTGGAAAGCACTTTTGGTGCGGTGGAGATGGTTGCGAACGGAGGCAAGACGGAGGTGAATGGCGCGAGCGCAAACGGGGAGACGGGAGTCGCGGACGAACAAGGACGGACGACGGTGATGGATGTCATGGGCGGCGCTGTCCGTCTGATTCAGCAAGCGCCAAGCGGAGAGATCGAGCTAGAATGGGAGGGCAACGTGACGAACGACAGCATCGCGGACGCTGTCATGGCCGTTCTGCTCTCTGTCGAGTCGTCACCTGCGGCCATCAGGCAGAGCAGCAAACCACACAGCCACACCCATGAACAGCGAGAGGCGCAGTACGATGCTTTCGGCGACAGCCCGGTCGACAACAAGAACAATGGCGACGCACAGCTCGCAGGTAAGGGCAGAAACCCACTTGCGAATGTCGGTCCGGAGGAGAGACTAAGTCGGGTGTTTATGTTCCTCGAGGCGCAGTTTGGCGAGGATGCCATATCGCCTATTGCGCGACCGAAGGCGCCAGAGCAGAATGGGGCAGAGGACGATGGTGGAGACGAAGTGGGTAGGGAGAAGGCTGAAGCGGCGGAGATGGCTCGACTACATGCTCTAGGCATACCGGTGCCTGGGGTGGAGATCAAGGTCGACAAGCATGTGGCGAAGGTATGGTTGGAGAATCTAAAAGTCGAATGTGCGAACAAGACGCTTGGAGATAGAGTGAGGGCCGTGGTTGAGAGGGCGGTGGAGACTGTTGCGCCGCTTTGGCAGTAGTAAGCAGACTTGATCGCGCTGTCGACCTTAGTGCCGATAATATTATCGAAAAGCCGTCTGTTACAACTACGCAGAGGTGCGTATTGAGGACTGGTTAATGGGGTAGTGACGCGGCAGGATCTTGCCCGTTGATGCTTACAAAGCCGTCTTGATGTTCGACCGTTGGGGTCGCCATGGAGAGTGCCATCGGAGCGAAATGCCAATGTTTGAGCAACAGTACCGATATGGCATTATCTAGAGCTTATGGGTGTTTAGTTGAGACAGTGTGCATGTTGCTGATATGGGCGGTGAGATGGAAGCTTTACGTCCGGTTGGATTTCGAGCGGAGACCACCGGGGCACCTGCGTGATTGACCTGCCTAACAGTACTTTACTTTGTGGGGCGGCGAGCAATGATCGAATGTGAGGTGATCTTCGAAATCATGCATCCATGTCCCTCTCCTCTCACCCCCCCAAGCTCCTTGCCTACAGTCCGTCTTCGACAACCCATACAGTAGTAGCAGCAGAGACGGGCGATATATTGGCAATGCAGCGACATATCATCGACTCTGTTATGTGTACGGGTGTTTCGACTCGGACCGCTTAGGCAATTCCCTGCTGCGGTCTGAAACAGCCTGTTCCATCATTCCGGCACGTTCTCGTTAACCCGCACCCAAACTGCCACGAGTCAGCGTCTCCCAGACACTCACGACACCATTCAGGCCATATATATCTGCACACGGCTAGCAGGAGGGGTACTTTGGTGGCATATTGAGGCGTGAACACTCGGCGCTTCCCCATTCTGACTCGGCAGCGTCTGCCCGCGAATCAAGCGCACGACGACATCATTCTCGCGTGAAGAGCTTGATAACACCGCCGTCCACCATTGTCCAGCATAGGATCTGCCCGGGACACTTCACCCAATGTGGAGGAGGTGAAGAACGGAAGCATGTCCACACCAGTGCTCACTCAAGCACTCGCACCACATTCCTACCTGGACCATCACCACCACAGCCGATACCTCCCATCACCGCACGAGCGTCACCTGCCTCTGCCACGGCCCAGCAGTAACGCCAGCTTTCACGGCAGCATTCCCACTCGACCACCGAGCAACGTGCAGAGCCAAGCATATCTCCCACCGGCACCTGCACCAGCACAACCACACGCATACAGCGGCTTGAGTAACGGCTATACACACGGTCACCACAGTTCCAGCCAGTCACGAGGCGGTGCTGAGTACACATACGCCCACGGTCTCACTCAGCAGAGGTCAAGCGACGACTTGAGACGGACGGCCAGTCGAGCGAGTCAGAACCAGAGGCCTCCTCCAGCGGCCCCAGTGCAAGTGCCACGTGCGCCTGCAGTGACAGCAGGATCAACACACATGCCAGCCAATAGTCAGTCCGCTGCGGATGCAAGACACTCCAGCGTGGAAGCAAAGAAGAGGCGGAGGGATAATGATGTCGATTGGAATGCCTATTATGGCGGCAAGCCACCCGCCGAGGTGATCTGGATACATGACGACGACAGCCCGGTACCAGAAGAGCCACACAGGCCGGTACCAGTGACGAATGGCTCTGGATCGTCACAGCACGTGGAGAAGAAGAGGCGGGTTAATGGTGCTACGGGAGACCTGCCGTCGTACAGCACCACGAACACGCCTTACTCGCTCTCAAATGGTGCCTCGACCGACAGCTATCAGGGCGGCACTACCGCACCGACATCTCTTGGATCCAACGCAAGCTCGAGCAGCAAGTTAGAAGGTCCTCTGCCGGGCCAGAAGCGCAAGCGGACCACTCGGACGTCAGATGCAGATCGGAAGAAGCTCGAGAGTGACCAATCCGGACCGAAAGGGTATCTGGCGGAGTACGGCGAATACATACCGCCGCCCAAACTGCCGAAGAAACAGAAGGATGTGCATGTGCCGGTGTTGGCTGATGTACGTTTTCGTAACCCCCAACATCTATGACGCGCGAGCTGACGTTGTAATGTCCAAGCAGCGGCATAAGAGCAGTGAAAAGATCGATGATGATGACGGCCACTACATTATCCACGAGAACAGCAGGTTAGGCGACAAGTACAACCTGGTCAGCCTGCTAGGACAGGGTACCTTTGGTAAGGTCGTTAAAGCTATCGATATACGGTCACGCAATGAAGTTGCTGTCAAGATCATCAGGGCGGTGCCAAAGGTACGTCTTCTCTACACAATCTCTTCAGGAAGAGCATGCTGACGGCTGACTAGTACCGCGACGCTTCCCGCATCGAGCTGCGAGTGCTCCAAACCATCCGCTCCGCCGACGAGGCCAACCGTAACCGCTGCATTCAACTGCGCGACTGCTTCGACTGGCGAGGACATATCTGCATCGTCACGCCCTTACTCGGCCTCTCCGTCTTCGACTTTCTCAAACAAGGCGGCTTCGTGCCATTCCCAGGCTCACACATCCAAGCCTTCGCTCGCCAATTACTAGGCAGTATCGCCTTCCTCCACGATCTCAACCTCATCCACACGGATCTCAAACCGGAGAACATTCTGCTACTGAGTCACGCGTATCAGACGTTTACGTACAACAGGAATATACCGAGCAGCAGTACGCTGACGGCGCGGAGTGCCAAGTTCCGGCGGGTGTTGCTGAGTCCGCAGATCAATTTGATCGACTTTGGAAGTGCGACGTTCGATGATGAGTACCACTCTAGCGTGGTGAGTACGAGGCATTATCGGGCGCCGGAGATTATATTGGGAATTGGTGAGTCGGATCGCCTACTTTCACGTAAAGAAGATTGTCGTGGCTGACATGATACATACAGGCTGGTCGCATCCCATCGACTTATGGTCACTTGGCTGCATTCTCGTAGAGTGCTGGACAGGCGATGCCCTCTTCCAAACCCACGACTGCTGCGAACATCTCGCCATGATGGAGGCCGTGCTCAACACCAAAATCGACAAACATCTCATCCGCGAAGTCACGCGAACCTCGAAACGCAACGACAAGAACAGCGCCGCTCGCTTCTTCAAGGGCGGCGAACTCGCCTACCCTCTCCCGGACACCCCCCGACAATCCCGCAAATTCGTCCGCAGCATGAAGCGGCTCGAAGACACCATCCCGCCCACCACGAACTTCAACCGCCAATTCTTGGATCTACTGCGGAAGATTTTCGTGTACGACCCGAAGAAGCGGATTACGGCGCGGCAGGCGCTCGAGCATCCGTGGTTTGGCGAGTTGGTGGAGGATGATGGGACGGAGGCGGGGAGGATCCGCGAGGAGAAGGAGAGGTTGCGGCGTGAGCGGGATGAGGCGGAGAAGGCGGCGTGGTGGGCGGATCAGGAGAGGTTGAAGCGGAAGGAGGAGGCGAGGAGGGCGAGGGAGGGGGAGGAGGTGCAGGCGAGGGCGGGGGCGGCGAGGTAGGAGGGGTTGTGGAAGGGGTTTCAATGAAGTGTTAGGTGATGATGATGCGAGACATGAGCGATGCTCGACGAAGCGGTGCATTCATGGGCTGTTCTACTGGGTGGCGCATTGGCACTGGAGGCTGAGCATGATGCAAGGTTTCCGATCCCTCTTGCATAGCGCTGGGGGGTTACAATTGTAGCGAGAGTACCAAGCGTGTGCATTGTCGTGCTGCCTATCCTCCTCAGATGTTGATGGTGTCTTGGCATTGATTGACCCCACATTGAGGGGACACATCCAGATTGATTGAAGGTTTAAGACGGCCAAAGTTGTTCAGAACATTGTACGCATCTTGCACAATCCAGCATGGCGAACGCACGCATTGAGGAGGTCGATGACGATGAGGTTGAGGTCGACGACCCGGATGAGATGGACCTGGACGCTTTCGACTTTGCTCGACCGCAGAAGGGCAACTTGGCGCCGGCGATGGACCCAGCAGGCTCGCAAATGACCGCGGAAGACCTCCAAGCGCTGCTGCAGCCCCAGAGTCAAGGTCAGGGCCAGCAGATGGGAACGCCAACGCAGCAACAACGCTTGCAGCGCGAACGCGAGATGCATGAGAAGAGCAAGAACTTCCAATGTCTATACCCGGTCTACTTCGACAGCGCACGCTCGCGCGAGGAAGGCAGACGGGTCCGGAAGGACGACGCTGTATCCAACCCACTGGCTCGAGAGATTGCCGATGCGTGTAGTCACGTGGGACAGACGCTGGGAGTGCCGCTGCAGATCGTCTTCGAGCCGCACAAGGGACATCCCAAGGACTGGGCGAATCCCGGCCGCGTGAGGGTGGAAGTGAAGCGGGACGGACGAAGCCTCAACAGCAAGATCGCCAACAAACACCATCTCTACAAACTCGTCGCTGGCTATCTCAAGGACCACCCGACAACGGAAGACTCCGCCCGCCGCTTCCGGCTGCAAGGCATGCCGCCGAATATGAATCAGGTCACTCCGCCGGCTATCCCGCGTGGGTTCAAGATGGGCACGATCCTGCCGCTTCACTCGCCCGCGCTGAGCGGAGGAGGCGTGAATGAGAATTTCATGAAGGATATGATGAGTGAGATGGGCGGGCAGTTGCCGCCGGGTATGGAGGCTATGGCGAATATGATGGGTGGAGGCGGTGGTGGTGGTGGTGGGGCCGGAGGGGCGGGCCAGCAGCAGAAGAAGGTTAAGGTTATTAGGAAGAAATGAGCATGAAGAGTCTCGTACGGCTCTTGTTCGGTGCGACTGCGTCTGACAGCGATACGGCTCCATTATGAATGCCCAGAGAGCGGCTTCTCTCGCTCGATCTCGCTCATCAACTCTGCGGCATCCTTCGCAGCCAACTTCGCCTGGTCGGACAGCGTCTCTCGCTCGGAGAGGACTCGAAAGCGCGCCTTCCAGAATCGCCACCGAGACGGCGTATAGTCCCTGGTATCCTGCCCGCGAGACTTAACAGACCAAGGCAAATCGGAGGGCAAGGTCGCAGCATCCACCGTTACTGGCGGCTCACCATCATCATCCCGCACAACCTTCTCCCACATCAGCCGGCCTGCAATACTCACCCATACCGCCGCCTCACGGATCGAAACCCCCAGCTTCTCCGACTTCGAAGCGTGATTGCTCCCTCCAGGCTCCTCCTCAAGCGCCTCCCGCAACGCCCAAATACCGTAGTTCGAAAAGTCGAACACCTCGGCCACACTCAGCCGTGCGGCAAAGGCGTTAACATTAAGCCAACTTTCGACCTCTGCAACGGAGAAGCCGCCGCTTTCCCTTGGCGCGTCGTTCCAATGCTCGCGAGCGCTGGGCCCCAGCATACTGAGCTCACTCCACAACCTCCCACTCTTCCAGATCCAGTTATTTCGAAGCGCCTTCGTCGCTTTCGCCGGTAACGGCGGGTCCGGACGAGCCTTGAACGCCTTACAAAGATCAACAAGCCGATTCTGTCCGGCTTCATCACGCCAGGACGTCCTTCTCCCAGCGAGCAAGACGCCGCCCCAGAGTTCCCAGAGCTCGCCTTCCGCCGACAGCCGATCCTCTCTCTTGCCTTCGGGTTGGGGCACACCATCGCCGAGTGGACCCCAGATCCTGTCCCACTCCTCGGCGCTCCAGGCTTCTCTCTGCTGCCGTGCGATTTGCTGCATCTCCCATAGTCTCCAGCCGAAGTCTGCGCTCGTGTAGGCTTGGTCGACCGGGTCGGCAAGGGTCTGCACGACGTCATGTGCAGACAGCTCGCCGAGCATGTATGACCATATGGTTGTGGCTGCGGGGTCGTCCGTGGAGTACATTTCTGCCGTTGCTGCGATGACTCCGTTGCGTAATGTAGTAGCATCTTCGGGGGCCTCGGCATGAGATTGTTGGGCGACGGCGTCGTGGTCGACCATTGTGATTAGCGGAATGTGTCCTAACTACTATGGAGCTTGTTGTCGCAGAGTACAAGAGGCTTTGTGGATGCACAATATGCGGACGAGCAGAGCAGAGTGGTGAAAAATGAACCGTGATCAGGATCAAGTCTAGATTGAGTAAAGATATAGTATCAGATCAAATACGGCAGTGACCTCTAGACTTCCTATATGCGATTGTTTCCTAAACTGACTCATGCAGCAAGATACTATTCTTGGCTCGTACACTGCTGGTAGCCCTCCGGCTTGCATGACATTCGTCGTGGCTGTGGTGTGGAGAAGACCGGGCCAGACGTCACCGAACAGATTGGCCGCGGCGTTACTGTACGAGCCAATGTTGTCCACATCGCGCACTCATATCGCGCACTCACAACACTCAGCTGTGCTGATATCGTTAGGAAAGACGCTGCAGTAAAGGTATTTCGACACATGGTGTAAATGATGAGGTCTTTCTGATTACTCTAGAACTCAGCTAGCCAATCTACTTCATGCGCCTTCAGCGTTGTCTCTTTCACTCCCTTCCCCTTCACTTCTCTCCCTCTTCCTTCCACCCCCTAATCCTAACCTCCCCTTCGCTCTCCACTCGACCGCTCACCTCCTACCCCCAGCAGCCGCCTTACTAATCTCCCCCCAAGCCGCCTCAAACCCCCTCTTCACCTCGCGATAACTCACCACAAAAACATTCTGCTCATCCCGACTAACCAACTGCACCCGCTCCTCCACCCCGACATCCAGTTTATTCAGACACGTGACGATATGGCCCAGATCCAGCACGGGGCGGCCTTCGTGGTCGATTTGGTGGAAGACGTAGTCGCGGAAGAGCTTGAGGTAGTAGCGCTCGCCTGTTTCGGACCAGGCGTTGCTGTTATTGCTGCTGGTGGTGCTGGTGTTGGTGGGGCCGGTGGTAGGGCCGGTGGTGGTGGTTTCGGGTCGTTCAAGGATGACATTTAGTTTGGTTAGGAGGCGAACGAGACGCCCGTTCTCGAGCTCGCGCATGAGGTTGTTGGTTAGCTCGTCTTCGTAGTGGAGCGTGCTGTCTAGGGTGGCGACGACTTTATCTGCGATGTTGGTCAGGAGGCTGTTGATGTTGTGTTCGCTTGCGGAGGGTGCCTGGTCGCTGGGTGGTGTTGTCGTTGGCGAAAGCGGACTGTGTGATGCGGATTGGGATGGTGGAGTGAGCAGCCAGGCGAGACAGAGCCGGAAGCGTTCGCTGTATGTTCGGCTGATGAATTGTAGGCTTTTGTCGACACTTTGGTGAGCGGTGGGGTTGCGTGCGGCGACGCCTAGGATTAAGCGACCCAGGTCTTCGAGGTCGACGCGTTGGAGTTCGGTGACGGGCCGGCGTTGTTCGTATTGAAGGATATCGAGCACGCCGCATCCACTCAAACGGAGCCGGTTCTTGGACGTTAGCAGAACTTTTGAGGCCATGACGGTCTGCGCCGCCAGGCCGGCTTCATGTATAGTCTTGAGCGCGCTCGCGAGCTGGACTATATAGCTCCACAGCTCGCTCTCAGGTACAAACTGCGCGCTTGTCCTGTTGGGCCGGGAGGAGGTGAAGTGTTTGTCGGCCAGCGTCTGCGCCAGGGGATGATAGTCGGTCACGACGATCAGCGAGCTATCGCCGAACCATCGGCCGGTGAAGGCGTCGTGAACTTGCACGATGCTGGCACTGTTAACTCGCTTCCAGGCGTGGAAGCTACGGATGGCTTGCTCGTTCGTAAGTCGAAAGCCTTCGATCCGGCGCAGTGCGTACGTGTGTCCGTCTTTGCTGGAAGTGGCCTTGTATATCCAGCTAGGGTATCCGTAGGTGGAAGTGCCTCGTTGGCTGGTAGTGTCTAGCGCAACGAGAGAATGGAAGTACTCCACACTCTGCGGAAGCGTGCTGTTCGCGAAGGTCTGCAGTGCGGCTTCGGACTTCTTCTGCAAGTCTTCGCGCAGATTGTCGGGGATGAAGAAGTCGGCTGACGCTCTCTGATACGGCTGCATATTCTCGCGGCGCGGACCTACTGAGGCGTACAGATGGTAGTTTAGAGGGTGCTTGTAGCTATTGTTATCTGGGTAGAATGGCTGTCCAGCAACCGTTTGCGCAGTAGTCGCATACGGATTGATCGTTTGCTGCGAGCCGTCAAGGCTCGGTATGGCTTGGTGAAGGCTTTGCTGCGGCATGAAAGGGTCATTGTATGGATTGATTTGCGGTTGGATCTGCGGTGAATGTTCTATCTGCGCGATGTGAGTATGCTGTCTTGCAGATAACTGATGCGAACGGTCATCGTGCATACCTGGGATGGTGACATGAAGCTCTGGCCTGGCACAAACTCTGCGAACTGTTGAGCGGGTTGGAATGAATGCGGTGTGATAAACTCGTCGGACGGTGCTTTCATGTGGGATGGCGTGAGTGTGCCTAGATCCAATAAGCACAATCTACCTACACCCGACCGGAGTCGACTTTACCGGAACCACTTGGCGTGAAAGCGGCTGCAGTTGCAAATTTCGGCGATATGCCGAAACTTTTGACAGGCTGCGCAGCGGATATCTTCGGCGTGAAGTTTGGCGTGAAAGCTGGCGACTCGACATTGAGGCTCTTCTTCGGGCTGTACTGCTCAGCTCAGACACGCAAACGCCGGAAAGGGTGGCACTAACAGGCTGGAGCCGTTAGGCTGCATGGATGCAAAGTCATGGTTAAAGTGGCAAGTACCTAAAACAATCTGAGCGGCTGTACAGAGGCAGTTCACGGAAACATTGAGGTTCGAACCTTCTTGGTACTTTCGACACTGGGGTCCATTGCGGCAAAGCTGAGTATTCATAGGCCTAGTATTTTCGAGCCGGTGATTGTAGCCAGACGAAGGAGCTCGCCTCGCATCTCCAGACATGCGTTGAAAGCTGGTGGCCATATCATTACTGCTCGCTGTTGGCTTCAAAGCTTTCGTCTGCGGCCCCGCCGGTCGTTCTCGTCTGAGCTTTACCGCAGCGGAATGGCAAGCAGAGGTCGTTCCGTTGGCAATTTCTTGGTCTAGCCGATAATGTTCTAGCGTTAGGTAGCCTAATACTCGAAGTCGTTTCTCCGATAGTCTTTGAGGAGGGAGTGGAATGCGAGTGGTTGACCGTCGGTTCGCTCTTTGCAGCCGGACAGTGGTTTGCGCCACGACTCGTAAACGAGAGCCTGCGTAGCTTTGTCGACCGCTCCAAAGATGCCAAGTAGAGATTGGGAATGAAGAATTAGTCCTCGCGTAGCAGCCTGGTGCCGGTGTAAGAGGGTGTACGTGGATTTGAAGGCAGGCCGGTGGGTCGTCGAATGCAGTAGGAGACCACTCCTCCAGAGCGAGGCGCCGAATAGCCGATGTAGCGCTGTCACTACACTGATGGTACTTGGACGTAGGCAGCACCTCGCTACTCGGACCGTAGTATGGTGGAAAAGGCCGGACACTTAAGGAGTCCCTTCCGACTGGGAAAGAGAGGCCCTGCAACCGTAGAACTTAGCTTCAGGAAACCACGAGCAAACGTCCGCAGTGAGCAAAAGTTCGATCAGCCGTACTGGTTTGTGGTCGTCAAACTCCGCACAGCAAAACGAACATCCAAAGGGTCCGGCTCTACGGGCTTTGAAGCAAAGAAGAGTCAGCGACATTAGGGACGTCTTCAACCCCCGTCATCTCAGCTTCTACTGTAAGAGTATATCGTATCCTGGTAATGTAGTCGCCATAGGTGTGCTACTAGTTGTAGTCCGTGGGGCCTGCTCACACACGTACGAGTGTCCCAGCAGCAGTTCCGTTCCCCAAGCCAGCCCTAGCGCAACGTGTGTGTATCCCGCCGGTTGAGTTCCAGTAGGGACCACACATTCAAAAATGCGTACTCAGTCAGACTATGGGAGATGAAGTGGTATACTCACAGTAAGATGGGTGCAAGAGCAGGTGCCCAGCACTCCGCTGTCCCCGTTATGAATGTGGAAGGTCAACCTCGTCGCTTCCCGTTGATTGTGGCCAAGCAGCCATGGTCAGGAAGTCCCCCAATGCCCTACTCTATCCCTCGACGTCGCCGCGCTGAAAGTGATGTTCAGGTTGACCCGAGCGAGAGTATTCACAAACTAATAGACGTGAGGCGGATGGCGATGTCGCAGCCAGTCGGTTGCCGAGCCGAGAGCGTGGGGTCGGTCGTAGGGCTTAGTAAGCTCGAGGCGGCTCGCCTCTATCCGCGTCACGAGTTCGCAGTAGGAGGAACAGTTGATCGAAGTAATCAATATTCAACTTAGATGCAGTCCATGCTGCTCGTCTAGGATACATACCTATGTCATCCTCCACTCCTCACACTGTCATTACCCACCAACCAACATGGCGATTGACATCACGGCCCTAAGCGACGAGCAACAACTCGCTCTCCAACAGTTCACCTCCGTCACCGACCAAGAGCTAGATGCCGCCGTACCACTGCTCCAAAAATGCCAGTGGAATGCCCAGATAGCCATCACACGCTTCTTCGACGGCGATGCCGACACCATCGATCCTACCACTGAAGCAGCAGCAGCAGCACAACAACCACCTCCACCATCACAATCCGCGCGCCGCACGGAAACACTCATGGACAGCATCGCCTCCCCGCGCTCCTCCACCTCACGCTCACGGCGGAATAACAACGGCGGCGGCGGTGACGGCGGACTAGAACCGGCCCCCCGCGTCGTCCCAACCCCCGAATCCCAACTCACCCAACCCGTCCCCTTCCCCTTCTCCCTCCTCCTCCTCCCCTTCAACCTCACCTACGCCATCTTCCAGCGCGTCCTGGGAACAGTCGGCTACATCTTCCCCTTCATCCCGCGCCTGCTAAACCGCTTCTACTCTGGTCGCGCTTCGCAGCCCTCCCGCGATGTGCGGCGACGTCCGCTCAGTCCCCGCGACACCGCCGAGCGCTTCACGCGGGAGTTCGAGGAAGAGTACGGTGTCGAAGCCGGCACGGTACCGTTCCACCCCAGCGGGTACGCGTCCGCATTCGACATGGCGAAGAGGGAAGTCAAATACCTCCTCGTCCTACTTCTAAGCCCCGAACACGACGACACAGCGCCCTTCATCCGGGAAACCCTCCTCTCACCATCCTTCCTCACCTACCTAAAAGAACCCCGCAACAACCTCATACTCTGGGCCGGTAGCCTCGCAGACGCAGAACCCTACCAAGTCGCCTCGGCCCTAAACGCAACACGCTTCCCCTACGTCTGTTTGATCGCGCATACGCCCTCCGTCTCAACGACCGCGATGTCGAAACTCGTCAACTCCGCCGGGCTAGTCGCGCCGGAGGAGTTGTTGGGAAAGTTGAGAAGTGCGATGCACAGCCATGATGCGCAGCTGGAGCGGATTCGGTCGCAGCGGCGGGAACAACTGGCTTCGAGGAGTTTGAGGCAGGAGCAGGAGAGCGCGTATGAGCGGAGTTTGGCTGCTGATCGGGAGAAGGCGCGAAGGAGGAGGGAGGAAGAGGCGGAGAGGGAGAAGGTTGAACGGGAGGAGAGGGAGAGGGAGGAGCGGAGGGCGGATGAAGCGAGGAAGGTGGCCCAGTGGCGGAGGTGGAGGGCGCAGACTATACCTTCCGAACCTGGGGTGGAGGTCAAAGATGTGGTGAGGATATCGCTGCGTTTGCCGTCGGGTGAGCGCGTGGTGAGGAAGTTTAGGGCTGAGGCGGGTGTGGAGGAGTTGTATGCTTTTGTGGAGTGCTATGATTTACTTTCCGGGGAGGCGGGGGATCTGTCAGAGAAGGAGCTACAGCAACCGGAGGGGTATAGGCATGAGTATCAGTTCCGACTGGTTTCGCCTATGCCTAGGGAGGTGTTTGAGGTGGAGAAGGGGGGCACGATTAGGGAGCGGATTGGGAGGAGTGGGAATTTGATTGTGGAGAAGACGTTGGGGGAGGAGGAAGAGGAGGAGGAGGATAATGGCGAAGCATAACATAATATGCATGCATAAATATGTTTATATGAAAAACATGTGACATTATGCCCTTCATGGCTATGCTTGGCGAAATCTTGGCAGAGGTACGCTGCGTCATTCCGAATTCGGCAGCCCGTGTTTACTGCAGCGCACCGCAAACCTTCAACCCATCTTCCTCCAATTTACACCAACCACCCACCCTCCTGATACACCATAGTAATAGTAACAACAACAAAAACATGCCATCCGCCCAAATCAACCAACCCTCCAACCAAATCCGCCTGACCAACGTCTCTCTGGTGCGCCTGAAAAAGGGCAAAAAGCGCTTCGAAATCGCCTGCTACAAGAACACCGTCACCTCCTTCCGCGCCGGCAACGAAACGGATCTAGACAACGTCCTCCAAATCCCCAACGTCTTCCTCAACGTCAGTAAAGGGCAAGTCGCGCCCAATGAAGATCTGAAAAAGGCCTTTCCTGGCATGACGCGCGAGGAGGTCGTGTTGGAGATTTTGAGAAAGGGAGAGATTCAAGTCGGGGAGAAGGAGAGGGGGGCGGAGCTGGAGCGGTTGCAGAGGGAGGTTGTGGAGATTGTGGCGGGGCGGGTGGTGGACCCGGGGAGCAAGAGGGTTTATACGACGGGGATGATTGAGAAGGCGTTGGAGCAGTTGAGTAGTGCGGGCGGGCATGCGGGGAGGGGGGCGGGGAAGGGGGCGCAGGGGGATAGTATCCAAGATAGGAGTAAGAGTCGGGAGCAAAGCGGAGGAGGTGCAGCGGCGGACACGCCAAGGAAGGGTGACGGCGAGGCCAACGGGGAGGCGCAGCATGCGGAGGAGAAGGAGAAGGCGAAGCCGAAGTGGACGGGCGTGTCGACGACCAAGTCCGCGAAATCCCAGGCCTTAGAGGCGATGAAGGCGTTGATCGCGCATCAACCTATCCCGGTCGCGCGGGCGCGCATGCGGTTACGGATTACTTGTCCTACCAGCGTGGCCAAGCAGATGGTAAAAGTCCAGCAGAAGGCGGCGAACGATGAGGACGGCGACAAGGAGGAGCCGGTCAAGGCTACGGTGAAGGATACGATTTTGGGTTACGTGGAGCAAGTGGAGAGTCAAGACACGGCGGGGGATGAGTGGGAGGTGGTGGGTTTCGTGGAGCCCGGGAGTTTCAAGCCGTTGTCGGAGTTTGTGAGTACGCAGACGAAGGGGCGGGCGAGGGCGGAGGTGTTGGATATGGCCGTTACGCATGAGGGGGACTGAACGACAGCAGGAAACGTGAAGCTTGGAGTGGCGGCGAACGCGCGACGAATGACCCCATGTCGTGCCGCATGCAGAGGTGTTGAACCCGGCAGTGACGCCTAGATGCGATTCCGAACGGCAGTCCGCACAGGCTACGTGGAGATTGGAATGCTTCATGATGATAAAGAAACGACCTTCCTCGCAAAGAGAGGTCGGTCTTGTATTCTAGCGAGTTCCTCCAACGGAACGGCGACAAGCACGTTCGAACGGCGATCAACACGCGACGGATGGCCCCCAAATCCTTGGCGCGTGGTGGCTTGCACCCATGCGCGCGGCCTTACCACGATACTGCAGAAACTCGGCGGTTTGGTCGAATCAAGACGCTCACGAAATTCCACTGCGGAGTCTCTTCGAGGCATATGGGCACGGGAGAAATGAAACAATCCTGTCTCGTTGCGCAGAGCTGCCACATTACCACGAGACATTGGCGTGATTTGTTCTTGCGAATTCTGCCTCCAGCCTCATCGCGGCCGCTGTCCCGGAAAACACCCTAACGATCCCCTCGATCCTTGTTCACACTAGTCCACAGCCATCGCTAGTGGTGGAACAGAACATGCATGCATATACATCTAGCAAGGCCTTATTGGTCCAGCCAATGCCCGTCAGGAGCTCCATCGGAGCGCGCGGTGTCCACTGCATGCTCTTTAGACCCTGCGAAGACCCTACCTCTGCATCCTCTCGCGCAATGTTTGTTGGTTGGCACAGACTTCGTAATGGAGTATCCGGCTATATACGATTAGAACATACACCCCACTGCCTGATAGGTGTAACGCATACGCCGCGCGAGACCTGAGCGTCATCCCCGGAATTCCGTAATAGGAATAGGGAACGAAATGTCCGACATTACCACACTCAGCGCACTCCCAGCCGGCACCCTTCTCGTTTCATCAGCTTCCATCGCCGGGGCTGTCATCGCCGGGGCTGTCTACTCCGAAGAGTGGCTCTATGCTGTCCCGTCCTCGCTTGGCAGTTCAGTCGTCACGGTATCACAGCTTCTTTACGTGGAAGGGACCGCTGGGAGTGTAACGACAGTTTACCTGTACGATGGTTGGGTGTACGGGTCGAGTGTTGTGACAACCACGACAACAGTGGCCGGCGTTGCGACAACGCGGACCATCAGTGTGGGATCTCAAGTACCCAGCAGTACATTTGCCACCCTCACAATCACAGTCGCAAGTGGTGGCGGCACCAAAAGCACCAGCTTAGGACTGGTGACGCTACCCGACATCCAGACCGTGAGTACCGTCGCCACCTTGTCCAGCACCAGCAGTCGCATGAATCCGAGCACTGAGTTGATTGTGGGCGGGGGCCCGCTTAGCAGTACAACTGGATCGTCCGCCTCCCGGGCTACCACCACCAGCCTCACCACCACATCCTCTTCAGCTGCGAACTCCGTCGTCACGGTCTATATAACACCCTCATCCACCCCGGCCCCTTCCTCGTCCTCTCTTTCAGGCGGTGCGATCGCCGGCGTCGTCATAGGACCTGTAGCAGCTATTGCCTTGGTCGGGGCGGGGATAGCATGGTTCTTGTTTGGCCGGAAACGGAGAACTGGGCCCAAAGCTCCTGCGGAAGAGGCAGGACCAGTGCATGAGAAGGGTGACGGTCCGGTACACGAGCTTCATGGCCGATCTCGACCGCATGAAGTTGGCGGGGCGCCGCTGCATGAGTTACAGTCACATCCTTCAGAGCTTGAGACGGACAGTTTCGGTGCTGCCGCCCGCTCGCCCGTGGAGATGGGCTTGAAGTCGGCGCATGGGTCGTTAAGCCAGCCGGCGGGTGGAGATGAACTGGATTTCTCGAGGCCGGAAACTCGTACTGAAGTGCCAACTATGGCCCTAGCTTGGGAAACGGAGGAGCTACGAAACCGCCGAAGCGTTTGAGATGCTTGATATAGCAACCCTGGAACAGGCAGAGGCTCGGCCAGATCCTGGACTCGGCCGTTTACGCTGACCTGGCGGTGATAGTATGTTCAGAGCGCATAGGAACGCTAGATGCGCCTACGATTCAGGTCTCACTCTTAGAGAGTAAAGATAGCATCAGACGCTACGGCCCAATAGCACCAGCCATGTTGGTGGACGCTCAAATGGCACTGAATAAGGAGAAACGTAGCACAAGCAAGCTGGGTGTCGAACGGGTTCAGTTACTTGAACATCACAATCAGCGCGGCTAAGCGATGCGTAACCGCGATGGCTATCTACCCATCACAAGCCGAAACCAAGCCACTGCCATGACCTCACACCTCCGAATGTTCTTCTCGATCGTCCATCAACGTGTCTTCCCTCTTCTCCTCCGCCAACATTGCCCTCCAATCAGCCTTGTCCCAAGGCGTGAAACCTCGCGTGCTTTGCTGCGGTTTCAACGTTGTTGCGTTGGGTCGTGGTTCGTTGAGCACTACTTGCTGTGCCGAGGCCAGTGTTCCCGTTGCAGAATCCGGCGTCGCCGTCTTGTTAGGCGTTCTAGTAGCGCTGCTGTGGACACTACTCTTTGGTGTTGTGTTTCTAGTTGTAACATGCTTTCCGACCCGGGATTTTTTCTCCGCAGTCTTTTGCAAACCGAAGGCCGGCTTCTCTGCGATCGTTCTCATCGAGGAAGAACGCAAAGTCGGCGGAGCTTTGAGCTTCTTTCTCCCCTCCTCCTCATCGTTCATGAGTCCACTCATCACGATGTTGAGTTTGTACTCGTCTCGAATACCGTCCTGGCGTGCTTCATCTCCATCCGCATTCTTCAATGTCTTCCGCATCTCTACCCCTGCCTTTGCCTGCCAACGCTCAAGCTGCCGCTTCCTCTGCACGGCATGCGCCTTGCTCTCCATTTGCAGCGACAACTTAAGCGGCGTCGCAGTACGGCGCTCATCCTCTGCGATGGAACGAGCAGCTGACCTGGCTGCCTCATCACATCGCGCGCAGGTAAACGTGCCTTCGGCATTCCAGTGGGCCGCATCGTCTTGGCGACGAAGGTCGCGCAAGTCATCGCGCTGATACTCGTAGTACGAAGACTGACCCTTGCCAACGCAGTGTGGATGGAAGTTCTTCGTGCACTTGATGCACTCGACCATGTAACCATCTGCGGGTGCCGCACAGACGCAATAGGTGTGCGCGATATCAACTACAGGCACTATGCCATCATCGAGCTCCTCGGTGGTTTCTATGACTTCCTTCTCATCCCGGCCGTAGACCACGTCCATCGGCCGCAAAGCGCTCTGGTCGTTCGGGATGGCTAGGTCACATCATCCGCCATGAGCTGGTCATGGTGATGCTCCGGTATTGTCAAGTCGGCGTTGCTGCGGATGTCTGCCGGCTTCGACCATGGCGCAAACCCACCAAGCGGCTCCGGCACTCTCTTCGCTGCCTGAGTGCCATCATCTGAAGCATCCCTCTTCCGCTTGAACGCCTCTGGGCGCTCATCATCTTCGGAAGAACGTCCATCTGCAGATTGCGCTGTTCGCGGGTAGGTAGCTTAGAGGCAGGTCGCTTGGGCTCGTCTGCGGCCTGCTGAAGCTGGCGGACGCGGTCATTCCTCGGCTTGCCAGTCCCGAGCAGCTTGTCCGTGCCGTCGATTGCGAGGATGCGCTGCTCGCGTTGAAACAACTCAGCTGCCTTCGTGTGCTCCCGGTGCGCCAGCAGCTGCCGTTATAATTCGGTCACGGCCTCATCGCGTGACTCTTGCTTGACGGAAAAGCGGCCGAGGTATTTTTGCTCTTCGATGGCTGTTAGCGACCGACTGCGACGGCGCAGCTTTCTCCTAGATTGAGTACCGACATTCGGCTGCTGTCTTCCAGACCAAAGTCACCGAGAGACGCGAGCGTATCACTCTGCTTCACGGCTTGCTGCTTTGCGTCTGCTACCGCATCGTGACCGTAGACGTGTCCGGGCTGACTCGGCCTTGGTCGCTCAACATGTCTTCTGTTGTTTGGGATACTGAGTCCTGGGAAGCTTCCACAACGCCGTGCCATGCAAGATGGCTCTCTGCACGCGAACGGAGCATTGAAACAGTGCTCTCTGCCATCAACAATGACCGACTGCTGACAGTTCCGCCCACACACTCCCACCGTCCTGGTCATGATCGTATGGCCGCACCTCAGCAGATGATGATGCGGCATGGAGGCAAAAAGCACCTTCGAAGCACATTGTTGCAAATGGTTGGCCGGTTTTATCGTAAGCACGAAGCGAGTCAGAATTCGGTTTGAGTGTCGCAGGTTGAGGCATGAAAATACCGCTTCCACTTGCGTCACGTCCGGGCTGTTTTGCTGATGTAACAAGGGGACCACGCATTTTCGGTACGATGCTGGATGCGTCCTCTAATTCGTGATCAACCGGTGCCAAGATCGTCGTCCCCAGCGATGTAAATGTACTCTTGGGGTGGTGCTGGTTGCGGAACAGGCACCGGCTTCGCTCTTGTACACCTCGCCCCAATCAACGCCATCGTCTTCAACTTCGAGCGGGGCATGCATTGCCTCTTCCGGCGGCTCTTGCTTGAGGATAGGCGCTTGTTGCGTTGATGACTTGGTTAGGGGCAATTCGTAGCCGACGAAAATGTCCGGCCAAGCCTTCGAGCGGATGGCCAAGATGAAAGCCATTGAGCGTATGTTTTCTGCAGTGTTGGTTGCAGAGCGCTGAAGTCGAGTTCGACGACTGCGAAGCGATGTGCAGGCCAGGAGGAAAGCCGATCAGTCCTGAGAAGTGCGTCAAGGCAGGCAGCAGTGTGCGTGTAAATAGCAAGTCAACCGCTCCGACACGACACCTTCACCTCTCGGCGCTTTGCAGCCGTGTACGTGACTTGACACCGAGCCACCACATCCCAAGGCCAATGGGACTCCAAGGCGTGTACAGCACTGCGCATTCACAACGTGCTGCCTGCAGGAGCCGTTGACATCTTTCCACGGCTCCAGCGGACATCGCGTGCAGATCTGAATGGCATCAGGCGTGTTGGCGAACTCCTTCTGGCGCGTGACCGCCTCGTAAACAAACAGACGTCACGTCTTGGCAATCGAATCTGGACATCCGGATGAGGAAGGAATGCAGAGATAGGTGATATGCGTTATGCGTGCTACATACTGATAGGCTGTACGGATGTCAGCAGAAACTATTGTTGACACTCAGGAAACGCTGGCCTCAACCTTAAGTCCCTTCTTCGCGGTCCCGACATCCAACGCTGCTTCCAATGTCTCGCGCTAGCGGTAAGCACACTCTGCCGGCGTCAGCAATCTACTCGCGACTAAACCGATTGGAAATCCCAGTATGCTTCACTCACAATGCTCTATGTCGGCGAACCTGCCGGACGGTGGACAAAGAACAAAGCGCCCTTTGTCACTGCCGTCCACGACCTTGTCTCACATGCTTGAGACACAACCACGTCCGTTCCATTGTCGCCATTATCCGATGCTCTACTTATAGCAAGTAGAATGGGCACACTGTACAAGCTGTCAGTGATAACAACAGCCAAATTGCTTTCCATCCAGTTCACCGAAGGTCTTCCAGTTTCAGCCGCTTCCTGCGTCTCCGGAGGAAGTGTATTGTAGGTGCGATGGGTTCGCAAACAGTCCCCAATACGCCTTGGTGTCGAATTCCGAGACCAAGACCTTCGCATGGTATTTCGGCAAAGGTTCAGTTTATCGAGGATAGGGCCCGTATCCAGCAATCAGTCCAGAGCAACTCAACCACTACGAGCCGCCTGAATGTCAAATCTGGGTCGCAAATACCCGGTCCGAGCAACAGGTTGGGTCACTTGGCTGCGCGGGCGCACAAGTCACTGAGGCATGGTCCGGACCTTGAGAGCATATCCCGTGGCTCCTCTGTTTCATGCGAGCCCACTCGCAGAGCTAGCGACGCTGATGCATCGAACGACGGAACTCGCAGAAGTGTTTCTTCGACGCCGAGTAGTCTTAGTGCCGTACTCAGTACCTTTGAGGCTGGTTCGTATCCTGAGTATTCGCTCGAGGTGTCAGCCATTAAGACAGTTACAAGCAAAACGGACATCAGCATTCGACACCCTCGAGGAGAAGGCTCACCAGCTATGCACTCGCGCACAGCTCGATCACCTCCAGGCAATTCCTACTACATCGGCCCACACGTGAGCGAACCATGCACGCAAAAGGCGCTAACACATCGTCTGGCGTGCAGTCACAAGATCCTTACGAAAGAACCCGAGCTGTGCGCGCGGAATTGTCACCATCCGGAGGAAAAGCGCAAAGCGAATCCCAGAGACATCGACAGGCTGTTCAGTTGTCGCGAGTGCGAGAGCTTGCAGTGTTTACAAACGTTTGTCCGGAAGGACCTGGCAGCAGTATATGCGGATTTACGGAAAGACAGTCGTACCAGTCCGTCGCCGCAAGCAGTGCCGGTTAGTAGAGTTGTATATCAGGGCAAGCGGATTGCCTTTCGAGGCAGAACCATGCCGCCTTTTCGGTTGTACGACGCCATCCGTCAGCATGGTCTAAGCCTTACGGCGGGCAGTTGATGCGCTTGAGACCGAGACAGCTCCGACTTGTGATAGTCATTCGGTTGGGTTCTGCTAGCAGCCGCATTCTGGAACTGCATGCCGACGCCGCCCATTGGGGCTGAGAATGTGCGATTGATGATGCGGATTGAGCATGAACTTGTATCGCTGTAGTGAAGTACATGGAGATGGAACATTGAGGGTGGAGGTAAATGGACGTTCTCTGGCAACGACTATTGACATCGGGTGTCAGTCGTGCCTGACATGAATGTGCCTGAATGAGCTGCATGGTGACGTCGGTGCAACATCATCACACGCCACGAACGAATTTCAATGACACGCGACACAGCTGCTTCAACAACGTCCCCTTTCTGGTATTATAATCTACGCACCACACCCACACAGACAACATTCATCATGTCGACCACACGCAACACTGATGCCGTCTCCAACCAAATGCCCGGTGGTGGCAGCGGAGAATTCCACTCCAAGATCGAGCGCGATGAGCCATTGACCACTCACGGCCACAAGCCTGGCGTGTTGGTGGGCAACGACGCCGCACCCGAGTTCTCCGCCAAGACTCTTCCTCCAGGCTCTGCCCCGGCCGACCGGACGTTCAAGCCCAACAACGCCTCCGACATCCCGCCCTCCCAGCAATACCGCCCCGACTCAGAGATTGAGGCCGATGCTCCTCAGGCTTCTGCGTCGGACACTCTAGGAGGCGCGACGTCCGGCGAGGTCCACACAGGCATCGGCAAGCCGATCCAAGGCCAATCAAGCAAGGAGCTGCACCACGATGGCCAGTCAGGGAGGAAGGGTCAGTCAGGCGGCGGGCTGGAAGGGCTGGCAAGCGGAGTTGAAGGCAGCAAGACGGTGGATGCGCACGACCCGCAGTTTGCTGGACAACGAGCGATGGACAAGGATGAAGCGGTTATTGGTAGGGGGAATGTTGGAGGAGCAGCGGCGCAGGATCGGGAGCCTGAGAGCGCGACAACCGTGGCCACGGAGAACAAGCTGGGGAGGAACTAGGGTGTGGTATGATAGTATGACTGAGGCGGGAGGTCTGACAGCGATCGAAGAAAGACTGCGCGGTGAAGCGCCTGTCAGCCATAACGGCACCAACATTCAACTGCTTGCCTATGTTGCATACAGTGGCAGCGCACAGAAGTACAACTTATGGAGCCGTACCGACAAAACATGGATTCTTCCATTGGGATAGCAGTTCTGCACTTCGCCACCAATTTCACTCTCATTGAAATGTCGTTTGCGTCCAAGAAGCCGTGACGCAAGCTAATCAGCCTCTCAGTGTTCGCATCACTACAACACCAATATCAGATTCTTAGGACGTGGTGAGTCATGCTATTCGAACGAAAAGTGTTGTTGATAATGACCATCGGGCTGATGGTACATGCACTGACTGCGCATCACTTGATACAGGCTCATTGGACGGAGTGCGCGTACAAGGCGACGGCGTATGTGAGAAGCTTTGCATAGGACAAGCATGTCTTCATATCGCAGAAAGTCGGGTGATTCAGTACTACGACTGATGCCCTACTGAATCGCCGCAGGTCCCTCCCGCGCTGCATGAGCCGAAAACCCACGCTTGGCGAGTTGGACTATGCCTTGACCGTCAATATGGGCGCTGGCGCTCCGTCCTGCCGGTAAATGCATTAAGAAGCGCTGTCGAGCTGCGATGCACGACTCTGTAGCATACTTCGCTCTTATTGCTGCCTAAGGCCGGGAGCAGCTGAGTTCTCAAGTATCAAGACTCAGCCCTCGCTTCCTTCCGCCTGCAGCTGAGCTTATTAGCAATCACTCGGATGCATCTACGGGCTTCAAGTAGGACTATGGCGCCCGATCCCACATCAGATTCTTCCCATACGACGTGTCCTCGGAGCAGAACGTCGACACTAGGCTTTCGCAATTAGTAGTCCCACCACCCTACGGCACCATGGCCACAGCAGCAGACTTCAAGCGGATAGGTCAATGCCACCTCAAGTCCTAGTTGAACAGGCCAGGCTAGCTGACATAATGCAGGCAATTATGCGCGGATGTGAGTGGGAGACCTGGACGACGCCCGCAAGACCTTAACCGTTGTACGCGCTAATAAATGCACTCAAAAGGTACAACAAGGACCTAAACTTTGACCGACGAAATGAACGTCGCACGGTTCCCTTCGAGGTCGTATGTCCGGGCTACTCACGAACAGGAACGCTCACAATGCACAAAGCGCTTTCCATCCTAGGCTACCCGACTTTCCACTTCTCAAGCTTCTATGAGAACAGTCGAGATTGCCTTCTCTGGACCGAAGCAGTGAAGGCCAAGTTCTACGGTCAAGGGCCTATGCCCGACAAGGCGTTCTTCGACGGGCTGTTGGGTCACATCTCGGCGACAACCGATTCCCCTTGCAACCTCTTCACAGAAGAGTTCATCACCTTCTATCCAGATGTAAAGGTGGTTCTCGTCGAGCGCAACATTGACAGTTGGGAGAAGTCCTGGACAGCGTACTGCAAAGGGGCGCTAAACCCGGTCCTGCACTTCATCTGCAACTTGGATCCTACATGGGCAGGTCGCATTGCTGTAGTGGGCGCCTATATCACACGGATACAGGCTGGATACGCTACCACCCTTGACGAGGTGCGCGTGAGGAGCCGGGTGGCTTACCAGCACCATTATCGTGACGTACGTGATATAGTCCCGAAAGAGCGGCTGCTTGACTTCGACCTAAGAGATGGCTGGAAGCCGCTTTGCGAGTTTCTAGGGAAGCCTGTCCCGGACGTACCGTTCCCCCACGAGAATGAGACGAAGGCGAACCAGGCAGCGCTCGCCGAGACTGGACAGCTCGCGCTTAAGCATATCATGAGGAATCTCGCGATCGGGTTGACGCTGGTCGGTGTGCCGGTGGCGGCGGCGATATGGTGGCTACTCCAACGGTAACTGGATCGATACGCCGTCAGATCTTCTACAACATGCTCAGTTTCGAGAAGTACTGCTGGGAATGCTAGCTTATCCAAACAGCCAGTGTGCATACGCTATTTTGTGTATCAATGTCTTCCCCCAGCCACAGCAATAGGAGCATCTTACGAAGGCATGACCACTGGCGCAGAATATTGGACCAACTTGGAACGCGACTTACAGACGAAATGCTTCTTCGTTGCAGATGTCGAAGAAGCGTGTTGGTGGGAATCTCGGTAAGCCGTGCGAGGATATTTGCGCTTACATTGCGACTATATCAGGCATTTCGCTCGTTGTCAAGTTTCTCACATATAATGGTAACCGATCGTCGAGCGTCGGCCTCGTAGTACGAGTATGCTGCTCTGGATCCGAACAGACACAGCTTGCGGAGGCCTAAGGTCAGCGGGAACTGGACAGCTTACCTACGCAGAGGACCGCAGCATAGCACGAATATCTGGTGGGATGTAGACAAGCACTTCATAAGCCAGGCGAATTCCTCCCGTATAAATGAAGTACACCCGCCTCGGATCCTTCAGTCTCTTAGCACTCAACCGATATGGTCTCTTTCCGCCTCGTGACGGTGCTCAGCGCCGCCTACCTCGTCGTCGGCACGGCCACGGCTCACTGGGACTTCAACATCGTCGTGCAGCGCAATACGGGCGACGCCTGTCAGGATGAGTCTAGGTTTATGGGAGACGATCAGTATCACAAATCTATAGGTGCCGACTCATGCCATGAGTTCTCCCCGCAGGACCCGCAGCATAGGTGAGTACTTCGTTTGATTAGTACTCGGCTGGCTTCTTCGAAGACTGCTAACAGCGTACACCATGTTGTTTTTCAGACTCGTGCGCTCGGCATTCTGGAGATGGCTTCCTCACAATGACTACGAGGCATACCACGGCTCGCCACTAAACTACGGTCACTGCAAAGTAGCACTGTACGCCGACACGGACTGTCGTGGGAATGAGATCGCTTTCGCAGATTGGGTTGGTGTGCCTGGACGGCGCCCTTGAACGAGCGCTATGACGCTGACACGAGAATAGGCGAACGATATCCCGGGTCGATCGGGCGACACCAAGTACGGATGGTGTTTCAATAACTTCACGACGGAGGGCGGTTTGCCTACTTCGGCAAAAGCCGTGAAGTTCTGGTGCGAGTAGTGCAGAGGTCAGTGGTGGTGAAGGATACAGTCAGGCGCGGGCTTTTTGCAAAAAGTGACACACCAGTATACCTGTTCAGACAGACGGCTCAACAACAGCGAGTTATCTCGCATTACTTGTGTCCCTGATCTCGCCTTCTGGGATCGTCATTCCGTGTCGTCCACGATACGTAGGCGGTTCGATCCGCGTCCAGCCCTCCAAAACACTCTGGTCCGCGAGGCTGAACACGTCGACTTTCAGTGGCCGGCAGCAATCGAGCATACTTTTCTTCTCGCCCTCTTCGCCTGCACCACCTTCGCCCCAGCCCCACGTGCTGAGATCGCCGCCCGGGCAGGTCGACAATGCCATGAGCAAGGACTGCTCGGCAAAGAACTCGATGTAGTCTCCCTTCTTGGCCGGTGAGGCTTCCATAAAATACTTACCATCTGCGTTGAGCCCCGTCACCTGGAAGACATTCAGGACGTCGTGGACATCGAACTCCGTAAGGCCGTAAGGTATCACTGCCCTAGTCAGGTTCGAATGGCAGTGGAAGTCGTACGAATCGCCAGTCAGCATGGTGTTGACGTAAGGATCGCATCGCGTACCCAAGAGGTCGTGGCATCGGCCGCCGTATCGATCGACACCATAGTCGCTCAACGAGTCGTCGATGATGGTGACCATGGGTCGAAGGTATGGCAGACATGACCAGAGCCTGTCATAAGTCGAAACGTGGCTTGCATGCAGTTGCCTTGTCCTAGCCGCCCAAAAGCGTTCACGCGGATTGTCCAGGTTCCAGATATTCAGGTCACCGACTTGGGGACCTTCTGGTGTGCTGATGCGGACGATGTGGCCACTGGGGACTTTCCAAGCCCGCCCAGAGCGGACTGGTAAAGTGAATGAGAATATGGGCACACGCTCTGCTCGACTGATGCCATCATAGAAGCCGCGATCGGCGTGCAGTATCGAACCCGGTGTCGCGTGATATGCTGGCTGCGGCGGTGGGTGTGGTTTATCTGCTGCTGCCATTCTGTTCCGGATATTCCGCACGTTCGACACGAAGGTGTAGACCAAGCTTTATGTGTACGATGGTCTTTAAGCGAAACGCTGGAACAACCCAGGTAGCTCGCACGCGGTCCAGGTGCAACTGGCTGTTGCGGTCACAGAAGTTGAACAAACTCTGTACAGCATTGTAGCTACTCATAGCAAAGATACTGTGATCTCTTTGCTGACCTAGGCTCTACGTCATCATGCATCAGTACAATAGCTATGCTCTCTTGTCTTCTCAAGTTCAAAGTGACATGCCATCCAAATCCGTCGGCTCAGTCATCGTGAACCATGGCATCATGTCCAGGCCCAGCATATTCATATCGACATCTTGAGACTGTATGAACATATCGCCGAAATTCTCCACATTCGGCTGGAATTGGCCGGAGAAACTATCCATAGGCATATTGAAATGGCCGTAGCTGCCGGGTAGTGGTGTCTGCTGTTCCATTGAGATCGAATGTCCGTCTGGTATATCGGTACCGCCGCCAACGGATGCTGTGAATGACGTGCGAAGGCCCAGCAAGAGGTCAGCGTCCGGTCTCGAGGAGCTGGTGTTGTGGACGACGGACGGCGTTGCATGCATGGTTGTCAGTGACTGCGGCGGGTACTGGCCAGTGCCTTGTGCAGTGACGGCATGGAGGTGTTGGCCATGCTGGTCCTGATCTGCCGAGTAATGCCAGGCAAGCTGCGTACTCGGAGAGTTCATCGTGCCTGTCAGTGTCCACCCGAAAGCTGAAGCTTCGTCAGCGAACTTTACGACAGTACGTGATGTACTGTATCTTACCTTTACTTGGGTCGACGCTCGGGCTACCCGGTACCTGGCTAGGTCCCTGCCCTCTGAAAGGGTTCGGAGGGCCAAGATACGGTCCCCACGAGAGCTTTCGTCTCCAGCCCGGCGAGGTGAAAGCAGGCTCCGGTCTTGGACGCTCCATCGAACACGCGCCTTCTTCCACCGTATAAAGCAACGGGTCGCCTACGCCTTCGAACTTCTGCTCCAGCACCGTGAGGATATATTTCGTTCCAGCCCAGTACGTTTCGAGTGACTGCAAAGCTTTGTAACATAGTTGATAATGCGCATTCGCAGCCGTGGCAAGCAATGTGTGCTTAGCAAGTACCTTCTGATCGGTGCCACCACTCGGCGTGCGCTTGCCGTTTGCGGTGGATAAAACCTGCTTCTTGACACTCTGCGGCGTGTCCTCGGAAGACGCACCCTCTTCAGCATCGACTTCCTTACGTGACGGACTTGCGGCCCGTGACTGTGCGTTCGATGTTGCTGTCTGCTCCACTGTCTCTTTCAGGAAGGCGCAGGCAGCAATGTATATGGGCTGTGTGGTGAATGGATTGCCAAGGCTCGCTTTAGCGTCTATGAGCTGTGAGTATGACAGTATGTCCGCAATGGTCTTCGCGGAGGACATAGAAAGCTGTTGACTGTTTGGAAACAGCTGAAACATGCGGCCTTCGAATGTCTTAAGCAGCGTTGGCTGGTGTAGGAGTATGATAAGCGTATGGAACCAGAAGTGCAGAAGTACAAAATTCGTGCCCTCTCCGGCCTTGACGTAGTGCTGGAAGTTCACTGCATCGAAATGCAGACGAGGCGATAGTCCCTGGTAAAAGTGCGTCACTTGATCCTCCATCGTTGCAAGCCGTGTCGAGGTTTCGGAGGTGATATCGGACGGCTCTTTGACACTGTTCATAAGATCCGCCACACGACCGTACAGGTGCACTATGCGTATGAGTGCTGGGAACGGCGCAGGCCAGCCGCACTTTGGGTCTTTTCGGTCCAGAGATGGGAAGGAGAGCTCGATGTCCTTGTCACGAATCGTACTTCTACGGCCGGTGCCTGATGACACAACTCGGTCAAGAAAGAAGACGACCCAGAACGTATCAATGCGTTCTTGCTCTACGGCCTTCTGCTCATCGATCTCCTTGTGCGTAGGTGCGACATTGGACAGGCTGTCATTTGCAGGCTCAACGGTTTGTTGCAGCTCAACAGCGTTTGGAGCATGCAGCAGTCCGTGTGACAGTGATTCTCGCTTGACCATCTTCGGCGTTGGACCTTCTCTACCTTGGTACTTGAGACCCTCGAGCTTGTGCATGCCGAGGTCCTGCGCCATGCGAATAGCAATGCCCAAGTACATCCACAGCCCACTATCTCTGCTTTCGCCAAACTCATTGTACCCTATCAGAACGGCTGCTTGTACGGCTGCGATGCTTGGACAAGCGAAGGTGTCTGTCAGTGCGGTCTTCGCTCGCTGCGCAAACACATGACCATACTCTGCTGGAGTGGGCTTCGAGTCATCATGCGGCTGCTGCACGATCAAAGTGTGCGTGGAGAAGCGGGCTGCCAGCGCACAAACGGCGTCCACCAGGATCGCATCGACCTGCTTCTCCTCGAGATCACGCAGGAAGCGTTCTCGTTGCAGAAATGGGAAGTTGCAGCCTAGATGTGTGAAGAAAGTGTTGGCCAAATGGGTAATCAGCTCGCTCGGTGGCACAGGAGACGTGTCGTAGAAGGGCAGGGTCAGTGGTGTCCGAATGTCTGATTCAACAGCAGCCGGTGTGGTCGAGTATAAGCCGGGCAGGCGCTGGTCGCTAGTGTTGGCATTTATGCCAGACGGAGAAAGCACGCCACCATCCGTTGACGATCGCGCCCTCTCTGTGTCTGAGCGCTTCACCTTCACCACCATCTGCTTGAAGCCAGGCATGATGGCGGTAGGACCTAGCCAGCGGAAGTAAGGCATACGATTGCGCGGTCCAGGAAATAGTGGTTCTCGTTCTCGCGTAACAGTAGCCTGCACCTTCGAGGCGGATCGCTTGCCCTGCTTAATCGAGGGTGCATTGGAGAGTGATGGAATTTCTTTGGCAAAGCTCGCCTTCCGCTCATGATGGACGTTATCTTGCGACACCACCCGCTGCAAAAGTCTATCCTTCCGCGAAGTATAGCCATCTGTCACAGTATCGCTACTGGACCGCGATCGCTTGTGAACGGTGGTCGGCGCTTCGGAAGAGTATCCAGCGCAGTCGAGCCTGTTCTGGCTGCACGTTTGGCACAAGGGTCGTTCACCGGAGCAAGCTGTCTTGCGCTTGCGACAGGTCAGACATGCAGCACCAATGCGCCGTCTGCTCTCTCGTCAACATGAGGGTAGTATGGAATGATAACAAACCTCACCTCTTTGGATGCGGCGCGCCATAATTGGTGACGAAGCGCAGCTCCTTTGCTTGCTTCTTGAGCTGGGTTTGCGTCGGGTCATCGTCTTGCGCATTGCCCATAGTGCGTCTCTTACTACCGGTCTATGACCATGTGCCTCGCGTGCAACGCGCGCGATGCATGTCCCAAATGATGAGATAACGCTACCCTCAAGCAATGACTCCACCGCTCCCCCTGGCTTCAAGCGCGGCGGTACAGATCTGTATAGTCGCTTCCGTTCTACTCATGAGCTCTCTTTCGTCTCTAAACCCACTCTCCGCAGTTCGAGACTGCTCCGCAAATGTGGAGATCCTGCAGGGCTTTCGGTTCCCGGCAAGCGTGCCCTAGCTGGCAGAGATATGGCTGCTTTAAAGTAGCATCCATAAATCGCATTCAGGTCATTGACAAGTCATCATTAGCACAAGCACCCACCCACTATGGAAACCCGAATATGCAACGCAATAAAGGCCACCTCTTCGTTGAGCGTGCGCCGCCCGCCGCATGCCTGTAAGGCTCGACGCACCCTCACCACAACGCCAAGTAGGGAGGCAACGCCGCTCATGACCTTCTCTGGCCCGCCACCTCCAGCACCTCTACCATCGGTGTCACATCCTCAGGACCGAGTCGCGCGGAAGCGGGAACAACTTGAGCGCCTGCGCGAAAGTCAGCAAGCGAAGGTCAACCCAGCGAAGCCGCAAACCGCGCTGCAGAAGCGATTCTGGCGTAATGTGAGCGTCAAGGATACAAACGAAGGGCTCCAAGTGCTCCTCGACTCAAGACCGGTCCGGACGGCATCTAGACAGATACTCCTACTCCCGCACGGCAAGCGCGCACTGGCGGCGTGTATTGCGCTGGAGTGGGATGCCCTCGTTTCCGCGCAACAGGCGCTCAAGCACCACTACATACCTTTGACTTCTCTTACGTCACGAGCTGTCGACATTGAAGTGGCGGACAGAGATGGCGATAGTTCGGTTCGTGAAGCCATCGTGATGACTTTGATGCGGTATCTGGGCACAGACACTCTACTGTGTTGGGCGCCAGAACGGAGTATCCACGAACCGGAGAATACAGGAAAGAAGCCGCTCCGACATCGACAGCGGGAGGTCGCCGAGCCGATAATAGCGTACCTCACAGCGCATATCCTACCGGGTGTCGACATTAGGCCGATCCTGGACGAGCAGTCAATCATGCCGACTCCGCAGCCAGAGATGACACGGCAGATCATTCGAGGATGGGTGTCTGGATTACCGGCGTATGAGCTGGCGGCACTGGAGCGCGGCGTCCTAGCGACGAAGTCTTTACTTATTGCTGCGCGGCTTTTGGTGGAGTGGAGTCAGGAGTTCGCGCATCTGCGAAGGCGTGGACCAGAGACGGATGGATTTGGCATTGACGAGGCGGCCGAGGCGGCCACGCTGGAGGTCATGCATCAGACTGAACAGTGGGGAGAGGTTGAGGATACGCATGATGTCGAGCGCGAAGATCTACGGCGGCAGCTGGGTAGTGTGGTCTTACTTGTGAGCTGAAGTACATTTCACTCCAGGCGTGCAACGGCCGTTAGGTCCGGAATCTGGCCGCCATCGCGACTTCCACAAAGGTGTCATTAGGACCATCATCCACATATCCATGCTTGAGTATAAGCCACGACATAGTCCATAGAGTCTTTTTTAGTGTATAGACTTCTAGCCCAACCTCTGGCAAAACGTGTTGCAAATTGCTCGGCAAGCGACTGTGAAAGAGTAAGAGCACGAAGGCTTCAGCCTGTTTGAGAGAATGTGTGATTACAGTGCTTATGCTAGTGTTCCTAAGCCGCGAGCACTCAGGCTTCGTCCTAGGCTGTCCGCTCCAGGCAAGGACTGAAGTATTGAGTCATTCCTCAAATGCTCCGACGTCGCCTTTTTAGGGATCGGCGGTGCCTGTGCGCTATGCATTCAACGCTTCCTGGGTCGTAGCGGTGTAAAACAAATTCGGGTATCTGGGCGCCTTTCAAGCGTCCTTCGTGCTGCTGCTGTGGTGTCGTACATTGATGCTGGTGGTGTGGATGTCAGGGGCGGTGGTGGGTGGGGCCGTGGTGATGGTGTCGGGCTCGTATGGGTGGGCTAGGATGCCGGGATGGGGTACGCGAGTGGCGGATGGCGGGCGGCGGAGACTCAGTGCCAATCTCGCGCGGATCAATTTATTGATCATAGTTGGAATGAGACGCGGCGTAGGTGCTCGGGTCGCTCAACTTCTTGTGGAGGTGATAATGGCGGGCTGTTCGACGGCGTCGAGTGTGGAACGGATGGCGCGCTACTCCCTTGACTGGACATGCCACCGAAGGCATGGCCGAGCTCTTTCATGTCCAAGAGCTGTTCCTTCAAGAGCGATACGCCTATGCGCACGCTGTCAGCGCAACTGCTGAGCGTCTTGAACTGTCGTTCGTATCCTTAGCTGCATGCTCAAGACATCTGCACATTTCCAGCAGCAGCTTCACAGGAGTCAGTAAGATATTCATATAGAGATGCTGAAATGAAAGGAAAGGTTTCCGGCCCTTCAGCCAATGACCATAAACGTCCCTGATGAAATCATCAAGTCATAGATAGAGTCCTAGTCGTAATCGGGACCAATGCTCAAGCAGCTCTGAGGGCGTTTCCGCACTTTCGATTTCGTAATGCGAAAACTGCCATAGACGGCGCGAATGAAGAGTGGATCATAGACTTACCGGCTTGACGCTTGATCTGCTCTCTCGCCCACCGCGCAGTGTCCTGCGTACGCGGCGAGAAGTCCTTGTTAGCGCGAGTGTCGCGTGCCATGTTTGTTAGCCAGTCGGCGCGGAAATAGTGGCTGACTTCGCCGTTCGGGAAGGCTTCTGAGACGTCGCTAAAAGCTCGTCAGCAGTGAACGGTGGACTTACAGTGCATTGTCACTTACCCAATGACACCCATTGACGACCTTAGTAGAGCTTCTGTGCGGTTGGGATCTTGGTAGACAGTCTGCAGCAGCTGAAAGATCGACTCAACGTACGGCTGCAGCAGGTTGGCTGTGGCGAAGGTCAGCTTGTCCAACGATAACCCTGTAGACGAGACTTACTTTTGCCACCTGCACGAAGCGCGTTGATGATGCCGCTCCAGGCATCCATGATGCCTTCTCTCAAGCTGACAATGTAGTCGAGCATTTCAAAGGTACCCACGTTCTCACCCTGTGTCGAGATGCCAGCCGCTTGCTGCAACACCTGCGCCACGACAGATAGGTATGCTTCGAACTGCCCACCGATCGCCTGCGCAATGTCGCCAAAGCACTGTAGAATGGCGGGCTTGAACTGATTGCCCAGTGTTGTCGACCTGAGATTGCTGAGCAAGCTGTTCATGAATTGGTCACAGAAAGGCTGCACTTTGCTTTCCAATGCACGCGTAATGTCTGAAACTAACCCGATAGCCATGGCGCACAGTTGGGGCTCCTCTTGGTTGTTTAGCGCCCCCAGCAGCATGGGTGAGAAGGCCGGCATGTATTTCTCGAAGTCACTTTCGAGGGCGTTGGCGATGGCGCCGATTGCAGCAAAGACGGTATCTGGCACGGAGCTTTTGGGTCCGAGACTCTGTAGGAGTTGGAGCAGTAGCTGCATGATCCGGTCTGCTTGCGGCGCAATCTCTTTCTCCAGTCGCTGAATGATGGCAATAAGCACTGACGTCAGGCTTGTTTGTATCTCCTCCAGCATCAAGCGGTCGTCGACGCTAACCACCTGCATTGACATAGTCTTTTCAAGACGGTCAACGATTACATCAGACAGCGAGCCGACCATCTGCACAGCGTCGTGCGCAGCGTTGGTGACAAATGCATTGAGTACTTCGTAGGCAGCAGTTCGAAGCTGGCTGTCCTGAGTGGTTTCTGTGAGTTGGAGCAGAGACTGCACGCTTGCCTGAAAATGCGGGCTGAGAGCGTTAGTCTGACAACCTGGTTCACCAGCGAAGCGGTCCGCAAGGTTCATGAGAGCCCAGCAGCAGGACGCAGCCATCTTGGGATGTGATGACAGGCCCTGGAAGAGTGCGCTTATGAGTGTCTGCAGATGCTCGTTTGGATCAATCGCGTCAGGCACAGCTTCGCAGATGCGACCGAGAGCATAGGCTGCCGAGTCCTTAACTTGGATCGAGCTGTCATTCATCATGCCAATGAGCACAGGCAGTGCTTGCTTGACCAGAGGTTCGAGGACTTTCTCGTCTGGACCCTCCATGATTGCGCCGAAGGCAGAGACGGCTGCATCACGTTGGTGCCAGTCTTCGCTCCGCAAATTCTTCTCCACGAACTGCAGCACTTGAGCGACGATTTGGCTGCCGACAGCTTGCGCCCAGAGTTGCACGCACTGGTATGCTGCGCGTGAGATGTTGTACTCATCGTCAGCAGCATCCTCATCTTGCCGCGCGAGCAGATCGAGGAGCACCGGGACAACTTCTTGCGTGGCTATGCGTGCGAAGTTGTAATAGGGTCTTAGAGCGTCGGTCCCTTCCGCTTGCGCATTGTCGTCTTCGATGCTGATCTCTTCTTCGCAGACAGTGGACCAGAACTCGACGGCCAGCTTCGCAACGTCTTCTTCCTCGCTCCGCATGCCTTGGATTGTGAGTCCAAATAGCGCCTTCTCCATGTAGAAGCGCATCTTCTCGTAGTAGAGACCCATTATGCGGTTCAGGCAGCCATATGCGCCGGACTGTATGCGGGTGTCGGTCGCCTGGGTGGCTTCGCAGATGACCTGCATGATGTAGTTGCGCTCGCCTTCGTTCTCGAAGTTGGTCCTAACGAACTCTAGAGAATCACCAAGCGCAGTGATGGCCGCGTTACGGATGTCGTTGTTCGGCTCCTCCTTACGTGCACCTTGCACAACAGCTGTGAGGATAGCATTGCTGTGCTGGGCCAGGCTGTCTCTTAGGTCCTGGTCGTCGGACTCGCAAATAAAGCCGATGGTGGTAAGCGAAGCCTGCTTCTTCTGGTCACTCCCGCTTCCCACGTTCTCCACCAACGTCGGCATTAGCTCCGGCCATTGCTCTCTTGGCAGCTCAATCGCTGCGATTGAGGAGATGAACTGCGCCGCTGACTGCCCAGCCCTGCTGTCGGTAGAACCGAGAGTCTGTAATGCCAACCCTTTCACCTGCGTCTTGGTGGCTTGATCAATCTGCTCCAGCCAGCGAGCTTGCACTTCTTTTAAGCGGACATAATCGCGGGCGGAGAAGGAGTTCTTGAGCGCCAGGCCAGCGGCCATGCGCACTTGCGACTGCGCTTGCTCATTTGCGAGCTCACGTGAGAGCGTCTGCAGGTAGCCTTGCTGTAAGAAAAAGCGATTGTCAGCGCCCCGTCCATGTTCTTGTAGCATGTCTGTGACCTACAAAATCTCCTTCAGCTGCTTGTGTAAGCTGCGCCTCAGCCTGTGTACGTATTGCGGTGTCTGCACACTGTCAGCGCTCTTCCAAGCCTGTCACGTGCATTCTTCGGTATACATACCGGGAGACAGCGTCCCTGTCAGGATCTGATTGACATCCATGTTGGCGTGAATATTTGTCTCGAAAAGGTATGGAGGAAGTAGACGGCAAGCCAAGAGCAATCATGCGCTGGTCTCAGGGCTGCCGTCGCTCGGTTCGCCGGATTGGATGCGTTCTCGGGGTTTGAGTGAAGTCCAAGACAGCGTCCGCTCTGCAGGGACTTGCGAAAACGCGAGCTGGAGGTCGTGTTTAGATGATGTAATGAGCGTGGGACTCCTGCTTTGTAAACCACACTCCACAGAGCAAGCTGCCTTCGATATTGCAGTTGAAGGCGTACAATATGTGTATTGCTTGCTGGCTCCTGCCTGAAATTCACGGATTTGTTTACGCACCCAAGTGGGATTCTTGGTGGGGCTGATGAAGGCGGTGGATTGCAAGCACGTGACATTGTTCCAGTCCCCAGGCCGCTAGACTGTTGCCTAATCGCATATCACGTTCGTACAGCACATTGAAACGGCGTAGCTTTAGTTCAGCTTCATATCAACGTAACACGTAGACACTGTACAGGATTTCATCGCTCATGGGTTATCTAGTATCACAGCATCCCAAACCCATACGCCACGCTAAAAGCCGTGCATGGAAACCATAGCTGCAGAGCCTCAACTGCCTGCCAGTCTACTCATCGACGTCCATCGGAGCCAAGAAGGCTGCTTCTTCGAAGTCCTCATGCCCAACGTCGAGCAGTACGCCATCCGTTGCCGCTCGCCTCAAGGTTGCCTTCGGCTTGGCAAGACGTCGAATACTGCTGGACGGTCCTGCAGCATCCATCTCATCAAACAGTTCGTCCAGGTCGTCCTCCATTTCGTCCTCGAACGTCCGCTTCTTGGTTCCATTTGTCTCCGGCGCTGAAGTCGAACCGAAGCTACTCTGCGTAGAAGAAGGCAGCGTCAATTGCGATGTCGTCAGTGCAGGCAGGTGTTCTTCGTCGCGCTGCAAGACAGGAGGCGCAGACGAGGGCGGCACGTAAGCCTCCGGCTGCGATGCCCACCCACCCGTTTTGTGCAGCCCGCAAAACGGCGTGAGTTCTCTCGTCCGTTCACTGTGATCTGACCTTGTCGGTGCCGTGGACGGTGGAGGTGCCGTACTCGGGAAAGGGAAGCTATCCGCAGCCAGAGACTTTTGCGTTTTGTAGCCCTCAGCCAATGACTTCCGCACGCGTAGGCCAACACTCAGCAGTGACGACTGGACTTCGTCGGGTAGCGGAGGTGAGAGCGGTGATCTCGAAGACTGTGATCGCGAGCCGTCGGCGCTGTAGTATGAGGTGATGGAAGGTTGGTATTGTCGTTTGCGGATGTGGCCCGAGGGAGACGCGGTCGTCGCCATAGTCTCAGACGGATGGGTTGCAGTGTTCTAGTGGACCGTTAGGTTCTTACAGGGCCGTCAAAGTAACACGTCGCCTCTGTCGATCCTTGTGGTTCAATATCTTGCTGACATCGGGAAAGTTGAGGCTGGCTGACGAAGTTGCTCGTTTGGGGTTTAGGAGCGGTTTCGCGTGTGAACCGCGTGTAGGTCTGTGCACGGCCGTTTCTTCGCCGAAACCTTCTTGCAGGGCAACGTCATTGCAGGACATTTATCGGCCAGACGACAAGACTCTCACCCAGCATTGCAATTGCACTCATCGAACGCCTTTACGCCCCCCGCTGGGATTGGCTGCGTGCAGACAGATGAAATCATGTTCCTGCGTTGCCAGTCTCCCACGATTTGGGCTGGGAAGACGGCCGAAATAGCTCACCGTCCACCATCCACTTTATCCCCTGTCGACTTCTCAGACTATTTTCTTTGATGTCATCTTCATCGTGTACTTCTCACAAGTTTCAAAGCCAAGCTGTTTCTACGTTGGATCATCCTTAGCAAAGATGGGAAGCTCACCCAAATCCGTTATCGTCGTTGGCGGCTCCCTTGCTGGCTTGATGCACGCATTGACCCTTCTATCCCTGCCTTCACCACCAAAAGTGCGCATTCTGGAGCGTTCCCCTACCGCTCTGCTACATGACCAAGGTGCAGGCGTTGTCGCGGGCAGCGAGACCCAGCAATTTTTCGCCGAGTATGTCCGACCTGGCCGCGAGGTTGCGGTCATCAGTCCAATACGGCACTATCTGAATCGCAAAGGCGAGATCATGCCCGAGACGGTCAATCACTGGAGTCAATGCATGACTTCATGGGATCTACTCTATCATCTGCTGAGATGGCGCGTTGACGGCCAGCAGAGCGAACACGTCAAAGGTCTAGTGGCGGATGATCGCCCCCGAGCGCAGTATGACAATGGATGTACCGTTACTGCCATTGATAGTGTAGAGGACGGCGTCAAAGTGCAATGGACGCATATGGACCATGGTGAGCAATCCGCGACTGCTGACTTAGTCTTAGCGGCAGATGGCGCCTCTTCCAGTATCCGACGTCTTCTAGCTCCTACCGTAGAGAGGAAGTACGCAGGCTATGTCGCATGGCGAGGCACGGTGCCAGAGACTGAGCTCTCCGGCGCTGCCCGCAAGGTCTTCGTCGAGCGCTTTACTTTCTATCACGCGCCGGGCATTCAGATCCTGGGTTACCTTATTCCTGGCCCAGGTGGCACCCTCGATGCAGGTCGTCGCCTCTTCAACTGGGTTTGGTACTGCAATTATCCTGAAGGCAGCCCGGAGCTGAACGAGCTGATGACTGGTACGGATGATAGAAGGCATGCCGTCACTTTGCCGGTTGGCACCATGAAGGAAGCTGTCTGGGCAAAGCAGAAAGCATATGCTACGGAAAGTCTGCCATCGCAATTCGCCGAGGCGGTCAACAGGACAAGGCAGCCATTTGTGCAGGCCATCACGGACGTAATCAGTCCGCAGAATGAGTTTATGGATGGGAAGGTGCTACTTGTCGGAGACGCCTTGGCAGGCTTTCGACCGCATACTGCTGCATCCACTGGTCAGGCGGCATTTGACGCGCTGATGTTGGGCAAGCTATTGAAGGGTGAGGTGAGCAAAGACGAATATAACAGAACTGTTAAGGATTTTGCGAAGACAGTGCAAGCACACGGTGTTGCACTTGGCGAGAAGAGTCAATTTGGCAGACATCCATTCAATGGATAACCATGGTCTTGACTCGTAACAATAAAATGCTCAACTGTCAATTGGTTACTAGTTATCGCCTTCGATCGTGGCGTATGTGGCCTTCTCTTGGCTGCTCCCCGGCAGCCGCTGACGGATGGCGTGTGCGAGGCGCTTGCTCCAAACACCAGTGAACCTTGAATCGGTCACTCTGAGCCTAGATGTTTGCTGTACTCTCTCCCTAACATTCGATCTCATTCTTCTAAATATCTGATGCGCCGCACACGAAACAACATCGACTAACGTTCTGACTCCTGCTGGACAGCGAGTCGTACGCAATCATGTCCTCCCCACCACAGCCGACATGCAGCAGCTCCTCCTTTCTCGATGCCTTCAACTGCGGAGCGGGCACGGCGTTGCAAAGCCAGTCGATAACAGCGAAAGCCTTTCTCGCCGCAGTAGCTGGTAGCTTAGTTTCGTTCGGAGTACAGACCTTGATCTTTCTGCTGCTACGGAGACGCCTATCTCGCATATACGGTCCGAAATCGTTCTTGGTGCCGGAGCGAGAACGCGTACCAGCTCCACCAAAGGGCGTGATACGATGGCTGGAACCATTATTCACAACGCCGAACCTGGCAGTCATACAGAAGTGTGGTCTCGATGCGTACTTCTTTCTGCGATACCTGCGGATGCTGCTCAAGTTCTTCGCGCCTGTGGCTATGATCCTTCTTCCAATACTGCTGCCGCTGAACAGGTATTCTGGTGGCAGTAGCAATGGACTTGATAGGCTCTCCATCTCCAACGTGGCGCCTGCTTATGTTGGAAGCCGGCTATGGGCACATCTAATTATGGCTATCGGCGTAATCATGTGGTTCTGCTACGTCGTCTACAAGGAAATGCGCGGTTATATCAGAGTCCGACAGGCTTTCCTGACCTCGCCGCAGCACCGAATCCGGGCTTCGGCGACTACTGTGCTAGTGACGGGCATTCCTCGCAAATGGTTGACACTGGAGGCCCTCTCAGGCCTATATGATGTGTTTCCGGGTGGCATAAAGAACATCTGGATCAACCGCAACTTCGATGAGCTAGCAAACAAGGTGAAAATGCGTGACAAGTATGCGAAGCAACTAGAATCTGCGGAAACGAACCTGATTAAGCTCTGCTTGAAGAAGCACGAGAAGGAGAAAGCGAAGAAGGAAGGACGCAAGAAGCAGACGAAGCAGCAGAGGAAACAGACAATTCATGACGAAGACACGGCTGCGCAGCGCATGGCACAGGGTCGAGGCATTAGTGCTGGTGATCAGCACGATACGCCTCACGGACTGCAGGACATCCTGCACGAGGAGCAGGAGCATGAGGAGAAGCAGCACGAGCACGAACTTGAAAAGCGTCGCCACAAGGCTCCAGTTCCATTCGCCATCATGAGCCAAGGCTTGGACAAGGTCCGCCTCGGAGCGGTGAACCAAGGTCTAGACGTCGTCGGGCACGGCCTTGGCGCTCTTACTAAGGGAGTAGGTGCGCTCGGACAGAGAGTCGTCGGCGATGTTGATGCTGGGCTTCGCAGGGTCGGACACGACTTTGACGAGACTACTGAGGCCGCAAACCGTGGTTTTGGCAATGGCTTTGTCACAGACGAGACGCTCTACCGGCAGACTCCGGTGAATCAAACAGACGGCGCACCAACGCCACCTTTCAGAACGCCGCCATCAGAGCCTGGAGACGTGCAGAGTCATCTCTCTGAGGGTGAGGATGCGCTCGTGCATGCCTCGCGGAATGGCGACCAAGCGCCTACCACAGCCCTACACATGGGTGACGCTACGGCAGACGTTAAGCCGCATCCGCTCGCGCTGCCCGCAACTGTGCCGGGAGATTATGCGCAGGCGTCACCCAAGAGTGAGACCACAGTCGGTGGGCCAGACATACATGTGACGCGGCCATCTGTCGAGTCGAAGCCGAGGTCTCAGATGCAGATTGAAGAGCCGCCACCGCTCCCGCCGAGACATATGACATGGAAGCTCTGGAAGAACAATGACAAGTCGCTGGAACTTCCTTCGCCACAGCCGCACACCGCAGACGAGGATGAGTTTCCACTCAACGCAAGCGCAGTCAAAGCCAACATCCCCGCCCAAGATCCGGCGAAGAGGCAGGATTCTGGCTTCTCGAGCAGTAAGTGGGTTGAGAAGTTGACTTTCTGGAAGAACGGCAACGAGGCTGCGAAGCCGGATTATCCGACTGCCATCGACAAGGAGTATGATGAAGATAAGGGCGGAGAACCTTTATGGCGAGTCTATATTGAGCAGAAGGATCGGGAAACTGCACGGCTGCCCGTATTCTCTTGGTTCATCAGCCTGCCCCTCATTGGAAAGAAAGTCGACAAGATTTACTGGTTACGGCGCGAGCTTGCTCGTCTTAATCTTGAGATTGAAGCGGACCAGAACGATGTGGAGCGCTTCCCGTTCATGAATAGCGCCTTCATCCAGTTCAACCACCAGGTCGCCGCGCATATGGCTTGCCAGTCGTTATCACACCACATCCCGCAAAGCATGGCACCCAGACTGATTGAGATCAGCCCCAATGACGTTCTTTGGGACAACATGTCCATCAAGTGGTGGGAGCGATACCTCCGGACATTCATCGTGCTGGCCATCTGTCTCGGCCTCATCGTGCTCTACGCCGTACCAGTTTCTTTCACTTCCGCGCTATCTAAGCTCGACACCCTAGGGTCGACAATTCATTGGCTCGCTTGGGTGAAGAACCTACCCCAAGTCGTGATAAGTATAATTCAGGGTCTGCTTCCACCCATTCTGCTGAACCTTATACTCCTGCTGGTGCCGATAATCTTCCGACTCTTGGTCAAGCTGCAGGGCGTTCCAACTGGCAATATGCGCGAACTTGGCGTCCAGATGTGGTATTTCACCTTTCTGTTCGTCCAGGTCTTTTTCGTGGCAACGCTTGCCAGTGGCTTGTCTGCCTTCTTCACCACACTCGCCCGGCAGCCACAGGAGGTCATCAAGTCTCTGGCGTCGTCTCTGCCGAAGGCCTCGGACTACTTTTACTCCTACCTTCTTGTGCAGGCTCTTTCCAGCTCCGCATCGACGCTATTGCAAACCTTTACACTGATCTGCTGGTTTGTGTTTCCCGCACTGTTCGACAACACGCCTCGTGCAAAGTGGCAACGTCAGACTACGCTCACGAGCATTCAGTGGGGCTCTTACTTCCCAACTTTCACCAACTACGCTGTAATCGGCATCATTTACAGCGTCATCTCACCGTTCATCCTCATTTTCATGATCATCATCTTCGGTCTCTTCTGGATCGTTCAACGGTACAATGTGCTCTACGTCACGCAGTTCCGCAACGACACGGGTGGCTTGCTCTTTCCCACGGCTGTCAACCAACTCTTTACCGGCGTTTACTTCTTGGAGCTGTGCCTGATCGGCTATTTCTTCATCAGCACGGACGAGCAAGGCAGTGCCGTCTGCATACCGCAGGCCGCAATCATGATCGTTGCGCTCGTCTTTACTGCGGTATACCAGTGGCAACTCAACCAGTCCTTCAGCCCACTGTTTCAGTTCCTGCCGATTACGTTGGAAGATGAAGCCGTCATTCGTGACGAGGCGTTCGCCAAGGAGCAGGCGAGCAAGTTCGCGCCACTTCATCAAGGTCAAGACGGTGCAGGAGACGATCAGGACATACAAGATATGCTCGAGGATCGCGAACGAGCTGAAGAAGCAGCAGGTGATGCGCTGTCGGAGAAGGATCGGCAGACTGCGGTAGAGCATAGGCGCAGCGCTCATGTGTCGACCGGACCTACTGGGGAGCTGTCAGCCTCACCATCCAACACGGATGTCGCTCACGAGCAAGCCGCCAAGCCAACGTGGAAGACGGATCGCTGGCGAACAGTTGCTCCAGAGGCTGTGGCTCGCTTGCGGTACCTAGCAATCGGTAAAGCGGACGATAAGCCTGTCATTGATTCTCGGAAGCTAAACTCACGGCAAGACGTTGAGGCGCAACACGAAATTGGTGACGCGCTTTATTCTGGCTTTGCTGACGAGCTAGAGGACCTGACGCCTCAAGAGCGTGATCTGCTCGTTCGGTACGCGTTCCAGCATGCTGCACTACGAGCGAAGAGGCCTGTAGTGTGGATTCCACGTGACAGGCTCGGCGTCAGCGACGACGAGATCAAGCGGGCCAAGAAGATGAGCACGGTCGAGATACCGGCAACGCTGGATGAGAAGACTAAGGACAAGACGGGCATGGTCGAGAAGACGAACATTTGGATCTCGAACGAGGGTACGGCGTTGGATGGCAAAGGGAAGGTCGTCTTTGGCAGAAATCCGCCCGACTTCAGCAATGTTGACTTGATCTCGCTATGAGCATAGCGCTTGGGGTTGCGGTTTCTACAGCGTTCAAGCGAGGCATTACTTTGGCGCTTGATACCCCTAGGAACATGAACGTATTCTGTACCTAATTTACAAGGATCAGTGAATCCGGGACAAGGCTGCAAATGCCATTCTCATGCAATCTTTTTGAAGTGCTGTATGCAGGTATTTCAGTTTCTTATGCTGATAGCATACGAGTGGAACATTGCGCGGACACTCTTGCTCTGTCCCTGAAAACTCGAAAGCCATTGCGGTGACGTGGGGCTTCTGTGTGCCCCGCCAAAACTTTGAAGAAAGTGGTCAAACAAATGTCCAATGTGGTCTCTATCTACATTGAGAGTTCACAATCATATCCTGAAAATATGACATCCGCGGGCAGCTACGAGCTGCTCTGTCTCGAGAATCCATTGCTGGACATACAAGCACAAGGGTAACCTCTCTACTTGCCTCCTTTCTGTTTTGGTGTAGCCGGGCTAACGGTTCTCTAGCGATCAAGCTCTACTTGACAAGTACGGTCTGAAACCGAACGATGCGATTTTAGCAGAAGACAAGCACAAGGGCTTGTACGAAGAGCTGTTGCAGAAGCAAGACGTACAGATGCTGGCAGGCGGTGCCGCTCAGAACACAGCCAGAGGGGCACAATACATGCTTCCACCAGAGTCTGTTGTCTTTATGGGCTGTGTGGGTAAGGACAAGTTCTCCAAGATCCTACAGGACGCATGCGACCAAGCTGGATTGCAGACGAAGTACCGCTACGACGAGGAGCAGCCTACGGGACGATGTGGCGTTATTATCACCGGTCACAACCGGAGCATGTGCACGGACTTGGCAGCAGCGAATTGTTACAAAATCGAGCATCTCAAGGAGAACTGGGACCTGGTGGAGAAGAGTAAAGCTTACTACGTTGGAGGTTACCACTTGACCGTCTGCGTACCCGCGGTGTTGGCGCTTGGTGAAGAGGCGGCTAAGGAGAACAAAGTCCGTTGCGGTCACCATCTTCAGTGTATGTCCGTTGCTAATAATTGTGAAGACGTTCATTCTGTCATTGTCGGCACCCTTCATACCGCAGTTTTTCAAGGACGCACTCGATCAAACAGCGCCGTACTGGGATTACGTTATTGGCAATGAGACCGAAGCAATGTCCTACGCCGACTCCCACGACCTGAACACCCACGACATTCCAACGATTGCCAAGCACCTTGCTAACTTGCCCAAGAAGAACAGCAAGCGGAAGCGGACGGCAATCATCACCCAAGGCACTGAGCCAACCGTAATTGCAGTCCAAGGTGACGACAAGGTACAGAGCTTTCCAGTCCACAAGATTGACAAGGATGAGATTGTCGATACCACAGGTGCAGGTGATGCCTTCGCAGGAGGGTTCTTCGCCGGTGTCGCAAAGGGCGAGAAGCTTGAGACGTGCGTTGACATGGGCCAATGGCTTGCTGCCCAAAGTCTGCGCGTATCAGGACCTTCGTATGTCGTCTGGCGGAGCCGCCTTTTGGCCCAGGACATCTAGAAAGAGGCTGACGTGTTCACAGATTCCCTTTTCCCAAGAAGACATACACGGCGACATCATAATCGCTCAAAAAAGCAGTCTGGCAGTGCGACCGCAAAGACCAAAGCTTCTGGCGGTATTTCAACAACCGTAAGTGTGGAAAAGCGATACCCATCATCCTCCACGATGATCTATGAGCGAGCGTTCATTTGTTGCTGTCATTGAACAGCTGCTGGAATTGCCGTATCAATCACTCATCTCGCAGTCACACCGGCATTTTTGGTCTTCCAAGCGCATGCGCAAGAACACGAGCAGAAGCGCCTGACAACCGCAGGATTTCTGCGGGCTTGGCCGCAAGCCTCACAACGTCCATGGCGTCAAACTTCCAACCCGTCTGTGACGGCATTTAAAGACGGCTGCAGGCCCACAACGTCGCTGCCTCCGTTTTGAGTAAGTGCAGAGGTAATACGCAGTGTCATGCCGTAACGTGCCAGTCCGAGTACTTGGGTGACTGTAGTGCTTACGGGCACATGGCGTGCACGAGGTGAGACAGATGTCAGTGTGACTGTCTTGATCCGTAGCCAGTTTCAGATCACTTGGCCGCGGCGGTTACTCTTTTTGTTCCTGGTCCGAAACTCAGACTCGCGCATGCAAAACCCATCCGTATGACCTTGGCAACAACGTGACCAAAAGTCGGTGCGGAAAGCTCGCGCATCTATAGTCAAGAAATGTGTTGATGGACATGTTCGGCTTTGAGCCCAATGGTGCCCAATTTAGATTTCTGCAAGAGCACGTTGCCCTACAATCAGCATTGCGTGGGCATAAATGATGATTGACATGTCGTAACAGCGCGTTAGGCGTGTATGATCCTGGTCTACCTCAACGTCGCTGCAGGAGTCTTGTCAACTGTCATGTGTAGGTTTGATGTGGCGGCGGTGCCGTTGGGCAGATGCCGTAGCTATGGCTTAACAAGGTTCACAGCGAACGATCCTCCAGCGTTTGGGGCTGGGTTGGCAGGCCGGCCCGAAGGTGAACTTGGTGAGCAGCGGCTTGCAGCAAAGCAGGTGGTCATTCGATCTGGGAAAGTTTTTGCTAACGGCAAGGTGACAGTTCGGATATGAGCGCACGGTGGGGAATTTTCAACCATATTTCGAGTCATGCTGAGTTGTTCATGTTGCCGACAACGTATTCGTGCGCTTGAGTATGCAGGGTACATGCAGGAGACTGATGCAGGTACAGGACTTGCATACAACCAACCCGTGCCTTGTGCTCAGCTTCGAAACCCGGAGTACATCAACAAGAGCTCGTCAGAGCTATGATAGCGGGAGCGCGTGCATGCGACCTGTCTCATTGTTGTCTCGACTCGGTTGCCACAGCAGTCCGGCCTGCCCGGCGGAACTGCGCCTGAGACACCGCGGCTTGCGCGACTTCCGCTAAGGAAAGCTTCCTATAGCACTGAACCTGATGGGAGTGTTGCTTCCCACGGCCGCGTATTGACGCCAGCACCGCCGATCTCAGTGTAGGGTATCCATGGTGCACAAGTACCCGCGAGGTGACCGTCCCACCGCAGTCACAGATGGGTCGCCACCCGCCACCCCGTCTTCCTTGAGTTCATAGTGCCACACGCGACCATTAGGCCGAGTACACTAGCCCGTAATCTAGGCATGTACCTGCAGAGAACCATCGTTTGCCCAAATTTGGGTGACCAATCAGGGCTGACGCAAGGCTTACGTCTCTTCTACCTGTTCCTGCTGCTTCCCTCGGTCATCTTGGGCGTCGAGAGGAAACTAACTTCGAACCTCTTGGACCCGACATGTCCAGACCCTACAATTCTCCATTTCAGGTCATTGTCCGCTCCAAACGGCGGTCATGACTCCGCTTTGCCGCCTGACACTTCTGGAAGGCCGCCTCACTCTTCCCATGAATCATGTTGGCCGTATGTAACAACACCAGCCCCCGCTATCATTCGACCAGCCCAACTGCCTTACGTTCTGGCGCCTTACTCTCCACACCTTACAAGGGTCCGGCTCGGCATCTTGACCCTGTGGGCATCGCAAAACGTCGAAGCGACAGTCCGTAGGCTCGACGACCCCACCCTTGCGCTTGGGATCTTGCTTCACTCCCACTTCCCTCATCGTCCCTCATGCACAGTCTCTTCTGCGCGCACTGCCACTCGATTACTTCATCACTCTGCTGCTAGGGCACTTCCATTCGTTTCAGCGTTCTTTCGGCACAGGTCCGGGCTCCTTCAATTTGCGTGGTTAGGCCGGACTTGAAGACTTGGGTTGGGTGGCATATTGGGCAGATTTTGCGTTGAAAAACTTTCTGCGCGTACCATTAGACGATCTCCTAGGCAGCTACGACGCGATATTGATCTTCTCGACTCCGAACAACTTCCCTGCTTTCACAAACTGCGTGGTCCAGCAGTCAACGAGAAAGAATCTACCTACCCTACTGTGGACGTTGGGCCAGTACGTCCTAGAGTAGCCCGCCGGCTTCTTAATACTTCGTCAACCAAGCAGTCTTCTATCAAATCGGCATCCTGGCGCAAGTCTATGCAACACCGCCAATCTCGCCTCAGGCGCATCTTGCGGGCAAAGACCCTCTTCTGACATATCCCGAATCATCGTATCTGGTGATGGATCAGAATGATCCATCGCAAAGACAGTATGCGCCTCATCCGTACGGTCAGCAGCAGCCGCAACAGAGTGCGAACCAGGTACTTAGCCAGTACGTCAGCCCAGTATCAGACGGACGATTTCGTCAAGCTTCCTATATCCAGCACGCACCTGCTGCATCAGCTCCAATCGGAAGGACTGCCGGCGATGTACAACAGATGTACGGCTTTCAGCAAAGCGCGCAGTACAGTGGCCTCCCGACAATGCAGGGTGCGGTCGCGTATACGCAGACAATGCAGGTCTCAGACCCACAACGACAGGCACAGCACGCAACATATCAGCCTTATGGCGGCGGCATGGCATATGGCATGGCCCCGCCGCAGATACCATCACAATCAACAGGTCCAGTATATGAGCAAGCATCACAGTACAGACAACGGCCTAGTGGTGCATCTGAGACACTCTCGGCCCAATACGGAGTTCCACAAGCGGCGCAATATTACCTTGCAGGTCAAGCGGGTCCGACCAGCGCGCCTGCTCCCGAACTCAGTGCCCAGCAGGTGCCAGCGCAATATCAACAAGCTGGCTACCCGCAACCTGGTCCACCCGTGCCGCAGCCGTATCCCAGTACCATGACCGACCCTTCTCAGTCAGGAGCTTACGCGACATATGCTCAGCAAGCTCCTTATGGCACGCAACAAGCGACTCCGTCTGTCGATCAAGAGTTCAACACGTACCGGTCGCGTGTGCGGCAGATCTTTGCTATGGTCAGGGACGGTGCGCTGTACGATGTTGGCCAACATTTGATGCAGATCTCGCAGTATTTGTTGGGCAATGCGGAAGCACTTGGTAAGTGGAGAGCCATCAGGATGAGTGCAAGGCTAACTGCATGCCTTAGGTCTCACGCGCGATGAGGATGCGGCGATGCGCGACGAGCGACTGCAGCTATGGGACGAATTCAACAAAGTCTGGCTTGCAACGATGCAGCGCCAGTTTGATATGGCGGATGAGATGTCACGCACCAACCAACCGATCCAAGAGCCTCAGTCGATCATGAATACTCAAATGCTGGAACAGCTTTCTAGAGAACTCGTGAGGCTGTGCGATATCGTCGAGCCGAAGGGTCTGGTCGACTATCAAATGGGAGTGGCAGAGGAGGAGATCGTGGAGCTTATTTTACGGTGCTTGTCGCAGCTTGAGCCAGCAAGCGATGGGGGCGGTGAAGCGACTCTTGCGGAGTCGTCGACTTCAGCGGCGTTAAGAGACCGATGATGCGTATTCCCAACTGGGTTGGCTTGTGTTACACACGGTCTAAAACAGGCGTTCGTGGCTGGGTTGGACGAACTGAAGACGTGATCCACCTATCGGAGACTGGCCGCGCTCGCTGCACGACATGTTGACATGCATGGTGGCTGCATATGGTAGCGTTTGGCGGTGTCAGGGTTCTCATTGACAAATATGCAGCGAAGGAGCACGGCGAAAGATGGTTCTGGACGGGAACCATGGCATAACACGCGGTTATGAAGGGGTTCATGGGTCGTCCATGGGTTACTTGCCCATGATTCGCATGGTAATGATGGCGAAGTATTAATGAATCGATGCAGGGCGCCACCTGTTTGCAGGCGAACAGTGTGCTGATGGTAATGTAGCTAGGGTATCTGGCTGATGTACGAGTACAAGGCGGGCAGAGGAACGCATGATAGCTCCAAATTGATGCTGTCGCAGTATTCTCAACATTGCGGTCTTTCATACACATAACCAATACAGAGGAGCTTTACTTGCCACGTAAACGCCACTCCCGCGATGACGGCAATATACAGCAAGAATGGAAGCGGTCGTGAAAGCTGACAGGTCATAAGCTAAAGCAACCCGACAGCAGCTGGCGTACTTCGATGGGTGACATAGCGTGCATCATTTATGTCGTGTCGTGGTCGGGTCGTAACATTTCACCCGACGCTCCATGGGTCGGTACCATCGCCTTCCGTTTGACGAATATCACGAGTTCCGCATCTTCTCAGGATGATGCCGCTCTCGTTGGACAACGTCGTGATATGCAGGTGGTGCATCTTGTGTGACTTGGGTACGCGTATTGACTTTCTCTGTTGGAAAGCTCTCGGACTCCGCACTCAACGTCCTCTTCATTTGTGCGCCGGTCTCTGTCTGTAGGTCTTCGTACCGTAAGGCGTTATGCTTGGCTTTGCGTTCCTTCCTTTTCTGGGCCGCCTTGTCGGCAAGGGCGATTGTGCCAGCGATAAGCAAGCAAGCCATATCCCGATAGTTGTTTGTGAGTCTTGTGTGGTTATAGATCTGTGTGTGCTACCAGTAAAGCTGTTGATGTCAACCGAATGTCAAGAAGAAGACACGCCACCCATATAACGAAGCGTATGCCTATGACATAAACACTCATTTTGCAGATCTTCATCCGAAGCGGTTTAGCGCAGGGTGCACAGCCCTCCGGATGGAGGTGAATGCGAACGGTTGCGAACATCCGTATGCGAAGGCGGTGTGGCATTGCTGGGTACTTGGAATTGCTGGAAAGTGGCGTGTCAATTTCTCCGCATGACCCAAGCTGTTGTAGGGCATTGCGGAGACTCTGCGCTCTGCGGCAGCCTCTTGTGGTCAGCTTGGCAAGTTGCCTGGGCGAAGTAGAACTCAGCTATGAAGGAGAGAAGAGGAGACCCTCATTATCAAAACACTGTCTACTCGAACACCAACACCAGGTCTCCGTCTTCCCTCCCACCAAGGCCCATCCCGTCACCATTATCGAAGGAAACGTGTGCAAGCAGCGAGGACGAGTGATCGTAGCCCAATGCGTCAACAAGCATTCAAACTCTCGAAAATGGCAACAATGGATCCTGCTCTGCTTTCGTCCGCGCCGAATATCGGCAGAAACTCTCCGCGGTTCGCTGGAATGTGCAAGATGCAAGACTCCCGTGACCCGTGATTCTTTTGTAACGCCGTCGTAACGCCTGGTGAACACCATACATGAGATAATTAGATGATGCAGGGACGCCGTCGAAATGCTGCAGATTCGCTTCTTGCGGCCTCTTCGTGCTCATGCTCGTCCGTGAAAGCGGTGTTGTGTACGTGCTTTGTGTTCATTAGAAGAAATGCGTGTGCGGCTTGCTGAGCTCGTGGACTTCCATCTCCTAGAGCGATATTAGCGTGAACGTTCGAGTACGAGTAAGATTAGGGACGTACCATTTTGAAGGTATTGAGCTCCTCTTTGATCTGCTGTGCCAGCATCGGCGTCAGGCGGTTACACGTGGCAACCTCACCGCGACGATCATACTCGGTGCTCGACCAAACATCGTGGAACTGTATCCGCGGGCTGAAGGTGATGCCCCTGATCGAGCCGTTAGGCGTATTGGGCATGCTCTTCGTCAGCGTCACCAGTCGCGGGGTGAAGTAATCGCCATTCAGCGAAGCGCTACGGCCTTGTAGCTGGTCCTTCGGCGTATCAGGCATGCTCACGGCCGGGCTTTCCACGATCTGTGGAACCGAAGCTGGAGCAGCGTCAATAGGGTTGATGGTTGGCGAGCCGTTCGGCGATCCAGTGCCAGATCGTTTGAGGATACCTTTACGGACTGCTGCAAGGACATCAGCTCGATCCTTCTCGCTGCCGACGATGCTACGTCGAGAGAGCGAGTCCGAGCCATCCGCGGACCCTCTAGCTTCTGCTGGAGCGCCGCCTGTTGCCGTGGCCGTTGCCGCAGCGCTTGCGGCGTCAATGGAGTTGCGCTCCAGTCTTGGGAAGCCAGTAGCACCTCCAGCCTTCTCTGCAGGGTCCGCATTAACATTAACCTTCTGTCGTTCAGCCTCGACTGTTACCATCGACACCTGAGCCACGCTAGGTTGGACGGGAGCCCCGGATCCGACTTGGACGACAGGACCATCCGCAGCCGGCACGCCGATCACAGACTTGGGTCTGAACAAGCCCTTGATGCTTCTAGCACCCTTCCTCGCACCCTGGCCCATTTTCCGCAGCATCATCGACGCGGACGATGCGGTGGAAGAGATGGATAGATTGTCCGTGGAGCCAGTGAAGCCGCCCTGTCCTGAATAGATGCCTGCACCGATTCCAGCTGCTTCCTGTCTCCTCGCAATCTCTTGCTGCTCGGCATCAAGCTCCAACTCACTGTCCACCCGTTGCTGATGCTGTGCCCGAGCTTGCTGCGCTGCCTGTGCAGCTTGTGCGGCTTGGTTGTTCTCTCCCGCAGCCCGCCTAAGTTCATGAGATCCGCCAAAAGAGAAGGCGCGACGTAGCCGTGACTTCATGCCCTTGTTAAGGTCCTTGTCGGACACAGCTGCGAGTTGTGCAGCTGCTGCGCTCGGAGCCGCCAGCGGCGTCTGGACGCCGGCCTGGGCAGCAGCAGCGTAGGTCTTAGGTTTAACCGGAGATGTTTGCTCTGGGTCTACAGCTTGCTTTGACAACGGCGATGGACCAGCGATGCGTTTGTTAGGCTCAGACGAGCCTCTTGGCGGAACGCTGACATTGGGCTGCGGTGTAGGCTTGACATTCTCCACGAGCCTTACACTCTCTCGCTGAATGGACTCTGCTCTTGCAAGCGAAGTCTGAGACGGGTTGCGGGAGATGGCTTCCTCACTGGACGCTTGCGAGTGGAAGGAGACCGGTCTCATGGTGGTCGGAGTAGATGTGGCACCCGGTCCGTGTCCGGAACTCGGTCTCCGAGCGCCAGCACTAGCTTGCGGTGTCATCAACGTCTGCGTCTCCAGGCTGTTCAAGCTGCGTCTCCTATAACGCTTAGCCAGTTCAGACTCCTTTGACTTCGGCATAGCCATGTCGTCAACACTTTCCTGCCGCCGGATTGGCTGCTGAACCTGGTAAAGGTGGCTGACACTACCGAGTCCGTTTCCGGACGGCGCTGCCGAGCCCATCGGTACCTTGGCGGACCCATTGCTGTCCACACGCCGCTGAGCAGGCCGTCTATAACGGTCAGGTGACGCTTTGACAGGCTGCTCAAACGATGGCATTGCCAGGTCAGGTGACGGCAACGCTACGTTAAGTAGCGACGGCGGCTGCGATGTCATAAACGAATCACCCTTCGTCGATGGCTGAGACGACGTCTCTGAAGACGACGACGTGGACGCTGAGGGTGCGTGACCGTGAGGTTTCTGTGCCCCTTGAACGAAGGTAGGCGCGGAAGCCGTCCGCGGGGTTGCAGTGAAGGCGTAGGGAGCCACGGGGGCCGCAGAGGTAGTTCGATACACGTTGTGCTGCCCATTGTACATGCTCCTTGGGGTTTGTGTTAGACGTGGCGTTGGGGAGTATTGTTGCTGTGTAGATTGGAAGGCCTCGGCTGACGATGGCCGGGAAGGTAGCATCATAGGCAAGACTTCGGCCATGGGGTCAACAAGTGGTGAATAAGACGTGTATTCTGCAAGGCTAAGCAGTCAGTAAATGAGATCGCTGAAGGACTTGGCTGGTTGTGTGAAGGCGAACACGGGGAGAGGCAGTCACGGGAGGAGCAGAGGCTGGAAGGAGTACAGGAGACGGCTAAACACGGGGCTGTGATGAGGAGATCCAAAGGCGAGCATGACAGGAACAAGAACGGTAATGGTGCCGTTCTCGCCTGCCCAGTGTATCTCAAGCGTATCATACCTTCTTAGCCTGTTGCGGGAAAGTCCTGGGCGGACTGTGGCAAGACCTCAATGCATCTGGTTGCCGAGGAAGATGTAGTATAGCACTGCTCTTGCTAGCCAACGATGTCGAAGGTTCAGTCGTAAGTCGTCAAAAGGTCGTTGTAGCGGCGGCGTAAGAGGGCAAATATGGTGATGAGCTGAAAGGGGGCTTGTTTGGAGAATGTTAGGGCGGGCCTCGCCAGTAGATGCACGACACAACCAACGCCCGTATCCTGTTACAAAACACGCACTCGAGGGCTCATGCTGGTCAACGAAGACTTGAGCACGATCGGGAGAGAAGAAGGCGAACTCCCTCGGTGCCAGGCTGTGAGGAGAGTGATTGATGAGAATGCCACTCAACTGCTCTCCCAATTCCCGCACTAGCGTCTCCGCTATGCATTACGCTGCATACGTGCACAGACGATAACCATCGAGGCCTACCCGCTCGGTCTATGTACTTTCTTACCTTTTCGCAGGACAGAAGTTGTTTCTTAAGGCGAAACCGCACTCACGATACCGCCCGAACAGCGTCCTGTGGAAGGCGGATACTTCATCACATAACAACGTTGCTCGTGTACGCCAGGACAACAGTGCCCTCGTAGTCGAGCCGCCCGCCGATGCGGCAGCCAGTTTGAATACGAGCCGTGTCTTCTCCTTGCTTCTGCCTTTCACATGGCGACAAGACACCCTGTGCAGCAACGGATTATTCATCTGCGACACATAGTTGCAGGCCTCGACCACCAACGTTTCTTGATACAGGTTGTCAGAGCTGTGGAAGTGCAATGATTGTTCTCTGGCGGCAGTAGCGGTTCTCGCCATATCGAAATAAACATGCTTAGGCGATGATCGGCATCTAAGCTTTCCTATTCCGCCGTTCGAAACGGCTCCAAAATAGCTGGCTTAGGCCGCTTCTCGATCTTATCCGCAGCACGAGCAGCAGTCCAGGCTGCAACAGGCCAACACCCTGGCTGTTGTGGACAGTAAAGCAATAGCAGAATCGCCACTGCTATAAGGAGAGCCTTCATTGCATGTCGCGAGCGTTGCTAAAGCTACCTCCAAGATAGCAAAGCTTCCATCAGCTCTGTCTGAGATGTAGACGGTCCGATCCAATGAGCAGTTAAGCCACCATCATCGTAACCCTGCATCTAAACAGCACTGCAGGAAGCTTGCATTTCTGCATGCCCTTCGACCAATCCTACGCGTGGACCAGCAGCATCCGACTCCACGCATTGCGCGTTCGTGGGCTCTCACGCCTAACCGCAAGCGGCTATGGGCTTGATCGCTTCCGTGTGTGTGGGGAGCCTTCGCGGCTGAACTTCACCTCTTCGCGCGCTGTGTTGTGGGGATGCTGAACAAGCTGCAAGGGTGCCCTCACGACTTCTTGCTACCTTCACCACCAGCCGCGTCATGTTGTCCCGCATATGCTTCGATGCTGCCGTCGATCGAGATGGTGTCCAAAGCATTGGGAGCCTCCATAGCAACACCTCCGCATGCAACGACCGGGCACAGAACATAGCTACCTTCTCGAGCTCCTTTAAAGGTTGCCGTTGAAGCCTTGGTACGGTAAGTGCTTGCAGCGCGCTACAACTGTGCTCTATGATACGCATCCGCCTACTGCAGGACTGCGAGAGCATGCCAACGCTATGCCGAAGACGGCAGCTACAGCTTACTTATCTGAACCTGGGCACTTGCCGGTGAGGGTCGCGCTTCAGTGCATTCTGTCCTACAATACTACCGAGCCGCTCGCAGAACGCTGAGAGCTCGTATGCCCGCTCGCTGTGAAAGCTAGGAGCGGAATTAGCACAATCGGAGAGAAGGCAGCAGTCGGCATAGATAGCTCCACGGGAAACCTGTTTGCGAGGGATGCAGCTATCGCTGGACTAATCGCTGTGCTAGATTAGATATACATACATACGATGGCCTACATGCACACTCGGACTTCGGAAAATGTGGTGTCGGTGTGGTCTGGCACTTTCTTGTCGCATTGTCCCGACCACATTCGCCGCTCGCGGTTCAAGAGCATCACTGGTCACGTGCTCGTTTTGGTGAAGACGAAGCCAATTCTCTTACCGTCCTCACGGATTACCGTCCGCAGCGCATCGTCTTCGATCGCAGTCTCGAGACTGTTCAGCTCTTGCGGCTCGTTCTCCCATGGCTCGTCATCACCCCATACCATCTCGGTTTGGTCAGAGAGTTTCGGCACTGCAGAGTTGGCAGTATCAAAGTGGGCATATTGCATGAGGCTAAGCATTTTCGCCTTGCCATCAGCGTTAAGGCACTCTCGAGCTTTCCGTTTGATGTCCGCTTCCTGTGTCTGCCAGTCGACCTGATTCCCAGTCCGCCATTTGACAATGTCCTTCCGTGACAGGATTTCGTCGTCAGAGTCAGCGTCCATCCAGATAATTTCTGGTTGCTGGGCTTCCTCAAGATCGATGAATCCACCGGCCGCAGTACTGAGTGATGCCAGATCGTTGCGACCTGGAAGCGCGATTTCAGGATCAGGCGACACAAGCGTGCCATTCCCGCCACAGCTGCAGCCAAGTAGCTTGTGCGTTTGGCAGTCCAGATCTTCATCTAGGCTGAAGAGGTCGCGGAGCTCCTCACGAGTGAAGCCACTGACACCGCTCTTGCCGTCTACTATACTGTCAGCCAGTCCCGTCTTGCTGACCTGCCGCTGAAATATCTTCTCGTCGAGAGCACCTTGTGTAACCAAGCGATAGATGAAGCACGGCCGCTTCTGACCATCTCTGTGCACTCGAGCCATCGCTTGAAGGTCTGTCGCAGGGTTCCAGTCTAGATCGAAAAGTATCAGCCTGGATGCGCCGATCAGATTGAGGCCGACACCACCAGCTTTAGCGGACAACAGAAAGACAAATGAGTTACTTGGCGGCGACCTGTTGAAACGATCGACCAACTCCTGCCGTTTGCCTGCAGGTGTTGAGCCATCCAGCCGAAGATATCTGTACGAGAGCGAACTCAGCAGATTCCCCAGGATATCCATAGTCGCCGTGTAGTTGCTGACAAGCACTACCTTCTCTTCTGTTGTGGTCCGGATGCGATGAAGCAGTGAATCGAGCACCTGCAATTTCCCGCTCGCGCCAGGCGTCCTGAGCAGACCCGAAGGCACGCATCCGAGAAGCTCGGGCTTAGTCGCATCGTCCCCTTTGTCGCCTTTCCTCAGCAATAAGGTCGGGCTGTTACAGACCTTCTTGAGGATATTGATAAGTTCAAGTGTGACAGCAGACGAGCCCAGTGCCGCGTTGAAAGTTGGTGATCCGATGATCGCTCGATACACCAACGCTTGTGCTTCGGTGGGTCTGCAAAAAACCACGTACTCCGTCTTGGGCGGCAAATACTTCGACAGTATTTCTGCTGTTCGCCGCAAGATGAACATGCCGGTGAGCTTCGCTAGCTCTTCGCTACGCGCTTCGCCCTTCTCCACGTCCTTCGCAGAAGCGCCAGGCTGTCGACTCTTGAGTATGGGATTCTCGAACTCCCGTTTAAAGACCGAATACTTGTTCAACAAGCCGGGATTGACGAAATCGACCATGGTGAAGAACTCTGCCAAGTCATTCTGGATCGGCGTGCCACTAAGTATGATCCGCCGATCCGTCTTCAGTGAGCGAATTGCTAAGGCAGACTTGTTCTGCGCAGTCTTCAGGCGGTGACCCTCGTCGGCAATGACGATGTCAATGCCGCTTCCCTTCTGCAAATCCTCTTGCACCATTCGAAGCTTCTCATAGCCAATAATCATAACGCTATAGCTCCTGCCCATGGTGAAGTCTGTTAGCCGCGTCTTCTTGCTCTCCGCGACGAATACGCCTACGCGCTCCTTGCCGAGCCACTTCGTAAACTCCTTGCGCCAATTGTTGATCAGGGTGACTGGACATACGATCAACGCTTTCTTGATCACTGGAGCGTCTTGGTAAACGGGATTCTGTTTGAGAAGCGTCCAGACGAGCGCGATTGTCTGCAATGTCTTGCCGAGCCCCATTTCGTCCGCCAGAATGGCTCCCTCGCCGTCGTATTGTTTCATGCCCATGACGCATTCGTACAGAAATGCAACACCCGCGCGCTGATGTTCGCGCAAGGACTTCGTCAAGATCGGATCAACAACCACGTCCACAATTTGCTTGCCTTTTGGTACGCTTTTAAGTCGTCTCATCACAAGCGCACCTTCAGCATGGGGGTTGTGACGCGGAATCGGCATGATGGCGTCCCGCTTGGGCTGTTGCACGGTATCGTTCAGGAGCGGCGGCTTGTACTTCTGGCTCGTGGCTTTCGACGTTACGGCCACACGCTGCACAGGATCCCTCTGAGTCTCGACGATCTTGTCGTGGCGACCTTGAGCTTTGTTAGTGACACGGCTGACCTCATCTAGCTCCTTCACGGACGGTGGAGGCGGCTGCTGCTTCACGTTGCCCAGAAACGGTCTACCCGCAAGAAGGTCTTCTTTGGTTATCATGGACTCCACCTCAACATCTTTGCCTCCAACAGACAGCTCTGTGCCTACAAGAAGCGGGCCCTTACAGATCGCCCTGCCAAGCTCTCTGCCAGAGATGTCCTGGAGAGTGGCGTAGCCACCTGAAACCGACAGCACGCCGTCACCGTCCCAGGTCTTGTGTTTCTTCGTTGTAAATTTGCGCCTACGTCTGCGTTAGTATGGACTAGGGCATCGAGCCAGGAACCTCACCAGAGCACCGTGAAATAGCCCTCCAGACCAATGTCGGAACTGTTGCTTTGCGAAGAAGCGGGCAGATTTGGAACCACATTAAGCGGCCGTCGCTGCGCCGGTGGCTGGAAATTTTTGCCCGGTTTCGGCCTTTTCAGCAAGTGTGCAGCTGCACTCACGGCTTCCATATGGTCGTTTGTGGAGGTGTTGCTGCTGAGGCGTCGTTTTTTCGTCGGAGGCTCTCCGCTTGGATGCCAGTAGGTTTGAGAGTTGACCATCGTTGGGGGTCTGAAAGGCTTCATACTGGGCCATTGAAATGGTTGTATGCAGATAAGGTGTGGTAGTCTGAAGTCGAGAAGTTGAAGTCGCGCGGCGCGTCAGGCACTCGGACCCACTTGTCGCGCTCGCCACGCTGCTTCATGTGACTTCTGATCAAATCTGTCACGCAGACTTCAACCTCGTCTCGTCGTCTCGCTAGCGATCATTGGGTCCACTCCAACGCAAATACCGAGCAGTGTTGCATGCCCCATTCTAGGCACTGCGCGATATCCTCAAGTACTGTACCGGTGCCGAGGTGACTGCGGCACCGAAGGCCGATGAACCGACACATATTCCTTACTCACCCCTATGTTTATTCGACCGCAATCGTACCGGCTATCGTAAACCGGAAGGTGGCGACCGGCTTGGTCCGTTCAGCCCATCGTAAGTGGATGTAAGAGCGTTGCAGATGCGAGATGCTTCATTACAGCAAACCCCACCAATTCCGGCTGAGGGCGAGCTAAGGCGCGGTACTTGTGAAACCCATCCTGCAGCAAGATTGTTTCGTGCAGATCGATCAAAGCCGTGTCACACACTCCTCACTGTTCCTAGACCTCGGGTGGTGCATTCGCAAACATGCCTGCCACGCTGCCAAACGGTATCCCAATACCTGAAGTGCCGTTGAGCTTCGTACCCGCCAAGGCCGGTGAAGTGATCAAGCTTGGCCAATTGACATGCCGCATTATGGAGGATGGCTCCAACACGGGTGAGACTCAGCACCGTCCAGAGTTATGAAAGCATGCTGACACCGCCCAGATAACAGAATTGGCGTTGCTGAGCTGATCCTGCCACCTAAAACGCCCGGTCCGCCACCGCACTGGCACGAGATGCACGACGAAACATTCTTCGTCACGAAGGGCACGATTCGCTTCCACGTGCCCGAGCCCGGAAGCCCGGGCGTCGACAAGAAAGTCGTGGATGCAAAGGCCGGAGATTACATGGTTGTCCCCATCCGCTCGCCGCATACCTTCAGCAACCCATTCGATGAAGAGGGCAGGATCTTCTTCACGACGACGCCATCGTTCTACATTAATTACTTCAAGCTGCTATCCACACTTGGCGAGGAGGGCAAGCCGATGCCGGCAGAGGTCAACATGACAGCCATGGCATTGTATGCCACTACGCTTGTCGACAAGCAGCCAAGAAAGCCCGAGTAGGATGACACTAAAAGTTGAAACGAAGCTCGGGCGAAGCCAGTCTTGGTTCAAGTACTCAAGACCAAACAAGCTTCTTTAAAGAGTAACCCAGACTCTCAATGTACCCCGTGCTCTTCCTGGCATCGCTCACGGAGATGACATCCCTGTCCTCCACTTGTGGCACCTTCTCCAGCTCCAAATGATCCGTCCCTCGTGTCTTGCGCAGCGCAGCTGCCAATAGCCTTTGAATGTCCTCACAAATTGACCTGATGAATTCAGGTTCGCTCAAAGCGCCCTCGGCGGCCTCTTCACGTCCTGGATGCTTCACAGCCGACGACGTGGGTGGCAGCGCTTTAAAGGCGAGCAACCTGCTCTCGTTTTTCTCGGGCTCACTCTGCTTTTGCAGCTCATTCTTGCCCTTATTCTCCTCCTCGGCCGCTTTCTCGTTGTCCAGCGTGCGAGTGTTAGTGCGTACCACCGCCTGACCTCTTGTCTGATATCGCAATGCGAAGCCGTAGTTCTTGCTCTGGTCAGTATGGGTGGGCCCGAGCGTGCTAGTAATGTATGCGCCACACCACAATTGCGTAATGTCTGTCAAATCTACTCGCTCGAACGATCCGACCTTTTCAGCATCCCAATCGAAGCGGCAAAAGTACAGCGCAGCGTCGGTGAGCAGTAACACACATTCCTCGAAAGGCAGGCTTTTAAGCGTGTTGGCCTCCTGCGGGCAGCTCAGGCTCCACCCAGCGGTCAAATGTTCTTTAGGATCCTCGAGCACGATCTTGATGCAAGTGTCGATTGCGTTCTGGCGTATCCGTTTGACGTCAAGCGCATAGTCTTGGCTCATCATGTCGGCTTCGAAATCATCGAAGGCCGAGGGTCCTACGTTTCCCAGGTAAAAGTCGATATTGAGTTGTAAAAAGTAGTCGCCGAAAATGTTATTATAGTAACGATTTAGCGTGAGACTGAAGTCAGACAAGGCTCCAGTCCAATTACGCTTCCTAGTCCGGGTGAAGTCCCCTTTGAGCGCCGAGGTACCGGCATACTGTTTGGAGATTGCGTCGCCATTATCGGCCCTGCTGACCGTCAGTCATCTTCACAGTCACATTGACCAAAGCCGTCATTCTTCCCTCGGCCTCGTGAGTGCCTGCGGGTCCAACGATCCGCAACATTGTTGGATACGTTTGAGGAGAGTGTGAGCTTACCACAGTGTATTGAACCATTGAGTCTTCGGATCCTTCTGCAGATCAATGTTCAAACCCAGCTCTGCGAGCTGCTGCTGCAATGCCCAACCACCAACCGCAGACTGCACGACGTTGGTGCGATCGAGGCAGTCCATGCAATTGGTTCGGAGTACTCCTTTCTGCTGGCGCACGTTACGGTCATTCTGTTTGACTATCCAGCCAAAACTTTTGAGCGGACTCTGCAGCGTATCCAGCAAGAGCGAAACGTTCTCGAACTTCATACCCTTACACTGAGCGTGGAAGTCAAACCACTCGAAGCCCACGGCTTTGCCTTCGACGCCGCCATGTTCGTTGAGCACGCCCACTTGTCGTTCAAACGCTTCGCCAATGCCTGCTTCGGTAGCGTGTTTGTCGACCAAGCTTGCTACCTGCACGTCGCCGTACCTGACGTCGGTGGGTAGGAGTGTCAGCACAGAAATCACAGTGTAATGAGAGTCAACGAACGCGTCGCTCTGCCTACCTTTGCTTGAGGTTACCAAAGTGCTTTTGAAGTGCCGCTTGATTTGTGCTTTCCGAACCAAACAGTATCGGCAGAGGCTTGAAGCTGTACGGACTTTGGGAGAAGAACAGGGGTATGGAGCCTCGCACCTGAACCAATGAAAACGTCTTAGCCGACATGTGCCATGATTGAGGGGAGAGAATTTGCTCCGTCTCAACACTGTTAGCGACGTTGCCTTCGTTGTCCACACCACGGCGTAGGTAGCGAAGTCCTGCCCGCTTGACAGAACGACGTGAAATCAGTGTAAGAATGTAGTCTTCCTGGTTGTTTCTGGCGCCTGTATCCGTCGGCGTAGGCTGCCCCTGAGCAGCGATGACCTCTTCAGGCTTTTGTGCTGCTTCAGCGACGACATCAGGATCCGTTCCGTCTGTCCTTGATATGGAGAAGGCACGTTGGCCGACGAAGCCCTGCATGAGTGGAAGCACAAACGAGTCGTGACCAGCAGAGATGAAGGGCTCAACAAGATGGCGGTTCCAGAAGAAGAGGCTGCCGAAACGTGTGTGTAGCGGTAACGAAGAGGTGACGACGTCCTTCTGCATCAGCGTGCCAGACAGGTCATGTTCGTAAGAGAAGAAGAAGCCACTCGAGCTGAAATACAACTTCGCACTTCGCAAGATACGAGGCATGAGCGACTCGACCGTGCTTCGCTGCTTAGGTGCCGGCTTTCCCGACCCAGACTTTGCATTCCCTTCATGTTCCACCGCTGGATCGGAGTGTGATGCCTCTGCGCCGGCGTTTGCATTGGTGACCGTGCCGGGAAGAGCCTGAGCAGTTTGCTTTGCCTCTCCATCGTCTGCTTCGTTTGAGCGGGGGTCTGCTTGCTTCGCGCCTGCTTGAGCATCGCTATCCGTCTGCGGAAGAGCCTCAGCAGTCTGCTCTTCCTGCTCCCTCGTCAGACCGTCATCCAGGCCCTGCTGACTGCGTAGGCCGGTACTGCGCCCGCCTTTGCTGAACCAACGGCTGGCGAAACGTCCATACTTCCCTCGATCTTGTACGACACTCTTTACAATGTTTGTGCCTTTCTGTACTACGCCAGCCTTGGGCGCCTCAAGCGCAGCAACTTCTGGCGTCAACTCGCCCGGATCTGCCTCGTCGATGCTTGCAGTCTCGCTCGCCTCACCAACATCGCTCTCGTCTGTTTCTTCTCCCACAGCGTGACCTGTCTTTAGCGTCTTCTGCACCTTCAATATTGCTTTCTCCGCTTCAGCTTGTGAAGCAAGTGGGATAAGGGTAACGTCCGTCAAAGAATAAACTGGCTTGCCCCTAATCTGCGCCACTTGCTCACGGCGAGTGATGGATATCAAATATGAGCTTGACACCAGGTCCAACAGCCCTATGCCGCCTCAGCATGTGTAACGAAGCGATTCCCGGCGGCTTCATTTACCGACGATGCCATGAGCTTCGATTGATCTATCGTGGGCGTCGTTGTCGTCTGTGCGCGACGCAGACGAGATGGCGTTGCTCCCATATGCGATACAGACGCTCTTCGTACCCTGATCTTGGGCTCCCACTGGATGTAGGAAGAGACCATCTACAGCGGCGCATCTGGTAACCGTATCTGTCAGCATGCACGACTGTATCTAACAACGTTTTCTGCCTACATCAGCAACTTGCGAACAAGTCCCGGCATTGCAATATGGTGATTATATCAACAATGGGCGACAATTAACCTGTCATAAAGGTAGGTACACTGTCAACATTATACGCGATCTGATGGAGAGTGTGACGTAGACGCGGCTTGACGATTGTATGCTATCGGCTTTGCGGACTTGGGCAGCAATCGATGCCGTTCAATGTCGGCCTAGATGCCATCTCAAAGGAACTGTTGGGTATTGCTACCTCTTGAGTCTTCAGACATGCAACACTGACATGCGGATGCGTAAATGGGGACTGTATGATTCGAAGTTATGTAACAGATCATAAGACTATACAGCGCTATACCCTCCTCTAGACCCTCCACTTTTCATTCGATCTATGATGTTCGCAGCCCACTCCTTGACAATGTAGGGTATATCTCGTATTGTATCGCCGTGCGGAATCAGATCCCATCCCCGTGCGCCATACCGGTTGTAATTCAGCCACGAGCCAAAAATGATGTAAGCGGCAACGAGCAAGAACACGATGATGATAAACCACGAAAAGAAGCCCAAGCCGCCTCTCTTCTTGCCACCGTCTCCGTCAGATGGCAGGTCTGCGGCATCCTCGCATGCGTACTTGGTCTGCCACGTCAAGCGGAGGACTTTGATGTCATCCTTTTCTTCCTTGAATGAGACGAACTGGATACTCTTGCCCTTGTCAAGGTCTGGCAGCACAGGATCTTGATAATCGCCGTCATCATCGCTATCGTCCGCAAACAGGTTCATGCCGCCATATCTTGCAATGTCTGTTGCATTATCCGAGCCGTCACAACACTCATTGCCAGTCTTGTTGCGATTGCAGTGGAGTTCGATGATGGCCTTGTGAGTCTGGCCGATGTACTTGCCACCGTGCAACTCTATCCTAAGCCCTTCTTGGTCCGCATTGGAACTCTCCTTGAGCCTCGTGATTTCCGGATCAAGCGATAAGCCATGGCTTGCCGTGAACTCGCCAGCAATGGGTATCACTTTGCTGATCTCAGATCGGTTGTCGGGGATGTTGTACAGTTCTTCTACTCCGCACACTCTTGTCCCCGTGGGACACTCATCGCTGCCCGCACCCTTGGACCGTTTGAGGGGTTTACAAAGGTCGATGGTGAAGGTAAGATTGGATATACTGGGCGGCTGCCATTGCTGCCAATGTACCGTCTTTGGCCCTGTGAGCTCTGACAGATCGAAGTCCTTCTCGTCGATCCGTATGTGTCTACAATCCAATGTCACAGCAGTGATGGAAGCCGGGAGTAGGATAAAGGCGCATAGCGTGTGCCACGGTGAAAGCATCGCGTAGCTGCTCTAGGGACTCAAAAGCTTCGGCGACTCCAGCAATTGTACAAAGGTGTCACCATTCAAGGGATCAAGAAGTATGAATGAGTGACAAGAAGGCTATGGTTTCCATATCGGGGTGTGTTTGCGATACTCATGATGGAATACTAAGAGGCCTTGAAGCTCCCCTTCACTGGTCAGTGGCTGAGCTACTGCCGTTTTGGTTAAGCTTCCGCATAAGATGCGCAATATCGCCACCCCTTGACTCATCTGGTCACATCCGACTCTATCAACCCAACATGGAAAATGTTTGCGCAAGCACGGTCGCCTAAGAGTCGAAGATTTGAAACCATGACTCTTCGCACCTGAGAAAGAGGTATATGTAAGTATCTGACTGCGTACGCCATGATTTCCCCCTTCACCCAGGCACCAAACTTCTACTACATCACTATACAGAACACACTCACACCGAGATGGGACAAAAACACAACAGGAAGCGCACCAGACATCGATCCATGAGCTCCCGGAGACGGCACTCTCTACTCCCTTCATGCGGCGCCTTGTCTCCGTCCGGAGGGATCTGCGGTCTGCCATCTTCATTACCGTTCTCCAACATTGCACGTACGGATAGCGCTCAATCATCATCCGATGGTGTCTCAGACCGTCAATCATCGGAGCGGTGTCCACAACCTGACAACGAAGCCGAGCTTGCTTATAACCGCGAGCAGAGGATATTTGGCGGCGTATATGGAGAGCCCGATGCCAGCAGTTTGTGCGGACCGATGCTGGACGTTGTGCTTGGATTGTTCAACGGCGTTGACTACGAGGATCCCATCGTATCGGGCGGGTAGCCTTCTTGGGTTGTCGCAGCCCAAGCGCATGTTCCTCAGACCTGCTTCTCAGGATCTTCAACTGGCTGCCTCACAGCAGCCTGACTTTCTCTCCTTCTCGCCGTCTCAGCCTCACTTGCTTCCTTCTTCCGCTTAAGCTCCTGGCAGAACTTGCTGTTGGCTCGTATGCGGTCTCCGAACCTTATGAAGACGAACGGTATGAGACTCATCAGCAGACTCAGGAATGCCAGCGTGCTGCAAGCCCACGCAACGCCGAGTCGATCGTACATAGGCGCCGCAGCGAAAGGTAGCACCACTCCGAAAACCGCTCGCGTGCACGCGGCAGCGCCTGTTGCACTGGCGGCGAAAACTTCGTAGGCATCGACAATATAGTTGAGCTGTCCCATGAAGACCAGGAGAAAGCCGAGGCCGAAGGGTAACGCGGACATGGTCGGCACGATCCAATGGATGCTGGGCTTTGCAGTCCAGCCCAACCAGAACAGGCTGGCGACGAATAGCGGACCTCCCAGACACGCAAGAGGTAGCCGCACATACTCTTCGATCTGGCTCCAAGCAGGCGGTGACGTCCGTGACTGTGCCCTGTCTAGGTAGCCATCCCAAGCCAAGTAGACAATGCTTGCTATCGCGGCACCGACTCCGATAGGGATAAAAGCAAGACCCTCCTCTCCTGCGCTGAAACCGTAGATTCCCTCGAAGATGATCGGATATGCCTGGAAGTACATGAAGAAGATTCCGTACGCAACCGCGAGGTATAGACACGAGCAGAAAACGATCGCTTCAAAGAGGAACATCCGGATCGGCCGGGTTAGAATCACCACGATCAGCTCGCGTACGTCAACCTTTTCAAGCTCGACAGGCGCTACGATGGTTTCATCTCCAGTTGCTTTCCGCATGCGCTGAGCTTTCCTCTTAAGGATGACTGGTCCGTAAGTCTCTGGCATGAATATCAAAAGTGGCCACGTGGCTCCGGCGATGATGAGAAGGATCCAGTAGGACCAGCGCCACGAGATATGTGCCGTGTACCCAGAGGCTATCGGGCCGATCAAAGGTCCCCATGTTGTTGCTGCCATGAACAGAGTAATGACAAGGCCTCGCGCCTTACGCGTATTGTATATATCAGCATAGATACCGCCGACGACGGACACAGGCGTTGATGCTCCAATGCCGACCAGAAAACGCATTACAATAAGCCCAGCGAACGTCGGAGTTAAAGCGCAGCCGAGCGTAAACGCAGTGAAGATGGCGAATGTTGCTATCATGACAATCTTGCGGCCATACGTCTCTGACAGCGGCTGTCATATATCAGCAACGCGACGATGAACGAAATTGCTAAGCACCTACCGAAAAGGCAAGCGGACCTAACACATACCCAACAAGGTAAATGGAGTTTGGTAGAACTAGATCTTCCCGGTTGTTGATATGAAAGTGATTCAGCGTCGCCGCAGCTGAACCAGAAGGAACGCTACTGCCGATGGTACTGTTCATAACCAGCATAATAGCTGTGATTACAATGTATAGCTTCTTGATCTGGCTGAAGTTGTAGGGATTCTCGACGTCGCCATCTTCGAAAGACACCATAGTCTTCCCACCATCTCGCTGGGGGCTCGGACATCTCGACGGTGTTGAAGATGTATCTTGGGATACAGTTGTCTTCTCCAGTTCGATCTGTTTGCCCGCATCATACTCGTCGAGTCTGCGCAAAGGATTGTTGACCGGCGAAGTCGGCGGCGATTGGCCATGCCCGTCCGACATGCGGGGCAAGGTATTGTGGTGGGGACGTTCAGCACGAACGTTCGAAGAGGTCGCAGGCGCACAAACATTAAGCAGTGCATGTGAGTCTTCGTCAAGCAATCGAAGCGAGACACAGTAGTGACGTCCGTTTGACAGTTGGGCGTATGTCGAGGTGTATTCATCTCTGTTCCCTATTCCCATTGGGCAAGAGATCCCCACCGATCGGCTATCGGCATAACAGCCATGGCAAAGCTAAGTGTATCCCGAGGCCAGCATAGTTGCTGCTTACGGTACAAAGCTGAATTGTGTTGCTGGACACAGAGGCTGGGGCGCGAGTGTACAATGTGTCGATGTAGGAAAACCGAGCGCTTGTGAAGCTGACGTTGAACCGCCTCTTCTCAGATGTTACATTCGCCATATCGCGCTACCGCGAGCTATGCGAGTCCAGGACTCTATAACATTGTCAGCCTGTGTTATGTGTTCTGAAGTATAGTATTGTTTGTTCATCATCCTACGAGCGGTGGAGCCAAAAGCTTGTTGTGCTAAGGTGGGCGGTCCGCAACGGTCAAGTTTGCAGAGCCTCAAATACAGGCCGGTCGACAGTGGCTGGCCAGAGGCAATTGGTTGGGCTGGACATCAAGGAGCACTAGTCCTCTGTCCTCACGCTTCCAAGTTGATACTTCGACCGAACCTGCCGTAAAGCGCCGCCTTGAGTTCCTGCATCTCGTCTCGAAGCTCACTCAATCTGTCGTGGAGTGAGGAGACCTCGCCATCGATTTTCTCCACTGTGGATGATAGGAGGTCTTGGGCTTGAGATACCGACAGTGAGAAGAATGAGTCGCCTATCTTGTACCTATTGCACGTTAACATGGGCAGAACTATCACGTTCAAAACTAATTCCGCTTTTACGTACGGAACCTTGTCGTCTTCGTCGGCAAGCTCGAGCTCGGTGGAGATCTCTTCCAGGTCTTCTTTCTCCTTCTGCGGGCTTATTGTTAGCACAGGGTCTCGAAGGTCTCAGCAGGCGAAGGGCAAATAACACCTCCTTTACTTTCAGCTGCTCCTCCAACCCTTTCTCGCGGGAGTGCAGCCGACTGAAGCGATTAATCTTCTCCTGGTCTTCGCGGCGAACTTCTTTCTCTTCGCCGATCTGGGCCTCTTCTTCGTGCGACAACTGCGCAAATTTAGATGGTGCCCATGCTGAGATAGATCCACTCTTACGTACCATGCGGCGGGACAACATGTTTTCGGCGAGAAACCGCGTAAATCAGAGTGCTCGAAAAGATTCACCTAGCAAAAGCGTACAGACAGAGCGAATGGAATAGTTCCTCGATAGTGACAGAACCTAGTCGTACTGCTGCCTTAGGCAAACAGCTGTCTGTATGGCTCGGTGCGTCGTGCTCATCTGCATTGATCTAATCTCGGAGCGTAATCCGGTAGCATATCATCAAGGCCAGAATAGACCTAGAAAGGTAGTGGTCCTCAGGGACGCAGAATATCTAAGTGATCCGCCGCTTCTTGCAAGAGTCACAGTTGCGAGCTTCACTCATTGTGCCTGGGTGCTGTGCGGGAAGCCTCGCGTCGGATCTGCGGCTCGCTCCGCGTCAACCGTACAGTAGACTTTGACGCTAGCGGCGCATTTTCGAAGCACACCTGCATGAAGCACTCCAAGAGATCCGACTCTCACCGTGGACCAACTATATCTGTTGTCTGTTGTTGCTCAAGACACGCGGCTCGATGAAGCGCAAGCTGGGCGCATTGGAGAAGGTGGATGCGGATCTGCCTAATCTCCAGCACAAGATACGTGCAGATCCGCCATCCTACCACGATGACTTCCTCAACCAATACTCGCAATATTCGTCCTTACATGAGCTGTTCCTGCAATCGCCTACAACCACCGACGACACCGGGATAGTCAGATTGCGCGATTTGATTGACTTCGTCAGCCATGTTGCCGACTGCTACCCTGCGCTCACAGCCCGGTTTGCCACAGACCTCATCCATTTGCTTCAAGTCCATCACGCCACACTGGACACTGAACTGCGCGACAAGATCGTTGGAAGTCTAGTTCTGTTGCGCAAGAAGGAATTGATTGACAGTAATGTCTTGCTGCAGACACTATGGCCACTACTCATCTCTACGCCATCCAAGTCTTTACGTGCCCTGCTGTTTCAGAAGATTGTGTCGGATCTCCGATCGTCTAACAGCAAAACGACGAACCACAAGCTCAACCGCAGTATACAGACCACATGCTACAATCTGATCGCCTCGGACCCGACTTCAGCCAAGGGTCTTTGGGCCGTCAAGCTGACTCGAGAATTATGGAAACGGCAAGTTTGGACTGACTCCAAAGCCGTCTCGATCATGGAGGCTGCAGCGCTGGGTCAGGACGCAAAGGTTGTCAGCGGTGGCGTTCGCTTCTTCCTTGGTGGCGACCAAGAACGCGAGGAAGCGGCCGATGACGACAGCGACGAGGATGAGGGCGTTGACATGTCCAGATTGCGGCATCAAGCTGGCATCAACAAGAAAACTGCCAAGCGCGACAAAGATCTCAAGGCGGCGGCGGCCAAAGTCAAGCGGAAGGAGAAGAAAAAGAATGCGCCGCACCCTTTGAACTTCAGCGCGCTGCATCTGCTGCATGATCCGCAAGGCTTCGCGGAGAAGCTGTATCAGCAACACTTGCAGTCTGCACAGCCGAAAGCGAGGCTAAACCTTGAGCAGAAGCTGTTGGTGCTCAACCTTGTCTCCCGCTTGGTAGGCTTGCACAAGCTTACCTTGATCCCACTGTACTCTTACTTCTTGAAGTTCTTGACCCCAAGGCAGCCATCTGTCACGTCCTTTCTGGCCGCGCTGGCGCAAGCGACCCATACTCTAGTTCCGCCAGATGTGCTTGAGCCGCTTGTGCAAAAGATCGCAAACGAATTTGTGTCCGAAGCTGCAGCAGCCGAAGTGGCAAGCGCGGGCTTGAGTGGCATTCGCGAGGTCTGCGTACGGCAACCGCTAGCGATGAATGAGACGCTGTTGCAGGATCTGGTACAGTACCGGAAGTCGAAGGACAAAGGCGTGCAGATGGCTGCGCGCGGATTGCTGTCCTTGTATCGCGATGTTGGAGCTGAGATGCTGCGAAAGCGAGACAGAGGTCGTGAGGCGGCGTTGAAGCTGCGTAATCGAGGTAGCAAGGACGGTGGGCTAGATGCCAGCAGAAGATTTGGGCATGTCGAGGACGGCGGTATTGAAGGCCTCGACTTGCTCGAGAAGTGGAAGGAAGAGCAGGGCCTGGACATTGACGCGCTTGACGAGGAAGCGGAGGCGAGAGGGTGGGAGAACTGGGACGCAGAGAGCGACGATAGTGATAGCAGTGGCGGCTGGATCAATGTCGAGTCGGACGGTGAAGACATCGACATCTCGGACTCTGATGAGGAGATGGCAAAGGCCGCTGGCAAGCTGGGGGAGGCGCCGGCCAACGTGAAAGCCACGGAAGCAGAGAAAGAGAACCTGGACACCAACGGCCATGCAACGCCGAGCGCAGATCGAAACACCGCATCTCTCGAACCTGAGGCAGCCGTCAGGAGGGAAGAACAGCGTATCTCCAAGCTCGCAACCACACGCATACTCACCCCAGCCGACCTCGCAAAGCTCCAGGAACTTCGACAGAACGCCGCAATCAGTGCAGCTCTGCCTTCCGCCAAGCGACGCAAGCTACAAGCCGCGGCGCAACTCGCCGCTCAAGCCCGACACGCTGACGACGCAGTCACCGCGTCCGATATCGCAGGTCTCGCTGCTCTGAGCCACAAGGCTACCAAAGCGGAGAAAGTCGCTATGGCTAAGGGACACCGACCGGACGGCGATGAGACGGACAAGAACGACCACCGCAGTACCACGGCGAGGCGGAAGGAGAAGAAGGCAAGCGAGGGCAAAAGTACGACGAACAAAGAGAAAGCGCGCAAGAAGAACTTCATGATGACGTTAGGCAAGGCGAAGAGGAAGGGGAAGCGGAGTTTGGTGGAGCATAGGGCGATCTTGAAGGCGCATGTGGATAGATCGAGGAAGGGTGGGAGGAGGGGAAATAAGTAGCTTCGTATCATGAAGACATCCCCATTGCATGTTGGGCCTTTTCAGACCTTGAAGATCTTCAACAGTGCGTCTTGCACGATGCTCATATTGTAGTCGATCAACATGCGCTTGTCTGCTGAGCTGCCCTTGCCCATCACGCAGAGTAAGGAGAGGTGGCTGTAGGTCGAAGTGAGCCCAGGGCCAAGCTTCGATAAGGGGATTGTGTGACTTACTCATCGATCTCCCTCGCGTAAATGTACGTATCGCCACTCCTGTCGTACGTGACCAGACTCTCTCCGACACTGTCGTCTTGTGACGTCGTGTCCTGACTCTGTCGCTCGTGCTTCTGCCAGCCGTAGATCTGCTTGATGTCGACTATAACATCAACATAGTCCGAGCAGACCTCGTAATCCCTCAGGAACGTCGGACTGGTGTCCGTCGCCACATAGATCTTACTGCTCGTGTCGAAGAGGTAGGCTTTCTGTATCCGGCATGTGGAACACAGCTTGTTCAGCAAGGCCTCCATCGCTGGCAGCTGCGGTAGTAGTCTCTGTACGACCTTACTCATCGCTTCGAAGATGCTATAGTCGAAGATGCTAGTCTGGTGATAACTGACGCTGCGGTCGCCATGGCCAAGATCGCTAAGCTCGTCTTGCACTCGCTGTCGGACCTCACGGAAAGCTTCGTAATTGTATTCTTCGCTCAGGCCGTCAGTCTTGTGGATGAAGACTTCGAAGTTGACGCGGGGGTAGTTCTCGGCAAGGAAGACTGCGGTCTGGATGAGATCTCCGATCGCGTTGAGGTACTCATCCTGGACGTCGACGACCCAGATGACTGCTCCTGCATTGCCGAAGGCGGCACGGTGGTCGAATTCAGGTGCGGTGACAGGTGCATTTGGCGGTATCTCCGCCGTCTCGATTGGGACGAATGATTGCAGCGTGGCTCGTTCCATCCGTGGGGTAGGTTCCAAGAAGAGAGTATCCGCAGGCGAGAGCTTCTCGAAGACCACTTTACGAACCGATGACTTGCCGCTTCTTCAAACATAACGTGTTAGTCAAGCGGGTAGATAGATCCTGGGAGGTATCGACGTACTTTCTCAAGCCCATAAACAGTAGCTTTGGGTGCCCTTTCCGTTTCACGTGCTGCGCTGGTTGTCGAGTTGTCTGGTCTGCTGCATCCCTTTCGGCTTGCTGCTGTGCCTGTAGATGTTGCGTTAACCATCCGTGCTGATTGGGCGAACTGTGCGTAGAAGCGTTGGAACTAGCAGCCGACGCAGTTGAGTGGAACAGGAGCTCAAACGGGTTATGCTGCGGCCGCGGTGTTGGCGACGGGCTTAGGATGTTCTCCCCGAACAGCGTACGCATTGTCGGCACTTTCTTGTTGTTGATACTTTGATGTCAGGCCTCAAACCAGTCTTCTAACTCTCGATCCTTCCACGCCGTAGAGAGTACGCTAGGTTCTCCGACAGTATTCAGAACGCAACGGGAACTGCACCTACACATCGCCGTGTTGTTGTCCAACTATGTATCTAGCCAACGCCGAATACCGGAAAGTATGCATGGGATGTGTGCGTGATACCATAATGATGGGAAGACGTGGGACTGGGAAGGAAAAGGAGCACACGACGTTTGTTCTCAAATCCTTGCATGACTTGCGGTCGACATAGATGACAAGAGAAGGTGGCTTCCTTACCTCCTCAATGGCCGTCATCCTGGCAGCAGATGGCTAGTACTACCCAGCAAAGGCCTGAACGGTCGCTTCGGGGCTCCTTCGGCTACTCACCGCTGTTCCGTTTGTGAGTAGCAATTCCGTGTTCCGCGACCAGTAACACTCATTGGCGGCCTTAGTGTTGCAATAGTATGCCGCAGCGTTGTTGCAGGAGGTCCAACTCCAGCGACCGGGCACGGTGCGTGGTGCAGCGGGTATGTAAGATTCACGTTTGTCGTTCCACGCTGTCGGGTTCCACGGCACACCAACGGCAGTGTACGATATGTTGTGCCACGTTGCGGAGCCGTGGACCAGAGTATCAACAGTCGCACGATATCGATTGGTATCTCAAACCATGTAAGGAAGATGGTCGGCCACAAACGGGTTGGAAGAAGGAAGCACGACCGTGGGCTTGGCGTGGGATGTCAGCTTCGGGCATGGAACTCCACGACATTCGGACACAATGACGAATCAGGTCATGCTATAAATCCTGCAACCACTGCTCCGCCCGCGCCTATGGATGTGATCCGTCGTGCCAGCGATCACACTACTCAAGCCATCATTACGTCCGCTACCTCAGCCTGCGGTGCGTGGCCATTGGCTACGACCGGTCTTCCCAATACTTCTTCTGCTACCGGCCGACCGCCGGGCTGCAGCACAGGGGCGTCCGCAATCGTTGCCCCTCCTGGCGCGCGATACGGCTCATTTCTGTGCGACTGAGGAAGCATAAAGGTCTCAAAGAAGCTGTTGACCGCTGCTGTGTCTTCCATGGGCCCAACGTAGGAGACATACTGATCAGGCCGAAGGATGACGATGCAACCCTTGTCCGAGATACCGAAAGTTTCGTACATCTTTCCAAACCCTTCATGATACGATGCATCATCCGCATAGATCTTCGAGTAATCGTAACCATCAACTTCGTCATAATGTCGAAAGACTGACGGGAAGTCGAAGATGGTGACTGACTGTCGGGGAGCCATGTGTACAGCGAAGATCTCAAAGACCTCGTTGAACGCACCGCCACCAGGTGTGAAGCGGTGGAGGAAGGAGTCCGCGCTCTCGAACGCTTTGCCGACCTCACCGAGCTTCTTCTTTTGATCTGACTTGAGTATGTCGCCAGGGAAGACAACGACACGCCAGCGGCCATTGCTCGGAAGCAGCTCCTGAAAATGCCATGGTCGGGCATCGGACTGATTCAGGACCTTGACGCTTGGCATGCGTTTGCCAACCTCGATGCCGGCCGCTAGCGATTGGTCTGAGACGACGCGGAGTTTAGGGTCTTTCACAGAGACGTCGGTACCGTCTCCTTGGTCACTGGTATCGCCGCGCTTGGCAACGATCATGCTGGCACCGTAATCGACAGCTACGAACAATGAGTCTTATTGATGATGCAATGTGGGGATGTAGACACTAACCAATACCACTTGCGAACATATTACCCTTCTCGAATGCCTTCTTGAACTCATCCATGCTGATGCCTTCTGCATCCATAACGTCCTTGGCTGGGCGTCCCGAGAATAAACGGGAGAATTTGCGGTCGAACTCGATGAGATCTTGAGCGATCCGTCGACGCTCAGACTGATACGTCTTCAGAATCGAACGCGATGAGATGCCCTTCACCACGCTGGCTATCTTCCAGCCAAGATTGAATGCTACAACATCGGTTAGCAAGCATGCATCCACATTGCCGGGCCGGTTAACTTACTGTCTTGCATGCTAACGTTCATGCCTTGGCCGGCCTTCGGAGAGTGGGTATGCACAGCGTCGCCGGCCAAGAACACCCGCTCGTGAACAGAGAACTTCGTTCCGACGCGTTGTCCGATCTGGTACGCAGTCCACCAGTCCAACTTCCGGTACGTGATCTTGTACGGAGCCATGATGCGCTGTGCGGACTCTAGAATTACCTGAGGACTGATCTTCGATCTGTCCGCTTTGCTCCCACCTTCGCCAATCTTCTCGGTCGTGGTCAGCTGAATATATAGTCGGACGAGCTTGTTCTCACGCGGAATGACCATGACGCTGCCTGCATTGGCAGAATGGATCGCGCAACGCATCCGAATGTCGGGGAAATCTGTTATCGGTACGATATCAAGCACACCCCAAATGTAGTCGGTCGAGTCACCCTCCAGGCGCAGTCCAATCTGACCACGAACCCACGAGTGGGCGCCGTCTGCGCCGAGCACGTATTTCGCGTGAACGATCTCTTCCGTATCGGCCTTGGAGCTTAGCTGGGTTACCTTTAGGAGCTCAGCAGTGTCATCTGCCGTAAGATTGCTGCGGAAGAGGCCATCCTGCACCGCCTGGCCGTTTGCAGATGTCGCCGATTGCTTCGGGGTCGCTTCCTCCTCTGACAAATGCCGTAACTTGACGGTAACCGGACACGCGCCGACATTCTCAACGTTAGACACATCGATGGTAAGTTCGACCGGCACAACACCTCTCTCAACCTCGAGATCGCTACAACCTTTCAATTCGTCTAGAAAGTACCGCTCGATCCTACCTTGGTGAAGCACAACCTGCTGGAAGCGACTGATGCCAGGAATTGTATCTGGGATGCGGTCGCCTCGACGAATGATCCCTTTCTCGTCGGGGTTCCATAAGCAGATCTCCAACATATGGTTCGATTCCCGCCTACGCTCTGTGAGCAGGTCCATACACACACGAACGAAATGCTCCAAGCTTGCCCAACCTACCATACGCGGTGCCCAAAGCCAAGGGAGTCGAAGATCTCGAGGGTGCGACATTGCAGTCCGTCGGCTTGACCATTGAAGATCTTGGTTCCTCTTTTGTCGACGATCCGGGCGTTGATGCCACATTTCGCCATCCACGTTGCCATCATGAGACCGGCCTAAACCTCTACCGTCAATCTCCTTAGTGACCGTGTCGGCCAGACTGTGCTTACCGGTCCCGCACCGACGATGAGAACGTCGACGTTGCTCTCCGGCACATCGTACGTGCTTCCCATGATATTGACAATAATCTACGAAGGAGTCTATGTATTCTACAACATGAAAGCAACGAGAGTCCGTTCGTCGTTCAATGTTGTCGCAGATGCGTCGTCGTGACCGCAAAGTCTACCCTTATGCTGCCGTTCGAACCTGTACAAAAGACCAGATAGTGTCTGCGAGACTGCATCTTTAACTGTCACCCCGCCCCGATCCTGCACGCACTAGTGGTACATACTCTGAGCTCGTGAGAAACAGAAATGGAACGTGGGGAAGGTCTTGAACAGAACCAGGGCCGACGTTCCTTTTGACCGCATCTACCACGCGTGAGGTGCCTATCGCCGGCCTCCATTTCGTGCCACAACACTACTATAACATCGCCTGAACGGCGCTGCTGAGTCGCGTCTTATCTCTCTCATAGAGTGGGTCAATGGACCCCCGTCTTCCCGGTCTGCCATCCGGAGTGCCTTTCTGGAGTGCGCGGGCGCTGAGGATCAGACATACGCAATTGTATAAGGCGTGATCCCTTCTTCGTCATGTATGTGTGGGCATCTGCGCAAGCCGTCAGGATTGTGCACGCGCGAGGACGATTTGGGGATACGGTCTGAGAACTTCGGACCACGACACCGGTCACGCCAAGCCATTGTACACGTTGGCTCCGCCACAGCCTTGTCTTAGCCCTTATGCAGGGTAGTAACCCAAACCCATGCTTCTGAACCTTACTCAGCGTTCATTTGCAACACAATATCAGGCCAACCACGGTGTGCGAGACAAGGTGAACGTTCAAGCGCATCTGGGAATGGCGCTCAAGATGAAACGTTTCTCAACACTGCTGCGACATAAAAGTATGCTGTCAGACCAGATGTCCTGTCCGGCACAAGCTAACGACAAGCTGTTGATGTAGGTAATGATAATGCGACAAGATACGATCTCGCAACGGCACCAGCAGACTCTCCGGAAGCCAACGCTGGACGAGCTATTCGCTTGTTCTGCGAGTCTGGCAGCACCAGCAATGGTGGTGAGGAGGTATTACATCTGCCCGTCATTGTCGAGGCGGCCGAATCCTCCCCAGCGGCTGCGGCAGTATCAGCACACCAGATCCGCACATTTTTAAGTCGAGACTGGGTGGCCAAGCCGCATGTTCAATACAATGCTATGATGTTGATCCGGATACTGAGCGACAACCCTGGACGAACGTTCACAAGGAACTTCGACAAGCAGTTTGTGAGTACGGTGAAGGAGCTCCTGAGGAATGGCAGGGATCCGAACACGCAGCAAATGCTTCGAGAGACGTTGGATAATCTCGAGGTCAGCAAGGCGCATGATGAAGGGCTGCAGCTGTTGCTGCAGATGTGGAGGAAGGAGAAAGGTCAGACGGCGAGCTTAGCCCATTCGCGGAGCGTCAGAGGGCCGCCGCTTGGGCCCACCAACGGCACTGGGTTCTGGCCGCGGTCGCAGTCGACACCGCAACAACAGCCGCCGATGCAGCCTCAACCGGTAAGTGCAAGTGATGGCCAGCAACATGCTGCAGCATCAAGGCGGCATCAGCTTCCTCCGCCAGTCGAGCTCGCAGGCCGCATAGAAGAGGCTCGTAATACGGCCAAGATCCTCATGCAACTCCTCCAGTCAACACCGCCTAGTGAAGTTCCGCCGAACGAGCTCATCAAGGAGTTCTCGGAGCGTTGTCAGACAGCGCAGAAGAGCATGCAAGCCTACGTCCACTGTAACGACCCTCCGCCGGACGACGACACGATGTTGACGCTCATTGAAACGACTGAGCACTTGAGTCTTGCCACAAGTCGCTATCAACGAGCCCTTCTTGCTGCGCGAAGGTCCGGTAGCAGTCCACAGCCAGAAGTGATGCAGAATGGTTACGGTGCGTACAGCGACCCGTCGCCACCGATGCAGAATCAGGCTGCGTCTACCCCTTCGCCGCCGCCGCAGCAGCGTGCACCGCAACATGGCAACTCACTCTTTGCGCCAGCGCCGCAGCATCGGTATCCCGCCGATGGTTATGGAAGCTATCAATCTCCGCCAGGTCCACCACCGAACAGGTTGTCTACACCGCAGCCACATGGCGGCTCGAGCGATTATGCAGCGCCACAACGCATGCCAATGCCATCGCAATCACCTCCACCACGAGGTCCGGTCACCGTGCCCTTCTCCGACCCTTTCGCGGATCCCGCAGAATACCACGACAACCCAGCACCTCTCGCCTTCGAACCGACCAATTACGGCAGCGTCCGCCATTCCAACATCAGTCATGCGCGTACAAGCCGCGCGTTCAGCATTGACTCTGAAAACGCGTACGGAACTGCGGGCGGCGGGCCAAGCGCTTCCCGGCATAGTACTTTAGACTACAACAACCGACCCAGCCCAGACCTTTCCGCTCGCACGCCAAGCATAGGCACGACGCCAACTTCACCAGAGTTCTCCGCCACTCTCACGCCACCTCAACAGCACTCGCATCCCGTCGCCTTGCGGCCAGGGCCGGGACCGTATCACTATTCGGGCGCCACACCATCGTATCTTGGTCGGCAGAGCAGCGCTGCAGATGGATTGACCATGCATGGTGCTGGAGGGCCGGTGGACGAGGACAATGGTGTTGCGGTGCAGGAGATCGACTCGCACTCCGACGTCGGACGCCGTGATCGCGATCGGGCCACAACGGAGGCAAGTCCAAGCGATGCAGGAACGACCGTGAGTTCGTTGGAGACCATGAGCCCTGTGGAGTTCCAGACGGCGCAAACGGCGCGCAGGGTGGACATTCGAGGGACTGGCGGGTTTAGAAACAGCATCACGGGAGTGCGAGTGTAACTGAGAGCGCATTGTCAATTTTTGCTCGGCTGACAGCGGTCGTCCATGCAGGTGTTGGTTGTAGACCCTATCTAGCCTTATGTTTAATGAGCCCAACGATAGTCATGCTGGACGTAGATACCACCGTAGCGCCGTCACTGGTATTTCGAAGCATCAATGGTACCATTATCCCGCCATCTCCGCATCTTTATCCACGTCGCCTTTCTTTGCATCTAGATCAAGGACAAGCCACTCCTTGCCATCGTTCCCAAAAACAACGCAGACCCTTTTGCCTTTTCTACCGCCGATATGTAACTGTCCCGGCCGGAAGGACTCGGAGAATGTATGGATGGCGGGTTGCGCGCTAAGACTCTGGTCAAGCTGGATTAGGGTATACGGTTCGGCAGTGGAAGCAGAGCACTGTAATGCTAGGATATCTGAGGAGAAAGTATCAGAGGAGAACTTTGCAGCAAGGACCTGATCATGTTGAGTTGTGATGTAAGTGGCCGGAAGATCGACATGTGACGTCGTTGTTAAGATGAGCCGATTCTCCTCAGTATCGCAGCAGAGCAGTCTGGTGTTGGCACTTCGCTTACCAGTCTTCGGATCTGCCGTGATGGTGTGCTGAAGGTCGCAAATGTCCGCGGTTGTGATCGTCTCAAGCTCGTCATTGCCGAAGGCAACCGAGATAGGCGGCTTCAGCATCCTACCTTGCCACTCCTGAATGCGATTTAGTGCACTTTGAATAGTGTACTGCAGATAGGCCACCAGTATTGGCAGGTTGACAAGCGCGTTCGCATCGTCAACGTCCTCCAACTGGAGCTCTTCCTGCGCGTCCACACTGTCGAGCTGCCGAACAACCTCCAGAGTCTTCCCGTAGCCCAAGGAAGCGTACTTGCCTTCAGCGGATCGGTCCTCTGTGTTGGTTGGCTCTGCCTGAAGATGACGCGCCAGCCGTGATCGAGTCATCGTCCTCTCTATGTACTCCAGCACGAGTGAGTACTCAATGTTAGGATTCTCCCTCTCCTCAGTCTCGATGGCGCCCTTTGTGCCGGGCCCAGCGACGCCGATTTCGATCATGACTCGCAGCCACTTACTGAAGGCCTTGAACTGCTTGTGCTCGTCTATGATCATCAGAAGCATTTTCTCCGCTACAATGCCTAAGCTGTCAATTGCATCTAGCAACTTCGTAAACGGTCCAGGCGGGACATCGAAGTTGGTGCTGCCTTCGTGAAAGCGAGCATGACCACGAAGGGTCGTTGTGGCGATTGACAGCCGTTCGAGTCCGGGCCTGAAATGCATGAAGAGATGCGTTTGTATGTGGGTATAGAGACTGTTGACAGCTTGGTCCCACCGCTTGTGGTTAGTCTCCTTGACAATGTCAATGAGCCATTCGAGCATGGTGGGTGTAAAGTCTGTCGTCATTGCAAGGTGGTAGAGGTTCATTATGAGGTCGCCTTCTTGCTTTTCTTCGAGTTCGGTCTGCGCGTTCGCGATGAGCCGATCAGGAAACTGGAGGCCCGTCCTGAAATCATGCACCATGCAGTCACACGTCTGCGAGACGTAAGCGAGCAGTGACTGAATACGTTTCGTGTTCTGCGAAACGACGTACAGTAACGGGCTGCCAAGTGTCTGCAACGGTAGATCCATGTGACAAAGGTGTAGATGGCGATCATGGTCTCGCGAGAGAATGGCATGAGAGAAACTCTTAGCGTGAGCTGCTGCGCAGATAGGCCTGTCGTGTATCTTACGAGTCCCTACAGGAACGATGGCGTCCATGAAGACTTCCACGCCGCCATCGCTTGCGTAGATGAGGAGCGCGTCAACGTCATCGGCAGCACCGGCCTTCACCACACTCTCGAAGGCTAGATCGGTTTGTGCTTGAGACGCGAACTTGCCACCGTCCACGGAAGAAGAGCCCACCCGCAGACCGTGGCTCGGCAGAGCGCTGAGCTTCGGAAACACGGTGGTGACATCTAGGGTGACTATTGACCTTGCTAGCTTTTCGATAGTAGCATGGCCGTGGGGTCGAAGCTGTTCGTTGATCAACGCTGCGCCGGAGTTGTCGTCTGCGTCAGAGCCATCCTCCCGGGCAAACCAGGCTTCCGTGTCGAGCTCGTCTGCGGACACCGTGGGCTGCGAGGGCGCAGAACTCTGTCCATCATGCCTCATCCACGAGAAGCAAGTCACGACGGCACCGTCTAAGTCAGTCTGATCATCCAGTCTATTTCCCGCAGTGGGACTCTGCCCTCGCCCACTGAGCCAACCATGCGAAATCAGCCGTCCGTTTTCGCCCGAGTAAAGCCCATAACTTCCATCATTCCACCCACACGCCAGCAGCTTACCATCCTGCTTCCAGGCAAGAGCTGTAGCTGCAAGCTTGGCGTCATCTTGTACGCGGAAGAAGTCTTTGCTAGGTTTAACGGTGAACGCGACTTGACCATTAATGCGGTAGACCACTACGACATTCTCCGTGGCAATGGCAACGAGATCGTGCGGATCACAGTAGGCTACAAGCACCGATGGGTCGATCGCCGGGCTGCTGAGGTGGGTGTGCGAGATCACTGGCAACATTCTCCTGTAACTTGCGGATGCAGTGGAAGATGTGGGGACTTTAATGAAGTCGGAAGTGCAAAAGCTGCGCTAAAGACGCGGTATCACGTGGAACTATCGAACAATCACCGCTGCAAACCGAAAGGCTATATAATCACAGAGCAACCGCTTCTCAGGAAGCCACCTGCAACAACGATGCCACGACTCAAACGCCATCGTAACGCCGCGAACCGCTTTAGGTCTGCCTGCCTGCCTGCCTGCCTTCGCACGTTACGCAAGCAGCTCTCTGCGCGTAGCCTCCATGCCGGGAGCTTCACAGTGCTAGTCAATAGATCATGATAAGAGAAGACATGGCGCTCAAGGAGAGAGTGTAGGAGAGGGCTGTGCGGCCGTTCGCTGTGAATCTGATGCGTTATGGTTAGTGTTCGGGACTTACCTTGACCTTTCATGTTAGTGCTGATACGCTGGTTATGCGCTGGTTGGCCGGAGTTTCGTCCACTCAATCTTGGTCAACTTCGGAGGTTAGTGATTGCACTTGACGGACGGCATGCCGGCGTCGTGATCTTGCGGCTGACATTGCGTGTCCCACGGCAATAGTGGGTTCTGCGCTTCGTCTCCATATGCTGGGTTGCTGTTGACTGTACTGTGCGGCGAGATGCGTCGCTCGCATCAGTGAGTGCGAGCGCTTGCGGTACACGCAACGTCCACCAAAGACCAGAAGCGACGACGCTCATCCCGCCTTGGCCCTCTTGAGCTCCGGTTCTTCGAGCTCAAACCCGTCCTCGGCCGCTTTATCAAACGAACGCTTGCCGAGTGGTGAGCCAGACTTGGCGGGTTGAGCAACCGCTGCCTGATACTCAGCATCGTAGTCATCATCGTCGTCGAAGCCGATGTTCTCTTGGTCAAGTTCTGGCTGCGGACCATGGTGCTCACCGGTGTTCTCATACGCGGCAAGATACTCCTCTGCATCAGGTAGATGCTCTGGTCCGTGTTCGTAGTCTCCCTCATCCCGGTAGCCTTGGGCAGCATGGGGATGTTGTTGTTCGTCGCCAGTCTCAAGGTATTTTTCCTCTTCCTGCTCTTCGAGAGCGTCAGCAGTACGATACTGTAAGCCGTGAAACTCTGCCTCGTCGTCGTCATAAACGTCCTCGTAGTCATTCCCGGTCACTCCGGGTGCTTCTGCATGCAATCCGAACATGAACTCCTCACCAACAGTGTAAACGTCCTCGTACGGGTCGTGTTGCGAAACTGCTTTGTCATCGTCATGGCCATGACCATTATTGTCAGTCTCCCTTGAACGCGCCTCTCCGTTGAACTTTTCGTTCTGGTTGTTAGCACTTGCCGTTTGTTCTGCGAGCTCACTGTTGTCGTGCGCCGTGTCCGGTTCCGCTTGCGACACCTCACCCTCAGCGAGGATGTTGGCTGTCGGCTCTAAGTTGTAGCTTGTCAGGCTTTTCTCTTCGTCTCCATCCCAATCTATGTGGTACTCACCATTGTCGTCATTGTCGGCGGGAGCGCTTGCGATTGACTCAGCAAAGAGAGAGACTTCGTTTTGCCGTGCCTCTGCAGTGCCAACATCATCATCGGTAAGCTCAGCGGCAAGTGACTGGTCGGAAAGCGCTGTTGTGGCATTGTGCGGAGATGTGTTGTTTGCTGAGGTTCTGCCGTCGCTTGTATGATTGTTGACATGCTCCGCAGTTTCCGTTTGGTCATGGCGAGTATCAGCAGCCTCTTCATAAGGCTCCACGTCATGCGCTGCAGCATTCTCAGTGCGTTCGTATAGCCCTTCAACATCTGCTTCTGCATGGTCTGTTGCATCTTCGCCGTTCTCCTCGGCCTCTACCGCTTCTTCTTGGTGGTGCCCGTCAGCTTCGTACGTGTAACCCTGACCTTGTTCTTCGTCGTATTGTGCATCCTCCTCGCCAACGCCTTCTTGCCCGTTCTCATTGAGATGCCGACCAATTTCTTTCTGAGAGTCGTGCTCATCGTACTGCTCCTCCCCATTTTCGTCTTCACTAGCGTGCCCGGCATCTCCGTGCGGTACGAAGTCCGACATGCCCGTTCCTACCTCCGCTGCCTGCCTGAGTAGAGCTAATTGATGAGAGAAGTGCTGAAGACTGATTGAAAGGGAAAGCGGCGGAATGTCAGTAGTCCCATCGTTCTGATGTAGGTGGAGGTAAACTTCAAGGATGTCATTGAGGGAATGTTCGAAGGCCGCTCGCGAATTCTGTGCATGTTGTTAGCAATTGATCATTGTTGAGGGCAGTCTCTCACTTACCTCGACAAGCATCAGGCCCAGGCGGTCGAAGGCAAGAGTAAGCTCTTGGTCTTCTGAAATGTCACCTATCTTCAACGCCAGGCGTTGTCTACAGTTACGCATGAGCTCATTCAGGCTCAGGTTCGCAAGGTTGTCGTCCTTAAGTAAGCCGTCCGATTGACGCTTGGACTTGAAGAGCGGCATGGTATGCTCATGGTAATACACGGTGATAGGATGTAGTCCGGTATCGGTCGGTGTAGGTGGTCCATCAGAAGGCGCGTACGCTGTGGTGTCGACTGTGAAGGCTGGCTGAGAAACCGCGTCAGCTCCTTGTGCATCGGCATACTCAGGGTAGTGCTCCGCATAATGCTCCGCTGCAGTAAGCGTACTAGTGTCGGCGACAGCGTCTGTAGTTGGGTCATGGTTGGCCGTCTCGGTAGCGGTTGCAACCGGAGCTGAGGCGGTGTGCTGCTCGACGACGGCGTCACCTTCATCAGCTACAGAGTTCTCTGGCGGCGCGTCATCGACCACATAGCTTTCGGGATGCTCAGTAAGGTCTGATTTCCCAAGCGCAGCATGCTCAAAAGAGACCTCTTCCGGCTGGCGCACAATGTTTTCTACATGCTCGAACCCATCGTCATGCTGGACTTCGGATGGCTGTGGCTGGTCTGCGGCGAGAAGCGTAACCTCTTCGTTCTGCTGCTGATCAAAGTACTCATCGTCACCGTAGTCGATGAGTTCCTCATCGTCAGGATCTGCCACCTGTTGCGGCTCTGACCCTGGAGTATCCTGCATATCCGCCTCTTGTACGAGCGTCTCTTGATGCTGCACGGCATCATCCATCAAGTCGTCGGTCACAGTAATAGGCTGTATCGACTCGCCATCAGTTATCATTTGCTCATCTTCCTCGAGCTGAACGCCTCCATCATAGTCGTTATCGCCAAAGTCAAGATCGATGTCTGGATCATGAAATTGCAGATTACCAGGCGATGAAATCTGCATGGAATCTTCCGGGGCAGAGAGGGAGGGAAAGGCGGCCGCGGCGGCCATAGTGGAGGTCACGACAGCACCTACTGCTGCTGCCTGGGAGAGGTGTCTGTCACGTGAGATGCTTGACTAATTGTGAAGTGCTTTTGGAAAGGCAGAGTGGGAGGTGAAAAGGCGCGTCTGAGCGCGATCAGGGTGTTGCTTCGTTTGTGGCATGTGATACAGGAGGTCCGTCAGTTTAGCGGGTGGGTAGCGGTAATGACTTGGTTCTCCTACGGCCGTCGAGAGTGGCGTTGTACAGAGATGCGTGAGAGAGGAGTGTCAGAGTGGTGGGTGTGTCGATGTATTCCTGAACTGAAGGGAAGTCGTGCGCTACGAATGAAGGGAGACACTCCGAGTTGGCCGCTTCTGGATTAGAAAGTGCGGCGCCCGGGCCGTCTTGCAGCTGCTTACGCTACGCGAGTCATTTGCAAATGCCGAGCTGCCTTAGGCTGTTATAAGGACACTTTTTGGGGAGCGGCGCAGATGTTGTGGACAGCTAAAGACCATTGTACCGTGAAAGCAGTGCACCGTTGTGTTTCGCCGCAACTACCCCGACTCCCTCAAAATGGTGAGCCTCTGATCGCCGACATCGAACAAGCAACTTCAACTGTTCACACTGTGCTAACATTACTGAAGGTGGTCCTCTCCGCCGCAATCACCACCCGCTCAGGGAAGCCCATCCTCGCTCGCCAGTTCCGCCAGATGCAACGATCCCGCGTGGAAGCTCTTCTGGCATCCTTTCCCAAGCTTGCCGACACCGCCAGCCAACACACTACGGTTGAGCAGGACAATGTTCGCTTCGTGTACCAACCGCTGGACGAGCTGTACATGGTGCTCATCACGAACCGCCAGAGCAACATTCTCCAAGACATCTCGACTTTACACCTTTTCGCGCAAGTTGTCGGAAGTATCTGTAAGACTCTTGACGAGCGGGAGATCGTACGATGCGCATACGAGCTGCTCTCCGCTTTCGACGAAGTGGTCACACTGGGCTACCGGGAGAACTTGACCCTGGCGCAGATCAAGACCTTCCTGGACATGGAGTCTCATGAGGAGCGAATCCAGGAGATCATTGCACGAAATAAGGAATTGGAAGCATCGGAGGAGCGAAAGCGGAGAGCGAAGCAACTGGAGATGCAGCGCAAAGACAATGCACGGGCTGCGAGAGCGGGCGGTGGGGGAGTGCCACGCGCACCATCATATCCGACGTATACGCCTCCTCCTGCCGTACCTACGATGCCAGACACCTACGACAGCTATACGGCGGCCAAGAATCAAACGTTCAACAAAGCCATGCCGAACAGAGGTAAGGGCATGCAGCTTGGCAAGAAGAAGACGACTACTACTATGTACGAGCAAGTACGCGGCGATCTCGGACCAGAGGCTGCTGAAGCGAATGCGCCACTCGCAGGAGTGCCAACGGCACCGCCTGCACAGACCATCCAACCCTCCGTCCCGTCGCAAGGCGCTCACCACATCGCCACAGACGATGTGCATATCACTGTGGCCGAGGCCATCTCTGCGCGTCTTAGCCGCGAAGGTGCTCTCGAATCATTCGAAGTCAAGGGTGATCTCCAGCTCCGCATATCCAACCCTTCGCTCACCCAGCTCAAGCTTGAGCTGGCGTATGGCGACACAAGAGGGGCGCAATTCACCGCGCATCCCAAGGTCGACAAGACCATGTTCAAGAACAGCAACACCATCCAACTACAAGACACCTCGAAAGGCTTCCCAGCCAACAACAGCATCCAGATCATGCGCTGGCGCTTGACTTCCAAGTCTGACGAACTATCAGACTTCCCAATCAAATTCACCGTTTGGACGTCCGAAATCAGTACGAACACCTACAGTCTCACCGTTGAATACGAGCTCACAGGCTCCGACACGCTCAAGGACGTCGTGGTGGTGATACCCTACAGCACGTCCGAACCCGCCGTCTCCTCCTTCGACAGTTTATACGAAGTCAGCGGCGACAGCATTGACTGGACTATTGGCGACGTGGATGAGTCGAACTCATCAGGCAGCTTTGAGTTCGAGGCGCAGGCGCAGAGTGAAGCGGAGTTCTTCCCCATGAAAGTTCGGTTCGCGAAGACGCAACCTTGGGTTGACGTGGACGTCAGTAAAGTCACGCTGTTGGCAGAGGGACAGGATGTCGGGTTTGGGAAGGACATAAGGAGTGTGGCGGATACCTCCGAGCAGGGCGGGTACCTGGTCGTTTGAGATGGCCGACTTCACTTGCTAGATTGGGGTTATTTCAGAAGCTACGCGTCACGCGAGATGGATGTGTACTCACTGGCACGTGAGCTTGCGCATCATGGCCTAGAGCAGAGCATACAAATAACGCAGCTTACATCTTGCAACTGTTTGGGTCGTGCTTTCCCAATCAATACTCTGTCTGGCATGTGAACCTGCCCCGCCACCTCTCTCACTCACGCCAAGCCGGTCCAGAAAGCGAGAGCCTGCCACTTCATCAGACTTCACAACTCCCTCTCACACACCTTCGGCAGGGATATATTAGCTCCAGCATGTCCTCATCCGACAATGAAGACTCGCGTGGCCGCTACAACAACAACGGCGGCGCGCCATACGGCAACCTCTTCGGTCTCGGTCGACACAGAAATATGAGATTTTCCAGGCGTAACAACACCGCGGGTGAACCTAGTATGGATTCATCCGCATCCCTCCCCAAGCTCATGAATCCTTCGGCTTCAGTCTTCGTGCCGACATCTAAGCCTCCGTCTAAGAGAAAGGCTTCTTCGTCGGCCGGGCCAGGCAAGTTAGTCAATCCCAAAGTCCCTGTCCTCAAGGGCAAGGATGTCGAAGCTTATGCTTCAAATGGCTCACCGAGCTCTTCGCCCACTTCAGACTTCCGGCGCAATTCGAGTGTTTCCTCATCTGTGCTTTCTGGAGTGCTACGTGACATGGACATTGATTTGCTCGAAGACGAGAGAGACGATTCGCAGGCTTATCCTTACGTGCAAGCGCAAGGTAACCATGTAGTCCTTCCGCATGCTGCCGCACCGGCGATTCAGACATCGAGTCGACGCTTTAGAGCGGCCAGAGGTGCTCGTGACATGCCCGCAAGACAAGACACCGGTTGCAAGGAAACTCCTGCGAGACTGCCGATCGCGCTCATTAGCAACAGCGATACAGCCAGATATCTGCCACTGTCCTCTGCCGCCACTTTGGGGAGAGGGTACAGCGGCAATGACTACACGATTCTGGCGACGCACCGCGCCCGCATTAACCATGGCACAGGGACTTCTGCAGATTCAGTGGCAACGTGGCCCGTTGACGGCATACCAGTAGAGCTGTTCGACCTGACAACCGAGTTTCTGGCACGAGATGATGTCAAGGCAATGCGGCTGGTCAACCAAGAGTTCGAGAAGAAGGTCTCTCGCTCACTGTTTCGTACCTCTGTCGTTCCGTTCAACACCGAGCTTTACGACATGATCGATGAGGAGACGAAGACTGCCGGTCGACCGGCGAACTTCTCTCAGCACGCCCTAACTGGAAAAGGCGAGGGCAAGGCTCGGGCTGTCGAAGGCGAGGCGGCAACTTTGCACTGGAAGAACGCGAAGGACGACGTTGAAGGTAAAGTCTACAAAGGTCACGGCCTCCGCGTATTTCAAGGCTTCGGTCCGCATATTAAGCGCTTCGGCATGAGCTTTGATGTGACCGAAGATCAGCTATCGCAGCCACCCGCAAAGAAGGAGCTTGACTTCGTTGACTCGTACCATGGCTCGTATAACTGGCCACCGGCGCATTACGCCCGCTTCGACAACATTGCCGGCTTGGAGCGCACCGCGGACGAGACGTCACGCATGAAGGCTGCCTTCCAGAACTTGGAGATCGTACGCGAGCTTGCTTTGTCACTCGACAACGGTCTTGGCTGGCTCAGCGGACCGGACAAGTCTATTCACGCTCGTGTGTTTGAGCGGTCGACGCCTATGTTCGGCAATAGATACACCATACCAGACCATCAAACGCAGTCTGCGACGATGTTTTGGGCGGCGATGCAGGATGTGCAGTACAGTCAGCTGGCACGTTGGGGCGGAAACCCGAAGGAGGTACTGATGGGGTATCGACAGTCAGCCTTCGAAACGACGGAGCTCGACGGTATTAGCGGTACACCCTACGCAGACACGGCAGCCTGGTCGGCCATCGACCGCTCCACTGTTCTATCGAACAATCCTCCATCCGACAGCGGCTGTCTTGGCGTGCTGTATCTGACATGTACTGAGCCTGGGGGGGCAGCCCTGGATGATGCTGGCACTTCTGTGATGCCCAACCTTCTGCGAAAGGAGCAGAGGGAGTGGTTGCTGGAGATGGAGTGGGCGCAGAGAGCGTTCCTAGAGTCTTATATGCTTGCCATCATCGACAACCCAGCCATTTTCGAGAACGTGACGACGCTCAGACTCGCCAAACTCTCGAGTAGCTTCTTGCCCATAATTGCACGTCAGCCATTTTGGGACGCACTACCTTCACTTGAAGACTTGACAATACATGTCAGCCCCGATTGGCGCGCGGTTGGCAAAGACGACGCAGGCTTCGCAGAGATGACGGCGAAGAATCCCTCTGGGGCGGTGACGCTGTTTTATGGCCTGCTGAGGCAACGGGTAGCGCCCATGGAAAGCGTCACGAAGCTCAACATTGGTTGGGTTAGTGGCGGCGAGCAAGCGCAAGGCCTGTTCGCTCGAAACAATCACCTGCTTCCCTCGCCAATCACGCAACTGGAGCACAGTACCGCGGCCGGCACACATTTTAGTCTGGTCTTCAAGCACGTCGAGCACTTGACTCTCTCGAATTGCTGGGTCACGCCGCCGACACTGGAGGGTATTGTCAAGGGCCACGGGGTTTGCAAGATGAAGAAGCTGACGCTTGACTCCGTGTCCCTCACTGCTCACCCGCGCTTCGCCCCCGCTGCCCACAATGCGCCGCCACCACCCCCTCCAGCTTTGCCGCCGCAGATCTTCGCAAACATGCAGGCCATGCAGGCCATGCCGATGCCGCAAGCGCTGGCATTCGGAGGTCCAATGGGACTCGCCAACTTACAGGTGCCACCACACTGGTTCAACCCGATGTCTGGAGCTCCTGGCATGCCACCACAGCCAAACGTCCAAATGCAGCCGGCCAACTTGAACCAGCTAGTAGCCTGGCAGCAGCAGTGGATTCAGCATCAACAGCAGTTCGGTCATGCACCTGGACCGTTCGGCAACGCACCCGGCGTACCGGCTTTATCTACGAACGGCAGCTTGGCGCACTGGACCGCGGACCATAGAGAAGGCAGCTGGCCTCACCTCATTAACAGTATATCTCCGGGTGCTACGTTCAACAACTTCAACGGTACGAATTCGGACCCTTCCCGGAACCACAATGAGCCGCCGAAGCCTGCAACGAATCTTCGCGAGCTCGAGTTTATCTCGTGCGGCTATGCATTGCTTCAGCAAGCCTCATTCGATCAAACAGCCCTACAGGGTGTCGTGCATACGCCTTCTGCGTGGTTCCGCGCCCGCCAGCTTGTCCTTAAGCCTGTCATGCTGGAGAGCAAGGATCGCTTTTTGGGGTCTATCGTGCCGGCAATCCCACTGCGGGAGCAAGATGCACTGACCCTTGCGTGGCACTTGACATTGGGCTGGAGTAACGTGGATGAGGCTGAGAAGGCCATGTATGACGGGTGCTTGCCGGGAGGTAGTGGGAGGTTTTCTGGCAGGATTGTGAGGCCGTCGTAGCTTACTGTTGCGACTAAAGGATTTATAGATCTTTTGTGCGGTGGGATACTGTACCATCAGCTGACGCCGGTCGATGGCTTCATGTAACACTGGTTCACTCAAGCAGGAGCTCACTTTCCGCTGCCAAGCCCAGCGGCTTTGCACCAAAACGTTATTGGATGGATTTCAATACCGAGTTTTGTGGAGCCAGATTCTCCATGGGGAAGCTAGGATTTGCCGGAGAGTGTGGAGCACGCGGAATAAACCAACCGTGACCTCCTCACCACCAACATTCCTCTTCTTGGCCCCTACGGCACGGCAATGGTACAGGACATTTGCCGGTTACTCGTGCTTCCATATGTAAGGTATTGTACGTATCCAATCCGTTTCTCAACTTTCATATTTTTCCGTCCATCCAACGACGAATTTTGAGGCACGATGGATGCAATCAGGCCTATCATCTCTTCGCTCAGTACGCACCCGCTATTGGTTGCATTCTCACTTCTAGTTGTTCTTCCAGCCGTGGTACTGGTTTATGATGTGTTCCAGTGGATGCGTCTCCCTCCCGGACCTACGCCACTGCCCTTCATTGGCAACAAGTTTGACATTCCCAAACGCCAGCCATGGCTTCAATTCGAGGAATGGTCGAAACAGTATGGACCGATCTTTACGCTCTGGATTGGTCGCAAGCCTACGCTCATCATCTCCGACCCGCATATTGCGGTCGACTTGATGGAGAAGCGCAGCAACAAGTACAGCTCCAGACCACGTATGGTTGTCATGGGCGAAGTCTACAATGGCAATGCTTCGATCCTAACGCAGCCGTATGGCAAGGCATGGAGTGTCCGTAGGAAGTTGCTGCACCAAGCGCTTAACCCAAAGGCGCTGCGGCTTTACAAGCCTACGCAAGAGGCTGAGGCGGTTAGGCTGTGCAACGCCTTGCTCGCTAACCCAGCCGGATGGGAGAGGGAGCTCGAGCGGTTCACATCGAGCGTAGTGTTCTGCGTGGCTTACGGGCATCGAATTGACTCCTTAAAGGCGCAGGTTATTGCTGACCGCTTCAAGTATATGCATTACATGGCCAGCCTAAACATTCCGGGGAAATACTTGGCGGAGACGTTTCCACTGCTGGCACAGGTACCGTCTGCGCTCGCGCCGTGGAAGCGTGAAGCTCAAGCTGTGGGCTCGGAGGAGGGTGATGCCAACCTAGCTTTGCTCGAGATGGTGAAGCAAGACCTTGCTACCGCAAAAGCCCAGGGGAACCCAGATGCAGTGCCCGACAGCTTGTCAAAGCTCTTACTCGAGATGCGTGAGAGCGAACCGGTTCCGCTATCTGAGAAGCATTTCTCATACATACCGGCGTCATTGTTTGGCGCGGGCTCTGATACAACAGCTTCGACGCTGTGCTCCGCTTTTCTTGCGCTTGTAACTCACCCGAGTGTGCTCAAGGCTGCCCACGCTGAGCTTGATGCAGTAATCGGCTCTGATCGGACGCCAACCTTTGCTGACGAGTCCAATCTACCTTACCTCCGGGCACTATGTAAGGAGACGTTGAGGTGGCGCCCCGTCGCCGTTTTAGGTGGCACACCACACGCCAGTACGGAAGCGGATGTATACGAAGGCTGGCACATACCCGCCGGCACCACCGTCCTTGGTAACAGCTGGGCCATCAACCTCAACGAGGAGTACTATCCGCAGCCGCACCACTTCGATCCTGTACGGTTCTTATCTGACGCGGAACGCGCGCAAGCGGGCATCCAGAAGCAGCCATATGTGGGCCGGAAGATGCATCCTGCAAAGTCAGGCCACAGCTCATTCGGCTGGGGTCGCCGGATTTGCCCTGGCGCGGATCTGGCAGCTAACAGTTTGTACATTGCGTTGGCCAAGCTGCTCTGGGCGTACAACATCCTGCCCATTGAAGGTCGGAAGTACGATATCTCCGCTTACACTGACGGGTTCAATGTACGGCCACAAAAGTTCGAATGCGTGTTGAAGATTCGAAGTGGGCGGCATCAGGAGGTGCTTAAGATGGAGCAGAAGGATGCGCTGGCATGGCTGGAGAAGTTCACGCCGTTTCAGGAGTAGAACTGAGATGCTACCCAAGCGTTTAGCGTATGGCCGTATTCCGTCGATATCCTCAAGTTATGTAAATCCTTCGCATACGCCGCATCACACCGAGCGCCAGCAGAAAATATATCCACACGTGCTAAGGCAGTAGACAGCGTCAATTTTGGTGAAGTTGAAAACAGTGAGCGCCCGGTTAGTCCTCCACAGCAAAAAGCACTAGAACGTCCGTCCATGCTGCGGAGGCTGAGGCACTGTCCTGATCGGGTGCCAACCATTGTTGGTATATTCAACCTTTTCCGCCAATTGCACATCCTTCTCAAGCAGCCTCCGCTCATACGGTCCTAATTTCGACTCCCGCATGATCGGAGTCGCAACTTCGCCCTTTCCTTTCCACTGCCACTGGATCTCTTCAAGGTTGTCAGCAGTCATGTCTATGTCGAAGTTCGGCTTGCCGTGGCTTGCGTGACCATCAACGAGTTGCCAGCCCTCTAACGGGCCGCCTTTACGATCAGGTCGGTAGACATCCGGCTTCTGACGGGTGATCCACCGCCAGCCGTATACAAACAGCGGCCCGAAGTTCCAGCCGAACGGGAACACTTGGCCCCAGTCTGGCTCGACACTACGGGCACCTAAGTCCATACGAATTCTTACCGACGAGTGGACGTGCTCATTCGTGTTCTCCAGCAGGCGCGACCGGTCAGTCCGGCCGCTTTCATAGAACGTACCGTGATACCTGCCTACATTGCGTGTCCTAGTGCCGGCTAGTGATTCCGGCATTGTATTGGAATCGTAGACTTTGCCTCTGGCCCATCCCTTGTAAGCATCCTTGCGGTGCTCCTTCAGCCAGTCGACAAGACAGTCGTACCAGTAGTCAATGTAATGGTCGTCAAACTTGATCCAGTCATGTTCTTTGAAGGCTTCTCTGTCTTCGAGCATGTTTCCGGACAAGCGATCCATCATCCACACGAGCGTGATGTCTGCCATACCAGCATCCTCGTAGCTACCGCCAATGTTGGAGTGAGCGCCTGGGAACCATACTTGCTCAAGGTTAGTCTTCACGTTCTGCCTCTCCCAGACGGCCGGTCCAAATGGAAACCGACGTTCATCCATAGCCAGGGCGTGGAAAGCGTTCTCAACAGAGTCATGAAGGTTAGTGTCAAACCATCTGTAGGTGCGGAAGAACGAAGGCAAGAAGGGGAAGACCTGCTGCAGGACAGGGTTCACCGGGATGCCGAGTGCCTGCAGGATCGATAGGTAGGAAGGTTAGCCATGTACCCAATAACGAGGACAGGATCTCAAATCGGTCTGCTTACCCCAACCGTGTCCCATACGCCAATAGCTTTGACGACCGCCTTCTGGGTGAGGTTCAGCTTCAGGAGCAGAGCAAAGTACTGCTGTAGATACATCTCGCGGTGCGTCGGATTTGGGCTTCTTGCAAGCTTCTCATCAGGTTTCTCCTTCGCCGTGAACTCATGGTGATGTTCGTAGAATCTGTCGAAGAACAAAGGCTTGTAATGTGGGTCACCAGCTCGTTCCCAGTCCTCAAACGCTTCGTAAAAATGCGGCATAGCTATCTTCCTGAAAACACCCAAAGCACAGATCAGGCCACCGAGTGTGCGAGCGGTGAATGCACCGCGGGAGAAGCCGAGCAGAAAGATTGAATCCGGCGACACGAGCTTGTCATGCTCTGAGTAGTTGTTGGCTATGAAGGCGTACGCTTCGCGCACGTTCTCCGCGAGGCCAAGACCAGTTCCACCACCAACGACGTGGTTATACAGGCCGATACCAGTCCCAATACCGGCTTGGTAATACACTATCTGGGGATGATGATCGTCGTCTTCGGCTTTGATAGCGCGGGCAATCCTTGTGACATTCGTCGGGTTCTGAAGATGGCCCGGCTGCCCAAAACGGCCCTTCACCCAGCCGTTGTCGCTGTCCTGCCAAGTGCCATCGCAGCAGATGATGAGCTTTCTTGGCAGCTTCTCGCTATAATTCCCGTTTCGGTTAGAACCCATGATCTCGAGCACGGCTTATACGGCCCGCGAGCCTGAAAGATAACGTAGCTCTGCAGCTATATCATTGACGGTACACCCTCTACCTGGCAGGTGTGATTGTCAAAGTGCTGTTAGAGCCTCGCAAAATAGGGAGATGTCCTGCTCAGGCGGGGAAATCGCAATGAAGTCTATATCACAAATGCAGTAGTGAAATTATGTGAGCGCAGAGGAAGCTGAGGAGCAGTAGTGGAAGGATGAAGAGATGGAGATGACCTGATCATACGTTTGTAGCCCTCATGGAGCGGGTGAGGCTGAGAGCCACACAGGGGCTATATTTGCTGCCGAGAGACAGCGTCAGCCTTGGTTGTCTGGATGCGGTGGGGTCTGCAGACTCCCCGCCGCCCTCGAAGGAGCTCAGCAAGCCGGCGTCGCTGAACTTACGGGAAACTCTCATGTTTATTGGATATCGAAGCTGTCGCGTGAGCTATGGCTGTGGTGAGACCAGACATGGCGCAGCTGAAGGAAAGTGGAAGCTTGCGGATTCCTCCCTTGCTAACGGTCACCCCACTGTTGAAGGCGGACCGTGGCGCCAGAAACGCCCCGCTTTCAGCCGTCTTCGAGAACGCGTATACGAACGCGACAGTACCTACCTATGCTACGCTCACGAGGCCACGCAAGGATACAACCTGGAGAAATTGCCGCCAGCAGTAGCGGAAGGAAGTTGTACTGCTACGTGTCTTGCTCTGTGTGAGAGCCAGCATAATCTGGATGTTATCTAGCCAAGCCCAATGAGCCATGCTAGACAACCATGTCTGCCCCTCCCTGTTGCTTGCTCGGCGAGTTTACCGCCTTCTATCTCTCGTCATGCCTTCTGCTGGCGCTACCGGCGATAGCACCACGAGCCCCTTCAGCACAAGTAGAAATAAGCATCGCCGACGGCGCTGCAGGAGTACTGCCTTGCGCAGACACTCGACTCGCAATCAGCTTGCTCATTCCAAGCCGGATCCCACAGCGTCTGACAAGCGTTGGCGTTGCCGGTAATCTGTAGGAAGCGCGGGACGCTGATGAAGGGATTGCCATTGAGATGGCTAAGATCGCTATGGGCAAGACAGTGAGCTCGGATTGTGCTATTATGCTGAAGCGAATGTAAACTTACTACCAGACCTGCATGACGCCTTGGGCATTGGCGGCTTGAGCCCACTCAACCTGAAGGACGTTGTTAGGGTCGATGGTTGGAACGGTGGATAACTTCATCGACACGCCGCCGCCACCCTGGATGACTGCTTGGATCGAAGTGCTGTAGACACTACCGGGCGCTATGGTGTATGTGCCAACCGGGTTTGCTGGGTCGTCGAGACCATTGGGACACTGGCTGTTGCTGCCGAGCGAGGTGTGAACATAGACAGGGTAGGCACAGTTGTTCTGCACGTGACCGAAGACGCCTGAAGATTGATGAGTAGGATTATCAGCTATACCTCAAATGATCGGGAGAGAGTGGCTTACCGTTGCCACCGCAGATGCCTTGACGAGTCTCGTGAGCAGAAGAGGCGTCGCCAGCCCAGGCTGGGTTCCAGGCAGGGTTCGACTGAGTGATGTTGGTCTCGAAGGTGTAGCTGTGAGTCGGCCAAGTGAGGGTGAGCTGCTCGACGTGCCAATAGTTGCCTGGGCCGCCGCCGGTGATGGCGTTGTCGGAGGAAGCCGCAGAAAGAACGGTGGTGGCAAAGATAGCTGTCATTGCAGCAATCGCGAGGAGGACCGCGCACGTTCAGACCCGCCCTTTGCCATGCCTGGGGGAGAAGGGAATCACTCAAAGACTTACAGTTGAGGCCATATTAGACCGCATTCCGAACAGTGCTCAGCAGCGGTGACTCTTCTTAGTATGTGGTGTGATGATCGATATATGTTGATGGAGGAAGGTGTGCTGTGAGAGTAGGATGGCGAGGAGGATGTTGTAGAGAAAACGAAGGATTCGTGCCGTTTGGCCACGCCTTTGTATGCTGACGGGAGCCTCTGAAGCGTTGAGCGCGTATCACGCGCTAGTGGTGCCGTTACCAATGAACCATTTTGTTATCGTCTATAGCTTGCAGCAGAGGGAAGGAACGACCGGCGGGGCGTCCTTCTTCGGAAGGCGCGCGAAGTTAGGGTCAACACCTCCGGTACTCGGGGCCGACGCTTGCGCCCGGGGGAACGTGAAGGTGGTTGTGAGGTTGAAATGCGCACAATGCCAGCATATCGAGAACCAGCGTGCAGTGGCTAGAGATGCGTGACCATAAGGGGGCCCCAACTGTTCCGCCCAAGTGACCCTCACTAAATCTGACAGTCGCTATTTCTCTTCTCGGCAGTATCAACCACGATGCAGAAAAGCTAATTTGGAGAGCCGCGCAGATCTGTTGACATCCAGATTGCGCAGCAGACCACGAACACCACGGCATGTCAGTCCTCCAGCGATGATGTGCATGAGAACAGACGACCATATTCACGACAGGAGTAGTGTATCTTCGCTCTGGCTACCGCTGTTATAGCTGCTTCTTAGTGAAGTGTTCCGGCGCATGGCTGGTCTCGTAGTCAATGTGCACATATGCTCGCTCCACATCCGGCAGGCTTTCCAGTTTCATTTGCAGTTCCTCCGCAACGTCATGTGAGTCCTTGACGGTCATCTCTTGGTCGACCACGACATCGACCTCCACGATCAGCCGAGGGCCGGAGTGCCACGCACGTACAGTGTCCAGCGCGGTGATTGCTGGGCTATGCGTCATGGCTAGATGAAATCGTCAGTATTGCTTTTACGTGACGGCTCGAGGTGAGATGTGACATACAAACATAGGTGACATGTTGCAGGAAGGACGTCTCTGCCGTCTTCCCAATGAGCAGCTGAAACTCCGAGTACGCCGTCCGAGTCCACAAGAAGGCGATGAGGACAGAGAGGACGATTGCACCCATAGGATCTATCCACCATCTGAGTTTGGAGCCACCAATGCTGGTAAGCAGACCAAAGCCATTGATGAATAAATCGTTTCGGTGATCTTCCCAGAGTATGTTGATCTGGGAATAGCTATCTTTCAGAGCCCAGCAATATAGGAACAAGCCCAGCTTCGTGCAGAATGCGATGGCAACTGCGATGACAGAAGGTAAGTTGAAGTGGCCATAGATCTCGCCGCCGTTACCTTCGACGAGCTTAACGGCGGATTGGACGATGAGGATGAACGAGACGGCCGTCATCAAGAAACAGAAAGCTATGTTGCCAGCGGTCTCGATGCGAGCCTTTCCAGAAGGGTACTTGCTGGCGTCAACCCGATTGATTGCTCTGTGACAGAGGATGAGTGTTAGATTGCTCAGAGGATCGAAGATTGCGTCCGCCATGGTCGTGAACAGTGACAGCGAGTCAGCAGTCACTGCGCCGTAGATTTGCAAGATGGCGAGGATTATGTTGGCCACAAAAGAGCCGATGACCGCGACCTTGACACGGAGACCTTCACTTGTCCTCTGCTCTCGCGCTTCGCTGACCTGTGGACCATGCTAGTCAGAAAAGACCATTGTACTTCTGCGAAAGCAAGCAATTTGCACTGCGAGGCACAGCCAAGCAGGTCAGATCTCAGAATGTGATGATATCCGATGACCATACAGCTGGTCCACAGTGAAGACGTAGACACATCACAAGTGCATATTGTTCCAGCCGCACGGTGGCTCCATCTTGGTGGCACTTACAAGGTCAGACACAGGCTTGAGCATCCGATCAATGTTCTCGTTCTGTTGCTCATAGAAACCCTGCAACCTCCTGGCCTTGAAAGCACCCTGGACGACGCGTTTCTTACCGACGTTCGCAGCATTGTTTCTGATCGTCAGGATCTCACTTCCAGATTTGTAGCCTTGCCGTAACGAGTACGGGTCGCTGGCATCGGTGTAGGTTGGCAAGGAGTTGCCACGCTCCGCATCGCCTTCCTCGAGACTGTTCCGGCTGTCGCGACTAACAAATGCGGGTCTTTGTCTCGTGGACAAGTCTTCGAGCGGTATGCTGTCGCCCGCTTCAACTGCGGTTGATGTTGTTAAAGGAGTCTTGGCCGCGGGCTGGGCCAACACCGGAAGCACCGGAAGATAGGTGCTACTCATAATGTATGTAGGTCAATACTCGTGGATATCTCGATGCCTGATTGATGTAAGTGATTGCGTCCTCAATACAAAAACTCGTTGTATGCTTGCAACGCCAGGCGCGCCCCTATCGGATCTCCGCCTTACCGCTCCGCCACCGCCAAACGGTGGTCTTCCCAGCGCTCACCCGAACTCTAAGCGCAAATTTAGGGAAGCACGTTCACAAAAGTCATGATTAATATAACGACAACCGTAGAATTATGCGGCAACAATCGCGGTTAGGGAGAAGCAACACTGGAATGGGCACGTCGTGATTCTACGTTTGATAATTTGGTACGGGCTGCACTTCCACTTATAATCACACGGACTTGCACAACAGTGAAACTACGGCTTGAAAGCGTCTGTCACACCGCGTGCAGAGGTCCAATCATCAAACCGTCCATATCCAATGCCTCCAATACCCCTGGCACTTATGCCTATGCCTCCATCCACTCACCACCCAACCACCTGTTTACCATCTCCAAGCTTGCCACAGGCTGATCGTACGGCACCATGTGCCCACCTGCATGTATCCTCACAAACGTGAAGTTGCCGGAGCTCTTCACCGCACCGATCTTCGTGCCGTCATCCAACAACTTCAAGTCCTCAATCGGCGCCTTCTTGTACGCGCTCTGGCCTGGCCACTGAAGCTCAACAGTCCACGCCAGGTTGCCAAGCCAATTGCAGATGAAGTCGGCGTCACCGGCGTAGATGAGCACCGGGATCTCCTTGAGGATGCCTGGCACGAGGCGATGGAACGGTTGCATCCAGTCACCTTGGAAGAGGAAGTTGCGGTTGATGTCAAAGTTGCAGCTGTCGTACTTGTCGACTTCGGCGCCGAGCGCCTTCATGACATCCTTGCGGTTGAGGTAGTTCTGGATCCAGTCTAGCTCGTCGTAGCAAAGGTTGCCGCCTGTGCACTTCTTGCGCACATCGTAGGGGTTCTGGCCGCTGCGTTGGTAGGGTCCGATAAGACCATTGTTGCAGTAGATGCTTGCTGGGACACAAGACCAGACAGACTCGCTATTGTAGCAGTTCTGGATGAGAGAAAGGCAGCGCGGAAGCGCATTATCCATACTTGAGCACTCTTGCGGACTGAGGACGGCGGGCCAGCCACCGTCACCACAGGCCATCGGGCGATAGTAGGAGTATTGGGTCAAGCCATCCGTAAGGCCGTTGCCGATGAGAACAGATTGGAGGTTGATGTTGCGTCGCTTGTGCGATAAGATTTCGGACGCAAAGACGGGAATGTAGTGGCCTGCGTAACTCTCGCCAGAGATGTGGAACGGCTGATGCGCGTACTCCGGAAATTGTTTGAAGAAGAGCGTAAGAAGAGCGTAGACGTCCTTGCCCGCTGCGACAGTGTTGCTGACGCTGCTGCCGGAGTAGGAGTAGCCGACATTGACGGGCTGATCAAGGAAGATGACCGATGCATTGGCATTCCAGCTGCTCGGGTTGTAGTCAAGCTTGACGTTCTTGTTGATAAAGCTTGGGCCGAGTTCCATGAACAAACCGGTCAGCGAAGAGCAGCCTGGGCCGCCGTTGAGCCAGAGAACCACAGGGTCATTCTTTGGGTCGTTGCGCGACTCGAAGAACCAGTAGAACAAGTGCTTGTCCTCTTCATCGTCATCGAGGTAGCCAGAATACTGCTTGACCTTGTCGACGCCCAAGCTGCTGGGGTCAACCTTCTTGGTGCGGAGAGAGAAGGCCTCGAGGTTGCCATCGATCTCACGCTCCTGCTCACCCTTGCTGTTGGTTACCCAGACATCTTGGATAGCCTTGCCGGAAGTGACAAAGTCCCAATCGTGCTTCTTCGTGTGAGGCTTCGGCGGGCTAAAGAAGGACGCTTCGCTCATGGCCTCCGGGAACATCAACGCAACCTAAGGTGACGTTCGTCAGCGACACGGGCGCTAATGGCAAACAACTCCGAATGTCGGTCACATACCTCGTCCCACAACTGGCGCGCCTCGTCTGTGAGATGATTGAGCTCATGCTGCAGGTTCTGCAGGGGCTTCGACCACGACGAGCTCTTCTCTGAAGCAGACTTCAGCGCATCCTGCACCACCTGGAGCGGTTGCTGCTGGGCGACACTTGCTGCCGCAGCGGCTCCAATGACAAACGTCGAGGCAGCGAACTTCATGTCTGGCACGCTGATGGAAGATGGAAGGAGTGGAAGAGGAAGGGAAAGAGAAGACAGTCGAGAAGGTGGAGGCAGCAGGATAACGAGTCCACCTTGGAGGCGCCGCCTCGGTCTGCCCAGCAACGGCCACTGGGCACGCGACGATAGCTGGAGCACGGGCCTTCTATGACGATCAAACTCCGGTCCGGCAAGCTCCGAATACCGCTAACTGCCCGATCGGGAAGGCTTGCAGGTTCAGGAACGGATTTTCTGAGAGCCTCACGCAGTCACGAGACACTCAGCAGATGCGGTCCAGGTCATGGACACAATGACTGCTAAACGTCACTTGGACCAGGGTGATGAGCCTGACACCAAGCGAGTTAAGACAGAGACGCTTAAGGATGTCCAACCTCCGCTTGGCTCGACTGAACCAGATGCCGAGCGTGCAGTAGGTATCAATGTCTTTGTTTCGCCAGACTCGTTGCGCTTCGGCTGCGTGTTGAAGCTGCGTTACACCGATTTCCTTGTCAACGAGATCCTTCCAGACGGGCAAGTTCTTCATCTGACAAACCTGTCGCCTCCGAAGCAGCACGGGCGGCGTGAAAAGGTGGCTGAACGGGGCGAGAGCGCCTCTTGTTCGACGCAACCACCAGCTGTAGACCCTTCAGTTTCAGGTCTAGTGCCAGTGCCTGCCCGGAGCGAGAACGACGAAGGGAGTGACCTGCCAGATTTGTCTGCCGAGCAGAAAGCCGAGCTGCATGGTATTTTTGGTCCAGATGTCACGAATAAGATCCTTCGCCTCTACGCTTCAGTTCTCCAACATCCCAACAGGAAGCCTCGAGACCATACGAGCGTCCGTTCCGAGCTCATCTCCGAGAAGGCCAAGCGCACAGCAGCTCATGGGGCGGTCCGACAAATCTTCGCCTCGAAACTGCAGACAGAAACCTTGCAAGATGAACCTGGCGTCATCTCAATACGCGCTGCTCCGATTCGGGGTCCTTCTGGAGCCCGTGGACAGCAGACCGACACAGTTAACGGATCCATCACCAAGGGTAAACTCGGCTGGGAAGAACTTGGTGGCGAGTACCTTCACTTCACTCTATACAAGGAGAACAAAGACACGATGGAGGCACTGTCTTTCATCGCCGCGCAGCTGAAAATTCCAGCAAAGAACTTTGAATTTGCGGGCACGAAAGATAGGCGTGCCGTTACCGTGCAACGGGTTGCTGTTTACAGGATCAAGGCTGAGAGGCTTGCAGGTCTCAATGCAATGGCGAGAGGCTGGCGCGTCGGTGATTTCACATATGAAAAACAGGGGCTGGAATTGGGTCAGCTAGCGGGTAACGAGTTTGTCCTTACGCTGAAAGATTGCCACTTGGAGAACGAACACGGACTTGATACTGCAGCAAGGTCTGAGCAAGTGAAAAGCATTGTGTCAGATGCGGCTGAGGCCTTCAAGACGAAAGGTTTCTTGAACTATTACGGTCTGCAACGTTTTGGCACATTCAGCACCGGCACACATACTGTTGGCATGAAGATGCTTCAGGGCGATCTGGAAGGTGCCATTGACAGCATACTTTCTTATCCGCCGTCGTTGCTACCTGAGAACACCGCGAATGATAACGATGGTAAGGCACTCAAAATTCCGCGGGACGATATCGACCGAGCAGACACCATTCGCAAGTGGCGAGAAGGTACGATCAATGTTCAAGACATTCGCAATGGCATGCCAAAGCGCTTCCAAGCAGAAGCGGCGATCATGCAATACTTGTCTAAGAAGGACAAGAAATCTGGTTTACCCATCCAAGACAACGACTGGCAAGGCGCACTGATGCAAATTCAACGTAACCTTAGGCTGATGTACGTCCACGCTTACCAGTCACTCGTGTGGAACACGGTTGCTGGCAAAAGGTGGGAAGTCTACGGCAACAAAGTGGTCGAAGGCGACCTCGTGGTGATCGGCGAGAAGGACGGTGAAGACCGAAACGGTGTCTCCGAGGAGGTTGATGAGGAGGGTGAGCCCATCGTCCGTCCTACGGGTGAAGACAGCGGCTCGAAGGAATCGGACTTCACCCGTGCCAGGCCGCTAAACAAAGCGGACGTGGAAAGCGGCAGATATGATATCTTTGATGTTGTCCTTCCTTTACCAGGCTTTGACGTTGAGTATCCAGCCAACGAGAGCGGTAAGTTCTACGAGGACTTCATGGGAAGCGAAGAGGGCGGAAAGCTGGACCCGCACAAGATGCGCCGCGCATGGAAGGATGTCAGTCTTAGCGGTGGATACCGGAAAATGATGGCTCGGCCGCTGAAAGGAGTGGTGGAATGGGAGGTGAAGGAGTACGTGCAGGACGAAGACCAACTGGTTTCCACGGACCTTGGGCGGCTGCAGGCACAGACGAGCGTCAATGGCGCGGGCGCCTTGACCAGCATCAATGGCTCTGCAGCGCCAGACATGAGCGACCAACCGGACGGGCACTCGGTGGAGATGAACATCTCGAAGAAGCTTGCGGTGATTATGAAGTTTCAGCTTGGCAGCAGTCAGTACGCCACCGTGGCATTGCGAGAACTGACGATGGGTGGCGCTGCGGCATACAAGCCGGAGTTCAATACGAAGAGATAGCTTATGTTGAGTGGCCGAATTTGATGTCCTGCTTAACCAGCCTGTTCCGACTGGCGGAGGGCGCGACTGTATGGTATGGAAGTTGATCAGAATCCGATGTCGACTTGCTTCTGTCCGTTCTCCTTCCCACGCAGCGTCGTTCTCCCGGCGCCCTTTGCCAGGATGCTTCGTGCGTCAATGCTTACATGTTTGGGCTGAGGCTGTGTCTAATGTAGAGCGCATGGGTAGATGTACCTGCATTTGCCGTGACATAACCAAGACGTCACCCGGGATCTGCACCTGGGACAATGCTAGTGTGCTCAGACGACAGTTTCGACAGCTTAAGGCAGCTCCTCATATAAACTGAGCAACTTTTGGAATAGTCAAGATTAGAGAAAACTATTGCCGCAATGTCAAGTAACATGATCCGCAGTATGGCCGCCCGTCGGGCAATCTTCAGGACCGCACCTCGCAACACCACAGGTGAGCCATGAAGAACCCTTCAATACTCGTACGCTCCTGACAACACCCTTAGCCTTCCTACCTCGCTTCTACGCATCAAGCACCCGCGGCGAAGCAGGCGCCACAACTAACGTCCGCGACTCACCCTCCGCCAGCCAAGAATCATCTAGCGTCAATTCCAGCAGAGGCGCGGAACGACATGGTACTTCGACCGGCGGTTCACCCGACAGCGCCAGCGTGCAAACACCCGTATCCCATCCAAGCGAGGCCAATGCCGCGACATCAGAGGAGCCGCAGCCGAGTCAGGACAACGTGAGGAGTGACCCTAGCGAGCCGGACCATGTGAAGAGGCAGAAGGTGGAGGAAGCGGGTCAGACGCCGCTGGATCCGGCGAATAAGTAGCCAGATGGTGGTGGTGAGTGTACGATATGTCATGGCTGCAGGTAAAGCAGAAGCCGAGAAACAAGGCCTCCGTAACCAATGCTCAAATTCCGGTTTCAAATTTCTATATTAGCAGGTAATCCTCCTGTAGCTTCTCTTTCGCCCTCATTACATTTCGCACCTGCTACTGCACGCTCCGACCATCTGTGTCGAGGTCCACTGCGGAACGATGTCTGATTCTGTCCAGTCTCCATGACTTGCGACACAGCTTTCAAGGCCTCTATTGGCTAATCACGCAGTGAACTAGACTCCGCTCACTTCTTCCCAGCTTGGCGGGATGTCGAAAATGGCAGTCTGTCGTGCAAAGCTTTGCATGCCACCTTTCTTCAGGTCATGATTTGGTACTAGCTATTAGTCGCAGTGCAACCACTACTGCGCCATGCTCAAATACTGGTCGACACATGCTTGCCACATACGGAAGCAACGCTGCACGGCACGTTGGCACCTTCACAACAGCACCCAGTCTTCCGAATCCCGGACTCCAAGCTAAGCCTCTCCCAGGACTTGACTGCATCTGCCTACTCTCCGCCCATCAAATGCTGGGATCCGGGACACTGCGCCGCTTAATCAAAGCCGGCGGAGTCTGAAGAGTCACCCTCGCCGGCGTCCGAGTCCGCAATAGTCTCCTCGTCAGAACTTAACCCGGCTTCAGCAATCTCCACTGCCTTCTGCAAGCCCCTCAACGCCTTCCCGAGACGCCCCTACACCTGTAGCGGCGTATCTTTGGTCAGCTTCACCCCCGCAGACGCCTTGTGGAGAACGTCATCCATCAGCTCGTTTTCCAAACTACGCTCAGTCTCCTGCTCCGCAAGCGGTACCTTCGCTGTCGTTGCCTGTTCATCGGCCCGCTTTAATCCCTTTTGGCTGTTCTGGAGCTTGCGGTCCGTTTCGAGGGGACCGGTTTAGTTCGAATTCGTGGTCTTTCGCAACACCCTGATCTTGTCGTAGCAGAACTGGACCTCATGCTCGAGAGCCGCTTGCTCTTACTCGAGCACGCTGACCTTCCATTCAAGGTGATGCCCCTCTTGCTGATGGAGCCCGAAAGAATCGTGCCACTCCACTTGACCGACCGTGAAGTAGTCTGCACCGTGGTTGATGTTCTCAAGAGGAGCATATAAGAGTTCGGACCGATCCATGCTGGCGGTCGTGACACGGTCGGCTAATCTGGGGGTCTGAAAGCAAAAGTACTAGTACCTGGCGTTGGCTTTTAGCTATAGCAACACAGTGTCGAGAGCGGATGTGCGTACCGGATATGTGTGGTTGTCGATTGATCCGAGCAGCAAGCTCGACAACGATGCAGAAGTGGGAAGCAGGCTCTATACCGCTATTGCACTGCTGTGCCTCTGAATGTGGGATGCATTGGAGCTGCCGTCAACAATACGTGTTCCAGTTCTCACCGTTAACAACTTCATTGCGGGCAGTTAAACACTGCGAGCGCCGTCAAACTTCTATCGAGCTTCCACCCTCCTACATACTGGACGTAGACCGCTAAGCAGAACGTGACGTGCCGAACGGTATGCTCTGCCGAGCCTTCAATGCAGGAAGTCGGGTCTCGCCGGTGGAGTGCTTGAAGGCGTCAGTGAGTATGGCGCCTTGAGGCCTCGACTTTGAATGCACGCTTCATTTGACGGCATACGAGCCTTGATTGCAAGAAAGCTGGGACAAGCGAGACGATTCAAATTACATGGCTTCGTATGCTTTGGGTATATTACATGCTCGCTCTGACCGAATGTGGCCAAGAGATCTATCCATCTTACATCGCGCCTGCAAGCCAGCCAGCTCACATCTTCTTTGCCGCCTTGGCGAGATCCGCAAGCGCCTCGCGACGCTTGTACTTGGCGTCCTGGATGACCTCTGCAGTAACATCCCATCAGCATTGGTGTCCGAGACAGTTCATATCGTCATGTTGGAGAGCTTACCTGCGCTTGCATCACTCGAAAAGTGCCCGCTCCACTCAACGAACGTGCAGCCCTCCAACTCGCCACTCGTGATGGGATAGCACCGAACAGTACTTAACACGCTCGTATACGTGAGCTCTGGCTGCGACGTGATGACAGAATACGTGACGTAGTGGTTGATGGTCGAATGCTCCTCTTGCTTTACTTCTAGCACGGTGCCGTCCTTGAACGTCCACTTGACGATGTCCGTTTCCTCGCTGGCACCTTTGACATACTCGCTTTTCGTGACTGCGGACCAGAATTTGCTGAAGTCCTGTATGCATTCGTCAGCACATCCCTGTAGCATGAAGGCGATCATACAAATTACCTGAAGCTTGATGAAGTGCCAGGCATGCGAGAGCGGGGCGTGAATGACGGCCGACTCCACGACAGAGGTCGAGGTTGGGATGGCTGTTGATTGAGACATGGTGGAAGGTCTTCGCTAGGTTGGTGTCTGGTAGAGGCTGTCGAGAATCGAAGCGTACAGCAAGGTTTGTAGCTGTTGTCAGAGAAATAACTGTTCGTCCCCATTGAACATTCCAGACGACAACGTTTGCCAGCAAGAGCCCCGCGGCAGAACGGACGTCACTCCGCGCCGCCACATGGCTCCTTGAGTTGGGCGGTGAAAGGAGACAAACGCCCGCGTTTCAGAGCTGCAACCTGCAAGCACGCTCTCTCTTGTTACTTGCTGCTGCATACGCGGCATGATCGTTCGTGGCCTTGTCTCCGATGGGGCAGCCACGCAGGGTATCGACACAGCGGTCGACAAGACGATGCAAGGCAGGTTTTTCCACTTACATGTTCTCACTCATCATACTCTCTCGTTGTAACACCGTCTCCTACCCTTCCGTATCTTCACCTCTGCAGCAGTGACTAGACACTGGATGGCAGTGTGCACTGAAACTTGATGTTCACTGCGCAAACACCTCATGGTACATTCAGGCGACGACGCTACTCGTAGTACGGCGTGCACGACCCGCCTGTTGATGCTTTCGAAGAAGACGGCTTCCGCATCCATCGCGCTGTCGCTGAAGTCTTGAGAGACAAACGCAACGCTCGCAACTACGTCGCTGCCCGCCGAAGAGCCGAGGCGCTTGAAAGGCGTGTTGCTAGGGAGCAATACCTGCGATTGCAGGCAGAGAGATTGAGAGCCAAGGTGAAGGTGCACCAATACCGCCACCGCCAGCGAAGTCGCGAAGTCAGAGACCTTGTGCGAGAGTATTTCGACGAGGAGCGCTGTACTGGCTGAGTGGCGGTCTAGCTACAGTGTTGCGAAGAGTGAGCGGCATCGCTATCTCAATGCGATAGCACGGACTGACGCTGTCGTGGTAGAGACGAGTCTCCACTGACGTGGTATCGAGTTGGGACTCGTTTGACGGGGACATGCGCGGATCTCGGTTTGCGCTTCTGGCTGGTGCCTACACCACGCTCACGTGTGTCCACGCCGAGCATCACATGCAGAAATACAAGGTCGAGAAGCGGCAAGACGGCGACACCTCCATCCCCTTGATCATCTCAAGCTCCTGTCCGGACATCATCTACCCAGCGGTCCTAACGCAAGGTGGCACAGGTCCGACAAACACGGGATGGGCGGCGCAGCCCAACTCCAATCAGACCCTCTATGTCTCGGAAGATTGGCAAGGAAGGGTGTGGGCTCGCACGAACTGCTCGAACATTGGGTCCGGATCCTCATCCTCGTCCTCAACGTCATCGGGTTCGACCGGCTGCTCGACCGGCGACTGCGGTGGGTTGGTGGCGTGCAAGGGACCAGGAACGCCGCCAGCGACGTTAGCTGAGTTCACGCTGTCCGGCAGTCACCAGCAGACCTTCTATGACATCTCGCTCGTGGACGGCTACAACTTGCCTATGGCCATCCAGATACTTCCCAACGATGTGCAGACGCTGGAGCAGCTAGGTACGCAACGACGCACTCTGACTCTGCATGTGTTGGTATGTTGACAGTTGTAGACCAGAGCACGACGAACCCGAGCTGCGTCGCATCTCCGAACAACCTTGCCGCGCAGAACTTCAATCCCTACGCCAATAATCAACAGTTCCTAGGCACTTCATCCTCCTCACCCTTGCCATTCGATACCAAGAACACGGCGAACTCTGTAACTAACTGGTGTCCCTGGGATCTCCAAATCAAGCCACCCTCAACACCTAGCAACGGCGTCTATCCCTACCCGGACACGAACATTGCACGGCCTGCATTCAACCCATGCATCAGCGCCTGCTCCAAGTACAACCAGGTAAGCAATGTGCAGCTCTCGGCTTGAACATGTGAGACATATCTGACCCACCTACCTTTCAATCTTCAGGATAACTACTGCTGCCTGGGAGCGTACAACTCCGTGAACAAGTGTCAGCCAGGCTACTATTCGAAAGCGGCAAAGGGCGTCTGTCCAGATGCATATTCATACGCTTTTGACGATCAAACGAGTACTTTCATAGTGCCGGCCGGCGGTGGCTTTCAGGTTGTATTCTGTCCCGGCGGCAGAAGCACGAATATTATTGCGAGTAAAGGCTCCACTGCGATCGAGCATGGTTCGTCGAACGGCTCACATTGGGCGCTGGGAAGCGCTGGGAGGCCTTTGATCGATGGAACTCTCGTGCGCATCGCTGTGCTTGCGCTTGCCGGGGCGGTGTTTCTGTAGCCTAGATACTAGCCTATGAATTGAAAGCCGCCTGCTGAGTCGGTATTGCCATCGCAGTCGCGTGGGTACACTGCACCTTGCGCGTAGACTGCTCGCGACTGTTACCCATGGTCTCTGGAGCGTCTTACACCGACGGTCGATGGCGACACTGTCATCACTAGACCACAGCGTATCTCGAGGCAAATGGTTGCTGCGGGCCTCGGCCCATTGTCAGCACTGCTCGCAACCCGAACCATCATGTCGATCAACCTTTGACGATCGTGAAGCCAAACGGACCTTCCCCGCCGAGTTTCCTGACATCTCTGGCAGTCCGGTGCGATAATGTAACACGAGCTTCTCCGTACCCATACGCTGTTCAAGGCAGGTGTTCGTGCCGTCGTTCTCCCACTGTCCTCTCACTGCTACTGATTTCACTATGGCGGATCAGAATGCTCGACAAAGAAAGAGCAAGGCTAGCGATAGCAATGGAGGCGTTGGCAAGATGAGCAATGAAGCGAAATACGTCAAGGAGCAATTCAGTGTGCTGGACGCGCTGCGCATCATCGGTGGTCTGGTCGTTCTAAACTGCTTGCTTAGCTACTTCATCACCGGCGACAGCGTGCTATGGGGCTGGCGGCCATGGTTCACAAGACCGACTGTGGTAATGCGTTACTTTGTGAGATGACTTCTTTCCCATATGTTGCGTACTTCTCGCTAACAGACAGCGGTAGCAAGGACCGGTCTACCTGACCGACACCGAGCTCAAAGTCTACGATGGCAGAGACCCGAAGAAGCCCATCTACCTGGCCCTAAACGGCACCATCTACGACGTGACCGCGGGCCGCCGTCTCTACGGACCGGGCGGCAGCTACAACGTTTTCGCCGGCATAGATGCCACCCGCGGGTTCATCACCGGCTGCTTCGTCGAAGACAGAACGCCTGACCTGCGCGGAGCGGAATGGACATACGTGCCCGCGGATGTTCCTGGCTTTGAGGTGGAGGGCGTGACAGCCGCGCAGAAGAGCTACCGTGAGCTCGAGCTGCGGAAGGCGAGGCGACAAGTGCAGATGACGATTGAGGGGTGGGGAAAGATGTTCCAGGGTGGAGGCGGGAAGGACTACTTCGAGGTTGGGAAGGTGAAGAGGGAGGAGGGGTGGTTGGAGAAGCTGCCGAGACGAAAGTTGTGCGAGCAGGCGCAGAAGCAGAGACCGAAGCCTAAGAGTGCGGCGAACGACCCAGGTGCTGCGTACAGAGCGAGAGGCTGATATTCGGTACATAATCAAGCTTGTACGATCCGGGAGGTTTGCTCGATTGGATTGCCTTCATCATGTCTCTCGTCACCTTTCAGGTGGCATGTAGTGCCTCATGTTTGCACTCAAGGCAAGGCAGTCGCTATTTCCTATTGTAACCGTTGCGTTGCCGTCACCGACTCCACGCGCAGATTTCCCTTCCAATATCACTCGGCAATTGCTCGCCTTGCTGTTTGATGTTATATATTGTCACAATTGGTGGCGTGCTACAATATTCGCCTATGGCCCGGATAGTTTAACGGTTAGAACATGGGTCTCATACTTCGGTATGATGGAGCAAAGCTCTTCGACCCCACTGATCAACGTGATCCCAAGATCTGAGTTCGATTCTCAGTCCAGGCAGTGTCCTACACTCGGCGTCTAAGACGTTGATGGCTGAACTCCTTGCGACGTCAAAGACGTTGGCTACTGAAAATCCACTTTTTGGACCCTCTGGAACATTCTCTCCATTGTACGAGATCTATCTTTTGCCTTTTACCGGTTGTTTTTTGCCTTTGACCTCCCAGTTTTTGCCTTTTGCCCAACATGTTTTGTGCAATAGGTTAATTGGACAACACTTTGAGCTTGCAACAGAACGGACATGCTCTTCCCAGTTAAGTAATATATACACAATCCATAAGGAGCTCGAAAGTAGAATAAAAAGAGTCCTAATGCCGGAGTGTAGTGCTTATCCATAATACGGCGGACGCTATACTTCTGGTCGCTACACTCCCAACATTCGTCCATACTATGTAACCGACATACGCACTACTTCAAAGGGCGAGCAACCGATAAGGGCACAACTCCACTAAGAACCCTTCGTTTGGTGTTATGCTGCGCTCTAGTAGCCTATGGCACAAGATGTCGCGCAGATCTCTAAAGGCTGAAGTCTTATACACGGCTTTAAATCGCCAAATGTGTAGAAGGTGGGAAGGCTTCGCCGAATGCGCTACTCTTGCCACTAACTCAAGAGTCAAATTGGATTAGTGGAATGGTCTGCGTGCAAAGCTCACTACAGATATTCTTCGCATATTTTCTTCTCGCTGCCTTGTGGATAACTGCGGAGCGAGCAAGAGTACGGTAGGAGCAGAGAGCTTCAAGGCTCGTATTGTAAAGGAGTGTATTATTGATATTTTTTGTTGTACATTATTAAGGAAAGCCTCATCCCAATCGTCGAGTGTAATGATCGTGAGTTAGAATTATTGCGTCGTTCGCATCCACTGTCCCAATATAATCCCAACCCGTCAAGTACAATAATTGTCGGAAATAGGAAATTCCGTTCGCTTCTACTGTCCTGACCATGATGTCTCTACGGGCTGTAAAATTCCCATCGCCGTTCAATGCTTCCAAACTTAGATTGAGGCCGAAACTGCGATACACGGGAGGTTGATGCCAAGAATGCTCTGCAAAGGAAGTTAGACAAGGTGTAAGATGAACATCGTCGAGTGAAGATACTTACGCTGGCGCAGCACTGAGGGACGGTGCCAGAGGCACAAGTCGTCATCGCTAGACAAGATAGTTAGCGATTAAATCTCAAGGTATCAAGGTATTGAGCCTTACAGTTTAACGTGACACAAGCAGAAAGGAGAGAGCCACTGGCAGGGCAGCACGACATTTGGTAGTTGGCAGGGCATGTCATGCCAGCAGTCGAGGGTGGGCAGACGCCTGCAGTGGCGGCAGGGGCAGTCGCCGCTGGGAGTGTAACACCAAGACTTGCTGTCAATGTAGTCGTAGGAAGAGCGACGGTGACTGGGAGAGTGGTCGGGAGAGGTGTGGTTGCGAGCGTGGCCGGAATGTTGGTAGCAACGGTGGTGGACGGAAGAGCGATCGTGATTGGAAGAGCAGTCGTCGGGCTCACACCGACACCAGCACCAACACTGACACTTGGGGTCGAGCCGACACCGACACCTGCACCAACACTAACACTTGGAATCGTCACGGCAAGGTTCGTGGTTGCAGTCGTCGATGGCAGAGCAACGGTGACCGGAAGAGTGGTTGGGATTGGCGTCGTAGCACCCGTGACAGCAAGATTGGTCGTAACGGTTGTGCTCGGGAGCGAAACTGTAACTGGGACGGCAGTGGTTGGGTTGACGCTAACACCGAGGCTAACTCCCGAAGTTGGGTTAACTCCAGCACCAACACCAACCCCAGGAAGGCTAGCACTGACGGAAACGGCTGGAAGGGTGACGCCAATGTTGGCAGTTGCAGTTGTCGATGGCAGAGCGACAGTGACCGGGAGAGTGGTCGGGATAGGGGTAGTTGCCAGTGTCACTGGTACGCTAGTTGCGACAGTCGTTGACGGAAGCGCGACGGTGACTGGAAGAGCCGATGTACTTCCTCCTCCAAGGCCTAGACCAACGCTCACTCCTGAAGTTGGGTTAACGCCAGCGCCGATGGAGACGGCCGGAAGAGTGAGACCGACGTTGGTAGTAGCTGTAGTAGACGGGAGTGCAACTGTGACGGGCAATGTTGTTGGGATAGGGGTGGTGGCCAATGTCACCGGAAGGCTAGTAGCGACAGTGGTCGAAGGAAGCGAGACGGTGACCGGAACAGCTGAGGTGCTTCCTCCCCCAAGGCCTAGACCAACACTGACTCCTGAGGTTGGGTTGATACCAGCGCCGATGGAGACGGCCGGAAGAGTGAGACCGACGTTGGTAGTAGCTGTAGTAGACGGGAGTGCAACTGTGACGGGCAATGTTGTTGGGATAGGGGTGGTGGCTAAGGTTACCGGAAGGCTAGTAGCGACAGTTGTCGAGGGAAGAGAGACGGTGACCGGAACAGCGGACGTACTTCCTCCTCCAAGGCCTAGACCAACGCTGACACCTGAAGGGTTGACGCCAGCCCCGACGCTCACTCCAGGAAGGCTAGCAGTGATGGCTGCGATGGAGGTTGGGATAGAAGCACCCACGCTGGTGGTCAAAGTGGTGCTAGGGAGAGCAACGGTGATCGGAAGGCTGGTACTCGCGCCCAGAGAAACGCCACCAGTAACAACCACGCCGGCGGAGTTTGTAGTCGTCGTTGGGAGAGTCACTGGAAGACTGGTCCTCACGGTGGTGCTCGGAAGAGCCAGAGTGACGGGAACGGATCCCACACCACCTCCGGAGGTCGCGAGGCATACCGAAGGAGACAGAGTCACAGTGGCTGTGACGGTAGCTGTTGCTCCACCACCCAAGTTGATGCTAAGGAGCTGAGGGTCAGGGGCGGGAAGAGCAAAGGTGCTGCCTGCCAACGCCAGCGCGTTGAGGATGTTGATGCGCTGCATCTTGAAAGTCATTGCGGATTGATCCGGGGATGAGCGGGATTTCGATGAGGAGAATTAGGAGCGACTGAATGTCGAACGACTTGAGCAATGGAAAGCTGAGCGATGGTGGATGAAGAATCGATTTCATGGTAGTCCAGGAAGCTCATCTTTATATCACTGGACGGCCCTTCAACATTGGCACTGGCGTCATGTCGTCGATACAACCTCGATGCGGACGCCCGATTCCGAAGACCTGGTCGTGACACCACAGCCGTAGCACTCTTCCCCCAATCTAAGACCGTCATGGAGCCTGTCTAGTCACAGAGACGATGACATCTTTGAAGCGATTGTCGTTCGTGCCGTGGCGTCGAGGTATCATGTCTTAGACTCGACCGCGACGTGAAGGGTTCGAGAGTGACCGAGACGCGGCGTGGCACTGTTTTCTCCCGGTTCAACAGTTCACGCAATGCGGCGTTGAGCTACGCGAAGCTGAGGGTTTTGCGCAAATCACGAATAGACAATGGTCATTCCTTGGTTGTCGTCCAATATTGGTCTCACCATCTCCACCTCTTGTGGGGTGCGTCTCGCTCGAGCGATGCTAATGAAGGGACCAGGAACAAGACGTAGACTCGGCTTGAGCAAGCTGAACTTTGTCTGCTTTTCTGTGCTCGCGCCGTAAATGGTGGAGTCTTGAGATCTTGCCTCGCCAAACTTCCAGTATTGGTCTCACCATCTCCACCTCTTGTGGAGTGCGTCATGCTCGAGCAATGCTGTTGAAGGGACCTGGAACGAGACGTAGACGTGGCTTGAGCAAGCTGAACTTTGTCTGCTGTTCTGTGCATGCGCCATAACCGGTGAAGTCTCAATATCCAGCCTCGCAAGATTTCAGTTCGAGGTTGCTACAGTACGCTGAGAGTCGCCTTGTGAGATGGCAGTGAGGGCAGAGGTTGGGTGCCAAGAACGGATCGGATCTGAGTAGGACGGGACGGGATGGCGTATCTGCGCCATCGCGTACCTGGCATGACATGGCAGTCTAGGAAGATACCTTGACGATCAATCGATAGCGCAATCTTCTTGATAGGATGCTTAGGGCTACGAGTGGCACTTCACTGGTCATCCGGTATCCGAAACCATTGAAAGCTCTCCGCAAAAGACGAGATGGGTGCATCGCTAAACTCGAGATGTGGTTGGTCAGATCATCGTGGATAGCGGCACAATATTTTCAACGGCCGACCCGGGGGGGGTCCCCTAAACCATCGAAGGGATTCAATCGCTGTGACATAGTTATGCAACATAATGGCCAGAAGCAAATCAGAATATGGAGGCACAGTATCGTGATCTTCCATATCTGGCGCCAATTTTACAGGCAGTATGTTCCAGGTGGTCTTATAGCGGGTCCCGGGGTTTAGCGGGATCAATCCAAATCGTATCCCGATGCAGGGCGATGGTTCGCAGCACAAGCCTCACCCGTTGTTGTGGATCTTAATCGTGCACGAGCAAGCACTGAGGTGACCTCGCGCGAGCACTGCAGGCTTCCATGCGTCGCGTCATGTACGACAATGACTCGTCAGCAGTTTGACCGGTTGCTTAGTCATGTTGTACTGCTGGGCGATGGTCCGCAGCGCAAGCGACCGTTGCGTCATGCACAATCGTGACTCGCTGCGACGTTCAGTGGTTGGTCGGTATTTGAGAAAGATGTGAAGCTCAATGCGGTAGCGCACCGGAACCCGGCGTCCCGGTCCAGCGATCTGCGGGGACCTCGGGGGCAAACCTACGTCCCAGGTTAAGCGGCTTGCTGGAACATATCTCCGGGGAGTGCACGTGAGTTGGGAAGAGCTCAGAAGCAGTGTGCAGCTACCCGATTCATTCCGCTAAGCGAGGCGTTACCTTGCGGCGTGTAGATCGGCGGGTCTACGCGGTTGGTCGGCGCTGTCACAATCTGTGTGATATGCACGTGAGCTTCGGGGCTTAAACCGACCTGGTCACTTACTCCGCCTTCCCATGTTTCCACCAGTGGCGTGTCGCCAACCTCGGTGTCCGAGAAGGCGTAAGAGGCGACCCTCGGTTATCGACGTGCGTTGAATTGCGGCTTGCCATTCGTCAGATCCCGACTTCATAGTAGACTTGCATAACTTGAGACAGAACCCAGGTTCCGAGCCATACCGGGTATTGAGGCGATGGCTCAGCCGAGCATATGCAAGATGCGATCGTGCTTCCCGCGCTTAGTGATGGGCGGACGCCTGTCCTCGACCCAATACTCTTGATGCCCACAAAATCTGCGCTTCTGACTCCCACATTCAAGCACCGATGTCGCCACTGTCATCTTTCTTTCTGTACATACCTGTTCGCCGTTAGGAAGGCCAAGAGCAAAATCTAGCCATTGTCCACATCATGCCGACAATGCCAGTCCACGGTCTCCACATGAGCAGCGGCGAGGGCGCTACCGTGCGCGCCTTCTTCTGCCGCGCGAGATAGTCAAGATGGTCCTCTTCATCACGTGAGGGAATGTTCCCCGCGGTCTTACTTGTGAGGCGAGTAGCCATCACCGTCATAAGATGCGCTTGATGGACGTTGACAAACGATCAACCACGCATCCGGGTCGGTAGCTTGAAGCGTGCAGCGGAGAGCTTGCAGCTGTACAAATCATGTACGCTGCAGGCGAGTGCACGTGTCCCCATCAATTTTCTGCCCTTTTCGCCCTGAGCTCGCTGTCGGGCTTTATCAAACCGGAATTAGGAGAGGTGGACCTGGATGTGGAATCTGCAGTGCGCCAGCAACAGCACAACAGCAGCGAGATGCTGACTTGTATCATCAGTGGAATCTCAGGATGACAGGGTAGTCATTCCTATTGCGGTCGCTCGCCTTCACAGAACAATACGAGAATTGAGTGGCTGTCGGTGTCACATATCGTTGGGCTGCTTAGAGCTGCCCCAGTTCGCAAGGCTCGTGCTAAGCCTGAAACTACTGGGACAGACGAAGACTTGTGGCATTCTCGAGCTTGCAAGTTCTGTACCATGCACAGATGAAGATCCATCAAACCTCATGTGCCAAAGCCAGCATCTATACACGCCATGGGTGCCTGAACCACGTTTAGTTTCTACTTCTGTCAATCACAGATGATTCTCAGTCCGGGTAGTATCGTTATACACTCGACGTCTCAGACGTTGATATGGAACTTGACTTGCGACGTTGGCGGTGAATAGAATCACTCTTCAGCATCATTTCAGTCAATAGGATTGTGGAGCGGCCGCGTTGTGCATCCCCTCCTTACCAATCTATCATGCTAAGCATGTCGGCGGAGGAGGGTAGATTACCAGCAGAACGTTGTGGGCCGTACAATGTGAGAAGACCTACCGAGTGCTACTACCATGGATATTCCCTGAGTTCAGTGAAAATGCGTGGCATATACCTTGGTTTACGCTTGGATTTTTGCCCGTGGTAGCTATAGCCATTTGAACCACATTCACTGCAACATAGCGAAGACGACAGTGACCGGTCTCGTCGCCACAGTCTGTCACGAACGCGGCCCATCAACGCGCAGCGAGCACACAGAACATCCTACTACCGTTACAAGTCTTCGAGGGCACGACTTGCCACCCTTGAATAGCATAACGTCGGAACGAATCAGAATGCATAGACGTACTGAAGAAGACCTGTCACTTGAATGTTGTCCTTCCGCTCTATATGCAGCATATATTTTCATTAGATTACATTTCTTCGTCATCTTTGTGGCTCATCATGACATGCCATGTGGGTGTCGTGTCGACATAAAGTCTAGAGAGATACGAAAAAAAGTCCCATGCTTGATCCGTCATCGCAAACATCAGTGGTATCGTGCAATGATCCAAAGGGGACGATATTGAACCCCCGGACAAAGCCTTATATGCAATGCTTGAGCCCACAAGAACAAAAAATGCGGAACATAGCTATGCTTGTTTACGCGCGTGTGGCCTAAATTCATGTCAGCAGCTGCATACAAGATGGAATGCAGGGTATATGACTCACCTGAACCTGACCGTCAGAGATTTGGCTCACAGGGCGGGCAGTGGAGGTGGTGCCCGGGGCCTGGATTTGACCGTCGGAGATTTGGCTAACGGGACGAGCGGAGCTTGTGCTCGACGCTGGGCGCGAGGAGCTGCTCACAGGTGTGCTCGAGGCCGGGCGAGAGCTGCTGCTGACTGGCGAAGACGACGCCGGGCGAGAGCTGGAGCTCACGGGCGAAGACGACGCTGGGCGAGAGCTGGAGCTCACGGGCGAAGACGACGCTGGGCGAGAGCTGGAGCTCACCGGCGAGGATGACGCCGGGCGAGAGCTGGAGCTAACTGGCGACGATGACGCTGGGCGCGAGCTAGAGCTCACGGGCGATGACGAGGCCGGGCGAGAAGAGCTGCTGATTGGCGATGAGCTGGCCGGGCGAGAGCTGGAGGTGACTGGAGCGGTGGAGTTTGCCGGGCGCGAGCTAGTAGTGATAGGAGTCGTGGTGTTTGAAAAGCGGGTCGAGCTGAGCGGAGTGCTGCTGCTGGACGGGCGGGTAGTGGTGGACATGGTCGAGACAGTGCAGAGCGAGCATGGCAGAGTAACGTACACAGTCTGGGGAACCGTGACCGTAACCGGAGCCGGGCAGGATGGAGAAACGGTAACGGTGACCGGTGGAACAGTTGGGCAGGTGCTGGTGGTCGTGCTTGGGCGGGAGCTTGTCGGGGTCGACGGGCCAACAGAGGGGGTGGTCGTGGTGGTGGTGCTCGGGCGGGTGCTCGACAGGGTGGTTGACGAGACGGGCGTGGTGCTGCTCGGGCGAGTGCTGGAAGGAGTCGACGAGACCGGCATGGTGCTGCTCGGGCGGGTGCTCGATGGAGTTGTCGACGAGACTGGGGTCGTGCTGCTCGGGCGGGTGCTCGATGGGGTTGTCGACGAGACTGGGGTCGTGCTGCTCGGGCGGGTGCTCGATGGGGTTGTCGACGAGACTGGGGTCGTGCTGCTTGGACGGGTGCTCGACGGGGTTGTCGACGAGACTGGGGTCGTGCTGCTTGGGCGGGTGCTGGAGGGAGTCGATGACACTGGCGTGGTGCTGCTCGGGCGGGTGCTCGACGGAGTTGTTGACGAGACCGGCGTGGTGCTGCTCGGGCGAGTGCTGGAGGACGAAGGAGTGGAGGAGCGAGGAGTGGTGGAGTTGCTGAATGGAGGCGAGCTGGACGCTGGGCGAGAAGACGTGGTGATTGGGCCAGTCGAGATCGGGGTGGTGGATGGGCGAGAGCTGCTGCTGCTGCTTGATGGGCGCGGGCTGGAGCTGACCGGGGTGGAGCTCGATGGGCGCGGGCTGGAGCTGACCGGGGTGGAGCTCGATGGGCGCGGGCTGGAGCTGACCGGGGTGGAGCTCGATGGGCGTGGGCTGGAGCTGACTGGAGTCGAGCTGGAAGGACGCGGGCTGGAGCTGACCGGAGTCGAGCTAGAAGGACGCGGGCTGCTGCTGACCGGAGTCGAGCTGGAAGGGCGCGGGCTGCTGCTCACTGGGGTGGAGCTCGATGGGCGCGGGCTGCTGCTCACTGGGGTGGAGCTCGACGGGCGCGGGCTGCTGCTCACTGGGGTGGAGCTCGATGGGCGTGGGCTGCTGCTCACTGGTGTCG